CCCCCCCCCACACCAATTCCATGCCGTTGGCAGTTGACAGCCCTCGTCGTTTTCCACTGTGTACGTGCATCCCGGCCGCCAATTGCCAGTCACCGCATGTACCTCAACTGAGCAAACTCCTCACCTGCCTGTTTTCCCCGACTCAAGCCTCAGCCACGTCTGTGCTCGGCCGAACGACTGATAAGTCGTCCCTTTCCCATAACTCGGACGCCTGGTAAAAGTTATGTCCCTGTGTCCTGGCGTTGTCGTGAGGATTCGTGTTCTCTTCTGTGAATCCCACAACTATCATACTGCACCAAGTCCATTGCCTCGGTGGTGAGCATCCCACATTGTCTGCTGATCAGCCTCCACATTACTTTGGCTCTCCAGACTGACCCGTTCCTCTTTCACTCTTGGAATCACTCACTATGACCACAACCTTCCCATAGCCGTTGTCCCTTGGGCCAGGAAGGCACCTACTTTCACCATGTCGTATTTCCTTCCTTCCTACTTCCAAAAGCGGTTGCTTCGTTATGCCCTCACTCGCCTCGATATCATCGACTCGGACGAATTCAACCTCGATAACCTGGGACTCACATGGGGTCAACGAACCGTCGTCGAACTCAAAAATGTAGGAATCAAGGTCAAACGCCTGATAGACATCCTTCAACTCCCTCCCGCCTTTGTCCTGAGCCATGCTTCCATTAAGCTGCTCCGCCTCACACTTCCGGCAGACTTGCATATCAGCGGAATCGAAGTTGAAGTCGACGGCGTGGAAGTAATACTTGGAGTACGGCCAGATATCGCTGCGGGGCCCAGCGAGACATCTCGTTCAAGAGGAGGACCCGTGCCCAGCACCACAGACCGAGCAAATCTCCCTAGGTTATCGTCGCCTTCCGTTCACGATCCTGGCGGTCGTGGCTCGCATGATCGACATGGAGGGCTTTTGGAATTATCCCAGGTCATTCCCACATCTGAAGATTTGGCTGCCTCCTTCCTGGATGCCGAGTCTCCCGGAGAAAAAGATGAACTACAAGCGGCGTTGGAGTCACAATCTCAATACATGCATGAGTCGGTATCGTCTGCCTCCGGCGAGGATGTCGGACTCGGCATGCCTGGAGGCTTATCTCTACCTTCCTTTGTGGCCAATTTCCTCAAAGGGGTGGCAGATCGACTGTCCGTCAAGATCAAGGATGTGAATGCCGTCTTGGAGATGGACCTTTCTGCATCTGCCGGGGTACCGGCAGAAAATACAAAGTTCATGTTGTCAATAGGGGGTATAGCGGTGGAGGCTTTAGCACAGGCTGGGGACTCCGAGTCTCGGCCAGATACGAGAAGACCCATCACGATTGACGAGATACAGCTATTTATCTTATCCGAGACCGAAACGTTCTCAGAGTTCTCTGGCTTGAACTCGCCTAAGTTGGCCAGGTCACGTCCCAGACTTCCACACCCGGCCACCCGTCGTGACAGTAGTGATCCCGGTCGTTCAAATAGTGCCAGTCGAAGCCAGCATTCCGATCATTCAAAGCTATCGTCTCCTCCATTGAGCAATTCTGGTCTTGGTATCGGGTACGATGATGCCCTGCTATCCGACTCGGTAATCTTTGCACATCGGTCGACAAATGTCTTGGATAGACAGTATTCATCAGATAGGTCGCGTTCAATTGACGACAGGACACGCACAGAAGAAATGCTGGAGTCGGGCCGGCAAGAGACCACTGAGGAGCTTGGCTCGGAAGGAAAACAATTGGAAAACCTGATGGAATCTAAAGTGTTCACCCATGACGAGGCTGAAAGCATGTACATGAGTGCGGTAAGTGGTCATTCCGGAATACCTGGTGGATGGACATGGTCCAACAACCCAGAGCTGGAAACCGAACGCGAAAACTCGGTGCCACGTGAAAATGATGCAGACCCTCCAGAGCAGGTGACCGACAACCTTATCGATACAGACGAGAACTTGGAAACGCCAAACATGGAACAGGCACGGTCTCTTGAGATATCGAGCGGAGAAAGCGTTCTCGATAGCAGTCTTGCCTCATACTTCCGCACACGAATACTTCGTCTAAACACTGCCAGCCTGAAAGTCCCACAACCACATCGTGATGGAACTCTAGCAGGGAGCCCAGGGCAGGCACCATCACAGCGTCCGGTTCAAATTCACCCAAAGCGTCCTGGCACAGAAAGATTATCGGGGAGCTCATTTCTCAATGACCCGCGCCTTCAAAATCTGCGTTCTCCGGCATCGAGTCGACCAGTCGAGCATTCAGTTGAAAGCCTAAATGTCGACATCGGTGAACTATCTGTCGATCTCGATGTCATGGTATGTAGGATTTTGTTAAAGGCTGGCCAGACGGTGTCAGAAGCTCTCCCATCTACCCCGGAAAAGCCGAAGATGTCGACTTCGGCAGCTAAAATTTCGACCTCGACTCCCGAGATCAACATCCAGAGAGTCGACGTCAAGATCTGCGAATCGGTGCCGAGAAGGCCACCAACAAAGGTGGCAGTTCAGACGATTGAATCCGTACTGGCGAACGAACAAGCTCTCTTAAAATTGACGTTTTCCTCGGTCGTCTTGACGACGCTCCCGGGGCCGGAAAAGAATCAGCGTCTGTCCATCACTAAGATGGTAATGGCCCATGGCGCCCAGGAAGTTCTTTCACTTGTGGACTCAATCCATGTACGAGATTCGATTACAACTAGCTCCATGCTACGACCCCATGATGTGGTGGTGACCATTTCCGGCAATCGCTACGATGTGCAGATTAAACCTGTCCACGTCGGATTGGACCTCCTGGTCATCGACGATGTACTAAGCAGAAGCGGAGGGTTGAGCTCCCTTTTGGATTTGGGGAATTCGATCATGTCCACAAACACGGTGAAATGCCCGGCTCCCACACCCAAACCGGAACTTTCGAGACAAAGAACAGTCAGATTCAATGACCCTCAAAGGAGACCACGTGCAGAAAGCGATCCCTTATCCACTTGGACCAAGGTGGACGTTCGAATTTCGGGTGCCATTCTTGATCTAATGGGTTCTGAATCAACAGTTCAGATCAAGACTTCAGCAATCAAAACAGTGTATCGTGAAAACCATGTCAAACTAGTCATAGACGGTGCTGCCATAGAGGGACCGCTTGTTAGGGGCTCCAAGTCTCGAGGAGATATCTATGCCAAAGTCCGCAACATTGAGCTTCACTATTCGAACTCACCAGATGACGACGATCTGGACAGACTTCTATCTCTGATCACACCCTCTAGCGACAAGTATGACCAGGACGACGACATCATGGTCGATACCCTCTTGAGACAACGCCGCAAAGGTGGAGTGTTGCGGTTGACAGTTGGCGATTTACAAGCCGGAGCCGCCGGTCTGCGGTGGGGTTCCCACTTAACAAAGGTCGCCGACGAGATTTCAAAGCTTTCTTCGGTAGCCAAATATCTTCCCGAAGATGACCGTCCAGGTATACTCACCTTCGGTCTCGTCAAGAGGTTGGATTTCCGGTTCGATGTCGACCAAAAGTTTGGACCCGTTAGGGTCAAAGCTGACCTCCTCGAAGGAGCGCATATCAATGTCCCTTCCCTTGCCGCCGCTCAGATTGCTACCTGGACGCTCTCGAGAAGCGATGACGATGTCCTGATCGGCGAAGTGATTTCTCAAAGCAACGCAGTTATGAGCCCTCCAATGTTCATGTGTCGCTTCATCGCCGATGAAATGGAGCCCACAGTTCGAATGAAGCTCTCAAATACTTGCATTGAATACAAAATCCCAACCCTTATGGCCTTGAATTCATTATTGGAGCGGATCAAAGCCGAGGGGACTGTGAGCGGGCAAAGTCCACCCTTACATCCTTCAAGCCCATGCTCCTCAAGTGACAGTGGGGTTAATGGCCTGGCAAGGAAGATACGGTTTTCGCTGGTATTCCGAGATTCTGCTATTGCACTCAACCCAGAGGAGAGCCCTGCGAAGGGTCTTTTCGTCTTAACTGACGCGGTAATTCGGCACGAAAATCAGAAACGCGGATCGCAGGTGAACCTGGACATCAAGAAGGCTTCGCTACTGATAATCAACGACTCGTCGACCATCGGACCTGAATCAGGCAACGTGGATCACAAGCTCTATTTCGAAGAAAATGATCAAGTGCAGCAACTGACCAAGGCCGGATTTGTTCCTGTTGGTTCCATGTCGTCTGCATCCGCCATTGTGAACGTCATTGAAGACAAGGTCAACCAAGAGACTCACCTGGACATTGAATTCCGCAACAACCTCCTCTTTCTCGAGACCTGCGCTGATTCAACCCAAACGATGGTCCAGATCCTCGGAGGCCTGGCCCCCCCGGCCCCCCCCTCGAAAGTCGCTAAATACCGTACTGAGATTGTTCCAATCCAGGACATGCTGGCATCTTTCACAGGCAACGCGTTCGTGTCTGAGGCTGGACCGGACCTCGGGCTTCAAGCTTCGCACAGAACACTCGGCAGAGAATATTCAAAAGATGAAGACGAGGATGGGGATGACGAAGACGAAAATGAGCTCCTGGTCAATATGGACCCTGATGCCGACGACGCCGATGACGAAATGACCGCAAGTCATGTCGAGTCAGATCTGGGTCGATCTACTGTGTCTGAATCGATTCATGTCGCTCCGGTCGATGCCACGGGTTCCGACGCTGGTGACGTGAGCCAAAGCGTAATGATGCATAGCCTCTTGGATTTCAGAACCGATCACTTCGCTCCTAAATCATCAGTGGGGGGGACTGCGCATCGTTGGAATTCGACTCAAAACACATACGGCCTGGCAAGTGATATGGTCTTTGAGCGCTCTCCGGTGAAAGTGCGAATTAGGGATGTTCATATTATCTGGAATCTGTTTGATGGATACGACTGGCAAGGAACCAGGGACACGATATCGCAGGCTGTGAAAGATATTGAGGCGAAAGCCATGGCACGACGTCCCCGAAGCAGCAGTCGAACGCCTGGAGCCGAAGACGAGGATGGGTCTGTCATCGGAGATTTCTTGTTCAATTCCATTTACATCGGAATACCGGCAAACAAAGATCCGCGGGATTTGGCAAACGCGATCAATCACGATATTGACGACATGGTCAGCGAGACTGGTAGCTACGCTACTGGAACTACGCTAACGGCCACGACATCTCGCCGTCTGTCCGGACCGATATCGCGGCAGAAAAAGCTCAAACTCAATCGAAGCAAGCACCACAAGATAGCTTTCGAGCTAGAGGGGGTCTCAGCCGATTTTGTGGCCTTTCCCCCCGGCAGTGGGGAGGTGGAGAGCTCGGTCGACATCCGTGTCAAGAAGCTCGAGATCTTTGATCACATTCCCACATCAACTTGGAAAAAATTTGCGACTTACATGCAAGACGCGGGCGAACGGGAAGTTGGCACCAACATGGTGCATATCGAGCTCCTGAACGTGAGACCCGTCGCAGAGCTCTCTGCCTCGGAGATGGTGCTCAAAGTAACGGTCTTGCCACTGAGGCTGCATGTGGATCAAGATGCGCTGGATTTCATGAGCCGATTCTTTGAGTTCAAAGACCCGAACGCTCCCGGATCGAATGGTCCATCCAATCCGCCATTCCTGCAACGAGTGGAGGTGAATGCTGTTCAAGTGAAGCTCGATTTCAAACCCAAGAGAGTCGATTATGCCGGCCTTCGCTCTGGACGTACCACCGAGTTTATGAACTTCTTCGTTCTTGACCGGGCAGATATGGTTCTTCGCAGAGTCATCTTGTACGGGGTGTCTGGATTTGATCGTCTGGGGATCATGCTCAACAATATCTGGATGCCAGACGTCAAGCGCCATCAGCTTCCGGGTGTCCTTGCTGGACTGGCACCCATTCGGCCTCTGGTCGATGTGAGCAGCGGGGTGCGAGATCTCATTGCCGTGCCCATTCGTGAATATCGTAAGGACGGGAGACTCGTTCGGAGCATCCAGAAAGGGGCGCTGGTGTTTGCTAAGACGACAGCCACCGAGTTGGTCAACCTGGGAGCGAAGATGGCTATTGGAACGCAGCAGGTGCTACAGAACACGGAGGACCTCTTCGTTCCTCGTGAACAATATGACGCGGCCGAGGACGATGATGGGGCTACCAAACAAATTTCCCTCTACGCTGATCAGCCAATCGGAATCAAGCAAGGTTTGAGGACCGCATACGCGAGTCTGGAAAGAGATTTGTTGATTGCGCGGGATGCTATTGTGGCAGTTCCTGGGGAAGTGATGGCGAGTGACAGCGCCAAGGGGGCGGCCAAAGCAATCTTGAGACAGAGCCCGACAATTATTCTACGCCCAGCCATTGGAGCCACGAAGGCCGTTGGGCAGACATTGATGGGCGCGGGCAACATGCTGGACAAACAGAATCTCAGGAGGATCGATGAGGTGAGTTTTCGGCATTCTGCATGTTCCATTGCGATGTTTCGAGTTCTCACTAACTAGCTCATCAGAAATACAAGCGGCATTGATGGGCCTAAAGGACCCCGGATTCAACGGTGCATTATCGACATTTTCAGGTTTGAGAGCTCTGACGCTTGTGACACAGCCACGCATAGGGTCCCAAGGCGTCAAGCTGGAATGGGAATGTGATTGTGCAATTGTGGGCGTTCAGCATGACACAAAAACTGCTTTAGAAGTGCATGGCCAGGAAAGAGAGGACTTTTCAAGGCTTGGGGCCTTTTCGAGCGATGACGAATGAAATGGGACGAACAACACGCGACGACAACTTATATCATGACAGTTGATTCTCTTTAAGGGCCAGACAAACGAGAATGTGCATAGTTTTCAGCATGATGATCCCACGGCATGGTGTTGGTGGATCACACTGGACGGGACAAGGATTGGACAGGAAACCATTCCAAACGCAGAATCGGTTCTGTCACTGCAACTCAGGTGCATCCAATTGAGATTGTCATAAGTACCTGCGTGATATTCCCTCAGGGGAACCACTTGATGAAGTTTATCATGATTTTGGCAAGACTCGTCAGGAATCGCGTGAGCGCACTATCACCTCGATACTTTCTCCAAGAGTCTCTCCACTCTTCTCTCGACCGGTAATGTCAATGTTTGACTTCAATTTCGAACTTTTAAGCCTGAAGGTTGCCTCGTAACAAACGCAATCGAACGATGGATGGCATCAATCGGGCTATGTTTGAGGCAGCTTGCCATGGGGTCCTAGGGAGTGCATCTCACTTGGGCGGTAAAATGTCCGGTATCAGTCAATCGCTGGCACGTTTGTCCTTACTCCCCCAATTCAGATCTCCGTGGGAGGGTTTGGGCGAACCATGAGGCAATCGGGGTCGCGTGGCGTTTGGTAAAGCCGAGGCGTCTGTTCGGCGGGGAGAATTGGCTTTTTGCTGACTCGGGTTAGGTAGTTTGTATCTTGTGGCTGTGCTATTGACAAATGACCACCGACCAACCAAGGCGGATAGACTCAGCCCCCAATCTCGGTTTGCACGTGCCCAATAGGGTACAAGGTTTCACAGCCTCCCGCAAGGCTTCTAGTCTCCTCATCAGCGTTTATTGCTACGAGGCTTAGTGCCCTTGTGCCCTTTGCCGCTCGGTAGTTTCATGTACCTGTATCCGTATGGTGCGTTCCAGGTTATTCAAACACCTTCATATCCCCCTCTACAAAGGGTAGAGGAACTGTGTATCCACAATTATAGCCACGGGGCAGACTCGGGGCGGACTTGGCCTTCAAATCCTGGCTGTGAAGATTGTTATATAAAAGTGGCCTGTTGGTCAATTCCGAAGCTGAAATTCAGAATCCTAAAAGAGAAACAAAGCTACTTTCATACCTCCTTTGTTTGAACCACTACCACAACGTTCGCGGACAAACAAACCCTTCCGACAACTGCCTTCAAAATGGAAAACCCAATCATTTATCGCGACTCTTTCCACTCGCAGTCGTCATCTTCATCCTCATCTAGATTCTCGCGACTGCATCATCATCCCATGGATGTTTTCAGAAGACTAAGTTCTAAGCGACCTTCCGCATCACAGACACAGGCATCAAATTGTCAGTCGCCTACCGACCGGAGCAACATCGATCGCAACAATCCATTTGCCACAACCACCCCCACTCGGAGACCCCGACCAATCGAAGCGATGGGAGCACCTCCGCCATATTCGGCAGCGCCTTTCAATCCAGCAGATCTGGCCACACCCATTCAAGTTTCGGATGATTCGCCATATGTCTTTCTCCGCGAATTTGACACGGTCTTCCTGATTGACGACAGCGGCAGTATGGCCGGTCGCAGCTGGAGAGAGACCTCAGCAGCCATCAGCACCATTGCTCCGATCTGCACAGCTTATGACGCTGACGGAATTGACATCTACTTCTTGAACCACCGCAATCCACATTCACATCTCGGTGGCTACACCAATGTCACCACAACCGAGGCTGTCCAGAATCTCTTCCAGAGCGTGCGTCCACTTGGAGGCACACCGACTGGAACGAGACTGAACCAGCTCCTCAAGCCTTATCTCGCCCAAGTGGCTGAATTGGCGGAGCGACAGGCGCACGGAGAGGAAGCCACGGTCAAGCCATTGAACATCATTGTCATCACCGATGGAGTGCCCAGTGATGATGTTGAGTCGGTGATTGTCAATGCGGCCAGAAAGCTCGATTCCTACGGCGTGGAGTCATGGCAAGTGGGGATTCAGTTCTTTCAGGTCGGCCGGGAGCCTGAAGCCGCAGAAAATCTCAGAGAATTGGATGATGCGTTGTCCAGCACCTACAACATCCGCGACATGGTTGACACTGTCCCATGGACCGGAGACGAGGGACAGAGATTGACGGCGCAGGGATTGCTCAAGGTTTGCCTTGGAAGCGTCGTTCGACGACATGACAGACGATCTGTCTGATTCAACCACGATCATTTGGACATTTTCCACCGGTCCGGGGGAGGTCAAAAAGCATCAGGGGCTGGGAATTGTAACACCGTCACAGAGGATGTTCTTCAGAGGGACCTCCACGAGGAATTCTACTCAACAGTCTTTGTATTACTAGTATCGACATGGAGATTCGACTCTGATACGATAGATACGAACTTGACTATTAGCGAGATACCCCTTACCCAACAAGAAGCCTTAAGGTGGCCTCAGAGAGGCTATGTTGCCTGTCGATGACAATGACAAATACAATTTCTCATGGCCTGAAAACCCTTTGCCTCCATTTTTTCTTTTTGCTCATCTGACTTTCTGGATCTTATTTCCATTGTCCTTTTGTCTGTGGCTATTATTTCATCATTGAGAAATTGAGCAGTATTATGATGTCAGGTTTGGGCAGCGCGGTCCACGTGATCGGGTGAGGGAGCGATTGCTGCGGAAGTTCCGGGTGGCAAGCCTTCAGGGACTGAGAAAATCACCGTCCAGATTGAGACCACGTGGTCAGGTCCAGGCAAATCAGGGTTGAGATTCCAGACACGGACATGACCCTTTTGGGTCTCGTTGTCAGTGGCTGATTATGGGTAAATTGAGGGCGGTCGGGAGGAGGGTTGGCGGTCAAAACGCGAAAAGGTAGGCTAGAGGAGGATGAGCCTGTCTTCTCCCATTTCCCCTTTTTGAATATCTTTTCCTCTTTTCTTTGCAGATGTTCGAGATATTCTTGTAGTATGACGACAAGACAAGTCGCGTCGGTTGGCATGCCGGCAGTCAATCATGTTCAGCTGAGCCGCAGACAAAAAAAGGTTGACGAAATGGGGGCTGGGAAACACTAATATTCCGGGGTCCGACCGCCTAAACCGTGTGAGGGAAGACGCCAGGAGAGACGTGCCAATCACCCACCAAAATCCCGAGTCCCAAATTGGATCTGGGGATCAAATCCCTGTTTTTGTAGCTTTCGTTGGACATTTCAACCTTGAATCCCCGATTCAAGGCGGCATCTTTCTCCTTTCTTCCTCTCCGTCGCTGGCCACTAACTTGATTTGTCTAGCTACGTGCGACTATTACAGAAAGCCTGTCGCCCTTTTCTGGTCTTCCCATCCTCGCTTCCAGCAATATGGATCCCTCCAGAGCCCAAGCTACCAGTTCACTCTCCTGCATTTCCTTCGCTTGTCCCAATCTTTCTCGACCCGATCGATTTCCGATCGGCAATGGACCCTCAAGGACTGGGGACACTAGGCATTCTAGGGAAGAGGGCTAATGATTTGACGCCTTCGCTTGATGCACTCTCGGATGGCTTGACGCGGTCCTCACGATAGTCACCTTATCGGACCCTTTCTTTTACCTCTTGTTTCTTTTCAGCTGGCGACGAGGAGAAAAGTCGAGAGTCAAGAGCGCAGCATGAGGCCTACAGGAGCTAAACTGCGGGATGACGGAGTTACAGCCAGCATTCGTTTGAAGACATGTTCCATCTGCCCTTTGGACGCACACCCTCTCCCCTCGTCCTTCCCATAAATCGATCTCGACCTGCAATCTCGCTCCCTCTCCTGTTCACCTTTCTCGCATCATCCAGTCGCGAGTTCTCCTGTTTTGTCTCTGCATCGTCCATTATCAGTGGTCGACACTTCCTCACCACCGCTCCAGTAGGCGCCCGCCCCCGAATCCTTCTTCCCCCCCTTACAATCACCATCATCGAGCGCCTAACAAAACTTCGCCTTGGGACTTCAACCAATCCTCAAACAGGCGCGCACTCGCCTCAAAATATCCCCGAAGAGCTCCTTTCCTAAACTGCCCGTCCATCAGTTTCATCTTTCCCAAACCGGATCTCCGTGGGCCCGACCATGCTGCCATCACTGACGCTGCCGCACTCCATGATTTGAGGCCAGAACTCAGTTTCAGCAAGGGCGCAGAAATAGCATCCAATCTGTACCCTTTGGGCAAGGCCTGAGTGCGTGGCGTCATTTTCTGGGGCCAGTCTCGACTATATTTTTTTCTTGCCACGCACTTCATCCACCATACTCAACTACAAGACTGTTTTTGACGGCTCGGTGGCCTGGTGCCTCTTTGCTCATAACATTGTCTTTCTCTTGTCGATTGCTTTGTGCCTGTGTTGGCCGTTGTTTGATCCTTGATCACAGGATTACTGCCGGACAGGAAGCCTTGAAAGAAGGAGGGAAAAAAAAAAAAGGAAGGCGGGAAAAACCTTTAGAGGATTCTTTTACTGAATTCAAACCTCTTGTCAAGTTTTATTGGACGCCTTTCCTTATCTGATACTCCACAAAATGGCTCCGACAACACTCATCACTTTTCTCGTGTACGTTGCTCTCTCCCGTCGTTCTGGGAAACCTGCTAAATCATTCAACAGTCGCACTCCTCCCTCCACCCGATCCGTCAGCCTTCATGGTTCCTGGGACAACTTCTCCACCCCGTACCCCATGCAACGGGATTCTCGCACAGGCCCTGAGCATTGGTCAGGCTGCCATAGCTTTTCCAACATCATATGCGATGGCGACCTGCAACCGAATGGCGTTCCCAGGGAAGGAGGACTCAAAATGGGCGGTACTTATTGGTACTATGTATGAATGCCAGGTTCCCTCAAGTGTCAACCACTTCTCAGCTCACCATTCTTTGGCAGTACAAGCTTGACGACGAAATCGAATTTCACAATTCGGCAGAACCCTCAACGACGTCTTGTCCTCTTCTACCTGGTCAGCTCGTCAACGTTTTGAACGTACCCTTCGCCCTCAGCACTAGTCGTCCTCGAAATGACAGTGTCAGCTCTACCGGCTCCGAGTACCGTACCATGAATCCCACCGACAAATTCCTCAATCCTCGTCCTGTCCCAGCAAAGCCGTCATTGCCCCGTCTAAAGACCTCGCCAACTTTCCCACAACAATCGTGGTCATCATCTAGCTCTCCCGTCAGTGCTTCGTCGAGACAAGGGAGATCGACCACCTCCCGGGGCCCATCTCAGCCGGGCAGTGCCAATACCTTCCGGGTCATCCGACTCACCAAGAAGCCGTCTGTGGAGGGACCGAGCAGGTCGACTTCCAGAGGGAGTAACAGGTCGGTTGGTATTATGAGCGCCTTTCGAGCTCTGGCATCTCCGCGGATGGCCAGTCCTGAGGCTGGTGTCGATCGTGGACGCGCCGCCACGGTGGACGAAAACCCACCAGTTCCTCTCTCTCGAGCTCCTTCCGGACGCAGCATCACGCCCAAAAGGTCTGGCCTCGGACAGATGTCTCCCGTTGCCGAAATTGCTCCCACTGCAGCCTCCGGGCCAAATCGAGAACTTGCTCTACGCCGAGAATTTGACCAAACGGCGGACGGCGTGGCTGCTCTGACGATGTCCTCATTTGGACAACATCGAAGACAAGGATCGCTCTCACGAGAACCATCAACACTGCGTAACTCTCTATCATTAGAAGGAGACTCTGAACAGGCATCACTTGATCAGCCCAACGTCCACTATCACCCGCTCGAGACGTTGAAAGAAGTTTTGTCCGCCTCGAACACCCCTGTTTGGCCGGTTACGGCAATGAGAGTAGAAGAGGGCGATTCCGTCGACGAGAAGCAGATACCTCTCGATCTGGAAAAGCGATTACCGACTTTACCCAATACACCATCGTCTGCATATCCTCCGAGCAATGTGGATGAATCTCCATCAAACCGTCTTTCTGACGACATTGAACACCTCCAAAGTCGCTTTTCGAGCACGACTATCGAAACCGAATCCCACACGGACAGCTACATTCCCCATGAACGAAGCCACTTTTCCGACTGGACATATGATACTGCCAAACTTTCTCCTCAGTCGGAATATGACCCGAGTATCATTGATTTTGAACCCATGAGTCCAGCAGCAGAGGACGAATTTGAATTCCGAGATATCCATCCTATCGATGTTACCAGTGAAGGCGATCATCGAATTGATCTCGAGACCAAGAGATACTCAGCAGCCAAGCAGGATGGATTACCCTCTGCTTCCAGTTTCTCGACCGTCAGCTCGGTGGCTTCCTCGGCCACCCCCAGTTCTCATGTGGATCTAGATGGTGCCAAAGAGGCCGAGTTCGCATGGAGCAAATTCCAACATTACAGCTTACCCACCGAAGATGTTGGATCTGGAGTTACCCTCAAGAGAGCATCTACGACCGAGAAAGTAGCGCCCTTGGTCGTGGATGAGCATCATCGCCCTGGAACTTTCCAGCCTCAGTTGACCTTTGATGGACCTGCTATTCCTCACTCAACCAGTATGCAACAGCTTCTCGATGAACTGAGTTATCTCGGTGGCATGATCCAACAGAATTAGTGATTTTCGATTGAACGGTTTCACCACCAATTTTGCGATCCAAACGTATCCTGATAAATCGGGCAGACCGCTTGGTCCAGCACTTTTCTTTGTCTATGTTTCGAGACAGACATGTTTTTCGGTCAGTCGATTTCGATATCCTACCATCAAGGATGATCAGATGTCGACATCAAAGCTTCCACAGCGTGTATGAAAGGGGAGAGATCTTTGGTTGGCATGTTGGGAACAAACTGGAAGAATGAAACAGAAGATCAGGGAACAGGGTTTAAGACGAAACAGATTTGCTCTTGAAGAGTTTGTAAATGGAAACAAGGAGACTGGCGGAGAGAACGCCTCAGTGGAAAGGGGCCGGACAGGGATTCTGGGACGTGAAAACTCCTGGTGATGAACACCAACATAGACATTGACGGATATACCTAGCCTCAGTAATCACTAATGACGAAGGAAAGCGTTAGCTTTTAAATTCCGATCCCCCTACACGTGACCCTGTGGGCGAAAAATAAGTCACGTGACTGAAAATGTCCTCCCCCCGACAGGCATTGCAGCATTCAATATCGTGGGCAAGACCCTGCATAGTCTCTTACGGCTCCCGGTCAAGATGAAAGCTACGCTTTTCCCCCGCGGAATATCCTGTCCGCGGCCCCTAGTTTTCTAAGTGAAAGTTGCACATAACCCTCGAAGTCTACCTTGTCACATGATTACGCTAAACCACGTTGGGTGAGCGAACAATATCTTGTAAATAGACACAATAACTTGAGGTCAAATTCCGTTGTCATTTCAACTGTGCCTCTGCAGAGACCTTCCTGGCCAATCCCTTGAACACTCTCTCTGAGCGGAAGGAGGTGAGGTCCAACGGCACGAAACCATGCACCAAATCGCCTCACGCTCGCTTCCGGAACCATGTCAACCCCAGCATCTCGCGTATTGTCCGACCATGGACCTGATTGCAACAGTCTCGGAAAAAGACACCGTTGACTTGTGGAGGTTAAATGGACAACGAGTTTTAGGAGCAAGTTTTGTGCGAGAGAACACGGACATGGAAGGTGCTCAGATGGGTGGCGGATTTGTCAAGGCATTGGCATGGAGGAGGGATGGTGAGTCTTTCATATCTAGTCTGATATTGCTTTATCTACACAGTAGGGTGGGGGAAAAATCAGAAGGCTGACTTCGGAGATGTACAAAACTAGGTCAAATTCTTGCCGTCGCGTGTGCAGACGGGACAGTTTCTCTGATCAACACTTTCACAGGCAAGACTGCGCATCGCTTATCTACGCATCTACCAGCCTCTGCGAGTGCGAGTGCGGGTTCGAGTTTTGCTTCGTCGCAGTCGCGTTCACCAATGCGAAGCTCTAAAAGGCCAAAATGGGCGGCTCAGTCATCTTCTCTTCAAGCTCCACCTTCAACCGTCTCGACGATATCATGGACAACGCACTTCGCGTTCCCGGCCGCCTCGGCGATTCGCTCACGTCTCGATGCCCCAGATTCAAAGATCTCACTCGACCATATTCTTGGGCTCAGAGCCGACGTGGACAAGCTCCTTCAACTCAAAGTCGATCTTCCGCGCGAGCTCACCGGGATCGATGTCGAAATCTCATTGCCGAGATTGGCGACTCTGCCCCCCCGTGGGGTGGGGGTTGATGATGACGTTTTTAGTTCGAGGGGTAGCGTTGATGCCGTGTTTCATGGTGCCGGGTCGACGGGGTCCGCTGGAGGCCCGGGTGCAGGAGGCGTGGATGCTCTCTTGGTAGGGCTGCAGAGTGATGGTGACGACGATGTAGGTGGATGTGGGGTGCACTTGAGGATTTTTGATTCTTTTGAAATCGGGGCCGTGGACTTGAGTGGGTGTTTGCCTCCTGGGTTCCAAAGTGTCAGGGTGCTGAGGATAGAAAGCCATCCTTTGCTCTCGACGGTATTTCTGATCGTCGAGCAATCGCGGCAAGACCAGGGCGGGTCTTCTTCACAACATCTTCTCAGCTTGGATCTGAGTTTCATCCCTCAGACGAGCCGAAACTTGCCTCTTGGTGCGCGAAAGGCTACTCAGCTGGGCAATCTTATACGGTATATCTCGCAGGTGCAGACACAGTTGGCGTCCGAAGTCAAAGCCGCCTTCGATCTGCCCGCCAAGTTCCTCCGCAATATCAACGAGTCCCTCGCTGAAGAGGACGAAAATGCAGATTTTGTCTACGCGGCCCACCACCTCGCTGTCACGGGCGACTGCGACCCCAGGCTTAAGGAGTGGTTGGTTGACGAGGTTGGGGAGCGAGGACTCAAGAGATGGGAGAAAACCGTGGGAGACTGTCTGGATGTGGTTCGCAGAATGACGGGTGAATGTCTCCTTCCCGCGCTGGAGAGGTGTCTGGTTGTTTTGTCTCGACTCGGTGGACTCGCCAGATTCGGGGTGACAAGTTCAAGATTGGGACTGGATGAAAAACGTGTCAGTGGAGTCAGGGAGACGGTCGACGCGTTGGGAATTCTGGGGGAGGATTTACTCATCGATGTTGGCGTCGAGATCAAGGAGTTCACCGCATTTATCAAGTGGTTGAAGTGGGAGTGCGAAGTCGAGGCCCTTGAGGAAGGAAGTGAGAAAGCAGAGGAGCTGAGGGAGTCATGGACGGGAGAAGGGGAGTTGAGGACGGTGCTCGACTATGTGGGTGGTGCAATGAAGGAGACTCGACTGAAAAGATATATTGGAGATGGATCAGCTACGGGCCCCGATAAAGATGCCGACGTGGGATTCTACGCCGACTTCACGACACGACGAGCCAATGGAAATAAAGACAAAAGAATGCCGACTTTGGGTGAATTGGTCGAGAGAATGCAGAAGCAATGTGACGCCGTCTTTGCACAAATCGCGGAGAACTTCAGAAAGAGTATCCTCGCCACATATGTGTCGCAGTTGCCAGGGAGCGGTGGAGGGAATCTGGATGTTCGAATTATTCCCGATGAGAACGATGTCAATCTGTACCGTCTCTTTACTCTGTCAAAGGATCAACGAGAAAAAGGCGCTCTTCGACAGGCATGGGTCACGTTACGGCAGGATGGTGGAAAGAGCCTCAAGTTTACGACGAGTGGGAGTATCACACCAAAGATTGATGACGTGGAAGAGATCCTGGATGCCAAGTTTGTCGACGACACGGTGTTTCTCCTTCTCGCTGCCACGACGAAAGCTGATGTGAGGATATACTCGTACATCGTAACAACGGAGATCGAAGATCAGGTTTGGGATCTTCGGCATATCTTCGAGGAAGGGAGGATGGACGCCGGAATGAAGCCAGCCAGGCTGGATGTAAACGGACGGGTTGGAAGGAGAGTGGTCACTGTGGTTGATGACGCTGGCATGGGGTATGTTGTGCTGGATTTGGATGCTGATGTGGATGTCGATGGTGGGGACGAAGTTATGACTGGTTAAATCTGCAGCGCCTTTCATTCGTAGGCAATCGAAAAAGGATTCGGTAACCAAGGGCGTCAATATTGGAGGCCGAGGGTCGATGTTGTCCGACCAGGAGGGCAGCGCAGATCATGACCAGATCGGCTGCACGGGTTGTGGTCGTTTCATGAGATCTGCAGCGCACTGTACCCTTGCTATGAGGAAGGCCGTTACAAAGATGAGGCTCTGGAGGGGAAGAGGCAGTCGAGTGAGGGCACAGACCACCAAATGCAAAACGCAGTTCACGGGTCAAGCCTGGCGGTGATAGCGACACGTGACTCCCCCGTCACTGGGCGGCAGCCTGCTGAGCAGTCGCAGCTTAGTGACAGCTTAGGGAGTTAGGACGAGGGGGAGAGGCGCATCTATAGGTACGGAGGATACATACAAAAGGTCAAGACTCGCGATAAACCAACCGCACAACTCATTTCCACCTGCGACCCGCTGGTTGGCAAAGTCGTCAAGTCGAGGGCCGCGCCCACCTTCTGCACAACACCATAACCAACTCGCGGGTTTCCTTACTTGTCTCTCACACTATTGTGTACCTAACAAGGTACCGCATCCTGTGCCAGCCCTACACACAATCTCAACCGCCAAAGGCCTTCTCACCCATTCTTCCATCCTCACCACCGTCCTCTCTGTCACACACCACTCCATTATCCGCAGGTCGTTCTTTCCTTGACTCCAGACCTGTGCTACTTTCACACTTCTTCCTATATAGATCCACCCGGGTTTTTTTTTTTTTTTTTCTTTTTTTTGGTTTTAATTTTGGCACGCCGTGCAAAGGTGCAGCCTGCAAGACCCATTTTGAGATCCCTTTCACTCTTCTAGACCGCTGCTCAGTTCAGCAAGCATGGATGTTAAATCGGTCTTGGAGAATACGTTCTCTCCGGGTAAAAGCACTTCCTTTGCTCCTACAAATCCTTCCATCTATTGACTGTCAACAGACGCAACAATCCGGGGCAATGCCGAAGAACAACTCAGACAAGCCCGCGAGGGAAACTTTGTACGGCCACATTGTCCCCCGTGTAAACATGGCCCAAATCACTGACGACTCCTCCTTCTAGTCCGAGTACCTTTCCATCCTGTCCCGAGAACTCGCAAATGACCAGGCCAGCGGTCCAGTCCGTCAGGCTGCTGGGTTGGCCCTCAAGAACGCCTTCACCTATCGTGACATCACCCGATTAAGAGAAGTCCAGGCCAGATGGCTACAAGGGGTGGATCCTCACATCAAGCGCCAGGTCAAGGAGTTGGCCATCAAGACTTTGAATTCTACCGCTCAAGCCGCCAGTTCCGCCGCTCAGCTCATTGCGGCCATCGCTGCGATCGAACTCCCGCGCAATGAATGGCCTGATTTGCTACCTGCTCTCGTCCACAACGTTGGTTCCGGAGAAGACAAACTCAAGCAGTCCAGCCTTACGGCGATTGGCTTTATTTGCGAATCAGACGACGTGGAACTTCGCGAATCTCTGGTCGGATATTCGAACGCCATTCTTACGGCCGTGGTTCAGGGTGCAAGAAAAGAGGAGGCCAATCAGGATGTTCGGCTGTCTGCACTTTCCGCCCTCAGCGATGCCACCGAGTTTATTCGGACCAATTTTGACAACGAGGGCGAGAGAAATTACATCATGCAGGTCGTGTGTGAGGCGACCCAGTCCCAGGATACTCGAGTCCAAGCTGCCGCCTTTGGATGTCTGAATCGGATCATGGGAATATACTACGACAAGATGAGATTCTACATGGAGAAAGCATTGTTCGGCTTGACCATTGCTGGCATGAAGAACGACGAAGAAGATGTTGCAAAATTGGCCATCGAATTCTGGTGTACGGTCTGCGAAGAGGAAATCAGCATCGAAGACGATAACCAACAAGCCCAACAAGAAGGATCCACCGAGTTAAGGCCCTATTTTCACTTTGCTCGAGTCGCAGCTCGAGAGGTCGTTCCGGTTCTTCTTCAATTGATGACCAAGGTTTCCGAAGATGATGCCGATGACGAGTACAATGTTGCGCGCGCCGCTTATCAATGTCTTCAACTCTATGCGCAGACCATTGGGAATGATTTGGTTCCAGCGGTTCTTCAATTTGTCGACACCAATCTACGAAGTGACGATTGGACAAAGCGAGATGCCGCCGTATCTTCATTTGGCGCGATCATGGATGGTCCGGATATCAAGACCCTCGATCCCCTCGTCAAGCAAGCTCTGCCCGTCTTGATCGGTATGATGCAAGATCTGGTTGTCCAAGTACAAGATTCTGCCGCCTTTGCTCTCAGCCGAATCTGCGATTATTGCTCCGACTGTATCGATCCATCGACGCACCTTCCACCACTCATGTCTGCTCTTTTCGGTGGGCTCATGGCCAATCCCAAGATTGCTTCATCGTGCTGCTTGGCTCTCTTGAACCTGACTGAACGATTTGTGGGCGAGGACGGGGCGTCAGTAAATCAGCTCACACCACATTTCCAAGACAGTGTCACCTCTCTACTCACCGTCACCGAGAAAGAGGGTGCCAACGATCAACTACGTACGGCCGCTTATGAAGTTCTCGGTGGTTTTGTGACCAATGCCGCTCATGACAGCTTACAGATCGTCGCGGAACTATCCAACGTCATTATGCAGCGTCTTGAGAGCACCATTCCCATGCAGAAGCAGATTGTCAGCATTGACGACAAAATCACTCTTGAGGAATTGCAAGTCAGCCTAAGCAGCGTTTTGCTTGCTATTGTCCAGAGACTGGAACAAAATATCGCTCCTCAAGCCGACCGGGTCATGCAGATCAGTTTGGAAATCCTCAACGTCACGGGCAATACCAGTGTTCCGGAGGTCATTTTCCAGATTGTCAGTGGATTGGCAAATGCATTGGCCGGAGATTTCCTCAAGTACATGGATTCATTTGTCCCTTATCTCTACAATGCTCTGGGCAATCAAGATGTTCCAGACATGTGCTCCTTGGCTATTGGCCTTGTCAGTGACATTGTCCGTGCATTAGAAGACAAGGCTCAACCTTATTGCGATACGTTCATGAACTATCTGCTCAACAATCTTAGGGTATGTGTGTTCCTGATCCGTCTTGGGACACGCTGACATGTAAATGCAGTCTGACAAACTCCCCAATCAACTCAAACCCCCGATCCTAGAAACATTTGGTGATGTTGCCACTAGCATTGGTGAACACTTCGACAAATATGTTTCCGTGGTGGCTCAAGTTCTTCAGCAAGCCAACAATGTCTCTGTTGCCAATGACGTCTCATTTGACATGCTAGACTACATTGTGTCTTTACGATCAGGAATTGCTGATGCCTGGTCCGGTTTGATTCTAGCTTTCAAAGGCACCCCGAAAGGTGCGTTTTGCGTCCCCAGTCATTTTTTTCTCTTTCTGACCAAAGACAGCTCCTCTTTTACAGAATTACGTTCAACCAATTTTCGAATTCCTGCAGACTGTTTCGCAAGACATGAACCACAATGAAGGCCTCCTTAGAGCTTGCATGGGAATTATTGCGTCAGTTAAGCCCTCGGTGCCGCTTTCGGCTCTTTACTGACGTGGGCAGTGACCTGAGCGAAACTTTCCCCGATGGATCCTTGGCAAATTATTACCGACAAGAATGGGTGACAAAACTTATCAAAGAAACTCGGACTGCTCGCGATTTCTCTCCACGAACGACGAACGCAGCACGTTGGGCAAGAGAACAAGTCAAACGACAAACCCAACATCAAGGTTCTATCATGAATGCCTCATAACCTTGATGACGACAACATCGTTATCCCTAATATGGTTATCCACTTCCCCGGCATCATCACCGCCGCCCTGTAATATCCTTGCCCAACACAGCCCAGCCCCAGCACCAGCACCAGCCTAGCACAGCACCTAAACCCCTGTCAGAGCGCTGATCACCGTGAGTAAAGGTCATTTCTCATCACAGGCTAGTACTCTTGTGGTACGATCGGGTAGTGATGATGAATCAAACCTATTACGAAACGGAGAGAATGGTCACGTGGACAAGCTCAACATTCCGACAATCATCCAGCCTTCGAATACCCTGTACAATTTTTTCTCTCTTCCACGAGGCGTCAAGTTCGATTATTTCGCTCATGGATTTTCACTCACGTCTGATGGGCGATGGTTTGCCAATCGATCTTCAACTATTTCCAGACCACTTTCGAGCTCGGAACCTCTCTTCCAGTCGACTTGGACACGGGTATGATGCGGACATCGATTCCCCCCGGTTCTGAGATCCTGCCTTCAACCAGCACCAGTACTCAGTACCAGACAAGCCAGAAGTATGAGCCAATAGGCATGAAGTGGCTTAGGAAGTGGCTCACGATTGAGGAGAACTCAGACGCAGAGCCAAATGGGACAATTCTTCAAGACACGGTCATCTGGATGATTAGAATGGTTCGGAAATACACAGAAAGCACGATGATAGCCCCCTGGACCCCTTTCTTCCCTATTTCCCCTGATTTCCCCTTCTTCCGCCGTTCCCCTGCATCCCCTTACCCCCCTTCGTGTTCCCCGGATATGGTTCTTCACTATGGGCGTGCAGGGTCTGAAAAAGGAAGTGACAGTGACGTTCGATCTGGCGAGACAAACGAAAAGGACATGCTCAACCTCGTTTGGCTGGACATGATCATGTTGGAGCGGAGGATTGTTTGTCTGCTCAATCGACCAGTTCTGGAAGATGAATTTTAGCCCTACTAGTATCCATCTTCAACCTTATGTACTAGCTCAGGCCTCCGTCACTACTATAGTCGCTGTACACATGCCCATCCTATGATAAGTACTCCGGATCTCAGACCTTCAAATTTCGATGCCACATGAACTCGAATACCAGGGTGACGTGATGGAAATCTGTCCCTTCAATCTTGTTGCTGACAAGGTTGAATCCCAAAGAGAAAGAGACGTTTGTGTCTGCCATCCTTGAGACGACAGCCCTGCTCACTTATCACCTCGCACCCGATTGACTTATCGGATGTCTCTTCAAGGAGCGTCTTCAAGTAAGAAATGACTGATATTTTCCACATAGCGAATTGGTCGGCCGCCTTGAAGACTGGGACAGAGTGCTTCGCGAACAAGGTTCGGTCCTGAGTCTCTTCGAGCGCACAGCTGCGACATCCTCCGCGTTTCCGTGCACAGTCTTAAAGGAGCCCGTGACGATGCTCTTGGGAAAAGCTATCATATTGTGACATCCGGGCTCCGAAAACTGCTTCGGGGAGGCGTGGAAGAACGCCTCATCAATGTTGCTGCGTTCAAATCCCTGAGCAAGCTTCATCAGACCGACAATTGCCACTCCTGCATTGCGTGGCTCTACTATTTGATCCCGGGTGTCAAGAAAACTGTCTTCGGGCGCCAGAACACCCCTGTCAACTTCTTATGCGGTTGGGCTGCTCGCCACGGCGTCCACTGGGTCGTCAGCTTGATTGGCGTGGTCGTGCCCTTCCAAAGCATTTTCGTCCACCTCCCGCTCTCGTACACAAGGGATGTTGCGTCGCTGTTCGCCTTAAATAATTTGTGTCTTCCACTCTTTGCCGTGGCGGGAAGGTTTTACCTTTGGAAATATGGTCAGCGGTCGTGGTCCGGAAGGTACTTTTGCCTGGAAATGGGAGTAGAAATAAAAAAATCTCCCGGTAGGTAGATTTGAGGTTCAAAGTCGGTCTGAGATGGGTAGTCCTGCTTACTGGAATACAGAAGGGTTTTCGGGAGCAGGATCACGATTGACAAGTAGTATCTTGCCCCGAGTAGTGACCTGTTTATGTACCGTTATTCAACCATACTATTTGTCTTCCGCCTTTTCCTTGAGACAGGCAAAGCAGTCTCGTTGCCGTTTCCATTTACAGTGTTGTCTTCAGCTTCAATTTCAGAATTCGGCGTCTCATTGGCGCCGGCTGCATCGATGGGTTCTTTTTTGGCACACATTTCTCGCTCTTGCTTCTTCGCCTGCTCCCATTCGTCTAATTTCTGTTTTCTCCGCCTGTTCATCTTTTCTGTCCTCTTGCGTGCGTTGTCCTCCTCAAGAGCAGCTGCAATCTCTAACCTCTCCTTTTCGCGTTTCTCTTCAGCAATCTCGAACATTTTCGTGATCGCTGGGAAGATCTTCTTCATCGACTGGATCTGTGACACCTTGATGCGCATCAAGTCGAAGGCGAATCCGATACTGAGATTACGGGCTGATTCGGGCTCGATCCAAGTTGAAGAACCAGATGCCGGAGGAGTCTTGTTCGATTCAAAACCTCCACTCACATTTCCGGTAGCCATCTCACCGTCAACATCATCGATGAGGTCTTCTTCGGAGGTTCGATCCGGTAATTTAATATTCCTGATGACTGGTATCTTTTGATACCGTTGGCTGAAGTGCGTCAGAATGAGATTCTTCGCTCTCATTTCCAGTGCAACACCAACAGCTTCGCCTGTTGTACAGTGCTTTTTCGCCATAGCATCACCCTCCATGCCGTCATCAAACGTAGCTTCGTGCACAAGAACATCAGAATCCGCCCCGATTTGGCAGAATGTTTCGCTCGGACGACAGTCGCCGCTGTAGGAAAATTTGAAACCACTGGAAAACGTGACTGAGATGGCTTGTGATCCATGACAATGGTTGACTCGGACGGTTTTTAGTTCCGTGATGGGAATATCAGTCTGTGTGAAATCAAACTTTTCACCACGCACTGTCATCCCTTCGATCCAATGGCAGGCGACAGGGGTGCATAGAGATTCGGTCGGGATATCGAGAACCGATTGGTATTCGTCCATATAATCCATCATGTTGATCTCAGAGATTAGGCACGGCGGGGATGGACATAGCTTGCCGGCCTTTGCAAGTCTTCTCCGAGCTTCAAACGCGGCCCGAAGGACAGATATTGTACCCAAATGATGGTCTGCGTGGAGATGAGATATCCAAATTATCTTGAGATTGGCCAATATCTGATCCAATTGCTCACCAGAATATAAGCATTTCAATTGACCCATTGTCCCTTCTCCACAGTCAAAAAGATAGTTTCCCATCTCATTTGGCATCCGGAGAAGGACGGCAGAAACATTGCGATACTTTGACGGTGCCGAAGAACCGGTTCCCAAAGTGATAATTTCTGGTTCGTCCAAGTCCAGACTTGATGTTGTAGTTAGAATGTCTTTGCAGAATGGCGACGTGTCATCTGGTAAACTCTCTCGGACTGCCGGTTCCATGGTTGTCTCAGCTTTGTTGGGATCGAGGTTCGCAGGGACTTCCCGATCATCGATAACGAGGTCGGGCACAATTTGGATTTTGAGCCCTCTCTGAGCCGGCACAACGTCAATCTCATTTTCAGATACATTGAGTAACTGATGGAGATTGGATGTCGTCGTGGCTATCGAACAAGGGTGATGATCGTTGGCTCCGGTGTATCGAGGTACAGAAAAGAACTCTGGTGCGATGTTGGATAATCGCATACATGACAACGCGCTGGAGTCGTGCGTGATATAGTCGTCGCAAAGGCTCGGGTCTGAAATAACGTGTTTCATGTGCTTGAATTTCTGCAGTAGCCGCTGGAAGCGTGGACTCTGTAAAACGGTGCCGCGAGTCATCCAAACTGCGGAATCCACCCCTTCGAAAAGCCCCTCATTTTGGTTCTCAATTTGCTGCTCAAGATCTTCGAGGTAGCCGACGGAGGGAATATCAAAAATAGCCATTCCTTTCCCAGGTCTTGTTGGTTCAAGAACCATCTCGGGAGTTATCGTGGCTCCATCATCGGTCTCAACACTATTGCCCGCCGTTAGTTCCCTGAATTTGGGTCCAGGTTTTAGACCCAGGCTAGTTGCTTTTTTCGGGTTAAATGCTCCACGTTGGGCATGGCCTTTGGCAATGTACGACATGGCCACTCTCCCTGGAAGGTAAGATGCTTGGGGGAGCTCTTCAACAGTAGAAGCAGGCCAGGGATTTCGAACCAAGATGTCACTTTCTGGAGTCAAAGGGTTGATATTATTTATGTCGAAAACCGTGTGGGATGTCAAGGTTTTCGTCTCTGGATTCCTCACCCATACCACGGCCGGTAGCCTGATGTCCTTGAGCTTGGATTCAACAAGTCGATCTACTTTCCAACCAGAGTCGAACATGTCATTGACGATAGCTCTCCGCAAATCTTGATCTGCTTTCTCCTGTGACTGATTGACGGGATTCTTTTGTGATTCGGTTTCTAGGTCGGAATCCAAGCCATCATCATTCTCAAGATCCATTGAAACGGAAGAGGAAGGAGCGGCGTTATGCACAGCAATTGCCCATACTCGGATGTTTTCATCCGCAAAGATCGGTTCGGGGTCGATGCTTCTAATCCTGGTATCATACTCGTACACTGACAGCGGCATCCCTGTGCGGAAGACAAACCTTCGAGCACAAGCTAGTGAATGAAGTTGTTTTGGACCTCCATATATTCGGAGTCTTGGACGTCTTGTGGAACTTTCAGCCTCAACTTCACCGTGCTGTACATCGGCCAAAGTGAGGATCAAGCCAATCAAGCCAGCATTGTTCCAGGTCGTCTTCCCTAACAGGAAGAGACCTCGAACTTTCCGCAGCCCAATTCCACGTTGTATGCAAGCCCTCTGAGTTCCTTCAGTTATCTCTCCGAAAACGTATCTTTTTGTCTCAAAGTTCAGCATTAAACTGGTCCCGGGGGTATCTGATGTCGGTGTGGTTATAAACTGGAAATGGAATTTCGTTTTTATGCCAACGGAGTTGATACCATCGCTCGTAGCCTTCATCTTCAAAAGCGCTACCAGTTCCCTAGGTAGCTTCTTGAACACCTGTCGCACCAGCTCTAATTTTCCTCGGACTTGAATTTGAGGCGTTTGGCGCAAGTCCACGGGCAAGCGGCGCGTCGTCAAGTTGGGACGTACGTCGGCTGCGTTGTTGCTAATGGTATGGAGTGATTTCTTCTGTATGCCACGGCCTCTTGCCTCCCATGGTAACTTTTTTAATCCAAGATGACAATCTTGATATTCCACGCCTCGTCTTCTTTTAAAACTTTCCGTATCAGATTGCAGGAGTAGAGATTTTGGTCCTCGGTCTCCTCGGCACAATAAAAGAGATCCAGAGAGATAGAAAGCACTCGCAGGAAGGGAATATGTGCTGACGGATGGCGCAACAGACAATACCTGTCGAGGGACGAGGGAATAGGTAGCGGGAGCCAGGGCGACCGTTTTCAGAGGAACTGGCAGGTCGAAGGTGGCATGGTATAATTGGAAAAATGTCGCAAGCGGAAGTGGAGCGGTTAGAACATGAGTCAACGATCGCGAAAAGAAGGATCAACGAAGTGAGTGACTGGACGTGTGGCCAGGTCTTGAGAAGTGTGAGTCCGCTCTGGTTTAGCAAAAAAGTTGGGATTGTTGCGTCACGCGTCTTCGGCGGAGCAGAGTCGCGATGTTTTTCTTTTTAGGATACCTTTTTCCAAAATACTATTGCGAGGGAAAACTCCTTGATCTCACTGGGATAGGCGGAAAAGCAAATCTCACAGAACACGCGTGGGCGAAAATAGAATTCGCACTAGCATAGGAAGAGAGGATTATCCAAGAATTCTAAAAGTTGAATTTCAAAACTCTGCTACTGTCCGTTTTAGACCAACTTAGGAACCCAAAAAGAAAACCATGGACAAGCCACCACAACCAATAACCTCATTGAGACTGAGCAATCATAGATCCCTCCTATTTATCGCATGGTTCCAAAATGGCTCGATTCCTGTGGAGAAAACTGAGCGAGCCTCTTGCAAAGTTCATCTAACTCAGAGCACATTTTCTCCAACCGAGTCATTCTCTCTTCATTCGAGAGCTCTTCATTTTTGGCGGCACCTTTCGAGCCGACCAGAGATGAAGATTCTTCACAGACAGGAGCAGGAGCATCAAAGTACAATGCAAAAGCGCCACGGTCTAAAGAGACTGATTCGTCAACTTGCGGCACATTCGGCTCGTCTTGGGTGTTCGCGAACTCATTTGCAACCTCTGGAAGTCGTGGAGTATCTTTAGATGACGAGGAAGCGCTCGAGTTAGATTTGGATTTTCCAGACAGACTCTCAAGGTCGAGGATAGGAGGTTCTGGGAGTTCGGTGACCGCATAAACTTGGAAGTCATTGGTGGGAAGAGCCGTCATCCAACCATTTGATGATTGCAAGGTAGAAAGATCAACTGGAACTTCAGGAATCAATGCCATGCCCACCTGTGGCTGTTGAAGTTGCATTTGGTTGGCTGCTTCGTGGGCACCGATATCCTTTCTTGTCGGTTGAGGTTGGTTTGGGGCAGGTTTCTGGGTTTGGGAGTTGTTTTGCGTGTTTGGAGCAGACGCACCAGACTGGCTGAGCTCTTGCAAAAATCCAGAAAAGGCTTGAGAGGAGAGCAACATGCGAGTAAGGTCCGTGAGACGGTTGTTCTCTTCTCGGAGTTGCTGATTTTGGACACGGAGGTCATTGGCTTCCTGAGATTTAGCGGCAACTTCACCCTCAAGTTGACCGATATACTCTGCAGCATCAATTAGTTTATGTCTCGATAATCAATCATGATTCAAGAATTTACCTTTTCTCCGAGAGCGGAATGCACGGGCTGACACCTTGTTTCGGAGTTGACGTCGTTCTTTGCTGGACAATTTTTTGCCTTCTTCACTGGCCAACAGTCGTTCATCCTCGTCCATCTCATCCTCATCCTTCTTGATACGAGGTATGTTGGCCATTCCAGTGACTGGAGTCACTTGCTCATCAGTAGTTGATGCAACGCTGGCTTGTCTCATGCGATTCAAGACCTTGGAAATGCTTTCTTCCACAAGAGGATCCTTGACTGGCTGAGACTTGGAAGCGGCGGGACCGGGGAGCGGCATTTGCCCTTTGGGCAATGGCTGTTGTTGACGGGCCATCTGTTCCTGTTTCTGGGCCTGTTGGGCCTTGGCTTGCGCAGCTTGTTGGCTGTGCATTCCGGGATAGATACGTTGAATGGGCGTAGACGTTGTGTTATTCTGTGCCACCAACGTGTTTGGACTGACAAATTGAGAAGGACCTGATGACCGGTCTTGAGAAAACATAAAGTCGTTTGGCGAGTCCGCGTCAAAGTCCATGTCTGAATGATTTCGATTAAAGTCAAACTCGTCCAGGTTACTCAGAGGTACATTCAAAGTCTCAGTTGGCATTATGAAGCCTCCATTTCCCTCATGGTATTGTAGGCCAGTGGCCTTGTTGATGTTGAAGGTGCTGGCTAGAGCTCCAATGGGGATACCAGTCTGCTGGTGGTATGCATCATATTGAAAGCTCGGTCCAGGAAAGGTTTGGGAGGTTGAGCTTGATCCGAAAGTGGTGGCAGAACCTGGGATTGAGGATTGGGGTGTCAGCATGGACGCGGACTTGATGCCTGGAGATGTCGAGGAAGGCGTGAAGTCATTCTCCAGATTGAGGAAGGAGTCGTAGTCAGGGTCGAAGTTGGTATTGAGGTTGGACATGTTGGATTGTGAAGTAGGGAACGCCATGATCAAGGTTCGGTGGATTTATGGATGAGTGCGTGGCCGTCTGGAAGCCTGCGCGGTTTGAATGTTGCCTAAAATAGGCACAAGATGTTCGCGAGTATCGTCAGTGGGATTTGAATGGAATAATCGAGTTTAATGGCGACGTGACGAGACTGAGAAGGTTGATCGGGGTGTGAAGAAGACGACAATACGGTGTATCCAAGGGAGAGATGAGTAGGGAGTGAGATCTAGGGGGGAGAAGAAAGGAGAGATGAAGACAAAGTACCGGCGGTGGGCATTCTGGCGGTGCAGGATGCCCCGGATGAAGAGCGAAGAGGCAAAACAGTGCGCGAGGAGCGAGCGAGTAGGGAGCGAATCTCAGCGAGTAGTGCTGGGGCTGTGCCGGAATGCTGCACTTGCACAAAGTCGGGGGTCATCCCGGCCCTCCACTGACAGGGCTTCCTTGGGCCACCTCGATGGGTCCCCAATACACAGAAAAACAAGGCCGCTGCGGACGTCGGCTGTTGAATCTCCCCGTGATGAACAAATCTCAGCGAATCCATGTCAGGCATTCTGGCTGTGAAATGCTGAAAAAAGGCTGGCCAAGCCGTCCTTGCAGATTGGGTTCTTCTCGAATACCTATCACCAGGCCGCTACATTTTAAGAATAATACCAGTACGGAGTAAGTTACTGGGTACGAGAACCAGGTACATGCCTAGGCCCACCTTTCCACCACGTGATCTATCCGCAGTCTCACAGCTCTGGGTCCAGGACAACCCTTCAGCCGTAACAAATACACCGTGCTCCGAAACACTGGATGAAACCTCCTCCCAAACCCTGAAACCCACCGAACCACAAAGTCTCTGGACCTGAGTCTTCAACCAATGAAGAGGAGGTACCTGTTACGTGGAGCAAAGGCAGGAATTGATCACCTTATCCTTGAGAACTGAGAACACGGTTGGAAGGATTTTTGAGGAACGCCAGTCTCGTGATTTTGATAGCAATATCAAATAGTCCTAGCCATCGGGCTGGTACGTCTCCGCATTAATATTTCGTCCCAGGCTCCCCATCCTGACTATCGATTTTCCTGACCCGGATCTACAGCATGGAAATTGTGCCATCTGTCATCTAGCAAGCCTCAAGGCAATCCAAGCTTCTCAGCTGAACCTCCGTACACTCTTGAGCAACGGTGACCTTTCTCTTCAAATTTCGAATTTTCAAGGTTTTTTTTTTTTTTTGGATCTCGTGCCGCCGACACCAGCTCTCTTCAGAATCTGGCAGTACAGGTCACATGGGTACTCACTCGCCACAACTCTTTTGCACCGCCACAGATGTTCCAATGAGGAATCACTTCCCGTCCATCTCCGTCCTCGCTTCTCTTGACGTGACTAATCCTGCGTTTCGCAGAATTATTTCTCTTTCATGCTTCATCTTTTACCCTAGTCAATACGACTCTTTCAAAAAAAATAAAATAAAAAAATGATATAATTTCCTTCTTCTCCCAATGTCAGAGGACAGCGGTGTCTCCTGCTCTTTTTCATTATGGCGGAGGCCTCCTTTAAGCAAATGATTGCTACCTCATTGCGACAGACGAGGCCGCAATCATTTCGCCACTCCAAACCCAGTCGGTACCTCCAGTGTCAACTTTCGACCACAGTGAGTGCACAGCCGCAGGCACCCAAATCACAAACTCCTCGATGGCAAGCGCACACTGTGCAACCAGCTGGACAACCTCAGACCAAGCTCTCCCGGCTCGACAAACTTCGAAATGAGACCGAACCCCGACCATTCTCTTCCTTCCTGACTGATAACTATTCACGTCATCATAATTACCTACGAATATCCGTCACCGAAAGATGTAATCTTCGATGCCTCTACTGTATGCCCGAAGAGGGTGTCCAACTATCACCTTCTTCTCATTTGCTCACAACCGCCGAGATCGTGTATCTGTCCGAGTTGTTTGTAAATCAGGGCGTTAATAAGATCCGTCTCACCGGCGGTGAACCTACTGTGCGGAAAGATTTCGTGGATTTGATGCGTCAAATTGGAAGATTGAGGAGCCATGGTCTAAAAGAACTGTGCATCACCACCAATGGCATATCATTACATCGCAAACTCGATTCGATGGTCGAGTCCGGCTTGACCGGCGTCAACTTGAGCTTGGATACTTTGGATCCTCATCTATTCACCGTAATGACCCGCAGGAACGGCCATGAAGCTGTGATGAAATCTATCAATCGGATTCTCGAAATAAATCGGTCGGGGGCAGGGATCAAACTCAAAATCAATTGTGTGGTCATGCGCGGTCTCAATGAACGGGAGATATTGCCATTTGTGGAACTCGGTAGGGATCAAGACCTCGAAGTTCGTTTTATCGAATATATGCCTTTTGACGGAAATAAATGGTCGGAGGAAAAGATGATGAGCTTCGGGGAGATGCTCGCCCTCATCCGACAGAAATATCCTGATGTCCACAAGGTTCAAGATCACAAGAATGATACAAGCAAAACTTACCAAGTTCCCAGCTTTGCCGGTCGAATTGGGTTCATAACTAGTATGACGCATAACTTTTGTGGGACTTGCAATCGACTTCGAATCACGGGGGACGGCAATCTCAAGGTCTGTCTCTTTGGAAACGCCGAAGTTTCGCTTCGTGATATCCTCCGCGAGTCTAACGATGGCAAACCCATTGATGCCGAAGCTATGGAGGCTATGAGACAGCTTGAGATGGACCGACGTCAACACCTTGCGGGCAGCGCCGACGCATTGGGTGTTTCTGAAAAAGAGGCCAAATTGCTTGATGTGATCGGAATGGCCGTGAAGAGGAAGAAAGAAAAGCACGCCGGCATAGGCGAGTTGGAGAATATGAAAAACAGGCCTATGATTCTCATCGGTGGGTGAGCCATGATATTCCACCCCCTCTCCCTGTCCCAGGCATATATGAAAATTTATCAGGGGATTGAGCATATGATGCGACGCGACAGGATACGACCTTATTTCTGTAATGAATATAGATTGTGATCATGTCTGGCCACCATCTATTGTTCCTGTCATGATCTGCTTCTTCCATCACATTCTGGCCAGTGCCCTTACTGATTATCTCCCTTTTTGGTAGATGATATGATGCCCGGGCAACATACATCATCCTCGTCGCGAATACCATCGATTCAAAACCCATTTAGCCATTCGGGTGGTGCTGCCCTCTTTCAAACTCCAATCCCGTACCATCTGTTACAACAACCTGCACTCCCAACATCATGGTCGAGCGTGCGCCATTTCTCATCGTTGCCTTTGCTTCGAATGAAGAGTCAGAGGAGCTACAGTCGGTCAACTTCACATCATGCGAGACTAAGACACCTTCCTTTCAGAACTATCCGCGGACAAGAGGTTTATCGCCCGATTCATTCCAGAGATCCAGAAAATATCCCAGCGCATTCCACCAGCACCTGGTTACAAACCCGACAACGGGCACTAGAACGGACAGCCCCGCGGGATCTCTCTAAATCTGCCAACTACGCTCGGTTCTTGACCCGAGACATTGCAAGAAGAAGATCGTTTCGCCCTCGAGGTGGCTTCTTCGATCTCGGACCAGAAATACCAAACACATGGAATAAGAAGAAACCCCCCACAGGTGATCAAGAGACTCAGTCGGATGACTCCCCGTCTACATCCACAGACGAGTCTCAGCAACTCACCCATCTCACATCCACCGGCGAGGCTCACATGGTCTCAATCGCGGGCAAGAAACCCACAATTCGTTCCGCAACGGCGGAGAGCCTCCTTCTCTTTTCTAACAGCTTCACTTATGGAACGTTAGTGGCGGCCCGGCTCCGGAAGGGTGACGCCTTATCCGTCGCCCGCATAGCGGGCATCCAAGCAGCCAAGAAGACGTCAGATATCATACCGCTTGCCCATCCGGGCTTAAACATCACGGGCATGTCGGTTAGGCTGGAACCTTTCCTGGGGCGTAGGGTGCCGGGTTCACATGGCAGCTCGACCGTGGTCAAGCGTAAAGATATACACCCGCGGTTTGGCGGTGTTCTCATCACTGCGACGGTGGCGTGCGAAGGCAAGACGGGCGTGGAAATGGAAGCCATCACGGCAGCGTCCGTGGCCGGGCTAACCATGTATGACATGCTCAAAGGGGTGGATAAGGCAATGGTCCTCACCGCCACACGGGTGATAGCCAAGAGCGGAGGCAAATCAGGCGATTGGATATGGGATCCTCAAACAAATAAAATCGTCCCGGACACCGAGCGGGCTGCGGAGTTGGAGAAAGAGCGCAGCATCGAGAAGCAAGACCAGGATATCAAGGCGAGAGAAATTCAGGAGAGAATAATGGCACGCCGGGATGGCATTGACGGGATTGGGCATGAAAATGCTGACGATGAGGATGCCGACGCAAAGAGTGGACAGAACAACGAGCTTTCTAGCCAGAGCTGGACGGAGACGAAGACACCTCCAGTCGCAGTCGAGCATTTCCAACGGACCAGAGAGAGACGTTTCCGTCGCATCATGCGTGCTAGACGAATACAGCATGACGATACTGGCCCAGCCTCAAAACTGACCTGAGTAAGGTAACCCGTCTCCGCAGAGCGAGGAAGTCTGAACGATATCCAGGTATGATCTATGCATATGTAGCCAATATCGAACCCAAAAGGTGTTCCGATTGCCAACACCGGTGGTGCTTGCATGGAGGTCTAGTAACTTTCTATTCATTTTTTCATCTCACGTGTAGTCTATGAGGAAATGATATATATCAAAAACCCAGTTTCTGATTCCAACCAGATTCTTGTCTATCTGCGACGATAACAAGAATTCCTTCAGGGATATTATCATAGAATGAGGCGCAAACCACCTCCCCTCCACAGCCCAAAAATACTCAACGTCGAACATCGTCCGATTCTGTATACCGAGAGCAACAACCGAAAGGGACAAATAATTGCAAATAGTAAACCCAAAAGAAGTAAAATAACTCTATCGGAGCCAAACTTGTTCGAAAACACCCCCAAGCGGCTTCTCTTCCGCCATCTCCTCCATGAATTTCTCCGACACAGACGTGATGAGCGGACTCCATCGCCCAAAACGCGTCTTGGCCCAGTCGAGGCAAAAATGATGTGTGCGCAGGAATTCAGGCGGCTGGCGTCTCGGTACAGTCGCGCCGGACGAAGTCGTCGACGGGGAGATCTTCCACCTGCTCTCATACAGCGTGGGCCCAATAGCGAGGTGTTCGAGACTCGGTCTGTTACCGCCCACGAGGGTAGGAAATACCCACTCGATGAATTTTGTCGCGTACTCTTTAATGCTGTAGTCGCCGAGTTGGCTGAAGACGTGATTCTCGGGGAAATTGCGGATGTGGATGGTCCTGAGGTGCTGCAGGGTTGGTAAGGCAGTTTTGCGCAACCGTACCGTCTCGTCGTTCCAGGGGAAGCCCATACCGAGTTCCTCCAGTCGTGGACAAAGACGTGCGGTATCGTTGATTGTCTCTGCCCACAGCTCCTGACTGTAACCACCAACTCCGAAGGGGCGGGACGTGTCCATGCTCAGATGTTCGCGAGGCTGGATGCGGGATTCGAGGACTAGGGTTTGAAGGGTTGGTCCATGTTCGGCGATGAAGGTTGAAGAACGTTCAAGAAACGCAGCATTTTCGAAAAGTAGGGACAACGTCCGAAGACCGGTAAAGGACGTTAGAAAGCGGATGATGGCGTCTTTCAAGGCGTTGGTGGGACTCTCGTGTCGAAAAAGAAAATGTTTCAACGAAGGTAGGATCCGTGGGTTTTGCGGCGCCTCAGGAGAGTGGGAGGCCCAGTGGAATGTGCCGGCGACAGATTCCAATAGTTCAGCGCTTCCAGGGCAGGACTCCAGAGTAAGGCGCTCAAGATTGCAAAGGAACAGAGCCTGAGAAACCGAGGCGGGTCGGAGCATCGTGACGTCCAAGCCGTAGAGTGACAATTCGCGCAGGTGAAGGAAATTTTCCAATGCGAACACGGATGCAAAGAATGTCTCCATGGGTTGTGGTATTTGCTCCAGAAACCCGACTCTAGTCCTGTGGTAATGTTCCATGAGGTGCTTCTCTTGTCCCAGTCTTAGTCTTTGGAGGCTCTTTTTATTTGCGGAAAGAATCTTCTCTACTCCATCTCCTTCATTGACAGTGCGGCATTCGAGGCTGGCCAAGTTTGTCGGGAAAAGGTGGTCCTCTTGCCGGGCCGCTATCTCATAGAAGCGCAGATGTCGAAGTGTCGTGTCGTGTCGCTGGGTAAGGAGGTCTAGCATTTTCCGGGTCATGGCAGTTCGGTGAAGGAAACTGAGGAAGTCAGCGATGATGCCTGTCCCAAGAGAGCAGGCTGACTTACGCAAAACTCGTCAATTGATTTGCAGGGACCTGTTCAAGTATCTCAATCACGTAGCCATCGGCGGAACTGGCGTCAGATTTTCTCCTTCGGTTATGGACTGAGTTTCTTCTGTCTGCCACCCCATTTCTGATTGTGAGTTCTCGAACAGATTGAGTGACGGGTTCGCGGAATGCGGGCATCCCAGGCTTTCTCGAAGGTCTTGATTGGGACATCTCGAAGTCGACATTGTGGTAGAGTCTGATCATAACCATGCCCTCAAAGATACGACTTGTCCGCGATAGATTATACAAATCTCTCCGTTTATCGATCTAACTAGTCAGCGAACTTTCGTCTCCGAGTCTCGCGGGAAGTTGTCCCTCACATAGTTGACTACTTGGAGTTTGAGTTCATCTGGTAGGTTCAACAGCCAACAAGGCTGCGTCGACAGGGATGTCTCCATGACTTGGGACGGTGTGGATCATCTGAGCCTTCAGCAAACTTTCGACTTATGCATCGTGAGTCGGAGGTTCGTAGTCAAAGATAAAAAGTAAGAGAGGAATTTAAGGCAATAAAAAAAGGTATGGGAATGGAATGGACACCAAAGGACTGGCACAGCCTGACATAATTACAGCCAGGGGAGGCGAGGGTGGTCAGCGTCAATGAATGTCCCATTATGTCAGACTACCGGGATGAATCACACATTCCCCTACCGGCGTGGGGAGGCCACAGAGCTGGGAGCGGGCTTGATCTTGACAAAACAAATACTATGAATCCCACGGAGGATGGATAGGAGAACGGAGAGGGAGATAAGCGAGTTGCAACCAGCTCGAACACGGGAAATAAGGGCCTGGAGCACCAGGAACACGAAAACACGAGGACCTACTGGAACGTGGAACCAGTCAGGAGGATGCATTTAACTAATAGATCGGCCGCCACACGAAAGTTCAAAGCGGCCAAAAAGGTTTGGCGCAATCCAAACACGAAATATCGCGATGAATTGCGAGCGCAGGGAAACCAAATAAAAGAAGTTTTGGAGAACAAACATGGTAGGGAAATCCCGATGCAGGGGAATGTTTCTGAATTCCGCTGGAAGCACCGGCGCGAAGGATGAATAACCTCAGCAGCCCGGCTCCGTCGGGGTGGGAGTATTTCCTTGACAGGGATCCACATCACCAGAGAAGTGAGTCATTCAAGATCCATGATCGTCAGATATAAAATGAGACAATCACTTCCTATGATGAGACCACCTCTTGTTTCGTTCTGCCGGATATCAGTCCTCTCATACCAGCACATACCCTCCTAATGGCTCACGTTCTTCATGTCCAGCATGGCCAGACGTGGCCCCCAATCATGTGTAGTTGATCTCGAATACGGACGTGTTGGTGTGGAGTTTTTTCAAAGGTCCTCCTTTTTTAGCGCTGAGATCGTGTCCATTAAACGGACCTAGTTCTTCCCCCCATGGATGTCACCACTGTGCAATGGAGTCGAAAGAGGCAATTGTTGTCTATTTCTAATCATTCGGTGTCATCTGCTTGCGGTAGTGGTTGTGCTTCCAAGGATTCGAAGGATGAAGGTCGATATAGGGGAGGATCGGCCAGCGGTGGCAAGGGTTGAATAGTTTAGATAACGAGGCTCGAGTATCTCCTTGGCCTCAAGGGAAGGTTTTCGGCTTTCAGTTCCTCTTGTCTCCTGGCTTGTGCCAGTGTGTTTCTGCATGTCAGCTTACAATACCTGTGGAAGTTTTTGTCAACCGCTGCACCGCATCAGGTAATTGCTCCTCCGTATTGCTCCAGTAGACTGCCCCCATGCATCACCGTAGCTAGTTTGTCGGAACGGAGAAATATGATTCCGAAGAAAGCCTTCTCGCCGGGTGCAAAAAGTCCCCGCTCTGAACCTCGACAGGGGATCTCCTTCGCAAAAGTTTCTGAGACACATTTCATGCTTCTTCTTGGACCACATCCCTTTCCTTTCCACTTCTCTTGAGCTCTTCCGTTTCTGTCTTATCGCCTGCATAAGCCCTTTCCCCCCAACTTGAGGACTTCCCCTTTAGAATCAATGGTGTGAGGGTGACGAAAAGCAGCGCAGGGATAAATGTAAGTTGATGGACTTCAGGAGCCCTAATGTGAGTGATCATTTCACATACCTTGTTTGAAGTCAGAAGCTTGCGGCAGCGACAATATCCTCGGCGTCACCGAACCCCACCGTGCTATGTTGAATTTTGTTCTGGATCCCTCCCCGCCGGGGGGGTGTTGGTTCTGTGGAATTTAGTTACTTCTCCCCTCTACTTCAACTCGTGCAAATTTCCTCTTCCTCATCTGCTTCCACCACCACAAACCACTCAATATGGAGCGACAACTAAGAGACAACTCTCCTGGCCATGGCGGATCCTTCCTGCTGTCCACAAGAGCTTCCTCGGAATGATCTTGAGGCTCTTGAGGCGCGTTTCAAACTTTTCATCAATGAAAACTGCTATGATCTTGACCGGCTTCATCAACGGTTGTTCGTGGACATACCCGGGGCACTTCAGACCATCGAAACTGTGACAATCAACAAACTTATCCATGATCAAAATGTGGGAAGCCCAAAGACTAATGTCAGTGGTGCCAGACCATACGTCCGTCCGTATTGCGAGGATGAGCAGCGTTGATCGCGGACAAGTCTAATAAAACCATCATTGCCTATCCGCCATAGATACCTGCGCGATTCTCTCGGCAGAACCTCCACCTCTATCCGCAAAGAAGATGGATCGAAAGCTACGTCAGAACAAGCCTCGCTTGTTGCTGATGGGCCAGCGACGGTATAACATGAGTCCCCTACATTCACAATTGCCAATCTATTAACACGTATTAGGAGTGGCAAGTCGTCCATCACCAGTGTAGTTTTCCACAAGATGCCTCCATCAGAGACCCTCTTCCTCGAGTCCACTACACGTATTCAGAAAGACTCGATGCACTCCTTCATGGATTTCCAGGTTTGGGACTTCCCTGGCCAACTGGACTATTTCGACCCGACAGGCTTCGATGCTGCCGAGATCTTCTCTGAGATTGGCGCTCTTGTCTGGGTTATCGACGCACAAGATGACTACACCGAGTCGTTGAACCGCCTTACCTATTTCATCGTCAATATTCAAAACAATTACCCACACATCAATGTCGAGGTCTTTGTCCACAAAATTGATAGTCTCAATGAGGAACTCCGAGCCGACGTGTTTCAAGATATTGTCCAGCGAGTTGGCGATGAGCTCAGTGATGAAGGATACATCAACCCCAATGTCAGCTACCACTTGACCTCAATTTATGACTACTCCATCTTCGAGGCCTTCAGCAAGGTCATTCAGAAATTGATCCCGCAACTCAACACCTTGGAGAATTTGTTGAACATCTTGGTCAACAGCTGTGGCATGTCCAAAGCCTACTTGTTCGATATTCTCAGCAAGATCTACGTCGCCAGTGATACCAGGCCAATCGACATGGAGGTGTATGAGATGTGCTCTGACTATATTGATGTCATTGTGGATGTCACCGATATCTTCGGATATGATCGCAAAGAAGGCGCGATGGCGAGAGAACAGATGCAAGAGGCAGAGTCGTCTGTCATCATTCACGATGGTACCATGATCTACCTCAAGGAGATGAATCGGTAAGAGAAGTCCCTTTTTCTCTTGGGGCCGCCAGCGTTACTGATACATTTCAGGTACCTTTGTCTCGTGACCGTTATTAAGAATAACCGGGCCAAGGACAAGAAAGGATTGATTGACTACAACTGCCACGTCTTCCAAGATGCATTGAAGGAAGTTTTTGCTCGGGGATGGGAAAGAAAGAAGAGAGATGAGAATGGCGAGACCACAGAAAGGAGAATTGGTAGGATAATGGCAGAGGCTACTGACGCTGAAACTACCGAAGAGTATTGACGGAACGGATTGTGTCCAAAGTGCCGGAAGCTTGTACAACCAAGACGTTCTCGCTGTGAGACCTAACCCTCCAAGCAGCCAAGGGGATTAGTTTATCTTGCAGGACTCGGAGGGCAAGCAGTGAAGCTGAATTACTATCGGTTGAAGCTTGAGGGAGGATATCAGAGCTAGGAGTAGATCTGCAACAGAGTGAGATCTCAGAAATCACAAAATCGACAAATTCAAGTGAAATCAAAGTGAACCTTGTTCCTTGCCTTTCCTCACATTTACAAATAATCCGTACATCGACCATGTGTGGGGTTGCAGCTGGCTTTGCGTCGTCGCTCTCTATCAAAATTCTCCCCCGCCAAGGCTGCCAACGACGTCGTCAGACTTGCAGATCTGGTCACGATGGAAATAAACTCCTTCATCTACATGCTGGCGCGCTTTACGACTGAGGCAGAAAATCCTATCAGTCTTCTAGGCGACGTTGACGGCATCGATTCTCTCGGTAACGAGCTTCAACGGAACCAGGGGACCGGTAGTGCTGCTCAAAATCCAGCCCGACAGTCTCTCAACCCTCGCATTCAACTTTTACGCCTTTCCGCTATCGTACGAGGTCGAATCGGTATCCTAGGAGCCACTCCTCCATATCAGCCTGTGCCGCCCTCCTTATACCGACCTCTCAGTGTCGATCAAGAAGAAGGTCCCGGTCAACCTGGGGAGAGGACACCATCACCCCTGCGCCATCTCGCCTTTTCAGTTTGTCCGCCAGGTTATGAGTCACGACGGCGCGTCCACATAACCGGGCCAACTCACCTCCAAAGCCTCCCGAGTAGACCGGTCTTCAAGGCGGTCAAGATGCCTCAAACCGGCTTTCAAGCTTTGATACTTTGTGGGCCGGGCATCGGACTCAGCACCTTTACAAGTGTCCCTGGAGAATTTCCCAAGGCTTTGGTGGAGGTCGCCAACCGACCGATGGTCTGGTATGTTTTGGACTGGTGTTATCGAATGGGTGTCACAGACCTCACTCTTATCACTCCGCCGACATCGAAAGATTCGATTGCCGCGGCCCTTGCTCAGAATCCATACCTCACATCCCTCCCTTCTCCGTCTCCCGATCTGCTGGCTCCCAAGGACCTGGAATACACGACACCAACAGCAGAACTACTTAGACTCCCAGAAGTACAAGATGTGATCAAATCTGACTTTGTCCTACTACCATGCGACCTGGTTTGCGACATTCCTGGCGAATCTTTCCTCGAATCCTACCTGACCAGGCTAGGGGGACCCGGTGGAATCGGGAGCAGCACAAGTTCAGACTTTGCCACATCTAAGAACGAACTTCTACTTCTCGGAGGCGAGCAACGTGGACGCCGTGGTGGTCTGTCAGTATGGTACAACACCATCGACCGAGAAGAGAGTGTGAAAGGTGAAGAATGCGACTTCATGTGCACCACGAAACTCGACCCCGAGCATGACATCCCCCTCTCCAAATCCGCATTCGCGCCATCTCAAGGAATCCTTCGCAAACTTGTGTGGACAATGCCCATGTCAGAGCTCTGGGACCAGTGCGAAGAGGACAAATCGTGGAAGATTCGACAATCACTCCTGCGCAAACACGGCGCCATCAAGTGTCTGACCAAGTACCGCGATTCCCATATCTACTTTTTCCCCTACTGGGTCAAGGAATTCGCCAAGTTGAACGAGGACTTTGAATCTATCAGCGAAGATCTTGTGGGCACGTGGGCAAAGGCCGAATGGCGCAAACCCGGCTATCGGGCACGATTTGGGGCACGAAAGCTTTTCTCCCGGAAGTCTGGCGCAGAGAGAAGTGATGTTCCATCGCTTGAACGGCCTATCGAAGAAGAAATCGACTTGCTGTCTCTGAGCAGTTCGCAAATTTCAGCCCAGCCATTTTCACCAAACAGTCCTCCCCAGCAACGCACCGCTCGGTTGGCATCAAGAGTTCATGCCGAACCGGAAGACAGTGTTCTTTCTCCAGACGACGGATCACAAGCCGGCGAGGAAGCAGGATCTGTTCCTCTTATCCCGCCTATTCTCTCCTGCATCTTGTCATCTGCCACGGATGCTCCTCTCGTGCGGCGTGTCGACACCACCCCACTCCTGCTCTCTGTATCTCTTTCGCTGGCGAAACTGCCGTCCGTCGAAGAATCGGTAGCCGCCAAAACACCTGTGTCACCGTTCTCTCATCCGTCCAAAATCCACGCCACAACCAGCATTGCGCCACGCGTCACCATCTCTCGCTCCGACACATTGATCGACAGCAACAGTACGATCGCAACGCAATGCGTAATCAAATCCAGCGTTATCGGCGCATCGGTGGCCATTGGTACGAGTTCACGGGTGACTGGCTGTGTGATCATGGATGGCGTCACCATCGGAGATAAATGCGTCTTGACCAATACGGTCGTGGGGAAGAAGGCGAAGATTGGGAACAAGTGTTCGCTTGTGGGATGTGAGGTGCAGGATGGCAATGTCGTTGCGGAGGCGACGGAAGGAAAAGGCGAAAAGTATCTTGTCGGTGGGTTAGAGGATGAAATGGAAGGCGACGAAGACAGGGAATTCGATGACGATGAGAACGAAGGCGATGGTGAGGGCGAAGGATTGAGTTTGGGCGGTCCTTGAAGGAGAATTGGACTATGAGGTGATGGGCCTTGATGTCAAATGAACGATGCCTTGTCGGTACAATGCACTTCAAGGCGCAGAAAAGGAAGAGTGAGGGGGGTTCTGGTTGGCCAGGAGGCAGTCCTTCCCACAAGGCCGTAACGTCTACTGAAAGGGAGATCATACACTTCGTCTCAGTGGCTGACGCGCCAGCCTCGTGCTTCTTGCCTCCAAGGAGACGCCCCCAACAGATCATTGGCAGACAGATATGGCTGATGTGCTGGTCTCTGGTTAGATATGCACCTGACCCAATGTGACCAATACGATATCAGATGTCAGCGGATTTTCATCAGACAGAGATGGAGATGTTTCAATCAGAGAAATTCTTGTAGAGATGATTGTAACCGTGAGACATTCTTCTTCCGCCAGAGATAGATCGTGCCTGGTAAACCAAGATCTAGATGAATTTTATTATTCATTCTCATTCATCCAGTCTTTCAATGGGAATTAATGCCTGGCAGTTCATCAAAAAATCGGTCGGCCAATGCAGATGCCTTCTTGTCATATGGGAAAGGGATTGGCCGTCTCTGCAAAGAGAGGAATCGGGCGTACTTTTGGGATCTTAATGCTTCCGGTACGACATGCCATCTATTGATTGGTCTCCATCGCAGTCCCACCAGGAACTTCCAGTGTGTGTTCATCGCAGCTAATTTACCTGGCGAATGGAGGTGTTTCAGGTCCCAGTTACCCAGGGGGTGGTCAGTCATATGGAGTCTCCTTTGGTTGCGTCAATGGCCAGCGTATACATGTGGTTCCCTTTGCCTACATCATATCCGGATTAGTGCTCTGCAGGCACCGTAACAAGCGAGCCTCTGGCTTGATATATCTGTAAGGAGCACAAGAGATGCACCGTACCATGATAATGTCAGGGTCAAGGCTGGACTCAACGCTTTAAGCCAGGCCTCTGCAGACGTGGTCTTGGCGTCCCGTGACAGTTTCTCAATTCGACCTGCTTCCACACTAACATCTCACCTCATCTCGATCGGAGTTCAAAAATACCAAGCAAGGTCTCAATTCCAAGCCTAGAAGATGATTCTGCAATTTAATTGATTACTTTTCGAGACCGCGGTGGCTGACCGGCCTATGAAGGAACGCCGCTATGGCCTCCGGGCCGGTGGGCTTGAAGCGAAAGCTCTCACAGACCTCGACTCAGCAGCAGGTAAGTGAGGACTGCTTCCTTGATGTTGTCTGCCAAATCATGTACCTTTGCTCTGCGATTTCTCCAGGTCCAGGCCATGCTTTTTGGGCCAAATGAAAAGCAAGGTTCGAGGTCGGCTAGAGGGACCCACGGGCAATTGCAGCTGACTTTCCACGCTCCGAGGCGTGCATCTTACCCTTTCAGATGTCAGAAAAAGTCGCTAATACATTGCAGTCTTCGTCCAGAATCTTGATTGACCTTGCAGATGACGATGACGATGACGATGTGAGTGTCCCGGTGCCCTATCAAATCTCAGCTACACACAGCTTGTTGCGCCTGCGACACCAAATACCCATTCTCCTTCGCGGCAACACTCCTGGCACAAACTTTACATTCACATTCACGGCTGACCTTTGGAGGTGATACCGATCCCTCCGCCTGCCAAACGACAGAAATCAGGTACTCCCGTCACCAATGATGGATCAGAAGGTCAATTGGACCGCTTACGTGGCCACAACTACGAAAACGCTAGCGGAGATGCACAGAAGACACGTGCTGAGCCCGGGCCGCCTTCCACGCCTGTCACATCACGTGTCCAACCGGATGGATCGACTTCCATCGTTAATGGTACCCGGTCCAAACAAAAGAGGTCTCCTTGGGGCAAACTGTCCAAATATTCGTATCCAAATGGACAGATGCCTGCGCTGTCGGTGGAAACTGCACCAATGGCGGCCGGATCCAGCATGTCCGAACCAAAAACACAGGTATCACAGGCTGTCAGTCCGCTGCTCGACAAGGTCAATCCTGCCCGACACGTTCATCGGCCCGAATCTCCGTCTGCTGCTGCGCATAAAAGCCGGGCCAACCGGTCACAAAGCCAGGAGAAGGATATCAACGGACATGCTCAGCGGTCTAAATCTCCTTCTCCTGCTCATAACAAACGGGCCAAGCCATCTGGGCCCTTGGGAGAGAGTATCGGCAGACATACGGAACGGTCCAGGTCGCCTTCTGCTGCTCATCAAAAATGGGTAAATTCGTCTCAAGCCGATTTAAATGGACGCGCTGAGCGGTCGAAGTCTCCTTTTCCCGCGCAGAAGAAACGGACCAAGTCTTCTCAACGCCTAGTGGAGGATATCCACCGCTTCAGGTTATCAACGACTTCAGAATCCCCGGCTTCCATCACTAAACTCTCACCATCCACCCCTCCCTTGAAAAACACGGATGCAAAAATCCCCCTTACCGGATCGAAGGACGACGAAAGGCCTCATTCTCAGAGAGTTGTTCCAGTGGACATCCCTATTCGTCCATCTCCAGATATTCAGGTCCTTGGAACGCGATGGTCTTATACTTCGCCAAACCCTCAGTGCGAGACCCCTCTGAATTCTCTGCATTCAGTCTCACCGACGACATCCGAGCCTTCACGCTCGAACATCGACGTTGTGGCTCCATCCTCTCCAAATCTCCTGGCTCAATTTCAACAAAAACTTCCCAAAAAGACAGACAAGAAGGCGGTACTCGAGAAGCTGAAGCAGAGTACAGCCTTTGCGAAAGAACACCCACAAGAAGTTCAGCGCCACTTTGGCCAAACAGGTTTCTCCTCTGAATACGGCACAAAAGAGGACCATCAGCGGGAACAAAAAGCTACGTCAAAGAAGATGAAGAAGAAGGCGGCAAGGGGGTTAATCGACTTGAATCCTGGTGACTCGTTGTCCGATTTTATGGACCATCTCAGCTTGGGAAGAGAAGTCATCCATCCCGCTCAATCAGGCAGGGATATTCTTACGAACCGCTTCAACGAGAAATTCGAGCCACCCATTACCTTTGCCAACGACATCAACGAGCGACGATTACATGGTAAATTCCAGTTCACTGATCGATACATCATCCGTGAGGGTGTCAGGGTGGCATCACCCACTACAAATCATGGCTGTGATTGTACCGACTGCCACTTGTCCTCGTGTCGCTGTCTGGCAAAATCCGTACCAGACGAAGTCGGCAAAGGCACCCACAAGGAACAGAGGCGAACATACACCCGCCGACCAGACGGCCTCGTGGTCATCTCGGATGACTACCTTGCCCAGGCCCTCAATCCTGTCGGCGAGCGTTTCGAAATCACTGAATGCAATGAATTTTGTGCCTGTGGCCCTGACTGCTGGAACCGTGTTGTCGGCAAAGGGCGCACTGTGCCCCTCGAGATCTTCCAGACAGCAAAATGTGGCTTTGGCGTGCGTTCATCCCAAGATATCGTCAAGGGCCAATTCATCGAATCTTACCTTGGGGAAGTCATCACTGAAGACGAATTACTGCGGCGGGAAGATATCGTGGAAGAGGACGACCCAAGTTACATCTACTCGCTCGACTGGTTCGAGAATGCCGATCAATACCACGTTGACGGCAAGTACTTCGGCACCCCAATGCGCTTCGTCAACCACAGCTGCAACCCGAATACCAAGTCATTCACCGTCCAAATCCACAAAGGCGACAAGAAAGTCTACTATCTCGCCTTTTTTGCCATCAAGGACATCAAGGCCCGCGTCGAGATTCGTATCGACTACTGGGGTGCAGCCGCCGCCAATTTCGACGAAGGTGACCACGATCAATCCGCGGACGGCGAGTTGGCAGAGGGCTTGGTGCGTTGTCGATGTGGGGAGAAGAATTGTCGAAAGACACTGTGGCCATCGAGTGTGAAGGCTAGGCGCAGACGGAGGAGGAAGGTTGGTTGAGCTTACCGCATCACCGAGCTGCATGCCAGCCATGAGCTACGGAGTTATGAGTCAAGAGCAAGGGCGAATGGAGATGGACTAACAAGATGATACGAAATGAGCATAAGAGAAGAAGTGCCTAGATTGAACACATGTACAATTATGAGCTGGGGGTTATGTTTCGTACGAAAATACTTTCCCTTCTTGGGTCGCGAGTCACTTTCAGCGCCGGAGTTGGTATGGGGATGGTATTAGGGGAAGGGGGAAAGGCCATTTTCATATTCTGACTGGCTGAATGCATGGATGAATACACGGATTAGATGTGGATTGATTTGAATGGGTCATTGGAACTGAGATTGAACCAACATGAAATTGGACAGATGTTGTCAATAATTGGCTCCTTCAGACCCACCCACAAAGAGGTTGATTCAATGGGTTTCTAGACCACCGAAATGAAGACCTCAAATTGAATGAAACAAATATCATGATGACTTGGTATGGGAGCGATTCAAGTCTGTTGGAAGGACACTGGTAGAAATTTTTTTCCTTCGATGTTGTGGCCAATCATCCATGGGATGTATGGATGCGGGAAGGGGACAATCCGATCGAGGAATGGTGTTTTCGACATCTCATCCGGGACATACCAAGCAGCGGTGTGACCAACTATTTTTTGCCCATAGACTACGAGTTAAAAACACTCCTGCAAACTCAATGCGAGCGCATTATCGATCGCCTCCTTTCTGAACCCAGGCGCACGACCTAGACAGGCACTACTCTCAATCATGCGCTCGAGGAACATCTCGACATCGAATGTCATGGGAGCTTGACGGCGGGACAGCAAATCCGAGAACGAAGGTGTGTTCAAATTATCCTGGAAGTCGAGCCAGGCGTCGTTGTCGGATTTGTTGGCGCCAAACTGCTGTTGCTGTTGTTGGTCGGGCGTGGTGCTAACGGCTGCGCCGAGGAATGGCTGCGCGAACATCTCGCCTAGTTCGCGGGCGATGAAAGGGTCGGCGATCGGATCGGGCAAGCCCAGCAAAGGTGACGGGGTGCGGATGCCAGGCTCGTGCGGGCTGTCGTCACTAGGTCCCGTGGAGGAAGTACGACTGGCCCGTAACAGGGAGACGACGCTCGGGTCGACTTCGACGAAGCTGCTCTGGCCGTCCAGGTAAATGCCCTTCGTCTTCAAGTATTCCTCGACGTCGTGCGAGTCGTACCACACGCCCCCAAAGCCGATGTTGTCGAGCATTTCCTGCGTCGACTTCTCCATGCGCGGCGTCTCGACTTCGATCCACGGCTGTGGACCGAACGCCTTCGCCGGACTGACCATGTTGGGCGGATAGATGGGGTTTCCGTCGTCATCGCGGCGGGGGAAATGTGTGCCTGCGCCGCCGATGTGGAAGAAGGGTACATTCCAGTTCTCCAGACTCTCACCGGCGCGCCGTTTTAACATCTCCTGGAATCGCTGGAGCATGCGCTTGCGGTTCGAGAAGCAGAAGGTGAAACGGAAGGCGCGCTTGATGTACTCCGGGTCGATGTTGGGGTTGGTCAGGTTCCGGAATGCGCGTTCCAGGCACATCCGATGCAGGCGTCGCGCGAATGTCGTTTCCTGGAAGCTATAGGTGTAGGAGCCTGTGGGTGAGCTGGCGGGTTTCAAGGGTCGCTCGATGCTCAAATTCGCGCTTGGGTCATCGAAAGGAAATGTCTCGGGAATCATGGTGTTGAAGGACAGGGCGTCGTTGAGACCATGAAGGTTCGAGGTGTCGAGCCCGGAGACCGATTGTGAGAGGGCGAGGAGAGCGTTGCTGGGATCGTCCGCGTCATGGTACGTCATCAAGGGGACTTCCTCCACATCTGCTTCTGCGTCGGTAGAGCTCTGGTCAAAGGTGGTCCCACGACCTACATTGGCCCTTTGGGCCGGTCGAGACGAGGGTTTTGATGCGTCTTGGACGCTCCCACTACGTCCTGTTTCACCTGATTCCGACAAATGTTCGGACTCGCCTCGGGCCATCTTTGCCATCTTGTCTTCCTCGTCGTCTGAGTCTGGTGATACGGCTTTGGACAAAGCTACGAATTCTTCGGTCGCGGCTTGGAGTTGGCGACCGAGTGCATGGTGGGACGTCAGGATGCCAGCATCGACCATGTTATCGTGCAAGGTGATGAACGTCCGATTCATTTGTTCAATGGTGTTTTGCAGATTGGTCACTTTTTGCTTCAAGGCCGAAATAGTGGTTTCCTTTCGATGACGATACGCTCTTTGCGCCAGACGAATCTGAGTGCGACGACGGTCGGCAGCGGTCTCATCCTGAGTGTCGACTCTAGGTCGGCCTCTTTGCTTCTTGCCTTCTCCTGGTTCATCCACGTCATTTACGGATGCCTGTTTGGTCGTTTTCCTTTTCCGCGGAGTGGGTGGTTGTTCCTGTTCGGCCGAGGATGAATGATTGCTATCGCCCACTGTGCCGGCAGTAAAGACGAGACCTCCGTAAAATGGATCGGATGAGACCGCCTTTCTCTTTCGAGGGTTGCGGTCTCGTCCCTCTGAGGTCTGCATGGGGCCGTGGGGGTAATAGGAGGCGGACAAAATGTCTAGGTCTCCACCAACCGGTCGGGATTGCTTGACCTGGAGACCGGAATTTATCAGGAGCGGTGCCGGGTCCTCTAGGATTGACTGGAGAGAGGTATAGGTTCGTTCGCCATATTGTTGCTTCGCGTATGATTGCATCGTGATGGACAAATTGCCGGATTGAGACAGGCAGCCCACAGCCCGAGGGAGTGATTAGTGAACCGGACTGAAAATGGCTGAAGCAGGCTGTAGGATAGTGCCGGTTGATAGTGCCTTGTTTCCCGTTCTTTCAGTGGCTACCGAAAAGTGATTATCACGAGGAGACCGAGGGAGATGAATGGGTAGGTTTTGTGACAGCCTTCTGCTGAATCGAGTCGGAGGCCAATTGTGTGTCTCTGCAGACACTGTTACGGTGTCCCGCGAATGCTAGGAGGTTGAACACGTTCTAGTAATTAGTCCACCATCCAATACAGCGTCCAAATGAACACAGAATGGATATCGATGTTGCCAACAGCACTGAGCACTCGATATCGAAGAGTGGACTCGGGAGAAGAAGTCAAATGGCGAGAGGGTCTTGTAATACTCTGCCTTGGAAGACGGGTTGCCGCTTTTGTCGCAAGGCGGGTGAAAATTAGTCAGACGCTGCGGACGAGGAAATCCAAAAGTATAAACAGGCGAGGTCAGACTCCCTTCCTGGGACGAGGGTCGGACAGGCAAAAGAGGTCTACGTATGTCGTAGCCCGTAGGTACCAACGGGAAGTGGGATGACGATCCATCAACTGGTCATCCCCTGGAGAAGATTTCAACTAGAAAGACAGATAGATGATGGGCATCCTCCAATGCCGAGTCTGGGCCGGCAACCTGGGGAAGAGGTGAATGGTGAGAGGACGAATTGTGCTGGAAGAAGGCAGTTGGTGGTCATCGAGATGCATCAAGACATTGGCATCTAGCTGGAAGCGGGATGGGACTGGCCTGGAAGAATAGTAATCAATTTTTTTTTTTCCCATCTTCCTCGGCCGGCCAAGCAGGGTATCTGTTCACTTCAGTTACTGTGAGTGGTTTGTGGTCATCCTTTTCTCACCCATTCACCTCCTACGTCCGTAAGTTTAGCCAACCACCTCCACTTTTCCCGGGCCCGTGGTCAGGAAGAATCAGTTCGCTGGCCATCAACTCGCTGGTTGGACACCCATTAGCTAATCCCGGGATTTACGTTTCTCGTCGGTGTTGGCATACTCAGCAATCCCTACTTACCCCAGGAGGTATCTGTGGGTGTCCCAATATAGATATCGAAGGTTTGCCATCGTCGGATGGGACCCTGAGTCTGCCCGATTAGGACCGCTTCTGTCGAGAATCCACCCGAGTACGTTGTACGCATAGGGGAAAAAAAAGGGGAATTGTGCATGAAACACTGTCCGAGGGAAACTCATGTTATTCCTACACACAGATTGCCTCCCTGCCCGTATCCATATATCCATGTCTCCTGGGATTAGTATTGAGTACATGACCCTATTTCGCCGTCCTCTTATATCCCATCCGTGTCCTGTCCGATCCAATAACCCCTCCAACCCTAAAGCTATCACGAATGGAAACTGTCCTACTCTTACACATATATTCATGAACTTCGTTTCCTTCGAACTGAACCAAACCTCGGACATCCAAACCCCACCAGAAGCTGGTTGATGTGTGAAAAATAAAGAGGTTGCCCTGACTGCCAAAATGGAGCTGCCTCGTGGATCATGAGTCGTGGGTGACTTCGTGTATGCGCTCTATGCACGTTCCATCACTTCAAATATTCCATCCAGAACCACAGGAGTCTGCATGGTTTCATTCATGAATTCCATCATCGAGCATTGAGCCGACGACGTGCTGGGAGAGATGGTTGCTCCTGGTCTTGGTTCGAGCAGTCCCAACCCAATGATCTCTGCCTCATCGGCGTATTTTTCTTCCTCCAGGGCTAAGTCAATAGCCGAAGGTTGTCGACGAATATAAGTTCTCGGACTCGATACCGATGTGGTGGTGGCTGTGGGAGAAAGCGTATTATTGAGGTCGGGTGGGGGTATCCGCACCCGGCTCCCAAAGCTACTGAATGTTGAACTGGGGGAGGACCGAATAGAAGAGGAGGGAGTCGAGCTCATGTTACTAGAGCTCTTTGGAGATCGACGTAAAGGACTATGACTGAACATGGTCTGCAGAGAAAGACGGACCCTCGAAGAAGAAGGTTGGTTTCGAAAGCTGCTGGGTATAGGTTTAATGGGTGCTTCCTTGTCGAGAGCCTCAAAAAGGGAGACTAACTGTGCAACCGCCATTATGTGGGGTGAGGAAGTATATGTAAAATAATTTGAAGCTAGAAGGGGGTATTGTCCCTCCAACCCGACGTTGCCAGCAGGTCGAGTGTTGCCAACGTAGGGGAATGTGGTCAGTTGAATACAGTCGATCCGGAAGTTGCCAGAGGAATTAATATACCAGTGGCGTTTTTTCTTTTAAAATAGGGTTGGTCCAAGGATCGAAAAAGACAAAAGGCTCCAAAAGATCATCAAGATCGAAAAAAGGTTTGATAGGTCAATGAAACATTCCTTTCAAAGGGAGAAGTTGAAGAATCCAACCACCTGTCTCCCAAGCATCATGTATATAGCGGCACCACACCCCAAAACTACCGCAGAAACGTATGCAATAGTTTGGCCAAAAAAGCCCTGGGAACACAGAGGTCGTCAAACGTCAAGTGCCTTGTCAGGGCAGGATTGCGAAGGACAAGCTCATGATCAAAACGCGAGTGTCTTGCAGCATTGACGCGTTGGAACCTTGGTCTAGCCTGTATCTCCCACTGGTTCGTGACATAGACCTGTCGTTGTTGCGGCAATCTGACTGGATAATGGCCTAGCTCTCGGGCCATATTCTCCACCACAGAACCCTGAACCAGGGGAGGCTTGCGGCTTGTTTTGACTTTAGACTCCGTCTTTTCTGCATCTACAGGGCGCCGAAACAGTGCTCGTCTAAGGCCAAGCTGACGGGCGCCGGTTGGCTCATCTCGTCTGCTTGTTTGATAGGCGTTTCATGAGGAAACGCAATCAGCTTTCCCGTGTGAGGGGTTTTTTCCCTCTTGCTTGATCAAATGCATCGGAACGTCCAATTAGTTGCAGCTGGGGCGACGGAAAAAAGTTGGAGATGAAAGCCTTCGGTTAATGCTCAGCGTGTCAGATTCGTGCTTCAGCATGAGTACGAAGGAAGCCCTGAAGTTTCGCTACCTTGGTCCATCACATGATGATCTAGGATGAGCTGGGACGTAACGACATGATCCTCAATCAATAGCAACCGCAAACTTGACAAGGTTCTGAAATCAACCATGTCAACCCCAGAGAAGTACGATGGATAAACGAAAAGTCCTGTCGACAGCGGTACCCTGACGTGTTGCTCAGCAAGACCAGGAACGTGATTGAAGGTACAGAGTACCTCGTAAACATAGCAATATTCCCTCCGTCACAGCTCAACAGGATGGAGGACCGTTGGATGATCTTGAACACGATACAAATATCAACCCCCTTGTGGAGAGTTCAATACAAATGCATGTACATGGTACTCACCCTCAAATCTGTTGGGTTTCATCCAAAAACCAAGTCAAACCGAGTCGTGACGTTTTCTTTTTTTTGGTTGTCAGGGTTCCCGTTCTTTTATCTGCAGACTCATTCTCATAAAACGCCATCGCTAATATGGTTTCGATCTTTGTGTCGAACCCTAATTATCATCAATCCGTCACAATATATTTACACGAGTTCTCATGTCAATCGTCATCATCCTCGTCAAATAGAGTCTCACTCGCGATCTTTCCGTGGTCTTCTCGTCGTAAAACTCCGTCGAATACTCTCTCCCCATGCCGACGCATCGAAACTTTCCATGACTCCTTGCCCACTGATTCCGCTAGCAGTGCTGCCTTGACGGCTGTGGCTCAATGTTGGCGTTGTTGGTGAAGATCTGGTAGGCCCCGGGTAGGACGTGTCCACCGATCCCAGTCTTGTTCGAATGGGGCTTGTTCCTGGCGACTCATCAAAGCTTAGTGACCCAGCACTTCTCAGGGTATCTGTCGCCTTGAATGACGTGTCAATTGGCGGCAAGCTGGGGGATGGCTTCTTGGGTGTATAAGTGGGCGTGGTTGTGGTGAAATCACGAGGCTGGGTACTTTCAATGTTGTTGTCGTCGGGGTTTTCGATAAAGATCTCTGGCACAGGAACCGAAGGAGGTGCACCCAGACGTGAATTCCGCCGCATGTCCATCGCTCTCTGAAATTTTCGCGACCAATGAAGAGTATCGAAGAAGCCTATCACCGTGTTTCGTCGAATCGTCTCCTGGACTCTCTGAAGACGTGCTCGTCGTCGGAGAAATTCTTCCAGTCGTAAACTTCTTGAATCCGTAATTACGTTGTAATGAGTCAACAGGAATAGACAGGCTGTAAAAGGAATGCCACGGTTGGGATCGGCCGTCAGCATCACCTCCTGATAGAACACATTCATCCGTTCTCGTCTCTGTCGGATTTCCGCCACTGGAATTTGACGGATTCGTTCGGCCAATTTGTCGAGGTCCATCCCGTCCACTACTCGTCCGCTTGGTTTGATAGGATCCCCGGGTTGAACGGAGCAGTCTTCTTTGATACTCCGCACAGTAAAGTCACCGTCATAGATCCGCATTTGGAAGACACCAGATAGTTCCTGGTCGGCTGTTAGTGTCCACTAAAGTAAAAATACCCCCCCTCCAAGTCAGACTTACCCCAAGTAGCCGAGGAAACTGCTCCTTAGAAATGAATCCAGTGCCATTCGGATCAAAGACAGCCCAGGCATGTTTGAAGCGCCGAATCTCATCTCGACTGACAATGGACATTCCGTTGCTCTGTTGATAAACGTAAGAGAAACTCTCAAAGATCATGGACACAAACAGAGACACGAAAATGTACATGCTGATGATGTTCCAGGAGATAAAGAGCGCCCTCGCCCAACCAGGACTACCACAATCGCTGTCGAAGAAACTCGCTTCTCTGACGCAGAAAGGCGGCTCCAGGGCGGCAAAATCTTCCATGATTTGGTTCCAGCCTTCCCCAATGCTGGTTCTGAACAGAAGCACAAGGGCTTTTGGAACTGTGCGGAAATTGACGTTATTGTTCTCATTCTCGCCAAACCGGGTGAGGCCGAAGGTTTGCGTGAACGCGATTGCGTACACCAAGAATAGTACAAACCAAGTTGCCAGGAGATTGGCAATGAGTGGAAGAGATGCCGCAGCTGTTTTGAATAATTGGTCGAGCTGATTGTTTCGCGGGATGAGAAGAAATGTAGCCGAAACCAGGAAGAGCTTGTGCAGTTGATTGAAGCCCTGATTGTTGATGTTCGAAACGGCCATCAGAGTCGTAATGAAAATCCCGGACACCACGGGAATCGAATATACATCCCAGGAACTTCGTCGGAATCGTTTCCACGACAGCCCGACCATCCGGATCACAACATTGGCGACCAGGATGATTGCCATGGCTAAAAACAGATATTCCCGAAGCTTCTCCCACCATATCGGTTCGGGATAAAAATCGACGGTGAGGAGGATCAGATGGATGACCAAGATCAAGGTGATGAAGCGGTGCCACTTGCCCCGTTTCTTAATCGAAAGGTCGTAGCACCACTTCTTCCAGGAGGTGCTTTTTTCGCCGATCGAGCGCTTCGAAGGGGAGATCTGCTTTAGAAGCTTCCGGAGTTCGAGCCATGAACGTTGCTCCGCCGTCAAAAAGGCGACCCCGGTCTGCTCCGTGTAATTTCGCATGAACACGGAAATAAACAGGGTCAGGACAAAGACGGCCCCCAGAAGGTTGAAAATGATGAAATAGACCGCATTGCCCTGGGAAGCGAAGGGTTCGGGCTGGAGGCCTCTGCCGGTGATGCTGGTGCCAGACCACATCACATCGACCCATCCTTCTTGACTCACGATTTGAAATAGGATGAATAAAGCACTGCCAAAATCATCAAAGTCGAACCACGGATTGGCAACCTGCCGGGGAGCCAGGACGGGCCAATTAAAGGGGGTCGAATTGAACTCGCCGACGCAATTGCTCAACGTACTGGAACCGAAATCACCATCGTTACAAGCCTGCATTTGACCGTTGAATAGATTCACTCCGAGGATGGCGAATGGGATCAACAAGCTCATCGAAACAAACGCAGCCGCCAGCACTTTGTAACCGCCAACGATGATGACAGAGTAGAAGGTCTCGCGTGCCGTGTCGCTGATGTTCAGCAGACGCAAAGCTCTTAAAGCCTTGAACGCGCCAACAGCACGAGAGATGCCATCATCTCGATACATGGCTGTTATAACGTTGATCCAGAGCGTGATGAGAACCACGCCATCGATGAAGCCCCAGATGCTTCGAAAATAGGCGTGGGGTGTGAAGAAGAACCCGTCGGCAATGACTTTGATCACCGCCTCCACCGTGAAAAGGATGGCGAAACCCAAGTCGGTCCAGATGAACCAATTCGTAATGCTCAAGCTATTCTGGAGATAGTAGTCCCGCTGGTACAATGGCGTGGTGATGCACGCGAGAATGACCATGGCCACGATGGCAGCATACGTAAAGGCCGAGAAGGCATACCAGGCGGGTCGGTAAGGCGAGACACCTTCCACACGTTCATTTCCTCGCCCGGGGCCCACCACATACTGGCACAGCTTTCTTATCGGGTTGTTTGGTTTGAAGAGGAACAGCGACACGTTGTAATTTGGATGTCTCTGCAAATATTGACGTTGTGCACGGCGACGGTTTTCCGTGGTCATGACGACCCGTTTGGCCACGGCACGTGGATCAAAATCTTCATTCGCTCTGGTGATCGAGGCATTCGAATAGAAAGGGTTGGGTTCTTTGGCGCTGTTGAGACCGGTGAGCATGCCCCAATATTTGGAGAGGATACCCGGTTTGACCGGATTGAGTTGAGTCGGGTGCACCGAAGTGGGGCGTTTGGTAAGCCCTTCCTCTTGCTCGTCCAGAAAATCTTTGACAACGGCCTCCTTGAGAAGCTGTTCGACCGCGGCAGAGCCATATTCGAGCGCATCTCGATGTCTGATCGAATCTCGTCCCATCTTGAAGACGGCCGCGAGCGAAAGGTTTCCAGATGCCCCGCCACTGGCCTCTTTCTGTTTCAGAAACGCCTTCACCTGTTGGAGACGTTTCTCGTCCTCGGAAACATCAAAACTCTCTTGAATGACAGCAATAAACATGTTCAGGACAATCAGGTTGGCAATGATAAACCACAAGATAAAGAACATAGCGCCGAGCCATGCCGTATCCCAAATGAGGTTGAACTGGGTTGCATTATACACCAGAGCTGTCCAATTTTCGCTCGAAAAAACTTGATACATCCCCAGGAAAGAATTCCAGATGTCGAAGAAGGTCACGGGGATGGTCTCGCCCTCGGCATCGGCCGGGGGAAAATCTCCTCTGAACAACTGGGAGGCGAGAATGGCGGCCAAGAAGGTGAACAAGAACACAAATAGGATCAAGTTCAGCAAACCCTCGACATTTCCAAACACCACCATCACAAGCTCCCTGGTGACCCTCACGGCAAGGACCACCCGATAGATACGGGCAATTTGAAAGGCCGTGAGCCACGCATATGGTTGTCCGGAATTCCGAATGACAGGGATCTGCATCACAGTGGTGACTATGGCGAGGAGGAGATCGAACCAATTCCGCTTCCCGCGGAAGAAGTTTCTCCAATCACACAGGAAGCGGAGAATAATCTCCAGAAGCAGGAGGAACGTGACCACCGTTTCGGAATTCATGATGAAGCTTTGTCGACCGTCACCCATATTCGCGCTTCGAAGGCTCTGCACCACCAAGGAGTAAACGATCACGAGGATCCAGAACACACGGGTCTTGTCAAAGAGATTCTTCAACTTGCTCTTCTTGGATTTCGAATCATCTTCGATAAGTGGTTCGTCCAGTTTTTCGGTGGTGAAAGCACTGTGCTTGCTCTCTTCCCGGATGATCTGGAAGGATGAGGTGATGACGGCAACCAACAGGTTGACCAGCCACAAGCTGAGAACAACAATTCCGGCCGCAAAGAAAAGCGCCGCCGCAAGATAATCAGTGTCGGTGAGGTAATACAAAAGATCGGAGAAGGTATTGGAGCTGATTATGACAAACACCAGTTCTAGGGATTGCAAAATGTTGTCAAAGCTGACAGTCCCATTGTACGGTCCATCGAAGCCTTCAACACAAAGTGACCCCTGAGGGCAGAGGTAGCCTTTGGCACCGCCAGTGCCGTTTCGACCGTCGCTCTTGAGCCATGGCATGGAATCGCCCGTCACGGCGTCCAAATAACCTCCACAGAATTGAATACGGTCCGGAGCGATGCTGAGAGTGTAATTTTGCCCAGAACCATCATCTCCGACCCAAACGCACGTTCGACGCAGACTTGATTTGAAGCTTTGGACGCCGACAATGCCAAAAATCAGCCAGAAGAAGCCGATGAGAAAAGCCACGTGAACGAGGAGGGGAGCGGCTTTTTTCAGACTTCGAAGGATGATGGATGTTCCGGCCGTCAAACCCAGCAACCGCAGGATACGAAGGCAGCTTAGCATATTGAAGACATAAACATGAGAGGTATTCTCCAGGCGTCCCATTTGCATGGCAAAAGATATCCAGTACGAAACGACCGCCACAAAGTCGAGTCGGTTGAAAGAGTGCCGGAGAAAGGCGCGACGGGCCAGACGGATTCTTTGCTGCTGTTTTGTGTGGCCCGGACCGCCAGGGTCTGGAACGCCAGTAAATGTCCGAACAATGGACGGCTGAGCTGGTTCGTCATCATTCCCGTTGGAAAGACGTCGCGCTTCGTGGGGAGCAAACAAGGTCTGCGCTTTCTGAAGAACGGCCTGCTTTAATCCTATAGATCGATTTATTGTGCTGAACTGTCGTGGATTGGAAATGAATCCCGACACGATGGTGCGGGCAACCAGCTCCAGGGTGTAGATCACGAATAATCCGAAGATGGCATAATCAAATCCAGTGCTCCCCCATCGACTGGTCCTTGTCTGAAGATACACCGCGTCCGTTGCAGCATTCACGGCAAGCAACACCGTCTGGGCCACAATCAACAGCAATATGGTAGGTTCAGTTAAAGGATGGACAAGAACTTCACAGAGAAATTTCCGGAGCTTGTTCTCAGGCCCAAATATGCCCCAGGACTTCCCCAGCAAAGGATTCGGATGGTAGACGGGGACGAATGGTGGAGCAGGCGATATCTCAACAGATGGAATCTTTTCCAGAGGCGGCGCCGCTGGCATTGCGTCTTCCACGTCTGGAATATTGGGCACTGGAGGCGCTGAGGCGCTTGGGCGTCTGTGTTCTCGTACCGACGATTTCCTGCGGATGCTTTGCTCGACCATGTCTGAATCATTACTCAAGTTAACCACACGTTGTGATATCTCGCGAAGCATGGAGTTTGCCCTGGCCATCGGGGACGGTGACGGTGACAAAGATCTTGATCGTTCACCCGAGTCCCCCCGCGTAGATGCTAATCGGCTGATGCCACTTCCGGTGCTCAGTTTTCGATGCAGACCGGTGTTTGTGTCAAGCGTGGGCAAGTCATCTCCAAGGTGGGATGCTCGACCTCGGGCAAGGGAGGGAGATTCCCCATCCGTCCAGTGGACGCTGGACCTTTTTCCTTGTCTGTCATGTCTCTGGCCTCTGGACATCGAGCTGGACGACTTCAGGGAAGATGGGGGGCGACGCCCTGCGGTCAATGGAGTGGTATCGGTATCGGGAGGTGAAAAGAGACTCTCGGATTCAATGGGATCTCCATCGGCGGGTGTGGTGACAATGGTGGGCCGTCGCAATCCTACACTTGGAGGCGTCGATGGTAATTGAAGATCCAACCCCACTGTAGCTGCCGCAAATCCTTCAGCGTCTTCGATAGGAGAGTCGCTCCCGCTTCGTCCTCCGATGGATAACCCGACATGTCTATCTTCCGATCTTCCTCTGGTCGGCGACTCTTCATCTAAACGCGCATAGTTGGGGGTCCGCCGTCCTCCTGCCAGTAATGATCGGGTGCGACTGCGTCTATGCTGATGACTGCGAATCGCGCTTCCTGAACTCTCGGGCTCCTCAGATATTGGAAATGCGCCGTCGGGGTGTCTGGAGAGATCTCGGAGAGGAATCGACTGCGGACCGGTCACTCTGGGAGGCGTTCTGTCGTTCGAAGGCATTGTCTAGTGACCCTAGCAGGGAATTGGGTCTGCCTTGTACATGTTACGTAGGAACGCCGTGTATCATTTCGGCGGAAGAGAAAGACTGAATCGTGCTCACTTGCGTGTTTGGGGTTCGGATCGTCGGGGCAGAAGGAATGAGCGGTAAATGTTGAACGAATGGACTGGTTTACAGCAGGAATGGCGAAAAGGCGAAGAAAGAGGTTGTTGCTTGATGATACAGTTGAAGTCGTAGTGGTGGTTGTGCTTGTGAGACAAACAGGACCAGCAAAGTTCAAAACGGGCAAGGCCGCCGCATGTGAACTTGAGGAGCCAGTTCCCTGTGCTCCGGATTCCCTCTGACGCGCGTCAGTTGGCACTCGACCAAGCACCTGCTACAACTGTATTGTTTACCCGGCCGAGGCACCCGCCAAGGCAGACTCCAGACGAGCTGCAAAAGCCTATGCTGGTTCCAACGTCCCTATTCTCGCCCCCATTCTCTTCCCCCAAGATAGTCCGACCCTATTTTCAGGGGGACAACCAGCTCAACATCATTTCTGTGCCGAATTAGCTGCTAGTGGCCCTGTGACAGATCCCTTCAATCTTGGGCTCAAAGTTGCACAGAATGGCAATACACGTCAGCCCTCACTAGCACATCGACCTAACTAATATTTTTACAGTCTCCGGATCCTTCCAGGGCTTCCGAACCCGAGAATGCATTCCTTCCCTACTTTGTGCGGGTATTCAGCGTTCATTCGAGCGTGCTCCGTGTCATATATCGTCTAGAGATTGTTTCACGCTAAATGTATTTTTCGTCGGCGCTCATCGCCACCTGGGGGCAGTAGCCAGGATTGGCGAAACTATCAACCGTATCTGAACTTTGTCATAAGGACATCACTTCATGATTTTCATAGCATGGATAAAAATGAGCGGTTTCTCCCCCGTGCTCAAAACATCTGTTCCATCAAGAGTCCCCTGGAATAAGCTCAACGCCAGGTAACTCTTGCATTTCTCAAAAGTCGCCTCACCTGTTGAGGCACCATCTCCTTTGTCCTCAAGCTCACTTTTCGGAGAGTCTGGAGACCCTTGCTCTGAGTCTTGCGAACGGTATCGTCCCATAGTGGCTCTTCGACGCAATCCATTTGGCTCTTCTCATCGACGGGGCTTAGCATGATTGGAATATCCATGACTTCCTCTTGTTTTTGTTTCCCAGTGTCGCTGCCGACGATCTTGGTCAAAGGGGCCAGGGCATCGTCCCAAGTTCCCGATCTCAGATGACATTGGTCAAAGGAAAATTCATGCAGAACTTTGCGGTGCGACATGATGAACCCAGATGCTTGACTGGCATCGAGGCTAGCATTTCTCAGATGCATTGATTTTAAATTCCGGAATTTGAGAGGTCTGAAAGAGGATTTGGCGCTCGCATCGGGACATGCGTTTGAACAATCCAGTGACGTTGGTCGCGATGTGCAAGGCTCGACGTGAAGAGCAAGAGGACACGGCCCTTTGCTGCCCAGCCATTGGAATTGGAGATGCTCCAAGGATCGCATCACCTGGAGGTAGCTATGCAGGATCTTGAGATGATCTGACGGCTGGTCGCGGCCATATTCAAAGCTGTCCATTTTAATCTCCAACGTCTTGATGCGTCTCCAGACGCGAGACGACGCTGGTGAGCAGCCAATGCTGAGATGAGGGCGAAGGTAGAAAATTGCGGCGGGATGGATTGGAGCAAGAGTCAGCGATTCCAACTGACTGAGGTTGGCGGTCTCAACCGCCATTCTCAACGAGATCAACGCATAGTCGACAATGTCTTTTCGGTACCTCTGCCCCGCCGGTTGACCTGGGCAGGAGACGTGGAGACGCCGCAGGTGAGGCACGGCGCTGAAGGCTCGAAAGAAGGCCTCGACGTTGGTGGCAGCATGGAAAAGAGGCGGATACTGTTTCACCAACAGATCGTTCATTTCCCAGGAGCCATATTTAGAAGTGGAGGAGGATGTCGAGGAGCTGGAAGAAGAGCTCGGCCTTGACGTATTCAGACGTGGCTCGTAGATAAATGTGACTTCATCCAGAGTGCCTGGCAGGAGGAGCGGAGGGAGGAAGGTGTCTGAATGATGAGGCATGACGAATGACAGACCTTGCACATCTGGTCCGATTCGTTCCAGGGCTGACATTCGAGCCCTGCGAGAGAAAACATTGGCCGTAAAATGGATTTTTAGGTTTTTGAACAAGGTGGGCACAATGTCGTGAGCGAGGCTTTTGCACACCAGTCGTAAAGTTTGAAGATCATCCTTGGAGACGTAGGACAAAAGACATTCGCGGATGAGATCGGTGCGCCAGAAGTGGGCGAATGCGACCGAAGACATTGCTAACTATGGACATAGTTTGAATAACTTTGGGTATAGGTTGCGATATGAGGATATAAATGGCGAAGGGGTTACAGGATGAAGAAGGATGAAAAAAGGTCCCCAATGCCAACACCAATTGAAAACACAAGAGTGGAGATTGCCTCAGTGTATACGATCGAAAAATTGAATACAAACTAACACATCAAGGACATGGCGACCGATGTCTGATAAAATTGAACGGGAGATTATATCGTAAAGATGCGAATTTGGCGGTCGCCTGAGCAAAGACGAAGACCAGGCAGAGAGAAAGAATGGATGATGGGGGGGGGGAATTGCGAGGACCTACCTTTGGGGAGGAAACGGGGAGCAGATAGGATATAGTGAGGGGAATTTGCAGAAAGCCAAAGACAGAGGCAAGAATTGGTTGTGCATGATACTATATCGCGAGTATTGCGCGGTCGTGAAAACGCGAAAATGGAAATCAACGTGACTATAGGTGAGAGAAGGTGTGCAAGGTCCGGGACAAGTGTTTGGGACCGCTTAGGGCGAGGGGTCGCTAGGCTTGGGCTGCAGACGGGGCGCATGCGTCGTGGATGATCCGCGACAAACTCGAGGAGCAAAAGCGACGAGGACAGGCTTGGGGCAGCACTGGTCTTTCGAAGCATCAATATATCATCAGTACAGCGTATGGAGGTGTAGAAGTACACTTGTCGACGTCTAACAGTCAGCCGGAAGAATGAAATGAGGGATTTGATCAAAGAAAGTACAAGCCATGATGAGAAGCCGAGTGAATTATGATTGGCGGGACGCGCCACGCTATGCTGATGCTGATGCTGCTAAAAACCAATTTTGCGTGTGGCGCGCTCCTCTGCGGCAGTTCGTGCATCTGACTCTCCCGAGTGGTTTACTATTATCCCCTTCTGATCTGCCGTAGTCTGTCGCCCCCAACCATGCTGCGACAATCACGTGCTTTGGCCCCCCAGCTGAGGTCCAAGTCCTTTCCCTTTTTTCTGCTTCGCCACTCGCAACGCGCTGCATAATAGGCGAGCTCTGCATAAAAAATTACTTCCATCCGATTCCTCTGTGGAGCCAAGCGTCCGAGTCCGTATGGTAGAGAAACAACCCCCTGGAATTTCAGTTACCAATTGTCAAACAACTGCCCAAGTGCCCAGTGCAGCGCCACCTTATGCCATCGTCATCATGCAGTCTGCAGCGCTGCAGCAAAATAACTAAACTAGTCCATCGTATATTGTACATGACATCAACCGCAAACTTTAGCCACGTATAACTGGTGATCGCTCCCAATGCCCTGGATCCTGGATTTCTGGATTGGAAAAAAAAAAAAAGTTCGCAGAACAAAGTAGGTGGGCACGCGATCCTTTCAGCCACCTCTTCGTATTATTATTGTTGTTTTGGCTGCCCTTACCCTGTCCTTTTCTCTATCTTACCACTTACCCCTTTTTCCTTCTCCTATACGACCACAACCACCACTCCTTGCTTGCTGCTCCTGCTACTAGTAGCCAGTTCACTCTTTTTTTGCTCGTACTTGTTTTCTATCACTGCTAGTATCCTTTGGCCGCCGTGCAGTAGAGAACCCCCCCTTTCTTCTGGCCAATATCGTATCCCTACAATCCTGCTCGTGCAAGCGAGACCAATTGCCGTTTCCCTTTTCTTGTCCCGGCGGGAACTTGAGGGCCGTTCCATCATGATCTCGTCCCTCAGCCCAATTCCATCTCTTCCCAAACCCATCGGTCCTCACAAAGTCGGTACCACAGAATGGGAAATCCCAGTCTCGGAGCTCCCTTCCTCCTCTCTCTCGCCCGATCCGAAGATCACCACCATCAAGTTCCGACTCTTCTACCCAACCATGCCCACAGCCACGTCCAAGGTTGCGGTACCGTGGCTCCCTTCGCCGCAACGACAATGGAACGAAGCCTATGCCTCTTTTCTAGGTGCCAGCCCGAAACTCTCTTCCATCATCTCCATCCTGCCGTTCCTGATCAACTTCACCAACATCCCTGCCGTAGCAGACTCACCCCTTCTTCCAAGGAGCAAGTCCACCAAGTATCCCGTCGTGGTCTTCTCCCACGGACTCGGAGGCAACTACAATACGTACAGTGCCGTGTGTGCTTCACTGGCGAGTTTTGGGATTGTCTGTGTCGCCCCCGAACATCGTGACGGCAGCGCCCCTGTCACCTTGATCCGCTCTGCTGATGGCGTCGAGACCTCAATCCGCTATCAGAGACATCCGCACACTCCTACGACCAAGGTCTTCAACTCTCGCAATGCTCAGCTGCGCATCCGGCTCTGGGAACTGGAACAACTCTACGCCGTCCTGAGCCGTCTCAACGCCGGCCAGACCTTCTCCAACTACGCCGTCGCGAGAAGGAGACCGGCACGACCACCTCTCGTCCGAGACACCCTCGATCTCCAACCAGGCCGCGTCACTTGGGTCGGCCACTCCTTTGGCGGCGCCACGATTGTCCAGTTCATCAAATCAGTCTACTACCACCAATTTCTCCCTTCGCTCCAAGGCACTCAATACGAAAATGACCCAGACTGGCGGCCCTTGAGCAGTCCAGTTCTGAGCAGCGAGCTCGTCCGCCAGATTACCCCGGACTCACCTGTCGGCCTTCTCGACCTCTGGGCCATGCCTCTACGAGCAGAATTGACCAAATGGCTATGGGAAAAGCCCCTCCCTTGCTACGATCGTAAACCAGCTCCGGGCACCAATAATGACCACACCACGCCCAATGTCGTGGCCATCATGACCGCCGAATTTTACAAGCACACCGAACTACTCATCCGGATGAAAGCGGCATTATCCGCCAATCCGCCCGAGGCCATCGCTACGTTAGAACGACAACGAGATAAATCCAACCAGGGCTGGAATGCGGCAGAGACGACGGCTCTCTCAACGCCGCCGAACAAAGCCTCTTCCGAGACAGAAGTACACGGATGTGCCGCAGAAGATACCTCCGACTCGGATGCCGAGGGATTCTCACTAGGCTCAGCGATATCAGCATCCACCTCGCCATCCTCAGCTCCCAGTCGGAGCACCTCCCCCAGCCCAAGTAGAGGCAGAAATAAAACCCTCAGCCCCTCGTCATCTACGACCTCCATCGTCCCATCATTCTCTCTCTCTCCAACTTCCCTTCCAACACCTCCTGGTCCCAAACTCTTCCTCATCCCCCGCAGTGCGCACCTCTCGCAATCTGACTTTGGCCTGCTCTTCCCCAAGTTGACGCGGTATCTGATGAAAGCCGAACAGCCAAAAGAGACAATCCAACTGAACGTCCGGGCGGTATTGAGCGTGATGCGTGGTGCCGGTCTGGAGATCGAAAACTACCAGAACGGACTGGAAGAGGAGCAAGAGGATCCCATTCTCACGGACCGCTGCAATGAGGAAAGATTTGTCCCTTTGAAGTTGGTGGAGTGAATGAACAGGCTCGTGTTCTGTTGTACGGTTGCCCCGGGGGGGAGGAAATCGGTGAAATAGGGTACCGCGACGGGAGTTGTTCATCGTTCAAGATCCTTACGGAGCTGCAAATGGGCCCGGGGGTTAGCGGGATGGGATTTGGAATTCTTCGTATTGTGTCAAGTTCTATTTTCCATTGTGGGCACTTCAAGCACAGCGAAAGGATGTAGGATGGTGGAGCGATGCACATCAATCGGAGTTACTTGTTGGTTTGAAAAGAGGAACTCAGGTTAGAAAAATTCCGAGAGGGGGAAAAATATGGCAGAGCATTTTGGCCCGGAGAAAGGACAAAAAGGGTCGCCGATGCGGTTAAATCATCTTCACCGTCTGGAGTCAGTCTCTTGCTTTGATTCAAAGGATCCTCGCTATGCTATTGAGATGTAGTCTAGTACGTTGGGGCAGAACACCAAGAGAGAGGAAGTTTATCGTTATCACTGCACTACCCAGTGGTCCTTTTTCGCATTGGGGAGAAGCGACCTTGTTGGCTGTTTGTCATTCGTTCATGTCGTCACCCCTTCCAAGGCTGGGTAGATGGATCTCTGCCGTTCGATCGCGTATTCTCGGAAACCAAACTCTTCCCTTCAACCTTCCCCCTTCCACATATGTCACCCTTGGACCGACTCAGTCTTCAACCCCCTTCCATTTCGCTTTTTGGAAAATGAATCAACAACACGACCTTCTATCTGTCGTCGTCTCGCTAAACCGAATTTCCCATTCACTAAGTCCCCGGACTGGGTCATCTTTGACTGCGAGCAGAGGGCTCTTTGGCAGATTCATTCACAAATCAGGATCTTCTTCATCAGGCAGTGGCATTGCGGCAGCCTCGGTCATCTCCTTCTGATACTGATCCAGCTGTTGCGGGTTGATCTGGACTTCAGGTGGTGCAAGAGCTGGAGCGGCCACAAATTCGAGTTGAGAGTTGCCAACCAATTTTCGTGCCAACCAGAGGAAAGGCTTCTCGAAATTGTAGTTGGACTTGGCCGAAATATCGTAGTATTGAAGATTCTTCTTGCGATGAAATGTGATGGTCTTGGCCTTGACTTTACGCTCCTTGACATCGACCTTGTTTCCGCAGAGGACAATGGGGACATTTTCACACACTCGGACGAGATCACCTGGTAGATCTTGTTAGTCTTGTAAGAGTCGAGGGATAAATATGTTGGGACTTACGATGCCAGTTGGGGACGTTCTTATATGTGATTCGCGAGGTGACATCAAACATGATGATGCCGCACTGCCCGTTGATGTAGTAACCATCTCTTAGACCACCGAATTTCTCCTGGCCGGCGGTGTCCCAGACGTCAAATTGGATTTGACCAAGATTCTGCATCGGCGTTAGAGTTGGGTTTGTCATAGGATTCCGGATGACGTACGGTTGAGAAGCCGAGGGGATGAACTTCGACGCCAAGTGTGGCGATATATTTCTTTTCGAATTCTCCTGTAAGATGGCGCTTGACGAAGGTGGTCTATCAAAGGCGTCAGTACGCTGAGTTTCATAAAGACGGGTCGCACATTGCGACGACCAACCGGGGCGGAAATGGGTCTCCTATAGAAGTCATACCTTTCCTGTGCCACCATCACCGACCAAGACCAGTTTGAAGGTTGGTGGACCTTGGGCAGCTTCCGCCATGATGATTGTTGCCTTGTAGAGGATAAGATATTAAGAGGGAGATAAGTAGAGGAGGGTCTGGATGTCGAGATGATGGGGATACCACAGTCTTGATAGTTGCGGTATTTGCGCAGAGGTGATGAAGAGGAGAAAAGTGGCGATTTGAAAGTGTTGTGAAGCAAAGCGGCGCAGATTGAGATGAGAGAGGCAGAAGATTTGTTTTCTGGAAGTTGCATGCCAAGGCCCGTTCTTCTTTGCTGGGGGGGGGTCGGGCAGCTCATTTTTCGCCAAGTCACGTGCCATGACAGGCAGGGATCTGATATTTTCTACCCGTCTGCTTTCGACATCGCGCGGGGCATCTACAGATATCAGAGCAATGATTAATTCCCTTCAAGGTCTTCAGCATTGGTACATTGTCTGAATTCGAGGTCTATGATCATATTCTCTCTATGAGACAGTGCCCGGAAAAACCAATCAGTCCATCGCTGTATTGACACCAGTTCGATTAGGCCGCTCCAAAGGCACTGATTTGGCTGCAAGTGTCTGATGATTCCTCACCTGGTTCAAACCACTCTTCGTTCAAAATTAATTCAATCACAGCCAGTCTTTCCTTTCCACGGGGCTTAGGCAGTGAAAGCCTTTCATCGTGCCATCACCCCACCAAGCGCTGTTCCTCAAAGTCTTGCGGGATACCGCGATCACAAACGACAGCCTAATGAAACACTGAATCCGCTGCCAGAAGTTGCCGCTGCTTTTACGGATACAACGTTCTTCCGCATTCCAGATGCACTTTGCATCGGCCCCACCAAGTGCAACATGTATATCTTATATTGGGATGATGTGACAGCCCAATGTTCCTCTACCACCCCAGTTTTGCCTCGGGGTCAGTCTCAGATCCAGCTCCTGTGCCCGTGGTCCATTTCCTCGAGAGACTTTCACCAGGATCGGCCGACCCAAACTTTGACTGACAATTTCACCGACTTTTCGTAGTCTTTCGTGATTCGACCAAATAGCATCGCCAAATCTTCTTATTAAATCACCAGCTTTCAGACCAGCTTCATTCGCAGGACTGCCTGGCTCAACACTGTTCACTTTGGCAAAGGGCGTATCGGGAACGGAGGGCGGTGGTTGGGAGACAACCGGAGTGGGTTCTGATTTTGGTTGGGAGAGGGAATTCTTGTATTCATCTGAAGCTTGGTATGCAGCATGATGTTCATGAAGGCCTTTTTCGATTCTGTCCATCAGATCTTTCCAGTCATTTCGCAAGATGATGATCCGTGTTCTGGTGACTCGGATTTGTGCCACATCAATGTCTGAACGGGGGAAGCCGTCGAAGGTGGTAAGACTGGTTTGCATATTGACTCCATGACTATCCAAGACTGCACCTAGGGCTTTTAGCTCTGCTTCAAGATTGTCCTTTCGAAGGATCAGTTCTTGTAACGATAGACTTTCGAATGACTCGGCCTGGTGAACCGATGTAGGGCCACTTGGAACATGAATATTTGCAAGATTAGGATCCATTGGTAGTCCCATGGTCATTAAGAGTGTGTACAAAGGCGACGATGGAGTTCTTGTTGCAAACGCACCGAGGCGCAGGCAAAATTACGAACGCGTAACTAGCAGTAGGACCAGACACGATGTATAATGCGGGGGTTTGCCAAGACGAGTATTTACCCGATGTTACTCCGGCTACTCTCAGCCCACTACAAACTCGAGACTTTTATTTTCACGAGATAGAAGGGCAGGTCATCTCGTCTCTTGATACCAGAAAGATCCAAACAAGCTTCCTCTGCAACCGACTTGGTCCTTCCAACTCTGATTTGTCGTGCTTCACTCTCCCTGTGATTAAATGTCCCTTCCAGTTCGATGATCTCTTTAGACAAACACCAGCTGCGGATCGTCCAAGTGCTCATACTGATGTGGGAGCCAATTTTGCAACTTTTCTTTTTTGGGGAGGACAGGAAGGAGGAGCGTGTTCGTCCAAAACGTCAATCAAGCTACCGATATTCGTAAAAACCCCAGCTCAACGAAGATGGTCATTAGAATCGAGACTTGCCTACGACAAAGTGTCTCTCAAGGCTGAACAGTTTTGGATGCTCGGCAACATCCAGCTGTGTGACGTCCTGCACGTGACCTGGAAATCCCGGAACAGAGTTGACGCATGCTATGCACTCTGCATGTTGTTCAAGAGCAGTCTTGTTGTTGCGTTTCCTTCCAGAGTATGCTCCAAATCTGAGATGATAGCTTTCCTGCATCTATCAGACCCGGATATTGAATCTGCCAGCGACGGTTGAGGTGAGTTCTTCTAGGAAGCGTTTCTAAAGCAGTTGTTGACGAGCTCGAGGTCTTCAATAGACCCTAACACTGCATACCTGGAAGATTTGTTTCGAGATTGGTGGTCATCTCCACGAGTTTTATCCTGAGTGCATGTTCTACCACCGAGGAACATGAATGGAAAGGTAGCATGCAAAATAAAGATGGCCCTATCAAGAGAACAGAGGACCTGTCAAGGCAAATTCCCTCCAGCGTTGGACTTGACCTAAGACCTATCGTCGCGGTATATGGCCAACGGCGCTCGACCTTGTTGAAAAATCCTTCAGTTCAACGGGCAGCCATAGTGGGGAAGTCGAGCCAACATCTGTCGGTTCATCATACGCAGCACTCATAACCCACAAGACTGGCACGAATTCCGACATGCCGTCCTCTTCAGCAATCAACAGGTTACAATCTCATATGGCCTCCAATCGGATTGTCATTCTATCACCGAAGGGATCTGAACGTTCAAAGCTCGAGTTAAATCTAGGCGATGTCGGGACCAAAGACGAACTGCCATATCCAAGAGTGAGTAGATCCCGCGGTGGACAAATTATCCGAGCCTCAACCGGATCTTTGGTAAGAAAGTTGAGTTTGGCATCATTTACGCACCATTTTCGAGACAGTCGAGGATCCTGTCGCTCACCACTCGAAAATCATACGATGCTTCTACTGAAAGCAGGCGAAGCAGGACCAAAGTCTCTGTACCAGTGTTTGAAGTCCGCAAAGAAAGCTTTGACGAGTGGACACCTGGCAAGGAGAAGTCGCATAGGGAATAATGGGACGAAGAGGTTGTCATTTTCACCAAGAGACAACAATCCAGCGAGAACAGCAAAGAGCCAAAAGAGTGGTCAGGAGAGCATCGCCGAAGGAGGACCCGATGATACTGCGGAGATGTTCAACGGAGAAGAGAAGGAGGTGGCGGAAAAGCAAGAGAGTGTAGAAACACTGGTCGGCAGGAAGAAATGACGAATAAATCCGTTGGGGATATGGAAGGCGTTGTCGGCTGAAGGTCTTCGATACAATGTTGTATTCGAGTATATAGGAATCACCAATAAGACTGGCAGGGGGGCAGAAGAGACATTTACGAAGGCTTTCATATTGAGTTGATCGGTTGAATTGAATGGCTCCGGCAGCCTTGGTAACGGAGTAGAACGATGAAGCGAGATGTGGACGAATGGTCTTTTGAGGGCTGGCCATATTTTCACTCCCACTGCGGGTCCCAGACTGAATGGCGTGATCAAAGCCCAAGTTTGCGATTGAATGGCAATCACACAGCAGTTCTGTTAAGCTAAGCTTTTCTTTATCTCATGCCAGTGGAGCTTAATCTCAATTGATTGGATTTAGATGGTAGAAACGGAGTTTATTGTAGACCGTCCGACCCAGATTCCCCAACTCAATTTCTTTTGATACCGGAAGTGTTGGGTATCACGAGCGAGATTCGCGGCTACTTCTACTTCTCACGGAGAGAAGGCATAGACACGTAGGCGGGAATGTATCACATGCTGGACGACGCAGAGAAGATGGATCTGCGCGGAAGCCAAAAAAGGCGGCAGAACTACAAATACAATTGAAAAAGAGATATTTGAACGGGGTGCGCATATTGCTTTCGTATTTGATATAGGGATCGCGATTCAATCGTGTTCGAATCCGATGCAACGTCAATGTCAAAACAGCGAGATATATGTACAAATAAGTAGGTATCCTCAAACATTAAGATTTGGAAAGAATAATTAGATACACAACCCGAGACAGGTCGTGTCCCGTTGATCGACGGCTAGGACGAGGAGTTGGTGGGCTGGTCTGGCTCAGAGGACGTGGAAGAGGACGTTATCATGACCCTCTGAGTGATATAAGATGGTAGGTGGTGAGGATATTCGTGAAACATGAATTCTGACTCGAAGGCAAATGGCCCCCGAATCAGGGTTCCTCCCGGGCAATATATGGACAGTGTTCTCCAGAAATTGGTTCATTTACAGAACCAAAACCAAACCGGCCATGGCCATGGCGCCGACACCAGCTATATTGCCGTCGACGTTATGAACGGCGGCTCCAGTGTAGGCGGAGGAAGCTGGAGAGGTGGAAACAGGAGCGGTAGTGACGGGAGCGACCGAGGTGGGTGCTTCGGTGGTAGGCTTGGCCTCCTCGCCGCCGGATGATGATGATGATGATGAAGAAGCGGGGATCATGCTGGTCCAGCTCTCGGCGACACTGTAAGAGATGGCCGTGGGAACGGCCCAGGTCGATGATCCTGAACTGTAGGTTGCGGTATAGGAGGTGGTGGAAGTCCATTCGGAAGGTCCTGTCCAAGCACTGCTGGCGGCTTCAGTGGTGGTTGCATTTGGCGCAGCGGTCGCGTAGGTGCAGGAAGTCCAGGTGCTGTGAGCATCGGAGAAGGTGAAAGTGAAGGACCAGGCTGGTTCAGGGGCTGCGAGAGCGGAGGCAGCCATGAGGGTCGGGATCGCGATGAACGCCTTCATTTTGATACTTTGTCTTCTGGAATTGGGAAGGGTCTGGTTCGTAGAAGTAGTTGGTTCTGAGTGGGAAGAGAAAACGAATGGATGTGTTCAACGAGGAAACACTGGAGGTTATAAGGAGCGAGGGAAACAATAGTCCGTGCTGTCAAGGCTGTCGAAGTGTCGATGTCAATTAAAAGCAAGAAAAGGAGAAGTCAAAGACAATGGATCACCCGCATGCCTATATAATGGTAGCGTGACACAAGGAGACAGGTCAACCTGGAAAACACCTAAAGGTTCTGGACGTGTTAAAGCTAAAGAGGAGCTAGGACAGCCTCGCGCAACGCTTCTTGTTCACCGGACAGGGGTCAGGGAAATTGGCACCTCGTTCTGGTGCTCTCTGGTGCTGGGACAAACCGCAATTAAACTTGACAAGCTTTTGAAGGTTTGGGGATCGGCAGCGATGTCGCCTTTGGGCGCAAGGCCGGCAGCGTTGATGCCATTTCTCTCTGCTGTGGTTCGATAGAGGTTGAGATCGAGTGGAATGCCATGTGGTTTTCAGCCACGAGCCCGTCCGAGGTCAAGATTCCGATCTTGAGCTGCTTACCTCTAGAGACACAGTATCTTGATCTCAGATATCACCTTGAACAGGTTGTGAGGGCATTGAATAACTGGCGAATGTGAAAGGGGATGACATCTTTAGCAGAGGCTGTCAAAGCTTTCAAATAGCCGAACCCCTGTAAATCAGCCCCCCAAAAGAAACAGGGACTTGCTTTCCAACTGACCAACTGACCCGCCCATCAAAGTACTCCATATATCACAGCTGAGCCTGCCATTTTCCATCGATAATCGACTGACTTGCATGCAACACGGCAAACCTCCCTCGTAGCCCGATTCGACAATGGTGCAGCCAAATTTGAACTCCCTATTACGAGTCCTTGACATGTGCGAGCCGGACGTCTGCCGAAGGAGCCGCCTGCGGTTCACTGAACGAGGAACTTATTGTGATTGATACCAGCACACGAAGACCATTACCCACCCTGCTCTCCTCATGACCGCCTTTTCTCATAAACGTTCCCACGATTCCTGCCGTAGCAAACGTGTCATCTGCATTACAAAGAATGCCATTTTCTACAGACGCGGAGATTTCGATGTTGATGCAAATGGGCATGGATAGTGCGCAGGGACAGGGGCAGAGACATTACACCTCTCTTTGGTCATGAATCTCACCGATCGTCTGGATGAGATCCTACTTCAAATACCACGATTAAGCGACCCGAAAGGACACATCCGAATATTTCTGTGAACATCGATACCGGGATGCCGTCGCGGCCTGTAAAGTGTTGTGTTCATGAAACTTTACATACTCAGTCGTGGCCGTTCTCTAAGAGGCGACGCGATACCAGGATGCTGAGATGTGCTCCCACGCCTCGTTCTTGTCATCTCAGGATGCCGATATGTAAGTCCGTGTCTTCTTAATCTATCGCTCCACCCAGGCTACTCCTACGACTATCCTAGTACGTCGTCAGGATCCATACACCCTAATCTTCACATGGGATTGCATATCCGAAATGGATATGCACGACGTCTCGGTAAGTTTGGGACTAGGCAGACGAAACTGAGATGGGAGAGATTGGGGGCTTGAATACAGACGAGGTTCGTTGCATGGGTAGGACAAAGCTAGTCCAGCCTTACTGTCTAGCTCCCCCCTTTCCCCCAAGCCTGGCACCTGCGATGACAACATCGTCACAATGTTCTAAACATTCGGCCGAGGGTAATTTGTACAAGCTTGGTTTCTCCATGCGAAAAAAGAATACGTCATTTCCCCCATATCGGGCATCGTATGTCAACACTATTCAAGATCAACGTGACCCTTCAAGCGCTGTTGGACTGAATTTCCAACGATCCAGCATTGTATCCAAACAACTGACGCCCTTCAACGACATTTACATAAATCGACGCTTCCCAGCATACCTGGGCTCCCTCATACTCGGCCGGGTCTGGCACCACCCTTCTTCGGAACAGTCCACGGTTCTGGACATACTGTCTGGAAGCATTACGTCAGCAAGGTCCGCGAGTACAGAAAAGGGGGGTGGTCTTACCTCTCCTTCTGAATAAGCCCAGAAATATACAACCACTCCAATGATATAATACAATGCTGCATTGGTAGCTTGATACATCATGACCCCAGCGAGGGCGCACAAGGGGTACACCACCAATCTGGCCTCGAAGCTCCTATGTAAGCCGGGCAGCATCTTGACCACAGGATGCAAGGGCCATTCCCATGCAAAACTCAACATTCCCAATATGAGGTTGATGATCTGTAAGACAGGAAATGGCTTGACGGCTCCATCGAGGTTTTTGGTGAGGAAGTCCCAGAAGATCTTGGGCCAGAAGAAACCCTCGAGACTAGCCAAGATTTGATAGACGGCAGCGGTCAAGACGATGAGGCGTGCCCAGTGGTTCTTGATGAGTTTGCCCATTATGTCGAAGAGGCCGGCAAGAGTTCGGATGGGATTGAATTGAAGTTGTACAGACTTGAAGGGGAAGAAGAACCAAAACTGAAGGAAAAACGAGAGTCGTGGCCGTTAACCCAAATGATCGGACAAAGAGAGCACGCAAGAACGACGACCTGCGCCTGAAGGTCACCGATAGTGCATCTGGGTCGAGAAAGTATATGAGGAGAATGGGCAGACCCGGGTGTGGGAATGCTTGGTCCCCTTATGACGGAGCAGAAACAAGTGATTTCGGTGATGGGGTGAGCCGGTCAGGAAAGTTGCTTGGGTGAAATGATGGTGAGGAGAGATTTCCAGTCAGAGGAAGGGTGTTAGAGAATGCCGGTTCTGCGACCGTCCGAGCGGCGAGAGTATTATGGAGGTGGATTTGGTGCGTATGAGATTGGTTGCAGATGTTGTCTCGTCGCAGAGTGGTTGGGGGGTTTTGGAGACGGTAACTGTCGCAGGTGTGGAGTGAGAGCACCCGACAGATCCCAACACCACCGTGCAAACCAAATTTTAATTGATTTTGTACTCACGATGGGAAATGGTAAGAGTATGATGTCTAATGGAATTGGTAGAGAGCCGTGGGAAGTGGGAAAAGTCATTATCTTTTGGTTGCGAGGCACCACCGAGCAAAAGCGGCCAACCTTGCAGAACTGCCATGGCCGTTGAAGGCCACCGCGTGCCGACCTAGAAGCGGTCATCATGCAGTGAAGCAATTGGAATCGAATATTCTGTGCCAGCTCACTCCACTTTCCAATAGTATTGTCTTGTCCCTGCCAGATCTGGAATTATATCTCAGGATGGAGTGGAATGATTCGTAGAGGTTGGGAGACAGAAGGCGGTGATTGGGCGCAGGTCAGCAGGCTATGTGGCCGTTTAAGCGCCCGAAATAGAATCCGAGCAAGAGATGGAGAAAGGTTGGTTGCCGTACAGATCCCAAGTTTTGGCCGAGTCGTGGCGGAGGGGTTGTCGTTGGATGGCGGGATACCCATTGCAAGATGGTGGTGAACAATGGTGAACGAATGGCCATCTGGAACACGGGGATGTGACACGGAACCTGCAGCGGGAGCTAAGGAATGATAGGCGAGGAAATCGAGGAGAACGAGCCAGTCAGAGTCGCCAGCAGCGGGCATTTCCTGGGCAGGGCGGTTGCAGGCTCACGATGATACGCTGGCAGTTGGGAGGTATTGGCAGGTATTTTACCGATATGCAGGTCTGCGTGATGGTCACCCCAATATTCCAATATATTCGCCGTTTGCTAGTACATACCGTCTGCAGCATAGTTCTTTGCTTCGTTTGTCAAGTACATACCCACGACCATGATTTTGTTTCCATCACCCATGTAGTGCATTGCAAGAGTGCCTTGCAGTTGTCCACAGCGTCTCAGCGGCGCTGACAGGTGGTGGTGTTCATCCGTACGCCGTACGTCCGTGTGCTCTGGCACCTGTCATTCAATCTCGAATACCCTGTAACCGCCGAACCTTACCCCAACAGGCTTAACGTATCCGTGGCGGACCCAGGCCTCAGGGCCCAGGGCGCAGTCTTCTCCACATTTGGTTCTTCCTTCTCTACCAACAATGGACTTCAACGCAAGCGAGTACATACCATTCTGTAAGTTCATCAGTCTCTTCATCTTCATCACATCGTCTCTTTTTCTTTTCTATCTCGCTTCCAGCATAATTAATCCCCGAATCCAATCTCCCCTCGTCTTTCACCACGTGCAAAAAATAACCTCCACCTCCGACACCACGCTCTCTTCCTGTTACACCTATTGTCCCAGGATCCACTTCAAGCCTGTTTCGACCTCAAGCACCCGTCATACTAATTCATTCGACCTCCCTCAACTCCGACTTCTCTTGCTTAACTTGCTTCACCCTGCTGCTGGTGGTCCCCCTCCCCGGACAAATACTCCCTCAACTGCGACACGCCGAACCTCACCCAACCAAACACCAATTTACCTTCAGTACCGCCTTCTCGTGTGATCCAACGTATGATCAACTCGTCAAACATCCATCTCTCGGGTTACCGGCCTCCGGACACCCTAGCAGATATCTAGCATTTGTTTTCTCAAAAGCCTCCATTCTCGGCCTTTTTCTGAGCTTGAATTGACTGTCTGTCGTTTATTATCCGCCCCGAGAAGTCTAACGCTCATTGATTTGATTTGGGTTCTACACAAGCCAGATATGCGGAGGAGATAAACCATCTGGCACTGAGGAAACAATTAGCTATTGACCATTAAACCGAGGAAGCACCGATCTCATCAATCAGCAGGCGATTCAACCATGGCTACTCTCAAATCCCATTTTGCTCCGAGCAAAATCGTCTTTTATATTTTGTGGTGGGGGTTTCATTGGGCTATCTTTGCCGTTGGCTGGTAAGCCTGTTCATTTATCAGCTCGGCTATATCACTGATCTCCAATCTAGGTGGAAGCAACAAGCAGATCCTCGATTAGCTGGTCTCAACACCCTCACTTTCTCAGTGTGGATCTCTCGAGGTGCCGGCCTGGTCCTCTCCGTCGATGTGATGCTCATTCTTCTTCCAATGTGCCGAAATCTCATGCGTTTCCTTCGACCGAAATTCAAATGGCTTCCTCTCGATGAGACGCAATGGTTCCACCGACAGTGTGCCTACGCCATGCTTGTCTTCACAGTCATCCACACTTGCGGCCACTATGTCAATTTTTTCAACGTCGAACGGACTCAGATTCGTCCCGAAACCGCAATCCAAATCCACTACACCCAAGCAGGCGGTATTACGGGTCATATCATGCTGCTCTGCATGCTGCTGATATATACTACTGCCCATCATAGAATCCGACAGCAGTCCTTCGAGACTTTCTGGTATACACACCACCTCTTTATTCCCTTCTTCCTCGCCATGTACACCCACGCTGTGGGCTGTTTCGTGCGAGATACCACCGATCCATTCTCTCCTTTCGCTGGAAAGAATTTCTGGGATCACTGCCTCGGGTACGAGGGTTGGCGATGGGAATTGATCTCTGGTGCTCTCTACCTCGGCGAACGTCTTTGGAGAGAAGTCCGCGCCCGCAGAGAAACCAAGATCTACAAGGTGATCCGTCACCCTTACGACGCAATGGAAATTCAATTCCAAAAACCCAGCATGAAATACAAGGCTGGCCAGTGGTTATTCGTCAACATCCCGGCCGTGTCTAGCCAGCAATGGCACCCTTTCACAATCACTTCCTGCCCATTCGACCCCTATATTTCAGTCCATGTTCGTCAAGTGGGCGACTGGACAAAAGCCGTCGGTGATGCATTAGGATGTGGCCCAGCACAAGCCAAAGAATTCGACGCTCTGGATAGCAATGGCATTTACGAGATTGCGCTGAGACATGGCCAGGAAATGCCTGCCATCCGCATCGACGGACCTTATGGTGCACCCGCCGAAGACGTCTTCGACAATGAAATTGCTGTCATCATCGGAACAGGCATTGGTGTCACCCCCTGGGCATCAGTGCTCAAGCACATCTACAACATCCGTGCGGGACCCAATCCGCCCCGACGTCTCAAGCGTGTTGAGTTCCTTTGGGTTACTCGCAGCATTGAATCTTTCGAATGGTTCCAGACCCTTTTGTCCTCTCTCGAACGACAGTCTGCCGAGGCCGCTGAAACTGTCGGTGGCCCTGAATTCCTCCGCATTCATACGTACCTCACACAGCGTGTGGATGCCAACATGGCCGCGAACATCTACCTTAACACAGTGGGCAATGCCGTGGATCCTCTAACGGAGCTACGTACCAAGACTCAATACGGTCGACCAGATTTTAAACGTCTCTTCGGCGCCATGCGTGATGGTCTTATGGACCAGACATATTTGGACGTCGGTAAGGAAGCCAGTATCACCGCTCAAATGAAGGCAACGGTTGGTGTATACTTCTGCGGACCCAGTGCCGCCGCACGGGAAATCAAGTCCGCTTGTAAAGCCACAAGCAATGATTTGGTTAAATTCCGCTTCTGGAAAGAACATTTTTAAATGTGTCTTTTTGGGAGGGGGCGGTATCTGAAATTGACTGGTTCATTTGAATACGATGCGATGTGATGCGATGTTTCATGGCTTAGGGAAAAGCCCAGATCAAATGTTTCAATGTCAAGACCTCAAAAGGCGAAGACCCCGGTTATTTTTCATTTCCACCTTTTTTCTTTTCTCTATTTTTGGACAGAATTGGTATTTGGGAATGGGGAATGTCACGTACGGATTGGGTTGAGTTGATTTGATTTTCAGCAAGCGAAAGCCCGCCAGATACACCCACAAGCAAGCACGGAAAGAGAAGGACAGCCTCTTTTTATGTACAATATGTTGACTAGCATGCTCACCTTATGGCATGACGTGGCTACGAGACTCGACTTAAACCCGGACTCAGATGGGGATAACAGTCTCTTGGAAGCGACACAGAAAATTTTTAAAAAAAAAAGAAAAAATTTTTGAGAAAATTTTAGATCCCAGGAACTTCGCTTTCCCAGTCACTCAGTTTGCATTTGATCTCTGCTACTTTCCGCCGGTTCTGACGCCTCCGACTGTGAAGGCCTTGCTGGACTTGCATTCGAGCTCACTGTGAGCAGTTGTGTTCGGAGTCCCGAGTCTTGTGTCCTGCTTACTGTTCAGACATGTTTACATTTTCATCGCCACGCATTTGGAGTTTGCCCCCTGCACATCCATCTCATCATCTTCGTTTGACATTTGCAGATCCTCGTGGTGTTTGTTCTTCATCTCGATAAATCCCAAGATCAGGTCCAACCCTCGCTGTTGAATTTGTGGCACCTAGGCGGTTGGATGACCTTGTCTTGGACCCATGGTCTCGTTACGAATTCCAGGTCGTTCGGAGTTCTAACGAGATTGTCAGTACATGTTTCCTAGGATAATTCAAATCTGCATGTGAACTCACCGAAACAGTCTGCATCTGACCGGTCTCGAGAATCTTCTTGATGACGTCGTCTTCATACGACGTACCAAACTCATTCTCCAAACTAGCCTTGGATGCTCCGTCCATCTGACCCTGTGCACCGTGCTTGTGTGTCACCATGATCTTAAACGAGTTCACCACCTGCGCCAACGGGATGGATTTGTCCGCCTTCCATGCTTGCAAGTCTTCTGGAGATTCGACGAAGACGATGAAGTCATCGGTGTTGCCTTTGTAGAAAACTTTAGTGATGAGACCGGTTCCGCGAGGCATAGTGGGTGTGACTTGAGAAGTTTACTTGGGTGCTTGACGAGGGTGGGAGTGATGGTGAGGTTGAACGGTGTGATCACACGACAAGGGTTGGAAGTTCAAGGATGAGGTTGGACTTCGGGGTTGAGAATATTTAGAGGATCAGTGGTCAAGCAGGAGGGTTCTCTTAAAGTAAACTGGCCTTTTAGTGAAGAGGATTCAGGCAGTGAGTTAGAGTTGTGGAATGAAGAAACATAAATGCTCTTTTCGAGAATCCTCGCAGGCCGAATGACGTCAACTCCATCAGACAATCGTCAGGGGACAAGGCACAAATACCCACCCCGCCATAGAGAAAGCTACGGAAACAAGGAAACCATCGAGCCAGGTTCGTAATTCAGATCCCACCGCCATTGACCTGACCTCGGCGTTCATCATCATATTGATCACTGGTGCTGCTATCTGAATGTGGCCAGCTGAACTGTGTGGCCAATAGCTAGTGATGTCTAGGTTGGCGGATTCGGCTGCAGAGCCTCACATGACTGAATCCTTGACTCTTGAGCCACTGACGTTGTAGTACGATGGAAATCTATCGACAATAACGGGTTAAAATTCAAAGAAGATCTTGCATTGACTAAATCGATCCTCCGTGTCCTGATATAGTCCTTGTGTCAAGATTTCAATTTTTCTCAGCAGCCAAGAAAGATCTTGACGCCATGAAACAGGAGAGAGACCTCCTTCAGACAACTCGCACGGTTCCAGCGGGCAAACTCACCTACGACATCACCCCCTCCTGTTCTTTCGGTTCATTAAGGACGCATCCCGTTATGCCAGAGCCCTCCTTCAATCTCCCCTACCCAGCAGGTCCTTGATTTTTGCAGCGATTAGTTGTTCATCTGCTCACTTGTCAATAAACCCCTATCCCTGCGCTGGGCGAGGGGACGCACGAGAATATGTCTTCCGTCGATATTATTCCCCGGGATATGCTGAACCTCAGTCAACTTTACTGCGAGATCGAGACGAGAATATGAAGATTGAGTTTTTTTTTTTTTTTTTTGGGTCACCTGACTTTAGCTGGGAGCGCAAGGGGCACAAGGGGCACAAGGCTGAATTTAAGATTCGGACGATATCAATGCCGATAGTATATTCGGCGGATGATAAACGTTCTTAGGAACTAGAAGAAGAAGACCGAACATCTCCAGTCCCTTCCTAACGGCCAGGTTCTGATAAAAGAAAGATCTATACGGACGGATGGGCATTGATCATCCACGGGATTGAGAGCCAATAATCTGCCCGTCCTAGGAACCGGGCGAAGTTGAAAGTGGATGTCATGGATACACCATTCGCACTCTTCGCGAAGGTCAAGTCATCATTTATCTGATGAACTCAGGATCCTATTATACGGTGCAAAGCAAGTATGGAGCAGGTCAGACCTGATCATCTTCCTCGATGTTGGGTTGTCAAGCGAGCCAGGTAAGGAAGGGTAAGGCATTTTGTCTATTGCAAGAACAACGGCATTGAGTCCATCGACATCCACGTTTACACATCTTTGTCTATGTCCATTGGTGTGCACCTTTGCTTCCAGCGTCGTGTTACATACTCGAGGGGGGGAAAAAAGAGGGATCATTCGCAGGCTTACTGGCTCCAACGTACGGGAAAAACAATACCGCCCAAACCTGCCCAAATATTGCTCACCCTCCTCCACGCCACCTATGTCTGGGCTGACCTTCACTATCCCGCCTCCCGTCATTGAGCTCCAGAATAGTCATCGTCGCTGTCCCCATCTGAAGTTTTCCTCTGCCTTTCGACAGGAATCAATCTGTACCATCCAGTTCACTATTGTGACCAGTAATCATCATAATTGAACGATCAGGCAAGTCCCGAATTTCAAACATGAATCTAGATATCGGTAAATGACATTCTTCAGACTCTGACCTGAGGTATACGTACGCACGTAAGTCATATAACTCCTGAGTAAGGTAAGCTGGACAGTGTGCATGTTCGTTCACATCTCACCCATAAAGGAGCACAGTACTGGTAGCGAATCTACATCCGAACACCCAAAGTCCGAGGCAAAGGCTGACCAGCGACCGGGCTAGTCCTCTTGTGGGGCTACCGAACGAGCCCTCCCCCGCATTGCGATACGTCCTAAGCGGACCCAGTAAAATCTCTCCTCTGCATCTCATAGTCCCCCAGTTCCGATTTGTAGGTACGACAAATCGACCATCTAGATCGCTGATCAAGGTAACGAAAAGCTTGACCGAGTCTCATAATACCTCGCAGTGACTCCAGTTTTCGGGTTTGCCCGCGAAATTCGCCCATCATTCATCATCGACGATACGATACAATAGCGAAAACACACACTCGAGGCCGATGATCAGCTGTCCGATTTGGATCGGCGTAGCGGTGGCGATATAATGACTGAATTTGTTCCATGTCAGAGATTCAGGCCACCGACGTCGCTGAATTACCCTTCGGCATGACGATCTCCCATCAGACTTTTCAGTACGCACCACCGGATTTCCTGACCGTCGACCGATATTAAAACCACAAGGTCATTGCTCTGCTGTGTTTCATCGAGACCCAGACAAGATTACAATACGAGAGCACGAACAGATTCAATCCACAGTCATGGATCGAAAAGGCACTAATTCACCCATTGAATTGACCCCCCTTGCCGAACATCCTTCCCCCCCAACCATGCTCCTTCGGTACGCCTTGTGGGCAATCGTCGTCCTCTGCGCGATACGAGTCCTGCTATTTCTCTACAAGTCAATCACCTCACCCCTGCGCACTATACCGGGCCCATTTCTCGCTCGATTCGGGAAATTTTATTATTTCTTCCGAGTCATGCGCGGGCGTTGGGAACATGATGACATCACCTTGCATCGCAAATATGGCCCCATTGTCCGTGTCGCACCCAACATGTACAGCATTGATTCGCCCGAGGTTGTCAAGAAAGTGTACGGCATTGCTTCGAAATTCCCAAAGTCAGAATGGTATGATGGGTGGAAACATCCTGATCCAGCTCGGTGGACGCTGTTCCCCGATAGAGATATGAAGAGACATGCCGAAACCCGAAAGAGATTTCAGGCCATGTATTCTATGTCGAGTTTGGTCAATTATGAAGGGTATGTCAATGAATGCGCTGAAATCTTCGACAAAAGATTAAGGGAGTTGGCGACGCGCGGCGAAACGATTGATATGGCTCATTGGCTCCAGTGCTACGCATTTGATGTGATCGGCGACATTACCTATTCCCAACGATTCGGGTTTTTGGATAAAGGAGAAGACGTTGCGGGGTTGTTGAAGGCCTTGCATGGAGTGTTAAGATACAGCACCCTGATTGGAATCTATGCCCAATGGCATCCCATTCTCTTCGACATGTTCGCTCGTCTTGGATTGGGTGGTGCAGCAGGTCGAAACTACTTGATGAGGTATGTGGAACAAAGAATCCAGCAGAGGAAAACAGAAAAGAGAGCTGGTCAGGATGTTGGAAAATCAAAGGACACAGATGAAAACGCACCGATGGATTTTCTGGAGAAACTTATGGTGGCAAATGAAGAGGATCCCCAAAAAGTCACAGCCTATCACGTCTTCATGATGGGATTATCAAACATCATTGCAGGCTCTGACACGACTGCTGTGAGTCTATCATCAATCTTGTATCACCTTTTGAAGGCTCCAGATAAGATGCGGAAGCTTCGACAAGAGATAAAGGAGTTTGAAGATCAAGGCCGTTGTGGAAACAATAATGTCTCATTCAAGGAGAGCCAGGAGATGCCATACCTGCAGGCTGTGATGAAGGAAGCCCTCCGAATGCACGCAGCAACCGGGCTGCCATTGTGGAGAGATGTTCCCGAAGGAGGAGTTGAGATTTGTGGTCGATTCTTCCCAGAAGGCATCACCATTGGACTCAATACCTGGTGCGCACATTACAATGAGAGTGTATTCGGTCCAGATGCTCGAGAATTTAGACCGGAAAGGTGGATTGAGGCTGAGGAGGAGGGTGGAGAGAAACTGAAGAGAATGGACGCCTATTATTTGCCGGTAGGTGACAACATTTGAAAAGTGTGAATCCTGTCCGTGAATGCTGATCGATTCATAGTTTGGCCTGGGGTCTAGGACGTGCATTGGCCGAAATATCTCATATCTTGAGATGTCGAAACTGATCCCTAAAATTGTTAAGACATTCGACTTTGAGCTCGAGCATCCCGAGCGAGAATGGAGCACTGAGAACAATTGGTTTGTGAAACCGACCGATTTTCGGGCCAAAGTAAGGCTCCGACAGGAGTGAAGATGTCTTCTTTCTCCAGATAAAGGGTCCTCAGCATTCGATATGCCGATTTTGACTGATGTTGAAAGCGAACTTCATCACCTCAAGATTAAAAGCACGACCAAATGCTGAGAAAGGGAAAGGTAGAGCGACTATCGGTGATCCTCTCGAAGCATAAAACATGTGGTCAGCAGGCTTCTTTGGCGAATCTTGTAACACCTTGATCAATACTGGCAAAGATTCGTGGCAGATAAAAGGATTTTGACATTTCTCTGGTTTCATGGCTCTGGAAACTTGAGATCCATGTGGCTGGCCATAAACAAAGAAAGACGCCGTTCTGTTCTTGACGTATTCTGGCGGTATGGAGGCGCCGAAATCTGCTGATTCCACGTGTTCAGAACATGTCTTGATGATGTCTATCAGCAAGTAGCTTCCTCTTTCACTTCGAAGTTGAATCGCCTCGCCATGTACTTCGGCCTCCTACTTTTTTTTGGAGATGGAAACGGGAAGGGGGTGTGTGAAATCTGAAGAAAGACTGGCGGTTAAACGGCGTGAGAATCGAGCCAATCACAGACTAGCAAGGCTTGTTAGCGTGGGGAGTGGTCCAAGTGTGGGCAAACCAGGCGGTTAGGCGGTTGATGGCTGAGGAAAAAAAAAAAGGTGGCCAAACCGTCGAGGGAAGCTGTAGCAAGCGAACGACTCATGTTTTCCTCCTTGGTCGAAGCTGCTAGCGAACCCGCAGTGTCCTCTTTATCCAGAGACAGCGATTCGCGGGGTGGATAAACCCCTGCGCGGTTGCCCAATTTCCGCCCGAGCGCTGACCTGTGGCTAATGGGGTAGCCTCCGAGACCCAATCTATCATTGCCCGGAACTGATTCGGTTGTTTAGTGGAGTATGGAGAGAAAGTCAAGTGGTCACTTGCGAGTTCGTTGGTAGGGGCAATTTGAGGAGGAGCAGTCGGAATGGCGATTGGAGAAGGCAAGAGAGAGTGTGGGAGGTCGGTTAGGAGGAGTAGCGAGAGGCAGTGACAGGAAACTGGGTGGATAGAATCCTGAAGCCAGTCAGGCAGAAGAATAGAAGCATGAGCAGCTGAACCGAGGGGGAGGCAGCCAGGAGTAGAGGAAATGAAGATGGACGAGAGGGTGTGGAATAATACTATTCCCCAGTGCTCGGCGTTGGATCCCCCCTACCGCCCACGAGTAGAGTCTTGTACCAATTGTCAAACTAATGAGCCCTAATATTCCTAGGCTAGATAGACTTGCTTTGCTTGCTGGATTGCCTACGAACGTTGGCAACTGGTAGCTGCTGATCTCGTTTTCCCCCCCCCCAATCACGGAATCTATACCTCTTATAGACGAGCTGCTCGGTGCATGTTTTCAATCTCCAGTCTCTTCCAGCCTGTGCACCTCGGAGTAACAATCACTCACTCGAGTAAAAGTATTGCTTGTAGTTTCCCATCTTCAAGCGCCATCCTGCCCACTATCGTCGCGCTCCTCCATTTTTACCGAATCTAAATCCAACTTCCATCCATTCATCCATCGGTCAATCCATCAATCCATCAGTCAATCAATCGCTTGACCGACCTGCCGCATCCTTTCTTCCACCTCAAGTCACCTCTCATCGATCTCACCATCCTTCCCCGGTCAGCCACTCTGGTCGCTTGCCGCTTTGTCGGCCCTTCCGCTCTTTGGCGCTTACCAACCGTCACATCTCGTCCACACCCTAAGCACCGTCCCTTCTCGTCGACTTCGCATGATTTCTGACTTGTCAACTTCAACTGTCTGCGCGCACGCCAGAAGAAGGGGCCTACAAAGGCCATCGATCGCCCCACATGAGTGGAAGCGCTGCCACTCAGCCTTCGACAGGTATGGCGCGACCATCGGATCATTGAACCGTCTCTCGACCTTGGGCCGCGATGGGCACACTTTGTTTCTAACGTGTTTTCTCCCTAGGCGCCTCCACACAAGACCTCAAAACGAATGACACTTCGATCGCTTCCACCGCCGATTCCTCAACTCCAGCTCCTCAAAACAATGAAACAATGACCGACAAACCCAAACAACAACCGCCGCTCGTTAATATACCTTCTCGGACTTCTTCTCATCAAAAGCCTTCTGATCCAAGCCCTACGGTGCCTCCGGTGCCTCCGGTGCCTCACGAACGGCCTCCCTCTCCGAGGCGAGGCTCCAAACGAAGCCTATTAAGCAGGAGCAGGAATAATAGCAGAAGCAGCAGAAGGTCAGCTCGGGTACTTCGGGCTTCTGAGAGCGCCAAGGAGCCCGTTCCACCCCTTCCACAAGCAGGAAGTTTGAGAACGGGAAAGAAATCACGAGGCGGCCTTCTTGCTTTTTTGAATTGCTGCAGTCCCAGCGAGCTCTCCGACGATACGAAGTCTGACGATCCCGACGTCTCAGCAAAGAAAATCAAAATTCAATCCACGCCGCAAAGGACATCCAGACCGCAAGATCAGAACGAAGTTGTGGTGGAGAATGAGAAAACTTTGGAAGCCAAGACTCCAGGAGACGAAAGAGCTTTGCAAGGACGACCTGGAGAGGAAGAGGAGGGGGAACTGTCTGAGAAGAAACCACTTGAGGATTACGCACGACCACGAGAAGATGCATACCACGAAAGAGTTGCTTCACGGGCCAGTGGGACGATTCCAACTTCCACTTCAGCGGAGCCCAGTGCCGGGGATCAAGGCATCTCTTTCGGTGAACAGAGCCAGGCAAAGACGACCACAGTTACAACAGCTGAGCAGTCCACCAAGCCCGATTTGAACGTGATCGTAGCCACTCCTATTCAACCTGAGCATCCCGCCGAAACGCAGAGGTATGAAGGCGCTAGCAAGAGAAGCAGCGATGTGGAGATGCAAGATGCACCTCCCGCGGTTCCAGATGTGGATGAAGAACCTGTGGACGAGCCACCTCAGCCAGCAGAACTACAGCCCCAAGCACCTCTACCTCCACCGCCTCCTCTGGCAAAACGACAAGAACAAATTGCTTCTAAAGAGGTACCTCCTGTTCCTCAGGCGGCATCAGAGAAGCAAACGTGGCTTTTGCCTCCTATTCAGCCTCATCTGAAAGGTCGAAAATGCCTGGTTCTCGATTTGGATGAAACACTGGTGCACAGCAGCTTTAAGATTCTCAACCAGGCCGATTTTACCATTCCTGTCGAAATCGAAGGCCAGTACCATAATGTATATGTGATCAAAAGGCCTGGAGTAGACGCGTTTATGAAAAGGGTTGGTGAACTGTACGAGGTGGTAGTTTTCACTGCGTCCGTATCCAAATATGGTGATCCATTATTGGACCAGCTCGACATTCACCATGTTGTCCATCATAGGCTATTCAGAGAGAGCTGCTACAACCATCAAGGAAATTATGTCAAGGTTAGTCGCGCGACTTTCAGAGATCATTAGACTAGTTTGCCTAACATCACATCAGGACCTGTCACAAGTAGGCCGCGATCTGAAAGAGACGATCATCATCGACAATTCGCCGACTTCGTACATTTTTCATCCTCAGCACGCTGTTCCCATCAGCTCGTGGTTTTCCGATGCCCATGACAATGAACTGCTGGATCTGATACCGGTTCTTGAAGATCTCGCGGGGCCACAAGTGCAGGACGTGAGTTTGGTATTAGATGTTGCTCTGTGAGCGCGATATCCGTCCGCCACATCTGTGATTGGGCGTCTACGCGGGCGTTTTCACATTTTATGTTCGCGTTAGAATTGGCATGTCACCCGAAAAAAGTTTATTGGCATTTCTAGCGAGGCGTCGGTTGTTTAATGTTGTCAATGCTGGGCCGGGTAGATGTACCTGAGTTCAAACGGACCTCTTTGGGCATTAGGTGCCAGACCAGAGGGAAAAGGGAACCAAAAGATGCACACGAGAAGGAAAAAAGAAAAAAAAAAAGAAAAAGAGAGAGAGAGAGAGAGAAAAGGAGGAATTGAATCTAATAGGAATGGGAAGGCTGCTGGATTTATCTCACCAGAATTCTGACGGTCTCTCTGGCCCATGGTGGATGTGATTGAGATATCACCGTGCTTGGGATCAGGTTTCGTTTGTTTGAATTGTTTGTTTCTCAGGTTGATTACATATTGCAGGCATGCATTTGACTTTGCTGGATCCAGGGTACGAATCAGAATAAGAACATATGCTGCAAGCGAGACATACTGTTTTTGTTGTGAGATACATGGTTGTACAGTCGAATGGCTTGTACTCGATCGGGTTTGAACATCCAACAAGAGGATCGAAGGAGCGCGGGCCACTCTTGGGAAAGATGAAGAGGAAAAGAAGATTGCTTCCATTCATACACGGCTGATGAAAGGGGCATATTGGCATGTTCAGTCTGAGGCGACAAGAAAGCGACATGGAGAAATGGTCAAGAGAGAAAAATCCTAGCAAATGGCCATCTCAATTCAAGCCATATATTTTCAAATATGTTGTCGTGGTGAGCAAGGGACATGATTTCTTTTATGTTTGTTGTTCAGACAAAACTAAGCGGCTGTTGTCCATCATCCGCCTCCCTATTCTACTCTTCCAGTTTCTATTTCCACTATTGCAATTGCGCGCAAAAGTCACGGATGAGAGGGCCAACCAGGTCTGGTGCCTCGACACAATGCCAATGGCCAACGCCTTGCAGGACCTCCAACCGTTTGCTCTTTGCATCCGCCCCAAGCTCGCCAAAAATCTTCTCGCAGCCTGCCAACGGGGCACTCTTGTCCTGGTCGCCGGCGATGATGAGCATTGGACCTGTCACCTTGGCGTACTCGGGAGGAGTGGCTATCTCAATGGCCCTGCAATTAGCAATGTACCCTTCAGGGTCTTGGGACATGAGCATCTCCCGAATGAAGCCTTTTTGAGTGGCGGTCGCTTTGCTGCCAGTGGCAGCATTTGGAATGGTGTTGGCCATGGTTTCGACTCCACCTTTTGGACGGAAAGAAGTAGTAGTCAGCACACAGATACGCTTGAGGTTTGGCTTTGTCATACCTTGTCGCACCGTCGGAATTCGCTGCTGGAAGACGTTGGCCACGCTTTCGCTTGGGTGGACCGGACCGATGCAAATTCCTGCCACAACTCTGTCTGGTGAAATGGACGCAAGGTAGGTCGGTACCATGCCACCCATCGAGTATCCTACCACGACTGCCTTGGGGACTTGGAGGTGGTCGAGGAGGCCCAGTGCGTCGCGGGCGATCGATGTGATGGAGGTTTCGCCTCCATCATACTTGGAGCGCCCGGCTCCGTAGTTGTCAAAAATGATGCATCGGTAGGATGTGAGGTAAGGGATGATGGGGAAGTAATAGTTCTGGGTCGAACCCAGACCATGGATGAATATTAAGGTGAGACGCGAATCTTTGTCGCCCGCGGGAGCGATGTCTGTGTAATGGAGCGAGTGGCCGTTGATGTTGGCAAAGGGCATTTTTGCTAAATTCTGATTCGACAACTTACGCGATGTAATAGATGGATCTGAGAGGCAGACAACAATGAACGTGAGAGCAATCCAATGCACACTGATTTACTACTACCATTGTGAGGGGCAGGTATGGTATCATGTAGACGTCTGTGGCTTTCGGAAGAAGCAGTCGGATTTTGATTGATGGAGAACTTTCGTTGGGAGAGCCAGGCACCGGCCCGAGCACTGAATTATTTTCTGTCTCTGTGCTATCTTGAAGCCCTTTGCGGAATCTGTATTGAGAACACAGAATTTGTTTTGTTCAATGGATCTTTTGACTCCTTCTCTGGGCAACCGTAAGAGTGGTCTCATGTGTTATTTTGCAGCGATCTAGTCCAAATTGTGTAAGCCACGATCAGTAGTCGGAGGACGATTTGACTAGGGGTGGCCTTGTGCAGGGAGCCTGGGACTTGAAGGTCTTGACTGGTCCCAACTACGATCAAAGAGAAAAAGAGGGACAGAGCTGTCACGCAATTACTTATCAATTAATGCCAGCAGCCCAAAAATGGAGAATAAATTGGTTGCTCTTTTTTGCTCGGGTCCGGAATATGTCAATACGGAGCTTTCTAGAGGCTGAACGAGGGCGTCTTGCTTTAACCCTTGCGGGTAATGGAGTGGTAATAAGAGGGCATGGGACATTAGAGTAGGTGTCTCTTACTGGCCTGTTGCAACTCCGGCGTCCCACTCCATGTTTCTCCTTCTACACGGGCTTCTGGCTTCTTTCTCTGTTACCAAGTGTCAGTGCTCGGTGCTTATTATTTATTCAAACAAGACGGAAACACCCACCTGCCCAACGACCTATGAATCGCACTTTTCTCGCATCTGCGTTTGCGTCTGCATCTCGCCATCCAAATTCCAATCACCATCTCGAATCTATCCCATCCTTTCCTTGCCTATCTTTCGTCCTCCAACCTGTGCTAAGGTTTCCCCAGATGGTTGTCAGATAATCTCACCACCACTTCCCACACACACCTTAAACCCTCCCCCATCTTCTACCTCTTCCTCTTCTTGCAACAAAGGCCCTAGGGTGCCGATTCCATTCGCTAATCCTCTTCGATCACAATGTCCCCCGACGTCCGGCTGCACATGTCCTGGTTGTACCGCGTCGTCTTCCTCTTCTCCTACTTATCTCACGCCTTCTACATCCCAGGTGTGTACCCCGGATTTTTCCTTCGCAACGGGTGTACTCGACCCCCAGCAGGTGCTGATCATCACCAGGTTACTCTATACGAAGCTACCGCGACGATGAAGACATTCCTCTACTCGTGAACAAGGTGTACTCCGATACCAGCCAGCTCCAATATGCCTATTTCGATCTGCCATTCGTCTGTCCGCCCACTGGCCACAAGCATCATGGTTCCTCCTTTGCCAGTGGCCACAGTGTCCCTCTCAATCTTGGAGAACTCCTCCGAGGGGATCGAATAAAGACGTCCGACTTGGAGATCAATATGGGTCAAGATATTGATTGTCATTACCTGTGCGACCGAGTGGTGGGTCGAAAAGAGATGCAATGGGCCCAACAGCTGATCGAAGGTGAATATGTCACCGAATGGATCCTCGACAATCTTCCGGGAGCGACCTCGTTTGTCACTATCGATCGAAGTCGAAAATACTACGCGGCCGGCTTCAAAATGGGCTACAAGGACTTTGACGCGGCAACGGGCAAAGAGAGGTACTACTTTTACAACCATTATACCCTGGTTATTCGCTGGCGGCTTGCCCCTGGTAGAGCTGGCGACAATGGCGACAAGGTCATTGTGGGGTTTGAAGTCTACACCAAGAGTATCAATGGAGGCCACCGCAACGAAACGGGCTGTCCCCTGGACGTCTCGGGGGATCAAGATCCATTGCTTTTGTACATTCCCGGGAACAGCAGCTATTTGAAAGAACAATACGCCGACTCATCCTATGTTCCCGAGGAGGTCATTGACTGGGATGACGGTGCGACAATGACCATTCCTTATACCTACTCTGTCTACTTCAGAGAGGAAAATGAAGTGGAATGGGCCAATCGATGGGACCTCTACTTCAACGACCAGGCTGAGAGCTCTTTCACCCATTGGCTAGCCATTGTCAACTCTTTGATCATTTCAGGCATCCTCGGCGCCGTCTGTATTGTCATTTGGGGACGGGCCATGCAAGGAGATGTCAAAGGTAGAGGTGATGGAGTACTGGAAGAGGCTCGACTTCGCATTGCAAAACGTGGTGACAAGAAAAAGTCTGGCAGTGGCCTCCTCGACAAGATCACGGAGCCTGGTCCGGAGGATGACCTATCATCCGACGAGGAGCCCTTGGAAGACGTCAGTGGATGGAAACTACTTCACGGCGACGTCTTCAGACCGCCACCATATGGCGGGCTCCTCGCGCCACTGGTGGGCTCCGGAATGCAACTCGTTTTCATGGTCGTGGGACTCTTGGTCCTCAGCTGTGCCGGGATTTTGAACCCCAGCTGGCGCGGAGGATTCTGGAGTGTCGGGGTCGGGCTTTTCGTGTTCGCAGGTGGATTTTCGGGCTATTTCTCTGCTCGAATCTACAAGACCTTCGGGGGTCAGAATTGGCGCAAGAACACGATGATGGTGAGTTCAAACGAAATCCGACACACAATGGCCCAGCTGACCGGACCCCCCATAGACTGCCCTTCTGTTTCCCGGTCTGCTCTTTTCGTTGGTCTTTGTCCTGAATCTATTCACTTGGGCACAAGCATCCTCTACGGCCCTCCCTTTCTCGACCCTCCTTGCTCTGGCCAGTCTATGGCTCCTCATTCAACTTCCTCTGGTTCACCTGGGGTCGTACTACGGATTTTACCGGTCCTCCGCTTGGGAGCATCCGACCAGAACAAACGCGATACCTCGACAAATGCCTCCGCAGGCATGGTATACCAAGCACCATATCATTCTCGCATTGGCGGCAGGACTAGTGTCCTTTGCTGTCCTCTTCATCGAACTCATCTTTGTCTTCAAATCTCTCTACCTCGATAAATCATCCTACTACTATGTCTTCGGCTTCTTGAGTATCATATCGGCTCTCCTCTCCATCACCATTGCGGAGACGGTGATCATCACGACCTACATTCAGCTTTGTGCCGAAAACTACCACTGGTGGTGGCAGTCGTTCTTTGTGGGCGGAGCATCTGGGTTCTGGATCTTTGTCTATTCGGTGTGGTATTACGCCACACGGCTGCATATTGAAGGATTCGTGAGCAGCTTCTTGTTTTTTAGCTATACCGGGCTTGCATGTGCAGTTTATTCGCTCGCGACAGGGACCATTGGGTTCTTGACGGCGTACATGTTCGTTCGACGGATGTATTGGGGCGTCAAGGTGGATTAAATGAAGACCCACGTTTTGCTTCTAATATATGGTTTCTCTGTCTAGTATAACCGGGGAAATTTTTTTTATTTTTATTTTAACGATAGACGGAAACGAGCAAGGTCTTAGATTGTATAGCATACATCAGCGCCACAACAATGATCTAATGCAAACAAAGATCCATGACGCCATCTTGTCGTATTGGTACCCGTGGGAGAAAGAAAAGATGATTAATGGATTAGTGACGGGAAAAAGTCTGCTCCTCTGGCGCCATCTCATTTCTTAATGACTCGGACTTCAGCACGTGGGTTGACCAAGTGGGTATCCAGAAGGAATCGGTATTAGATGAGGTGAGTTCTTTCTAGGGTTCGGCTGTGCTTCTTTTCAGGTCCTAGTGTTGAGATGTCGTTCATTTTGACTCGAGAAGGCACAATGGGAAAAATGGATTTCGCTTACCAACAGAAACTGGGGGATGGAGCGAATGGAGCAAGTTAGGGCATCGCAGGGCGTATGGAGTGGATATTATACCTGAGGACCAGTCCACAATATGCCTGGTTGGGCCTAGACAACCACGTAGCATGGGACATGAGCGGTCCGCCCTTCAAGCGCCCATGTCAAATGTCATTATTGATGGATGGATATAGAACGTGGCCTCGTTCTGGGCTTACGGCTTTCTGGTCCTCGCATATAGTGACTCATACCACGAACGAGAACACGATACGCGACACACAACACGGGGCGGACATCGCATCCCACCATCACCTATACGGAGCGCCGACACCGCCTCTTACGCCCTTCGAAGACAATTAGAAAGCACGGGTGCGATTGCTGAACCAATGTTATGGGTCATGGTTCCTGGCGAGTCTTGTATATCATCGCTCTATCTCCCTCCTTTCCCCAACTTTTGGAACTCTCCAATCCGAGTGTTTGTCGGCGCAGCCTTTCCTCTGCAGTCATCTGCCTCTAGAACTCGAACTAGAACCCCCGCCAAAACGCCAATGCTCCAACCCTGACATGGACTGAGCACTTGACCTGAATCTTGAAGGCTTGACCTGGAAAACACGGAAAGCACACTCGACATTCCCCTCTTTGTCCAAGACACCAAACCCCATTCATCCATCCATCAACAGCTTGTTATCAACCTCGCCCACTTTCTTCCCCTTCGTCTCCCCTCCTCTCTCTCCCTTACAATGAACCCACCTCCTCGTCAAACGATCTCTGGCGAGATGCCTTCTTTCCTCGCATCCACCGTTCCGTCCTATGGTCGTTCTCGATCTCTACCGATCGCAGCCACTGCTTCAGGAAGACGGGGATCGGCAATTGCGACAGCGATAGGACTGCGCAAGAAGAATGAAATCGATATCATTCTTGACGGCGAAGCAGACTTCATCCACTCGTACTCTACATACGACGAGATCAAAGGTCAGGTCGAGATCAAATTCGAGAAAGACACCTCTTTTGACGACGTCTCCATCACTTTCGAGGGCCAGAGTTTCACATATGTCGAAAGGATCGCGACCACTGCTCCGACAACGGGTCGCACTACAGGAAGACACACCTTTTTGAAAGTCCAGCAGCCCATTAGTGAAGGATCCCTTCCTGAGAATGGCATGTTTGAGGCCGGAGTCACATACACTGTTCCTTTCACATTCGTGGTTCCTGATTGCCTCCTGCCCTTCATCTGCTCCCATAAAGTTGACAATGAGGAAATCAGAAAGGAACATACACAACTTCCCCCTAGCCTGGGTGATCCCAGCGTTTCTGGGGACGGCCATACACTCATGGACGATCTAGCACCCGATATGGCCAAGATCACATACAGTATCAGAGCCAGAGTGACAAAATGGAATGCGGTTGGCAGACTATTGGAACTAGCTGACAAGTCAGAACGTGTCAGATTGGTCCCAGCACGAGAAGAAGCGCCTCCTTTAAATGTCGAAGAATCTGAATCCGACCATGTCCTCCGCAAGGAGAAGAGTGTTAAGAAAGGACTTTTCAAGATCGGTAAAATCGGCCGTTTGACTGCCGAAACAACCCAACCGAGAAGTCTTCGTCTTCCACACCCGCAGAAGCGACAGATTGAGCCAATTGCCTCCGTGACCACGGTCAATTTGCGCTTCGACCCCTCAACCCCCGATGACGTTCCTCCACAGCTGGATGAGATCGTGAGCAAGTTGAGGGTCTACACTTTCTTCGGAGCCGCCCCATACAAATTGATACCAGAGATTCGCAAGCACGACAACTGGTCTACTTTGCACGGCGTGTACCCAGAGACCGTTCCTTTATCATCACGGACTCTTTCGACCGTTTCCTGGGTTCGGCACTCCCCATCAGAACGTGAGAGCTTCTCCTCATCGGATCTCTCCCGACGACCCTCAGTCTACTCTACATCCTCTACATCTTCTGTCCCCGAGCCTTCATCATCGTATCAGGCAGGATCCCCTTTCTACACCGCGAGTGTACTCGTTCCAATCGCACTTCCCAATCCATCGAGCACCAGCCGACCCAAAATCTTCGTGCCCACCTTCCACTCCTGCATAGTCTCACGGACATATTCTGTCGAGTTGAACATCTCTTTCCGAACTCCCGGGAGCAATATTTCCAGCAGCCATGTTGTCTTGAAATCCCCAATCCAAATCTCCTCAGAAGGAGGAACCCCACCGGCTCCACTACAGCAATCAGATGCAGCCATCGTCGCAGAAATCGAACAACAGTTTGGTCTTTACGAAGCTCGTCAACTTGAAGGACTCGGTCTGGGACTTGAAAGTCCTGTGTATCAAGAAACCAATTCCACCACTCCCTTAACGGGAACAAGGCATTTAAGTCTCGCGAATTCGGTCCAAACACCTGCTACAACGCCCACGCTACAATCTGGTGTCGATTCCACTGCACCCCCCGAGTACCGAGTCGGGTCTGGTTTCAATACGTACAGTGCAAGGGATAGGCCGGGAGGACCTAGAACTCAAAGCGTGAGTCTCACTGTCAATGCACAACTCCCATTGTGACCTTTTTGTGCTTTCTCATCTCACGTTGCTCTCTCTCAAGATAATCCCTGTCTTACCCTTTTTTGTGTGAAGGAGAAGAATGAACATCAACATCCTGACGCTGAGAGAGTGGTGCAGCTGGAAGGAGATGAAACCGAGCGTGAGGACGAGAAGACAACACCACCATCCATTCAAATTCGACCACGAGCGAGGGAATCATGAAAATCAAGCGTCCCACAAAGACATTGAAGAGACATGATTCAAGTCCGGAAAAAGATTTGATCTGACTCACTTTTTGGTAATTCATAACAGGAATACTACCTTCTTTGGCAAAGGAGGTCAGGTGTCATTACGCGACCGGCATTCCCCCCGGCGGGTTTAGTCATCTTAGCTCTTTGAATTTCCGGTGCTCCCAAAGCTCAAAGAGGGATAACATATCGGAATCGAAGCCAGAGGGCGATCGAATCGGCCTTGGTATGCTGTCGTACCATCGTCCACGACTATCCAACATGCGATGAGACCACGCCCGAATTCCTCTGGATCAACGAGACGAATCGAGTCGAGGTTGTGTGTATGATTTCATGCATTGAAATCGAGAACTCCGTCAACTCATCCACCTCGTTAACATGATTACCTTTCTTTCTGCTGAGGCTTCAACGGACCCAGTCCTTCAGTTCTGACGTTATGAATTTATTTTTCTCTTTGTCGTTTGGGGTGAGGGGCCGTCTGGAGGAGCGTATGATATCCATGGTATACGAGATGATATGGACATTGAATACGAATATGAACTGGGGCTTATGCAGAGATGATACCCTGACTGCACTGTTTTGTTCCAATCATGAGAATTGTTGTTAACTTGTGGACGAAGAATGAAGAGACGAGGGATGTAGTATATAATAAACAAAACCCGAATTGAAAATCGACCTTGACTATTTTCGTTTTCTCATGTCGCTCTTCTCTTCTCTCGTATGAATACCTCATTCGGTTACTGCACGGGTTAGGTACACTACGAAAAGTCTCCCCTGTGGGTAAAAAGATCGGACAAGACAGGGCCGATATCAGAGAAAATGTGCCCTGCCACGTCCGTTATGTTTCCCCCCTTTGCCTGCTCGAACCGAGCCGCCCCTCAGTGGACGTTTTCTTCCGGTCCCTTCTCCGGGGGACAACATGTCTGCTAAAGAAAGTCGTTCTCAGGCAGATCATGTATATAGGGGTGCTCTTTAAGCACCCAGGCTAGCTGGTCTGTTTAATTGAACAGTCTTTGGGACCCGGGCTCAGAGACAGAGAACACTTCGATTCTTGCCCGGGCTTTCCTTTTTGGTTACTACGTACTCAGATGAAAGGGTAAGTTATGGATGGGCATAGAACGCAGCATAACCATCCATGCTCAGTTGTCCCTGTCGTCTCGCTGAGATGCTGAACCAGTGTAGGAACGCAATCTTAACCGATTTGAACGAGCAAGACGATATCAGAGGAAATGTGCACTACTGGAGCCCTTGCCCCATGCGGGAAGGCCAAACCCAACACATGAGCAACGCCATATGTGGATGGCCTTCGCACACTTTTCCTTCGGCCGTCTGGTCAACCTTGCGCAAAAGATCAGCCAACCTTTTGCCTTCACCATTGAAAATGTCACATTCCACGCGCATGAAAAGAATCAGGGTAAACTTCCCCATCTCGATATTTTCTTTGGCACACGGAGGGAATGGGAGAGAGCGGGGAACGCGGGAAGGCACGCATTATTCCTTCCATCATCGAGCAGGGACATATTTTCCTTCTCTGAGGATGTCCCTGGATACCCTCAACGAGGTATCAGAGAAAATGTGCACGGCCCTGTTGCCACTGATAGGACTCAATGGGCTTGTCACTGATGTTCTCGAAAGTGATGGTGCCATCCGAGGTGATACTGTGCCAACCAAACAAGCGGAAGCCCATATCAGAGAAAATGTGCACTACCCTTTTTTTCCTTCGGTCTCATGCACGGCGGTCTACGTTGACCAACGCCGGGAGAGGGACACGCAATTTCTCAAATAACTAGAGGTATCGATTTGACATGGAGCAGACACCTTTTTCATCAAATGTTTGACTTGGATATCCGTCGGATGTCCCTCTCGGGGACAGTATTGCAGAGAACATAGTGAATAGGGTTGATTTCGAGGTTGGATTTTCTTTAACGATGATTGTTTATTGCATGCTTGATGTTGACAGCTCTATACGTAGAGAATAATTGGCTTTCTTATGGCGAAAATGTTTTTTGCCCTGGGCAAGCAAAACCCTTTGCCGGGGCGGTCGGCCAGCGGTTTTCTGACTTTTCGGTTTTCACGGTCTCGAGGTGACCGTTTTCAAAATTGTCATGTCAATCAAATAGAGATCGATTATCTCAGTCTTGCCTCGTGGCATCCGCCATAATCATGACCAGGTTCTCAGACCACTTCGAGTTCTGTGATGGAAGATTACTGGGAAGCATGCAAGAAAGACAGCAGAGCGATTCCTCCCCCCCCGGGAACTCATGAAGGCCTAGATCTTCAAATGATGTGGCATAAGGACAGGATTTAGTTTCGCCTAACCAGCAATTGGGCTACTCGCACTCTGCACCGCGAGGAGGTACCTGTCCACCGCAGAGCACAACCGCAGATAGGGGAGTGTCAGGCGGAAAGGCCTGGATGAGAACCGAACTTGACAAGAAACTGTATAACCTCTTTGTTGGTGCGGTTTGATGAATGTCCGCGTCTCATTGCCTGGGCTTTCTTGACGTCTCTGTCAAATATGAACCGAGCCCTTGTAGGGAAGAAGGAAAAGATACCATGCCGTGACAAAGGGGCCGGCCTTGTCAACAATGTTCCTCGATATGGGCTTTTTATGTGTTGAATCCTGCCTATGTTCGGGTGCACTCTGTCGACTTGACGGTGGCGCGAGTGTTGAGAGCAATCATGCCCGAGTATCTGAGAAGCTTGTCATTTATGGAGGAGTTTCACTCGCTGTTTTGACACAACACCTCAATAACGTTTCCGGGGAACCTGGGCGTCGATCGAAATTCCTTGTCGAGGTATATTATTCAATCCTCTTGACTCGAGATTCCATGCCGGAGTCTTGTATGTTCTCTCCTCAATGGGCTTGGCTCCACTTCTACTTACTTTGGACTTGATTCATGGCAATTCGCATCAGTGGGATTCGGCGAAGTCGTGCCATTCTGCACGGGTTCGGTCGGTGGAGGCGGAGAACGATACAGTGTCATCAAATCAGGTGGTGGTTTGATGAGATGAGCAGTTGAGAGTACATGTGAGGTATCAGTGTGTAAGACACCGAGACCATCTGTGATAGCGGGCGGAGAATCAGCATCGAGAATGCTTTGATATAATCTAGTCTTGTTGCTTGGAGAGAAGCCACTAGACAGAATATTTTGTCCGCTATGCGGGTGCTCAGCTTCATCTTGAACTTTGACTTGACAAGTCATGGTTTTTGGTTGAGGTTGTTTCCTGGATTGGAGGTTTCGCACGTTGTATGGATCTTCAATTTGGGGGTCTGGGAGGTGGAAATTCACTTTGACCATGAATGGACTTGCGTCGCAGGCTTTCCGAACCGTGTCTAGGCAAGTAAAGACCACGTCGACCTCTTGTTGCTTCGCAGGGCCTGTGGAAGGATCTGTTCGAGCTCTCTCAGGAGTAGCTTTGGTGAATGAGGTAACAGGACCGAATGATTGAAGTGTCTTCAAAACTGCAGTTGATTCACCGAGCGTAGCAGGAGGCGGAGAAATGAATATTCTGGCCGTGAGGTTTTTGAGCGATATCTTAGTCAGGGACATGATTGTCGAGGATGAGACATTGAGGGAAAAAGACATTTGCAGTCAGAAGGAATAGTCAACTGCGGAAGGAATTGCCCTACAGTGACAATAAGGTGAGTTGGTGGAGCATTTTTCAGTCCACCAGCATACTGAGCCCCAAAATAGAGGCGCAGGGAACATTGGTTGCCCACAAAAAAGCATGGGTGGGGTGGCCTTTCTAGTAAGCCAATTGACAACATCGTGTTGAGGCGCAGTCGGAGTTGGCACAGGCCATGCCATGGGAAGAAACTTGTACTCCCAAAAGATGAGATAGAATATCGAATTATCACCAATTCCTTTTGTTTTCCATACCTCCTCTGCTGACGTTAGGCAGTTTCCTTGCAGTACATAGGCGTGGTCGAAGAAAAAACTGCTGGTTGTTTGGCTTACCGTGTACAGTATTTGCTGAAACACTGAAACCCTGGGGTGGCCCACAGCCCCGACAGTTTCTTTTCTCCGCCCCGGCCTTTTTCCTCCCTCTGAAAAATCCGCAATCCATTCGGCGTCGCTGACAAGACAAGATCGTTCCTCCTACTTCCTCCTTTCTCATCATCCATCCTCGCTCGTTAACCAACAGACCAATATCTACGTGCTTTACCGGCTTCAGTCACATTCGCCGACCTTGACGCTACCCTCCTCTTCGTTCTTGGCCTGCCACCATCCAAACACGGCTGTTAAACCAAAAACCAATCCCTTACACACATTTCCCCCCCCCCCTCTCTTGTGTTTTAGCCGCAGAGAAAACCTCCCTCAGTTCGCAGCTCTCACACACCTACCCACCCCTTCGCAGCAAGAAACCCAACTCCTTTTGTTTCCACCATCGGCATATCTTTTTCGAATTTCCTCCATCCCATCCCGTGTAACCACTAAGCCTTTTCCATCCGTAATCGACGAACCCAACGTCGCTGAGCCGAACCGCCATCCTAGTTGTGGTAACCTGATAAAGAAACATCGACCCGATCAATTCATCACCGAATCAATCCGTCAAAATTCGTTCCCACGAGGCCCGTACGTCCCTCCTCGGAGGTCAGGCTGACACCTACCAACCTTTGGCTGGAGGCTTTCACCACCGTGAAGGCTATGCAGTGAACGACATTGAGAAGAGAAGATCAAAATCCATCATGTACATACCTAATTCAAAATGGACTTGGACCTTCGCCCTCGTCGCCTTGGTCCAGGCGTGTGTCGTTCTCGCTTTTGAGAGGTAAGGAAAATCTCACCTTGACTGTCTCTTTACCCACTTCTAATCTTCGTCCTAGCTATGTCTTTGCTCATTTCCAAATCCACCTTCAAGGTGTTGGTGCAACCAACAACACTTCGTCTCGAACCATCCCGACCTTTTTGACCCTCTATATTTTCGGTTTCATTTATCAACTCATCCTCGTATGGGATGCTCTGCGTATGAAAAATACCATTCAAGTCATTGGCTTGGTGTTGTACAATATCGGCCTCCTCATTTATGGCTCTGTACAAATGGAACAGATCAGGGATGCCGTGTTTCAATTGGCGGAAGATGATTTCATCCATCGAGAGGTCTGGGGTGACACAAAACCATTCTTGATCGCGATTCCATGCATTTTGGCCTTCGGGACTGTTCTTATGGCAGGATGTGCCTGGAAGCTATATGACGAATTTGCCTGGACCATTTACAAACGCATTTCGGCCGATCTGAGGATGAAACGACGATATCTTCAGTATCAGGTCTATATTGCTTTGTTGAAGTTCGACTTCTTCTTCTTCCTTGGATTCACCGTCCAATTCGTCGTCATTGTCACCCAGCGACAAGTCGAATTCGCCCTTACCATTGCAGCCATTCCGGTCACCATCCTCATTCTTCTGGCCGCTGCTTGGTTTGTTCGAAAGGAATCCCTTTGGGGAACCATTGGAGTTATTGTAAGTTGTCACGCGGCGTTTGATTCCGCCTAGACTAATTTGGTCTTTCAGATCCTCTACTTTGGTGGTCTCGCATACTTTATCTTCAAGATGGTTCGAATGTACTCTCCGTCTCACGAAGGTCCATATCTCCCAGCACGAAAAGAACTCACCACATTCGCCATCTTGACCATCATTCTCATTCTTCTCACCATCGCGAATGCATGTCTGTGCGCGAACAATTACAACAAGGGCCTCAAGCCCTACGTCAATAAATCATCCAGTAACGAAGATGATGAGAAACCCATGGCGAGTGCTTATGCGCCCTATGCCACTGAGATGAAACCCGGTGTAAATGGAAAATTGCCGGCGGCCAGACCATCGGGTGCCAGGATGGAGATTGACTAATTCAAATGACCATACTTTGGCCCCTTTTTTTTTTTTTTTCCCACCGGGAAATATTCTATGATTAGCGGGCGTTTTAGTGGCATGTTTTGTGGTCTTTGACCCATGTGGATGGATATCTCTCATGAGGAGTTCTAGGCTGGTTGAGCCTCTCTCCCCTTGGAATCCAAGGGGGGTTCTTATATGGAGAAATGACGAGCAATATGGGTGGGATCGGGGGGATGGAGGGTTAGGATACGGATTTTACGATGGATGTTACATTACATAGCCATTGGGACCCAATGACAAATGGTCAGAGGAATTTTTTGATGTGGCGTCAAGTAAAAACATTGAAATGAATGGACTGCTCAAGCCGATGATCGATTCGAAATTTCAGGCCCGAATGATGTGTTCTATTCAGCGGGAGAGATAGTCATAGACTAGTTGTCCTGTCAGCGGTTTCAACGTCGTAATTATGAATCAATGGATGTAAATTTCTTCGCATTGTTGTACTCGTACTCTGCCCTATCATTATGGTTCATCATCCATTTCATCGCTAGGAAAAGAAGTACGCCCTGAGACCAGTCTGGTCGCTGTTTGACTTGACTGATCCTCAGCACGCCTTCCGGTCCGTTCCCCGTCAGTTAGTCAATGTATATCTGTCTCTTGAACATAGCCCAGCACGACTCGCTTCCGCTCTGCTCCGCTCTTACAAGACTTCTTTTCACCCCGCCAGGAAAATCTCCGGCATCTGGGGAACCGGTACCTGCTTCTCCGCCACGATATCATCGCTGATTTTCCAGAACGCTGTTGGTCCGGCAGGTCCATGCTCGTCGTAGTCTTTATCGAACCAGTTGCCTAAGATACCCCGTGCAGAGCGCAGGCCGCCGATCTGTACACCCTCGCTCCGCCAGCGCTCTTCGCCGTGAAAGATGCTGAAAGATGTCCAGCGGATTGCGCCGGAGGCGGTTTGTCGGACGGTGCCTGTGTTTGGGGGGTTAATTTGAGCTGGATGTGAAGGACCCCCGGCGGGAAGGCCCCCGGGGGGAGGTTTCCCAACGGATGGATGCAGGGTGAGTGAACGGGAACCCTTACCTCGAATCTTTGAATTAGCATTCGGATCCCATGCCATGTACAGTGACCTGCTATCGCCCTCGAAATGAACGACAGGGAGTTCCTGTCCATCTTCTTCCCCTGGTTTCTCGATCCTGCTCACACGCAACTGCAGCCGGATCAGTCTGAACGCCTCGCGCGTCAGGATCGGGTCTCGCTCTTGGTCATCTGGAATTTCCTCACCCTCGAAGTTGAATTCGTGTAGGTCGTGGTAGTCCAGGAAGCATACTATGCGCATCCAAGTCCCCGTGACGCCGTAAGGGTCAAGTGCGTCTAGGCCCGGGTTTCGAGGTTGCTCCAATGGACCTGACAGTGGATGGGACTCGAAACTACCAGTGGCAATGCCCTGGAATGGTTCGTCCCAAGGTCGGAGGATGATGCCCTGCTTTACCCTGCTCCTCGTTGTAGGGGAGATCGACGCTGAAGCCGCGACGGACAAATCTATTCCTGTCCATCCGCGACGCTCAGTGTACATACGGTGATTGTATGCGATGTCGATCATGATAGCTTGCACTTTCTCCCAATCGATGCGTTGGCTACCGTCATCCATGAATGGTCCCCATAGATTCGCCAAAGTGTAGCGGCGTAGATCGTACACTCTCGAGCGCGCGTAGGGGTGAAGATGTCGTACAGGTTGCGGGTGGACATTGCCCGAAGCATCCGGAATGTGTGGACAGGTCAGCTCATGTGGGGAAGGCCAAGGGGATTCCAAATTCATGCCCCCCAGTACATGTAATTGCGCAGAGAGTTGGCGAAGAGATTCAGTTGGGGCGGCGATCCATGTTCCTGGCCAGGCACGGGCGGAAAGACTTGATTTGCACAAGAATGCGTTGATGTTGCTGGGCTCTGCAAACCGGGCTAAAAACCGGGCAATTTGAGTGGTTTCTGGAGATGTTCGGTAATCGACCTTCGCGGCGTGGGTCAAAACTTCATCGAATGATTCCGCCTGGATTCAATGTTAAAGGGATGTAACAAAGGGCGGCCCCCCCGACGGGGGATGGGGGAAGGAAATGCGAAGTATCGAAGGATGGCGTCGTACTTTGACATCTTCATCTTCAGACTCCAGAATCTTTTCCACATTTATCAGACCAGTCAATCTGTCTCGCCAGGACAGAGCTTCATCTTGTAGAGGCGAGCCCTGACATCAGGTCAGTCGATGCCAGTATCTCGGGATCATCATAGCGCAGGTATTACAAATTGACCGAGATAGTGATGTTTCCAGAGCAATTCATCGCTTTGGATGAGCTTGTTGAAATGCCGACAAGTCTTGGAGAGAGAACTTAGATCGACGGGTTCGACATTCTGGAAGATGTTATGCAGGACTTCGAGTGCCAGATCCACAAGTTGGGCCATTTCACCGGATGAGAATGCGTCGGTCAAGGAAGATATGGGAGTACTTTTAAGTCCGATGCGATCGAGAGGGGTCAGCCGATTCTTGATATCGGTTGCTCACAGCCTAAACTTGTCGACTACGCATGGAAGCATCTCAGATGAAGAAGTGTGTACGACTGAAGCGAAGACATGGGGCGTAGTCAGTTTCACAATCTAAGGAGTAGTGATGATGATGGTGGTGGCTCGGAGATAAGGAAATATTGTTGACCTGGTTTGCAATATTGCAAGATATCAATCGCATCCAATCACGCTCTTAACTACCTCGTTCAATTATAAAATGCCCAGGAGTGAAGAAGAAGCCAGTGTTTTGTTGCTCTGTCCAAATTACTGCCTGTCTCAAATCAAGCCAAATATCTCTCTCCTCGTCAACTTCTCCTGTCTCCACAGGAAGCTGGCCAATATCCATTGATACTGTTCGCAATCGATCAATCCATACTTGACACAGAACTTCTCCAGCATCGAGACGAACGAAGCATGAATTGCTGCCAACGGACTTACCGCTGCCCCCGTACCGAGAACCCGCATCAGCATTGCTGGTGCAAAGTCCACCTCGACCAAATACCTCTTCCACAATTAGCAAAGTGCCGTAGAACGGTGTTGACAATGGCATTGAAATGCCGGAATTCGAGTGGATTGCCCTTCAGGTGGTGATGGGTAAAAATCCAAGGCCGCAAAGGGCACTGGTCTCTCCATATAGTGGCATCCCACCGATTATTCTCTGGAGTCGTGTCTCCTTGGGCAATGAGTCATAATTGTTCTCTCGATGCAATGGAACATATCACCATGCCGCATTCGACCCGGATCATCGCTTTGACTGAGAGGACTCACTTGCTCGGCATGACACAGCTGCCAAATGTTTTCCAAAAGATCTAAGATTCAATGACGAGGAACCCTAGCAGCCCGAAGCTCAGCACGGCCCAGACCAGGTAGGAACTCTGAGAAGCTTTGTTGGTTCAAAGTTCCCCAAGATTCATCCCATGCTTCAATGGGTGGAAATCTTAATTCTTTGTCAAACATCTTGGACTAGACTAAATTATTCTGCCTGATCTGCCTCTGCAAGTGTTGCTGTACATCCGATGCTAAAGCTGGTATGTCCTTCACGCCTGACATATGCTTCCTCGCCTCTGGATACGAATCAGCCATGAAGGCGACGTTTGTCAACGCTGCCCCAGCCACAATGGTCTCATCACTGAAAGCTTGCCTCGGGTCTGAAGGGCGATCATTAATCAACGAGATGGCCGACAATTTATGCTGAATGATTTGCATTTCTTCATCAGATTTCCGGATTCGGTCTGCGATGCCGGAAATGCATGCCCCCAGCTAAACATGGTGGCGTGGAAAACGAGTTGATCCGACATGGCAACATGAACATGAATTATTCCCATGTGGACGTTATGGATACCTATCCAACCCGTGGAATCTCTCAAGTGTCGCTTCGTCTCTCGCCTCGATCCTGATGAGTACACCGAGGAGGTCGATCCGCCGTGTTCTGCCCACCCGTCACGACGGATGTTTGCCTCTGGCTCTGCAGTGGCCTCCTCGCTGATATCTCCCCGGCCGTGACTTGTTCTTTACCTGTTGCTGCTCTGCCTGGTTTCGCTCCAAATAATTGTGCATAACATGTGTGCGCAACGTTTTGAGTTGTTGCCTATCTTGCATCAACCTGTAGACTGTTTGACGCTGTAACTGAGCACCTCTTCTCCAGGACCAGCTGCCTTGCGTCTTCTGGGCGGGCACGGCTAATCAATATCCCTGGGATCACCAATCGAGCCTTGTGGCTGAACGTGAATTGTCTCTTCTGGAAAAAGGGCATAGATGTCCCTTGCTCCACGCAGGAGAAATCAAGGCGTAAACCTTTGAGTGGTGACCCAATTGTGCCGATAGAGCGATGTGATGAGGTCTCCGCATCACGCTGTGAGTTATCAGAGGCAACAGCCTCCGCCAACAATGAAGGGGTTCACTTTGCAATACCTACTAGACGTTGGGCTGGAGCTGGCTACAAATAATAATGGCGCGTTACGCACCACACAATATGAAATATGCCACGATGAGGATAACACGCACCTTCGACCCGGCACCCTACTTGGAAGTATATATAGAGAGAATGCCCGACTTATAGAGAGTGACTTCTTATTATTGTTGGCGTTAACTCTAGCTTCGTCACACTAACTGTTGACTTGTCTCGGGAGGAGTCTAGAAAGGGAGATGAACCACTCGTCTTGGATATTAGTACACTCTCTAGAGGCCCCTCCTTCATTAAATTCGCACACACATTATTTGATTATCTACCCCTTTGCTAGTGTTCTAGTTCTATCGGCAGTATCTAGGCAGTAATAAAGTGTCCTGCCTTTGCTGTGTACTAAAAACTATGGTACACGAGCTCTCTTCAATGCCCTAGTTGAAACATGCCATTAACATGAGTATCCGACCTAAGGGGGAGAGCAGCTAGGCTTGAAAGGTGCTCATGGATCCTTTCGGCCAGAATGGCCAGATCAACCCGTTCCATGCATTCTCCCCTCAAGACACAGCTTCGCCCTTCTCCAGGTGCGCATACCTTTCCTTCCTCGCCTTTCCTACCTTCTTCTCCAGGTAGCAGCCCATGACAGCAACAGCGCAACTAGCAACTTCAAGGGCCAATACGGCAATCATAAGACCGACACTGACTTGGCTTTCCGTACACAGTCTCTTAAACCCGGCTGGAATTGGCATACCATTAGTGATATACACGGGAATTTGGAGGGATCGGGCATCAGATGTGAACTGGGATGCGCCGTTGGAGAATTTACATGTCCAGGACTGAAGGGATTCTCGCGGATGGTCGGTAGAAGGGTTGACGAGAAGGAGGTTGAATGGTATGGCAAAAAGGCAGAGGACAAGACCGACCACCGATGAAGCAAGGAAGACAATATTGTAGAGGAGAGTGCGGGAGTATGGCTGAAGGAGAGATTAGATCAAGGCGGGACTTGGGGTGGGGGACAAGCTTTACCGTGGGAATGAGTGAAAAGGCCAAATACACTAGGCTGACGGCTGTGAGAACTGTAGCAGGGACCAGGATAGCCAAGGTCGGTCTGATGTCAACGTTCCGCGGCCACAGGTGTAAATTATAGTTGCTTCCCAAGTGTGTGACGTTGTAGCGTTGTAAGACGTGACCTGCACAACCAACCGCTGCTGTACTGGTGGCTATGGTCAAGAAGATGAGGACAAGTCGCGTCCATCGAAGCCATTTGGTTTGTGCTAGATATGCAGACTCCTGGGCAGAAGTGGCCGAGTTGCGAGAATGGAGAGATGAGGTTAGAAGTGGGGAAGGATTGATGGTCAAGGCTGAGGCATCGTAGGATTCCGGCTTTCGCGTGCTCGAACGGGACCTGGCAGTATTGGAACGATGTTCTGAAGAGGAACGGACTGAGGCAGTAATTGCCATGCTGAAATGGAAAATATCGAGAACAAGAGAGTGACTAAAGACGGTGAAGAAGGGGGGGGGGGGGGGTTGCGAAACCAGCGCAGATGGACGAGGAGAGGGTGAAACGAAAGGGACAGGACAGAAGAGAGAAAGAGGATAAGAACAAGACGAGGCTCATGAATTATAAACGAGGTTTCGATTCACCATTTTGCCCGGCGGCTCTGGAAATGGTATTTCTTAGTCCTGCATACTGTAATACCTCGAGGTGGACAAGTCATACTGCACCGTGCGGACTTGTAGCGCCAGAGCTATTCAAAGATCAAAAGATCGGGGCGTACGAGATCCTAACCCGCTGTCCATCATCAGGTTACCAGACGAATCACGACCGAGATATCGACGGTTGACGTTGTTGACAGGCGGCTAGACGAACTTGGATAGGGAGGAAAAGAGGAGAAGGAGGATCGATGAGGTCGGCGGCAAGCTGAGGCTGCGCTTGGCAGCATCCTGCGTCACCATTGGGCTGCTATGTCTTTACAAGCGAAGGGGCCTAATTTTGGTGGGAAGGTCGGTTACCGCCGATTAGGACTGACAAGCACCAGCCAGGGAATGACTCCCTACCGTATTGCCATCTCTCTGTCTGTCTCTTTCTCTGCACACCCTCTCTCTCCATCTCCTGCGGTCATTTGCTGATACTCAAACCTATCCTGAATCAATGTAGATCCCATCTCGCTCGACCATTCACCTACCCTTCCGGAAAAACAACGTCCTGGCCGAAACGCCCTCCTCGCCCACCATTGGCTCATCTTCCTCCACCTCCGCCTTACGCGACATCAAGATCCCTAACAAACAGTCAACGTCCAGCTCAAGAGAGGCACCCTTTCCCAGTCAAAACCTGTTCTCTAGTACGTGGTCGCTTCTGCAAGAATGCAACTGCAGTGGACCAGACCCTTTCCATTCCCATGATACTCTTCTCTGCTGCTGCAACTATCCCACACGGACCATTCTTGAATCGGTTACACCGGCGGTCGCGAAATGGGCCTCCTGGCCCGCCAAACCCTCAAACATTTTCACCATCACCACTTTAGGCCTTATGCCGGCGTTGGACAACTCACTGCCGACCTCACCTCCGCCCTCCCCCGACACATGACTGCTCTCTCATGCATAACATATTGTGATGCTGGTGAATCAATTTTGTCGAATCTTCCGAAACCAGTATCTTCTTCACCGGTTTCGGCTGGTCGGAGAGTTTCGAGCTTCGCCCAGCCACAACCTTATGCACGCTCGACTTTTTTAGATCAAATATGACCTGTCACATTTCCATCGACCTAATTCCTTCTCCACCCGAGTCGCAAAATGAGAATGGCATGCGCTTCTCACACCGAGTGGAAAATGGATGCGATTTTTTCCAATGCTTGGATTTCTTCTGGATCCACGTGTTTGCCCGACACCATTGTGGCGCTTTCTTCCGAGATCTGTCCATGTCGCCTCAGATGTGATTGTGTACGCTGCTCGATATAGCCTCGTCGCTCCTCTCTCAGTTCGTCCTTGGCACTCCCAGTTTCCACCCCCATCGTCGTGTCTTTCAATGCGCCCAACTTGGGCCGAAGTTCAGCCAACAGGGATCGGAGTGCCGGCAATTGGGAGACTGCAAAGGTTGTGTTGGTGGTTAATGATTGTTGCTCAGGATTTTGAGTGACTTGTAATGACTGCGCTGAGGTCCCGCTCGTAAGGAAAGACAGGTTGTTTATCTCATTTGAGGCCCCGCCAGCGATCCCTCGGAGCTGCTGCAGTATGGCCTCATTGCGACTTTGTTCTTCCAGAAGGCCTTTGGAGACCGCCCTCGACGCTGCCAATTTCCGTCGAAGTAATTGCACCCTCTCTGCGGTGGGCGCATTCTCAGCAGGAGGATATGGGATATTCTAAAATCGTCAGCCGTATTCTAAAGATTGACCTTGCCTTGGTAGAATAGCGCCCACCTCGTAATGACTCAGGCGCACCCAGTGAACCAAGTCTGTCGGGACGGACAGAATGTTTCTCAACACGTAAATCTCAAACTTGTCGAAATTCTTGTCTACCGTCGAGTTCAGGAGCGTCTCCAGCTTGTGCAGGCCCTCTTCGATCTCTTGCTTTGCCTCGGGAAACTTGGTCTCTGCCGTTCCTTTCTCACCAATTTTTGGGTTGGCCTTGAAGCCGAGTTTCTCCGGCGGGGTCGACAACAATCCTGTTTCCAGGCTGCCTATTCCCTGGTAAACAAAATCGTTGACCGAGTTGATGATGTCGTCAATCAGCGACTGCGCTTTCCATCAGCATTAAAGAACTTCAACGGCGGGAACGACTCACCAGAGGTGTATACTGCAAATGCTCTGTCAACAGCGATATTGCTGCCTGTGACGAGTCCGCCATGTTGCTGTGTCTGGAAAAGGATCGGTTGGTCGCAAAGGCATTGAAGTCGCCGGGGCCCAACATGGAAACTCAATGCCGTGTAACGCGTGCCCGTATTGTCAATTGTTGTGGATTCCCAGACAGGGATAGTGAACCTGCATTTGATGATTACGAATTCCGCCGTACGACCGCGGCCAGCTCGTTTTGTCTTTTGAAAGATCAGCTGGCAAAGCCTGTAATGACAGTCAACTCGGCCACAAATTGCGGATAACATCGGTCATCTCTTTATCAACCGTCAAAAGACCTCCAGGTATTAAAACAGCCGCAAGGCTGTGATTGGTGACTTCATACATCCTCAAGATGGGAGGACCGGGCTCTGGTGGCTACAAGAATAAGCCGGGAGATACAGAAACCCACTCAGCATGGGATATTATTCCACAAGATCCCGAGGGTACCCAGGTACGCAACTGCGTCTCTCCTACCGTGTCTATCTCACTCACCCGTTCTATAGAAGTTGGCCCAGGTACGGTGCAAATACTGCGGCAGGGAAATGGCTCAGCATACCTCTCGACAACGTGTCCACCTCCTCGGCTGCCAGCCGTACCTGGCTGCAATGAAAGAGCAAGGAATCGAGACCAGTATCACACGTCAAGCGGCTGACCCCGCTGCATTCTTCAGAAGTTCAGAATGGGCGCAGAAGGGAACAGAGGCAAAAGCACCCAAGGTCCTGAAGATGCAGGAACATTCTACAGCTGTGCGAGTCCAGGCTCTTGCACTGGCCGAAGCAAGCATCTCGTCGGAGAGAATCCAAGAGATCACCGGCATGGACCCCAAGGTATTGGCTGGACTACGAAGACTTGCGCGTGAACGTGGCTATGATCCATCCGTCTCTATGCAACTCAAGGAAGAATACGTCTTGGATCCACCAAACACCAGTCGTCCACGAGGTCGCCCAAAGAAGAGAAAGCCAGAAGACGATGTTGATCCTGCGTTGACCAGTGTTCAAGACGCCGCTCGCACTGCACCTGAATTTACTCCGCGACGAGATAATCTCCCTCCCGGTCAATGGGATTTCATTGCCGCAACTCCGACCGGCTATACAATGACCTAGGAAGATACGATAAGGAAACTTGGAAAAATCCCTTTGGTTATCGACTGTTAGCTGTTGTGTCAGGTTCCGGGAGAGGGGCCCTTTCTTTTTATCCCCCCCCTTTTCCTTTCCCTTCTCCCTGCATTCAACATCAGTACCTACGGAGCATGGAGTTTGGGAGAAATAGGTTTCTCTCGGCATTGATGATCGAACACGGAGGTTAAAATGTGGGTTTTGGTTGACTGCTTTGTCACGGGTGTTGACAATCAGAGAGCTCCCTCGTCTCTTTGAATTGACATGTGAGAACATCACAAGAGATCCCAGGCTTCCAGTGAGCATGAGGTTAGCACGATGTAGCAGACTGTAACAGTCTAGCAGCAAGCTAATCCAAAGGATTTTCAAATTGAGGAAACGCGACCACGAGTCCAAGACCATGCCCTTTGCAGCCACACCCCAGTTGGCAGGTGACATCTTGTCATCATGCCTCCTCCTCGTGAACCTTGGGGTCGTCGGCCATGTTCGGCAGGAAGTTTTCCGGCTTCAGAATTTCCTTTTGCAATTACTCCGCCAAAGTGGCTGAGCCTTGGGCAGGTGTGAATTTGATTGCGTGAAACCCGGAAGGACTCACACCCGAAGGGACCAAGGGCAGGGACCAAGACACTGTACTGTAGATCTAAGGGCCAGGACCAGGCCGGCAAGATCCCTTTAGCGGTGGTCTGGGGAGGATAGACGAGATGGAGGCAGCCCGTAGGGCCTGTCAAGATTGGGAAAAGGGAGAAGTCGCTTCGAGGTCGATGCCAAGGCTGGACGGCCCAAAAGGGAAAGGCCATTGGAAGCGACGGGTGCCGGTAGCGAAGTGGGACGAAACTCCAAACAAGAGATGCTTCAGACTCGTCTCCTCGAGACACGACTCAAAACGTCCCAGCGCTTCGAATTCTCTCGCCATGTCTACCGCCTGTCACTCTGCGACACTCACCTGTCATGCTTTTGACGCCGACTCGACCGTCCGGCCATGGCTCGCGGCCCATGGTGTGCCTGTCTTTTGAGATCTCTCTCGCCTGTCGCGGTGCCTCCTCCCCTTGACACCTGAGACGAACATCCGACAATTTGCATACAACGACTTCAGCCCTCCCCAGGGGCCACTTGACCGGGCGACGAGACTCGGTGAGTCCCATATCCCTTGAGATCCAGATCCATAATTTCAAGAGGTTGGAATTGGCTTTTACACAGCCCGCTTTTTCTGGTCTACTTATGTCCCTTGTGTTGCCATTTCTTTACTCGCTTGCTTTTTCTTCTCTCCATTCTATCATTTAACCAATTTCTTTGTTGGCCTGTACTCTCGTTGTACCCGGTCTGTTCACTCCTTCTGCTGCTTGACGCACTGCAGTTCATTTTTGGTTCTTGCTTGCGCCGGTCGCTCGTTGTCATACACACCCCCCTCACCCTACAGGATTCAACTTGTATCCAAACCCAACCAAAGTGGGTCTACCGTCTACAACGAAACCGAAAATGTCTTTGAAGTCTTTTCTTGTTTCGACGCTTCTTGCAGCGACCGCCGTCGCGACGGAGTATTCTTGGGGAGGAGGTGGCGAAAGCAGCTGGAGCTCCGATGAATATGCTGGCTGGGGCGCTGTGGCATCCTGCCCGGCGGGTTGCCAACCGATCGCGACTAAAAGCGCCCCACCCCCAGCCGCTACTGGCGGCGGCGAGCTGATTGTGCAAGTGGTGTCTGTTGCCGACGCAAATGGCTCTTTGAAGTACTTCCCCAACAAGGTCAGCGCACCAGTCGGCTCGATTGTGCAATTCCAATTTCACCCGAAGGTAAGTATGGAAAGTCCTCACGTATCGTAACTTCTAACGATGTTTCTCAGAATCACACGATCACGGAATCCAGCTTTGCAGAACCTTGTAAGCCACTCGCAAGCAACCTGACCACACCAACTCGTCCGGGTTTGAAGTCCGGCTTCGTCCCTGTGACGGGCAAGGAGGAGTTCACACCCGTTTTTAACGTGCTGATCAACGATACGAAACCCATCTGGATCTACTGCGGACAGACCAACCATTGCCAGAAAGGTATGGCCATGGTCATCAACCAGAACGATTCGAGCCCCAACACGATTGATGCATACATTGCCAATGCTGCGAAACTGCCTCTCGTGGACGTTCCGACACCACCTGCGACAAGCAGTGTCGAGACAGTTTCGTCTGAGACCTACACTTTTGGTGGCGGCGGGTTTGGCAGTGGCTACGCCAGCTCCGTCTACTCTAGTTACTCCAGTTACTCCAGCTACACTAGCTCAGTTGTTGAGAGTGTTGCTGAGACGACTGCTGAGAGTTCCACTGTCGCCTCTGCTCCACCAGTTGAGACCGTTGCGCCGCCTTCGACCAGCACCGCTGCCGTCCAGCCCGCAACGTTCACCGGTGCCGCAGCACCTGGCTACCGGGTTCCCGAGTCTGTTGTCGGTGTCGTGTTGGGTGCGCTGTTGGCTCTGTGGTAATACTCTTATACCCCCTCCATTCGTCCATCCGAATGAGTTGCGTGCAACAGAACTTTGAAGGGAAAAGGAAAAGAGGTGGGAGGTCCCCGGGCTTTTGGGTGGTTGGTTCAGCTGTCGAAAGTGTTTCAGAATCATCTCTCGATTTGACTAAACCTCCTTCGCAAGTTTCGAAGTTGAGCTGTCGTCGAGCTCGAAAGATTCTGGGGGAACTTTGCCGTCGAGCTTATTTTTCTGATTCAGAGACTCCGGCAATTGATGGGAAGGGCTGTGTTGTGGCATTTTGTATTCTTAAAACTTCTTTTTTATATTTGACATCCCCACCCACCCAGCATGAGAAATTTCCTGCATATATGCCTGATTTGGCAATGCAGTGGACATGGATATATCTTATAGACTCAAGGATCGAATTATACCCCAAGACCGGGTGGGAATGCCTACAGGCAGTGATCTGGATGGAATACGATAAATATCAAATTTTGACGTTGACTCTTGTTCTAGTAGTCTCAACGTTACGAAACTACGAAGCCAACCCCCGTGTTCCCTTTGACCTTTGGTGCTGCCATGTTCTCTGCCTAGGTTGAATCTCAGAGAGCCATGTGTTGCTTGGATTTCGGCCTCTTTCCATCCGTTCATGTTTCTGTCTCCTGGTACACGTAGATTGCACTTCGCCGTTGGTTTGAGCGATCTTCTTCCTCGTTCATTCGTTCATCAAATCATGTTTGTAATTCCTCCGACCCTCCGGCGTCACGCAATGATTCCTTCGCCTACAAATATTAAAAATCCAAACACAACTGCGTCGCCACCCTCTCGAGATCCTCCAGCTCCAACCAGCCACTATCCAACCGGCCTGCACCTCCTCCTTCTCTTTCTCTCCTCTCATCCACACACCGCCGAATCCCCTCCTTGACAAATATCTCAATATATTTGCCCAGCAGGGCACGGGCGTCTGTTGAAATCGTCGTTTTCTCCGGCGCAGTGAAGTGCGATTGCATGATGCGGTGGATTAGAGGCAACGGAATCGCGGGTTCTTCTCCTGTCACGGACGTCGCATTTACATTTGTTTTCGAACGGCGTGAAGGGTTTGGGTGTGTGATCTCTGCAAGTATATAATCTGGTTCAGGCGATGAGAGTGAGAGAGGAGGCGTGGAGGCTTGCTGTTCTTGGTTTTCGTCCCGGTCTTCCCCCTCATCTTCTTCCTCTCCATCGTCATTGTCGACGTTCTCGAGGTCTTCATCGTCAGAGTCGCTGGACCCCTCCGGGTCTGAGTCCATGTCTAGATCTTCGTTTTTCCCATCATCAACATCGTCGTCGTCGTCCTCCCCATCACCCAAAATCACCCTCATTGTACCCCCATCGCCCCTTTGTTTTTGTGTTGGTCCGTGTCGTTGCTGATGCCGTCGTCTCTGCGTTGGTGATTTCCCTCTTGCTTGTGCTTTATTGCTGCCTGAAGATGTTCTCGCCTTCTTCACGCCATTTGTGCTCTTCCTGATGTCTCTAACGGACTTCGTAGACTTTGATTTGCCCGGTCTTGGAGGGGAGAATGAAGGTCTCGTACGTTTCGTAGCGGCTGAAGCCATTATTGAATGTCGCGCCCCCAAGTAGGAGCCGGGCCTTCCGTTCTCTCAACCTTGAAAATTTCGACGGGCGGGTCCGAGAGAAGACGAATAATGAGTTCTGCGGATTGTACGGATTACTGAAAAGGTCAGTGGTCTGTTTAGAATGACATCAGACGCTGCGGCGCGCGATGCGTCCGGCTTGGCAGTGAAGCCAAGCCTACAAATAAGGGACTAGGAGGGATTGGGGGAGGACAACCATCTGTTTTTTGTATTTCTGCATCGATCGCAAAAGGTTTGGAAAGATTAAGTTCATAAGAGAATGCTGTATTTTGACCGTTTCTAAGACAGGTCTAGTCATAACTATTTCATCATTCCCTTTTTGAAACCTGGTATTTGTTCCCTGAAAAGCGCAGTTCATGCCTTCCACCGAACGCCGTCTACGCTGTTATGCAAGCCGTGAATCATACAAGCCCAACTACTCATAGAGATCCATACTTCCGTTTGGAGCATCCTCAATCTCCAACATGGCATCATCATCATCAATCATATCCTCATCATCCTCCATGTCACTGTCGGTGTGATTAGGTAGAACCACGATTCGACCATCCTCCAAAATGACGTTTGCTGTCTCACCATCTTTGATGGCCCCTCTGAGGATCAGGACCGCAAGACGATTGAGGATTTCTTTCTCGATCAATCGCTGCAATGGTCGAGCACCATAGGCTGGTGAATAACCCGCAGCGCCTAGGTAGTCCTTGACCTCATCGCTCGCATTGATCACGATCTTCTTGTCATTGGACTCCAGACGTTTCTGGATCTCAGCCAGTCTCAGATCGACAATCTTCCTGATTTCTCTCCTAGTCAACCGATTGAAGATGACGATGGAGCTGATTCTGTTCAAGAATTCGGGCAAGAAGTAGTTGCGAAGAGCATTCATGACCAATTCTTGGGTGGTTGGATCAATTCGTCCGTCGGGAGCATTGTTGCGAGAAAGATATTCAGCACCGAGATTGCTGGTCATGACCACAATACAATTCTTAGCGTCGACAACACGACCTTGACCATCTGTAATTCTGCCATCATCCATGAGTTGGAGCAGGACGGTGAGAACTTCTTTGGCGGCCTTCTCAACTTCGTCAAACAACAAGATCGAGAACGGTCGACGTCGGAGGGCTTCGGTCAATTGACCACCAGCATCGTGTCCAACATAACCCGGAGGCGCACCAATCATTCGTGACAGTGAGTGTCGTTCTTGGTATTCTGACATGTCGAATCGGATCATGGCTTTTGGATCGTCGAACAAGAATTCGGCAAGAGCCTTGGTCAAAAGGGTCTTACCGGTACCTGAAGGACCACAGAACAGGAAGCTTGGTGGCTGGTTCGGATTTCCCAGTCCTGACCGCTGCAGTCGAATGGCGTTCGAAACGGATCTGACAGCTTCCTTCTGACCAACGACAATTTTCTGCAGATGCTGTTCCATATGAAGGATTTTTTCTTTCTCAGAAGCACGCAGTCTGGTGACGGGGATCCCGGTTTGTTTGGCGACAATGGCATTGATCTGTTCCGGACCGACGGCATCCGTCGGTGACACTTCGCCCATGGCGCCGAGTCTGGCGTGCTGTTCTGCGTCTGCCTGCGCTCGAGCGGCCTCGAGGGTTTTGATCTTTTGAGTTACATCGGGAATTGCGTAGTAGGTCAGATCAGAAGCGGTCTGCAGATCGTTGGAACGCTCTGCCTCATCTCGTTTGTTCTTGAGTTGCTCGAGTTTGATTTTCGCGTCCTGGATTTCTCTCGACCGTGCTTTCTCTCGTTCGTAATGCTCCTTGAGAGGCTCCAGTTCTTCCTTGACATTGGCCGCTTCACGCTTGGCCTCGTCCAATCGTTGAACGGAAGTGGGGTCCGTCTCCTTCTGAAGAGCATGAATCTCGATCTCGAGCTGTCGGAGTCGTCGTTCTAGATTGTCCAGAACTTCCGGCTGGGATTCTCGGATGACACGCACGTCTGCAGCTGCCTCATCGATGAGATCGACAGCTGAGTCCGGGAGTCGTCTTGAAGTAATGTAACGGGCAGCCAACGTCGCGGCAGCAACGATAGCGCCGTCAAGGATCGTGACACCATGATGAACTTCGTATCGCTCTTTCAATCCTCGCAGAATCGAGATTGTTTCCGCAACTGTGGGCTCCTTCACCAACACCTGTTGGAATCTTCGTTCGAAAGCGGCGTCTTTCTCGACGTACTTGCGATACTCGGCGAGAGTAGTAGCGCCGATACAATGAAGTTGACCACGGGCCAACATGGGCTTGAGAAGATTGGCAGCGTCCATACCACCTTCGCCGCTAGCACCTGCGCCCATGAGGAGATGGATTTCATCCACGAATAGGACAATCATCTCGTTCGAAGCCTCAATCTCTTTGAGGACCCCCTTCATTCTCTCTTCGAACTCGCCCCGGTACTTGCTGCCAGCAACGAGTGATCCCACATCAAGGGAGAGCAGTTTGCAAGCGGCCAGATTGGCAGGAACGTCGGCGTTGATAATTCGCTGCGCTAGACCTTCGATGACAGTCGTCTTTCCGACGCCAGGTTCACCAATGAGGACAGGATTGTTCTTGGTTCGCCTGGACAGAATTCGGATAACCCGCCGAATCTCCTCTTCTCGACCAATGACTGGATCTAGCTTTCCTTCTCTTGCCAATTGTGTCATGTCAATGGTGAATCTCTTGAGGTTTTCATTTTCCTCTTCCGAGTCGGCGTTCTTGGAATCAACCCGCTTGGTGCCTCGTATTTGTTGGATTGCAGAATCGATGAGTTTTGTGTTGGGAATGTTTGCCTCGCGCAAGGCTTCCTGGATCTTGGGGTCTTGCGCTAAGGCGGTGATCAAATGATCAATGGCCACGAAACTGTCTTTCTGCGTCTTTTGAAGTTCTGTCGCCGACCTGATGACTTTGGAGAGCCCTGGGGACATGGTGACATGCTCTGGTGGCGGGTCTTGACTAGGTAACCGCACAAGAGCCTTCTTGAGAGCTCTGTCGAGTAGTTGAGGGTCGCCATGGGCTCTTTCTACGACCTGTCTGAAGAGAGGAGCCGACGCGTGAACTTGTGAGGCGTTGACGGTAGTCTGCTGATCTTTCGACTCGTCTGCTGGAGGGTCAAACAGGGCGACAGCAAGGTGAATCGGGAGGATCTGGGTGTGAGCGTATTGTTCTGCCAAATTCGCCGCGTCGCCGAGTGCTTTGGCGCTTCTATCAGTAAACTGAGGCGCGCCTGAAGCCATTAGCTTAGTGACTTGAGGGTGAGAATTCTATCGAATGTGTGAAAATCTGGTCTTTTGTCAAATTCAAAAAAGAAACTAGGAATTGACAAAGTTGGTCGTGGCTTTTGTAGACCGCGCAGCCGGAGGGGCCTATGACATCGTGCTGGTACCTTCCAGAACCAACCAGAAGACATCATGGCCAGCAAAGCCCTATCTCGGCGCCTCACTCCACGGGGCAAAACGTTTTGGGCATCAGACCATCCTCAGGCCATCTCAACAGGGTGCTTTCTCTGTTGTCGGGCGTCTCTGTCCCCCATCCTAGCTACGGCTCAGGGGTTGTTGGGCTCAAAACGTTGCACCAATTAGTTGGGCCACCAGATAGTGGGGCAAGGGCGAGCCTTGCTTTCCATTGGGAGGAGAGATAGAATCAAAAGATTGATATTAAAAAGTCAGTCTGTACTCATACTTTGACCAAAACAGTCATCAAATATCCCATCAACCCGAAAATCCGTCATGGCTTCAGGGTGAATTGCTTCAGGTACAGGAAATCATCCATGTTCTGGTTGACGGTCTGTCGAATCACCTTTGCCGCTTCTTCGCCATACTTTTCTTTCCATTCGGCGTCCCATTGAGCCTCAGATTTCGCCGCCTTCTTCTGTCGGCAGTCAGCTTTTGTTTCTTTTTCAAAAAGTTGCAACAATTGTTCGCTTGCACATACGTGAGTTCTCGGCTTGAGGTCCTTGGAATCGATGGCGTCTTCATGAAAGCCTTTCCATTTTTCGAAGGCCACCTTGGCTCGTTCCTGATCCGCGTCATTGTCCCAGTTGAGCATATCGTGAGAGAAGTCCAGTCCAACACTTTGGCAGTAAGCTCGGAGAATACCCTCCGGATCATCCAAAAGGTCATCCGCGTCGATCACGCAGGTATCAGGTTGGCTAATGTGTCCATTCACGATCCCATTCGACTGGCCGGCAAGTTTGGTTCCTACCAATCCAGCCTCTCTGGTGAAATCGAAAAATCGCCGGAGCTCGTCATATCCAGCTTCATTAGGGTAGAATTCGTAAAATCCAGTCATCTCATCCAAGGGAGGAATGGTACAGCGATAATACGACGGAATACTCGAATGAGGGTCGCGGATGAGGAAGGTGAAATGAACTTTTTCCAGGAGTTCTTTGGGAATGACGGTCGGATTTCCTGGCTCGCCATCCGATGAGTAGGGAAATGGTGCTTTCTTGCCGACTCCGTTGACTCCGTTAGTGCCGTTGGTCTCACTGGATCCGTCCACGCCGTTGACGCCGTTGGCTCCACGGGTCGCTGTGCCGGTGCCAATGCCGCGTTTCTTGGGGTCCAAAGATGGAGCTATTTTCGCTGGCTGTTGGTCTGGAGGAACCAGATAATAGATGATGTCCTTGATGAAGACGCGTTTTCCCTGTTTTGAGGTAAGCGGAGAACACTGGGAGGTGTTGGTGACGCTCGTATGAAAGTTGGGCCTTTCTGAGCAACATCACACCTCGGATCCTTCCCGATCTAGTCGATCGAAGATTGTCTTGTAAGTCGAATCACTGAAACCCGAGGCTTTTCTTGCGTCTTCATCATGTTCATAACGAGCGCTCATCCTTTCCGGACTGAAGAGCAGTCAGACCCGACCCCCTCCCCCTCATCGGCTTTTGAGCTCACCCATAATAGAAAGCATCTCCAAATGGTTCATGCACACAGGCCAAGTCTTTCCTGGTCATGAAAACCTTGACACCTGGTCAGTATCGTGGATGACGGAAACAACAATGAGAATCGAACACGTTCAAAGGCCGTACTGCACGCACGCGGATGTGTGGCACAGAAGATCGGTTTGGCCATGATAGGGAGTTCCCCCCTCTCAGCGACAATGCTACAAGTTAGTCGAGAGACCAAGTTGACTGGTTCAACGCGACCGAGGTAAAGAGAACGGTCAAGGTCTGTCGACCAAACAAGTTATATAGCCACTTTCAGTCAGCTATGCTTGTTTGACAGACTACTAGAAGCAGCCTGACCAGAGAGAAGAAGAAGTAACCTCAGACACCGCCTCCGAGGGACGGAGATATACTTATACCGACCTGAGAGATACGGGACCCATAAGACAAGTGTAACTCGAGACAAGGTCCTTCGGGCTTCTAGGGTCTGCTTTCCAGGGGCGAATGAATGAAGCCATGAAAAAATTCGTCATTGCAACATGCGCCAGTGATGTTGAGGATCTGTTTATGACGCAAAGGACGAGACGACTCGCCCTGTCCATGGTGGCTAACCCCACCCTGTGAAGAGCGTTCTGAAGGTTCGGCCATCCCCCAAATGCCCACTTTTTCAGGAACATGTGATCGATGGGGGATCATGATTGGCATTGATCTTAAAAATGCTGTTTGTGACAAAGATGTTTGACCAGGCGAGCCCGACAGAAGAAAAACGAAAGCTGCGAAGAAGGGCAGAGCTTGTGAATGGACGGACGGATGATGGGATGTGTGGGTGGTTGAGCCAAGCGATGCTGTGGATGAGGAACTAATCGTTCCCGCCAACCGCAACGCGATTGACTCCCCTGCTCTTCAGGCTGCCCATACCTGTTGCATGGGTAATAATCCTAGGTCCTGCTTGGCGAGAACAGAGCGAAATGCATCCGCCTACACCTTGGTAAGTAATAGCAGTGGAGTTTCCGCAGAAACTTCAGATCACGATCGAAAGAATTGAGGAGAGAGACTTTGGGCGCAGGGACAAAGCGCCCCAAGCACCAAGACCGAGGCACGCCAGCAACCGAGTCTAATGCTTGTCAAATTCGCCTGTCCGGGTGGTACGATTTCAAAGAACTCTTCCCCCTCTCAGATCGCGGAGGTCGATTGTTGGAAATTATCAACAAGAAGTTTCTCACAATCCATCCGCTCCTTAAGTGCTTCAGTTTTGTGAACAATGTCTTCCTAGTTCTCACTTTTTCACCGGACATTGGTGTTTGTTCTGGGAATCTGACATTTGGTGTCCTCTTCGACCGCTGCCGAATTCTTTGCAAGCTACGCACACTCTTCCAAGAACAACACAACCACCGCCCCGGTCATCGATCCGTTGAATGTCATCATGTTCTTCAAGAATGTGTCACCGCCTCCTCCACCTCCTGTTCCGGCACCGGAATTGAAACCTCTCCACCCTTTCTATCCCAGTGAAATCGAGATTGTGAACTTCATCGCGAATGACATGACTGTCCTCCAATTGCTCGCCGCCTTTGGCTCAGGGTGTGCGGTTATCCTCTCCGCAACCTGGTTCCTCGTATCCACGGTAGCCCCCGGTCTCAAGGCGAAGGATAGGATCATGGTGCTTTGGTTCTGCTTGAGTAAGGAAAAAGAATGGAGTTTTGGTTGGGATACCAGACTGACACTGCGAAGCTGGCTCCATCCACCTATTTTTCGAAGGTTATTTCGCCTACAATCATACTCGCATGGGTGGGGCGCTAGATCTGTTCGGACAATTATGGAAAGAGTACGCCTTGTCTGATTCCAGATACCTGACTTCTGATCCTTTCGTCTCGTGCATGGAATTTATAACAGCGGTAGGAGGCCTAACTCTGATGAGGTGGGTGTTTGATGCTGACACGATAATAGGTTTTCTGGGGGCCCCTCTCGTTCTTAATGATGTACTATATCATCATTTCGCATCCTTTGCGCTACCCTCTCCAAGCTGTTGTTTCCCTGGGCCAGCTTTACGGCGATGTGCTATACTATGCAACGAGCTTGTTTGACCACTACTACAAGAGCCTGACATATTGCCGGCCCGAGGCATATTACTTTTGGTTCTACTTTTTCTTCATGAATTTCATTTGGATTGTGATTCCCTCGAGTGAGTTTCCAAGACGTTGGTGGCGGTGGTCAAAGCTGACGGGGTTTCAAGCACTATTGGCAGACAGCCTCATTGTGTCGGCGAAAGCATTCAAGGCGTTAGACCGAATGTCGTATTCACTACAAGGCAATGGGACGGTGCGTAAACCCAAGGCGAATGGGCACATCAAACATACGTAGAATAATGTATCAGGCAATGCAAGGGGGCATAAAAGTCGCTGAGGTTCGAGGGCTTGAGCCAGTGTAACTGGCCAGAGAATGTATACCAAGTTAGCGCTTGTCCAGCGACCCTTCCCGCTGCTCTGGTTGAAGATCAGGAGTACAATGTAGATAACAAGATTCTGTGATGCTCGGGAATCTGGGTTAGCCAATCTCATCGCCCGGATAATGACTTATAGCGACGAGTGGCTTCTGGTTGCCGGCGAAACGGATATCCCTGGTTCCCCACCATCCCAATTCCAAGGCCCTGACGCAACTCGCTCAATATCCTTTCGCCGCTCAATCCTTTGCGCCTTGCATGAAATCCGACGATCTCCTTTTGGTAGTCGTTTGCCTGTGCATCTTGGTTCTAGATACGCACCCTGCCTGTGCAGAGGAGCTCTATCCTACCACGGTATCTGTGCCCCATTCATCATGCACGAACAGTTACGTCGACAGCTACAGAATACCCGACATATGAGCCCAGCGATCACAACAACCTCCTGATAGCTACCTCTGGCACACAGCTTCCCTGCTAGCAAATTACCAATGCGAGCAGAACCTGCCTCGAATCCAGCCCGCAGAACCTCCAAGAATCATCGTCTCGAGCCACGCTCTTCCCTCAAAAGTCCGAATGTAGCATCCAACCAAGCCACAGGCCTGTACGACTCGGCTTCTGTACAAGACCGTATTCGCCAATGGCAGGCACAAGGTGCCGCAAATGCTCCAGCGCCAGATGCGGTGAGTCTGCGATCGATACCTACCTCCGAATGCGCATCTACGGTTTCAAGACCGAAATCAGAGTACGGCGACGAGAACGGAGAGCGCCCTGGCGGGAGAGCGACGGAGAAGGAGACAGACGAACAATATCAAGCAAGGAGCAGTAGCACTCCCAGGAAGCGAGTCATAAGCGATGGTCATTGGAGAACCAAAAAAGAGGTCGAGAAGCAGAGTCATTCTAAGCCACTTCCCAGGGCATGTCCAGAGTCGACGCGCTACGATTTATCCTATACTTCAAATCAGGAGAAACGTCAAGGGCGACAGCAGTCAGAGCGCCATCAAAACATTGAACTTGATCGAGAAGAGACAACGAAATTACGTTCTGACAACAGGGCCAGGGTGGCGCCAGTCGTGTCTGACGAACCGGTGCATGCTCCCGAAGATCAACCTCCTCCTTATGAGGTCGAAAGTCATGTTGACGACGCACTGGCTCGACATTGGACTACCGAATCAGTCATCTCCGGTGATGTCGATCGCAACTCCGATTCGTCAATACAACCAGAAGACAACCGTGGAAGCAACCGAAAACGGAGCAAGTATGCGGAAATGCTGGGGAGAACAACTGCAGCTCCTCGGCAGGGGGACTTACCAAGGTCCAAAAAGGGCAGGTTGTTTGGCAAAACTAGAGACATGTTCATGAAATCGGAAACTGCACCAGCTGCCAACAACAGAATCCCAAGCATAGAAGCATGGCTAGACGAACAACCTGACCCGTTGGTGGATGATGTTGCTCAAGATGAGCTACCTCCAGTCGAAATGCCACGTCCATTAAGGAAGCGCACCCATCGAAAAAGATCTTCAGCGGAGACATCGCATCTGACAGACCCCAACAACATCTGGGCATCCATTCAGCCACATAAGGAATCCAACTTTCAAGAATGTGCCGGCCATAATGAACCGGCCAAGGGCGAGGGAATGAACACTCCAGATAGTGACCATGATTCTACGCCAAAAGTGCGAAAATCTCGCAGAGATGGTCAGAACGACCCCGATGGCTCACCATCAGGTTTGCACCGGAGAGGGGCCAGAATTCGCCGACAGAGAGAGTCTCTGCCAAAGAATCCTGTTGCACATCCAGAATGGCCAAATTTATCAGATGTTCTGGCCCAAGAGCCCCTGGACGGAAATTCAGAGGTCAAAACCGTGGCGTCACCTCAACGACAGTCCCCCCCGCCCGGAACACATCGACTCTCAACAATTGCTTTCGCAGAGACGTTCAAAGAGAATGGCCCAATTGTCTCGTCCCATGAAACAACGCCTAAAGAGAACCATGGACTCAAGCGCAGATTTACAACACATGAAGATTTGATGTCGAATCTTTCATTACCAAGAGCCAGCAAGAGCCGTCGTTCTAGACGCAGCAGGAGAAACCAGCCAACAGCTGAGCAGTCCAATTCTGCACGAGAAGTCCTTGAAGCACTGGTGACAGATGAGACAAGATATGGAGGAGAGTTGCGGACTTTGGTGGATGGTGTTATACCAGTTTTACTTCAATGCGTCCTCTCCAAGACGGACTCGGCTGCGGCGACCGGATTGTTTACGTCTTCGATTGCCGCGCACGACAATTTGAGCTTCACCAAGCCCATCATTGACATGGGCATCGCTCTGGAAAGATTGAGAACATTGCACAATCGGATCCCATTCCAAAATCTGGACAATCTACTCAACTGGGCGCAAACTTCACAGAAAGCTTACAGAGATTATATTCAAGCTTGGCGGCTTGGGTTTCAGGATGTGATTGTCAATCTCGCGCCTCTCGAGAACTCGACTTCATCTGCAGAGGGAATGGCACGAGATGAGCTGGGAGATTTGATCGACGCTGAGGGCAAGAAGGTGGATGTTGCTTATTTGCTGAAAAGACCGCTGGTCCGGGTCAAGGCTCTTAGCAAGACCTTTGGCCAGATCAGAGATCAATGCGACAAGCCCCTTGCTGCCCAAATGGCCGATACATACACTGAGCTTACAGCAATGGCTAAGCGGCGTCATCAGGAAGAACAGGCCAGGCTCGAAGACGAAGCGGCCGCAAGCATTGATTCGACGCGAGCTCGTGACATAAGAACCATGGCGGCGACTGCAGGCGTTACCGTCGAGCAAACTCGGCGCGTCAAAGCCAGAGACTTCTTTGACCTCACTCTATATCACTCAAGTGGACAAAGGATGGACTGTGGTATCGAGATGATTTTTCGAGACAACGCCCGTGGAGGCCCTCCTGGCGGTGATGTTCTCGTTTGCGAAGTTGACGACACCGGAAAATGGCTGCTCTTCGCCCCTGTGGAGCTAACCTCGATATCAGCCAGACGCGGTGAGGCCGGATTTGACCTCGTCGTCATGATACGCGGTCGAGCTGGCTTTGGCCAGGAATGGCATGAACTACTGGCCCTGAAGACTGAAGATAAAGAAGCAGTCGCTGAATGGATGAATATGCTCGGTTCAAACCCTTTACCTCCGAGACTTGATCGATCGCCAAGTTTCGTTAAACGTCCGGGGCCCTCGATCGCCCGGTCGTCAAACGAAGGTCAATCTCAGGCACAAGAAGGCAAGAGTCAGACCATCAACGAGAATCCTCGACCAGAAAACTTAGACGTGCCCATTGGAGAGCCGTCTTTGCTGGGAAAATCTAGCGATTTGAGTCGACGCTCAGAACACACGAAACCTTTATTCGATAAATCGCCACCACGATTGAATCTTGGAGGTGGACTAGCATCGAAACCGATACCAAAGTACCAGATCCCTTCTGTAATAACTTCAAAACGAGCAGCCCCATCGGTCGTGTCATCAGACAGGTCTACAATTTCAGACCGATCCACCAAGGACACCACCACGACATCGTCCTCGTCATCGAAAACTACGTCGCCCAAACTTGGGTCGCCTTCAGAGCAGAGATCGAGTGTTGGAGCTCTACGTTCGCCTCCACAGCCACTTATTCCGGAATCTTCCCGACGAGGACGGAATCTACCTATACGAGATGCTGGTGCTCGGGACCTTCCTACGCCTAGAAGAACGGGCAATGATTCGCGGGAGTGGACGGGCTCGCCTATCTCGAGGGAGAGCCATTCGCCAAAAGGCAGCATGGCGGAAACCCAACCAACTGCGCAGCCTCAAACAATTCCTGCACAGTCAACTCTAAAGCAAGAGATGCCACAAAGGCCAGAAAACTTCCGAGCACTATCGTCGACACCTTCGCGAGAACTTCCAACAGTTAGCAAGCTTAGAACACAACCACAGCTACCTAGCCCTTCCTCCTGTGAGCCTGTTAGAACAAGTCCAGAGGCACAAAAGCCGTTGCCGGAAAGCGAAGTGAAAATTCGCCGGTCCAAACGAGAGAACAAGAGCCCGTCGAGGAGCCAAATTTTCACAGAGGATGTACCAACACCTCCAACACAGAGTCCCCGTCAAACACGGCCATTGAGTGCCAGCTTTGGGTCCCAACCATTTTCTCCAGCCGCTCCACCTCAGGTCAATCCTGGTGTTCTACAACCTAGGCCAAATACCAGGCCTGTCCCGGAATTGAATCCTACTCCAAGTCCTTCAGATAAGACGAAAAAACGAAGGACGTCTTCTCCCTTGAAGCACGAATATGCGCCTTCAACAAGTTCAGACAGCTCCTCTGACTATGACACAGAGAGCGTGAGCGATTCATCATCGGACACTTCCGAGGATTTGGGATCCGAAGCTGAGGATATGCCCACACCCCTTGTTGCCATAACTGCCGGTGAACGGCGAGCATCAAAGCATTCACAGCCTCCGTCATCAATGCAATCCACGGGAACCCGGACATTAGCCCCATCAGATTCAGCTTCTCAAGGCCCATACCGAAAAGTTCCTGCGTCGAATGCGGTTCCATGGCATAAGAAATCTAAGACCATTGCTTTGATATGCTCTTGGTCGGATCGGGGCATGTGGGAACAAGTTCATCCCGATGAGTGTTCGATTGTCATTTCCCCAGGCTTGATCGAAGCTTTCGAAATGTCAGCTGCTCATTCGGATCCACATTTGTCATTTGGAACTCGAAACTCGGAAGACGGTGACCCGCAGACGTCGTCCCACTCTCAGCAACCCCTGGTGGCCTTTGAGCTGACACCCATCGTCCCGCTTCGTCGAGGAACTGCTTTGGATATCTCGATCCGTTCCCCTCCGACCGCGAATTCAAAAATTCGGACAACCAACAATATCATGTTTCGCTCACGGAATCCAGAGGAGTGCGAAGCATTATATGGAATGATAAACTGGGCTCGCTGTAATAATCCCACTTATATTCAATTGCAAAATGCCCGTCCCAATCGCCAGCCATCGGTCACTTTCGCCGTCAGCCAAGATCGACACGGCCGCTCGAAGTCGAGCTCATGGTTCAGCTTTGGAAGTCAAAAGAAGTCGAGTTATCGTGCTTCCTCTGCACCGACACCTGCGTCTGTCGACATGTCCGTTGAAAGCTCTGGAACCATGGCGAGTGCGTTTTCCGTGCTCAAGAAATTTGGTGCCAGTTCCGCCTTCAATCTCAACCGCTCTTCAGTGGTGCGGAGAAATGGTAGCGGCGGCACAGGTGGGTCTCTGTATTCGTCGAGCAGCGGCACGGGTGCTGGCTCGGGTTCGAGTACGCCGGTACCCAGTCAGCTTGGCTTTGTCCCAGGCAAAGACGGTCCGAATGTTCCATCAACTAGTGCTGAGGCGGCGAGCGGAGGAGGAATGGTCAACAATATGAAGATTCGGTTGTACACAAGGAAAGGGCAGCACTGGGAAAATTTGGGTTCCGCTCGTCTGACTGTTTTGCCAGCGCCGACAGGTGCGGCAGACAGTGGCCCGACAACACCGAACCGAACGGGAAATCTCGCGGAACCATCGCCACCAGCGACACCGGCCCATGGACGATCTCCATCACACCTCTCGCCCATCGGCCAGCCGGGACAAACCCGTGCACCCGGGCTTCCCAGCTCCAGTCACACACCGCATCGAATTCATGGCAATGGTCGTGAAAAGCGCATCCTCATCACCAAGAACAAAGACCGTGACATCGTACTGCTGGATAGCGTTCTAGGCGAGAGTTGTTTCGAAAGAATTATGCAGACAGGCGTAGCGGTCAAAGTGTGGAATGCGGATGATGTGATTGCGGAAACGGGCGGAGTCACCATGGGCAAAGAAAAGGTCTATATGATGCAGTTCCCTGGAACGAGAGAAGCAGGCTGGGTGTTCGGGCTGTGTGGCACGTATCGGTATGGCAATGTGAGTGAATGAAAGTGTGGATTGGGGCTCCGGTGTCTGCAAGGCTGCATGAGGGATGATGGTTTGAATAAGGCTGGAATTCTGAACGATATCCATTTCGCTGATTGAGTTTTTTGGCCAGCGATGCGCACATGGCTTTGTTGGAAGGATCTCTTCTACCTTCCTTGGAAAGGTGGTGTATTTTCACGAAACGATTACACTGGGTTTGAATGTTTAGACGTGATACCATCCCCGATTTCAACCTTTGGTTTCAGTCCTCCACTCCCTTTTTTTTTTTTTTTTTTTTTTCAAGAATAACTGCGGCAGCTGTGCTCGAATCATGGAGGTGCCTGGCATTCAACTTGCTTCTTCCACAAGATGTGTCGCCCTCCATTTCGATTATTCTTCCGTTAGTTGCCTGTCGCTTTGCGGTCTAAACTGAATCCTAGCGTCGGTGGCTTCGAATGCTCGATCGGATGATACTGGGGCTACATGATCTTGTCACAGGGGCGGATATAGCCGAAGCATAAATCGAGTGGTTAGGCAACCCAATTCCTCATCCAAAGTGAATGAATCAGTGAAGAGCTTGATGGTCCTGGTGATATCAAGAAAACAGGATGACAGACAATGCATCATTCAGAAGCCGTACCTAAGATATCACGTTCCCAAGGGATGCGATTTCAGCAAGCACAGCACTTCAGACTCAACCATCCGCAGAATCCATAACTATTCCTGGTCAACCGACAGAATATCTCCCCGTTAAAGATGTTCCTGGAGATGGCGTTCAATATCCTCCTGGGCCACAACTATGGTTCAATATCATCGCCATGTCATTGGCCCGCTTCTTGCTGACGAATGAATTCAAATCCATACCTGATATTGGCTGGTCCTCTGCGGTCTATGGTCTTGTCCTCGACTGAATGGACTTCATTTTCAGCAAGACATACACTCCTTTTAATCGGCAGAAAGTCTATACCGCTCCGGGGACCTTCTTTGAGCTGGGTTCTCTCCTATGTGCGGTTGCACCCAGCTCCAGTGTTTTCATTTTGGGCCGCGCAGTTGCTGGTATGTCTCCTGTCTCGTCACATTTCCTTATCATCTTAAAAGAGGGAAGTTCTGTCGATTAACGTTTTTGGCTCTTGCCACCAGACCTCAGTGCATGCGGTCAGGGTTTTGGAACTATGGCCTTCACGCTGTACCTCGCTCCTTTCCACTCCGTAAACGTCCACTGATGAATGGGTTTATTGGCTCCGCACAAAGCCTTTGTTTTGTAACAGCTCCGATCATTGTAGGCGCTTTAGCTGTTGCATTCACCTGGAGAGCTTGCTATGGCATTAATATTCCCACCGCCTCCTCGTCATCGCCATGAATGCTGTTGGATGACGAGAGGTCTCCATAGGCGACGACGTTACAGACGGTTGCTCTGTGCAACGATGTAGTATTCGTGTGTCTATAAAAGGAGTCTCAGGACCTCGACAGGCAGATAGAAAACAGAGCGCTCCTTCATTTCAAGTTGCACGAGAAGTTTGACAAATGCCATGATAGACTGTGGAGTCTAGAGAAGGAATGTGTTGTTGTTGTTCTATCTAAGAGAGAGCAAGACGAAAAGAAGGGCGCAAGTTGCCAAGCCAAACAGCCTCACGTGACGTTGCCAAGGCAACCAGTCACGTGACTGGCCAACATGCCATTTGGATGATAGATCTGTACCCGAATGGACCTCGAGCTTCCTATCCATGGAAGGCTCAAACAGGCTGATCCGGCTGGAACTCTCCTAGCCTTCCCGCTAAAGTAAGCCTCGTGATCGCGCTGCTGTGCGGAGGTAACAAGTTCACATGGAACGACTGACGTATCATTCTTTTTTTTCTCCTCTTCACACCATCAGACATCAGCTTCGGACTTTGTTCAATATCGCCAGTAAGACAAGGTTATAGGACCTCCACGGATTTTCAAGAACAGGACTATTCTCGCGAGCACAGTCTATGCCTGCTTCACTAACGGAATGCTCGCTGTCACCGAATACTCACTACATCGCAATAGACTTCCAGCGAGTTCGTGGCTACAGCGCTGCAAATCGGGCCAGTGTTGACTGGAGTCGCTCTCACAGCTCCCGCTCCGGCTCCCGAGTATGAGGAGCCGTCTGTCGACTCCTCAACTCCTCTGTTAACTCCCGCTTCGGATATTCCTTCCCGAATAGGCAATTCATTGTGTAGCCGCCAGGGCACGTGATATCACGTGATGACAAATACTGCAACCTCTTTGGTCCTCCACGGCACCTACAATTGTAGAAGGCCTGGGTCGAGCCACTGTTTGTAGCACTGTCCGCGTTCGACTGAATCAATTGAAATGCAGCTGCGATCAATTGTTATCAATCGCTTCGTGGATGAGAAAGCGCTGGTAAGTCAGCATTTCTCCACCACTCGAGGATATTGTCACGCCGACGACCCTTATTGGCCACAATATTGCCAAGGCTTAAGCGAGACTAAAGAGTCCTCGCTCGAAATTAGGGAGTTGACTCCCACCAACGCGGAATCATGCTTTCTAGTACTTCGTATGATTCTGGGCTTCTCGGCCACAGTGATGCCAGCCACAGCGATGCTAACCGCAATCGGCACTACTTGGATCGGATATTATACTTGTGAGTGCCAGAACCAGGACCGGGACCAGTTTGGGAATAGGTCCTGATTTATGATGCTCAGCACTTTGGATCTGGACGACAGGCCTGCCAAAAGTAGCTGCGACGTTGGACTTTCTCGAAGTCGCAGTTGGCTTTGGCGTTCAGCAACTATTCACAGCGATTATGATGTTCATATCACTGAAGGACATCTCAATAGCTGTGAGCGTCCTTGCACTTGGCGCAGATATTGGGTCTTCTCTCTCCTTCAAGACAGGGCCACAGTACTTGAAGAATTACGGCTTGTCTGACCTGTGAGATGTGATTGCTCCGGAACTTTTGAAAGATGTGCTATTCGGCTACAACGAAGGCTGTCATTCAGATATTGTACTTGCCGTTTGGATTGGCACTGTGGGCCATTGTATGTTCATCCTGGTAGGGACCAATTTGCTTCTGATAAGGGTTAAGCGATGTATTTGCATAGTAAGACTTATCACGGCGCCAGGAACAAGTCTACTGCCAATTCAGTACGTTTATGTGCGATTGGGATGCTCTCTTCAACCCATCCGCGCTGTCAAGGGAGTACTCCATCAACCTACAAATCACGGACTACGGCTAACTAGCGCACCCGACTATCTGGGTACACTCGTTTAACTACGTCCGCTATCCATCTGTGACGGCTTCACTCCTCTCGGCGAGGAGTCGGCGTTGCAGCCATGTACTTCACCGAGCTGCACGACCTTGTCCTCGCCTCGGGGTTTTTCGCTCGTCAACGATGAGATTACCAAGGAGTACCTGTAACGTGTGAAGGTCGGATGAGCCCGACTCGTTACGTCTAGGCTCTCATTCGGCAGTCACCATCACGGGATGTGTGGCCGTCTTGCGGAGATTGATCGTCGACGAGACTGATCGCGGGCCTGGCAGCGAGGACAAGTCAGGCCACCGATTCTAGATCTCTTGACCACGGGGATGCAGCAAAGACCGCCGGATATCTTCCGCCATCAGTTTTAGCAGAAAGAGGTAGAACTGGTAAGGACGGTAGGCAGGGGAGTGCAAATGGAGAGGGTGTTGAGTTTGTCTTTGGCAACGGGACGCCTTGAGAAGTGAAAGGGAAAAAAGGGGACATCTGTCCAATTAAATTCTTTTCCCCATTTTTCGTTAAAGCCCACCCTTTTTAGTTAGTACAATTTGGTCACGCGCAAACTCGATTTCACAAAGTCAATCTCTCCCGCATACATGGCACGATCTCGATGGACGGAAGGAGGATGATCTTTCTTGAACCAATCCAAGTTGACATCGCCATGGAAGACAACTTTTCGCTGATCAGGGCTGACGTCCATGCTACCTGGTGCGTCCAGTTTGGTGCCAGAGACTTCGTCGCCGGTGTCGAGTAACGTTCGATTCTTCCAGGTCTGCTGCTTCGTTTTCAGCGTTTTCCAGTCGCAGCCTAGAATGCCCGTATTGGTGTCTACGCCCACGGTACAGCTTACGTAATCGATCCGATACGCAAGCTCTGCGTAGCACTGCGCATTGTACAAGAGATAGTACGCTGAGTCGCGGTATATCAGGCATGGTCGTTCGACATTCGGTCCGTCTTCCTTGATGCTGTTGATATTGGAGAATAGAAACACTGGTTCACCGATGGGGGTGACGAGGTCGTGGGGATCCACCAGCTGCAGGTGCAGCGGAGTGGGCGCGATAGGGGAATTGGTGTTTCCGCACGCCCCACCATGTCCGATGCTGTTGCCGTCAGTCTTGTATACGAGATAGTTCTGTCCGTTGACTGGGTCGCGGAACAGGTTCGGATCAATGTTTCCGCCTCCAGGCAGGTCGCAGACTATCGGGTCTTCAAGGGCGGTGTAAGGCCCAGTCACGTTTGGCGAGGTTGCGACTCCTATACAGTGTTTTTGGGGATGCGTCCGCATCAATGCGGCAAAGTACATGACCCATGATCCATCGGGTCGCGGGTTGACGTCGGGAGCCCAGACCTGGGCGTGTGGTGCTTCGCGAGCCCATGAAGGTAATGTAGGAAGAGCGTCAAAACCGTCATGGAGATGCCAAGCGGAGAAGTCTGGGGAGCTGGCCAGTTGGATATTGATCTTTTCGCTCTGGGTGCTGAATGCGTACCAGGTGCTGTCGTGGCCCAGGGCAAGGCTGGGGTCAGGGAAATTCGTCGAAATTGCGGCTCCAGTGGCCGAACATGATACGCCAGGCAATTGGCGCGCGGGGATGATTGTGATTGTGATTGTCAGGAATGCAGTGATGTAGCCGACAATGGAATGGCGCATAGGTGTGGTGGTTCGGTGGGCGAGCTACGGTAGGGTTACCTCCCAAAAAAATGAGATTTCGGGGGGGAAAAAGAGATCGAACAGAGGATCGTGGGATTGGCTGGCTTGGTTGGCCTAAGAGATGCAAATTGCAAATTGAATTTGACATTTGGCAAAGGGCTGGGAAGTGGCAGGAAGCAAATTTGGACAGGAAGAGAGAGGTGTCGATGCTTTTTAGACATGACGAGTGCGTCAACAAGCAACCTCCTAAGTCCCGTTGGGGTCGAGAGTGACATGCTGGAGAAAACCCGATAGTATGAATAGGCTACTCCATCGAAAGGGCATTGCGTCGTGCGTGGTTTGCGTGGTGATCAGGGCGGTAGGCCGGGAGGGGGCGGGAGGCATCGACGGGAAGTCTCGTAGTTTTGCCGTCAGCCTTGCGCCACGTGACAGCCCATTCTCCCTAAAGGGGAAATGGGTGAGCCATGTCACGTGCTAAATTGTGACTGCACGTGCCCAAGGGACGACATCCGTGCTTCCGCCTTTTCTCCCATTGATTCCCAGCACAGTTCCGTCCAGGGGCCCCCCTGGTATGTCTCACCAAAGGGGGGGGTTTGGAGAAAGCTTGCAAGCGAGTTCTGCAGGCCTTGCAGCCTACCTACGGAGCTCATGACCTCGGGCTTCTCGCTTCAATGGATCCCACCCTACCATGGTACTTCCCCCAGGGGTTATTTTTAGGCCGTCCGCCGGTCAAAACGTGTCTCAACCCATGGTCCAAAAAAAATTTTGGAACGTTTCTCGCCTCAAGACCAGACCTTCAAGGGCAAAGATTCAGCCACTAAAGCACGAGGAGAATTCTTGTAAATGACCATCTATCGATTGTCGATCCGTGGCTGATATGGTTTATCGGTCAGCCCAGCCATACGATCGGATCTAATCGGATCGGGTCAATATATGGGAAGCACTGTTGCAATTGTCATTGTTTTACTTGATTTCGCGAGGTTGGGTGGGGTGCCAGTGCTTGCTCATTCGCAACGGGCTGGGGGATCCAAACCTCAGCTGGCGAACAATGGAGTTTGGGGACCTTGTTAGCCTGTTGCTTGACAGTCCGAAAGCTTACTTTGGTGGGTGTCAAGCTTCGCTAAGCGTTTCCACACCGTCAACCAGGGCACGAACCAGAATGCACGGTGATGGCGTTGGAACTGGGGTCAAGCCATCGACAGCTGCTAAACTGCCACATCTGATTCGAGTCTTCTCCTCACACTTGCATAAGCCTCGGACCAGCAAACGAGCATCTCCCTGAGAATTCCCCCCCCCCTCCTCAATTGCAATCAAAAGAATTAGCACGCCGTACCGGTTGTTTATCGGGAAATTCGGGCGTCCATCACGCCCAAATTTTGGCGCCCAGCGAGATCATACAATGGCCAAAACTAGTCATGGTTTCGTTCGAATTAGGGAGCAGACAGGGTCTCGCGGCTGACGTCTCACTTCAGCACCTGCTCAGTCACCTGCCAATAAGTCCCCGGACTGGGCGCTGTGCAGCAATCAGTGTGGAGGAGAGATCGACCGAAAATCCTAGTGGATCGAATGGATCGAAAGGATCAGACTATCTTGAAACCAGTAAGCGGTCTATTACGCCACAGAAAGCTCCAGGAGGCTCTTGCGGCCCCAAATCTTGAGCCGTGCTTTCCAGGATGGCTGGTCCTTCAATCTGCAACGTAACCTCTGAGAACTGTTCAACGTTCTTAAGGCTAGGTGACTCCTCTTCGTCGTAGCTTTTCTTCGTTCCATACGCAGTCCTTCGTTCCCCATACTCACATACAGACATATAGTAATGGCGGTGACAAGCCTCCTCAAGGCTCTCGCTGCCCTCACGCTCGTTTCTTCTTCCATTTTTCCAGTTGCCGCAACCAGCAATTCGAGCAGCTCGATCTGCGCAACGTCGTCTAAATGTATTCCCTTCACCATCGATGTGACCTGGGGACCGTCCGATCCAAGTAAAGGTCTGTCCAGAAATGCCATCCTCACCAATGGTTCTCTCCCGGGCCCCCCGTTAAAGATGAAGGTTGGTGACTGTGTCGACTTCACTGTCATCAACAATCTCCCTTATAATACTGGTGTTCACTTCCACGGTATTCGACAACTTGGAACTCCGTGGGCCGACGGTGTTCCTGGCCTGAGTCAATACTCCATCACGCCAGGAACAAGCTACATGTATCAATGGACCGCGGAAGAATCTGGAATGTATTTCTACCATGCGCACTACAAGGGACAGATGATGGATGGTCTCTATGGCGCTATCGTCATTCAACCAGCCGACAATGCCAGCACTCCATTCAGCCAGATTAGCAGTGACGAGACGGACGTGAAACAAATGACCGCTGCTGCTCTCGATGTGGAGGCGGTCTTTGCGTCAGATTGGAGCCAGTTCACTTTCCAGGAATTCTTCGAGATCGAGCAGACTGCCAATATCGACGATGCTTGCACTGATTCTATTATCCTGAACGGCTTTGGCTCTGTCTACTGCCTTTCAAGCACCGACTTGGCCGCAAATTCCGCACCTCAGCTGCCTCAAATTTTGAACGGGACCTCTTTGACGGCCAAGGGCTGCGTCCCCCCGAGCAATCCAGTCATCCAAGGTAACTTCTCACGTAATCTGGCGGCCCTTCCGTCCGGTGCCTACGACGTTTGCACACCCTACACTGGCAGCAACTACACCTACTCTGTGGATCCAAGCAATGGATGGGCTGCTATGTCCTTCATCAGCCCTGCTGGTTTTGCCCTGTTCAAGGTCACCATCGACAGCCACAAGTTGTATGTCTATGAAATCAACGGCAACTTCATCGTGCCCCAGACAGTTGACGAGTTCGTCGTCGGCCCTGGCGATCGCGTCTCTTTCTTTGTCAAACTCGACCAAACACCAGGCGACTACCAAATCCGTGTTGCCAACGACGGTATCAATCAGGTCATCTCTGGCTTCGGTGTCTTGTCCTACAAAGGTGGAAGTGGACCTGCTGGAGTTTCCGTCATGAACTATGGAGGCCAGAATACCACTGCCGTCGTTACCTTCAATCCCGCTGCTGCTGCTCCTTTCCCACCAATGCAAGTTGCTGCAACTGCCGACATGACCTTCGTCCTGGATATCATGAAGTCTCCTGCCCAGCCTACGCTTTCATGGGCCTGGACACTGTCTGGTTTTGAGTCCTACAACCAAACCAATGACGACACCAATCCACCTCTCCTGTTCCAGAATCCTGCAAACATTCCTTCAAGCGATTTGATCCTCGAGACCCAATACAACAAATGGGTTGACTTGATCATCAAGGTCGCCGGACCTGTTGCTGAGCCACATCCTATCCACAAACATGCCAACAAGTTCTTTGCCATTGGCAGTGGTGTAGGTTCCTTCAACTTTACTTCTGTCGCTGCAGCCCAAGCAGCCGGCTACCCATTCAACCTCGAAAACCCACCTTATGTAGATGGATATACCAGCACTCCGGCCGAGGGCAACAGCACATGGATGGTCTTCCGATACCAAGCCAACACCCCTGGGGCCTGGCTTCTTCATTGCCACGTCCAAACCCACCTTTCCGGTGGTATGGCCGTCGCCATCTTGGATGCCATCGATAACTTCCCTCAGATCCCCTCGGACGTCGGCGCCGTCTGCCCTGGCTCAGGCTCCTCCGGCTCAACCAGTTACGGCAGCGGAGGCTACGGTTCTCAAGTATCAAACGACAACAGCACCAGCACCGGTGGCGCGACAATTGCCACCTTCACTGGTGCAGCTTCCTCGGTGGTGACACCTTCATTTGCATCGGTGCTGTTTAGCCTTGTCGCCATCGCCTTTGCCTTCTATACCCTATAATCATCCTTAATGTCTGAAGAGGTTTTCTATTCTATTTTTCCTCTTAACAGGGGCTTTTTTTTTTTTTTTTTTTTTTTTTCCCGCATAGCTTTTCGAGGCATGACCAAAAAAGGGGGGGGTTTAAGGCTCGCAGCACATCACGAACAGAACAGAATGCATCATTATATCCATATCTACGTCATGTCTTGCATATCTCAATCCCACCTATATAGCACTTAATTTTTGACTGCTGCAGTTGGTCAAAATTCAAAGTGTATTAGATCTCATAACAAATCCGTTCTAAGATCGTATCTTGTTCCATTGCATATGTGATTGGAGTGCGTAATCGATCATGCTGTGTCCCGTCGCACGAAGCCTTGCTGGAACCTCCGTATTGTATAACCATACCATTCATTACAATTGTGACGTGATACATGTTACATAGATCATGTTGAAGGAGCATGTCAGCCTCGTACCCCAGGTTCCGACATAAAGGGGAGGTCTCTCGGCAGGCAGATATGACTCCTGTCACATCAGGTGATATTGGAAGTGCTTAGCAGAAATTCTCTCTCAAGAGCTCAAATCCAAAGTCTAGGAATCAGAAGACATTTCCTCGTATAGATCAAAGCCCGTAGCCGAAAGTCGGATTTCTCCAGAGCCCAGCGCTAGCGATATGGTAGATTGATCGTAGTTCCCCACGTGTCTGTCGTAATCAGAACCAAAGTGGCGGCGAAAAAAAAATGCACGCCTCAATGGAAAATCATAGGAAAGTTGTACGTGAATTGTAGCTTAGATCGACGCTCGGCTCCACTTGTCCCTGGACAAGGCCCGAGGTGACCAGTGACCTACAACACCTGGGCTCGATCTGTGCCAGCTTTTCGTCCTCTGCAGGTATGGGCGATGTTATCTGGGCCACAACGGTTGCCGACTTTTCGAGCGTCATTGCAATCGCCGCCGCGTGCGGTCTTGCCTAAGATGCTCACCAACATCATAGTCAGCCAGCACCCGGGAGAAGCGTTGTATTCCTTCATCCCATCGTGGGGATTCATAACGCCTGAGACCGTGGCTGAAGGTAGGTGCCATAGGTAGGTTGAAAACACAAAAAAAAAAAATTACCAAAAACCAAAAAGCCTATTACCCACATCCACGCTCGCTTCTGCTAGGGAGTTTCCTTCGAGAAATTGGACCTTCCTCGCGTGCAGTGAGTGGCGATCCCGTTCTGATCCATTTTTCAGCACGACTGCATACCTTTGACGGGGTAGATATTAGTATAGATTCTCGATCTGATTGGAAGCATGACCTTGAAGACAACAGGGAGAAGGAGAAAGCAAAATGGGTTAGTCTCACTAAGGAGCTTGATGTATCTGCTTCCAGTAAAGCTATCAGTTCTATAGCCTAAAAACACTCGCAAACCGGGCCGAAAGCGCGGTTCCCACGGCTGGGTTTTGTGGCCCTGCTCACGATTCCGATCTGCATTGCGCTCACCGTGGTTGTATTGGTCATGTTCGACGGCAAGACTCAAGAAGTGTGGCGTGATATTTCCCCACAAAACCTACTCTCCCTTTTCATAATTGAGTTATTGTTCGTCTCAAAATAGTTGATATGGCTGACTGAACTTACTTGTGCAACAGCGTATCAAAAATGGACATGGATCAACAATGAATGAAAACGATGAGCTCAAAACACCGGTGGAAATCTGACAAACTCCCTCGAGTAAAGAAGCGAAGGAGTGGTGGCCTGGTTTGCTGGATTGGGGCTGAAACTCTCAGCGCCGTTATCGTCTCAGTCCTCATTCTTATCTTCATCCTCCTCCATGTTTCCCTTCCCTTCCCCCTTTCCTCGGTCTCGGTCGCTACAGCAATTGTTCTCCCATCCTCCTCAATGTCTGAGCATGCGCCGATGATGTCCTCTGGGAAGGCGCCGAGGGAAGAAAACGGGCTAGAGAATCGCTCTCCAGGAAGCCGTCCCAGCGATGGCTTGAACTGCCTATACATACGTCCGGTTGATTATACCTGTAGATGTAGCTGGACATTTTCATGAAGAAGGTGAATTTTGGGCATGACGGATATGTTATGGAACGTTGTTTTGCATGAGAAAACCGTTCAAATTTAGCGTCAAGTATCTGGCTAAGTACAAGTCATATCTGGAGAGGAACTTTGGATGCCGGAACGAAACTGGGGCCGTGTTGAAGGCTACATATAAAACCCTTGGATCATTTGTTAGAGTGTCCCAGGGTGGAATCCTCATGATATGAAGGGGTGGAAGTTAGGCAATGATCCAAATGGTAGTGAGGTAGTGAACATAACATCGACTAATTGCGATTGAGGAGGTGTGGAGGTAATATGCTCCTCGTAGGTGATTCGAAGGTTGTCGGCTTCCTGGTCTGGCATGTTTGTCCTAATGTCAGTAGATCGCCGAGTGGCATCATTCTTCCAAGTGGGATATAGTACAAAGGCCAGGAGATGTACTGGAATCGTATGCCAGACACAAGGTGAGAACTCAAGAGGAGGAGAAGCAGAAGAAGGAGCAAGGGGGCCAGAGGGAACCTTGCTTCGAGTAACGAGAGGTATTTTCTCACTTCAATAGCTAGTAAATGCTGTCCAAATGCCGCAGGGGGACATACCTTACAAGTTCGCTCTTCAAAAAAGAGTTCTGACCGTATATTTCCCTGTCTGAGTGTTCTGGCTGTATGTTCAATGTCGTTGCAGACGAGGTATACAGTTTTTGCAACAAACTCTACAGACAGGAGAAACGCAGCCTGACTACCCAGCATCTACAAGCTCCAATGCCGATCTCCCGTTGACCCGGAATTTGTTCGGCCTTTGTGTTTGCCATCATTACCAGCAGGTAGTCTTCCGCTTCCAGCTCCATACATTCCATTGAACGTCAGATTACTACGAATCTGTTTAATGCGAACGGGGCCGACCACAAGGTTTAGCCCGCAAAACCGCTCTCATTTCCTCCTCAGCTCACCCTTTGCTCCCATATCATCTTGCAGAAACTGTTCACTGACTCAGCGCATCTTTCGGAGTTTGTTACAAGCGAATTGAAGTGGTAGCACGCCTCCCAAATGGTGTGGGTCTATATCGGAGAATTTCCCAACAGTTGACAAGGCTGGCCAATGGTAAGCGTTTTTGGGAGATTTACCCCAAAGCATCGAGTTGGGCCCCAACCTCGGATGAGAATTCCGATTTCCTGGCTCTGGAAGAAACACTCCCAAACTGCATTCATTGAAACAATTCTACTTTTGATTTGACCGAGTACAGCTTGAGCTTCAGAGAAGAAGCAGTGATTATAAGCGATTCAAGTTTTCAGTCTCTCATCTGTCCTCATGGCAATCCTTGTGGCCGGCAGAAATGGTTCCTGTGGGAATCGGAGCCTTTGCCCAAAGATCTTTCTGCGGAGATGAGATGGTCTGGGCAGATCCATGGTAGGGATCTGCAGGTTATTGAGAATCAGAATTGCAGTTCTCTCAAAATTCCTGCTAGAATTGGCCAAGATCAACATCCTATTTGCTGTATCGAATTTGTCAACGAGGCTGCGGCGCCCAGAGGTGAGTCTTCCATCCCAGTAGGCTACGGCTACAGTGCTGGGTAGAAATCTGTTGAGTTCCAGAATCAATCTCCTGAGGTTGTCATAGAGTCATGGACTTAGATATATGTAGATATATCTATCGCTGGACTTTCTCTCTCACAATCCCCACCCGGAGTCTTTCGCTTAGTCTTCTCAGTCTCCGCCGTTAGGGCCCTTCCACTCAGCAATCGGCCACCGCTCATTCTCAAGTCCAGCTTTGCACAATCAGCAACTTCCAAAATAGAACTTGCGTCAGCTTGCTCATTTGACATCTCTTCCGCCTGTCCCTCCCATCGATTCAAAAATGGCACTAGTAAAGAAGTATTATAAATGCGGCAAGGCAGGACCTATCCGAAAGGAATATATTGAGCAGGCCGCCAACTTGACTAGTGAGGTATGTGATGTTTTCTTTCTCAGAAACATGCCCATCCCTAAATTCTTCTTCTCCACACCTATACCGAGCTCCGCTCTTATCAAAATCACGCCCACAATCGCACACAAAATCCCAAAAATTTGGGGGAAAATGGGGGGAAGGGATTATTTATTAAACCGAGCAAATTGAATCTGACAATTAACCGACGTCGTAGCGTAAAAGCCTGCGTGTGGGCTTTTCGATTTTTAACAGACCAAGATCAGAAAAGTTCGGCAGCGAGGTGGGATGCAGGTTCGGCAGGTTCGGCAGGTTCGGCAGATTCGGCCGAAAGCGGAAGAATTGGATCGTCAGCTAGCCGAGCTTGAAGGTACCAAAAAGGCATTACGTCAGCATTAACCCCAATCAATCCATGATCAATCAAACTCAAAGTGTCCGACTCCCGACTATCATTCAAATGTCCCGTGTTTTCATCATCAGTGATACCATTGGTACAGCAAATAAGGTGGCGAAGTTTGGTTCGAGAGCTTCATCTATCACCCAATTTTACTACGGATGTGGAAACTGAGGTGGTGAAATCTACAATCAGCAGTTTTCAAAACCATTGCGGGAATGCAGGAAAGGCTATAAAGATGGCAGCTATCCTATCTGGTGCAGGAGAGGGAAGAAAAATGAAGAAGGGAATGCCACAATAGCAAAGCTTGGCTGAAGTAGTCCGTATTGTTGTTTGTCAGACTTGGTTCTTGAGAGGGTTGCGAGGGTGGGCAAGGAGTCGAAAGAAGGTGGTCGACGAGTGTTCTAGTGGGCTAGTCCCAACCAGGCCTAATGGGCGTCATGGTCACAGTAGCTACGGGAGCTTCTGAAAATGATTTCGATGGGGCGAGATATTACAGTACAGGTGCTCTGGATTCGACGTCGAAGGTGGCAAGGAGAAAAGCGCCGATCTTGCCCAATATGAACTAAACTATGAATATGCTGGGTGATTCGAGTCAGGTGGAACTCCCGGCGGATATGCCGCGGAACTTCCGACGTATCCCAATGTATTGTAATGCCTGAAGATCGAATCGCCTAAAAAAGTTTTGGGGGACGCATGAGGATCAAAGATTTGTCATACCTTGAAGCATAATAAGGGCTCGTGTCCCTCTTCGTCCAGACCAGCTTCATAAGAACGGTGGTTTCGAGTCTGCGGCCTAGGGGGCCGTGGTCAGCGCTGTTGGACATCTCCCCAGCAATGGGAGTGACTCCAAGGAGCGGGTGCAAGCCGCCGATGATAATTAAGAGACTGCATCAAGTCCACACGGGGGGCGGAATCGAATGCAGTAATATCAGTTAGTCGGCTTTGGTGCATCCATGAAGGCGCCATAGCAAGTCTCACCACCATGGTGATCACTTCTCGCATATTTGTCGAAATCGAGTCGCTGTTCTAGCACATGTGATGACCAGCTTGTTCTCCGGAATAACCGCAGATGTCGACCGGTACATAGTACCATCACGTGACTAACATGTGACTACATGTCCTCGGCATTCGAGCCCGCGTTTATCTCTGCTGACTCGAAGCCGCCTCGTTACGGCAATTTAGTTTCTTCTAGCGAGACTCGTGGCGCGACAGGCTTCGATTCCGATGAGATGGAGGATCAAAAGGTGTCTTTGGCCGTCATTCATCCGTTCAACCTCCTTGATAGTTTTGCGGCCATGAAGAGCGTTGAATGCAACATGCTCATGACCTGACTAAATCGGCCCGAAGTAATGCAGGGCGGTCGAAATTTAAAAAAAAAAACACTGTAAGACAACCTCCTACTCCTCAGGAGGCTTGTCGGTTGGCTGCTTGATGACAAGGGGCCTGAATGGTCTTCAAGCACCTGACTAAGTCGGATCCGTCTTCCTGGGCCGGGTATGCGGGTGACAGAGTTGATGCTAGAGAGTTTCATCGAAACGAATGCGCCTTGATGCGAAGTCAGCACATTCCTGCCAAGGCGGAACGGTTCCAGAGCTGCCTTCTTGGGCAACGTTTGAGATAGTTAGGGGCTTCTAGGCCATGACCAAGTCATGCTTCAGTTCACCGCCGGATGGCCAATTCAGTTAACGCCCCAGTATCAATGACGTCGCCACTGAGACGAATAAATGCCCATTGGTGTGGCATTGATTCTCCTTCTCTTCTCAGTGGCTATGCCACTGTCTGATGTGTTGTCTTGGTGGGTGCAGATGGAGTTCTCCGCCGAGCCTCGTGATAGCACAGTTTGATATCTTCGGATCTGACAAGCATGGGAAACCTTTGAGGTCGTCAGGCAGGCTTAGGATCGAGCAGGTTTGACTAGAGGTTAGATCGTTGAATGTCATAAATAGTTATGAAGCTCAACAAGTCGGGAGGCCTGCTCAGGTCGGCTTCTGGTCCGCAGGAGGTCCTTTTGAACTCAGGGCATTCAAAACTCGTAAAAATTCCAGAATAAAAGGAAGCGGCTAGGACCAAAATGGTCTGGACTCTCGTCTATGAATCCAGAGAAGACGGATGTTGCAATTGCCTATTTCATTCTAGCGCGTTGGAACTTCGGCTCGGAGTGAAGGAAATAGAGGGGGAGTTAAAAGAGGGGGGGTGGAAGGTGTGAGACGGGAAGATGGTGAAAAAGAACGAGGCACGTGACATTCGGCCAAGAGACGGCCCTGAAAGTAGTCAGCCTAAAGTGTAAGGTTCGCTAGACCTTGGCTCGCAACTGTGATCAATACTGAATTGGCTGGCCGATTCATTTCCATAAATGCCTCGCAAGCTCTCCAGGTTTTTTGGGTCGTGGGCTCACAATATTCTGTCGAGCATCGAAAGCAGCCTCCCGCATTGAGCAGAGGGGCACAGTATCAAGCGGAGAGGGTCGATCATCGTCCTGTATTCATCCCGATGGAGTCCAATTCCAGCACCCGCGTCTGTGATCGATGCATCCAGTAAGTCTTGACCTGATTCGGAACATCTCCGAGCCCAGCTGACAACGATTGTAGGAAAAAGGTCAAGTGTACGAAGACACAATCAACGACAAGAATCTGCTGCAAGCCCCTACTGACGCATCACATGTAGGTGATTTGGTCCGCCCATCATGTTCTCGATGCCTGGAAAGCGGCCATCGGTGCATCTACTCTTGGACGAAACGGAAGCCTGGCCCTGCCAAAGGCTATCGAAAGAAGGCTGCCGAAGGTACGCGATGCTGACTTCGCGCTGGCCGCTGGAACTGACTGATTGTCTGGCCAGTGGTATCAACCACTCCTCCCGGCCTCGTTTCCGATGGCCTTGACGGTGTAGACCAGTTTCACGCTTCGCCAAATAATCCCATGCCAGTGCCTCTGAGTGAGCCGACATCGACAGCCCCAATACCAGGAATGATATCAATCCAAGACTCATTGAGTCTGCCATCGGACAGCAGTCCAGTAAATTCGATGAGCGGTTTCGCTCAACCCATTGATCCCGGTTTGTCGGTGGAACAAGAGGTCGAATTGTAAGGTAGAGTACGGAAAAGACCTCGGGGCCTGATAGCTGATTGTGCTTGTATTCCAGGCTGGGCTACTTTTTCAAATACATTCACCCCGCCATCCCTCTGCTTAAGGAGACTGACTTTTACCACCGGTACAGCATCGCCGCGGTAGATCATAACCTGGTGGTCACGCTGGTTGTACTCAGCGCCAAAATCACCCGAGTCGCGCTTCTGTGCAACCAGGCCCACCTGGACTATTGCCTGGAAAAATTATTGGATTTGGACTACAATACCAACGATCACCTAGGAGGTCTCGGGTCGCTGGATAATTTTCAACGTGCATGCCTTCTCGCTTACTATGAATTCCACCAGCGACCTGGGCCACGGGCGTGGATGAGAATTGGCCAACTATCCCGCCAAGCGTACCAATGTGGTCTACACCAGATTGATAACCCCAACAATCCCTTGTCCTCGATCATTTCGGACCCTTCGGTTCTGGAACAATGGAGGTATGTCTGGTGGTGCATATACTGTCTGGACTCGTACTCCAATATCAGTGCCTCGACTCCCTTTGTTATCGAGTTGAGCAGTATCCAGACGGCCCTGGTCAATTCTCCCTTGACTGCCTCGGCATTTGATCGAGATGCTCCGGATGATCTTGTCTTTCTCTCCGACGAACCCGACTCACTCTGGAAGACCCTCAAGGAGGTTATTCCACGACCTCAGACCCTCAACTTCAACACACACATCATCACGACCACGATTCTCAGGGAAGCGGGGGCGCTGTTCCGATTGTCTCGGCAGAGTGCTTCCAAAGGACTCAGTCGTCGCCTTGTGGCCCTCGAGCAACATCTCTCGATGATACAATCTTGCATGCCTCCGGGATATCTTGACCCGGCGAGAAACGCCGCCAACAATGAATCGGGCGTCGATCATCACGCCCGGCTGGTCTGCCTCCTTCAATACCACTTTGCCCGTATTCTTACATCCACCTCATTGTATATAGATAAAGCAAAGCCACATCGATTACTCCGGTGGCGCCAGGTCATGGAAGATTGCCAGGATGTGATTACAACCATTAGTCACTGGGATGCCCAGTACTGTTCGACGGTTGATCCCGCGATATGCTTTATTGCATATACCACGTTGAGTTTAATATGTCACTTCCAGGTCAGTGACCTTGCCGTTGGGATTGGTCCGCAGGGACAATTGGAAGCACAGAAATTTGTCTTATTGCAATTTCTGCAGAATTTCGCCTGTATATGGGCCTTGCCTCAAACCCTGATTGGTGTGTGCTCCTTTCCCCTCTTCCTTCTTCTTCCCCCCTGTATAGTTGTTCCATCCTGTTCTGACAATTATAGCACTGTATCAGCAAAACTCCGAAAGGATTCCACGCGTTCAGTCCCTCAGTGAAATTGATCGTCTCTTAGACCGATCTCGAGCTCCGTACGAGTCTCTGCCATCGATCGCAAGCTCCATTCTCGGTCAAACTCATCATTCTCCTCCTCCGGCTTTCCCAACGACGAGCCAATTAGCGCCCGTGGGCGGAAATGGGACGATGGACCATATGACGCTGTTTGACAGTAGTTTTGATCCCAGTTTGATAGCTCAAGCTCAGAAACCGCGCTCGCAAAGTAATGGAGGATCGCAATTATGGAATTCTATATTTGAATTCCAATGAGAGTAACTTAGGACCTTGTTTGTATAGGTAACTCATTTGCCTCCCAATATTTCCTCCGCTGGGACAAGTCAGTTGACCATGAATGATAGAAGCACCATTTCGGACGTTCTGCGCTATGATAGAGTATGCTCGGTCATCAAAATCGAGGTATTTGGCCCCTCATGAATATAAACTTGCTTGGATCTCTATACCGTTCAACTTTTTGGTAATCGCACGGTAGTCGTATCCACATCTTCAACGTTGAGTGGAAGGATTTTCTGACGATCCCCATCTAGTTCGGAGGATCACAACGTTCCTTCAGCAATCGGATGCAGTCTTGCAGCTGCGTGAGCGTGCGGGCGGTGGCAAAGACAATATAATCGGGTCGGATTATGGCGTATTTAGTTCCCCATCCCAAATATGAGACGTATGCATCGGCATCGTATCCTGGACGTGTCGGATGTCCAACGAGCTCCGACTGAGCAGGTACAACAAATCTCTCGGGACTCTGGATGGCCGTGTGGTTTGACAGTGTCGACTCGATGAAGACCAGGGATTTCTCCGAGAGTAGTGACTCCGAAAGGTTGGCATCTCGCAGGACCCGTGTGATTTCAGCGCTCTCATTGGCGTCGAAGTTTCCAATGACCAGCAGTGTCATAGCCGAAGGTCCTCTCTTTAATGCTTCATCGGACAGAATGATGCCACGCGTGTTGGATCGAAGATATACCTGCGCCACTTTGCCTCCCCCGTTGAATTCTGCCAGGTAGCATCCATTTTTCGTTGGTCGAAATCCGTTTCGCTCCGCACGCTCCAGGGGATGTTGGAAACCGAGGGGGAGATAATACATGAGACCCATCATCATCCGCATGGTGAAGAATTTCCAACTGGGTTCTTCGTTGCAAAGCTCGCCATTCATCATCGTGAGTCTGGTCGAATCGTCCACCCCCTGGCGGCGTTCACTCGCCCATGCATTGAGCATTTCGTCGCGCAGAGAGTCCTTTACATTCGGCTGTCGGATCAGAACTGCCAAACGCCAACCCAACCCATGAGCATCACGCACACCACAAGCGATACCTTGGCCACCGAATGGAGGAAAGACGTGTGCGGCGTCCCCAATGAGGATGATGCGTTTGTGATGCCATTTGTTAACGACCCTTTGGGTGAACGTGAAGGGTCGGCAACGCACAATTTCGATGCAGTCGCGTGGAAATGTGACCGACTGTCCGAAAGATCTCGAGCCGTCACGGTCATGGGTGATCATCGGTGTGATGTGCTCCCACAACAACGCTTCGGCGTCCATCGAGTCATTCCAGTCTGGTTCCCTGAACTCATGACGCCAGAATCTGTCGCGATGGGGTCCAAACCGTCCGGCTGCTGTTGGCTTACCGGGAGGACAACAAAAATGCCATCCTTTGGGCCAAAACAAGTCATAAACATCTTCTGGTGTATATCCAAACCGCCAGAGTGGAAAGTCCGGGTGTGTTGCGGGGGTGGGAGGCGACAGTTTGAGGTTGGAGGCAACCCAACACCCTTCATATTGCATCAATCCAGTGCTCTGTTTGATATTCGCTTGCTTCTCAAGAAAGTGTTTGCGCACGACACCCCTCTTGCCGTCTGCGCCCACCAGGAAGGAGCATTTGACTCTCTTGGTTGTGCCGTCTGTGGTGTACTCGACAATCGCACCATCGTCCACTTCGATCCTGGATACCACTTCGCAGTTCTCTCTCAAATCGCAAAATTTTGACTGGTTGACCTTGTCTCGCAAAGCCGCCTCTAAAAAGGATTGTTTAGATATCACACAACTCCGCTTGGAACCCGTTTCTACCCACCAAGTTTGGGTTGGGATTGCAGAATACCGTCCGGCACAGTCTGCTTGAGGCCATCCCGTCTAATATCCAATTGATAGAAGGGAGTTTGTTTGAAGCTGGTCCGGTGAAAATTGACGTCTTCGACTTCTATGAGATCACACAGTGTTAGAGATGGCGATTTCACCAAATCTCCGGGACGGGGATTGAATCTTACGATGTCCAATGATGGCCATCTCCTCGTCGGCTATTCCAAGGCTGTACAAAATTCGAACAGCATCACCTGCGAGAAACACGCCCCGGGGATCTTCTGTGATACCGGCTTCCTTCTCAAGAATGATGGACTGTCGCTGCATCAGAATGTGGCCTTCCAAAAAAGGGGTTGAACAAACTGACATTAATTTCATGATTGGCTAGAGTAAGGCCGAGTGCGAGACCTGATGGCCCTGCTCCAACAATGGCAACGGGTGTTTGCTCCATGATGGGTTGTTTGACACAGCACCGACCATTCCCATCGTCCTCTGGTTTTAATATTCGCCGGCCAGGATCTATTATGGAAAGGAGTTGAAGCCTATTCGAGTATCGGTCACCGATAGTGATGCCGGTAAAGGAAATGGAATCAGCTAGTTCCGAGAAAAGCTCTCATCCCAGACAATATCCAATCGTGGCAATCTGTGGTGAAATCTGTTGAAACCGAGGCCTGGAATTCAACCATATGGCGATACGCTAACATAGCCGCGCTGAGATGATCCGCGGACGATCCACAACCTCGCATACGATGATGGTGTGGCGTTAGGCGTCCCCGCTGGACTGCATTTATGGACTCTGGGGATGATGTTGCTAAAAGGCTATTCAGACTGCTCTGTCGCACATCTCTATTCGTTTCCGTCTGGAAAATGTCTGCTGTTCTGACTATCCTGGGCTATCTACCGCGATTTATTCGAGAACGTCTTGTGCCCACGATGCTTATTCCTGAGATCAAAAATGACCCATCCAAGGTCCAACTGGCACGGCTTTCACACGTTTACTTTGAGCACCCAGATCTGAAGAAGTTCGCCAAATTTGCAGAGGATTTTGGATTTGTGAAGGCTCACGAAACGAAAGACACCATCTACTTCCGGGGATATGGAAAAGACCAATACGTCTACGTCGCCAAGAAGAGCAAGGACGGCAAACCACATTTTGGAGGTGGCGCATTTGTGGCCCAATCTGAAGAGCAATTCGAGAAGGCCAAAAAGATCGAGGGCGCGCAATTGAAAGATCTGGACGGACCTGGAGGCGGAAAAATCATCACGTTTGCCCGCCCAAATGGCACTTTCATGCACGTCGTTTATGGACAAACTCCGAGAGAGGTGGACACGACCGAAGTCCCGACCGCTACACACGAACATCAAGGCCCATACAACTTGCCTTTTGAAAAACACAGACTGGGTATGTGCTACTTTCTCTCCCCCCTCCCCCTTTACCAGACGAACCCTAGCCAAGATCGGTTACTGACAAAATTCATGCAGGACAATTCCAGCGATATCACAGTGGTCCAGCTCTTGTGCACAAACTCGGCCATTATGGATACGTGTGCAAGGAGTTCGACCAAGAGCTCACCTTCTATACATCCAACTTTAACTTTGTCCCAACCGATATTCTATACCATCCACAATTTTCGAATATCGACGTCCTGACATTTATCCATCTGGACCTTGGAAAGGAGTGGTCAGACCACCACATTCTCTTCCTTCAAAGAGCCCCCCCCGATGTCAAGCAAACCTACATTCATCACAGCTCTTACGAAGTCGCTGATTTTGATACTCAACTTATTGGTCACGAGTGGCTGGCAAAGAAAGGATGGAAGAGTGTTTGGGGTGTTGGTCGTCATGTTTTGGGAAGTCAGATCTTTGATTACTGGCAAGACCCCAGTGGTTATAAGATTGAGCATTATGCCGATGGTGATGTTGTCAATACCGACGTGGAAACCAGGAGAGAGGTTGTTGGACCTCTTTCGGTCTGGGGACCTGAACTGCCAAAGGACTTTGGTACTGATGGGACTATCGTTCCTCTCAACTAAGGACTGGCAATGGATTTAGACAAACACAATACACATCTTGGGTATGGCGTTTTTGGGGTTCAAGAGCAGGCTAAATTGGCGTAATGTGAAACTTATCTGTATACAATAGCTGCGGTCCGTTAAACATGTGAATGCGATTTCATTAGAACTTTCTAGCTCGGCATATTTTCTGCCCGTTGCAGTAAATCGCATCTCGTACCCACGGAGCCTTCCCATCTGGGCCGTTTTCAGAGAACCGTAACCACAAGACACGACTTGGTACAGCCACGGGATGACTTCATATCCATGAGGCTCGCGATGCCTTGCTTACGTCCACTTCACCAGTTCTGGATTTCCGGTGGGTCGCATAGATATTCCGGCGTCATTTTAGCTCTCCGCCTCGTCCCACACGGACAGGATGTCCCGGCAGTCAGAAAGCCTATATTATCAACACCAATCATTCCTCGGCCCACTGCATCATGCGACAAGTCACGACGACCTATACAAGACGTTGTTCTGCGCGTCCCGCCGGGGAGCGGGATATCCTATATACCGAAAGTCAATCCTGTCGTTGTGGGAATGTGGGAACTGAAAATCGGTACAACGTATGCTTCCGAATCCTCGGCTTGGGGCTCCTGCCATCTGAAACTGTGCTGCGCCATGCAATGGATGATGCACTTCCTCAGACTTGCCGGTATGAAGAGAAACGTACAGATTTATTACGGTGGTCTTCTTTTCTCGAGCCCCGCGGACTCAATTGCTGTACTTGATTGACTCTGATTGTGATCTTGGACCCAAACCGGAAATGTCGAATGTGACTTGTCTCATACGATTTCAATCTAAGGAGGATGGGAGAACCTATTTTGCCAACGTCGATACGCCGCAGACATTGGAAGGTGAAGTCAAGGCCTTCGGCACTTTTGAAGACCTGCAGAACGATCGGAATGGCAAGAAACTTACCATCGACAAGGTAGGCATTTGATCCCAAAGGCTAGGCCGGGCCAGGGGAAAAAAAAAAAAAAAAAAAAAAAAAAATTTCATTGATCTCTTTCCAGTTACTTGCTCCCGTGCCTGATCCTAAAGTCCCGATATACTGTGTCGGATTGAATTACAAGTCTCATGCAAAGGAAGCCAGTGTAAGTCTGATTACAATCGGGGAATCTTAGTGCTCTCTACTTATGATATCATCTGGTGATCCAAGTCTGACAAACTTTTCAGCTCAAAGTGCCATCGAATCCTCCTTTATGGACAAAGCCTGCTGCTTCCTTGGCCAATCCCGACGAGGATATCCCAATTAATGACTTTTGCGCAAAAGCTTTCCCTGACTGGGAGGTAAGTTAATGAACTCCATCATCCCGCAACGAAAGACCGAGACGACACGGTACAATTCTTGGTCTGCCTCTGACATGCTACGTGTAGGGAGAGCTAGTCTTCGTGACTTCAAAAGAATGTCGTGACTTGACCGAAGAACAGGCCAAGTCTTACATTCTCGGGTACACGATTGGCAACGACCTTTCCTGCCGCATGTTTCAATTGCCTGAGATGTCGTCTGGGCAGTTTTTCTACGCCAAAGCGTTCGACAAGTTCGCACCCATGGGTCCAGTCTTAGTCAGCCCCAAGATCTTCAACGATGGTAAAGGTGTTCAACTCACTACCAAAGTCAATGGGGAAGTGATGCAGGACGTCGAATACCTGAGCGATGTCGTGTTTAGCCCGGCCAGGATCCTCAGCCATATGAGTCAAGGTGAGCAGGGCAAAGGACCAGGACCAACGTTTCCCAGTGTCAGCTTCCCGTATAAGAAACGGCTGGATTGTTTACCGAGATCGAGCGCTGACATCAATGGACAAATGTCTAGGAACAACCATTCCGGCATACACAGCGGTCATGACAGGAACTCCATCCGGTGTGGGAGCATTCAGAAAGCCCAGACGCTTCCTCAGGCACAACGAAGTCGTTGAAGTCTCCATTTCTAATATTGGAACCTTGAAGAACAAAGTCGTTTTCGAATCAGGTTAGTACGAATTCTTCAAGTTCTTCCAGACCCCCTCTCGGTTCTGCTGTTGCAAGACGTGGTCTAAAGAGGTCCTCCGCCATTCCGAGGAATCAGTACCCCAAAACCATGCAAGGATTTAAGCATGGCCTATCGATGACTCATGCATCTGTCCCTTATTCCTGGTGTGGAAATATTTGTTCAAAAATTCGGAACAAGAAAGACTGATGCTGAGCAAGGATGAATATTATAGGTCAGCCTTCCATGATATCCTCCCTGTGGTACTTGGTGAGCTGTATGCTGTGGGCGAGATGGTTCAATTTTTGGATTCGATAACTGAGGGGCCTATATTTGATGGGCGGAGTATGCTGATGTCAAGATCGTTCGAAGGGCTGCAGAAAGCTGGCCGGGATCAGCCGTATGGGATATCCATGGGACCTTATGGGCGAGGGAGAAAACGACGGCGAAGACATTATTCGGGTGATCACAGATACATAAGACAAAAAGTACGACAGGCAGTCGTGTTATACCATAGACAAAGTATATTGTATGAGTTTCCCAGGGTAGTAATGTGTACTTCTGGAGTATGCCTGTTGTGATTGGCTGAGCGCAGATGAAGACACTGGGCAAAATACAGCCAAGCAGCCCGGACTTGCTAATTAGGGCAGCCTCGCCATCGTCCCCAAGCAATCCTATCCCACGCGTCACCCGAAGGCAGCCCCCTGAGACAACGGTTCGTTCGATAATTATTGCGGTGGGTCGGCGGCCAGGGTATGGATCTCGCACCAAAACGCTATGTATTAGCAATCTTCCCGACGTGACGACTGTGCAAGGCGATCCGCGTCCATGAAATTCGCTCTCTTGCTTTGCAGGCAGCAATGAGCATTAACACAGGTACAGAAGATGCATTGATTCCAGCAGAGGATTCTAGCGGTTCTCTTTTTGCCCGTTCTGCCTCGTCCACTCAAGACCCAGGTTCGGTGTCCGGCATCTCCTTGAAAGGCCTCAAGTTAATTCTGTCCAAGCCGCTTTCAAAGCTCGACTGAAGCAGTTTGAATACTCCCCTCCCACGACTATGAACGGACAGCGACGCTCTACTCGTCTTGCTGATCGCCCTACCTCCCCCAGTCCCTCCAGACCCCAACGGAGAAAACGATCCCCTCTGACGCGGTCTACTTCGGACGAGGATGAGAACAGATATGCGAAGGGGGTGGTATCCGGGTCACACAGCGAGGATTCGACTCGAGGGGATTCCCCCATGACACCGAAACTGAAGAAAAGACGAAGCACAACCAAAGAGCGGTCAGCACGAGATCCATACAGTCCCGTCAATAATTTGGTGGATAGCCTGCGACCCGGACTCATTCTGGTATTTATCGGCCTCAATCCCGGACTTACGACAGCTGCAACTGGCCATGCTTATGCACATCACTCCAATCGATTTTGGAATATCATTCATTCCAGTGGCATTACCCCCAGGAAACATCAGCCATCCGAGACACGCGGCCTTATGGATCTCTACCTGATCGGAAACACCAATATCTGTGCCCGGCCGACGAGAAGTGGTGATGGATTGAGTCGGCAGGAGCTGGAGGAAGGGGCTGTCATTCTTGAAAGGAAAATAGCCGAATTCAAACCAGAAGCTGTAGCCATTGTTGGCAAAGGGATCTGGGAAGCGATCTGGATGATGAAGAAAGAAAAGAAAAAATTCAATGATCCAGACTTCCACTGGGGCTGGCAACACGAGGAGATGCAGGTGGGTAGGACCAAGGACGGGGAAGGAAATATACTGTGGGCTGGCGCGAAGACGTTTGTGGCTACATCTACTAGCGGACTTGCCGCCACACTTACGCCGGCGGAGAAGCTAGCTATCTGGAAGCCATTGGGGGATTGGGTGACCAGGAGGCGGGAGGCCATGCGGCTCTCGAATGCTCAGGATTCTGGTTGAGATGAACAGGACACTCTGCACATATAATGCAGCCTTGTGAGAAATGCCAAGAACGTGATATACCCCTGTTTTAGTTGAAGTGACATCTCTTTTCGCAGCCTGGAATCCCGAAGATCTCTGTGACGAAATCCTTCTGGATAGCCTCTAACAGTGAGACAGCCTTGCCGACTTTATATCTCATTGATATTTCGCCAGAGTAATGTGAAACGTTGCCAAGACGCATGTTGGCAGAGTTTGTCTTTGATTGGTTCAGCTGGATGACATCAAACTTCCCACTTCAACCTCATTCTCGGGCATATCTCTTTCAGGCCTTTATTCATCTAGGCTGAATCTCTCAACCTGATCTATTCGACCCCATTACCCCACCGACATTCCCCCAGGGCGCACCATTCACCGACAGATTGCAATACCAAACACCCACCCCCTTGAAAGAGACGACCAGATCCATTGAATCCTGCCAAACATGACACTGTCATCCTCCCAGATCATCCTCCTCTGTGCCGTGAGCATTGTCTTGCTGGCAAGACCCGCTCAAGCCTTTGGTGCAGGCAATATCGGCTCCACCTCCAAGATCGAGGGCCAAAATTGGCGACATGGCGATCTCGAAGATACTCTGCTCACTATTGTAGCATCTCGTGCCATGGGAGGAAAGAAATTCAGCAAACTTGATGTCAAGAGGGTATTTTAACTCTTGCGCGGTCTCAAACTCGTGCTAATTTCAACAGGTCTATTTCGGCAATTGGCTACGTGATTACAGTCAAGCCGTTGACGTCGGCACCGTCAAATATGTCAGCGCCGAAGCTATCCGTATCTTACTCTGGGTTCTTGGTTTCATGTCATTCGGCTATGGTTCTGGTGAATTCGAAGTCACTACTCAGAGACTGGGTTGTTATCGACCTGAGGAACATATTGAGTAGGCTGCTCCGGCAATTGGACAGATTAAACCGAATTAACAAGTCATAGCAACCCCAAGGATTATGCCGACAATGAAGATGCCAGACACTATGATCGTCGCCTCCGAGGCCCAATTGACGAGCGCCGTGAACTCTCCATCAACCCACAGACTGGACTCAAGAACTACATCGCCTCTGAGGGTATGGGCATTGACACTTCAGCCGGTTTGGTAAGAAAGCTCTTTGGTCGATGTATCGAGCTCGGCCGACATTATTCTCGCAACAAGAATAAGAAAGATCTTTATGAGGCACTTCGTCTTCTTGGTACCGGATGTCACTGTCTTGAAGACTACGCGGCGCATTCCAACTATGTCGAACTGGCCCTCATCGAACTCGGCGAACGTAATGTTTTCCCTCATGTTGGCCGCAATACTGCCCTCCATCTCCGCGAGGTGCGACACCCTGTCTACCCAATCGTTACGGGTACTTTTGGCGGGGTTGATTTCCTCCACTCTGTCTGTGGTGAGTTTGATGACAAGGCCACTCAATCCGAAATTCAAGAGCTTGAAGGTACGATGCAACAATATCAGAACAGCAACCAGGACAATAGCATTCTTCAAGACCTGCTGAACAAAGTGCCCTCTGGCGTCTTTGGTGACAAGGATGAGGCGGGAAAAGCCGACGAATTGAAACAAAACGCCCTCAACCACCAGATGCAGAATGCTCACATCTCTCCAAGAGAACCAGAGGAGTGGACCAGATATCTCAGTGATGTTCAGAAGCAAATCTATCCTGTCATCGAGTGGCACGACGAAGTCATGCAGTCGATCACCGAGACCGTCGAAAAGATTCCCATCTTGCCAGACCTTATCGAGCAGATTCAGGAGGAAGTCAACAAATTTGTCTTCACTCTCTTGGCTCCATACGTCGTCCCCATCATCAATCAAGTCAAATCGGAACTCAATACCGGATCCAACGAGATCATCCAGTCTAGCTTGGACAAACAGCACATCGTCTTCAATGATGACGATTCCTCCGATCCAACTCACTCGATGCTCTCCAAGGATCACTTTTCCAACATCCTCAACGAACCAGCTGGCAAGGTTGCCAGACAAATCGTCAAATGGGTTGTTCCACAGATTGTTGCCTGCTGGGATGACAACAGCATCGATATTGAACGCACCCTCAACCGCATCATCCATGGTGTTCTCCACCATCCAGCCTTGCGCGATTACGGCCAAGATGGAGCCAGCGATGGTCGCCGTCTCATGTTTGGCGTCGTGGAAGAATGGTGGAGGGCCCAGAGCGAGCGCGAGAAGGACGGCTTGCGCGAGCAGCTGAGCCGGCGGGGTGTCGAGACAGGCAAGAATCACAAACCCGGCGTCAAGGATCATGGTCACGGCAACAATCGTCCCCTCGGCATGGCCAATCTGAACTACAACAAGCAGTCATCCGGCGGTATTGCAGGTGGAGCCTTGGGTGCAATCGATTCTGCCCTCGGTGGGGGAAACCATGGCGGTCGACAGTCCAACACCCCCGCAGATAAGATTGGCAAGATGGCAGGCGAAGCTGTCGGCGGTGGCGTCCTTGGATCTCTCGTCGGAGGAATCGCCGGTGAAATCGGAGGTGACTTTTTAGGTGGACGCCCCGACCAAGACCGCGAGACATACAAGCATGACTCCTATGGGCAAGGTGGCTCATACACCGAGACCGTCACCCCGGTCGGCCACTCGCAGTCTGGCGATCGCTACGGCCAGGCCCAACACTCTCGAACCACGGGATATGGCAGTGGCCATGAACACGAGTACAGTCGATTCGAACAGAGTGAATCAGCTGGTCACTGGCCGTCGGAGGGTCACCATCAAGAGTACACTAGTTCGGGTGAGAAAGCTAGGTGAGTACTTATTCCCAATCTCAGAGAGATAATACAGACTGACATGACTAGGCGATATGGCGGTGATGACGACAACTCTTACGACCGTCGCCAGCGCCATGAATACCGTCGTGATGACGAGTCCGAGTCCTATGGCGGTCGCCGACGCGATGACGACGAGGGCGGTTATTCTGGCGGGTACGGCTCGCGACGCCATGAGACAGAGTCCTCTGGATACGGTGCAGAAGGCTACGGTCGTCAGGAACGCCGTGAAGAGTACGGCCGACGCGACGACAACGAGTATGGCTCAAGCGGGGGCTACGGGCGTCAGGAGCGAGAGTCCGAATACTCGAGCTATGGCGGCGGGAGATATGAAAGCCACTATGCTCGACAGGAGGGGTCTGGCTACGGTTCCGGCTCTGGCTACGGGCACCAGGAGTCCAGCTACGAACCTAGCGGATACGGCGGAGGTCGCGAGCAGGAATATGGCTCGTCTGGCGGTTATGGCAGCCAGCAGGGCTATGGCCGAGAGGAAGAGTACGGTTCCGCCGGCAGATATGGCAGTCAGCAGAGTTATGGATACGGTGAGGGCGGGCGGGATGACGAGTACGAGTCTCGCGGCAGTTATGGGCGTGGTGATGATGAGAATGAGGGATATGGTCGGCGACGATACGGTGACAATGAGAACGAGGGATATGGTGGTTCAGGATATTAGGATCGAGTGTAGTAAAGCTCGTTAGGGACGTGCTTAGTGATGTGAGTTGATAAGGGATGAAAAAGGGGTGTGTGAGAAGACGACGACGACGACACGACGACAACATGAGGCTACCAACCAAAGGGTTTGTTGGAGAAAAGGAACGGCGGAGATCAACGTAGCTGGACGGACTCCGGGTGGAAAGGAACACAGTCGACAGATGGTTATGTAGCTAGAGAGATAGAGCATTGTTGAATTTGCTGAATGGAGTCTAGGCTGGGTTTCGCATGCATAATTCGTTGTATCGCAATGTCTCTCATGGTCGATAAGAAAGAACAAAGCTAACATAGCATATATCGATTGTTACTCTACCGAATTCCCCCTCGCAAGGCTCCACGCAGCGGTCTCAATCAGCGTCAGCGGGATAGCGAGTCCTCCGGATGTGAGGTTGGTTGATAAGTTGATGACGGAATTGAGTCATTCGCAACACTGTCTCGTTGTCAGCCATCAGGATAAAATCTCAGTGTCTAGCATACTATTAGAATCACAGAGGACGCAAGCGAGTTTTCCCATATGAAAATGGCCATCAATAGAAAAACCACATCCGAAACCAAACTTTCAGGGAGGGTCCAGAGGCTGTCATACACGATCTCGATAGATCAGAGTGTGTTACCATCACCGTGCCCGTTTCTTCCAAATGGAAATTAGGACCACACTGGCATGAGCATCACCGCGTATCTTCAGGACTTGCCAGGACGGGCATTTGTGACACTAGGGGGAAGCTCGCAAGATGGGGTAGCGATAGAAGTACCCAAGTATATGGGACATGAATGGCACCACATCGAAGGTGACGATATACAAGATCTGATCGTTCGAGAATAGACGGCACCGGAAGATGGGCAAGAAGTGTTCTTCTGCATGCTGAACTCCTTTTGACCGAGTCTCATCCCAGCTCTTTTGTTCGAAGTACCTTTCATCGCGCCGGCGTGGTTCAGAGGATGGATTGAGAGTTGGATCACTATGCTGCAAGTATTCACCTTTTTGGAGTGGTGGGACAATGGTTCTGTCTTGATTGGGGACGATAGCGGATGGTTGAGTTGGGTAGCAACACATCTTGCCTTGGAAGCTTGCTCGTTGTTCGGTGGTATCATGGGACTTCGAGGGTTGTATCACGAGTACGTCGAAGAATTGGCCGCGAGAGCAGAAGGAAGTACGGATGAGACGAGGAAAGAGAGGTAAATTGAGGAGATCGATCAGGAGTGTGCCCGACCATGGCAGTATAGCTATATTGGCATATTGTGTGACCTTGAACAACCTGCGGATAGGATGGAAATGAAAGTGGGTTCAGGTTGAGTAAACAAAGCCTGCAGAGGAGACGCAAAATGAGAGTCATTTAGTTATTCGGGTTAGCGGTCAGCCCTACGACTCACCGCTAGCCTCTCAACTCAGGCTTCTTCCCTGGCTAATGGAGCCTTGGCCTCGCCAGCCCATTTGCAGGGAGTGCTTGCGAATCGTCAGTGGGCACTTTGGCCCAGGCACGACGTCAGCACTTAAAAATTCTTTGTCTCAATCATGACCCCGAGCGGAGCTGACCAGGCAGAGAAGATCTGGCATTTGGCTCAGCAGGAAAGTGTCATCTTCAAGCTCAGGTCTTCTCACGTATTTCGCGGTCTTGGGTCTGTTGCGGTATGATCTGGGATCTGCATCTGCGTACGAGACTCAGCCCGTGCCTCATTCTCCTTTGCCAATCTGCGGTCATATCTACGATTCTTCCATTCTTTCCCATACCCTGCTCACTTGCTTGGTGTCATTCTCTTCTCACGGTTCGGCCATTCTTCTTCTCCATTAACTTGAATCCATTATCTGCCCTGTCGGCCCACTTCCCTCGTGTTCGGGCATCCAGCCAGTTTCTCCCCGGCTTCGTCACCACCATCCCTCCGCCACGACAAAGTGCTGAATATTATCGAACCTACCAAACTCGGAGCCTTACCTCTGTCCGATTCCTTTCGTCTGCCATCTTCATGTCTCAACCCAACTTGCTCTCTCTCTCATGAAGGAGAATGCAGCGCAAATACAGTCGAATGCGCGAAACCCTCTTCGATCTCTACACTGAACGAGACGCCCTCCCGTGGTATTACAGAACAATCGCGCTGGTTTCCTCTTGGCTCGCGGCAGCAGGCTACATCTTTTTCGCTCTCACTTTCACCTCTTCTGAATCTAATATTAAAACGACGCGCACCGCCCTTACTGCCGTCGCGTCAGTCTCCCTCCTCGTCGGATATGGTGTTATCGCAGGAGTCGCCTTTTTTAGCCGCAGCCTTCTTTTCGTCTTCGATGCCGTCCTCCTACCGATATTGACCTCTTCGTTCCTCGGCGTTTTCATCACGGTCATGAACCATGTTCTCCATAAAGACTTCCCTATTCCATCTCAGGTTTATATCTACGTTCCGCTTGTGACTGCTTGCTCAACCACGATTGCTTCAGCAGTACTCAGCTATGTCGCATACAGAAAAATAGACAAGATAAAGAGCTTGGATCGGCAAAGGCGACAACACGTTCACAGATGGGAGAGAGGTTCCTATGTTAGTTACGGAGATGCGACATCGACCACCGAGCTGTCGCCCATGCAGCCACAGCTCCCCGAAGACGAAGCACAACGTCGGCAACTTCTACGACTTTTGCTTACTCGAGAATCGACCGAATCTCCTGGGAGAAGCGGTGCTCAAAACACGTATCAAATCACTTTGCCTGGCGAAGATCTAGGTCATGATGGATTGCCCCTCGCTTCACTCGGTTCTCGACCTCGAAGTGGAAGTTTTCCCAACTCTTCCAGTAAGTGGAACTTAGTGAGCAGAATTACCCGGGATCGAAGCCCCACCGTGGAAAGTTTCAAAAATCCTCGAGAACGTCGACGTGATGAGATCGAACGGGCGTCGATTCTCCTCACCCCGCGGACTGACAGTGGATGGGCTCAAACACCAGGAGCGTCTTATCAATCTCCTTCCTCTCAAACTTGGGGTAGTTCCGCGAGATATGCTTAGAGAATGACAATAAAATGCGTCTGGATTAGCGAAGGTGTTTCGGATGATATTTCGGATGGGTGGATGGGTGAATGGGTAATCTTCAAGACATGTTTGTAATATAGAGTCATGAAGCCTCATAAGACATCTGGCCCCCCTGTAACGTTGCCAACCAAGCCCCCTGTCTGAGTCGGCTCTCATCACGTGTCTAGATTCCAACGGGCCTCGGTTGTTTTCTCTTTCAAGCCCGATTATGCAATTCGAATCTGCGGCCGAGAGATCTCCCATCATCCGTGAAAAGAAAATAAAAACTTGAGCCTGGAACCTGTACTCAGGGGTGTCCAGATATGCCTTTCTTCTCCGGATGTGGTTTCACCAGCTGTGTCGGCTAGTATAATGATGGGAGATATCCCAGAAATTGATTGACAGCAAAATCCTCCTGCTTCGCCTGGACATCGACATCCTCCCCGTTCGACGGACTGCCTATTGACTTCGGTTACCTCAGCCACAAGGAGATCCAACCTCTTCCCTAACTCTCTTACATTTCTGCTCGAGAATGTCGAAACACGCCACTCTAATAAAGCCACCCAAATCCCTCCCTCACCATTCTCCTATCGAAAATGTCCTGTCCCTCCTCCCACTCATCGACATCGGACCAGATATATACACCAACGCCCGGCCTCTATGGCACCCTCCTGGGGCTCGTGGTATCTTTGGTGGTGCCGCCATTGCCCAATGTCTCTCCGCTGCTCAAGCGACCATCCCTCCCGATTTCACCGTCCACAGCATGCACTGCTATTTTGTGCTGGCAGGCAACTCTGAGATCCCGATTCTATACCATGTGGAGCGCGTCCGCGACGGAAGGAGCTTCATCACACGCACAGTACAGGCTCGTCAACGCGGCAAATGCATATTTACAACGACTCTTTCCTTCATGAGAGAGGGGAGCGGCGGGAAAGCGAAAGTCGAGCATGCGGTTCCTATGCCCAAGGATGTAACACCCCCTCCAGACACCGACTCGAGTCGAGCCGCCTGGAAAGCCGGCGAATCGGGGGACGACAGGCCCTTCGAGTCCGTTCGTTGCCCAGTCAGTTCTCGCGGCTTACCATCCGATCGCAAATTTCGACATTGGATTCGTGCTTGTGGTCGTATCAGCGACTGTCCGCCGAGCGTGGCGGAGGGGGAACTCAAACAAGGCCAGCGTGCTCACCAGCCCGGCGATAACCATCAAGCACACCTGTCTGCGATCGCATACATGTCCGACTCGTATTTCATTGGCACGGTCGCCCGTGTGCACAATCTCCAGCGCTTCGCAAATCGGAGGAACATCGAGAGAACATTACGGAATTTCAGAGGCTCAGAAGAAGAGCGCGGACAAATGCAGAAATACCTTGAGGACATCGCACGGGAGGAAGCCGAAGAAAACAAGCAATTTGGCGCCACGCCGGAGAAAGACGATCGACGAATCGGTATGATGGTGTCACTTGATCATGCTATCTTCTTCCACAATCCCCGATCGTTCAGGGCCGATGAGTGGATGTTGACCGAGATGGATAGTCCGTGGGCAGGTGATGGGAGAGGTCTAGTCACCCAACGGATTTGGTCCAAGAGTGGTACTCTGATTGCCACCTGCGTGCAAGAGGGAGCTGTACGACTAGCCCAAAATGAGAGTAAGCTATGATAGAGGAGTTAAGGTAGAAGCTGGATCGGATAGAAATGGCCTTGGAGATTGAGATGGGATACACACAGAGAGCCGAGCGATTGGGTAGAGGCGTCGTTGTCGGAGCGAGTTATTGTCTGGCAAGATTTGGCTTGCTCGGCGAGCGAGTATATACCGTTGGCTCTTATCGCTTATGAACGTCTAGAATATTTTTGTGTGCTGTACGCTCAACACTAGCATTACCATCAAAAAGTGTCCTTCCTCCAGCATGCTGTGATCAACCCTTTGGTAGAAGACGTAGCCGTCGCCATTTTTGAGTCCCAAGGGCGAGGATTCAACCCCGTCTTTCCTATAGCATCGCAAAGAGGTCCCAGGATTGCGTCTCATCCTTTCCCTTCCCCTCTCCGCTCTTGAAGCTGGCCATCTTAGATAGAGCCACGCTCAGGATCTTCCCGATCCTGATTCCGTTTTCCGCTTCCAATATCTCTGAGCCGCAGATAAAACGCTCGTCGCCTGGTCCACAGGATCACGGTCAAGCCTCGAGGTTAATTCCCCTGCCAAATCGGGCGTACAAATGGGCCTTGAGTGCCGTAATTTCTTCCTTGATCGACGACAACTCTTCGCCTAGTGACGACAGTTCAGCCTCCAGCTCCTCACTCGCGGATGCGAGCAGTTCTTGCGCATCGGTCAACGAGACGTGCATGAAGGAGTCGCCGATTTTGTATCTACACGGCAAGTAGTTAGTGTAGGGCGAGGTGAGAGAAGGGTGAGAACTACGGAATCAAAGCGTCTTCGTCGGCCAGCTCGAGTTCCGTTGATACTTCTTCGAGATCTTCTTTGTCTTTCTGCAACCATGGAATATCAGAATGTAGTCGAATGGGAAATGTAACGACGACAGTAAAGGAAAGAACGCGAGCTTTCTTCGCTGAAATGATTCCACCGAAAGCCACAACCATGACTTCGCCCCATCAAAGAGGTGATCTGGAGTCCGACTCACCTGCTTGGCGCTTAGTTCTTCTTCAAGCACTTTACTGCGATTGTGCAGTCTGGAGAATGTGTTGATTTTGTCCTGGTCTTCTTTGGTGACTTCTGCGTCGGTCGATTCTGATTCTTCCTCTTTCGATAGCTGAGAACGGAAGTTAGTTGAGTAGTTATCAGCCAGGGCTACGGATCGAGAAGGAGTCAAATTGGATGACTTACTACTCTTCTGGACAACATATTGAAGGATTCCTTGATTCTAGCGCAAACGGGATTTATGGTGTGGTACACCGAAATCTTAGCATCTGCTTCTCTCGAACCAAATCCAAGTGACGAATAAGACAGAGCAGAGAAACGAAAAGAAAGGCGAAGAAATTGTATCGTCAAATTGAAGAGATGGTGGAGCGGTCAGATATCTGCAAGGCTCTGACCTCGGCTACGGCGGGATCTTGGCATTATAGCGGAGCGTTATGGGCCCCAATGCAGATACCGCGGAGCATATACCGGTACGGATGCAAAACTTTGAACGTCACTCACTTGGTCCGTTCATTATTCTTCCTCTCTGTATATCTTTACTCACCTTTGCTTCGATACCCAGTATCAAGAATGTCGTCATCGAGGACGAATGAATCGAACACCCCTGCGTGTTGGAATCAAGATCATGCCCTGGCGCTCTCAGGCTGCCTGGCTGTTATCCCTTTCGGATGTTTATTACTCAGCCTACCCTGTCTTACCTACCAGCAGGACAAGCGCATATCTGGAAACCGCAGTCCCAAGCTTCATTTGTCTAGTTCCTGAGACTTACCAAGTCTCCTTCGAACGATATGTGAGGGGGGAATGTCTTAGTCACCAATCTCCAATCTAATCCAAGGTGGGAAGCTGTTGGTGGCGTTTCTCGTCGTCATGGCGAGGCTCCCAGCCCTGTACCAATAAAGTATTGACCACGTGGATCTTCCACGGCTCGTTACAGCAAGTGATATATGCATTACGAACCTGGGTTATATATACTCGAGTCCCCATGGACCATAAAACGTCTCTCCAAACTCACGGGTTTGGGAATACCAACCACTTCGTTCGGCTTCGGTATTCGATCTAGCTCTGAAGTCGGTCAACATCTCTAGAGTCACCGCCGCCATGAGCATGCAACGTAAGGCTGCACAATGAAAACGTATAGCGACAACTCTCTAAGATGAATTCCTGATCAGCGAAATATTCGTTCGAGAGGCTGGATAAGGACAAGGCCGGTCCGTTTAAACCAGATGCAACGAACTTACCTGACCTCTAAAAGTCCTTCTCATCGTCGACCACCAACTCGGTCTCCTCCAACTGGTCAAGGATTATACCACTGCTGAATTCCGAAACAATGTCCTCGCCCACGCCGAGTTGGGCAAGCTCTTCAACCTGCCAACCATCTTGACAACATCTGCAGAGACAGGTAATTCCCCCCAATCCCATCAATCCTCTGGACTGGAGAAATCATCTTTGATTCCGAATTGCAGGACCCAATGGACCGCTCCCCAAAGAAATCATCGATATGTATCCTGATGCCCCATTTATCAAACGAAATGGCGAAGTCAACGCGTGGGACAACCCGGACTTCAGAGCCGCGGTCAAAGCAACCGGTCGCACACAGGTCATTCTGGGTGGCATTGTTACAGAAGTTTGTCAGTGCCGTCTCACTCAAATTTATCAAAGGTGATATGTGACGAAATTTGACAGTTCATGGCGAACAGGCACCATGTTCCTCGCCCTTTCGCTCAGAGAAGCCGGATACTCCGTCTGGGCCAACACGGAAGCCAGCGGCACGGCGACACCCAAGCTCGCTGAGGACGCGAATCGAAGAATGGAAGGCGCCGGTGTACATTTGGTCTAACTCCCCAACACCCAGACCGGACAACGCGAATCCCCTTCTTTTCTTTTATTTGTATCGACTGACCATTTTCCACTTTCTGCAGACCGGTATGTTCGGCATCGCCATGTTTCTCATGAAAGATTGGAGAAATACCCCTGGCACGGCTGAAGTACTGCCTTTCTTGGACAAGGTATGTCGAACCAATAACATCAACCTCGGAGTGATGTGTGCCTCCTCATGGGATAGATATGGCTGATGCGTTTGTGAACCAGTACTTCCCCGCGTACGGCGTCGTGGCTAGAGCTCACGGCTCCGCAAAGGTTTCTGGAGACATTGTCCCTGGCGAGCAGCAGCTTTTGGGATAGGAATGCGTATGGAGAGTCGGTATTGGTCGAGTTTTGAAGCAAGGCAAAGCAAAGCCAAACCATCATTTTGGGCTGACAGAAGCATGGATTTGGAGTCGAGGGAGAGACACGCAACATCAAGGCTGCAAGGGAATGGCAGATACTAGTCCAGGCGCAATTTCGACCAGAATCCAGCTAAATAAGCGAGATGCAAGATCATTGAAAAGGGGAATACACTTTGCGAAATCAATCAAAAGGGAAAAATGAACGGGTCATTCCCTTCTTTTCTACACCCCTTTCGCCTTGCATTTTCGACCCGTATCCTTTATTATTCTACAAAAAATCCTTTCAACCCCCCCCCCCAAGAAAAGGGGCTCTTGATCATACAGCACTATACCCGCCTCTTGGGCCACCGCCAGACACCGTGTCCACGACTTTTCTGGACACATCTTTGACGAGATATGGGATGTCTCGAATCGTGTCTCCGTGAGGGAGCAAGTCCCAGCCACGGGCTCCATAACGGTTGTAGTTGAGCCAGGAGCCGAAGATCAGATATGCCGCAATGCCGAGGAATGCACTGTCACAAGGATTAGTATCGATGCAAGAATAATGCAAAAGGAAACCGATTGAGTCGTACATCAAGACAAACCAAGTGAAGAAACCCCAGCCGCCCTTCTTCGCCTCATCGCTGTTCGCATAATCCTCACAGGCGTACTTTGTTCTCCAATTCAGACGGAGAACCTTCATCTGCTCTTTGCCTTCAACTTGCCCGTAGCTGACAAACGTCAAACTGGGCGCATTTGGTTTCTCCTCGCTGTCATCCCCATCTCGCTTTCTCTTCATTTCGTTGCCTGTCCTGTCCCTATCACACTGCAATTGAATAACGGCCCTCTGCTTCATTTTGTTATAGTAGCCACCATTGAGCTCTATTTGCAACCCATCAGCACTCGCATCCTGCATCTTCAGTCGGGACACTTTGGGATCGAGGCTCTTTCCAGTACTGGAGTCGAAATTCCCAGCTACAGGAATAACGTTTTCGACTTCGACATGTTTTTTGTCCGGATCATCGGCCGGATTCCAAGATTGCACTACTCCGCAGACTGTGTACGGCGCATGAGCCTCTTTTATCTTCACGTCCGTGGATCGTGTCACTTACCTCGCGTTCCCTGTGGACACTGATCCGAATCTTTAATTCCTTGGATCTTCTTCAAAGGTGCGCACAGATCAAGTGTCCAAGTAGTGTTATATTCTGCAGGGGGTCTGGAGGTGTCGTGCACTGACAGAGAATGACGACCTGCGAGTTTGGACAGATCAAACTTTTTCCCGTCCACCCGGATATGTTGGCAGTCTATCGATACCGCAGCCGCGAGATGCAGGAGTAGTAAAGGGATAGATAATAGGGACGCTGTGGTGGACTTCATGGTTCCGAATTTGTAGAAGATGTTGAGGATGGGACTAGTCGCTTTCGAGATCGCGTGAACAGTGAGGAGAAAGAATCGCAGGGGCTCAGGAATCGAAGGGCGCCAAAAGAGTGATAAGACGAGGATAAGGTGGTCGAGTACAGTAGGCAGATGCCTTTGGAATCGCGGGGGGAAGGAAATCGGATGTTGATCAATACCATCTGCCTGCGAGTTGGCGGATGGAGCATCAGCTGCGAGGGACCGAGATGCGGGCTTGCCAAGAATTCAGTATCAATCCGTTCTAGGATATATTCTATGCCGCCTTAAGCAAGGTCTCTCATAACGTCGTCTTGAGTGGTAGCTATTCCACTCATTCTCGACCTTGAGTGGTCTCAAGAGCTTGGTAAATGACATTCCATCACTTGGAGGTTCTGAGTTCATCGTTTACATAGAGTATGATTTCAATATTGAGAAATAACATTCAGACTTCCACGTGGGTTCTTCAACTAAAGCGGCAAGGGTATCCCCCGATCACAGTTCTCCAGCCTTGGAAGCGGGTACAAATGCTTCCTGCTGCAAAAGATATACATGCTTCGCTCTTCAGTTTTCGCCGTTCTATTCTTTTCGAGCTGGCAAAAGTCGGTCATATATCGGATCAAGTTGGTCCGAGAATAGCCAACCTGCGCATGAGACGACCGAGGAGGCGAACAAGGGCAACCTAGCTGACCACTGTGAGTAATGCCAGGTCAAGAATTAAGCAAGCGCTCGGTTGAGGTAAATGTTCTTTGTCTATGGGATGGACGCCGTTATCAGGCTGGGCCATATGATTACTTTTTTTGATTGTAAACTGTTAACAACTTGCACAGGATTCTCTGAGCACGCCCGTATGAGCTACAACCTTTGAACAGGAAGATAATACAATACGTATCAAAAGAGCGAGAGATAAAACGATGTTTGCATTTCAGGGCTCACCCGTAACTGGCCATGGCCTCTTGAATGCCCCTAAGATCTGCCGATTTCGTGGAGTGACCAACGGTGAGATCCATGAGTCAGCCCACGTGTGAAATGAATCCCGTAAGCACCCCAAGGGTCGCATTAGACTTCGTCGCATCTCGTTTTAAGGGCTGAGTATGCGGGGCCCAAGTTGCCAATAGGGCCCGAGAGGAAATTCACTCCGGCTTGTTCTCCGCCGAGAACCGGGGCATAATACGAGCTAGTACAGTTGCAGCGCTGGTGGCTAGTAATCGTTGGAAAGTGAAAAAAGGGGGCTCGACGACAAACGGACTTTCTGCTGACATCCTCCTGTCATCATAATATTTCCATCTTGCGAAGACTTCGGAAAGTCACGAATTGCGGTATTCAAGCAGGGGAGAGAAAAGCTGCGTTCCAAAGGATAATGGAGTACTCCATCGCCTTTCGACCAGCGAAGCAGGAAGAGGATGATTTGCTATCCAGGATACTTGCCAATGCATTTCTGCCTCTCTGGTAAGTGCATCTTGACCTCCAGTGGGTTCGAAATGGAGGAGCACTTACTTCATGGAGGAATCACAATTGGTTTCACGGCGTGTCGGAGCCGCTAGATCCTGTCACCATTGGCAACTTCGGCAGTACACCTCCACCGATGACAAGACATCAAAATTCTCGAATTCGATTTTACAGGAGTTTGATAAGGCTGGTGAGGTTGTTGGACGGACCAGTCATGGTTGCTGAGGTCTCTGCTTCGGAAAACGCCAATGACACGGCAAAGGAGATCGGAGCCGTTCTTCTCTGGCTCCCTCCCTCAAAACGACTTGGTCCTTTCGATGTCTTGAAGCTATGGCAATCTGGATTGTTGTCATTGACTTTGCCCTGGCACTATGGCCCGACGGGACTCTATCGCATTGAGATGGTCTTCGAGTCCAATATCCAGTCAATGTGGGCAAAAACTCTCCCCGACTTACCTCCTAATGGCTGGAAGGAACAGGATTGTGGGTTTGTGCAGATGCTTGCAAGTAATCCCAAATATGCGGGCAAGCGTTTTGCATCGGCACTGCTGAAAGACCAGATTGAACAGCATTTTGCGCAATATCCTGATCGGCCCGTCATCTTGGATACAACCACGCTTCAAGGTATTCGGGCATACGAAAAACTTGGCTTCAAACTTCTTAGCGAAACTCCTGTCAACACAAAGACAGATGCAAAAGGGATCCGATTGAAGGCAGATGCAAGTGAAGAAGTCAAACGACAAGCCAGAGAGACGTGCATCCAAAGAGTTATGGTAAAGCTCCCTTGAGGGAGCAGCTATATACCGAACAAATAGGGCATACTGTGTGGCAGGCGCGTCAAAGGGCTGGCCGAGAGGATTCTCTTGATATCCAGAGCCGCTGGGGGGAGGGCCTCGCTTGCCGGTACCGGCCCATCAAGACCCTTGGTTTCATATCGGCTCTCAACTTCGTTTATGCTCCGTGCACAGTTTACAAAGAGCAATGCCATCCAGGGTAAGAAGTATTCAACGAATCTGGTTCTGATTGTGGAACCCACCCAGTAGTATCCTTTCCCAATGATCTCGGTCTCTTTTGTGGATGAGCCACATAGACGACTTTCAAAGGCCTTCGGAGGTCTTTGCTCTCTCCCCTGGTAGTAGAAGGATGGGAACGTCTGCGGTCTGAGCCCTGACTCCGAGCTTGGTCGAAAGGAGGCCAGACGTGGTCTCTCGGGGCCATATTGGATGGAGAAGTGATCGTTTTCGGAGTACTTGGGTCAACGCATAGGGCAATGCGGATCTGAACAGGGAGCTGTCTGGTTGTGCAGAGTAGAATTCTAGCAGGTCACAAGCTACTTCGGGCGCGATGATTCTTTGAAGAAACAGTAATATAGGTTCAAGGCATCTGTGAGGACGAAAAGAATATGCTTGTGCTTGCAAAGACCGAAGATTATTCAGGTCTGGCTCGGGGATGTTAATCAACCGTGTAGTGCTGAACGACGAACCCCGGTGCTTGAATCGATCAAGGGTGCTGTAGGTGTTGATGGGCTCCTCTATGTCATGAACGACAAAGCTGGTACGTCGGGCGACGCCATTGGCAGTCCCTGCTCGATCTGTCGTTACTCTGACAGCAGATTGTCCTCCATATTGCCTCCGTCTCTGAGATGCTCGTCCATGATGTCAAACAATGATTTGGATGCGTTCGGAAAAAGAGACCTCTCAATGCAGAGAGGTCAATTTCAGCTTTGAAAATCCGCCGTCAGCGACACATTCAATTTGGCCTGAATGGTGATCATCCTTAATCATCAGTCTGTTTCCCTTTTGACAGGATGAGGCGTCAACCACAGCAGGGACTTGTGGTCCTTTGCCGCGACTATTTCTGCACAATGGACGCGGGGTTGCTTCCACGCTCAGAAGTTCCGAAGCAAGTGAGGAGTTGCTTTCCATCGTGGGAAACGAAGACAAGAGATGACTGGCTCGGCAGTGCGATGTCGAGATCAACAGCACCGATCAACCCAGGACAAGGGACACATTTCATCTCGCGCGACAGGACCAGCAGGGGCACCATGTGGACGATGATTTCCAATTCCATCCTTGGACGGAAGTCAGCCCTACCTACCAAGTAACCTCAAATACTAAGGACTTCTTATCAATCCTTTCTCTAGATATCTACCCTCATCCCTAATAAACAGTTCAAAGGAATCTTGCAACCAAAGCCAACTCGCGACGTTAGAGAATGTACGCCCACAAGACGCATTAGGCAGCTCAAAACTGCGTCGACAAGTTCTAGTCAATTTGTTTCCAGCCGCCGAACGGAAATTCTGCAAGAGACCAGTCTAACAGTAGGCTATGCTTTGGGAGTCATGATTTGCCTGGATTGAGTAATAGGTTACAAAATTCTGGATCTGCTGATGTCGATGCCCAATTCCGGGCATTCCGTTCGAAAGGGCATTTCTAGCATGAAATTCTTGGACCAATTAGCATCATGTCACGACATTGCGATCCGAGGCACGCTCCTTCACACCATTTCATCTCCTCGGTAGATATTCCTCGGCGCCCATCATGCAAGAATTGGCATGAGGGGATCCAAGAAACGACAAAAGGTCAAGCAAGCTACCTGGGAAGTATACTAGAAAGACGAAGATACCCCAGATTTTCTGTGCCATGAAGCGGGTCCGTTACTCCGCACATTTGACGATGCCGTACCCAAAACCTTACCAGGCTTCTCCACACAGTTGAAACCATGTGGTCCATTTCCCGTCCCCATAGGCGTATAACATAAACAGTGGATTTCGCGGGAACTTCGGATTGAGGGTGCCTGGTGACCCTGAATTGAATTCTCCGGCAATGTACTCCTCATCCTGGCAATGCCACGCAACGATGAAGTCTCGACTAAGCAAATGAGTTCTTGCTTTAAACTTGGCGGCAGGGTAACGTTGAATCTGATTGATGAGGCGGAATTGCCATGAAGAGGGGTAGGAAGTGGAAACGTCGACATGGCAGTCTAAGTCCCCAGACTCAAGCCGCCAAGTGTCTTGGTAGGGAGTCTCATGCTTGGGAAAAGGATTTGTATAGGCTGGGCGACTCGTTGAAATACGAGGCATAAGAGTTATAAGGGCGGACGTCTTCGAGTGGTGGACCAGTATTCGCGCTGTCGCTCAAAAGAGGACGCGGTTGGAACCATTATCGTCCTCAGAGTTGAATCCGTTGCTCGCTTTCCAAGCTCCTCTCTCGCGCTCAAATCAAGTCTTACATACTGAAAGTTATGTCCTCCTCCGACCACGAAAAAGGGGATGGCCCTGCTGAAGCGAAGTACGAGGCTGCCGCTCATGAGCAACCGATTCTTAACGGCGACGTGCCGTCTTACGACCACCATACCGAAAGCAGACTGATGCGCAAGGTTGATTGGAGATTGCTTCCGATCCTAGGAGCCTTGTACTCGATTGCACTCATTGACCGTGTCAATGTCAGTCAGGCGCGCTCTCCTCATGATTCAGGAACTAAAACTCACGACGCAGATATCAAACGCCAGAGTCGCTGGCATGGGAGTCGACCTTAATCTCCAAGTTGGCAATCGATACACCACTGCTCTGGTCGTCTTCTTCATCCCATATTTCATCTTTGAGGTGTGATAAAAACCCCCCCATTGACATCGAAGATCGATATCTAAGCTAGTAGTAGCTGCCATCCAATATTGTTCTTCGCAGAGTGGGAAGCGCCAACTGGCTGTCATTCATTGCTTTCTCTTGGGGTTGTGTTATGATCGGCCAAGTACGACCCTCAAGAGCATTCTCTCTCTTATGTTTTGGCTGACATTTGTAAAAGGGCTTCGTGAAGTCCTACGAGGCTCTGGCTGTCTGTCGAACACTCCTTGGGTTTTTCGAAGCGGGTGAGTGAGTGTCTAATCCTTTCGGCTCATCGTAACTGATATACGGTAGGTTTCTTTCCAGGTTGTGTTTATTTAGTTTCGTGCTGGTACGTTCGCTACGAGGTCCAGAAGCGGTATGTTTAGGGACCTTTTTGATCATATGGGAGTTCTGGAGCTGATTCCCACAGACTGGCTTTTTTCTATCTCCTATCGGTCCTGGTCGGTGGATTTGCTAATATCCTGGCGTACGGCCTCATGCAAATGGAAGGTGTGGGCGGACAGAGAGGATGGCAGTGGATCTTTGTATAAGACAGTGTTAAGCCCAAAAATGACTACCGCTGACAATTCTCAGATCATCGAAGGTCTTCTCACCGTCCTTGTTGCAGCTGGGGCGTGGTTTGTCATTGTCGATTTTCCGGACAAGGCGGAAAAGAAAGGACTCTTGACACATGAACAGGCGGCCTTCATCGCCAGACGAATTGAGGTGGATAGGGGTGATGCAGTTCCAGATCCTCTCACTTGGGAAAAGTTCTTCCATCACCTCAAAGATATTAAGCTTTGGATATTGTACGTCATGGTGATGACCCCTGCCTTCGAATGCTGACCCCCCGTTAGCGCTACCTTATTCATGTCGTCAACGATGCCTGCCTACGCTTTTGCATACTTCACCCCGGTTATCATTCGAGTAAGGCCGAATTTCTGAACGTCAAGATACCAGAGTTAATCAACTACAGGGGATGGGATATACTGCCGGAATCGCAAACGTGCTTTCTGCTCCTCCCGTGGTCTCAGCGGTGATCACGGCCCTGGCTTTCGCATGGCTGGGAGACAAATACCATATTCGTGCTCCAATCATTGCGACCCAGGCCATTATCTGCATCGTTGGCCTTATGATCACCGCCTACCACGACAGGAACGGGGTTCGGTATTTTGGTATCTTTCTTGGAATCGCCGGTTGCCAAGGCAATATTCCTGCGGTTCTCGCCTATCAATCAAACAATATCCGTCTGCAAAGCAAGAGATCTGTCGGGTCAGCACTTCAGATTGGGTTTGGGGCAATTGGCGGAATCATCGCTTCGACGGCTTTCTCGGAGCACGAGGCTCCTACATACAGGAGCGGACTCTGGGCCACAGCGGCCTTACAGTTCTGGATCTTGGGCTGCTTGTGTGCTACGTCGTGGTATTTCTGGAAGAAGAATAAGGAGTTTGATAACGGCACATTGAGCAAGCCAATTGAAGGACAGGAAGGTTTCAAGTATACTCTCTGAATACATGGCTTGAAATTGACAAATATGACACGTCCATGCATCGTGGCCAGGAACGTCAGCTGGAGGATGATCCTAGGGAGGAGACTATTGGTATGGGTACTAATGGTAATGGCCGGAGATAGCGCCAATAATTGAGATCAAGCAGATGTCCTTCTGGTATAAGTTTCTCCTTCAGGTTGATTGCTTGAAGATTCGTGCTATCGTGAATTCCAACACCTTGGGCATGATAGAGTACGTACCCCGTTGCGACTATCGACACCAAGCCGTCGGGTCGAGTTATATGGTACCGGAGAGAACATGCAAGCATCGAGATCTACTGGCTGTCTAAGAGGCCGGTGAGGAAAGTGGGGCATAAAAGCAGCATGATCCAACTCCTAGTGGGGCCTCCGTCGTTTCACGCGACCTCTCTCCGTATAAGCTCTTCGACCTGCAACGTCCGTCTCGTGCAACGGACGATATTGAAGATAGCTCCTTTGTGCACTGCCAGTCTGAGTGAAGCCAGATATGCCGGGGCATTGGGGTTGACTGAGTCTCGACCTTTTCCTCTCGAGACTCCCATCCTGAAGAAGTATTCGTCGACCAACAACAATGCCCACCAAGAAATCCAAAGCCAATGCCACCAAGGGCAAAGTCTCTACGCCCTCTACCTCAACGCAGGCGACGAAATCTACACCTCCAGCTCCGACTAAATCCTCTTCATCCTGGCCACCCCTTCCTTCTCTCTCGACGCTAGATGATTTCGGGGTCCAAAACGCGCGTGCCAAGGCCCTCATTATGTCGACACTGGTTCCTGGAAGTGAACCGTGGAAGATCGCGGAACGGCTTGAACTTGCGTCTGACATCTGGAAAGCTCTGGAAAACAAGTACGTTCCAATGAATGGCAGCAAAAGAGCTGGGCTTAGCAAGACGAACAATGAGACTGGAGAAGAAGGGAACGATCTGTCTTCGTCGGATTTCATCGGCGACTGGGTGGAAGGGAAGCCCATGGACAAGTATCTGGAGATGTACAAAACAAAAAAAAAGGTCAAGGACCGAGATGAAAATAGTCGGGTCGGTTTGGCCGCAAGCACCCCTCGTGAAGACAATTTACATCGGGCTTCTCCTGTCCCAGAACGAGTCCGCTGCGGAGACAAGCATGAAAATCAGAAAGCTGCCCGACCAGGAGCAACTCCCAAATCTTCTGCGCTATGGAGAGCCACTCCTGTCAATCATGGTTCCTACCTCAGCGAAGGTCAAGCATGGGCTTTTGCTTCATACGACGTGGAACGGAAGAAGCAGATTCAAGTGGCTGCAACCAAGGCGATGATGCGGAAGCTTCCGACTCGCGATCTTCGTTTTCTCTGGGCTATTCTTTACGGCGGTGAAAATGCGCCATGGCCAGGTTCGTGGTCTGTCGTTATTCCCAAAATCACCACCGGATCACCATCCTTCAGAGTGTGAAAGCAACTAAATCTTTAGGAATGATTCATATTCGAGACGAGCGGGCCCTCTCACAAGCTCACTGGATGCTCCACTGCAGTGTCCACCAATCTCTACGATGCATTTCATCAGTGCTGCAATGTTCCCACTCAATCCACCTGCTCCACGACCGGCCATGATGTCCTACTACATCACGAGAACACTGCTCCAACATCGCCCAGACACACCCACAACAGAAATACCACCAAGGCGATCAGACTCGGGCTCGGCTCACTAACCGGGACCGCAGCATCATCCTTCTTGCGGATATATGTGGCATTTGGAGCGATTCGGACCATATCTCTCGTCGCATGTCCTGTCTGCGCAAGTTGTCTGAGTTGATCGCCAAATGTGGCCAGGATGTTGGTACTTCGCCCACTGGGGTAGAAGACAACTTCAAATCCGCCTCCTTGGGGGATAATAAACGTACTGGTCTGGTCGTCGTATGCGTAACTGTATGCGTCTGGACATACTTTCTTCGCTTGCGTGGAGTACATACTCGGCGAGCACGTGGATGGACTAGCGTGGTTACCGGTACAGCAATACTTGGCTTTGTTCCACTTCGCGCAGGCGCTGAGGCAAGGGTTGAAGATGGGCCGTTGAATGTTGTCGTCCGGATACGGATACACGCCATCTCCAGGCTTCTCGGGCGGATCGAGCTGCAAGGGCCAGGGACACCAGTTCTGAACAAAGGAAGATGTCACGGTTTGATCCAAGGGCAGAGGGAATGTGGAGTTCGTTCCAAAATCAGGGTTGGAGCTGTCGCCTACAGGTGCGAGGAGGGAAGAAGTGCCAATGCACACGGGGTTTGTAAGATTCGGCGGGATGCCCTCGAGAGTGGAATTCCCGCTTTGCGGCAGCAAGGAGATGATGCCAACGGGGATATTGTAACCATCCACTAGGGAAAGGTCGTAGAAGGCTTGATATGTATCTGACGACATGGTGAATTCCGCCAGTGTCGCTGGTGCTTGCCCCTGGGTTACAATGCAATCAGCAACCTACAACGGTACTTTGATACTTCCATTGGACCTTTCCCTTACCGCACTCTGACACTCAGGACACATGTCACAATCCCCCGTCGCGCATGCCGCACCGCCCTGCTCACTTGTCGGAAAACTACAATTCGTCCGCGCCCAGACCCGTCCTGCCCAGTCGCCGCTGACGGTCTGGGAATTCGACTCTCCCGGTGTCAGCATGAAGCCTGATTTGGCCAGGCCTGTCCCGCTCTGAGTTAGAATCGCCGGCCAGATAGCTTCATTGCAGGCGTTTGTCACCCGCAGGGGCAGCGTGATGTCGCGCGGGTGGATATAAAGGCTTGTCGAGGCATAGCTGAGGGGAGGGTTGACGATATATAGGGCCAAAAGGGAGAGGAGAGATTGGCCGTGGCTTGATGTTGAAAACCCAGGTTTGTGGCGCATCGACTGATTGTGAACGTTCTGCCTCTCGGTCTCCTCCTTCCGAGCTTGTTCAGCCATTTCAGAGCACTTTTTGAAGTATTGTCGGCGTGGCTGGTTTGACCTCTAGGTCGTCCAGTTTCCCATGCCCGTGGGAATGAATTCGTACAAGTTAAATGGTAATGAGCTCCCTCTTAAAGGCAAGCAAGCCGGTCTTCGAGAGTCTGGGTCAGTTGAGTCTATTCCGCATCCCAGAGGAGTCGAGTCTTTGAGCCGTTCTCATGCGATTGATACCGATGTATCTAGCCGTGAATCTCTCAATTAGTGCTGTCGTCCTGTCTATGAATATATGTGCTTCCAATCAAAGAGTGTGGGGGAGGGGGAATGCTGGAGATGTCAAAGATAAGCTGTGACCCAAATGATATATCAACGATACCGGCAACGTTGCTTCCCAACCCCAGATACCGTAAATCCCAGAGCCAACGCCACAGCTGTCCGTGTGGGATTGAAGTTTGAGAGGTCAATGATTGGTATGCGAATCCAAGATCCCATCATTTGCTTGGATGTACTTCAACTCGAGTAAAGCTCAAACGCAGAGTCCAAGCGTCATATCAGAGTGCTGAACGCACGGCATCGTAGGAAAGAAGCGCACTTAGCCAGCAATCGCCGGCAATCGACGCCAATGGCCAGCTTTTTGCAAGGTCATTCCCAGATATTGTCGACACCTGGACCTTGCCGCGTACCTTGCAACCCCCGACGTCATTTCAATGGATGGGGGGGTAGTGATGTCAATGGCAAGAAATTTTATCAGGCATTTGCCCGAATAATGGACGCACAGCTCAACTTCTCACGTGTCTCTCTGTGGCTTGCTAAGGATTGGCAATCACAAAGAATTTGTATCTCCGTCCATCGCATATTCCTTGAACTTGTGGTCTTCGCGTTGTTTGGCTTTAAGAATAGGTAAACCTATTCTAGTGGTACAAATGCGACGGTTACCTATGAATGACTGTTAGGATGGGCTGCGCACTCTTGTTCGTCCCACATACCACTGCGCCATAGAGGCCGAGGGTGACGAAGTCCTCATGACGTTGCACCATGGGTTACGCATATTTTCCGAAACCACACCAAGATCGCTGCCCCCGCATCTGGTATGGATGACCTGGAAATATTGCAGGACGAAGGTAATCATTGGGTGACCAGCCGTACAGTGGTGTCCTCCGTAGGAAGAGTCATCATCCAAATCCCCCGCAGCATAAAGAACAATTCCAGAGCTTACGCCACCCACGATCTCAGCTCTCCAGGCTTCGGCCCATGATCACAGGCTAATCTCCAGAATGACCCCACTTGTCAGTCGGGAGCTGCTAGACGGCTCGAAATTTGTGTCAAAAGCAGCTATTATTGATGTCCCTCGTTGGCTGATCGTCATAAACGTCTTCTGCACGGCTCATGGATGAGTTGAAATCCATCTACTCTGGACAAGAGGATTGCTAAACACAAGTACGAGGCACTTTGGGAACGTGATCGTTCACTATGCAGTACAATACACCTTCCTCCCACCAGAGGCCGCGTTCGCTGGTGGATACGGAAAACATTAAGGCGACTGCCACAAGAATGTTTATCACCCGGGTCCCAAGCCGGATTTCTTCAATGGCCGAATATTCCATATCTGGACCGAATAAGGCTAATTCGTCAAAAGTTCGACTGGACTCTTTTTCCGAGCCGTCGGTCAGTCAATCACCGCTTCTGTTTTCTCTCTTTTGTGTGGATCCTGTTGAGATTTCCTGTCGCCGGTTCTCTCCACGTCTTGTTGAGCCTCGTCGCATAGTGTGTGTCTGACCTGGCAGAGTCTTTCAAGTCTGCCAGCCCCTCCACCTGCCGCCGGTCTGGCCAGCGTGCTGCGCCGTACTTTGTAGCGAACGAGGATGGAAATCTGGAAAAGAAGCGAGGTCATATCCCAACTTGTCGGTGAACCGGTGCAGTCCACGGCGTCGAATTATGATTCCTGAATCTTGACTTCTCCAAATTCCATTTCCATTTTTCAAACTGGAGCACCCGCTAATTGACCGGAACCATGACTGAGCCATTTTTGAGCTGTGGCTGCGTAATCCTGCGATCGGCTTGGAGAGCCCTGGGTGGTATTGCCGTTGTTATCTGGACAAAGGAAAGTTTGGACGTGAGCAACAAAGCCTTGAGTCTTGTGCAATGGACAGCGAGGAAGGGCCTTTTCCAGTTCTGCCAAAACCAAGAGGCGTTTTCACAAGAATGCAATTCCACCTTGAGGGTACCGCTTAAAGAACCACTTCTCCTAAACGACTTCTCGCTTTCGATTTTGCGGCAAAGCAGGGACGAGCGCAAGTCAAAAACCTAAACCAGCAAAACCACCTTCGCTCCTTACTGTTTTATGTGTCATTCGTTATTGCAGGACCCCTCACCTTGTTCGCCTTGATTAACCTTCGGAAGATTTTTCATCGCGGAAGAGTTATCGTGCATAGCAACAGTATCACAGAGCAGCCTCCAACCCGGAGGGCCAAAGTTGAAATGTTTTGGAGGAACGTCGGTCAAGCTGAAACTCGAGTAAACCGTCACGGCACAGATGATCCCAACAAGCAACGCTGTATCACTCTCAAGCACGATTGCGACCTGCACTCCTCAGAAACCCTTCCAATTACGGATACTCCAGTGGCAAATTCTTCTTCAGCAACCATGGGAAGCCAATATGACGGGGTGCCGAGATAGCGGGATCCACGTCCTCGTCAAGACGGCCTAAGTACATTTCGGTTCCAAGTAATGTCCGCAGATAACAAAGACACGATAGAGTTTATAGGTACCATGGATTCTAGGGCAGTGGAATCGCATATCAGCTGCAATGAAGTGAGGTAGGCCATTACATTCCTCTCGCTTCTATTTCGCTCCTAGTCAGCAATATGAACTTTCCTTTGTTGGCCAATCTGTTCTTCCATCTACAGAAATCCTCCGACTACCAATTTTGGTTCTGGACGGTAGTGAACGGTTCAAAGAAGCGGAACTTTCCGTGGTCAACAATAAAAAGACCGATACTGATTGTGTCTTCGGCCTTGAGACAGCAAGTCTTCTCGGGCTGATGACGATGCATTCACGGTCCCAAGCAATACATAACTTCCTTCAAGACTTGAAGCAGAATCTTCAAGAGGCAATGGTCGAAGAGGGATTTGTGTCGACAACACGGACTGGAGGAGGTGTCATGTGAGAACAGCAACGTGACTGGATTTTACCAAAGGTCCATGCAGCACGTTACCTTGGTGGCTTTGGAAAATGTCACGGGGCGTATATGAAATTGAAGACATGAGAAAGGTGATTTGAAGCCGCGATCGAGAATTTCTTCATAGAAGCTGGAGAGGGGAGGGAGAAACTGCGAGATACCAAAACTAGACACGTCGACAGTACCTAGCAGTGGAATGTGATGAAGATCTTCAATTATATTGAACAAGCTACATTGAGAGTACGACTGGAAACTGTTAGACGGGACATTTAGCAACAGGAGGCAACATCGTTGCCCTGGCCTTTTCCTAACCTTTTTTGGGGTTTGTTCACTTTTTGATTCTGCAGTGTCTGTTTGTGAGCCACAAGGAATGATCCTTGGTAGGGAGGTTGGATTTAAGTCATGGCTCGAACCAGAGCCTCCTCTTGCCCCTGGTACGGGCGCCGAGGCCTGCGTACTAAAATGATTTCCGTTTCCATTCTCAGAGCAATGGTTGCAGTGTGTGCAAAGCCATACTTCGCCAGTTTCGTGGTCCCGCGCTTTCTACTCGACTTCTTTGGCAACCCCGGCCTGGCCATCAGCGGCGCAACCCTTCAGGACGCGTTCAGCATCATTAAGATGCCATCCGTGATGAGCGCGTGGGGCGCGGCTGCAGATTGAGAGACGAAAAATGCGGTGTTAACTGTTGGGAGTTTGATGCGAGAGGTTTATTGGGTGTCTGGCACATTAAGATATCTATCTGCAACATTAAACATAGGGGTAGGCAGTCAAATGTCTTGTACGGCACAGACCATAAACTGGCAAACATAGGGATTTGATTGCCTTCAAGTCAACAGCCTGATGAAAGAGTAGAGACTGAATTTCAAGGGCAGCTTGTCACCCAAAGGCAGTTACGAATGGCATCTTTGTGAACGCCGACCTCATGAGGAATTTTCTATTATGCTCAAATAGTGTTGAAGACCCAATATCTTAGTGTGAAAACGTACATACGTGCTTGTTTCAGAGCACTAGAACTATCCTGCATTGGCCTCCGACTTTGTATTTCGATGGCGTGAATGCTGCTCCTACGAGGGATTTGTCTTTCGTGAATACAAGTTGGCTCTAAACAGTAGAACACATCTTACCTCTAGCAGCAAGGTATCAGGGGAATCGTAAGACAACTGGGCACAGAGACAAGGTCCCCTGGAGACTCGCTAAGACCTTTCGAAACGATATCAGCTATCAAGCCAGCCTGTCGAATTCCCATCGATGCCCCGATGCGGCGCAATTGGTGTGCGGCGAAGGAACGCACACTGCGAGCATTCAGCTCTTCCAGGGACACAACATATAATGGCCGGATCAGAGAAAGGATACCTACGAAGAATGTTTAGCGGTGTACTGGCACGTGAGCGGACTGGGGGGAACTTACGTGGAGTGCCTATGAAACTAGAAGTGGAGATACAGATGTCGGCGGACGACTGGCGAATAATGGAGAGGGCGATGGATTTCTGTGCATTTTCTGGCACACTCGAACGGACCTCATTTTGAACGATGATTTGGTTGACCAGTATCCGTAGTATGCGCCAGTTATTCCAAGCATCTGCAATCCAAGGGGTAGGATACACATGACTTTTCCCGTCGAAGCAGGTGTCGACACCAGCTCCCGGAGCGTCGATAGTAGTGTATCTCCAATTCGGTGGCACACCTGCTCTCCAGACCTCGAGGTCGCCGTCGATTTCGAGCGCTGTCTTGCGGATGACCTGTGGGTCGGTGACCTCCCCGTTTTTGAAGGCGGCTCGGAGGTTGACCATTCGGAAAGAAATCTCACAAATGGAACCTGGGCTGGCAACACGGCGATGTTGCCACTGTTGCCTGATGGCGCTGGTTTGGAAATCATAAGTCGTTTGCACCAGGGCCGGAGGGACGGCATTGTGCTGCTGCATGCAGACTAAGAGCTACAACATGTTTAGGCCGGGTCATGCCTTAGAACATCGATAGTAGGACTTACTATTTGAGAACGGATCTGGATGTAGAGCTGTCCTCCACGCTCCCGGGTGAACTGCTCCCGACCTCGGAGCTGTAGCAAGGCCGTGGCTCCTTTGACATGGGCTGCCCAATAGGGATACCGATCCCAATGTTCGAAGTTGACGGCCTGTATGCCGGTGAGGATCGGTTCCCTTCATACCAGATCAAGACGCTTGGGGTTACCTCAAATAGTCCGAGGAGGATGACTGCCATAAACGTCGTATCCGCACTTGCTTGGACAGGATCTTTCAACGCCTGCTTCAGGGCGGCCAGGGCCTCGCAATACTGTACTTTGGATTTGGACGCGACATGGGGAGCATGAGAGACGTTTGATATTCCCGCCATGCCAACTGCTTCGATGGCTGCTCGTAGAACATGACTGGGTCCATCTTCAAAGTACGACTGGGTCAGCCAGTCATGGTAGTCGTTCGCAAAAGGGGCTTCGTTGAAGGTGTATTTGGTGAAGAAGAAGTTAGCCCCGAGTTCATTGATAGGCTGAGAAAGGGGGTAGGATATGCTGACAGGGTATAGAGATGATGTAAGCAACTTGGGTTCGGAAGTCGGTGCGCCGCTTGTCGGAGATCTAACAGAAATGACGCGAGTTTTTGGTATCAAGACCGATTTTGACGGCTCGATTGGGCGAGCTTTCCGGATAATTCGTTCAGACTCGTCCCGAAACAGGACTTCATCGAGATTTCGGTAGCCTGGACATTGCTTGTCTGATTTCTCGCATTTCAAGCATCCCGGTTTCCGCTGGTCGCACTGACAACGGCGATTGGTGAGTTGGAGGGGCTTGCAACAGAAGGAGGGTTATTTTAAGGGCGGCGCATATTGCAACATGCCTTGATCTTTCGCTGACGACAGCGTTGGCAGCCTTTGCTCACCACGCCATAGTACACCATGATGGAGTCGATGGGGCTTTACCGTAAGTCGCGGAAAGCTGAAGACTTGCTCAAATTTCAAAAAGGATCGCCTGCAGAGAAGGGTGGGGTTGAGATGAGAGCGGCCCCCCGTTCCTTTGCCGTCAGCAACGAAGCCAGATGCCATCCATGGCGGACATACGGAGAGAAGTCTGTTGCTCTCGTTGTCGACGGCAATGTCGCCGTTTGATGGCCACGGTTGAAGTACCAGTAGATACCAGCGCCCCTTATACTCATAAGTGCCGGGTTCGCACTCGTCCCCTGTAGCGGGCATAGCGCGCGGTCTTGACAAAACGCTTTGATTGGCCGGCTTCTCCTCTTCGCATGCTCCAACACGAGATAAATATCTCTGCATTTCTGCCGAACCCACCTCTACCCTTTCTTCCAAAAGTATCAGATTGAGAGGCAGAAATGTGCAATTGGCAGATTTCTTGTTCGCTTTCGACGAGCCTTGGTTCTTGAAACCCAAGCTCGAAATACTTCCCAATCCGGCGACTACTAAACTCTCCTCACCCTGCAACTCGAGGAACGAGAGAATAGTTGCTCACTATGTCCCAGCCTGGTTCATCCCCCGTTCCCTTTCCAACGGAAAAGACGTTCAGTTCCTATAACCAGGAACAAGGCAAAGCTTATGCTCAGATCCGTCGCGACTACCATCCTAGCCTGTATCAAACCATCGTCAACCACCACGCCTCCACTGGCGGTCAGTTCGACACCCTTCTCGATGTCGGCTGCGGCCCTGGCACCGCCGCCAACGGGCTCGCTCCACACTTCGCCCACGCCATCGGCCTCGACCCTTCTGAAGGCATGATCACTACCGCTCGCTCCCTCGGCGGTGTCACGTCCACGTCCGAACCGGTCCGCTTCGAGGTCTCGACGGCCGAAGAACTCGGAAAGGACCTCTCACCGCCCGTCCAGGATTCCAGCGTCGACCTCGTCACCGCCTCAAACGCCGCGCACTGGTTCGACATGTCGCGTTTCTGGCCACATGCCGCCCGCGTCCTCAAGCCGGGTGGTAGCGTCGCATTGTGGACCAGTGGCGGGATCCGCGCCCACCCATCCATGCCCAATGCAGCCGCCATCCAAGCCGCCGTGGACCAGCACGAGGAGCGCCATTTGAAACCCTACTATGTGCCTGGCAATCTGCTTGCTCGAAACCGCTATGTCGATCTCCCGCTCCCTTGGACCCTGGGGCAGCCCGTCTCGGAATTCGACAAGAGCACCTTCTTCCGGAAAGATTGGGATGTCGACGAGGAGTTCTTCGTGGGGCTACCGGAGGTGGATTTGGATACGTTCGAGAAGATGATGGCGACCGGAAGTGCCCTGACTCGATGGCAACAAGCCCACCCAGACGTCGCCGGTACCGAGCGTGACGTACTGAGGATGCTTCGCAGAGAGATCGAACGGCTACTGCATGAGGCGGGTGTGGAGAAGGGGAAGGAGAGGGTAAGGGGAGTTGTGCCAGGGACGTTGTTAATAGTGAAAAAGAAGATATAACCCGTATGCACAGAATCTCTTGGTCTTCCTCGCAGCTTCGATCGATGGTAGTGCAACTGGGATGAATGCCGAATAGAAGGGATTATCATCGCGGAGCGGAGAAACTCGCAACGCCACATGCAAGATTGTAAAGCCCACCCAAGAACCATTCCGTAGCAACGCAGCTGTAGATAATTACCCCCAGCTATTTTGCCAAAGATTGCCCTACTCACCACTCACCAGAATGCCGTCAAAAAATCAGTGAAAGGTCATGTAAGATGGCTGGCACTGATGGAAGGAATTTCCACAAGTCTTTGCCGGTATCTTTGTGTTCCTTATCTTGGATTGTCCCCTAAACATAAAAATGAATTCTTCTCTGAAAAGTGGCTTGAGTGTGCATAGGTTCGAATCCTCCGTAACTGGGAGACAAATATCCAGCAAAACGTCGACAGGCTGACGTCTTGACAATCTGTCAAGGCCGTTCTCGTTGATGCAAAGATCCTCCACGTCCTTGGTTCTTTACATCTTTGAATCAACTTCGCTCGTATTTCATTCCAGTCGTCTTGAAGACCACAAGATACACTTCAACAACAGCACAGTGGGTGACAGTACCCATCTAGATATCTGGCGCGGTTATTATGGTAATCCTTTCGAGTTCTTCCGACCATTTCAGAGGCCCACGTTTGTACACTGCCAGTGCCGTGCCCATGGCTTCATCTGCAGTGTTGTGACAGTCGTTCTTACAACCACTGCCGCTGGTTCAAGATACGCAATGCTTTGCATGTATATTGGAGGTCTTTACAACGCCGTGGCACTAATACTTAACTAGGCTTCGGAAGAAGTGTCGCTTCCTGATTGCTATTGAAGGTGCTCGGGTGGCCGAGGCAGGAAGAACCTGAATATGTGTCTTGTAACTTAGAATATGGCGAGAATTTGCGGGTTGGCTAGTGATTCTCTCGAGATTACATGGACATACATGCCCCTGGTCAAGTCAATACTTTGCTTTCAATTTTAGGTTCGATCAATGATTTTGGCATTTGGCTGAGACCGTATGGTGCGTCTCTGAGTTTTCAAGACACCATGAAGCCCATGGTGCAACTGTCTATATTCAGGTTTGGAAAAGGAAATAGACACTGTCGGGTTAACATTCTTGAGAATTTGTTGAACAATGGGCAGTGCCCCTTTACTTGGAAAAGGGTTATTCCCCCTATGCAGGATAGAGGGGAGAAATAGGAGAAGAAAAGGGGTCAACCAAGCATGTGTATATACTGGCAGCCTGGCAGGGCCGGTTGCCAAAGGGACAGAGCATTCAATACATCTCAATGTGCACCCCCAGTTTGAGAGAATTTTACTAGAATGGTACAAATCATTCCCTGGACTTAGTCCTGAGCACCAGGTCGTGTTATGATGCACCCCACCCAGGTCGACTCCTTGATGTTACCGTCTCGGTCATAGGTGTTTTCAAACTCCAATGATGCCCCTCTTGGGCGTACTGAAGCTGGCGTCAACTTTTGTCGAATGTCGACCTTAACGGGAATACGCGGACTGATGAAATTTTTCCTCATTTGACAGGTGTGCTTGTTAAAATCCACAATTCCGTAGGCATATGCCCTAGACATTGCAGACTTGTACCCCGGGTGTATCTCGGGTGAGTACCAGATCAAGTGACAATCAGATCTTGTTTTGTCGTCAGCTTACAGGCTCTGGGGATATTGTCAGTATAAAAAGTGGAATTATGAAAGCAGGATCTCATTGTCAGCTTGCCAATATTAACGAGTTCATCAAGATCAATCTGGTTGAGTCGTATAGATATCTGCCAGCTTATCAACGATCACCTTTGAGCTCAAAACCCGGTCATTGAAGAATCGAAGAACAGCTCTTTTCTGGGCCTCATAATATTGGATCTCTCCAAACAAATTGTTCAAAATGACTGTTCCATTGCTCAACACGTTGCCCAAGATAGAGGAATGCATGCCCAAAAACCTGAACCTTTACTACAATGGAGCATGGCATAAACCTCAAGATGGAGAATATCGAGAAACTTGGAATCCCGGGGACGGCACTGCCGTGGCAAAAGTGGCGTTTGCCGGCGCCAAAGACACCGAGGCTGCTCTGCAAGCAGCCCAAAAAGCATTTCCAGCTTGGAGAGCTGTTCCTCCTCTCGAAAGGGGCAAGCTGTTAAAGAAGGCAGCACAGGTCATCAGAGAACATGCGACAGAACTCGCCATGCTGGATGCCTTGAACATCGGGAGTCCAATCACCACTATGGCCGGCGATGCTCTCGTTGGAGCGGAGAACATTGAGTTCTTTGCAGGCCTAATACCAGCAGTGACGGGTGAAACCATGGATTTGGGAGAGGCAACATTCAACTATACCTTGCGAGAACCGTTGGGTGTCGTCGCTCGAATAGTCGCTTCAAATCACCCACTCATGTTTACCGCGAGTAAGCTTGCACCTACATTGGCGATGGGTAACACTATTGTCACCAAGACTCCTGAGCAGGCTCCGCTGTCAGCTTTGCGATTGGCGGAATTAATTGGAGGGATCTTCCCACCAGGAGTCTTGAATATTTTGTCGGGAGGCGTTGAATGTGGGAAGACATTATCTTCGCATCCAATCGTGAACAAAATAACCCTAATCGGCAGCTTGCCGACTGGCAGAGCCATTCAAAAGGCTTCAGCGGACACGCTCAAGATGTCTGCATTCGAGCTCGGAGGGAAAAACGCACTGATCGCATATCCAGATGCCAATATCGATAGACTGGTCGATGGTGTCGTCGCGGGCATGAACTGGGCGTGGTGTGGACAATCCTGCGGCTCAACGTCGCGAGTTTTTCTTCACGAGTCTCTCCACGATCATGTGCTTGCTTCGGTCAAGGAGAAACTGGAGAAGTCCTACAAGCCAGGAAATCCGCTGGATCCCAAAACGACAATGGGATCCATGGTAAGCAAAGCTGCTCAAGACCGAGTGCTCCGATATATCCAGCTCGGCCACGAAGGAGGCGCCAGGTTGGTCACGGGGGGCAAGCCTCCAACCACAGAAGACACCAAAGGTGGCTACTTCGTGGAGCCCACCATTTTTGCTGACGTCAAGCAATCCATGACCATCGCGAGCGAAGAGATTTTCGGACCCGTCATGTCAGTGTTGAAATGGACCGATGAAGCCGAGATGTTCGAGCAAGTGAATTCGGTTGAGTATGGTCTCACGGGATCCATTTACACGACCAATATGTCAACTGCTCAGAGAGCAGTCCGCAAGGTGCAAGCAGGGACAGTCTGGGTCAATACGGTTGGTACGCACTTCTATTCTATGCCCTTCGGTGGGTACAAGCAGTCGGGTATCGGAAGAGAGGACTGCTTCGACGAATTGGTGAGCATGACTCAGTGCAAGGCCGTGCATGTGAAACTTTAAAGGAGCCCCCTGAGGGGCGACATGCCATTTTTGGGGAGAGCCTCCATTAACAGCTGTCAAACGGGGTGTAAGTTGAGATGTATTGAATGCTCTGTTTTCTATCAACTGGCCACATTCCTGAGAGCCTCTTTATAGATGATGCGAAAGCCTTGCAAAGCAACCGTCAGACTGTGGAAACCTCCCAATAGTGTGTACTTCTCAGTTGCGGAGTCTGCTCATGGTATTTCCTAGCATAGAGTACCTGCCTTTGCCGTTCATTGATCATATTTCATTCTTTCTTGTTATAGTTTCCTTGGCCTATTCACGTATAGACGGACATTGTCAGGAAGAGGTCCACAGCCCCTTGGAGATCGCCCAAAAAGACCAAGAATCCTGTTATTTCATGACAGAAACTTGGACCTCTTGACTTATATACTTGTCAGAACCCAATTCGTGACAGACATGATAGCCTGCCAATAGAGAGATCTGCAAGTACCCCACCCCTTCTCAAAATGATGGCTCGAGCTCTGTCACCGCGTAACTGCACTGAAGCCATCATTCATGCGGACAGGGGCAGGACTGAAGGAAGATGGTTGGTGAGGGCGCCTTGCCTGCCCTTGCTGCTCTGCACTAGTACTTTGGATATGTCGGATGGAAAGAAATCCTGCTTGAAGGTCATTGCATACTGATATCCTGCGGGTTGTGGAACGATGTATGAGGATCTGCTCGGAGATCATTCTCCGGGTGATCTTTTACGAATGCTCTGTAGGAAGATCGTTCATATCCTTGTCTTCGATAGTAGTTTGAGGCTCAAGATGGGCCTGTGGACATGGGCGTCTCCAGCAAAAACTGTACTACAGTTCCATATCCATTTTTCACAGCCCAATCAAAGGCTGTGAGACCATCCTGGTCAGAAGTAGACCAAAGATCGATTCCCCTGGCGGCTAATTCCTTTACCAGGTCAAGAAAACCATTCTTCGCAGCCCATGACGAAAGCGTGTAGCCCGACGGCAGGGTAATATTGCAGTCAGCACCCTCCTCAATCAATACCAGAACCATTGCCGAGTCACAACTGTCTGTCGCAAGTCCTAAGAGTGCCAGACTGGACTCGGGATCTGAGACATGATTTGGGTTGTGCTTCAAGAGAAGACGAACGGCTGTGGTGTTCCCATTATTCACAGCTTTCGAGATCGGAAGGTCGCCTGAATTGCAGGCGATGCTCGAATTGGCGCCCTTGTTAAGCAAGATCCCCAGAATCATTGTCCTGCCACACGTCGCTGCCCACCAGAGGGGGGTACGGCCGTTTTCATCTCGGCTGTCGATATCGACATGATATCCCAGCAGGACTTCCACCAAAGAATCATATCCGTACTCGCAGGCAAATGAGAGCGGAGTTCTACCTCGATATCCTCGACAGTCGGCGTCCGCACCATGGCTCAAGAGGAGCTTGGCGATGTTCTCATTGCCCGTCATCACTGCTGACAAAAGCTGTGTCCGCCCAGTAGGATCTCCATTATTGAACCGTCTTAATTCACAGAGAGCTTCAACCACGTCCCCAAAGCCTCTCCTGACCGCAGCCGATAACGGTGTAAAGCCATCCGAATCTTGTAGCTTTGAATCTGCCTTGTATCCCAGCAGGAGCTTCACCAGGGCTGCGTGGCCATTATCTGCGGCCAGAAGGAGCGCAGTCTGTTGCCTATGATTTCGGGCATCTACATCTGCGCCGTACTGGAGAAGAAGTTTTGCCCCGGGAAGGTAGCCAGCAGATGCTGTCCATAGAAGCAGTCTCTGGCCATCCAAACTCACTGCGTTGGGGTTTGCGCCTCCGGCGAGCAGATCTCCTGTTGTACTCAATTGACGATGGGTTACAGCCCACCACAGAGGAGTCTGCCCTTTCGAATCTTGGTGCTCCACGTCCACGACCTTCTTCAGGAGACTTCTCATCACGTCACTGCTACCTCCTCTTGCCGCCCAAAATAATGCCGTCCGGCCTGATGAGTCCTCGGATCGAGGGTCGGCACCATTTTCAAGTAGCAGATCCACCAGGGCTTGATGCCCGCCCTCAACTGCCCAGAACAATGGCGTCCTCCCATATTTATCCTTCAAATCCAGGTTCGCGCCGGTGTCAATGAGGAATCGAGCTGCGTTCAGATGTCCTCGGCCTGCTACGTACGACAAAGGTGTTCGGTTGTCCGAATCCGATAAATCCACCTCGGCACCCAAGCCAAGCAAAGATCTCATCATATCAATTCGTCCTTCCCGTGCAATGGCGATGAGGGGGGTCATTCCTCGAGGATCGCAGCCATTCGGGTCGCAATTCTTCCTCCGAAGGAGGGCCTCAGCCAGTTCCGGCAGCTGGACAGCAAGAACGTAGTCTATCGGGGTTTTGCCGCTGAATTCTGTAAATTTCTGAGCATTGATTCCGGATTCAGCGAATCTGAGGGCAATTGGGACGTTTCTATATTGCAAAGCCTTCAAGAACGCCAATGCCCTCCTGCTGTCATCTTTTGAAAACAATCGAGCTGAAGAACAAGATCAATAATATCCGACAAGTCGAAGTGTATTGCCCACTCGAGTAAATGTTGGTCTTCCGACAATTTCTTGTTTGGCCGTGCTCCGCTTTCAAGCAGCTTTTTGACGATTCTTCGTATTCCCGAGATATTCCAATCAAAGTAAGTTTGGACAGCTGAGTAGAGCGGTGTCCTGCCCCTGTGGTCTTGCACACTCGGGTTTGCGCCTCCTGAGAGCAATACTTCAACAGTCGCATGATCGTAATTTGTCGCGGCCCAGTACAGTGCTGTACCACCCGTCGCATCTTGCAGATCAGGATTTCCTCCGGAACCAATCAGGACGTGTATCATATTCGAGTGCTTGAAATTCGAAGCCCACCACAAAGGGGACCGTTGCTCAGCATCTAGAGAGTTCACGTCTGCTCCATGACCAATGAGGCATTTCGCTGCGGCTTCATGCCCATTCTTTGCTGCCCAGGTAAGGGGTGTACAACCTTTCAAGTCCTTGGGATCAATCATTTTGTAATCCTTTCGACGAGCTACGGCATCCACAAGGTGACAGAGGTCATAATAGGACGCCACATGGAGTATGTCTACGCCGGCTCCAAGGCCACATGCACGAAACTTCTTGGAGCATAATGAGAGCCATTGATTCAAGATTCGATTCGAAGGCCATTGGAAATATGCCAAGAGACTTTGTTGTAGTGTGCCGTCAATATCAGCCTTCTTGAGGTGAGAAGGCCATCTTGTGACAGCGTATCGAAGCAGCGGATATTCATCTGGTCCTGATTTCATTTCCTGGGTGGAGAGTTGACGTATTTCGTCGGTGAGTACGTAATGCATGCAACATTTGAAGATGAGCTCGTGGCATCGCGCAAGTGTAGCCTCGAGTCCCAATCTCAGACCTCTTAGTCCAACGGACTGTTCAAGATGCTGCAAGCCTTGTTGCAGAAAGTAGTCCTTGACCGATTGATGAATGTATTGAACGATAGCAAGGCCTTGTCTGGTAGTCTCAACAAGGCCGCCTGACAGTGCTCGTATCTGTTTCTCCATTTGCTCTTCTGTCTCAACATAGTTTTCAGACGCCGTCCATGCCGCGAAGCTATTCCCTTGTTGTGGTGGTTCGGCATCGAAACATAAGGCATCGCGCATTTGAGCAGGGGAAAGCGGCTCTTCCGCCAGACAGACCCATCGAAACAGACGTAGCGTGCTTAGCTTTTCTGAAGCTGGTATTTTCGCCAATGCGTCCTTGTAAACCTGTCCGAGTTCTGGAGAGCTATTCTGCACTTCTTCTCGAATTGTATCGAGACGGTACCCACTGCGTCCCCGGTGGGCCACTTTTGGGAGAATGAGTGCTGTCCACAAGAAGTTACCCGCCGCTTTGTGCAAAATTGCAGACTCAAGTTGTTTTCGTGCGTCGCGGTGGGCAAAAATTTGTGCCAGCGTGGTCTGCACATATTTAGATATGTCTCTCGAATTTTGTTCCTCAACGCATATTTCGGGGGCGCCGAATAGATCCATGACCGGATAGTGGCGACAGGCAAGGCACACACTCAATGCTGAGCCATTCTCGGGTGTGGTGGTAGTCAATTGCCAAAGCTCAGCCGAGAGTTTCTCGCCGCCTCTTCACCGCACTCGTCCAGAGCGTCCACAAACAACCTGATGGGGCAGGTCGAAGTGTATCTCTTTACCCGAGAATTGAGGAATTCAAGTATCTCCTTTTCATGCCATGTCCAAGCTTGTCCATATTCACCCTGGTTTTCTTGCTTTGAGAGAAAAATTTTGGAAAATTTTGACAACAGAGGCTTGGCTTTGGACAGGATCTGATGAAGAATTGAGCGATATAGCCCGATAGAAGTTCTTTGCATCTGCGATCCGCGACCGTGAACAAAGAACGAAGCCACAATGAGATCGGTGTCTGCTGCTTCTCTTTCAATGGTACTTACGAGCGTATCGAGTAGCACCGACTTCCCCGCGCCTGGATTTCCTGTGATCCAGAGTAGGCCATGATTCTGCCTAGTCCATTCTCGGTAATACCAGTCATTTTCCAGCCAGGAGCACGTCCCATCGGCTGCACGACCGATGTTGTCTCGGCGAGCGCCCATTTCCCTGAACCACAGCGACCTTAGACAGGCTTTCAGAAGTACTCAGCAGGATGCAGTTCCATGAGCGAAGGCATGCTTACCCGATTCAACATCCGCGGAACTGGCGTATTTTTGGGTGGTGGAAGACATATTGCCGTATGGAGGTGTCTGAGCCTACTGAAATCCTTGGGCTCGACCAAAATGCCAGCTGGCTCTCGGTCCAAAGTCACACCCGAAATTAGGGTCCTTCATTTCAAATGATGGTGCAGGTGCGATGACTGACAAGAGTTCTTTAGCATAGGAAGCAGCGGTGGCCGCTGCATACTCTTGCCATCGCTTATTCTTGTGCGAGTCGGAATAATCGCAAATACCTCTGATAACCAAGCACGGGAAATTGTCCATCAGGCCGGCAGCCTCCATCTCAAAGCAGAGGATGTCTAGTTCTCCACTAAGCTGGTCTCTCATGATCGCATCTCTGATTACTTGATTGCCTGAGGCAATCAAGCCATAGTGTATGACTGGGTCATTTCTGGAACGCCCGAACCGTCTTATCAGGTAGCGACGGTCACAAGCGTCACATGATGCGCTGTCCGCGTCGGGATGGACATATGAAGATTCGAACAATTCGTCCTTGTCGCTACCAAGATAAGTGCAGGCACTTTCTCTGGAAGGATTTCGCAACATAACTTCCCTGAGGATGGCTCCGAGGATGGCACCCGTCTGAGATCCTTGGCTTGCATGTCGCGCTTCCAGGCTTGAGACTGCATTCAATAATACATCCGGAGGACGATTGAGTGAACCGGTTCGAACAAAGTGACCTTGATGGAACGTTTTGCCAAAGTCATACTGGACGACACCACCATCTTTCCCAGTTGGACTGCTTACGACGACATCTCCGAGTCGGATATCATGCTGCGCTGTAGGAACACCACCGCCTACGCCCACAAGGAGCCCAAATCGGATGGAGGAAAATGTGAAACGCATCTGTGTCGCCACAACCGTGGCTGAAGTATGACCCTTGACTCCTCGAGGCAGACAAGCAATTGCGACATTGTGGGCACCGATCCGGCCCAAGATATAATTGTTCTGGTCATGTTTTGCTTGTTGGACGGTGTGGTGGTACTGCTCATCGAGCATGTCCAAAACCGCAGCCTCCTCTATGGGGAGCGCGCAGATCCATCCGACATGGTAATCAGTCGGATTCATGTTAACTTTCAGGACAGATCATCGACGAACAGTATTAGGCGGCGCGGCTTTAGATAAGTTACCGGACGACTGCACTTCTCAGCCTGATGAAACGCCGTGACACGGTCCCGTTAACTGCTTGGGGTTCTGCGTTTCAAAGTTGCAGATGATATGCAAGGCGTGCCAAAATGAAGAAGAAGAGAACACCATGGTTTGCGAATCGGAGTGAGTTGAAAGATAACACTACCTCACCGACATGATCAAGAACATTATCACGAAAGAAATCAGGCTGAAAGCTGAAAAGCTGAGGAAGGCCAGAACTTGCCAACCCCGCGGCCTTGAGGCTAGACATTTTTCCAGGGAAAAGTAGAGCTTGTTTTCTGTTCGTCTATCATTGGCTCGCTTGTTCCAGCCAATCAACAGATTCGAATCGAACTTGGTGATGAGAGGACCTGACCAAGGCCGATGTTGTGGTAGCTTTGCACGTGATATCACGTGACTGAAATTGTAGCGGCAGGAAGTGATTGAATGAGCTAACTAAAACTATCTGCTGGGAGTGGCCGCTTTACCTATACATATTCCATAGACGAATGTAGTCTAGCATAAGCTTGAGTCCTTGGCAGAAATCCACATTGACAGCCAGCCCTGCGCATAGATAGACGTTCTCTACCACCACGTTGCACCTAGCCAGCAATCCCTTGGTCCTTCCCGGCACCTACACCCTTTCTTCGGACTGGATACAGCGGAGTTTAGCCTTCAGCAAGGCTTCAGCCTGCTAATAGCTCTACGGGAATTACCAAGACGTGTGATGTTCGTTAACTACTATGCTATGCTCGAACACTCTTCACAAATGCAATTCTGCCGCTGGCTTTCGGAAAGTACTGATAGTCTCGGTTCGTAGTTCGAGAGCGGTAGTGGCTAGAAAGTCATCAGCATTTTTATCAAAATCAAGGAGAGTTGCATATACTTCTGTTCCAGCGGCACACTATTCGCATTGTCTGCTATCGTTGTGTACCGTGTGTAAATGGCGGAAAGTAGTAGCTTCATCTCAACCATGGCAAGGCTGCGATAACATAAGGAAGTCAGTAAATGAACCCACTGTTAGTCAATCGAAGAAATCCAGTGAAGACCAAGTTTGACATACTGTTTACCGACGCATCCTCTCGCGCCGCTGCCAAACGCCCACAGAGTGTGGTCCATCTTCCGGATTTGATTGGCATCCTCAATCAGCCATCTCTCGGGTCTCCATGTTTGGACCTCCGCACCGAACACTTCGCTGTTCATGTGAACAACGTACGAAGAAGTTCCAACCTTGACTCCTCCGGGTAAATAAAAGCCATCAAGTAGACGTCCTTCAGCGGGGACCATTCGATGGATATTCGTAGTGTGGGGTGGGTACAGGCGGAGTGTCTCTTTGATTATGGCCTCAAGGTATGGTAATTTCATGACTTTGGAGAGTTGCTCCGAGGACAAAGCGTCGCCATGATCTAGAGGAAGGTGCAAAGATGCCACTTCAGATCGCAGTTTTTCTTGTACAACCTTGTTCACGCAGAGCGCCTGGAAAGCATGAGAGAGTGTTTCAGCTGAAGAAGCTCTCGGTTAGCTCCTCGCGTGCTGGTCAAAGGGTCATTCAAATGGATCCGGGCCACTCACAAGTTGTGTCTTGTCCGGCAATGAGGTGGTCCATAGTCTCACTGGCTGCACCAGCATCTTTAAGGAAATTACTATCTCCTTCAAATCCTCTCATACCAGGATCTTCGACAATTATTTTCTTGCCCTTCGCAGCCTCGTCACCGGTAAGGACATTCCAGGCTAGCTTCACAGTGATCGGCGCTGAGTTCCATCCTTGAGGATTTGATTCTAATGCCCTCCTTGACTCCAAATAGCTTCGGTAGCCGAAATCTCGATATTCCGTACCACCGATCCAAGGTGAATTGATTTTCTTTGGATCTTTGTCTCCAACTCTTGTTCGTTCCGAAATCACTTGAGGTCCGAGACCGGGCACCAAGCTTCTGATTGTGCTCTTGATCATTCTCAACCAATTGAAAAATTCTCGATACTCTTGATGGAGATAAGAGAGCATGTCTTCCGGTTTCTCTTGCGTTGCAATAATCAAACGTCGGTGCTTCTCATTCCCGGCGAGAGCATCCATCCCATTCAGCAACACGTACGAAGATACGCCGTCAGCGGCAAAGAATGTGTTGGCCGTGTGAATGTCCAAAGATCTGGCATTATCATCGTCTTGCGTCGGAATGCCATTTTGGTCAATGTAGTTCAAGTAGTTTCCCACAACTCGCCAAATGTTCCCCGTGGCCGCTTCTCGTGCCAACACTGCCGATTGAGTGTAGCTTGACCCAATGATCTTGCGACGCCAGCCATGTTGAGCAGAGGTGATTGATGTGAAAGCATTGCGAGCCCCGAAATGTTTGAATAATTCAAAGAATTTGGATTTTGGGAACGGTCCGCCCGACGTGGGTGAACCGGAAAAGATGTCACGGATGCCCGTTGCAGATGAAACGGAGACTTCACTAGGTGACACACGGACAACAGGACCGTACTCTTCGTGGAGTTGGCGAATCCATTCTGTTCGTTTGGACCGTTGATCATATGCAAAGATGGGGATGTAAGATACCCTGGTAATCCACGGTCCGGGCAAAGGAGCAAGTGGTGAGAATATTCTTTTCAAGAACGTGATGAGCTGTAAGCAAACAAATGCCAAAACTGGGGTCAAGAGAATCAATGATGAGCTCGGGATGATGTTCGAAATCATCTTTGCAGTAAGAAAGCTTTTGCTTGGAATCTTAGGGGCTTGGGGAGCTCAAATGATGTTGCATGGACAATATGGCTAACTAGTCATTTAATCCACCGTCTCGGTGTACCCCGCGCAAGATTGATGGTATTGCTTATCACACTGAGCTATAGCAGGAGATCAGCGACACGACCAGGGGTTTTATTGAGATGCTGGTCAGAGAGTTTCTGGCCTGGTCCACGTGTCGGTAAGTCCGTCACGGGCCAAGTCGGAGAAATCAACTTTATGGGACTGATAAAGCCTTACTCCATCTGTAAACTGTCTAAGTTGGAAGACATGGAATGAAAAAGAAGTTAATGATCGGCAATCGCGTATTGTCTTCAAGAGGAAACCGCTCATATCAGCTTGGCAACAGGGGGTATCCCACCTAAATAGTGGGGTACGCCCCTAGCCTTGATTTCTCTTTCTCCACCGCAATCTATTAGGTATTTCTTCTCAGAACTAGACTGATGACTGACGATGAGATCGAATGATAAGGCAGATGGTCAGCCACGTGGTGGACCATGCCGTATTGCCATGTGTATGGATACCAAGGAGGGATTGATTATACGAGATCTCCAGGACTTTCCCTTTCGGGCGTATCCGCTATCTCTCATGTCAATCATCCCCAGCGTCCCGAGCTCTAGCTCGTCCAATTAGTGTCCTGATAATAACGACGCCCATATCCTATCCAAAGAGCCAAGTCGTGTCGCTGATATCCTCATTGTGCTTATTTCCTAGGTGCTCGGTAGTCAGAGGCTTGGTGGAACCATAGTGTCATGACTGGACTGTTGTATATGTAAGGGAGTTGACTGCTGAACTGCATCCTACAGTTTGTCTGCCAATCTTTCCACAACAGTATCCTTAACAACATGACTGGAAAGCAGGTGGATAGCAAAGAGGTGGGAGTCGAGGAGTCGGCTCCAATTGTCGTGGGAGAGAGCCTCGATGCCTATGACGAGAAATACGGACATACAAAGCGAGGACTGACATCTCGCCATGTCCAGCTGATGGCCATCGGTGGCAGCATTGGCACTGGCTTGTTTGTCGGTATCGGCGGCGCCCTATCTAAAGGAGGTCCCCTCTCCATCTTTCTAGCCTTCCTCATCTATCCCAGTCTATTCGTGTTCCCGACAAATATGTGTGTTGCTGAAATCACGACCTTCCTCCCAATTCGGCACGGGCTCTTCAAAGTCGCGAACCGCGTCCTCGATCCTGCCTTAGGGTTCGCCTTTGGATGGGCCTACTTTTATGCTGCTGCCGTCCTGGTTTGCACCGAAGTCTCTTCGGTGGCAACTGTAATGGGATATTGGGAAATTGACGTCAACGCTGCAGTATGGGTTCTGATGGCCCTGGTTGTCATTGTTATCATCAACGTGTTCGCTGTCAAGTACGTGTTCTCAGTGCCTCTTCGCACCGATATACTGACGAAAGGATCGAACAGATATTACGGAGAATCCGAATTCCTCTTCTCCATCCTCAAGGTTTTACTACTGTTCGGACTAGTGATGTTGACTTTTATTACAATGTGCGGTGGAAACCCGAAACATGACGCGTACGGCTTTCGAAACTGGAAACATGGAGACGCAATGCACGAGTACTACACAACAGGAACCACTGGCCGGTTTTTGGGATTCTTCATCGCTATCCGATATGCAGCTTTCTCCATTGGAGGACCCGACATTATTGCGCTCTCGGCAGGAGAAATTATAAATCCTCGAAGGACAATTCCTCGAATGGCCAGGATGATCTGGGTCCGAGTCGTCGGTTTCTACGTCCTCGGCGTATTGGCAGTGGGCATTATCTGCAATAGCAGAGATCCACAGCTTCTGGGTGCGCTTGAGGAAGGTGCCAAAGGCTCTGCCGCGTCTCCTTTCGTTATCGGAATCAAAAACCTGGGCATCAGAGGCTTGGACAGTCTAGTGAACGTCTTAATTCTCTCATCAGGATGGAGTTGTGGCAATGCATACATGTACACTGCAACCAGGACACTATATCAGTTGGCGACTGAAGATCAAGCTCCCCGGATTTTCCGCCGATGCACCAAAAAAGGTGTTCCCATCTACGCGGTGGTTGCAGTGTCCTTGATCGGATGCTTGACATTTATGGTTGCGAGCAATGATTCAGCCACCGTTTTCAACTGGTTTGTCGGTCTCTCAACATGCGCAACCTTAATTGTCTACACCACCATGATGGTAATCTGGGTCGGCTTCTACAAATCTCTGGAAGCTCAAGGGGCTGGCCGGGACAGTTTGCCGTGGAAAGCACCCTTCATGCCATATCACGCTTACATCGGTATTGGAACAGGCCTGGTCCTGATCTTCTTCCTGGGATTTGATGTATTTGTGCCTTGGGATACTCAAGGCTTCGTCACTACATATTTTGGTGTCCCTTATGCTATATTGCTATACGTCTTCTGGAAAATTTTTAAGAAGACACGGCACACGAAATTCTCCGAGGTGGATTTGTTCTCAGACAAAGCTCAAGTTGACAAAGAGTGCGAAGAGTGGGAGAATGCTCAACCAGGAACTAGCAAAGGAAGTATCTTGAAACGCGCATGGGAGAGGATGTGGTAGGAGGGATCAGCTCAGTTAAGATGATTTGCTGGAGAGAGATCCATCCAGACCGCGTTGCCATCTTGCGCAGCAAATAATATTACGTATGCTCAAGTGCCACGAGGTAGTGCCACCGTTTCACAACTTTTCCATTATACCCATCACTCAACAGACAAAACTAGGTAGTAAGAGGTCTGACCGCGCTAGCCTTGGCCCTCAACGCTGCACCAAAACGTTGAATGCTAGCCAATAGGACAAATGCGTAGACCACAACGACAGCTTGGAGCCCAAAGGAGACATCATACCCCCGAGCGGCACCCCATTGTTGTTGGAAATACCCCGCCGAAAAGCCGTAACCAAAGTTGATCCAAGCAGAGATTTCGCCCGAGGCTGAAAGATAGCAATCGGGTGCATGGCAACGATCGCCGCTGACACAATCATTACTCCAAATTGAAACATCCCCACCCTACAACAATTGCAGCAAGGTTGAGGTGGTGATGCAACGCCTGGCCGATGATAATAGGTCCTGGGAACTATGAGAAAGCCTCCGATATATGTGGTATACAGGCAGACTTCTGGAACGAAAAGCCTCTGATGTCGTCTGACTTGTCGATCGACTATATTGTCATGAGACCAGTGACCAAAAGCCTCGCTTATGTTCACCGCGACAATAGGCGTGAGGAAGGTGTATTCGAGCGAGACCGGTCTCATTCCATATCCACCAACAGACTCAGGCAGGCCCCGGATAATCGATGACGGGACATTGATGCTATAGAAGAGCATAGCGAGAGATATGACGGGTTTCAGGAGCACTTGGAGGAGCCGCAGATAGGTGCGCAGGACGCCAGGAAAGTAGCCTTTATGCTGTCTCACTTGCCAGATTCTCAGGACTCGCAAGAGTCGTTGATTCTTAGGTTGGGTCGGCTGTAATTCTGTGGGCACCGAGCGATTGTAGTAGGTCTTGTCGCCCAAGAGAGGAACCATGGCCACTAGGAAGGTGGAGCAGGCAAAGACGAGCCAGAAGACCGGTCGTCAGGTCCCAAGCGTTCCTATCATGAAATTCACGAGAAAGGGGATGATATGAAGACTGTGTATCAGATTCCAATTTTGCGAGCATGTTCATGGAAGAACATATCCTTGACAAATGCGAGGCTAATCGTCTGGCCTGTGCTTTGCGTGACGCCGGCCAATGCTCTCATGGCATAGAACGTTGTGAAATTCGATGCCAGGCAGCTTCCGGGTGTAAATAGCAAGCTCAAGAGACTGCTTCAAAAGACCACGGGGATTCGCCTCGAGGAGTTGAGCAGGGGCATCCAGAGGAGACCGAAAACGCCATACATAATGGCTGACAGATTGTTGGCGTACTTGACAGCGGCAGGCGACATGTTCCATTCAACTCCTTGGATCAAGATGGTGGGAGTTCCTACGCAGGCTGCGAAGTCGCCACAGAAGACACCGAAGGCAACTAGGAGAATGACAGCGTGTTTTTGGAACCATGGCTAATTCAATGGATCTGCAGGATCGTCTGAGGGTTGGGGAATCAAGATGGTCTGATTTCCGTCGGTAAGCACAATGGGGAATTAAAAGCAACACACGCGCACCCGTCTTTGGTCAGCTTAGGGTTTGAAAGGCTGGCTACTTTTCAACTTCAGTGTTAATGGATAAAAGGATCTCTCCATTCTCGTTCAATCTTGTATTTCAGTCAGCAATGATATTCGAGGCAAATGCTGCATGCAGTTCCGACATTCTCGCTTGTTTCGGATGAGACACTGACTTCAGGGTTTTCTGACTGATGGCCGTGCCAATTCGTGTTAGCAAGCATGAGTTGCTGTTGTTGGACGATTGGAATGGGACATGGACCTGCTGTGGCCAAGGACGCGGACTGTTCAGATTATACCCCCCCGTTTTAGGGTCTGTTCCTCGTGAAATCGTTCCCCAGATAACTGACCAAGTCTAGACTCTGAGAGGAATCTTCTGACCTGAACTGGCCAGTTTTTCCACCTCTAGGTTTCCCAGGCCTGGGTTAGGCCCGCCTTTGGCCGGGATTCCCTCAGAGGCTCGCGGGGAATGCTTAATGAGACGACAGATTCAGGCAAACCGTATTTCAAGAGCTTAGAGGTGCTTGATCTTGCAATCAGCCAAACACCCCCTATCCATCCATCGCGCTATCTCGGGATGAAAGACAATCAATCGCTTCCCCAGTTGGGATTATCGGAAATATCTCATTGAGATGGTCCGACGAGTCCGAAAGCTTCAAAGATCTTAAACTGTTGTTTTGGGGGGGGGGGGGTGTTCAGCTATTTTTCATAGCCCCCAAAATCAAAGATCTATTTCAAGATCACGGCCGGGGGCTCTCCAATCGGGGAAGGTGGAAAGCAGAGCGCGAGACCCCGTCGGCAATTTCGGGGGTTGAACAAGAACTAAGGAGTGACCGTGAACCTCTACGGGATCGGATGGGCCGAGAAATGATCCAAATCATAATGCGGACTATGATCCTTTAAAGATCAACGAAAATTTCCCGCCGAATTTGGCGGTTGGTGCCGCTGCTTTTGTAGGCGTTTTTCCAAGAACGCTAACCTTGTCTTCCGCCATCCCGGATTGACTTCCCCTCTGACACAGCATCACAGGGACCAGAAATCGTCTCCTTCAGAAATAGCAAGGGAACCGTTAATTCCTTGAAAGAACGGGTGCCTTCGACTGCATTGCCCCGACCTTGGCACCTCGAGGACGTGGAGGGAGGGTCCCTCCAGGTTTCCTCACACTATCACGAGAGGGCCTTCTCTTTCTTCCACGAAATCATCCTCGAACCGCGTCCCATCTCCCATCTCCTTTCATGCATTCGACCGACTCTACCCAAGTTTACGTTTAAACCGGCTGCTGAGAGCCATATCCCTCTCCTTTCCATAAGGGATATTCCTCGCCCGACCTTGCTATCATACGTGTAAGCGACTACTTCGCATCATCTACCACCATTGGGAAGGCGAAAGAGTTGGAGAGAAGAGGGCTCTCGTGGAGGAGGTATGGCCACGCAACATCTAAATCAGAGGCTAATGGCCCAGGATACCGCAAAGAAGCAGCATGCGGACTTGACTAAGAAAATATTTGGGGGAGTAGTGATGAAATGGACAAGGTCCTGACGCAATTATTGCATGAAATGCCCGAGGCGTTGGATTACCTGGCTTTTCGAGGCTGGATCCATCGGGACGTCAAGGTCGAGAATATTCTTTACACCCGTCGGGCGATGAGGATTACCAGTTCTAGCTAGCCGATTTTAGCCTTGCCAATCAACAACGGCTAGCAAATACGCTCTGTGGCTCTCTCTTTTACATGGCCCCCGAAATAATGTACAGCACGCATTCCCAATCCCCCCAAATGGATGCCTGGTCTCTCTTCATCGCAATCGGCTTCATCACCCTAAGCTGTCCCGCTACGACGAAGTTCTGCACCGTGCTAGAGCCGCAGCGGTTCAATACACATCCCTCCCAGAATCACGGGCATCAGCGGCTTAAATGCTCGTTAAGTGCTTTGATGGCCCGGGACTGAGCACCAGGCCCCAGAAGCGCGCGCCAGAGCATGCACAGACTTCAGCACAACGCGGTTCCGGCCCTCGTCGCAAGCTCCACCACTTAGGCCTGTGGTCGGTAACCTGAAATGGATCAACAATGCGTCGCCCAAACTTCTAGAACGACGAGGGGTTCTTTTGGGATTGCGGCGATTCACTTGACAAAAACGTGCACAAAGGATCCGCGATTTGTCGCGAGAGCGGGGACGGAACCGACGGCACAGATCAACGGGTTAAACGTTTGTATATGAATGAAGCACGCGGCACCACAACCTCGCTCTTCCACCCTCGCAGTTGAAAATTCAAATTGGAGAAGAAATGCGTTTGACCCTGAAACTCGTAAAGGCTCTGGGTACCCATTTTTGCAATCTGGTGGCCACATTCAGTAATAACTACCCGGCTGGTTCCCATTTTTGGCACCTCTCGAGGCACAGCCTTTGTCACGGAAATCACAAGCCCAGAGAGAATAGCTGATGTAATCTCCAGTTCCCTGTTCGGAGATGTCTGGCGTCACCTTTATTGAATGCAGAGAAAGGGTAGGAGATGGGTGGCTAGTGGTTTGATTCGATGAGATGCGTTTGTCAAGATAGATTCCGAACCAAATGCTGCAGAAACTTGTGAGGGGTTGAGCAGTGGGTGAGCTAGGCGATCTTTGGACAAAAGATCTCAGTCCCCTCTCTTGGAGGCCCCTAAGGGGCTCTTACTACTTTTACGTCTCGCAGCCCCATCTTCACACGGGAGCGAGCTTAGGCTCTTTATAGCTGGGTTATGATCCTCTACAATTAGGAGCCTATGAGGCATCAAAGCTACAAGAAAAGATATCTCTTGAACAAGAATTCAAGAGGTGTGGTTTGGAGTACCTTTTTGTGTGCTTGGCTGCGGGAACCCCATCGGACGACATTCTAATTGCAGACTGCAGAAATTTTGCTGCACCCGGGCAGGCACGGATCTCTCTGAAATTTTTATTGAACCCTTCTGATTTATCTTGCCTGAACCGTGGCGAAGCGAGTGAACGAGGTCTAATAGCTGAGTGGTGAAGGAGGATCATGTCATAAGCCCACGATTCTCACCATGGATCTAGGCTTTCCCTAAAGCACTGCCGGTACTGTGTACATGATACAGTCTGAACTGTGCATGCATGTTTGAACTCAGCGTCGGCAACCATGGTCATCCGCTGTCTCATGACGACGGTTACTTGTAACTACTGGATTGTCAAACAGCGCGATGAGGGCCGAGTGCCCTGGGCCCCATTACCGTGTTGCGACCTTATCCCCTAAATAGCTCCGGACAAGTATGGGGAAAGAGGAAACCTCCGACCAACCCTGCTCTGTTCTGAGCCACGCCCCCTCTGAGATGGACGCCGTGGCCTTTGCCATCCTTGTCATGACTTATAACAGGTACTACCCTGCTCAGTACGGAAGCATAATATTCGTCCTTTGAACGGATTTGTTGCAGAAAACGGCCTCGTGGGCCCTCAAAGATGCCTGAGCGACACAGGTCATTTCCGAGGACGCGTTATCAACAGGCGCGCTAACCAAAATAGGACCGGGCTGGTGAACACCAAATCCCTTGCAGTTTACGACCAGAAGCTAGAAGAACCCGACTTTGAGACAGGTTCCATCGAAGATGGCGGCAGCCGAAATTCGAGTTGGAGCATCCTTGACCGAGCTGGAGTCTTCTTCGTCAAACGTGTGGTGCAAAGGCGAATGGCAACTGGTCAAGTCAACCCACAAGATCTGGACATCCTCGGACTCGATCGACTACTGGCATACATCTAATCTCGTTCGGGTTCAACGCTATAGACGAGGCTTGTCTTTGACCATCACGACTCACCAACAGCACGTGTTCCTGACGATGGAGCACAGGTAGTGCCTCTCGAGCGATGCGTGTGTATATATCGACCACAGAGCGGCTCACGATGGGTCTCTTGGATTGGTACAGGTTCGAAGAACTTTCTGCACGCTCACCACCAATATGGTTGCCCGCTCAGTCTTCACTTCGCAGTTGCTTGCTCTTGTCAGCCTGCTTCACCGATCGACTTTTGCCCAAACAGCCGGCACGTTCGATTTCCTTACCTACAACGTTGCAGGACTTCCCGCGATTCTGAACGACAATGGTGTATCTGGCGACAAGGAAACAAACTCTGGCACCATCGGATCCAAACTCGCAGAGGGCGCGTACGATGTCGTTCACATGCAAGAGGTATGGTCTGACCTGAGAGCTCTTGATTCTCGTATTGATGAACAGAAGGATTTCAACTATCACGCCTACATCTATGCGACCGACAATCACCCGTACCGAACGGCGACATCCGGGGGCGTTCCGTTCGGCAGTGGCCTAAACACCGTAGCCAACTACGATTGGAGTACTTTCAATCGAATCACATGGAACAGCTGCAATCTCAACGAGGGCGATTGCTTGACGCCTAAAGGCTTCACCTTCATGCGTCTCGAGCTCGCCGATGGCGCCACTGTTGACTTGTACAATCTCCATGCTGATGCTGGGTAAGCCCTGCGCAAATGACCAGACTTCTGTGTTGCTTACTTCGTGTCACTCCAGTTCAGACACTGGCGACTCTGACGCTAGACAGGCTGGCATCGAGCAGATTCTGGCCTACGTCGACGCTAACTCCGCTGGGCAAGCCGTTATTATTGCCGGTGACACCAACGACCGATACACTAACTCAGATCGAAGCATCGATCTTCTAACAAATGCTGGATTTACCGATTCATGGGTGGAACTGATCAAAGGCGGCACCTACCCTACAGCTGGTGCGACAGCTAACCCATGTGACGTCCCCGCTGCTTCGAACGCCTGTGAAGTAGTAGACAAAGTCCTGTGAGTGCTCAATGTCCGGTTTATACATGGTACATGCTGACTGAATTTCCTAGCTATCGGTCGGGAAACTCTATAAGCCTCTCGGCGACGGCGTGGTCTTATGCTTCTGACTTCTTCGTTCAAGAGAATGGAGACCCGCTATCGGACCACAATCCCGTCCTGGTTCAGTTTGCCTGGTCGACCGCATAATTGTTGGGCGAGTCGCCCGTCCGCTAGCAAAGCGGACATGGTACGAGGATTTCACTTCAGGAATGGCAAGATATATTTCGTATTTGAGAAACATTGTAGGTACATGATGTCAAAATTGCTAGGTTGAGAATAGTTGCTCTCAAGATATTTCCTCTTCCAAATCGACTTCAATACGACAAATCCAGTTTGCGCCAGGTACAGCGGGTGATAATTTCACTGATCGCGAGAACTGATGTAATGTGATAGCCATGTACGGTACAGCCTTGTCGCGTCCTGGGGTTTGTCACGTGACACGCTAGGCCTATTTTGGACTATCCCGCTAGAGCGCTCGTCGATACTTCTTCCACTCCTGCTACCCCACACAACGCTCTGGACAAGACACAGATAGATCACAACGACTACTTCAGTCAGCCTTTGCCATTTCGATATTCCCTTTCTCCTTTTCTTCCTGTTCCTGTCCCAGAGATGACAGGGACAAGGATCCACAAACAGTCTTCTGGCTAATCATCTTTCAAGTTTTCGCCACGTGAGGGCTTGCCGACAAGTTCTAATCAGCCCCTCGACCCGGCAAGGTCTGACCCCTGAATTTTGAACAGTGGATCCCGGGAGCTATTGTCGGTGAATCTTTATTTTGTATGGGAGGGTATCCTTGGCACCATAGTAAATAAACAACGGCGTCGAAGAGGGCCTGGTGTTTCGGAGATTACGTCCCTCATCTACTTGCGATCAAAGACCTGGGCCATCACCTCCCTACCAATTATTGAAGCACTCGGAATCTGCTTATATTCAAGAGTGACCAGGGTGCGTCATGTAGTCTGCTCGTGGTGGAAATGTCGACAGCAGCCATAGAATAAAGGTGTCGCTCGATAGTAGATCTAGATTCTATATAAGAGCCAGGATTTCCCAGCTACATTCAGGTCGCGCGGGCCAGTCTCGATTCATCTACATTCCTTTTTAATCAAACATGAAGTTCCTTTGTGTGACATTGGCCTTTTCCGGTATCACTACAGCATTTTCTATTCCAAGAGGCGACGGTGGCAGCGGCAGCGGCAGCGGCAACAACGACGACGACGAAAAAGACAACAGCCGTGGTAGCTTGTTCAATACTGAGGGCTGGAAAAAGTGGACGCAGTTCCAAGGCAGACCGGGTGCCTCAAGGCCCGAAGACAAGGAATTCAACCCCCTTGAGCATCTCGGTGCGAACAGTCCATGGTTTGTAGGTAAGTGATTTAGGCCGAGATATCCGACGAGGTCCCAAAACCTTGACCAGGTCCGAACGTCTTCGGTATCAATGCAAGCACTCCGGATGGTTGTGAAGTCGACCAGGCAGTATACATAAGTCGACACGGCAGCCGATATCCCGACCCAGGGGCTTACGACGAGTGGGTCGAGTTGTACGACAAGGTGAAGTAGACAGCTCCTCTTGTTTATGTCCAGATTGGGACTGATCGTGTCAGTTCCAAGCCGCGCCATTCACGGCGACGGGGTCACTGGAATTTCTTCCTAACTGGGAGCCGGTGCTGGACAATCCTGAGCAACAGGAGCGGCAATTATCTCCTGGAGGGTATGACGAACTGTGAGGTTTCTGACAGGGCATGATCTTCAGACACAATGTTAACGGCTTAGGTATCACTTCGGAGTTGAGTTGCGAACTCGATACCCTGGGTGGTACAAATACGGCAGTCCCTTCCGAGTATGGGCCAACGACTACCAGCGGACTGTAGACTCAGCAAGGTAAAGTCTCATTCAAAATTTACGACATCGACTCACCTGCCACAGACTCTTTACCAGAGGATACATTGGACCAAACGCGACGTCTCTCGGCCGTGTCTACCCTATCTTGGCCACAGATCCGTCTGTGGTGGGTAATTCACTGGCTACCTCGGACGCATGCACAACATTCGAGGACAGTTCCGGCTCGGACTATACCAATGTTTGGGACGACATCTACCTCCCTCCGATTGCGGCACGCTTGAATAAACTCATTCGGGGGAGCCTCAATCTCACCGCCAGCGACGTCAGCAACTTCCCCTATCTCTGCGGATTTGAAAGCCAGATCATGCGTAGTGTCAGCCCTTTCTGTGACGTGTTCACCGAAGAAGAAATCATGCAGTATGAGTATCGACAAGACTTGCGCTATTGGTATGGTACCGGCCCTGGGGCCTTAAACAACGCGTCCGTCATGCTGCCTGTCATACAGGGAGTGGTTGATATTTTGACTTCTGGGCCTGAGACACAAGTCAAAGGCTCGACTGATGATGGCACAGGCGAGCTGGGACCGCTGGCAGTAGCATTCACGCACGACAACCAAATCAACGAGTTGGTTTCGTGCTTGGGCATTTTTGATAACCAGCCTGCTTTATCGGCCCAGTCGATGAATGAATCAAGGGTCAGTACCCGTCCCAAGCAACCGGCGCATCACCGAGTATTCGCATACTGATACCGGTTCGTCAGATTTATGTTTCGAGTCGGAATAATCCCATGAGAGGAACAGTCGCATTTGAGAGACTTAATTGCTCTGGCAAACTCCACATACGTATCCTCCTCAACGACGCCGTTTATGGTAAGTCGTGCATCGGCAACGGTTGTCTCAAATTGGGGTCTCGGGCTAATAATATCTTCCTAGTTGTCCCGGCCTGTCGTTCTGGACCAGGCGCGTCCTGCCCGTTGCAAGAATACAATGACCGAATCCTGGCGCGGAAATGGAAAGAGGTGGGCTCGTTTGCGTCCTTATGCGGCCTTGCAACTGGGAATGATTCGACTTCAAGGACTGGGGGGGTGACTTTCTTCACTGATTTGACGTTGCCGGCTATCAGGGTGGTCGAGCCGTAATGGACTGTAACTATGTGACAGCCATGATGAGGGAGTCAAAGGTTTTCGAAGATGAGCAGCCGTAAAATAGATAATCCTGAGTTCTGAAATATCCATACGGATGTGAGTAGTGCCAAGGCGCTACGAGGCTCCTATAAAGCAGCTTCAGCTGCGCATTGATTAGGCTAGTCTTTCAACACCCCATTTCATCCGGGGTCTTGTCTAGGTCTCTCCGGTCTGACTGTGGTCAGTCACATGTGGCGCGAGCTGACACCCTCTGTTTCTGTCCCTTGTCGATTGTTCTGTCTCGGTTGAGAGGTAGAAGCATTTCTCGATCTCTTTTTGGGAAAAGTCGCTGCGACCAGCGTCACCACCTGTGGCTGCTCTATTGTCCGCGGTACCGTTGTCAGCAGCTCCCCTTGGCTCTCCGTGAATGTCAGGACGTGGGATAGGGCGTGCCGAGGTGTCACTATCTGTGCAATCATGCACAGTTGCATGCGCCGTCTTCTGCTTCCGCCGAGGCTGTTAGGGTGGAGATGTACTATAGAACGAGAGTGGAGATCCAATAATGATGTTACTATTCAATGCACTATAAAGTACAAGACGAGAGATGTTGAGCAAACGATAACCTGTCGTTCATGGCAACCCTACTCATTTTGTAACATTCACCTCCTGGCGTGCAACACCATTGACAGGCAACAGCGTCAGCATACATCTCGTAGATAGATATCTAGATGGGCTCTATCCTACACTCATTGGAAGAGCGCAGAGCATTCAATACATCTCGAGTTGCACCCAGTTTGACAAGAGACAAAGAACATGAAAGCAGTACGAGGCTATCCTAGACACTTATAGCCTTGTGGTGTAGTCATACCGCAAGGCTCCCACGCAGGTACACAAGGCTATCGACAGCCACAGTGGGTCCATGGCAGGCACCCGGCAAGGCTCCGATGAACCTGCCAGGTTGTGCCGTAACAGAGGCATGTTGAAGGTATCCTCAAAGACGTCGTGGATTCGGCCAACAGAGGCTGAATCCATGCCACTGTCATTCACAATGGCGCCAGGATCTGAGCCCAATGGGCGCAAGAGACTTATGCAAAGATGATTTCCGATTGACATCAACGAAAAAATGCGTTCTTGTCACAGACATCAGCCATAGGTACACCACTGTAAGTATCAATTTCAACAGCTCAACGCAAGTTGTAGGGAAATTTCCCATCGGATCTGGCGGCCGCTGCCGCCGCTTTTAGAGGATTTCTTCCCTCGATGCCAACCCTAGTTCTCCCTTATTCATATCTCCTCCCTCCCCTTCTCTCCCATTCCTCCCCGAGACCGACTTGCTTTCGCATGCAACACACACCTATTCATTGGGACCGAAAACAGTCCCCTTTCAGAAACCAGGAAGGTATCGTCAAACAACGTGTCCTTCTTGACTGCTCCGCACCACCCTACCCTGACTATGCTGCCTCGAGAACGTTGGAGGAAGGGCCCGTCCGGATTCCCTCACCCTCCCTCCCACGGAGAGGAAGCGTGGACTCCAACCTTCGCGACGACGTTTAAATCCTCGTCGCTATCTCCTCTCCCGGAGTCTGTCATACATTGGAGCAACTCTCCGTGTATTTATTGGACATCTCGGTCTTCCCAGACGAACGGCAACGACTCCAGTTAGTATCTCCACCGCAATTCAGGGCCGAACGGTGCTCAAGTCGAGTTGTTTCCAAACGACTGCCACCTTCTGCTGTAAAGGTGATGAACGGTTTAGCACTTAAGTGCCTGTCATGCAGGAGGATGTCGTCGTCAGGATCGTTGAGCAACCACACGCAAAGCTCTAATTGCTTCATTTATCTATGTTCTGTGTCTCTCGTGTGTAGGTGTGTATCCTTGGAAAACCAACTAAGAAAAGTTCGATGCACTCCCCAACTTTCTACCCGACCATGTCTGCTTTTCCCCTTACATAATCCATGCAACTTCACAGGATTCTGAATAGACCAGCTTCACACAGCCATTTTGCCCTTGATACTTCCCCATCGAGCGAAGGGAGCCGCCACCGCTGCCGCGCAGAAGCAAGCTATGACCATCGCCAAGGGCACTTTGACTGCGTCCATGTACGCTTTCAAAACACCCGCTAGGTCCTCTCCACTGAATGTGTCTGCGATTTCAGAGGCTCCAAGGGCAAGAATGCTGGCCGCGTCGACGTTTGGTGCTTGCACCGGCAGTCTCTCGAGCAATTTATTGGTAAATCCTGCTTGTCCCGCTGACACTCAGATGGCCGCTCCAACCGTTTGGCACCACATGATGATGGCTGTGACCGTCGACATGTCGGCTGCTTCCACGATGCTTTGCGCCACCATCACCGGTATTTGGAACACAAGTCCAATACCCGTTCCAGCCAGCAGTTGAAAGCCAACCAATTTTCCAGTGCTGGTGTCAATATCCAGTGTATAGAGAAGGCCAGCCCCGACCGTCAAGGGAAGGGAACCGATCAACAGGACAGGCACATATCGACCCCACACTTTCATGATGACTCCACATGCTATTGCAAAGAATGATGTTGTGAGACCGAGGGGAAGTATATTGATGACCGACGTGGCGGCCGACACATCCCTGGTCGATTGGAAATAGATCGGAAGGTAGTACAGCAGAAGTCGAAAGCCTGCAGTCATGAAAAAGGAGATTAGACACATCACCATAAGTGTGCGATTCTTGACCTCTCGACCTCTGAAAACAGCGCGGTCGCCCGAGACGTATTGAATAACGACAAACAAGAGTGACAACAGTCCAATGCCGATAAGTAAGCCGATTATTCGAGCAGAGCTCCACGCTCGAATAACGCCTCCGTCTTGCATCGCTAGGAGATAACAAATGACCGCGCGCCCATAATGACGAAAGTGCCCTGCAGGTCCATTTGGAGAAATTTTTCCTTGAGCGTCACCTTTGGAGGGGCCGCCGCCGCCGGAGGCTTGAAAAATATCAGGACGGCGATCACTGCTGGGAAGCTAATCGGTAAGTTGATCCAGAAAACCCAAGCGCCAGGTCGCGTGATCTGTCAAAACACCTCCAAGGATAGGTCCCAATACGCTGGCGATTCCAAAAACAGCCGCCAGTGCCCCCATATACAAGGGCTTTTGCTCGGGAGGCGTCACAAATGCAGTGATTGTGTAAATCCCAGGCGGTAACCTGGCTCCAAGGGCCCCTTGGACAGCTCGACCGGCAATCAGCGTTTCAGAATTCTGTGCAACGGCGCAGATGACGCATCCGATGTTGAAGCCAACGACGCTGCTAACGAAGACGGTGTTCAGAGGAAAATATTTAAGTATCTTGCCCCAGGTTGGTTGCCAGGCAGCTATACACATGAAATATGCGGAGCCATACCATCCCTGCAGACCATATTAGCGTCAAACCTCACCGGGTGAAAGGCTGCTGCTTACAATGAAGACAAGGGCTTCTCGACCTCGACTGTCGTCCTCAGGGCTGGCTCTCCACCCATCTTGCGCTTGCTCTCTGCGCGGCAGAGGGCACTGTTAACGGGATCCGGCTATCAAAGAATGACCTCACAAACGATGTCGGGGCTGTGTGCTCTCCTCGAAGTTAGGTGGCGATCGCGGTAGTATATGTATCCGTGAAGATTTGACGTGTACCGCTGCACCAAACAGCGTGCTTCAGCTGAACGAGTGACTTCTGCGCTGGACCTGTACAACCGAAGTCATGCGAACACCAATCAGCAGATCGGACTCGTCTGCAAATGGTTCCAAATGGACTCTAGCGCCTCCGTTCTTTGTCCCTGGTTATTGACTATGTCGCGTTGAGACGGGCGATAATACGTGTTGAACGGTTGAACAGTAACCAGTGCCCCTTTATTGGGAAAGGGATCATCACTCCTATGTAGGATATAGGAGTAGGAATAGGGGAGGAAGAAAGGGTTAACTAAACGTGTATACACTCATAACGAGGACGGTGTTAAGTACCCTTTAACTAACGTCTAGCAGTCGCTGCCCTAACTCACCATGCTCTCTTGACTCACCTAGCTCGCCCTAAAACACCACTAACTCACCCCCGCTCACCATCAACGCACTCCAAGTTTTGGGTCGAAGGAAAGAGTCAGTGGCAGGGTGGCAAATCAATCCACCAACTTCAACCAGACCTCGGTGGAGTGGAATTGTCAAGGGAATCAGGAAAGGCCGGTTGATTGATTGTCAACCGAAATATACGTTCACCATTGATTGAATTGAAGATGGTTGCCAAGTGCAGGTTCTGCAATCATTCCTGGCTACTATTGAGTTGTTGGCATGAAGAGCGTGAAATAGATTATGGCTCGCGCGATCCTCCATCTATATCGCTATACTAGCAATATAGGACTTGGGGCGTGTGAGACTTCTTGTGCAACTTGAGTTGAAGGAATGCTCTGATTTCTATCAAATTGATGTTCTGCCTCGCATGTTTATATAGAGAAAGATTGTTGCCACCTTTCGGCGTCTCCGTGCTCAGCTTCATAGATGAGGTCCTTACAGAGCTGAAAATGTCGCCATATTTTGTTCAACAGGGCGAAAATACCAAAAAAGAAAGGACCCCCTCCTATAGTCCATCTCTGATGAACTTATAGATGGGGCGCCACAACCAGCGAAAGTTTTCAGTCATACAAGTTCAACTGAAGGAGAGTTTGAATTAGTGACTCCCCAGGTATCACTCAGTTCGACATCAACAATCACTGGCTGGAGCATTACGTTTACCCATCTAGGGCACCTAGAAACTCAATGGAGCTAGGCCGGACAACCCTCTTACCTTACCCATGATCGAACACTAGTAAGGCCCCTCAATTCTATCGATTCGACTGCAAGCCGAGTTTTTTACCACTCGGTTACGTCCTTGATAGGTCAACCACGATTTGGTGTCAATTTTGAAGTAGTTTTTGGCATTATAAAATATAAACTTGATTTTTTTTTTTTTTTTTTTAAATTTGAAATCGCCTGGTTAGGGCTTGACGTTGTGCAGCGACGCCAGGAGCGACGAGCCGGCCAATCACGTAAGCGTATGGCTTGGCGTTATTTTCCGGGATCACGTGCTCCCCATGGGGGGCGCCCGGGGGGTATTATTCTGTACACCAACTTTTGTTATTCTGTACACCGGAAAACCTGCTTATTCTGTACACCATGCCTCAACTCTCCTTATTCTGTACACCACCACCTCTCTCTCGCCTTATTCTGTACACTTAACGCTCTCATCCTGTTATTCTGTACACCGCGCTAACAGAGCTTGTTGCCGTTGGCCCGGCGATGGCGAGAAAACACTAGTAAGTGGCGTAGCTGTGGAGGGGTGACGCGTTAAACTCTCCCCGTTATAGGTGGTTGCGAAGCAATAAACACATTTGATTCCCTTTTCCTTGGTAGATAAGTACCGTGCATTTTGAGCTTCTCTGTATACTTTGTAAATTATTGTGGCCTACACAGCCGGATTTGTGTAGAGATCCCCTGCACGGTCGATACCTCGTGCTGACTAAGGTAACAAACCAGCGCCCATAGGCTTGGGAGGACCGCTCATAAGCCGGAGGGGGAAACCGCCCATGAACCGGGGGGAAACCGCCCATAAGCCGGGGGGCAACTGCCCCGCTTATGGGCGGTTCCCACCCAAGCCTATGGGCGCTGGTTTGTTACCTTAGTCAGCACGAGGTATCGACCGTGCAGAGGATACCATCGTTAACCATCATTTCTGCATTCTATATAGGCAGACTTAGGTGTTGTGACATCACGTATCTTCGAACTGCGCAGATAACCGGAAAAATAAAAATCCGGACCAATCAAAAGCGGTGTACAGAATAACAAAATGTGGTGTACAGAATAACATTACCCGGGGCGCCCTCCCAACTCGATATGATCCATGGATTGGATCCGATGAAATCCTCCTCTCGTCGCCCATCGGATCCAGTCTGTGGACCACCCTGACAAGCTCGATTGATCATACTTGACATGATGGATCCGATGAAATCCCCCGTCGCCCATCGGATCCAGTCTATGGACCGCCCAAACAAAGCTCGATTGATCACCTGTCAAACTTTTTGTGCAACTTGAGATGAAGGAGCGCTCTGTTTTCTATCTACTTGTCGAGGTCCTGAGACTCCTTTTATAGACACACGAATGCTACATCGTTGCACAGAGCAACCATCTGTAACGTCGTCGCCTATGGAAACCTCTCGTCTCTATCCAACATCACCCTTTGTAGGAGAGGATTGATTGAATCTATCTGAACGAGGCGCAAGCTGCGGTGCACGTAACTAGACTAGTCCCAATATGGTCTGCTAACTACTATTAAACACTTAGCCACTATGCCATCAACACAGAATACTTCCGACAGCTCTCCTGCCAAAACAGTAACTCTCATCCTTGACAAGCCAGCGGACTGGAAACAATGGCTGTTCACGATTCGTCAAAGGGCTGAGAACACCAACATTTGGCAGTATATCGATCCAGATATAAACTCTCAACCTTCTACTCTCACAGAACCAACTCTACCTAAACTGGAAGATGCCCTGTCTAGTTCTCATGATGAGACCGAGCCTAAATGTGTCATATCTGGGACGTAGGGGGAAGGAAAGGAGCAATGGAATACCGCAATGGCAAAGGTTGACTGAAGCAGTCGTTGTTATGGTCCATCTGTGTCTTGTTCTTCTGAGGGTTGTGTGGAGTAGCAAGAGTGGAAGAAGTAAACGAGTGCTCTAGCGACACGTATATGGCCATCCCACACCATTCCAATATAGATAATGGCGTTGGCCATTTCTGGGTCTGTAAACTCTACCACGATTGCGGGTGCGCGCTTGAGAGTGGATTCCTTGGTCAACCATCCCACAAACGATATCTCTGCCTTGGGGATTCCTGTGCAGTTGTCTGCCAGTATCTGTTGGATCGTTGCTTTCTGATCTTTGATGCTGATAGAGTTGGGAGAGATGACATGAACGATGATCCCGAAATTTTTTACAAATGAGTTCTGCGTGCTCCCCCAGACCCCTAATCCAGCCTCTGTTCTCTTTGAGCTATGTAGCTTCTGCAGTGGTGCTGGTGAAGATCTGTATATCTCCACTCTTTAGTTGATGTACTGCAACTACTTTGATTGATTTGGTAGCAGAGTTGTCGCGAATTGATGTCTCTACCTGGTGTCTCATTCTGGTAGCAGAGAGCGCTTGAAATCGCTGAGCAATTCCATGATCCTTAAGTTTGACCGTTACCGCTCGGTCTTATAGCAGACAAGGAGGGTGGATGCCATCTGCGAGGATATGATACCTGGCACTCGTTAGGGATGAGGCACCCGGATTCATCAGGCTATTAGAGGGCACTGCCCATCCATAGACGATTTATGATAAACTCTAGGAAGGGATGTGCTTTTTCATATGCCGGTACGCATTACTCGTTCTTTGGTAGAATAAATTAGTGTTCCATCAGGTTCTCGAACGCAGTAAGTGATGAAACATATTGTCGCCGCCCAGGAGAAGTACTGTAGTGGGCAGAACAACGCGGAGCGGAGCGGGATAAGACCCGGGATCGATAAGAAGTCGGTCTATAAGTCGCTTAAAGACGAAATAAAAATAAGGTACGGAGATGCTAAAAATATATAGAATAAGTATAGAGGGAATCTTTTGCTTCGTTATAGGCAATTAACGTAAGCGCGATGTCATCCAGCTCGCCGTACTCGTAGCATTTATTCGTGAGTCCCTCTAGCCGTCTTCTGAGTTTGTCGCCGACATATCTCTGCCGAGGATGGTCCTCAGCAATTCCATTATTTCAAATGAATCTTCAGACATACACCTCATTAGCCTTTCCCAGCCAATCTGAATGCTCTTGCTGCGGAGGCACATCCAGCTCCCACGGCGCAAACGGATCAACCATGGTATCACTGCTGTTGCCGCTGGTGTCGGGCTCGAATGACCATGTCGGGGCATTAAGGCCATCAGCAGCTCCAGAGATCGAGCTAGCCTCGCGAGTGGCTGGGCTGGTCGCCGATGCCGGCATCTGCGATGCCTGCTCAGAGCCTGACGGACCGTGGATTTGATCTGCGGAATAAGAACATGAGCGAGAGGCAGATAAATCTATGTGTGGTGGATCGGTAGAGTTGTTCTTATCACGCGGAGTTTGCGCCGTGGTAATCTCGTCCCAGGCCACTCGGAAGAGCGCTAGAGGGTGGAGGTGGTCTTGAGACTGCGGATTGTCTGGTTGCAAGGCCCGCTCACAGTCGCGATCGCGGTCTAGTAGTCGCAGCTGTGGTACCCATTTTTCTGGGAGTTCGAACAGCGACGAGTCACCGAGGAGGTTCATCAACGAACGGAAGCAGCTCAGCTTCTGGTCGGGGTGGAAGATGGCCAAGTCCAACACTACCAGATTGGTCTCAAGGTTTTGCCAGATTTCTGCCAGCCACTCGGGCGAACGGCTCTGCTGGGACATGCGTGTGGTGATGATCTGGATCCGGCATGACTCATAGGCACAGACACGGCATATGGTGTCGTCCAAAGCCTCCGAACCATGTTTAAGCCCCAACTGGAACACACGGGAGATCATCTCGGCATGGTATTTGCATTCTTGCTGGTAGATGCGGATGAATTCTGGCGGTGCACGTTCCAAGAGACGGCCTATTGGAAAAGTGTAGCTAGGCATCGTCACCCGAAAGAGGTCGCAGTGCACAACATGATACGTGACATGCATAGCAATCCACGTAGCCAGCTGACGTTGGTCTCGGTGGATGTACGCATTTTCTTCGGATAATTGCAGATGTGGCGGCAGTTCCTTGGCCCAGTTCTGAAGCTGCTGTACCAGTTGGCGGAAGGGCGAGCCCGTTTCCCAGGGTAGGGGTGACGCATACCCATCACGAACGCACCGTAATGTCAGACCTCGTAAGTAATTGATGCGTATGCACCACGCCTCGAGGCTCTGTTGTGACCGATCCACAGTTCGTTCACCTTCCACGAAGTCGCTAGGAGCCACTTTCTCGGTCGTGGTGGAGATTTGGTAAATGAAGTCCTGTTCACACCGAGGGAGAGGGACATCCGGGATATTCCTAGAGATGGTAAGAAGGCGATCCACGCCAGCCCCGACAGCGACGTCAATGAACCAGCACGCCCAGAAAAGCCGTCGGTGTGACTCTTCCGTTGTAATTCTCTCAAGAGTGCCGCCCTGCTGTAGGCCGTCGCCCTGATGATCAACGTCAAGCCGAAGCAATTGGGCAGCGCGTGAGCAGCACGCAGCGATCATCAGACTCGAGCTGTGCGACCCGTAACGGACGTGATATTCCCAGAGGAGAACAAGGGCCTGGCCAGTCAGGAAAAAAATTAAAAAAAAAAAAAAAAACCCCAAAGTCTGAGATGTACTCACCATCAGATTCTGCACGCTGACTGAACCCAGATCATGGAACGCCTGACACTGGGCCTTGGAAGCCCACGAGCAGCCTGGCATATTCTCATGTCTGGACTTCAAAAGGCGGTCACTCATATATCTGGAATCATCTGATCAGGGATTGAAGATTCTAAGATCAAAATCCGAGTCCAACAAGCGGGACCAAACAGGAAGTCTTACAGCGCACCAAAGGCGCATACAATATGAAGCAGCGCCGACCCATATTTAGTCTGCAGTGTGCCCTCTTGCAATGCGCGCATGAAGGAAGGCCGATGTATGAAGTTCAGTCCGCGAATGGAATGCACCCGTTCGAAGTAGCGGTCGATCAAGGGACTGAGGAGGTGGAGCTGATCAGGGATGTTGTCGGAAAAGAGCCTGAAAATTTAAATTGTTGAGCTCTTTTGTTCCAAGTGGCGCCTGGGGACTCACCATTGATCTGACTCTGGGGCTTGAGCGTTCGCTTCAGTCGAAAGTAGTTGTTGCATATGAGCCACGTCGGCGTCTCCATTGGAGAGGGCCGCCGTCGCTGTCGTACCCGGAAACGAGCAAGGTGTGCCAGATGAATGCGAATCCTGCGGCTGTTGATTCAGTGCCGTCAGCTGTTGGTCGTGCTGAGCCGTCCTGCTACCTGCTCTCTTAGTGATGGTACAATGCAAATTTCTCTTCTCACAGCGCTGGCACGGCCTCAACTGGTTGCATCTGATCTTCGCCTGGCGGCACTGATCACAGGCGCCTCTTGAGCGGCGCTCGCGGCCGGCGTCGTGGTAGATGGCCTTGACAATACTGCTGGCCTGGCTCGAGCTAAATCGGCCTTGTCTGGAGTCGTATCCGGGGCATTGCAAGCCAAGGTTGTAGCATCGAACGCATCCCGACGCAGTCTCGTCACATTTGACCTTGAAGAAGAGGCTCACAGGTTAGATGATGTTGGTGGTACCAAATTTGAAGCATTCAACCTACCTTGCGGGTTTTGCAGACCAAGCACCCTAGTGATCGTCAGCAGGAGGTAATAATATACATCTATTGACCAGATGGCATACCTTTTTGTGATCGCGATATGTTCGCCATGAAGAATTTATCGGACATACAGCTACGTCAAAAATGTGAGAGAAGATGCGTGAACGAGCAGTGGGGCCTCTGGGAATGCCAGCCATTTATGTATGCGGGGCGAAAGCTCCAGGCAGGCACCCCAGGCACCTCCAGGCGGGGCCGGGGCACAACAAAGGTTGCCAGTTTGTTACTACCTACTGTAGATAGTACTTTAAGTTTAACTACTGTAAGTTCGGCCAGGAAGCCAAAATGCAGAAAGCCCTGGGTTCCCGATCCACGACATCTTAAGTAAATGCCGCTGTGGCGACAGCCCCCGGCGGAGCGAGTGGGCTTCCCCATTCCCAAGTCTCCCCGGGCGTTCCCTTAACAATCCGCCTGCTATCATGATGTGCATATCTACATCTATCTGGTTCCCCCGTTCACCTTTGTATAGGACGCCTTTCCATCTAAGCTGCCGAGCTCTAAATGATACATTGGTTCCGTCCATGTAACGTATCGACCCAAGAAAGTTGCGATATTCTCACAGGATGGAAACGCTCATGGGGGAACGAGCTTCAGGAGATGAGAAGGTACCTTTTTGGGGTCTTTACCAACAAACCGAATGCATTTGCCATAGTCCTCGAACTCGTCGACCGGTTGACCGCCTTTCTGAAACTCGCCCGCCAAACCTACGACGCCGACTTCACTCTTGTACCTTTCCCACGCTTGGATCATTTCCTCCAAAAGCTGTGGTTGGTCGACAGCCAAATCTCGTGTTTCCCCCGGGTCGGCAATGATGTCGAACAGTTCCCATCGTTGGGGCCCGCGGGGAAGTGGTACAAAAGTGATTTTATAGCGGCCTTTTCGGAGAGCGCCGCTGCCGGCGACCTCCCAGCCCGTGACTTGGTCTTCATCGTGGATGGTTAGACTCGTGATATCCCCGGGAGGAGATCGCACTGCGCCGAGGAATTCGACCCAGCTCTTTCCAAGCGGCTTCTCGACAGGTCGGCCCTTGTATTCGCTTCCCGGGTGAGCGGTCCCGGCAAGCTCCAGTATTGTGGGCACGACATCCATGACAGTGCAGAAGCTGTTTGTAACCATGCCGGCCGTCTGCGCGACGGGACCCGCGGGTTTTACAACAAGCGGGACTCGACAGCCTCCTTCAGTAGAATACATCTTGTACAATCGTCCTGGGGCTGTGGCGGCCTGGGCCCACCTGGCGCCGTACCACACGAACGAGTTGGCTCTTCCAATATTCTCGAGAGAGTTGTCGTAGTATTTCTCAATGTGGGCCACCACCTGGTCGCCCACAATAGGGAATGCCTCATAGCTGGCACCTTCGGCCCCGTTATCCGACATGAACATGATATATGTGTTGTCGTATTCGTTGACGCGCTTTAGATAGTCGATCACTCTGCCGATGCATTCGTCCATCCGGTCCACCATACCGGCGAAGACTTCCATCGCTCTAGCCGACTTCTCACGTTCTTCTGGCAACAGGTCCTCCCACTCTTTTGGTTCGCCCTCTATTGTGACCACCTCGTGTGGTACCGCGTCTTCAGGGAACAATCCCATCTTCGTCAGCCGCTGCAAGCGTTGCAAGCGCAAGGCTGAAGGCCCATCCTTATAAAGCCCTTGATATTTGTCCACCGAGGATTTAGGAGCCTGCAGCGGCCAGTGAGGGGCCGAGAACGGGAGGTAAGCAAAGAATGGTTTCTCTTGGTCATCGTCTTTCCACTGTTCGAGATAGTCGATCAATTTGTCGGCATAGAAGTCGGACGAATAAAATCCCTCTGGCGTGGTTTTCACGTATTGTCCATCTTCCGCGTGTAGGGCTGTGACGGCAGTCTCAAAAAAAGGGGGAGGTTCATTCACGCAGTCTTCGTACTGTGGTTCGTATCCTGCAATGAACAATGAAGTATTAGTACGGATGGATTCCAGCTTCAAGAGACGTGCATATGTCACGATCAGAATCATGATATAGCCATGTATCTGTATGTCTCTTGTTGCTTACCATAGTGGTTTGCACATCCCGGTAATAGAGCGTACGACTTATCAAACCCACGGGCGGCCGGCCCATGCTCACTTTTCAAGCCCAGGTGCCATTTCCCGCTCATAATGGTGTGATAGCCGCAGTCTTGCAGGAGCTCGGGCAGGGCTGCGACGCTATCCAACAAGTAACCCTCGTGTCCTGGCTGGCCTTGGTGAGCGGGCGACGTACGCACAAACTCTGCCAGCTGTCCCAGGCCGGTCAAGTGGTGGTCGGTGCCTGTCATAAGCATGGCACGCGTTGGTGAGCACGCCGCGGCCACATGGAACGACGTGAAGCGAAGACCATCTTGGGCAAGTTTGTCTATGTGCGGCGTCAGGATTTCAGAGCCAAAGCAACCACAGTCGCTGAATCCGAGGTCGTCAGCCACAATCACCAGGAAGTTGGGTCGTTGCAACTTTTGGTGCTCGGGGGGCATTTCTCCCATCTTGACCTGAACTTGGAATCGAGGTTTCAATGTGCGAGACGATCGAGGACAGGCAAGGAGCAGAGAAGATAAAGAGGAAAAGAGGCGGTGGAAATCACCAAAGATATCAGCAAATTTTTGCACTTTGGATGTGGCCTTGGTCAGATATACTCACCGAGAGCCTCAGGGCACATGCACGGCTGCCAGCAACTTGGAGTGCTCCAGGCTCTACCTACCTACCTAAGGGCCCCAAATCCAGACTTCGACCCGATATCCTTCCTTGAAGAAAAAGAGGATTGCTTTCACTACTTCCACAGACGCCACGAAGGAAGACGGCAAACAGGTGCAGCACTTGGAGCAGGGAGCTCCGAATCGGAGCCTCCAGAGGTGCCGAATATCTGTAACCTAGGCTTGCCAAGGCCCGGTTGTCGGCTCTGCCAGAAGTTAAAACCCCGTATCGTCGGCTCTCGGGGGTAACTATCTGATACCTCGGAAGCTACTTGGGCATGGATCTACGTACTTAGTTAGGCTCTCGGTCAAATCTTTGCGGGCACCCACAGACGTATCTGGGTCTCGACTCTCTTCCCCGCCGCTGCGTGGAACTCGTCCCAGGTTGACCACGCAGAACACCTTTGAGGGAACGGTCTTTGAAGGGTTTTCAAAAAATTTCTTCTGTCATGCTTTTCATGGCCCTGGCTTAGGCTAGTGCTACGCTAAATTCAAAAGGATAATTGATCATGCCCGTCTCGGCGTAGTACTGTTCCCACAGCTTGATCAACTCGGCCATGATTTCCGGTCGCTTCGTAGCCAGGTCGACCAGCTCCCCTTGATCCTCGTTCAGGTTGTACAGTTCCCACTGGCCATTACCTCGTGGTGCATGCATCCAGACGGCCTTCCAGGGTCCGCGTCGAATGGCTTGCAAGCCAACTAGCTCCCAGCCGTGCACGTGTGCGTCCTCATCGTGGACCGACGTTGTGGACAAATCCTTGGACGACAAATGTGACACCCAACTTTTCCCTCTGATCGGGACTATCTCGCGACCCTTAAAGGTCTTGCCAGGGTGTGGGACCCCCGAAAGCTCCAGGACCGTCGGTAAAATATCCATGACGGTGGTGAAGGAGTGGGTAATGGCCTCTGCTGGGTTTTGGAAAGGGGGGTACCTCACGATACAGGGACATCGGATTCCTCCCTCGGTTGGCCATGTCTTCCAACCTCGACTTGGGGCGGTGGCCGCACTCGCCCATCGAGGACCATACCACGTGAAGCTATCTTTCTTACCAATGTTGTCGAGACTGTTGTCGTAATATGTGTGAATAATGTCGGCCATGGTGGTTCCGTCGCCCATGGCATGCAGGGCTTCCATCATCAGGCCTTCTGCACCATTGTCGGAAATAAAGGTGACAAAGGTATTGTCTAATTCTCCCGTCTCAGCTAAGTATGCAATCACTTCACCCACGCCTTTGTCAATTTCTTCAACCATTGCGGCGTAGACCTCCATCTTTCGCGCCGACTCAGCCCTTTCCAGATCGGACAGTTGGTCCCATTCCGGTCCAATGTGGCCTTCAGGTTTAGCAGGGATGACATCTTTGGGCACTAGACCGAGTTCGATGAGCTTCTTGACACGCTTCTCACTCAACTTGTCTGGGCCCTCGTTGTACCAGCCTTTGTATTTTGCTGTCGTTTGGTCTGGCGCCTGCAAAGGCCAATGAGGGGCCAGGTAGGCCAGATAAGCCAAGAACGGCTTCTTCTTTTCTTCCTCGGACCTCGCCTGGAGAAACTCCATCATCTTCTGCGTTGTGTACGTGGTACTGTAGAAGTTGTCGGGAATTTCTTTCTTGCGGTCGATGTACCGGTCACCTTCCATCCACAGCTGGCCGCGCCATGGGAGTTTGTATTTTGGGTCCTCAAACTGCGGTTCATAGTTGTAGTGATTGCCACTGCCGGCCAGGAAAGAGAAGACTTTTTCGAAACCTCGCGCTGAAGGACTATGTTCGGGCTTCATACCCAGATGCCATTTGCCGCTCATGATGGTGTGGTAGCCTGCGTCTTTGAGAATTTCAGGCAAAGCAGCCACCCGAAAATTGAGGTACCCTTCATACCCGGGTTTACTCTCGAAGGGGGCCGGATTCTGTCGCATGTGCTCGGCCATCTGGCCTAGGCCAGCAATGTGATTGTCAGTACCAGACATCAACATCGACCGAGTCGGAGAGCAAGCAGGTGCGGTATGAAAATTGGTCATTCGAATTCCAGACGAGGCGAGGGACTGGAGGTTCGGAGTCGCGATCTCGCCACCGTAAGGCGATGTATCTGAGAATCCCAGATCATCGGCGACAATGATGAGGAAATTCGGACTCTTTCCAGCCATGGTGACAGTTGCGTCCGTAAAATAATCCCGGTACCTACCCAAGTGACAGCAGCTTGGAAACAAATGGCGCAGATTACTTTTAAATGGACGTTGGAGAGATACATTCACTCATCCGAGCGACATCATTTTCACGAGCCTCAGACGTGCTCCACGTGATTGTGATTGCTACTCGCCCTGAAGAAGTGGTCCAGTACAAGAGGCCGGAATCTTCGGTTTTCGGAGATCGCATACCAGGAGAACGGCTCTCGCAATGGGCAGCGGGAGGCACTTCGCTTCTCGCATTATTGCATCAGTGGGGTTGGAATAAAAAAGTTGGGACCCTTTGCTCGGCTTGCCGCTCATTGGACATACTTAGAGCCCCTGTGGCAATAGCGCCCTCCACATCTCCACATCTCCACACCCGTATGTTTGCTCCGTTGCGCTGAGGCCGCTCTGCGCGGGATGGAAAACCTTGGCTCTCGCGCGTATACCTCCTTCTCATTGCCTTCGAGGCACATAACTTGTCTATAAGAGATGCCTTATATCTTGCGGCCCTAAAATCCAAAGCCAGACCACTCTCGTTGAGTCATTGTTCAAGAACAACAAAGACCAATCGCCCACCGGAAATCAGACAGACCGCAAAGCCAGCATCAAAATGGGTGGTGAAGCTGTTCCTGTCGTCGATGACATCCCAGCAGGCATCTCTAATGGGAAGACCGAGCCAATATTCACCCGTCTGAGGAAGTTCACCCCTCGACTGGTCTTCATGATGTTCTTCCTGTCCATCGCCGCCTTCAATTTTGGCTACGATCAAGGCAATTTTTCTGGCCTCCAGGCTCTAGACTGTTAGCTATGGTTAATCCTTTGATTGTGGTATATATTCCTGAGACTGCTGAAGCTGACTGCTCTGCCGCCGATAGCATTCGAGAAGCGTTTTGGACGGTACAACGAGAAAAAAGAGCGGTACCAGCTTCCTTCATATCTCCAATCCCTCATGACATCAACTCCTTATCTCGGGAAACTCTTGGGTACCTGGACTTGCGGCCCGCTTAGTGAGCGACTGGGCCGAAAAAAGATGATGGCCATCATCGTCCTTATCTCGTACGTTGGAGTGGTCCTAGAAATCACGGCTAGCACGGGAGCTCAGTTCACTGTCGGCCGCATCGTCTGCTTCTACATGGCCGGGTTCACGGTGCAGGTTGCGCCTGTCTATCTGGCAGAATGCGCGCCTCCCGATCTTCGTGGTTTCATTGGCAGTCAAGTGCAGTTCCAGATCAACTTCTCTATCATGATTGCCGCCATCGTCAACTTTGGCGTTTCCCATGTGCACTCGTCAATTCAATGGAGGATCACAGTCATGATTCAACTCCTGATGCCAACCTTGATTGCCTTGTCATACCCATTTGCAGTCGAGTCTCCCCGATGGTATGTTTCCGTCCCCTCCTTTCTTTCCAATGCTAATTCACAACAGGCTCATTGGTCGGGGTCGCAAGGAGGAAGCTGTCCGCAGCTTAGGGTTGCTCCGGAAGAAGGACGTTCCGGTAGAGCTGCTGGAGCAAGAGGTCACATTCCTTTCGACATTGAGTAACAACGAAGGCAAGGGGAGCTGGAAAGAAGTCTTCACCGGCATCAATAGGGTGTGTTTCTCCGTCCCATTCTCTTATTTTGGTATATTGATCACGCTTTCACAGAGGAGAACGGCTATCGCATGCTTTGTCATGTTTGGGCAACAGATCACCGGCCAAGTGTTCGCCTCACAATACGGCACCATCTTCTACAAGACCCAGGGCATCGCCAACCCGTTTCTGATGCAGATGATCTCCACGATTTGCGGCCTATGTTGCATGTTCGTCACCTCGCTGATAATCGACAGCTTCGGGAGACGAGTTATCTTGTTGACCGGCGGCATGGGCCAGGCCATCTTCATGCTGTGTCTGGGAGGCGTGGGATTGATCAAGAACCCTGGCAGTTCTGTCAAGAACCTGATGGTGGCGTTTTTGATTCTTGATGGTGTCAGCTACAACATCTCCTGGGCACCACTGTCGTACTTGACGGTAAGCGAGGTGTCCAATTTCAGAGTTCGCGACAAGACGGCCATGCTGGCGTTGTCGATCTCGATCGTTACCGTGTTTGTCACATCTTTCACTCTCCCGTATTTGATGAACGAGGGATACGGCAACCTAGGTCCCAAAGTGGGTTTCATTTACGGAAGTCTGGCCCTCACCATGGTAACGGCAGCTTACTTCGTCGTCCCCGAGCTCAAGGGCCGAACCCTCGATGAGATTGACGAGTTGTTTGAGCGCCGAGTCGGTGCACGCAAATTCAGGTCGGCTTATGTTGAGTCAACTCGCTTTGAAGGCGAGGTTCGACCAAATCCCGTCAAGGGCGGGGAGGAGGTTCTCGAGACGGAACAAATTGAGACCATCAAGAGGTAGTCCGGCATGTTTATCTGGGATCTACAGCACAATTTGAATTGCGATAAATGTGTTTATTTGCCTGAAATGGGAGGGGATTTGACAATTTGAGAACAGGTTGCCTAGCGCTATGGCCCAGGGCTAGAAGTAAATGAAGTGCGGCAGGACATTATGGGTTGTGGATTGTGAATCTAACGAGGTAGATTAAGTGGTGGTCAGCAATTCATCAATTGAGAGTTTCGTCCACTTGATGCCCTTTTACAACATGCACTGTCACGTCGAAAGTATAGTAGAAGCTGACTTCCAGCCTACAATTCTAGAGTTACGATGTCAGCTCGAAAGGAAATGAAAAGAATGATCAGACTTTCGCGGTAGATGGTGTGAGCGATGTAGCAATGGTATCTCTTGTTGAACTGGTGTCAACAGAGGATGCATGAAGACCTGCCTTCCTTGTCCCGTGGAGACACCCCACCTTCTTCAGCGTGTAAACCACTAACTTCTACGGCATCGCCAGAATTAGGTGGGGAGGGGAGGATAAACCTGAAAATTTTTAATTTTGGAATCGCCTATTAAGGGCTTGGCGTTGTGTGGTGACGCCAAGATCAACGTGCTGGCCAATAGCGTAAGTCTATAGCTTGGCATTATCACGTGGGGACGTGGGCACCCCCCTGTGATAATTGGGGCTTCAATTATAGGTGGCTATAGTGGCTTGGCTCGATGAATTCGAGTCATGTCAGCACTTTTTGGCACGCGATACTGCATCAGGAAATCACACCCCTTTGCCGCATCGTCATCGGATCCAATCCGTGAACCATGTGGCCGGGGGCAACCCTACTCGGTAGATGTCGATATCCTCCCATCGGGTCCAGTCTGTGGACCACCTCAGGCAAGCCCTACTGATCAAACTCGAGATGGTTCACGGATTGGATCCTCGTACCAAACAGGTATTCGCATTCTTTGGACGGGGATCTGTACCAGGAATTCGGCAACTTGTGGGCTACGATTTGTGTCAATCGAGCCATTATGTGAGGATTCAGGGTCAAGGATTCAATCAATGTATTCCAGTTAGCATCTAGATCTAGGGATGATACGATACGATATTCATACACCCTGTGCGGGCTGAGCCCATAGGGGACTAGCTACTTCACTACATTATCTCTACCGATATCCGTCGGTTCATTCAGTGCCCAGCTCGTCGTTCCCTTATTGATCCCCGACTACTGTTTTCAGCCCCATCGAGTCCCCGACCAGAACTTCCTGGCTCTAGTCCTCCTTCTTACTTGAGGCAATCATTCCTTTCCCACGTTCGTCCGCAACCGCCAGTTGCCCTCACGAAATCGATCGTGGCCTTGATAGTTTTCATGTTCACCTTCCACTTCTCCCTCGGCCCATCCAGTCTTTCGTTAAACCAACCTCCAAGGAGGTAGGAAACATCGCACCATCTTTCCGTCGCTGTTTGAAGGTACCACCTGCGTTCCGCTGACCATCGTGTACATTCGACTAGGAAGTGTCACGCGTTGGCACTGTTCACATAGATCCGAGTCTGCGGCCTTAATTCTATGAAGGTACGTGTTGAGTCTGCTTTTGCCGGTGCGTAGTTGTGCTATAATGTACGCTCCCTTCCCGATTAAGTCTATCGTAGAGCGATCGTCCGTGTGGTCCAGGCAAAGCACGGCCGAGGTTCTTCGTGAGTTGACCCCCCTGGCTCTGTTCCAGCCGTTTTCTCTTCTCCTTTTGTAGCCCCTTCCGTTCGCGTACCGTCACTGGGATGTCTCGATTCGGTTCGGTTGCATCTTGTGCCAGGTCATGTACTCGCTCGTTACCCAGAATGTTCGCATGTCCTGGAACCCATTGGAACACGATGCGTGGTGCCCCACGCTCGGCCAGCCGTTCGAGCTGCTAGACGACGTCGTGCCCGCTCTCGTGGACTCGCCAGCGCCTGGGGCGCCGACTGGCTGTCACTAAAGATGGTCACTACCGTTCGTGGGTTCGCGTTGTGGCTCAGCCACCTCTCTTCCACCATCCGACACGTCTCGCGAGTGGCCGCCAGCTCACCGTAGTTGTGTGCTCACCGCGGAAGACGGCCCGACGGTTCGACTGACTGATCTTGCGGACATGCAAATCACCCAATACTGTCAAACTGTGTGCAACTCGAGATGTATTGAATGCTCTGCGCTCTTCCAATGAGTGTGGGATAGAGCCCATCTATATATCTATCTACGAGGTGTATGCTGGCGCTGTTGCCTGTCAATGGTGTTGCACGCCAGGAGGTGAATGTTACAAAACGAGTAGGTTTGCCATGAACGATAGGATATCGTTTGTTCAACAGATACCCACTCGGTCGTGTCGGTTTGATGCGTCTGTGAAGAGATCTGTCTCTAAATTCTCTGCGTTGGCTATTTCCGCTGCTCTTTCATGGTCGTGGTGAATCTAAACCCTGGCCCGTCTCTGCCACGGTGCGATGCAGAAGGGTTCGATGGTTTCTAGGTTGTCGGTGTCGATTTTCCCCAAGGCTTTCGCCGCTCGCCACAGCGGGGACGGGTAACGTTGCTGGCTCTATTCGATCGATTTCTTTATTCTCCAAAAAGGGTGTATAGATGGGAGGGTGTGTGAGTCGACCCAGAATCCCTACAGTTGGTTCGCCCACTGGTCAGCCTCCGCTTCGGCTATCGGGAGCGCGATGGTCCTGAACCCGGCGATGCAAAGAATCTGTCGAACAGAGCGAGATGCGGATAGAAAGGGTGAAAATTCGTGTGTAGATTGCAACCATGGATGGGGGGGGAGCCCCCTATATAGGGCAGAATAGGGGCTCTTGGCACCAGGCACCAGCTGTCTGACAGAATCATATAGTATTGCGGCGTATCTACTATACTCCTAGTTTTCCGCGTTCCTCGCTAGTCTACGCTTCCATAGGGTGAGATAGACCTAGCCTCCCCTACCTAGGTGATTCCCTGTTTACTCCTTAAGCATACATCAACAGCCCTCACTGCTAGGCGATACCTCTTCGTCGCTACTCCAACCCGTAAGCGTCTCGCATGCGTAGCTCCAAGTCCGATGTTCCTTCCATGGCTATCATTACGTGCTACGCCCCGGGAGTCGCAGGCTCCAAGCCTGCGGCGTTGCGACCCCTTACTAACCAAGCTTGTTCTCGAAGTTTAACAGGGTCTAAGGGAGGGAGTTCAAGAGGTCGAGAAGCGGTTTGTGCTCGTAGCTTAACGGGCCTCTCGCGGACTGTCGTAACCACACGTAAGGTAGCTTGCTCTCGAGGTATAACAGGGCCTCACACGTTGTTGTGACCGTCCAGGGCTATACACATCAGTCCTAACAGGGCCGCTCGTACGTACCTGCAACCCTCGCGGCGCCATCTCAGAGCGCATGTAAGCTAGGGGGTGTCCTGTCCTATCAATAGGCGATACCGCATCCGCGAGCTTGACAGGACTCGTTTCGGCTCCAAGTACGAGCTGGATATTGATGTGTCGAATGGTTTTCAAACGACATCACCCTTTTTTAGGTTGCAACGTGTCGCAACACGTCGATTCTCTCTATAGTGGTGTTGGACTCATCTTGGTTCACGCTTTTCCAGCGCTTGACACCGGACACCGCGAGAAGGCGTGAGTCCGTCGTCCCACAGGCCTTCGAGAGACCTGCGCTCCGCCTGCTCGCAGAGGGCTTAATGTAACACAAGCCGTGACGGAACGGATGTGTTGAACTTCGTGGATTGAAAGAGTGCTCTGGCTCTCCTCATGAATGTAGGGTAGAGCCCATCTATATATCTATTTAACGAGCGTACGTCAACATTGCTGCCTGTTAATGGTGATACAGCCTATTGAGTGAGTGTTGCAAAATATCCTAGTCGGTCATATATGATTGGCTAGCATTTGTCCAACAGGATGGCTAGGACCCTGTCTTGGCAAGACTTCTGCCTATCTAGGCCACAATGAGCACTTTTCTTCCTTCTCTCCAGCGTATATTGCAATCCATAGAGCTTTGGGGCCCTTCTCCATCTTGTCTCTGTGCCATGCCGTCACATAAGCAGTATTCGACGAACTAGCCACCTTACGTCATTCAGACCGCTTCTATCACTTCATAATTAAAGGCAAAACTTGTCCTCTAACGGTTCTCGCACACAAGGCCTCTACTCCGTACAATACAGCCACAAACTCACTGCAAGAGACGCGCTCATGACAGCCCCATTCAAGCAATCACCTCTAATCGGACCACAGTCAGAATGGCAGACAAAAAATCTACTGGAATGGATGTCAACTCTCTTGTTCTCGCTCCTGAGGGCGATGTGGTATTGGTCGTAGGTGCGAAACAACTTCGCATACGGGCGGACTCCCTCTTCCTCAAACGTCATTCACCGGTCTTTACAGCTCTGTTTGGCCCAAACTTTTGCGAAGGTCAAGATTTGAATACCTCATCGCCAAAGGAGATTCCTCTGCCAGACGATGATCCGGATGCCATGACGGCGATCTGCGCGACAATGTACCACGCCTTTGATCAGATTCCGCGGAGCCCAGCAACAGGCTTTGTTCTCAGTATAGTCAGACACGCAGATAAATACGATTGTTACGATGTCCTGACCTTGCCGTCCCAGGCCTATGGCTGGCTCAAATCCGATAACTTGACTCTCGGTAAAGATCTGGTAAATACTCTCGCCATATCGTATCTGGTCAGAGATCAGGAAGCGTTTACAAATGCGTCGAAAGCCTTGGTCTCGAAGTATGATGGATCATTTGCAGATCTCGCCGACAATGTAATTTGTGACGTTCTGCCTTGGAAGACATTCTGTAAGTGGACATATCACTTCAGTACAAGTTTAGCAATGTGCTATTGCAGAAGGAGAAAACCCTTCCAACAATTTTCTGAAAAGGTGTATTAGAGAAACAGTGTCCAGTGGTATTTTGAGCTTTACAAGTCTGGGTTCATGTGCTGACCAGTATTGAACGTAGGCAGATTGGAGGAGCTTCGAACCCGTATACAAACACTCGCAGCCAGTATCGTAGTATCAGCTTTACCTAAACCCAATTACAGCGGCTACGGATACACAAAGTACCATTCTCCTGAATGCTCCAAACTCGCGGAAGGGCTTCAAGAAAAATTAAGGAAAGATCTGTCAATGGAAGCGCAACAAGAACGGGAGCAGAATGATCGCAAGTACTCATATAGGAAATTTCCGCGTCCGCCAGCAACTTGGCAGCCGGAAATCGGGCCTTTGCTTGAGAAATTGCAGGAACTGGCGAAAGCCTGCAAGGGATGCAAGAAAAGTGTGGAAGCTTCCCAGCTGCACACATTTGGACTTAGATTGGCAGGCAATGACCTCAGGCAGGTTGCTATGTTACCCGAATGGTACTGGGGCTTGAAATTGACCCATTGAAGAGCACGGAGGACGAGAGTCCGTACAGCCTCGAAGGAGTTCCGAGAGCGAGCAACTTTGTAAAAAGCTGGGGCAGCTGAGATTGTAGGTGAAGACGGTATGAAGAAGTCGACATCTCTACTGGTCTATAATCAATAAAATGCAATAACGAAATATTCAAGCTAGCCTGAGCCCGCCACCGCCCGGCGTCGCATCGAACTAAAAGAGCGTTAGAATCAAATGCTCTGTCTACCTTGCAACTGGTCCTGCCAGGTTGCTGGTATATATACACGTTGAGTTGACCCTTTTCTTCTCCTATTTCTGCCCCTATATCCTACATAGGGGTATAACCCCTTTTCCTAATAAAGGGGCACTCACTACTGTTCAACTGTTCAGCGAAACCTTGTTCGACAGAAGGTTCTCTCCTTGTTCAACTACACCTTCATGTGGGTTGATTCAGGGAATAATTACACTGCTAAAAGCATGCGCCAGGATACAGGAGATCGCTGCAGCCGCCGGAAAGGGCAAGCCTGTCTTTCGGGCAGCCCCGATAGCGTTGGCAAGACCCTGCATAGTCTCGCGGCTCCCGGTCAAGATGTTGAAGTCGGATCTATCGGTGGTAACGCTGCAATCGCTACAAGCATCCTTTGTGAGCTGTCGGTTTCTGATTATGGATGAAAAGTCGATGATTGATCTCAAGAGGCTCTCTTTCATTGACGGTCGACTACAGGCCATCTTTCCAGGCGCTTCCGACACCCTCTTCGGGGGGTTAAATGTCTTATTATGTGGAGACTTCTTCCAACTTCCGCCCGTGGGAGGGAAGTCACTCTTCTCTCGGTCCCCGACACAAGTCGACACCGTCAAGGGCCACCAACTCTACCAGGCATTCAATCGTACGCTCCGCTAACCCAGATGATGCGGCAGCAAGGGGAGGATGATATCTCAACCAGATTCCGGCGGGCGCTAGGTGAGTTACGAATCTCCCAGTTATCCAAGGAGAGCTGGGAACTCTTACGAACGCGGATTGCAAATGGCCTGTCCCCCACGGAGGTGGCCACTTTTGACTCGGCTCTACGCCTATACTTTACCAATTCGGAGGTGAAAGAGATGAATGGTAAGAAACTGTCCGGTATCGGTCAGCCTGTGAAGAAAGTTCTAGCCTGGCATAAGGGCCGAAATGCGGCCAAGGCATCGGAGGAGACCGACAACCTCTGCCCGGAAATCAAGGTCTGTATTCAGGCCCGCGTGATGCTCACGACGAATCTCTAGGCCGAATTAGGGTTGGTGAATGGATCGATGGGTTGCATCCAAGATATTGCCTGGCAGGAAGGGAGGGATCTTTCTTCGGTCCCATTCTTATTGATCAAGTTTGATAGTAATACCGGCCCGAATTTCCTCCAATGTGACCCATGAGTCGTCCTATTAATCGTCAGTTTGATTTCCAAGGGATAGCATACTCCCGTACTCAGCTTCCGCTCCGGTTATCCTATGCGATTACGGTTCATAAAAGCCAGGGGCTAATCCTACCTAGGTGCGAGGGTTCTAGGGCGAGGATGCAATCAATGTATTCCAGCTAACAAGATGCAAGACATAGCACGAAGGGAGTCAAGAAAGTATGCTACGCAAGAGGTGCTGAAGAAACCCCTGAACACGTAATTCTTGCACGCGGTCCCGTGACACTAAGTCAAACAGAGCACTGCCTTGGCCTGTCATATGTAGCAGTATCACGGATGAAGACCTTAGATGGGTTGTTGTTTGAGGGTCCTTTTGATTTGGATCACTTCAAGAGGGCAAATACTGTTATGTCCCAAGACCGGGACTTAGACTATATATTGGGAACGAATCAGTTGTTATAATGGACAGTGCTTCGAACTAGCAAATACCGATCTCATCGTCGATATCTAAGCCCCATGTATCGGTATTTGCTAGATGTTGAACAATTGGTGACCTATTGTTCACGACTATTTGGCAACATTCGCTCACCAGACCGTATCAACATTGACAGGCAACAATAGTGACGTACACTCGTTAGATATATAGATAGGCCCACTACCGCCCTCTGACCGAATTCAGAGAGTTTGACACTAGATATATCGCCGATATCGTAGTCGGCTTTCCTAATTGGGTATACCGTCGTCTACTCATGGGCTATAGACTGGTTCTGATGGAGGGGTATGGTGATCTGCATATGATCCATGGACTGGATCCAATGGGCCAGCCAATCAGAGCAAAGGATTAGGTTAATTTCGGATTATAGATTTTCCGGATTACTGCGGGTTAACCAATCACGTGATATTACATAAGTGTGGATTTCTGCCAAGGATTATAGCTTACGCTAAACTACATTTGTTTACGAAACATATATAAGTAAAGCGGCCACCCCCAGCAGATGGTTTTAGTTAGTTCATGCACTCTCTTTCGCCGCTACAACAACAACATAAGGCCTGGGGGTTTGGGGGCTAAGCCCCCATAGAAGACAAACTCCTGTATAATACAGAAGCTACGCTTTTACCCCAGTGAATATCCTATCCGCGGGATCCGATCCAAGGACTATCAAGATATCGAGGCCGGCACCATACACTGTCCCCGGCTACATGGTCCACGGATTGGATCCGATAGCAGTGCGCCAGGGGGAGTGCCAACATCTTCACGTGATACTGCCAAGCCATCAGCTCACGTTAATGGCCAACACGACGGTCTTGGCGACCCACACATTAAGTCAAAATTAAGGTAAATATCGAGACTGCTTCAAAATTGACACCAAATCGTGGTTGACCTATCAAGGACGAAACTTAGTGGTAACACAGGGTTTTAGTCGAGCCGATAGAATTGAGGGACCTTACTAGTGTTCGATCATAGGTGAGGTAAGAGGGTTGTCCGGCCTAGCTCCATTGAGTCCAGCCAGTGATTTGGCGCATTGACGTGGCATCTAGTGGTCAAAATTCCATATTGGTATGTGGTATGTTCTTGGGCTTGGTCCGGCCACTGATTATAACGGCTGAGGAACTGGCTTGGGCCGCAATGCGACAGGCCTATGCCGTCTCACCCACCACTAAAGCTCTTATGCCCATGTCGTTCCTCTTTCAAACGATAAAAGTATGTTCACCTATTTGTACAAATTGTTTGCCACACATGCTGTGCCTCGCAGCGTCTTTGATGTATTTTTGGGCACTTGGCGTCTTACCAAGGCCAAGCCCGTCAGATTTGGCGGAGTGGGGCTTTTCTTGCGGAGTTGCGGAATACAGTATTGAGTTCACTACGTCCACCACCAGAATCTCCGCCTACAGGATCCCTGTGGTCTTCACAAAACACCGCAGTCTATTCTACAGCATTGATCTAAATGCAATGGAAGATTTCACAGCAACAGACAGCTTGCCGAAAACGAGACAGAAAAATTGTAACAGCTGTGTTCAGGCCAAGAGGCGATCTGACAGGGGACGCCGATATGCTCTAGATGTGCGGTTAAGAAGATTGCCTGCATCTACGGCAAGACTAGTCAGCGTCAGCCCTTTTCATGGGTAGACTAGCATTCGGAAGCACCCCACGTTCTCCCGTCGCCCCAGGCCGGTCGCCAAACCTGAACGACCTCGGAACCCTCTCCATGGATTCTCAACTCGGCGTCGCTACCACCGAGTCTGTGCAGAACGATATGATGGACGCTTGTTTCGACGGCGACTTTCCCACGGACCCTTTCATCAACTTGATGGGCAATAGTATCACACCCAACCAGGATCAATGGCTTGCCCAAATCGAGCAAGGGGCAGTGCACGAACGACCGAGCAGTCCAGTAGATGAAGAGGTTATAAGAGCCTATGAGAAGATGGCTGGCGTTTGTGTGAGACCGACCCAACTCCCGCTCCTGTCGGATATGCCGCCGTCGCCCGCGATCGTCTGCCGCCTGTCTTGGAATACCGATTCTAATCGTCTCGTTTCAGGCACATGTAGAGCCATGGCATCTCTATGATTCAACAACAACACTACACTACATTGTGGCCCGTGTGAAAGGCTTTATAACAGACATTGCTACGCGAAACGCCACGCCTTTCCTGCATCGCTATCTCTACCGAGACCACACACCACCATGCATCCTATCCTGCTTCGCCACCAGTGTGCTCTACGCAAACCGCACAGAGGCTAACACAGCCGTGGTCATGCGAGCTCTTCACAGCAGCGTGAGAGAATTTGTTGACGCCGAGATCGGTCGTGTCGTAGCAATGCCAGCAGAGAAGCTTGCGCGGACCCAGGCGCTAGATCATTCGTCTACTTGATGGGGATGTCACCCTACGCGCACAGGGTGAGAGTGACATTCCATTACTACAGACATGGTTAGGTGATCTGCGCAAGGCGCGCGAGAACTTGGGAGAGTTGACACAGCTTGGGGATAGTGCGAAGAGAATGCGACACCCAGGAGAGTGGGAGGTGAGTACTACTTAATGTCGCTAACGACCTACTCGCTCACTAGTTTCGCGACTGTCAGAGATGGATCTTCGCAGAATCGGTGCGAAGGACCACTATAATAGTGCACTCTTTCCTAGAGGTGTATGAAATGTTGAAAGGTCTCGAGAAAAATGGTCTTAACCTTCTCCCTTTTGTTCTGCCTGAGTGCTGATGGAAGAGTAGACGATCCAGGGGTTTGAGCATACGTTCATCGCTGGACTCTATCCCGGCATCTATGGGAAGCGGATTCTTCGTTCGAATTTGTTCGCCTGTGGAAAGAAAAGCCCCATTTCATCATCACTAACTACTCTTTTGAGCATTTTCTCGAGTATGGAAGAGGCGAGGATGTAGACGAGTTAGCCGAGATCCTTTGGAGCGTGTAAGTACCTAAATGTGGATACCTAACCGTTGAAAACAGTGCTGACAAGCCACCAAAATTACATGGGCGTTGATGAGACAAATGAGTTCATCTCCGCAAAGAATATCAACAAATAAGGTGACCTACTAAGCTCTGTATATATACTGTACCTGATACCTGTCAAACTTCCTGTACAACTTGAATTGAACGAGTGTGCTCTGTCTGTTTGGCAACTGGTCCTACCAGATTGCCAGTCTATATACACATTTGGCTGACCCTTTTCTACTCCTATTCCTACTCCCTTTCCAATAACGGGGCACTGGCCACCGTCAACGCGGCAGCCGTAGTAAAAATTAATAGGAAGATTCTTACCATTCACAGTTCAGATATATAGTCACTGCATTGATCTGGACCTGGCCGAAGTCCAATACTTGAGCCAACCTCAGTCCGCGTGCGTAGGTCGTTGTAAATATCAACGCAGAACAACCGTAGTTGTATCATTAGCCAGTGTCAACACTTCCTCATCGTCTTTGACAATGAAGGATTCTCCTCTGCTAATGTGGGATTTTGGATTCACATTCGTCAGTATCGAAGGCTTCAGCGATGTTTTATCTGTGTATTTCGCACTACCAACCAAATATTCGGCTCCATCGGTGACGGCGTCTTCGTGCACGTTCGGCTCCGTCAACTATCACTGCGTTTCCCGCCGATGAGATTGCTTTCATGGCTTCGACAAGTTGTTTGAAAATTTATCTGTTACCTTTCAAGGACAACACTCCGTTCCGTGCCAAAGTACACTTTCCCATGATGGGCCAGTGCTGTTGAGTCATAAAAGACATCTGTGAGAATTGAGGGCAGACATACCACCACGAACACAATTCTCAGCGGCCGACTTCAAATCAGTATCATCTAGCACAATAGCGAGACTCTGATCTCCAAGCTCCATGAGGACAGGCTTGAGATACTTCGCGGCCACACTGCCAATGACCTCTCCGACGGCAACACTACCGGTGAACTCAATCTTCCTGAGACTCGTGTGGCTGATCAAGGTCTCTGCCACAATGACAACATCGGATCTAGAACGTTGGATCTTGATTCAGTACTCCTGCTGGAAGACCTGCTTCTGAAAATAGGTCCAACACAAGTTGGTGGCTCCATGGGCTGAGTTCCGATGCTTTCAGAACCACGCTACATCCTGCAGCCAAAGCTACGCTGATGCCTCCAAGGGATAGAATAAGAGGAGCGTTCCATCTAGCATCTTGGTCCGTAACGTGGCAGATCTTGTGCGGAATACTTACGGTGGAATGATCAAAACGGCAAAAGCGAGCCAATGCGCATCCCAGCTTGTTTCCATGATCTTTCTTTTCATGACCTCTTCGACTTCGTTTCCAGGACATCTGCTGCTCAATTCAAGAGTGCTTGGCGTTGATGAACTGGCGTTTTCTTCCAAGTTTTGAATACCTCAACTGGCAGTTTCAAATCGCTGCTTTCTCTACATTGACAGTCGCGCTTTGAGCAGAATGTACTGTTTCTCCCTTCCATCCTCGGATGGTGGGGAAGCTTTAGGGCTCCGGCAAAGGCATGACTTCGTCTTCGATCAGGTTGGGACCACCCGTGCTCCAGTGGAAGACTTTTTGGGTATACATCCTCTTTCTGGCTCGAAATAGTAAAGTAGACGTTCTCAGCTTCGATTTACTCGTGTCTTGGGTAATGTACCTGGAGGAAATAAGTTGAGACGCAACCAGTAGCCGTTCTAATATATTGGTGGCTCTGTCATGCTTCGAGGCATTGAGGGCAAGAGAATTAAGGACTATATTGGCCGTGTCATACAAAATCGAGAGTTTTGATTAGAGTCGCGTTGATTTTCAGGCCAGCGGCTCATGTCCGGTGGTCAAGGCTTCCCAAGAAGGCTTAGATCTGCGCGGGTGTAACGGAGTCTTTGCCGATCTCATCCGAAACCCTTTCACGGAACTGCTCTGATGGCTGCGATGGTCCAGAGAATAACATACTACACAAGCTTAAAACTCAGGCAATCGGCCTTTCTTGATTTGCGCTCGCATCAAAATCTCCAGCTACGATGAACCAAATACCTCTGTCCTTCGCTTGTGGTCTGTACGATCGATTGGTTCCTTTGGCAACAGGCCAGGTCAAACGTGCAGGCATCTCCTTGATCTTTCTTGACATACATCACCCCAGAGAAATCTTTGACCGTATGACGGGGAATCATGGATTTGATGCATCCGAATTATCCAGCTCCGAGTATATCACCAGATATGCTGCTGGAGATGTCGAGAAACCTAGAATTTATGGACAGCCATCATCTTCGCCACCGATGAAGACATTGAATATCACAAAAAATGGGTGGCAGAAGTCTCTCAGTAAAATGCTTCAAGATGACGAACTGGACGCTATCATCAGTCCTGACAAGCCATCATCTATGAAAGAAGCTTCCTACCTTCGACCGCTGTTTCCAAACTTCAAAGTAGTGGAGATGGAATACTTCAAGAAGACTGGCATTTTCCTATCATGCACCTAGTTGTGCTTCGGAGAGATTTCTACGATCGTCACCGATTTGCTGCGGCGTCTCTGTACCAGGCACTCAACGAATCGAAAAGCCTAACCCGACAAGGTCTATTCTATATTGGCACATTTGGGATACATGGTGCCCTGGCTCTTGGCTGACTTGGAGGAAATGGATGGAGTATTCGGCGAAGATTGCCGGCCTTATGGCGTCGAAGCAAATCAGAAGACTTTGGAGACCTTGGTCGAGTATCTAGCTGAGCAAGCAATGATCGACAAGGTCATTCCTGTGGAGGACTTATATGCGCCTTTGACCATCCTCGGGCTTGATGCTAGGTGAGGCTCACGCGTACAGTTTGATCATGGAAGTATCCGTGATGGAGGACGACACCGAAAACTTAAATAATAATAGTCCAAGCGGAATGAGGACGCATGAAATGACGTCCATTTCCACATTACTCTGGACGAGGCATGTTTCGGTTTGTTGAACGTATTGACATCTTGAAAAAAATGGCCTATTAACATTGTACGGATTTTGGTCTTCGGTCATAAATTGATCTCCTCAGGCAGAGCCGGTATCCCGTTCCTGCTCAATCAAGCCATTGACCAACCAAATAATCGTATCAAATACCGACCAAAGGAAAACCAACAACACGAGTGGGCGATTCGGATCGTTGTGACACGACCAGACATGTCGGCAATGGTCTATGTTGCTAATTGGGCAAGCCACTGGAGCCAAATTGTGGCAGAGGGCAAATGGCAAGCAAAGCGGCTCTGTATATCTAAAGTGGGCCACAAGGTTTTGGCCAGAATGGTGGACAAGTGAGGATGGGTTTGAACGAGGAGCCAAAGGAAGGGGAGTAGATTTGAGTTCTGGGAGATGCCTCATTCTCATTTGCCGACTAGTTCTGTGCCTGAAACAGACCATCCCCTACTACCACTAGGCTAGAGTATGGCCATAGAGAATTCCTCTTCATTCGTATCAGTGAGAGTTTTACAACATCTTCGTCCGTCGGTCTGGGCTATATATTGCTACGGCATATTATGCCGCAAGTATATAAAAAAGTCTATTTAGTGTAGAATCCCAAGGTATCGGTGTATCTGTTGCCGAATAAACGCCCAAACGCCATTGTCAACGTGAGAAAGCAAATATTGAACTATTCATTACTTGTAAAACCAGTACAATGCCGCATATTCCACACTGAATGCCGAGGGTTGGTCTGCACACGTGGCAGGTGGGGATCCCCCTGCTGTGTTCAATCGGTAGACGGCCTTGATGTCGCCTACAGTGGTCGATCGAGAGGTGAGATACAACCAATCAACAGCACCGTTGCCTACTCCGTCGACTCCGGCCACCGCGTTGGAGGGCGCCAAAGATGACTCTTCTTTCTGGGCAAATACTTTTCCCAAATCTGGTGAGGTGGGAGCATCGAAAGCAAAAACAGGAGTGGTGCTGTTGGAGAAGTAATGGTGTACGGACAGAGTGAGGTCGGATGGTTCAAGAGGAGCATCCGGATCGGTAGGAAGAGGGTATTGTAGAGCTAGGGTGGGAAGCAGAGCCAGGAGATCTGGGTAGTCGGCTGCGACACAAGATGAGTTGTAGAACCTGGCAACCGCTCCCACTGCAGCGGGAGTGGCTGTGGGGTTGGCACATGTATAGTTCTATCGCTTGTTAGTATCCAGACATTGCGCCAGATCGCCTAGAACTTACTTGTACGCCTCGGCCAACGGCAACATGCTCAAGTGTCAGACCAGAGGGATTAGGCAATGGTGTCGGGGCAATTGGCATGGCAGCTCTGGAAAGATCACAACGTGATGATGGTGTACCAGCAGCTTTGGCCCGTTGAATATATTGGAAGACTATATCGAAGTAGCCTGCCAGCGTTGGGGTCCATTCAAAGGTGCCGGCGGGAGGTGTGGGAGCAGCGAGAATTATGCTGGCCAGCGAGGCCAAGAGCAGAAAGTACTTCATTTTGAAAAGAAAGGCGCAATCGTCGTGATTATGAATATGAACGAAGGAGATGGCCTGACCAGCAGATCGTTTGGACTGCAAAGGAAATATTCAAACAGATTATGGAACTCTCGGTTGACCTGGAGAGGACGGGACTGTATATGAAGAGTAAAGGGAATCGGGGGCCACTTGAGGCCCCAGCCGCCGCAATATATGACATTATAAAGCAGACTGATATCGGGGCAAGGGTAGGATAATTGCCTTTTTCGACAGAGTATATGGAAGAGGGGCGATGTTTTCTATCTTGGGCGCCATCAGCATTCACCATTGGTTTTTGTTGGAGAGTGGAGCCCCCCTCGCCAGGCAATGCAAGACATGGGTGGGAGCACGAGGCGGCAAGGGAGATTTGGCCACTAACTTCTTCTGATCGACGTTGGGAGGACAGACAATAATAGCTGCGTATTGGCGCCCGCGGCATCGCCCCTGGTCGTCGCTGGCAGCTCTTGACTCGTCGTGGTTTAGACTGACGCCTGGTTTGCAAGCTGGCGCCTCCTTCGTCGGATGCTTGGGCTGTCCGGGTGGCTTCCTACCGGCTCTCATCAGCCGGTCTTCGGATCTTGTCTGGTTGTTTCATAGCCGCCCGCCAGCCGCTTCCAACCACGAATCCTGCCAATCTGTCCTCACCAGTGCATGACGTACATTTGCAAGCGGATACTAGTCGCTCCAAGGCGTTTGTCGATGCTCTTCCAGGTCAAGCTAGAGAACCTTGAACTCGGGGTGTGTTTCGGGTTCCTTGAAAGATAGAACCAATCGACCCACAATGAAGCGTTGTTTGCGAGTTACTGGCCACAGCCAAGTTGGTCGGGCCGAAAAGAGATATCGATGCGGCGCTTACACAGTACACTGTACTTGGATATTGCAATTGAAGCCGGCGGGTTGTGCTGAGAGTCCGATGGTAAACAATGAACGGATGTCAGTTCTCTTAGGAACTGCTTTCAATGTAATCGAGATATCCGTCGGGTCGGACGATGGCAAATGCTCATGTACCGCCTAGAAGGGCCTGTGTGTGTGGGCGTAGGATGCCTGATCATCTTATTCATCCCCCCGTGTGAAAATAGTTATTGCACATGTTGAAGCCCCTTAGGCGTTCCATCGGCTACTAATGTCTAGAAACTGTTAACGATGAGCCCTGCAAGCAAGAAACACAAGAACCGGGGAAGTTCTCTAGCTCTGATCTTGCTTATGGGGTGTTATTCAAACTCGCCAGGATCTTGGCCTGGCTAGCATAACTTTCCCTCCAGAAGGGCAAGTCGTACCTTGTGATTATTTTACTTCCCTATTGACAAAACAAGTCTTGACTGGGTTATCCAGCGAGACAGGATATTCTCAGATTGACTATTTCGGATTGACTATCTCAGATCATCCATTGGCCATCCACATAATAACGATTTGTTCTGGTTGGTCGAATGGAGGTCATGATCAAGTGACGCACGCCGGGCCTGTCTCACTAGACGGAGTGCTTTATCCTTGTCCGATTCTGAAACACCCCGTCGCAACTCCGGAAGGACTCAACGGTCCTCGAGGGCCGCGTGAATTGCTTCTCATTCCTGCGAACTCTGTGCTTCGTTAGGCATGGAAACATTTACACACTTCTTTGTCTGCGGTCCTTGACTCTTCTGTGTCGTTTAGAAAGGAGGAGCTTTTCTCGACTCGTCTCGACTGCGAATGATGCGGACGATCCCCCGGACCTGATATTAGCCTTAGCAAATGTTGGCTGATGTAAAGCATCTTTTCATGTTTGGTGAAGGGCCTGAGAATTCCCCTGAGCAACTCGTGTGGCCAACAAGGAGGATCCAGACTAGAATGGAACAAATGATAAACAAGGGTATCGTATATACACGGCGCGGCACTAGTGGCTGGCCTAGAACAGAATCCAAAATCTATCCAAAATGCTCTTGCGACCATTCTGGCTTGTGGGAGTCAGGGGACCTCATTCCTGCGCCGCCAGCTGCAACGGCCGCAGCGGCTTCGCCCAGATGGACGGTATTTCGGTCAACATCTGCTGTACCCATCCAATACAGCATAAGAAAGACCAAGACGTGGAGCCCGAGACAATACCCGGCGAAAAGATTCCGCGAAGTTCTTGTGGCAAGAACGATCCTTGTCAGCGAGAAGATGATCCTTTCGGGGAGACTCATACGTTTGTAGGCTCGGGCAGCTTCTCGGCCACGGAAAGCGGCGAAAGGCGAGATGTTGGCTTCGTATTGTGACTTCCACCGGCTTGAAGTGGCATCATCCGAGGTGTAGACGGAAGTGTGTCCAGGGGCTCCCGAGTAAGAAGATGAGGATGTTGTCGTTGGCCCCCGACTGTATGCCGATACGTATCTCGTCTTCTCGTATAGGTTCAGATTGTCCTTTTGAAGCGAGGCAACTTCCTGCCGTAGTGAGTTTACGGTCGCGTATGTTTTGGACAGCTCTTCCTCAAGTTCCTGATTCTTCTGTTTGAAGCGATCCCGTTGAGCTTGGATCATCGGCAGAATGCCAGACCCTCCGCCGACAGCTTCTCCGGCTCGTAGTGATTCCAGAGTATTGGTCCGGGGCTGTGTGTCGTATCCCGAAATAATCGACGATGTAGGGGAGGCTCTTCCTCGCCGCATGGACCCCGTAGGATGACGAGAGACATATGTTCCGGCAACAGACATTCCGGATGACGGAGGGACATTTGTTGCTTCTTCTTGCATTCGAAGCAAATCGTTCTCCAACGTCGAAGACAGTTTTTGCGACCTTTCCAGTTCTGCGTGGGTCCGCGACAATTCTTCTCGAAGATCTTCCAGCTGTCGATGAAGATCTTGATGTGACACTCGGAGTAGAGTCAGCTCATTGCTCAACTTCTTGTTGCGTGCAAGCAAGAGCTGCTCTAATGACTGTTTACTGCCGTTCTCCGCTGCACCATTCAAACCTGATTCATCGGCGTCGTCCTCGTCTCCAATTGACAGCTCAATCGACCTAAGCGTATCGAGTTCTCGCTTGAGATCTTCGTAGTCGGACCATTTACTGACTTTGGCACGCAAGTCTTCATTTTCGCTAGAAAGTTGAGATCGTTGCCTCTCTGCTTGACGAAGTATGCTGTCCCAACCTCGCCTGTCTGTCTCCCTCTCAAATCGGACAGATTCGATTTTCCGCAATAGGGAGGAGTTTTCGGATTGTAGTCGTAAGAATGACGGGTCGTCCTCAATGTCGTTCGTTTGAGGGTTTTGCGATGTGGCACGAGCAAGATCAACACGTAGCTGCTCGTTCCTGGCCTCAATCTCCGCGAGCCGGGCGCTGGTCTTTTCAAGTTCTGAACTCATCATTTCCAACTCCACGGTCGCCGCTTTTGAGGAGGCTGCGTCGGCAGATCCATCTTGAAGTCTCTGGGATACCTCGTAACTCGCTTTCAGCTCTTTCAGTAGGCGGTCTTGATTCTCTATCTTCTCTTCCAGAGCATGTTCTTTGGCAGTCCAGTTGTTTTGCTTCTCCTCCAAGACTTTCTCCCATTTTTCCTCGATTTCCTGTACGTGAGTCCCGGTCCCAGCTTCCGCGTCTCTTCTTGCCTTGCTCTCTTCTTGCAGTTTCCGTTCGGTTCCTTCTAACTGCATGCTTAACGTGTTGACTCGGGATAGTAGTTGCTGATTCTCGGTGGTAAGTTTGGGGACGGTGTCCTCGGAAGCGACAAGCGAATCGACCGAGGCCTCTAATAAAGGAAAAGGATCTGGCGCCTCTGAGAGGGACTGATACAGTTGAAGGAATGCTGACGAGGATGTCTTTCCGTGGCCAGTGATCAAATCAATGAAAGTCTGGTAGGCTACACAGCGTCAGCATTTTATTTTATTTTTTTTGGTTTTATTTTCTCAAGGTCAATAGTCAAAGGACCAACATTTCAGCAAGGCCTTGTATTCCGTCAACTTGGCAGCATCTTCGAGTTTCCGAAAGTCCTTTGTCTTCTGGGCGAGTTCCTTTCGCTCGAGCAACGCATCCCTTTGATGTGCCACGATCTCAGACGCGGTCGAGTCCAATTGCGGCATTAATGAGGAAAGATCAATACCTGGGAAGTCAGAATGCGGGGTCAGCACAAGGGGGGCCAATGTCATAAACATACCACGCCATGCTGCTATTGCCTTCTGAAACTTGTTCTCGCCTTCACCAGGGGACTTTCCTTCGACGACATCGTTCACTAGAGGAAGACGCTCTTCGGGCCTTGGGGCGTTGGTCTCCGACAAAGCCAACGCATCCATGGGACCGGCTTTGCTTGATGGAGGATATTGAATAGCGAATTTCCAAAGATCATAGGATAGACATCGACATTGAGAAAGGACAAACAGTATGACTGAGGACGAATAATACGGGTTGAGGCTACTTGCATCTCCGGAGCTGGCGATGAAATTTGACCCCTGCCCTTTTGGGACAAAGTAGATGCCGCCTTTGGTGAGTAGAATATTTTCTCATGCCAATTCAATTCTCGAAGTATACAGTACTGGAGTTTACCAAGGCCGACCTCGGTCTATAACGTTTGAAGATCAAAAATTAAAATTTCAGCTCCTCTCAGGTTCCTATATTATGGTGTCGCTTTTCAGAAATTGCGCATCATGAATAATGCTCCACGGTAATTGTCCCTCTCAGTTATATGTCCAAATGGCAACGGTACCAAGTCCCACACTCAAGGACCAGGAAACCTGATCCGTGACAATGGAGGACATCTGAAATCGCCTTCTCAGAATGGACGCCTTTGTTCAACATGATCAACGACCAGCCAAAAGACCAAGGCTGTCCCCGCCTGAACCAGGCTCATATGTTCTCCGCAACGTCCTGGACGATATTCCGTTGGCGACTGAGGATGGAAATACACAAGTGTCAATTACTTGTGTAGAATACTGGAGTATGCTCGGTCACCCCTATTGAAAGGTTGACAGACACTCATTACATTTCAGACAACAATTTATATATTGGAACCTCGGCGGCCGAAATTCTCCATCTTGTTTCGATCACCTCCGATCAGGACGACGACAATGCTCCTTCTACATTTATCCTCGCTTCTCGATTGCAACCCAGTGGCCATGCCGCGTCGACAGAATCTCCAACCACCCCGGGTATTCAACAGATCCTCGTCCTTCCCGGACCATTAAAAGCCTGCGTCCTCTGCAATGGAGTCGTATCTTTCTACTCCTTGCCCGAGTGTAGTCCAGCATTTCCTAATAGGGAGCCTACTGGTGTCCAGTGGATCGGGGGCATTGATGAAAACCAGGACAAGGAAAATCCAGAGGGTCCGGTGGTTATGATTGCAAACTCAAGAAGAATCCTGCTTGTCCGCGTCGGTGAGAAGCTGAGACCGATCAAAAATAACATTGAATATCCAGGCTGTCTCCGGTCAAGCAGGCGAGAGACAATTGCATGTGTGGCCGATGACACGAGTTATGCTCTGTTGGATGTTGAACACCAACAGAAGATCCCTCTATTTCCCATTTCCTCACAAGCGTCAGAAGAAGACGACTCCATCAACGAGGGTGGAGGAAGATCCCTTGTTCGCTCTGCTCCTCCCGTTGACTCAGGGGGTCATGGCAGAAGCACCAGCATGGGAAATTTGATCACCCCGACTCAGGGCGGACGAGAGAGCTCTCAAGGATTGCATGTCGAATCCTCAAATAGCGACCAGTTCACATCTCCCACTCCGAATTCGCCATATTTAGACCCCAGTAGCAACGAGACCGAGCGACCCAAGGCTAGGCCTCGTGCTTCCACTGAATCCCTCCCGACGAAGTCGAATGTCAATACTACTGACCAGCAAAGCTTGAAGCGTCTCAGGCCTCACATTCTCTCACCATTTCCAACCGAGTTCATGTTAACTACCGGCACCAGTGAATCGGAACCGGGCGTGGGGATGTTTGTCAATTTGGATGGCGACGTTGTGCGAGGCACCATTGAATTTGAAATTTATCCGGAAGATCTGCTGGTTGACAATTTTTGGACCCCCGAAAACGCGGGTGCGCCTATCGCTGAAGATGAAGGCCAAATTGTTGTCGCTCTGCTCAAGGAGGCCCGAGAAGGCACCACGGAACGGAAGTTGGAAATCCAACCGGTGGAGAACGCGTCTGAGTTGACTCACCCACGCACCCTCGTGGACATTCCGTCCGATACGATGGCGAAACCTTATGGTGGCTTGACACACACATTGAGCACTCATCGTCATTACTTCCAAATTGTCGGGGAGCTTCTGCAACTTGTACCATTATCAATCAACTCCTTGGGAAATCTTCGTGACCATCACGATGACGACCCAAGGACTCAATCCGCGGTGGAACAATTGGAGCAAGAACGAGCCTTGTTCGATAGCCAATCTTTGTCAACTCCAGTAGAGCCTTCTCTTGAACTCGTCAGCAAACGTGCTGCAGAGGAAACGAAACTAGCTGGTCGATTCGGACGAGCGCTTACCCGAAACATCGTGTGGCATGGAAAACAATTGTTAATGATTCTCCAAAATCCTCTGATCTCACAGTTAGAATATCGCCTGAGGCAGCATATGGTTGACAGCCAGCCTGAAAGCGTCAAACCAGGTCAGATCTTTGGTTTTTTGGCCAGCATTCATGGTCGAGAGCCGAAAGACGAGACGGAATTCTTGACGCTGAATTATATTAGACAAAAGGCAAGCCTGATATTGTTTTTACATCTCGAAACTCAATTCTCCGCTGCTTCAAGCCTCGAAGATATGTTCAGAGCGGTCGAAAATACCCTCCACGATGGAGGAATCGATCCCCGGATTGTTCTTCTTTTGGCACCTCCCCTTTCGTCCGAAGTATTATACGGACCGGAAGGTATATGGCTTCATCAGGGAATGGCCGATCTGCTGAGCACCTTTAAACCTCCAATTTCGAATTTCGAGGACGCACCCGTTGAATTTTGGATGATGATCCGACATTTTCTCATGCTATGGCAGGAAAAACGTGGATATGGTAGCATTACGGATGAAAAGAATGTGTTTGATTCTGTCGATGCTGCACTCCTTCATGTTCTACTTCATCTCGATCAAGTTCTCCCGGCGGACAGTCCTGCTCAAAAATCAGTCAGGACCAAATTGAATAACGTGGTCGACCATTGGAAGGGTGATTTCGATCGAGCAACTTTGCTCTTGGAAAGATATGATCGTCTTTTCGTTCTAAGTCGACTTTATCAGAGTAAGAAGCAAGCTCGCGATGTTCTGGGAACCTGGAAGCGAATTATCAATGGAGAAAAAGATGTCGACTACGGGTCCAACGCCGGATACATTGAAGCCCAGCTGAGACGGTATTTGACAGTCATTCGGGACGCCGATCTGGTTCAGGACTATGCTCTGTGGCTTGCTCAGCGCAACCCGGAGCTTGCTGTTCAGATCTTCGCAGATGACAATGCACGTGTCAAATTCAGCCCTCAGCAAGTGGTTCCGCTCCTCAAAGAACAAGCACCCGGAGCGGTCCAACAATATTTGGAGCATTTGGTATTCGGCAAACATCTCGATAAGTACGCCGATGACCTGATCGGATACTATCTTGACTCTGTCCTGACTGTTCTGGAGAAGTCGGCAGCAGCTCGAACATCACTGGCAGAGAGTTATTCAACCTACCGCGCTCTCGAGTCTCCCAAGCCCACGTATCTGGATTTCATCAACCAAAATGCTCCAGCAGAGACATGGTGGCAGTCGCGACTACGTTTGCTCCAGCTTCTGGGTAGTGGTGCATATTCATCGCGCGGCGATGCAAGCAAAGACCTAGCTTATTCGGTCCCAATGGTCTTGGAGCGAATGGCCCCATTTTCCTCCTACCTCGTTTCCGAATCAATCATCCTCGATGCTCGGCAAGGACGACATAAAGAGGCCTTGCGTCTGTTGACCCACGGTCTGGGCGATTTTGACACCGCAACACGATATTGCTACTTTGGCGGTCCGGCACCTGCATACCCCCAGACCATCGACGCCAGTGCATTACCATCAAGGGAAGTGCAGCGAGAGCTTTTTGATTTCCTGTTCCATGAGTTCCTTGTCATCGAAGACGTAGAGGAGCGCCTTGAGCGCACAAGTCACCTTCTCGGCAAGTTCACTACTTTCTTTGATCCGCTTGCGATCCTCCAGGACATCCCGGATGATTGGAGTGTCAGGATGCTGTCGGAATTTCTGCTCAGGGTTTTCCGCGCCGCCACCACCGAAAGGAACCAAGCGGTGATAATCAAGGCGCTGAGCGCGGCGCAGAATCTGCAGAAACAAGTCGAATTCATCGATGTTTGCGAGAAGATGGGTGCACGGTTTGACCGAGGCCAAAGTGCATCTCCGTCAATTGAAGTTGACGGTAACTGATAATTCCATTCCAGGATGAAAACATGATGGTTTAGATAGATAATTCTCGAGGATTGTCGTGTGAGATTAAAATTTATATGCACCAGTGTGGATCAGCGCAAGGACACCGAGGGTATCTCTAAGCCAAAGAAAAATATAGATGTGTCGTCTGCCCTGTTCCCTTGCTTGCTTGCTTGCTCGCTCGCACAACCCTTGGTATCCCAAAAAGTCAACAGTGTCAAAAACAAAAAGAAAAGCACTCCAATCGCTTCGTCAAATCATTCGGCGTTTTTCCCCCTCCCCCTCCCTTTCTTTCTGTCAACAGCATCGACGGCCACCCCTAGAAGGCGGCCGTCGAAACACGTCTTCCCACTCACCTAGATTCGTGAGAATGCCGTTTCGCCCGTGGGCTCTTTTCTTTTGTCCGCGCCTCCTGACTGTGCCGTCATCGATCGTGGTACCGGAGCGAATACTTGACCCGTCCCAAGGACCTCCGCCGTCACCATACTGGATTCCACTGGCCGGGTCGTCCGGGTCGATCTCGCCGAGCTCGATCTTCGTCAGGATGATCGCGGCCAGCCGATTGAAGAGTTCTTCCACGTTCTCCCCGGTCAAGGCTGACACTTCCATCGTCACCGACACGAAAGACTTCGAGGCCCATCGCGATGCGAGGTCTGAGGTGACTTCGCGGCCTTCGGTGGAGGTGGTAGCGGTCCACTTGGACGTATTGAGGGACAAGTTTATCGAATCGCCGCGTGAACGCGTGGTGCCTGCTCCTGTTCCGCCAGAGTCATATGTGAAATAGGACTGTTTACTTGACGCACTAGAGGCTGGCGGCGTAGGATCTTGTTGTTGATGTACCCTCCCGTTCACGTTGATGCCCGGCGGTCTTCCCTCTGCCAGATCAGATTTGTTCCCCGCCAATATCACAGTCAGGTTGGGACTAGCCAGGGCTCTTGCATCGCTCAGAAACGTTGGCAACGCATTGAAACTTGTCAGACTCGCTACATCGTACACCAGTATCGCCCCCGCCGCGCCTCTGTAGTATGATCGACTGACAGATCGAAAGCGCTCCGTGCCCGCGGTATCCCATAATTGCATTTTGATACGACGCCGGTTGGATCCGGAACCGACTTTGACAATCTTGGAGGAAAATTCGACACCGATGGTTTGCGAGGAGAGCACGCGCCATTCTTGTTTGACGAACCGGTGTAGCAGACACGATTTACCTGCGCCCGAGGGACCGAGGAGGACAATCTTGGCCAGGTAGTCATACATACTCCCTAGCTCCTAAAACCATGATTAGTCTTGAGAAACATTGGTACTCACTCATCCCGGTTCGCATGTCATTTGGCATCGGATGCAGACTGCGTACGCACCTGATGCTGATCTGGCACAGAACTGATATCGGACGCGGCGGACGTTCGCCGTGGCCGTGTCATGTTGGCGTTGATTGTGTGCAGGACCGTCTGGCTGTATGTGCAGCAGGAGAGATTTGTCGACGGTCCATAGGAGACAGAATGAGAAAGGCACGCGAGTCGAGATAAGTTCGAGCGATGCCAACGACCAGGGCGCGCGGCTTTGGTTGTGCCGAATGCAGGTTTGGCTCTGCAATCATAAAAGGGACGTATAATTCGGCGGCGCCGGATTTACTTTTCGCCGATGGGCCTTGGGAAAAAGAAATAAAAATTTTCTTCTTACGACAAAGCAACCTGTCTGACATGCTGCGAGGCTATGATGGCGAGAAGAATGTGGCTCCTTCCATGGAGGCCACTCGAATGAGAAGAAAAAAGACGTGCTATCGACTCAGACAGTTGTGGCTGCGGCGAATTGGCTTCCAACTGAATCCAAGACAGACCAGCTTATGTTCTTGAATCTCCAAGATGTCTCCAAAATTGTAATAGACAAGTCTTCTGTGTGGTCCACGACATAGCAGCTACACAGACACAGGTATCAACAAATCTTCGCTGTGCTGGTCTTTCATCGCTCGGACTCGTCCACCAACTTGTTTCATTCCCTTACACCGGCTACCTGTCAAAATCCTGTCCATGAGGCCTCGAGTGGTATTCTTACAAGGGGGCCTTCCTCGTCACCCGTAGCTCTTTCGACCGACCCTTATAGCCTCCGCAGTCGCGCACACCTGCATAGTTACGGCGAATATTCATCGGTTCATCCTTCCTTTTCTTTCGCTTTTAATAACGACGGCGGCGAGAGTAGGAAAATGGGCCTGAAGAGTGGCCAATGGGTTCATGTGCCTTTCTTTCTCGGTTGTTCACGTCATTGACAGATACCGCCGTCAAACTTGGTATCGCTGGGACAGCCTAGCCACCAAATAGAGTTTAGATGCGATCATTGTTTGCCAGATATGGGGGGAATCTGGCTTTTGGCGGGTTCCATGGTTGCCGCGGCCCCGTTTGCCGCTCGCCAGAGTTTTAGGTCACAGATTTTCGGACATTGACAGATTTCGGGGGTCCAATCGCCATGCATGTCGGAGTAAACGACCGGGATGTGGGAAGACAAGTCTGTGGCTCTTTGCGTTCACCGGGTACGTGGTTGGTGACCGTTGGTCACAAAGATCGACAAATATTGAAAGACGTTAAGAGACAAAGCGCTGGCTGGGGGAAGCTCACCCAGACTCTCAGTCTAGGTTTGGCCAGCCTCCTCCGTCACCATCTACGCCGCCGTCGTCGTATAAACGACCTGCACACTCTCTGCCCATTTTATCCTTGCTTTACACTCTACTCGCCGTTGAGGCTCGCAATTATTTCGTGCCCTCTGAAATATTATCACCACTTGAGATCTACCTGGGATCAGCAATAAGCGAAATTACCCGCTCAGCCTTGCCCTCATCCCACCTGCCGACATGCGGACATGAAGATCACAAGTCAACGGCAAGCCAACCTCACAAAATCCGTCACCACCAGAACTCTCCTGCAAGTACATCGTCTTCGAACACTTACTTCTCCGCAAACTCAGATTCATCACCTCCTCCTCCCACCGCCTCCAATGTACAGCACCTCGGCACCACGAGTCAAACGTGTATCACCACCACAAATCCTGCTTGGTGCTATCGATGAAAACAGCGGCAACGTACAGCCTGATGTCCCGTTATCGAGTGACCAAGAGAGCAACCCTATCGCGAAACTTCATGTGTCCTCTGTGAACCGTACGAAGAGAAAACCAACTCTAGCCTCGATCCCAGAGCCTCCAATAAGCGAGTTCGACTTGCTCGTAGGTCCTCACGGTGAGAGATTCTCTGATTTGAGAATGAATCGGAAAATGGAGTATCCAAAGAGCAGAGGAGGCTGGAAGAGATTGATGTGTCTTGAGTGAGTTTCGGTCCATAAGCAGCGTCCCTCATCTTTACACCTGTGTGCGATCGAATGCTCATCAGAGAAACAGCTAGCCTGGGAGTACCTTTCCAGCTCGGACGGGAGACCAAAAGCTTTTTTTTTCCCCTTCTCTCAGAACAAAGGTCAACGGTCATAAGATATATTTGATCCTACAATGTATCTTCGAAAAGGGCACGGTACCAGGAATGACAGGCAATTCTGAACGACAGTATGATGTGGCGATGGCGCCGTACAATATCATGACTCAGCGCAGGTGTTTGGTGCATGAATATGGGGTCAGATTTAAGCAGCTTCAATGGAGTTGAAACTTTTGTCCAGACATTTTCATATTCGCTCTCCACTCGGTCTTTCCTTGCAAATCAAAGGGCGTGCTTATGAACCTTTTTGGAGTATCCGTAGCTAATAGAGTTGTTTCGAGTGTTCTTCTGTATTCTCCGCACCAGTATCATCCCTCACTCAAATCGTGGTTTCAGCTCATGTGACAAACGCATCACATACCTGCAATCATGTTATTGAAATGCTTTATCACTCGAATATATGCGCTGCCGCGGTTCCAGGACTTTGATCTCAGGAAAAATGCCATATTATCACGAAACATATCCATCGCTGAACTGACTTCCCGTCTCTCTTTGCTCGTGTCATACACCCACCCTACCGCACTGAACTTATTCTAGTCTCTCTGCTCTCGGCACGCAAGTACCGGATTCAATGGCTTCATTAATCGTCGCAGCTGGAATTTTGGTGCATAATAAAGTCCACGACAAGAAACAGGCCAAGCGAGAGAAGAAACGCCTGGCATATGAGGCCCGCTACCGCGAACTGGAAGAGGAGTACGCCAGTCACCAAGAAAAATTGCCCCGGCAACGTTCAGTCCGAGAGCACCAATGTGAGCCAAGACACGGAGAGACACTGGGGCCGGAGGAATAGCTTTGAGAGTCGCCAACGAGATAGCGAAGACAATCCTGCATGGTGGGTCGAAGAAGTTGTAAGGGCAAGGTCGAAAGGCTGGGACTCAGGGTGAGTGTGGTGGTCATCAAAATGCGGGCCACGGTGGTTATGGTGTCGACTGTGCAGAAAGTTCGACAGAAACCAGAATGGATATTGATTTCAAGTCTTGGTTGATGAACGACGAGAAGCAGATGAGTTCCACAAGGGAGAAGAGTTATAGAGATTTTCTGCAAGCACGGCCAATCCATGACTCCCTCCTAATGAGTCAAGTTCCAGCCAAGAGATACCAGAATTAGACTAGCTCCTCCCTGAATCCACCTATTCCCTGCCCAGCCCCCACCTCACCTTTTTGTGCTCTACAAATTTTTTGCCTTCTGCCGACTTAACCGAAATCTCAAACAGATTCTCTCGAAATTGATCCTCTTGATGCATCAAACCCGAGGCCTGAATCTTCCTCCTCAGCGGACGGACTTCCCCTTTCGTTCCTGGTCCACTCATCGTCTGTCCTCATCTCCGTTTACTGTATCTCGGCGAGCCTTATGCTTCTCCCCTCACCCATCTCGAGACTCGCACAATGTCCCAGTCGTCAATATTCCTTGACTCAAGCCGTGGTCTCCTCTCTTTCATATTCTACCAGATACTAATGCTTCCCTACATGCCCATTCCTTTGGACCACTGCTTGTCTTCACGCTGTGCCAATCTGCCTTCCCACTGTCCGAACCGGGTCGGACTATGGGCCTTGATGCTCACAATGGAGCCCAGAAGTCGGTGAGCAATATCTTGCCTCCTGCGCGGCATTCTTTACCAGGTGCGACCCCCCTTTTCCTGATGCTCGAATGGTGACCTGTGACCTAATTATTCACAGGAAATCGGTCTACCTTTCCAACCACCGTGCAGATCACGACCTCCGACAATGCCGCCACCAATAAACGTTCGCCGAGTTTGGCGCCCGACGAGGTGCAACTCGGAAGAAGGGACCCGAAAAAGATCATATCATTCAGCTCTTCCGACCCCGAAAGCCCGTACAATTGGCCCAAGAAGAAAAAGCTAAATGTGTTTTTGGCTGGCATAATAACGGTGATCAACAGTACATTGGACTCATCATTACCCAGCGGAGCTATTTCTTTCATGGCCAAACATTTCAATGTCACGGATGAGGTCCAATTACCCCTCCCGATATCGTGTTTCCTTGCTGGTTATGTGGTGGGCCCTACGATTTGCGGTCCTCTGTCAGAAAACAATGGACGGAAACCCGTCATGATTGGATTCTTTTTGCTCGCCACCATTTTCAATATGGCTTGCGCCGTGGCCCCCAACTGGCCAGCCTTGCTCTTCTTCCGCTTCTTGACTGGTGTCGGAGCTTCTGGACCTATAGCAATAGTAGGAGGCCTCTATGCGGATGTCTATGACGACCCCAGAGAGCGTGGAGTTGCAATGGCCTGGTTTATGGTGGCTACCACCGGAGGACCCGTTATAGCACCGGTCATATCGGGTTTCATCGGCGAAAATACCACATGGCGCTGGGTTTTCGGTGTGGGCACTATCTTTGCTGCTGCAACGATTCCACTTATTCTCATGATGCCGGAAACATACACTCCAGTTTTATTGAGTCGCAAGTCCAAGAAGCTTCGCCAAGAAACCGGTGATCCGGACATAATTGCCAGGACCGATCTACAGAAGAAAGACTTCCAGCATGTCATTACGGTCGTCATGACTCGTCCCTACCGAATGCTTTTCCAGGAAGTCATCGTCATGTGTGTCTGTGCATACTGTTCGTTGGCTTATGGAATCTTCTACCTTTATTTTGAGGCATATCCGACCATATTTTACGGCCCAGATTCGGTGTACAAATGGTCATCCGGCATGGCTGGTTTGACATTCCTGCCCATTGGTATTGGCGCTATCTTCGCAGCTCCAATATTTCTGGGATGGGATTCTTATTTAGCCAAGGCACAGAAGCGAAAGGCCAAGTGGGCCGAGAAGGAAGAATATCGACGATTACCTCTGGCGTGCCTTGGTGGGCCACTCTACGTTGTTGCCCTATTCTGGATTGGTTGGAGTGCCAAACCCGACATCCATTGGCTTGTCCCTGTTACTTCGGGTGTTGCCTTTGGAATGGCATTTTTGCTCATCTTCATGGCACTGCTCAACTATCTGACGGATGCGTATGAAATATTTGCCGCCAGTGCGCACGGAATTGCCAGTACATGTCGCAGCATTTTCGGGACCCTTTTGCCATTAGCATCTAGTAGAATGTTTTCTACTTTGGGTATTGCATGGGCGTGCAGTCTCCTTGCTTTCTTGAGCATGGGCATGGCATTGATCCCTTTTGTATTTATCAAGTTTGGAGATCAGATTCGTGAGAACAGCAGGTTTTGCCAACAGTTAAAGGAGATTAAAGCCAAACAAGCTACAGAGAGACAAGGAGAGGAAGACAGGCAGGATCAGGTTACCACAGATGGTGGATTAAGAGATGTGGAAAAGAAAGAGACTATGGATCCTTCATATAAAGAGAGAGCAAATTACGGGGTATCCGACAAGGTATAAGATTTCAACGATATAGAAGCTACGTTTGGGACCTGACGACCCCCCACCAAAAACAAAATATTTGGCAATTGGCACGTTAGAGATATTTTGGGATATACATAGCATGGCGCTTCTTGGAGGTGCATGACTCTTTAATGAAGGTGTTGATTCTTCATGGAAATACGTTCAAATTCTCTTCGAATTCCGGCAATTTGGGTCCATTCAGAAGCAGGAAGACGCAACGCTTTTGTTCCAATCAACTCATGACCTGTTCATCTGGGCCCGTTGCGATGCGAAAGCCGCAAGACTGAGCTTCCGGGCCGCATACCGTGTCGCGTCAAAAAGCCAGTCAAGTATACTCTCATGAACACACCTTGGTTGAGAAAACCTGCACCCAATGCTTCATCGCAGTCAAAAGAATGACACAACAGGGACAAGATACTTAGTGAACAGATCGATTCTCAAATTCGGACCCCAGTTCCTTGATACCAACTCCCTACTACACCTCACAAATTCCCCCCATGGCTTTTGCAACTTGTGATGTATTAAATGCTTTCCCTTTCTATCTACATGTTGCGTTCGTAACGTCCTCTTTATAGACGTTGCGGAAGTCTCGTTGTTGTGCAGAGCAACCATCAGGAATGCCGTTGTCTACGGAAAACTTTCTACCAGTGTTTCAGGGTGGAGCTGTGTATGATAACTCCCTTGTTCGACGGTATCCCGTCGCTTTCGGAACTATTCATTCGAAGTACCCATCTCCTCGAACGTCTTGACGAAGTCCAGAAACCCTGAACTAGCCAGTTGTCGGCCATCCGCATGCAAGTATCGTCATCACACGTTCGTGTCAGCCAAATCTATTTCCCTGCCTCCTACTGCTAAAGAAACGGAGGAAAATGCCTTAGCTGGTGACATATGACGCATCACCTGAAGCTAGAAACGCCATGACTTTCGCGATCTCCTCCGGTTTTGCTCCACGACCCATGGTGATATTCTCCAAAATCCCCATGCACATTGGAATCTCAAGATTGTGTTCGGCGGTGCCTGGTCTCGTCTCGGACGCGGGAAAGGGGAGTCGCACGGTGTCTCTAACATCCGACTGTGAAGAAGGCCATCTTTGACGGGGAGGTTTATAGCCCTGTCATTGTCGATTAGCTTAGTGATGTCTGCAGTGCGCATGAATTTGAATGCCAGCCTTCGTTGTAGGATAGATCATCCAGCGAACAATAAGCTCAGCTGGAAGATTTAAGTGGTCAATATACCTCATAGGATGTCCAGAGAAACATCGTCAGAAGGAGAGACGTGTTTTCTGCCCGAGGCTGTTTGGACAGTTGTTAGTTGAAGTGTTGGTTTGAGATGTTGGACTACTCGTTCATCTCTCCGTCGTTGCTTCTTGCGGGATAGATGTTTGATGACTGACGCCTTTGAGAATGTCCATTCAGTATCTTGGAAAGAATGCAGCATAACTAACGCCTTGAAAACGACGGACATCTGATCTCAGCGTATTGCAGCCAACAACCATGAACCTTTATCTGACTACTCGGACACTGTTGGCTCCGTGTTCTTCATCATGCCTTGAGAAAGGGCTCAGACTTTGGAGGTCCTCCAGCAAAGAGAGGATTCATGTTCTGCCCCATCGTTAGAGCCGTCCCTGAGGTTTCTCCAACTTCTACTCACGACATGGAGGTTCTAGAAGCAGAATGTAAGAACGGTGGCAGAAGGTGAACGATTTTGCAATTCTGCGTCATGTTAGCAAATGCTAGTGTTGTCCGCACGATAGAGGTTACCTAAGCCCCCACTCCAAACCCTAGCAAAATCGCGCAAGTCGAGGTACCAAGATATCATCATTGTCGCTCAATTCGCAACTTGTATAGATTTTCCTGATGTTGTGGAGTCCTATTTGACTCTTTTGAATCCCTCTTGCTACAGCCTTAATAGTCACTTTCTTTGTCGGCGATCTCTGGCGAGCACCCTCAGGGTGCGTTCCACACCTTCGTACGCATCTTGAGTTGTCAAAGCTTTTCCTCTCTCCTGGCGTCAGATTTCTGTTGCTGGTGGAGTCCATCATGCGGCCAACAATCGCATCACCAGGTTCGATTGGTGTCTAGTTAGGTCGCTATGGGACGCGAGTCTCTGTGGATCATAGCTATCCCGAAACATCCCTCAGACGCTGCCTTCCTTTCTTCTGGTCAGAGGCAGTCCGTGTGTTCTCGTCTCATTGCTTTGACAAGAGTTCCAAGTGGACGCTGCGGGCTCAAAGGGTCAGACTCTATACAGACCGGACAGAGTGAACATACATCCTGCAGTTGGATAAAGGTGTCGTAAAGAATATGAATACACAAGGAGGAGCCCTTTATTGTGGCCCTCAGATCACTCAATTTGATCCGTTTGACAACAGCTACATGACGCGCGCGGAGATAGTGCTGGTGTGTCGACCATAAAGCCTATGATCCCGCTTGGGGTTGTAAAATTAAGCGCCGCATTGAATATCGATTACCTAGGGTGCGGAATCTAAATTTCAGGCATCGAAGTGTCGGTCTCCCGATTAGCATTGGTCGGGAAAAAGAAAATTGTAACCTCTTCCGTGCCTGAGGCAATTCCTCCCTGGCTTCGATTTTCATGCGGGAAAGTCTCAATTTCTAAGTAGGACCTGTAAAACGCTTCCAGATATGGATATGTAAACATGAACTATCTGTCTTGAGCGTGTACGCGGCCAAGAACCACGTGGCAGCCCTGGTCAGACGGTCTTTGGTCACGAAAGGGGAGCTCAGAAGGATCACCAAATCCGATCACCTAGAAAAGTGGTAGAGCAAATTTACATTCTTTGATATCGTAATTAGGCCTGTTATCACGATCTGCTTTCCCCGCCGCGGTCGACCAACGTGGGAACTACACGTATTTGTATAAAACGAAAAAGGTACAAGATATAGAAGGTGCAAGATATTCGGTCTCCACAAAAATTTCGCAAGAGGTATTTGAGATCTCTGTGCCACCGCACTCTTTCTCGTCTTCCTAACCACGAATTACCATTCGGAGTGCCACAAAAAATTTGACAAATCGGGTACGAACTCGCGTCACCAACGGAACAAGTCATACCACTCGCAATGTCAGAGTCCGAACTTCAGAAATCCACCCTGACTACGGAAGATTGCGTCTTGGATGTCACCTATACTGGGGGGGGGCTCCAATCTTCTGATACTCATTCCAGGAGGCCATGACACCGGAGGTCCTTTTACGGTACACTACCCGGGTTGGCCAACTTGAATTTAACCTCTCCAACTTCGAATCCGTACACGGTTGCCATTTTTGACCGACGTGGCCATGGAGCCTCCAACCTTACTGCATCAGGCAATATTGTCACCAGTGAGCTGAACCCAGTATAGTCGGCCCGAGATGTTCTGATAATTACGAGGCACTTGGGTTTCGAACGTGCGTCCATCTTTGGTACTTCTGGAGGAGCCATAATCGCGTACCAATTTGCTGTGATGTTCCCTGACGGCTTGTCGCCCATGAAGGGCCCACTTTTGCACTATTGCCTGGACAAGAGGGAGTCAAAGCCGTCGACATGTGTTTGATGTCTATCAGACGTTCAAAACACAGGGCCCGAATAAAGCCATCTTAAAATTCATGAGCATGGCCCAAGGTTGGATGGCATCAGGTTCTGGGAAGGCTCCAGTCGAGGAGCGACCAAAATCCGATATTGGAGCTCGGGCCGGGGTCGGGACCGATCCAGACATGGTCTTCTGGTTTGAGAATGAATATGTTGTCTCCATATTTACACATCCAATTTGCTGGAATTGAAGTCCCACTTGCAAACGCCTTCCAAAAATGTGGCTTGTGCGTGTGTGGCGGGTGAAGCAAGTCAAGATGCTCCGTATGCGAGGACAACATATATCCAGAAAGACATATCAGGCTGTCAGCATCATATCTGGCTAAGGGGGCATTTACTCTATAGAGTGGGTCCGGATGCGTTTGTCAACGCGCTTCTATGCACGTGAGACAAGTTGCAAGGCTGAGGGTTCAGACAGGAGCGACAGAGGGGTTAAGGGAGCAATAAAGAAACACCCCACCCTTCTTGATATGAAAGATTCCTGGGAGGTAAGGGATGACTAGTGGTTGTTCAAGGCAATCGGGTTGTCCCTAATATACCAAGGTAGTAGGTATAGTCGTCTAGTCAACTTGGCGAACTCTCCCGCTTACATAAGCCCGTCGTGGTCCCTGAGCAAGTTTACTTTCGCTGTCGTGGTCTGTGAGCAAGTTTCCAGCGCACATTCTTGACTCTTGGCCACTCTCAACCTCCAATTTATCCACACACGGTCTGTGGGATGTTACGAGAAAACGAGCTTAAGTTTCAAAACGATGTACCTAGGGAAACTTGGGGGGAGGGGTGGTTCCATTGGGGCTTTGGGACCTGTTCAGCTGGCGGGTACGATTGGACAGCCCTAATAATGGCGATCAGATCCACATTACAGGGAACCTGCTCTTCCCAAAACTACTTGCTCACTCTTATTGAGAGTATGAATGAGGGAACATGTGTGGGCTATTATATAATATCCGTCAGATTAACGCGGAAAGTGAAAAAGCGACCCGACACGTGCTGGAAGAGTTTAATCTACCCCAATACCAGACTTTCAGCGTTTTCTCTCTCATATTTGTGCTTGTCAGGATACCTACGCGTGCCAATATGAACGATCGTGGGTGCGAGAAAGGTAAGAATTACTCACAACCACGACAGATCAGGCGTTGTTCCATATCGTACACATGTCTAACATTTTGTCCAAGACCCCTTCTCATCCACCCCCCGAAATGCCGGCAGGCAGGGATCGAGGTTCTGGGGTGAATACGCATTATGGGTGGGCAACATTCCCCCCAAAACCACCGTCATGAACCTCAGGGACTATTTTCTCCAGCCAAATCCTCAGGATCTTCTTAGCATCTCATACAATCCCGATGCCAAATACGCCTTTGTGAATTTCAATTCTGAAACCGGCCGAGTGGCAGCAATTCAACAAGCAGCCTCACGGCTCTTCGAAGGAAAGCGACTCGACTGCCGGATTCGACAAGATTCGATATCCAGATCCACCAAGGTAAACTACGGGCTGAACCAGACTGGCCCGCAAAGATCGATTTCGATATGTTGTGACCAACCCAATAACTTACGGCATAAAGTCGAGGAGTTGTCTCATTTTCCGGAATCGGATCGGTCGCAGTGGGGAAAAGATAAGTTCTATATTATCAAGAGCGTTTCTCTCCAGGCACTGTACCAAAGTCTGGAACAGGGCCAATGGTATATCCCCAAGCGGCATATTGAGCGTCTAAATCATGCTTTTCAGGTAAATACCGAAGTCTTTCGGCATACTCCCCCTTTTCAATATGGATTTTTGGCTGATCTTTGTTTATGTTGCAGACTGCCAATAAAGTGTACTTCCTCTTCAGCCTCAATGGATCAGGAGAATTCTTCGGGTATGCATCAATGATGTCGGAGGTTCGTGCGGTAGAAGAACCACCACCTACATCTCACCAATCAAACGACATTCACCAGATAGATTCCTCATCATCAGAAGACGTCTCGTCATACTTGGCGAAGGATCAACAAGAGGAGACACAGACATCCTTCGAATTACGCTCTCGAACTCCCTCGCTTACATCTTCCGACTCATCTACGGACTCTTTATTGGGACTTGGGTCCATTTCTTACGAACCCGAGAGGAGAAGAATCATCTGGGAGGCAACCCGGCATCAGTCCACCTGTCTTGACGAAGGACCTCGAGACCATTCAAGTCTGATGAGAAGCTCCGCTAAGCACAGCAGTGACCCCTCGTCTACCCCAACGCCAACAAGACTACAATATTCCCCCTTCAGTGGACCCGGGAGACCTGTCGAGCTTGGCAACCTCCTCAACACCACATCACTACTGGGCTCCTCTGGTACCGGTGCCGATCAATTACTATCCAAACTCGAACGCTTCAGCAGCCCATGCCGCATCAAATGGCACTCCACAGAGAATATTCCGTTCGATGAGGTCCGTGGACTCAAGAACTCCTGGAACAGTAACAACGAGATCCACATTGCACGCAACGTGACCGCCGTGGAACCGCGTGCGGGTACTGCGTTGATCAAATTCTGGCGCGAGAAGGAGGAGGCGAGAAGGATGAAAGTCGCCGTTAAGGCTGCGTGGAATCTGTTTTGAAATTCATGACGGTTTAGTGGATGCCTAGGAAATCGTCGATACGTGGGTCACCTTTTCCTTTACGGGCTTGTACAAGCAGCGACGGCGTCTGGCGTGGCGTGGACTGTTCACCACGGACATTGGCATACATCAAATTCTCTAACACGTTCATATATTTTCGATTACCTCTGCTACAGTAGCGGCCATTTCTCCGTGTTATATCTGCCGAACTCATTTCAGCCAAATCCACTCTCTTCGACTTTGTTCTTCGATGAGCCATGAACCTGGCAACAACCGATTCAATGAAACCTGTTTCAAAGTCCAAGACCAGAGGTCACGGCTACTAGCACGGTCATACTAGAAGCCAGGCCAATAATATACCGAACGTCTGCCCTTCCACTCAAAGCACCACTGGTGGAGGTCGCGCCTGCGCCACTGGCAGTGACGGTGACGGTGGTGGTCCCTGCCACCGACCCATTCGCCTGCTGCTGGACAAGAGGGTAGATATCAGTTCCGGTCGTATTTTGGCATTGGCCACCGGACAATATGGTCGCGTTGGCGCTGAATCTGATATCGGCACACTTCAAGAACAACAGTCAGACATCCATCCCTGATTGTTCTTGTGACACACGGAATTGAGATAGGAAACTTACGTTATATAAAGCAGTCCCATCATCGCCGATTGTTATGACTTGCAAGCTGGCATCCTGGCCATCAATAATGCCGAGATCTGCAGGCAAAGTCCATTTGGGGATGCAAATAGTACCGTTTCCGGTCTCGTTAAGCAACATCGGGTTTAGTGAGATGTTGAAGGTGCTGATGTTCGAGCCCAGGCCGAGATTGAATGAGACATAGGTCCATGGATGATGGAAGTCGATGGCGAGGGAGCCACCATCTAATGGCCATAGGGTTCGGTTGTTGTTGGATTCGTCGGTGGTGTTGATGTTTGCGCCTGTTGGCCCAAGTCACCTCACTGATTAGCGGAGTGTTTCGAGACGTACTAAGCCGACAACTTGTGGCAATGGCGACGACTGATTAGGGTGAAAGAAGTTCCACCCAACTTACATGGAAACAAATACTGAGACGCGGGAGGGATGAAGGAGTCGGCGCGCCAGTATGGGTAGATGAGTTCGAAATGGGCAGCAACAGAGACGACTTTTGCCGCGAGCAGAACTGCAATGACAGAGAGTTTCATAATGGTGATGGGTAATGAGATGACAAGGATTAGATGATCCAGATCAAGACTGAGAGCAGGTTTGGAAACGACTATGATATTGTCAACAAGGACTTAAAACAATCAAGGCTTTACAAGCAAATAGGTGTCGATTCGACCCGGCTGGGAAGAGGGAGCTTGATTCCTTTTCTCTTAATTGTTTTCCGTAGGAGCTCGCCTCGTGCCTTTGTATTTATGGTTGGCACTGGTTGTATCTCGGTTCCGGCCCACTTGGCAGATTGAACCTTGACAGACTGCTAGATCACAGCTTTTTCCCGCTCTTGGAATATGCTCCATAATCATGTCGTGCCAGTTATGCCAGTCACATTTCGGGAAGGATGGTGATAGAGCAATCGCTAATGTCGACGGCTCAAGGAACTAGATACAAGATATTATCCTATTGGTCCACGGCGTTGGGCGAGCACAGCGTGTGTCGGCCAAAACTTGCTCACTTTCATGGAGTAACATGCTTCTGGCTTTTTAGAGATGCTTGGCTATCGGTAGTACCGAGTGATGAAGATGCCGGCCCTATTGCCTGTCCTGGGCTGGGGTTCGGTCCAGAACAATACAAAGGTTCGCGTCAGGGTCCTTGGGTTGAGATGACACGAGGTGATAATGGTTATTGAGATACGAAATACAGAGCGAGATTGAGGTACAAAAAACTTCGATAGCAATCGCTATACCTAACCGACACTATGCTCGCAGAACAAATACAGTCCTTGGGCCCCTGTTCCTTTGTGAACGGCTCTCTCATCAGACAATCTTGCTACATAATTTCTGATTGAGCCCATGAATTCGGCTTTTCCACAGGCTAGAATTCCAGTCTCCCCCCAAGCATCTTCCACCACGGGTCGAATGAGAATATCGAGGTCTGGTCTTCCATAGCCTACGTTGAGAGAAGGTTTCTCAGATTGCGACTGTAAGGAAGAGTCTGATGCTGATATTCTTCTGATACTGTCGTCGACTTTCCCTTTCTCCACGGACACGTCAAGAGTGCTCATTCGGTGGCCTGAGGATGATTTGATTTCATCATCGAGTACGTCCGGTTTGGGGTTTTTCGGCTCTTGGCCATGCCCGAGAAGTGGATTCTTTTCAGATGGAGATGTACTCCTGCTCGAAGTAGTGCCTGTGATGAAGATATGAACGGCGAGTTTGGTATTTCGACCTTCGGCTGTGGTCAAAGAAGCCATGAATTGGTCTTTGAACCAGTCGAGCTGTTCAGGATGCCGGATAATCCAGATAAATTGGATCTGTCGAAGGTGTTTTCCTGACAAGATCGCTTTTTGGAAAATGGGGAAAGTAAAAGACGAACCATTGCCCGTGGCGATGAGGATCAAGGATTCAAACCGATCAATCGCGGGTGGAATTCCCCACGGACCGGTGAAAAAGGAGAGGAGAGTTTGAGGATTTTTTGCTCGCTGACACCGTCGATGAAGACGCCGGGTAAAGCCATTATGGACTCGGATATAAAATTCGAGGTGATCGGGGCCTACATTCCCAGAAAGTGATCTAGGGATATTCGCAATGGTGAAGGGATGGGCTTCAAGGATTCCCACACGAGGAATGGAGAGATAGAGATGTTGGCCCGGTTGCCAGGAGAAGCCGACATTGCGAACAATCACATGGACATACTCATTCGAGAGACATGTGACTTCTGCTTCGTAACCAATCTTTGGTCCTGGCTGACTTCGAACCCGTCGTTGGAATAGATGTAAATTCGTGCACAATGTCATCAACGTCCGAACCAGCCGGTCGAAAACTATGACTCCCACTGCAAACCACACATGATACTTGGCATAAGCCGGTACGTGAGAATGCACCAACCACAGAAGCGCGGCAGCGGCTGCAAGATGCTGCAAGAACCAGAGTTCGTAGCTGGCTGATCGAACGGGTGCGAATCCAGCGATAACCATCCAACCGATGGTAGCCCAGGCACCAAATCCGTATTTCACCATCGGCATCATCTCCAACTCCAGCTTGACAAATCCTGCGATATCCCATTCAGTGAAGAAAAAAGACCAATGGACGATCAGTGTCAAGAAAAGCGTCCGGGCCACCCAACGATGGAGCCAGTTGAGTCTTTCGTACGAAATACCGGTCAATATGGTGATGATGTTGGCTTTCCCGGACAAGATGTAGATCAGAGGCAACTGGGTGACGGAGACCCAAGCTGCGCGAAACCCCACAATTTCCCAATGATATGCCCAGTTGGGAGAAGACGGGGTGAGGATGACATTGGACCACAACATGGTCAAGATGACGGCCCAGTAAGTCAGGAGCAGAAGAATTCTCCCCAGTGGAGGGGGGGTGAAGTATTTGGTGAATTTGCCCGTGAACGTCCATATTTGCGGATATGCCAGCTCTCTGCAAATTGCGATCACAGTGTCATAGGATTGTGTAAAGGCATTTCCCGGTTTAAATGGTATGTGCCTCGGTTGCTGTTGGATTTTGCGCTCTCTGTTAAAAGGGTGTCAGTATGCAGGTCGACCAACGCATTCGCATAACATCCTTACATATAATATATTCTAAGTCCATCGACGACTCTGCGAAAAACAAGAACACCGACAATGGCGGCAACAAAATACCAGTATGAATGCGCCACTTTCTTGTTGGTCGGGGTGAACATGCCGGCGCTGGACATGTCCATGCCTCCCATGCCGGACATTCCTGACATGTCCATCTTGACGGGCGATGCTTGATTATAGGTTTTGTCGAAATATTGAAAATGCAAAAAGAATTATCATAAATAATCCTATCTTGAACTGGACTGGGCCAAATTCAAATAGAAAAATGCAATCATGCTTTTTTGGGCTTTATAAATGGTTGGCGTCGTCACCTCGCAGAAACCATTAATTATTGTACCATCACCCTGATCTGATGATGGGCTCGGTGATCCGGTATCCGGGTAGTCGATTCCTTGGGACTTCAATTGACCATGGATGGGCCTTGGTTCGAAACACACCGGATGTCTGGGAAGAAATCAAATCATACAGCAGATCGTAAGCACCGGCGAAACGCCGTAAGTTTTGCACGGTTGCCAAAAGTCGAGTGGGTGTGTGTTTGAAGGGAGACAAGATACAACACAGCGAAGAGAGTCGAGAACGACAGCAGTCAGTTGTCGAGCAGGGTATTCGCTTTGGTCGTGGCGCTACCTTTGTCTTATTCGAAGATAGGTCTAGCGTCAACATGGATGGAGTCAAACTCAGACGCCCCCGTAATGTGATTGGAGGAGAAACCTGCTCTCTGTTAGCCTTCAGCCTCATTAGCTCCTTTTTCTGTGGTGAGAAAACTTGCTCACATATCCACTTCCAGAGCGTCTTCTGCATATCCAGTTTAGTCCTCTGTCTGTCAAAACGTGATACTCCGTACACCGACGCACATGGTTGAAGCAGTGAGCAAGATAACTGGAACACCAGGAACTCCTGCTCACACTGATTCGTGAAGACTGCAAGGTTTCTGGGGAATAGAAATAGCTTCGGACTTGGCCTCGAAAGCTTCGGCGGTTTCGATCAGCTTTTTGGTCTCTTTGTGCCTCTGGAATCGTATCTGTACCCTAAATCAAAGATCCCATAACCGATATACTTCCCTAGACACGGGCCTGTCTGTTTGCCCATTCTTTCAGATCTCCAGCCTCGTTTAGCCCCAGTCCCCGGATCTGCCCAGAGGGAAACCAAACAAAAAAAATAATGTATTTAACAGCTCGTCTTGCCCTCTTGTCCCTCTGGGCTCTCTCATCTTCGGCCCATTTCATCCTTCAATATCCGACCTCTCTGGGCTTCGATGATGAGGCGGAGGGTACCTCCCCTTGCGGTGGCTTCGATCCCACCTTCAACAGCACCGACGACGACTCCATTCCCGTCGGTGGTTTCCCCGTCTCCATGATGAGCACTCATCCCGCTTCCAACTGGCTCTTCCGTGTGACCCTCGACCACCAAGCGCCATTCAACTGGACCAACTTGTTGCCTGTTGTCGACGAAACCGGCCTTGGTCAATTCTGCCTCCCCAATCTCAAGGCCCCCGACAGCTTTGCTGGTCAGTCCGGTCTTGTCCAGGTGATACAACAAGGTCCTGACGGCATTCTGTATCAGGTATGCATCGGTGGATGAACGAACACATTCTTCAAGTCTCCAGGGTCCAGACTGACCTCTTATTTTTTATTCTCTAACAGTGCGCCGCCGTTAACTTCGTCACTGGAGTCAACACCACCGTCAGCTCTAGCTGCACCAACGTGACCGGCTTGACAGCCACCATTACCGACCAACAGAACTTTGATACCAGCACCGCACCGAGCGCCTCTGGATCTGCCACTTCTTCCACCAGTGCCTCAGCTAGTGCTGCATCTGCGAGTTCTTCTGGCTTCGCTGCTCCCACCAATGCTCCTCAACTTGTGCAGCATCTCCTCGCTGCCGCCGGTGTCGTGGTCCCTTTCCTGTTGTAGATGAAAACGCACCGTGTTCTGGGACATGAAGAGGTTGGAAAAGATGAAGTATATACCTGATCAAACATGGGAAAAGATCGAACGCCAACACATGCCACCCCTCACCTCTTCTTTAACCAAATAGGAAGGGGGAAAAAAAGAGTTGTCGGAGGATGGGCTATTTTTGGGAGCTTCTTTGATTTTCAGGTTTCCAGCAGGCTAGCTGTTGGGTCTAGGTTAGGGTATTTGCGGGTCAGATCTGAATCGATTATTCGCCTAGTACCATAAAAGTAGACCCGTGCAGACGTGACGACACGAAGTGGTTCTCTCTGTTACTGAAGATCTTCTTCGTCTTCCTCATAACTTGCCTGGCTGTAGGTTCCAAGTTCTTGCGAATTAGAAAGGGCTTGAGGGCATCAAATCAAGGAGCATGCCGAATTATCCGGAAACATGGTATACCTCAGACTTACTTCTGGGGGGGCCATATGAAGTCCGCGGATCAAATCCAATCACTATCCAGGGCCCCAGGACTAAGGGGGTTTCTCGACAGGCATGTCTGTTGAACGTGATATCTCAGCCACAATATGCCGTGACTGAGTGAGCAGACTGTGCGTAAAAGTTTCAAAAAGTTCTGCCTCGGAACATTTGGGCGTTTTTTATGCTTTCGGTTTTCTATTTCTGAATTCCTGTCCTCTGATCCTACTAGCATTACCAAGACTCGTTGCCCCCTCCTCCCGCCTCTGGCTCTTACTAGTAGCCACTCATTCTGGTTTCTTACCCATAAACAACGCAAAGATCGCTCAAATACCTGTTGCTAAGAGTTTGGCCACTCAAGTCCCATCGGTTCCAGTACTTTCTGCTCGAAACCGATTGGATACCCCTTCTTGCTTGTCTCGTCGTTCCCGTCTTGTGTCTTCAGTCTGATTGGTCTAAAAGCGCACAAAATTCTCAGGTCACACCTCCGTACGTTACTGGGATGGGGATGCCCCCCCAGGTATGGTGGGGGATTTCTCCGGATAGTCTTCTGTATAAGTGCCTCGATTCCTTTCATTCTGTTCCTTTCCTTCATCGTCGCCATCAGACTCATCAACGTATTCCAACACTATCGAAACAATCGACCACAGTCACCTATCAACACCAACATCAATCCCGGCGATAACAATGGGCCCCTGCACTTGCTCCGGTCCCTCTTCCTGCCAATGCGGCCCTGGTTGCCAATGCACCGCATGCGGAGTAAGTCGAATTCGAGCATAGACATGAACTCATAAAATCTAACATCGCCCGATTCAGCATTGAATCGCAACATAGCCATATCATCAAATCAGCCATGACGCTCATTTCAGGATTTTCTTTTGTGAATGTATTCTCAACTTGGTCATTGCCCCATCATTCATTCGACTAAGGAGGCTACTCGGTGGTTTGGGGGGGAGGAGAGGAGAGGTACTGGTGTCAGCTACTTGGGGGACAATGCACGCCATTCAACGTGAGAGAGGAAAAAAATTCATCGCATACCTTAGCTGGTAGCATGTCATGCCGACACTCGGGCCGAGTTTCACAGATCGAGGTCAACATGAATGAAATGGATCGGTGACTTGAGAAAATAGCTGGTTGCACTCATCATTTTGACGTTCTTGACACTGAGAATGCGGACGTTTACATGCTTTGGGCCATATACCATCACTGTCCTTTTACCCAAATTTTATCTCGCAAGGCTCGTCCACTTTTCTTTATCCTGTCGTCCAGTTGTCACAAACGACTCGCCAATCCGACCAAGTTGCCGTATATGACTGCTGCGTCGCCGAGATACCTTTTTTCTGCAGTCTTCCAATTCAACACATCCCATATCTTGCTTACATATTCTTTTTTATTATTCCAGTATTGTAAGTAATACGCATGCTCCCACATGTCGATGCCTAATAGAGCCATCTTTCCGGGTGGCGGAAGGTCCTGGTCCTTGGACGTCGTGATCTCCAGTACACTGCCGTTGTTGGCTTGTGATTTGACGAGCCAAACCCAGCCGGACCCTTGGATTGCGAGCGCCGTGGCTTCAAGCGTGGTTTTGAAGGTCTCGACACTGCCCCATCGTTGGAGAATACCTTGATGCAGCTGGGGCGCTGCGCTGGCAAGATTGGCGTCACCTGTCGACGCAGGAGAAAGGTTCTCCCAGAACAAGGTGTGGTTAATATGTCCGCCGGCGTTGAATTTGATGGCTGGCTGCAACTCGAGTTGTTTGAGGAGGTTCGAGCTTGACAATGCTTCGGCGTGGACGGTGAGGGCGTTGTTCAGATTCGTTATGTAGGTCTGATGGTGGCGATTGTAGTGCAGGTCCATAATTTGACCGGAAATAGAAGGCTCGAGGGCCTAGAAAGGGTGATCTTTCGTTAGCTCATGCCAATATCAGACAGAAATCGAAAGGACAGAGACACGCAGTCGCAGTCGCTCGCATGGGCAGCTGTTACTGGGCCTCCGAGGAGAACGAAACACATCTGCATACATCTAAGGCATAGGGAAGCCTAGGCAACGTGTATTTTTCGACCGCCATATTTGCTCCTGCTCAACGGTACCGGGACGTGGACAGATGCGAAAGAGAGTACATTGAAAAGCGAGAAACTCTTCTATCACCCTGGTGGAAGCAGCTCATTCATCCGTCTTCGGGCAGGGAAGACCGCACTGCCCGTTCCCCTCCTCGGCAACGGTTCATAAGCGAGCGGATTGTCATCACGATCTCAATATCTGCCGTGTCGCACGAAATGTGCTCATGTGCGCATTCGTATCTTTCTCATTGCTGCTTGTCTGAGCTTGGCAACTCAAGACAAGGATAACCTGTTTGGTGTTGCGCACGAGAAGTGGGACCCATTTAAGGTCCTCGATTCCAGTTCTCTTTTTGATTCGAGTTGATGGACCTATATTTGTCATCAGGAAGTGCCGTCGCCAGTAAAAGGAATATGCGGATATATCTATCCTAGATGAACGCATTCTCGGAAGTTCCATGGGAAAGGCGGGGTGGTTTTCTTTTCACAAAGTATATGTCAAGTGTGCACCATGTCTTTCACGAACACTAGTTTTCGCACTCATAATTATTCTCATCCAACACGGTCCCAGAGAAGATAGTCATCCCGGTTCTCTGTAGCTGCTGTCGAAGTTGTCTCGTAACCTCCAAGAGGATATCCCGGTGTCTCAAGAGGTCAGGGCATTCGCTGGACCAGAATTTGAACTGAGACAGAACGTTTCCTATCTTGCCTCCCACAGGCAGCATAGAGTTCGGATTCGAATTTTGGGGGTGTGAAGATCCCCAGAGAATATCGAGACCACCCGGAATCCAGTTTGCGTGGCCACTTTTGGCAATTCCGAGGAGAATCAAAGACGCACACATCAAACTCCGCAAATCATACCAGAGGCCGTGATGTCGATGCTGGAGAGACCGCACATCCAATATTTTCAGGTTGCACTCGATGCCAGAGGTGATCATGTGATGTAGGGTGGCGTTTTCTTCATCGTCCAAAGAGTCAGACATGATCATTGTTGACACATGGTCGGTGACTGGGTTTAGGAGACTGTCAATGTTGCCTCGCGAGTGAGACCCATTTGTGCTGTAGATGTTGGCCGATGTCCTTCGAGACGTGATCGAGCTCGAATGGATGAAATAGTACAAGAATGGTTGGTACAGCCACGACCGCATCTCCAGGATGCGATTCTCCGTGGCCCAGCTTAATTCGCGGGACACGAAGTTTTCGGGATCTCCCCGTTGCGTGTTTAGCATTGGCGCCTTGATGGTGGATGTGGCTTCATAGTGCTTCATTGCTGGTGGAAGATTGGCCGACCATGAAGACACTTGGACGTCGAACTCCTGGGCGATACGTAGAAGAGGGCGAATGTTAAGCCACGACGTCCGCTCTTGTCGGAAAAAGGTATTGATGATTCGATTCCCAATCCGGCGAAGGGCAATCTCGGTGAGGTAGTAGTACCAACTCTCCTCTTCCCGACAAAGTTGCTTCGAATGCTGCTTGAGGAATATCTCTTCCTCCGTTTGCGGATTGCTGGCGACGTTCGAGGCTGGCGTTCTCATTGATTCGGCTCCTCTAGGGTTTGAGTACCCCACCATTTGTGGGGAGAAATGATGGTCAACCAGCACGGGAGTTGCCGGAGAGGGAGGAGACGGGAAAAGGTTTGGATGCTGAATATTTCCGATTTCAGACTGTGGAAGAGGAAGTTCAACCCGGAATTCACACTCCGATTTGAAACATGACCAGTACAGACTTTGCTCGAGTCGGCGTCGGTTTCGATCCATGGTATTGAGATGCGCTGCGGGAATCTCCAGTCTCCCCGATATCCCATGAATTCCGTGGGTCGTTTTGAGGTGGAGTTGAAACAAGATTGAAGCATGGTAGAAGTACTGCCACGAAAGCAGGGGTCGAAGAGTATACATCAGATAGACTGGATAATTTAGAACGGCCAGTGAGGAAGAGGACGACGATCATACCTCCGGCGAGAAAATGACACTGAGCCCCCAGAAGGGTGTGCTTTAAGGTCCCCAAGCGGCGTGAGGCCAGGAGAAAATAGGACTCTCCATCTTCCAACTCTCTGGCGAAGACGTCATTTGAACCTCGTCGGTCACCGCTCATGGTTTCGAAACCGCTCTCTTCAGCCCGAGTCGCGGATGATAAAGAGTCTGCCAGAGCAAACGGTTTTGCTACCGAACCCAGAGCACAAGCCAACAAGACAAGACATGACCACGCATCCCAGCCGAGACCTCGCTGCGCGGCTTTCCGGCCTTCCTCGACCAGAAGTTCAACCTGGAGTACCGGATTCTTGGTATGGACGTTTTGCAAAAAATTATCAATCAAGGCGGGAATGCGTTCTTCTTGAGGCGGCTTAAACCTTCTGTAGGGAGCAAAGACATCGTCAGTCGCTTGCACAGAAAGGTCAGCAAGACCATTTTCGTCCGAGGGAAACAAAGCCCCAATTAAAGCGTTTGGGCCATAACGTTTGTCGAAGATCTCCCAGCAGAGGACGCTATCTGAACTCGTCCGATGAGGCGGAATTTGTAAGAAGTCACGCGAGGGCTCCAAGGTTGTGAAACCTGCCTCGGGGATGGCCCCCGACGAGGGAGAGACTGTTCGGGGGTGCCGGTCAGGCAGCGACTGAGCGGTGCTCGGTGTTCTGGACACATTTGTCAGGGTGTCAAGGCCGGTCTGGAGCCTCTCAATCCGTTCGAGAATACGATCGGTCGCTGTCTGAAGTCTTCGAATGTTAGACAATGGGAATGTATCAAGTCATCGGCTCAAGGAGCATCATACGTCAGATTTTCAGACCCTTCATTTAAGTAGTGGCAGTCGGCCCCTGAGGATTTGCAAATATAGCACACGGGTTTTGTTCGATCGCATTTCACTTTTCGCATCCGACAAGGCTGGCAAGCCGCTTTCCGCCCGGTCGTCCCGATCTTCTTTCGTTTTCTCGGTGGCCCATCGGAGACATCGTTGTGGTGTGCCTGCGAAGAATGTACCGAAGCATCTAGGTCAAGGTGAGATGCCATCCTTTGGTCATTAGGGAAGAATAGTCGTCCATTTTTGTGACCCCCTACTGGTGTGGTCTCCTGGTAAGTTCCTTCGGCAGAGGGTAGTTTTGGGGGAGGGGAAGGGGAAAGCAGGATTTGCTGAAAGGGGAGAGGCCGGTAAGTCATGAATATGGCTCCGCCTGACCACTGGCTCTGCTGGTCTGACCATGCATTATTGATGGACCACCGGAGTTGAAATATCACGTGTCGGGGAATTCGGTGAAACTTTCCGGGGTGACATCATGATTGGGTAATGGGCTACTGCGGGGAATGCGGGGTCCAATTGCAACCTTAAATACATGAGGTGAATGGCCGTAAGGACGGTAACCGAATCGATACGCAGATCCTGAAGCCGGTTGGCTACAGACCCTTCTCGAAGCAACCATTTATCCCTGGGAAAGCCTCCCACATGAGGACAAAAGTTGGAGACGTGGGTCTGGATCATCATCAGGCGTACACGGTCACGTGTCGTGGAACTCGGCCTCTTCAGCGAAAACAATGTGGGACCCACCCAACTAGTTCCGGTGACCGCATTACTCTTTTCAGAAGGTAAGAAAACATATTCCTAGTCCGTAGCATTTGATCAGCTTTTCACCCCCGGATTCCCCCAACCGTGCCGATCTCGGGCGCATTCAGGAATACCGGCAAATGTTGGGAAGGATGAAGCGCATCATCAACATAAGGGCAGTCGACCTTGAGCAGGGCCGCCTCTGCTCCCAAATAAATCCTCCCGCTCTTCCCAAAGGCATACAGTTACAGGTGCCATCATGAAGAATATTTCCACGTACAACGTGGCCAACAGGCTTGAGAAGCGATCCTTGCTGATCGCCATCAATGCCGTGGCCGGCCTTTCGATTTTCTTCTTCGGGTATGATCAAGGTGTCATGGGCGGGGTCAACACCACCCGCAATTATGCTGAGCTCATGGGATTTGGCCATTGGGATGCTGACGAGGGTCTCGTGAAGGTGGACGATAGTTTGCTGCAGGGAGGCATTGTGAGTGCTGGCTTTCCCACCCAAAACATTCGTGGCACTGAACATATTCAGGTCGCCGTGTACTACCTCCCAGGGACTCTCTTTGGGGCTTGGTTCGGTGGCTGGCTGGGCGATCGATATGGTCGAATCTTCACCATTGGGTTTGCGGCTGCATGGGCCATTGCCGGGGCATCTCTGCAGTGCTCGGCACAGAACGCCGACTGGATGTTTTGTGGTATGTCTACGATTCGGGTTTTGAACCTCTGGTGCTAATTTAGATGCATTCAGCCCGAGTCTTCAATGGCATCGGCACCGGTATTCTCAACGCAATCACACCTGTCTGGGCGACTGAGACCGCCGCCTACACCTCGCGTGGCCAGTTCGTTTCCATCGAATTTACCCTAAACATATTCGGTGTGGTGGTTGCTTACTGGATCGAGTAGTATGTTATGGTTCAATCATCACTGCCACAGTGTAGCTGACAAAGTATAGCGGCACTTCGTTTTATGGCGATGGCACCTCGCCTTTTATTTGGAGATTCCCAATTGCCTTCCAAATCGTCCCGTTAATAGGTCTGCTCTGTGTGGTTTGGTTCATGCCCGAATCACCGCGCTGGCTGGTCAAAATGGGTCGCGAGGAAGAAGCTCGTTTCATTCTCGGCCGTCTTCGAGGAGAAGTGGGCGAGGACGAGGGCAAGGCCGAAGCCGAGTTCCAAGATATCCGAAATATCTGCGCTCTTGAGGTCGAGACTTCGAAACAACAGAGCTATATCAGCATGTTCTTTGGTATTGGATCCGGAAATCTCCATACGGGACGTCGGGTACAGCTGGTGATCTGGCTTCAAATTCTACAGGAGTGGATCGGTATAGCCGGTATCACAATTTATGGACCCGAGATTTTCACCATCGCGGGCATCAGTGCGAAGGACCGCCTTTGGGTCAGTGGCCTCAATGACATCACGTACATGGTAGGTCAATCCTCGTCGGGCCGTGGATGGAAGCTAAATTCATCCAGCTGGCAACGCTGATCTGTGTGTTCACGCTGGACCGTATCGGCCGACGCTGGACCTTGTATTGGGGTGCGGTCGGTCAAGGAATATGTTGCTTTGCCGCCGGTGGACTTGCGCGGGCGACCCTCGATGCATCCCCCGGCCAAAAAACTGGCCTCGGTGCTGGAGCTACCTTCTTTGTGTTTCTATATACCGCCATTTTCGGTGCGACGTGGCTTACGGTTCCTTGGCTGTATCCTGCTGAAATTTTTCCGTTACAAATCCGTGCTCGCGGCAATGCCTGGGGCGTCGTGGGCTGGTCGATTGGTAATGGGTGGTGTGTAAGTATTGTACAGGACCGTGTGATTCCCATACGACCCTCTCGGAAAAGAACATTTCACTAATCAAACACCTCTCATTTAGGTCCTTCTGCTGCCTACCATCTTCAAACGCCTCAATGAGAAGACACTCTACATTTTCGGAGCTGTTAATGCCTTGAGTATTGTCGTCGTCTGGGCCTTGTATCCGGAAACAAATCAGCGAACCCTGGAAGAGATGGACTTGGTGTTTGCTTGCGACAGTATTTGGACTTGGGACGCCGAGAAGAATTACCGCATCCTCAAGAAAGAGAACCCTGGGCTCGTCCAGGCGGCGCAGAGGGGTCAGAGAGTGGTCGATCCCGAAACCGGGCTACCAACCTCACGGCGCCCATCAACCATATCTGGACAACGACCCAGTCTCGTCGCGCGCAGTTTCAGTCTGTCGGAACAGAAGCCAGAGAGTAACGAGAGAGAAGTGCTGGCACATAAGTGGACATAAGGGTGGGCATGGATTCTGTTGGTTACGAGAAGGTCGAACGATCTCCCATGAGTAAATGAAGGTGTTGTCAGTGTGTCATGCTGGGGCAACGACCGAACAAAAAGGGGAGATGAGGATTCGGAAGAAAGTGCAGCCGGCTCGACATCTGTAAGTAAAAGCGTGCTGTACAGGCTTGAAGTGACTATTTTTTCAATTGGCATAAATCGAAACAGGCAGTGCAGAGGCTGGGGAGAAATCATGGCACTTTGACTCCGACATTGTGCGCTAGCTAGGATGTTCTTAGAATTTATTCTAGGTAATCTGGAAGAATAAGCAGTTAGCTCTGGAGAATGACCCTTCACAACCAACATTACCTACCAAGCCCATACTTACATAACCCTTTTTCCGTTCGATCAACCATCGGCCGGTCCTCTACCAATCTCCATCAGATGGATTTGACCACCAAGGAATTTCCTTCCCGTCGTAATTGAGGAACTTGCCAGACAAATTTTCGCGTGTGCCATGCTCAACCTACATGGGTGGACTACGTCGTCATCATAGCATGGTAGGAATCTGAATGATGCGAATAAAATGACTCGACTTACCATTGAAGAATCCCTTGAACACTTTGCTCGACAGTTTGAGGTTTCCTAGATAGCCCCACGATTTTGCTGAGATGTCTCCCATATCGGTTTGTACCCATCTACCCGCAGCTGTCAATCAGCCGGTGTAGATGCCTAAACGGAACGAGACTGAGACTATACCCTGGATGCACTGAAACCGCGATAAGACCATCTTGACCTAATTCAAAATGCAACTTCCCGACAAGCCAGTTCAACACCGCTTTGCTAGGTCCGTATGCACTACCAATTATCGGCTCCATCCACTCTCCGATACATCCCACGGAAGACGATAGGAAGATAGCTTTAGGAGGCTGCCGGGGCTTCATGCCTCCATCTGATCTCTTCATCAATGGCCAGAATGCCTGGAACATCACCAGAGGTCCAATGGTGTTAATTTCGTAGGGCTCTCGGAGTGCTTCTGGTGTAGTTTCCAGAGCAGTGGTGAGAGTAGTTGTGTGTACCCGACACAGCTGATTAAGACGTCGATGCGATCAATGTCGGGGATCTGATTGATAGTGGCGTTTGCTCTTTGTTTAAGATCCGACAAGTCAGGTGAGCGACTGAGGTCCGCTTGAAAGATGTGCAAGGCGCTCTTGAGGACATTTCAGATAAAGCCGTCGCTCTGTCTTCGTTTCGGACACTGGCAATCACTGTTATTTGTGGTCGAGCAAGAAGAGCCTGTACAAGACCGAGTCCAATGCCTCCACAGACATTTTTTTTTTGTCTTTTCCTTTCAATCCGGCGGGCAAATTGGCGTGAGGCCCAAGGGGCGTAGAATACCTCTGTTTGCCCCCACAATCAAGTAGACAGTGTTACTATCGGATTGAGACATTTTGCACATAATATGATTGAAAGTAGATTCTGTGATTGCTCACGCCTCTCGAGACAAGCAGGTGTTCAATACGGAATCTATTATAGTTACTGGTGATCGTAGACTTTTTATGCTTGATACGAAAGTATAGTCATTAATGCGTCAAACCGCAGCCTTCCAGGTGTGTTCAGCATACTTACTGTCAGAAATGGCTAGGTTGGATCGTGCAGTTTGATTCCCTTGATTTGTTGGGCGCAGTCAAATTGCTGCGCTACAAAGCACCCCATACCAAGAGGGAGGCGTCAATTCCGAACTCCGAGAGTCGGAATTCATGGTCCCACCCCTTTTCGTGATGGGCAACGCCGTACCAGCCGCCTTGATAAGCCCAAGACGAAGAGGTCTCTCGCATCGGCGAGGATCTGTGTAGATTGATCCAGGCTGGGGTTCAATGTGCTCGAGGTAGGAAAATGCCTTGGTCCCTGAAAACCTTAGGAAACTGGTGGTAAAGCAGGGTATACCGTAGATACTCTATGTAAAACGCACAACGAGGTACTGGCTACAAGCGCGACCTTCAAAGCACTTAATCTGACCCATTTGGCAATACAATCTCCCACCAGAAACCTAGTTGCAGCTCCTCAAGTGAGAATTTAGGAGCCATTTCAATATTCAACATCAGCCAGATGCTTTGGATCGTCCTAACGGACAGATATACCTTGACCACGCAGAGAAGTGTAGGATGCTGTTTTGAAATGATCAGGTGGTTCGACACCAAATTTCATCATCACAGAGACATCAGGATAGCTGTAGGTTGTCGGGGAGGTTTATCCAGAAGTCGATATCAAACTCCGTGCTTTCGTACCAAGAAAAGCCGTCTGCAGGATCTTCCAAACCACGAGTCGGCTGATGGGGTGATGTCAGAATCGGATCGTGCTGGACTGGAGACACGATGTAGTCCGATAAGACTTTGTCGAGGATCTGCTGTAGCGATTTGTGGGCTTGCTCTGAGAGTTTATAGTTGCCATCACCAGGGACGTGCATCCATTTAAGATTCGAGATGAAGACGCAAAGATCTGGTATGACTTGCGTCCACGAGAACTCACCGGGGAGCGACGGCGAGCGCACCTGTCTTCCTTGAAGCAGCTCAAGTGACAGCACCCCAGCGGTGGGTAGACCGTATAAAACCATGATCCAGGGAATGTAATCGGCATTTGAAGTGTGACAACCTCGGATATTGCTGACCTGGAGAATGACCGAGAGGATTCTGTGCGAGAGCTTTAAGAGCTCAGACCGACTTTCTCCGAGACGTCGGTATAGGGTACGTCGAAGCATGAACTCGTTGTATAGGACGTCGAGGTAGGCTTGCGCGGCCATGAAGGCTCGGGCAGGATCCGCATGGTTCCACATGTCGGTGTTGTAGCGGATGCGTTCGGGAAAAGAGCTAAGCAGCTCCCTGTTGCGGCGGATTATGTCCCTGTAGACGACTACTGTCAGACAGCTAAGTCAAACTGACACGGTCCCCAGAAAAGGAACTTACATTGCCTTCTCGAGCAGATGATCCTGTGGAGGGCCGAGTGAGAGTTCAAGGACCTCCTCTCGCAATCGCGATGAAAGCACGAAGCAACGGAGATACGCGGCTTTCTTTGAATATTTCCTGTTCCAGCCATCCTCATCAATGTTGGATAGAGCTTCTTGGAGTTTTGTGCCCTCAAGACACAATTCTGACAGTTCCAGATCAAGTGGAACGTGTATCAGGCAATATCTCTGGCTCAGACGAGGAGGGCGCCCAACAAAGGTACACAGGAGCTTGTCGGTTGAAAAGGCACAAGCGAGGGCCCTCCGACGCATCTCAATGAGCCAAAACGGCTGCTGCCGCAACACGCTCCTGTTTTCCATGTGTAAACCTCGTTCGATGATATGGGCTGATGCGTCATGGCACTGCCTCCAGACAAGGTAGTGGTTATCTCCGAGGACCTGGCTAATGAATATGGTGTTCTCATGAAGAACCCACATCCCTAGATCGCTGAGCTCACCAGCATCCTCGCAGTAAGAGACACAAGCACGACTGGCCTGGAGAATCCTTTCCATGAGGGCCTGTTTGTCTTGTTGTCGATGGCCAAAAGAATCGAATATCGGGTCATCTCTGGAGCGGAGAGAGCTACAGCAAAGTCCACAGGCAAGGAAGAAGACTGCGAGAGCTTCCCATCGTAATGATGCACCAGTGAAGAACTTGATGAAATCGACCATTCGCACGGCCTTGGAGATTGAGATTCTCTTGCAGGTATTTCGGAATAGCCTCTCGGCTGCCGCTCTCATGGCTGTCTCCGACGTCAATGAACCGTCGTCCACCAGATCTAACTTGACAGATCTAATGCAGTCCCCCACAAAGAAATCGATCATTGTCAAATATCGATGAAATTGCCCCCATCTTTCCGCGAAGCGTTGAAGCGCCGGAAAGTCATGGAGAAGACTCAAAACGGCCAGGGATTCTCTCATCCTCCGTGGCCCAATGTCGCAGGCTGCCAACTGAGGGTCTTCGGATTCGTCGGTCGTAGTGGTCATCACAAGATTGTCTACGTCGTTCTGCTCTTGGCTCTCAGTGAGAACAGCACGGTAACTCGTCGAGCCAAGGAAGCCTGGTTCCTGGGTAGAGACAAGTCTCGAGCCTAACACTTCATTCAGTAAACCTGGCGAGTGACTGACCCGATGTCTCTGAACTGTTGAATTTGCGACTCGATTTGCATCATGTTTTCGGATTCTAGGATTCGATCCGCTCAGGGGAGCCGGATGGTAGATACACTGTGGAGTAATGCCACGCCGTTGACATCGCGCACAAATGGGGAGAATGTGATCACAGCGGTACTTGGACTTCCTACATGGCTCGCATGAAGGGCGTTTACCATTTCGCCGAAAGACGGGTAATTCCATTCCATCCGTCGCGTGGAAGCATAATATGCTCTGAAATGCACGTAGAGTTGTATTTGTCGACGTCGAAGTCGTTTCCAAAGTGGATATCAGCGTCCAGTGGCATTAGATGAAGAGGGGTTTTTTCTCTTCGCATTTATTTTTTTTCCATGTCACAATGTTCAAATATTAATTAAGACACATTGTGGCATGGGAATTTGAAGACGAAGAGAGCTTCTCCACGTTTATTGACTGCTTGCACCTTGGGAAAGATCGATGGTAGAACGCATATGAAACATATCCGGGTAAACAGGAGGAATCGAACACTCCTATACATCAATTGCCGCTTCTCTTATCAATCTTGGGCAGTAACAGGCTAGCCTTCATGCATCGCTAAGATGTGGCCGCTTTATTAAAAATTCGCAACCTGACTGGCTGTACGAAAACAAAACAGGTCTCACACAACCGATCTGGCTATTCCGCTAGTCTATTTCGGGGCTGGTGTTTGAAGCGGCTATCCTTCTTCATAGCATGCCGTAAGATATAAGGGGTTCAGGTCACTGGACAAAGATAATATTCTATGCATATAAGTCCGTTCAGGACCTATGTGAGCATATGTCCGCTGAGAAATACAATGTCCTAGGTCTGATGGCAAGGCGGAAAAGCGCCTCGGGGTACTAAGGCCTCCGTCTAAACAAACAAATAGGATTTATATGGTCGAAATGTCTGACTATGAAATCCATCATCGGGAAACTTCAAGCAGTGGATCAAAGTCTATAAGAAAGATAATAAGACCCATCCATTTACGCTCCAGCACGACATCAGCAGCAGAGCTAGTTTGGAAACAATCGCGGCACTTCCGTGTTTGTCTCTTCCCAAACACGGCCGTGCCATGACTCTTCACTCGGTTTCTGAACTTTTCGAAGCTGGGTCGCGATCATTTCAATGTCTTCCCATACCCTCAAAATGTTCTCTCCAACAAGCTTCTGAGCCTGCTGTTCTGTGACTCCTCTCGCGAGCAGACGGGCGATCAAATTGGGCCATTGCGAAATGTCCTTGGGGCGTCGTCAATACCATCATGCTGGGGTCAAAAGAATAAGGGGTCTCATGTACCTCAATTCCCTCTGCAACGTACACGGTTCCATCGAAATCTGATCCGAGACCGACATGGTCCCATCCGGCGACCTCAGCCACATGCAAAATGTGGTCCACGACGTCTTCCACCGTCCCTTGGTCCGGGTTCGCAATGTTCAGGAAAAACGGTATCACCGGGACCATGACCACGCCGCCATTGGATTTGACACTCAACAGAACATCGTCAGGCACATTTCGCCAGTGATGCTGGACAGTGTATGATGCGGAATGCGAGAAGATGACAGGGGCACGGGCAATCCGGAGAACCTCGCGCATCGTGTTGAATGAAACATGTGAGAGATCGACCATCATACCCAGCCGGTTCATTTCGCGAACAAGTTCTGTGCCAAAGGAGGTGAGGCCCGCATCTTTGTCCGTGTTGGCGAGAGTCGACGCAGCCGTCGCAAATGCGTTGTCGCAATTGTGCGTCAAGGTCATGTAACGGACCCCCAGTTCATAAAATAGGCGGAGAGTGCCGAGAGAATTCCCCGTCTGGTGGCCACCTTCTACACCGATCATGCTTGCCACTTTGCCTGCTTTGTGCGTTGTTCGGACGCAGCGAGGGTCGATGCACAGCTGGAGGTACTTGGGATACTCTGCTATGAAACGCTTGATGAGGTCGATTTGCTCTAGAGTGTCTCGGACGGCCCACTATCATCCCATTAGTATCCAAGATCTGGGCGGGCAACGAGACGGTAAAAGTTACCGTGGGCTCATTAATTCCTGGCACATACTTATCCTCTGGTCTTGCCGACAAGTCAACACCTGGGATAAGGTCTTCCGGGCAGGGTATGAAAACACTCCAAAATTGGCCCCCCATAAGTCCACGCTTCATCTTTTCAAAATCTGTGTGACTCCCGAGTCTCTCCGATTCAAAGTCATGCTCGTAGATCTTGTTGTGAAGCTGCTGTCGAACCAAAATTGGGAAATCATTGTGCCCATCAACTAAAGGGGTGCTTTTCAGAATGTGCCTCGCCCGTTCAAGGAAGTCTGTCATTGGCGAAGCTGATTCAGAGCCTCGGTCCTGGTGGTGAGAACGTAGGCCAAAGTTCGGAAAGGACGAATCTTTGAAAGTGACGTGGAATAACATGCCACCTAATGCAGCAAGCACAAAGGTGGCAATTATCCATGAAGAGAATGGCCTTGACATGGTTACCGATTTCGTGTCGGGCCAGGCGCTCAAGGAAAGAATATTATGGCGCTTTTTTCTGTCGCTCATATATTCTACTTTGAAGCCGTCTGAGCAACAAGGGTATCCAGCTCCACCTGCTTATTGACAGATCGACCCAGAGTATTGGCACACCCACATATAGGCTGACGACCGCGTGTGCTCGGTGAAAGATATCTATCTCAAGAAAAGAGCGGATTTCGATCTAGGTCGGCAATTGCTCGTAACGGACTCATACGCTGTGGGTCGCGAAAGAACTCCGAATATTCAGCGTACCTCCACAACGCCGCCTATTAGAGAACCCCGACACCAAGGAACGGTTTTGACGAAAGGAGATGATACTGCATGTCCTGAGATTTTTTAGCTTGCGGAGATGTCCTGTCTTTGGTACAACTCTCTACCTGCCATTTCTTCGGACAGCTCAGACTACTTATTCATAACCCAGATAATGTATTTGACAGGCTTGCTCCAGCTTTCGTGCCTAGAATCTTGTCAGTCTCACCTTTGCGGAGAAAGAAATCTCCTTTATCACCCAAAAAATAAAAGGAGGGGGGGTTTTCCCCAATTCGTGTACCATATAGCATATGCTATCAGTGCTGAATCCGTCCTTTGATTTCAATCCCGTGCTATCGCACGATGAACTACATGCAGATAACGGGAGGAAGATTCCCTTCCACGCCAACAAATTAAACTCTGTTGGCAATGTGTCTACTCGACCGCAGAAGTTATACTGGGAGATGTGTTCGAGTTCAACTGGCTCACGGCTAAATGTTGCTGTGGCCACCAGCTTTGATTCTTTTCCGTGTACCGACCGCTCAGGCCCACGGGCCCGCGGGCAGTGGTAAATCTGGAGAAGTGGCGCTTCTTCGACAAAATGAGCTAGTGTTGGAGAGAAAGACGGCTGATTTCGTGCTCCAGATCATGTATGCGGATGTGGCTCCCGTATGGCCCACTAATCTGTTGGACTCATCCACGATGCTCCAGCCTAAACCCCAGCCTTTACAGAAGACACTATCGCCGGGCATTTGAATCTGTCACGTTTGCATCCCACGACAAGCATTCGGACTGAGCGGCCCCGTATTAGTGCCCAGGAGGATAGCACCTAAGAAGACCGCTGCCTCGTCAATGGGCGCGGCCGCAGTCGATTCCCCAGCGATCATCATGTCGGTTTTGGTTGAAACGATTCTTTTACATCAGGAGCAAAAATCATGGTCCCGAGCAATCGTAGGAACCTCAGCTGACACTTCATCGCCCAATTGTACTTTCATGAAGCTTAATGGTTTCAGAATGCGCGACCTGACTAGCGTTGGCCAGTCTTTCCCAGTAATCTTTGTGAGCAGTCCCGAGGAGGGCATACCCGGTATTAGAGTACGATAGGATCTATCCCGGCTTCGCAATCGATCGGTGGGCCGCAATCTTTGAGAGAGCATCACCCAGCGATAACGTCCCATCATCGACCAGCTGGCAAACAAGCGTCGCCGTCAGAAGCTTCGAGGTCGACCAGAGTGCAAAGGGGGTAGCGGCGTTGACCACGCTGCTTTTGTCGACGTCAGCGCACCCAATAGTGGTAACCTCGATCTTGCAGACGACAGTGAGTGCCCCTCCCACAAGCTCATCAGAGTGTCCTACCAAGAGACCTTGCAGTCCAACGATTATTCAATAGACTCCATGACTTTGATGGTCATCAATTGCTTTCAGGTTCTCCGTTCCGGGGGCCTCCTTGCGTGTGCGCGAATGAATTGTTGCTGTGCCAAAAACTGAAGAGCACAAGAACGATCACGTTCGGAAGGGGGCTGAAACCTGTACGATAAGTAATGGGCGATAGGCCGGGATTCCCCGTCGCTCCATCAAAGGTTGAAAGATACAAGGCCAAGGCAGCCTGTTCTCGGCATATTGAACGGCGAGATGATGAGAACTCACTGTAGTTTACTCCGCAACTCTTGTGATAGAAGTTCAAATCGCATCTAGGCGCTTCATCAGGGACGAGTATCGGAGCTCGTAATGGGACTATGTAACAGAATTCCGGCTGAGGTCTCCCTCCCAGTTACATGGAAAGTCATCTCCATGAAAAAGAGCAGAATGTACTCTAAACGAGTTTTGTTAGACCACTCAGTGTGTCAACGTTCAATAACGTTGCTGAGTCGCTGTGGAAATGCATATCTCTTTATGACTCACGGTGGCTGCTCCAAATTCGATTTAATTTCGGGATCATCTTTTCGTATCTCAGAGGCGCAGGCAAAATTTCAGCTGAGCTGTTCAAATCAGCCAAGGTCAAGTGTAAAGAGGAAGCTAGGCACTCACGAAAATTCAAGCTCTTTCAAGAGCAGCTTCATTCTTAGACCTCGCAGGTTTCATTTCGGGAATCAACATCCTTTACTTTTCAAGGCTCTATCATTTGGGTGCTCGTTTTGATTCCTTATCCTCTGGCAGGTAGCCGAATGTCACGATCAGCTTTCTCAGGCTTTCTCCAACGGCCGCTCAAATACGTCTCCTGCACTTCAATTGGAGTTTCGGGAGATGTTAATTCGGAGCAGGGATCAATTTCAAGTGATTTGGAAAGGGTCGTATAGTATGGGGGCCTCAGGCTCTGGCAATGAGATATTGGGATAAATCTCGATCAAGCAAAACTGTGACGGCTCGATCGTCATCGTCGCGCCCCCCGCCATGAATTTTCCGCGCCTCACGGTTCCGACTCCCAATTGTACAACCCAGAGATATCCTTCGCGGTGTATCCAGGCGATGGGAAAAAGGACCTAGTAAAGGTCCTGGTCCGCCGAACCAACCTGCTTCAAGGCCAACCGCACGGGAATGAGCCGGCGAAGAACAAAAAGCACTACATACTCACTACGGCTGACGCGGATGGGCGCGAGTGAAAAGCAAATGATTCATCGACGAGAGGGAACGTGCGAAACTTACTCCTGGCGTATTGATCGTGTACGTCAAGTGGAGCGTGATGATATTAGACGAAATGAGTAGTGCCAGCGAGGCAGTGAGGCGGAAGAAGAAGAGGGAGAAATTCGGTGAGGGCCTTCGTTGTGTTTGAGTGGGAGTGAAAAAATAAAAAGAGAGGCGACGATGGTGACGGAGACGAAAAGGAGATGTTGGATCTACTGGAAAATAAGTCTACACAGCCGAAGATCAGAGGACTGAAGAAAGCGACAGGATCCAATCCGCTGAAGACGAGTCATCAAAGATGGTAGGGAACAGGGGGCAAGAGCAAGAGTCAGTAGCTAGGACACGTGACGGCCACCCCTACGCATAAATTGGCATTGCTTCCGGAAAAGCATATTTGACTCACGGCTCCGCCGACTTGGCTGACTCCATCAGGCTTTACCAGGCTGTTCCTAGGCAAAGGAATCGGGGCCCGTGTGGTGAAGGTGTGGGCATGCATCGCGCTGTTTAGCGCCAATGTGGCCCTGAATCAGCCTCACTCCTCAAATTCCGGGCGCGAGTTGGGAGACGAGTTGCCTCATGCTGGGCTTGTTGGCTTTGTATAGCCCGTTTTCCAAAAGCCAAGGCAGACTCGGGCGCCCAGCCTTTAATTCTAGAAAGCGGTCTGCCGCTTTGGTCTCTCGTGGCCAATTCCGGGAAGTCCCGAATCGCGCAGGATGATGCAAAGCTGCAAAGATGACCACAGTCCTCCCATCCAATTTCGATGAAGCCTATGAAATGGCAAAGACAGAGTTCTTCAGGGAACTCAAACGACCTCAAGACTATGACTTTTCCAAATTTACCTCCATCGACGATGTCTACGACTACACGGAGAAGCTTCAGACAGAACAGGCCCGACATGGAAACATGCGGCACTTGAACAGAATCAGACCGTATCTCCAAAATTTGGAGCAATACGTTGGAGTCCTTGATACATTTTCGCAGGCAAAAGCAGACTTGTTATCTCTGATCTGGGTAAGGAGTGCTCTAGAGGAAGGCCGTTCCTCGTAGCGGCGATCAAGCTGACGAAATCATCCTACAAGGGCCCCATCAAACTCTTGATTCAGGTCAGGCCATCAATGGCTTCAACAATTTTTACCTCCGCAGCACACAATGGCTGATATCTTTGGCATCCAGATTTCCAGCACACTCGTGAAAAGCTATGACAAAATCATTGATACGATGGGCCAAATCGGAGATCGCCTGCCTCATTTCAGGAAATATATTGAGATGTTCAAGTCTAATGATAATCTGAAAAGGCTCCTGTTGGTGTTTCTCCGCGACATATTGGAATTTCATGTCACGGCGCTGAATTTCTTCAAATCAAAGAGTAAGGAAATATGACCAGCGCGAGATGATCCCTGCAGCTCACAGCTTCACAGAGTGGGAGCTCTACTTTGAATCCATGTGGCCAAAGTACGGCAACAAAATCACGATCATTATGAACAACGTCGAACGACATGCCGCACTTATTAGCAATGAAGTCACTCTGGCAAGCATCCTGGACGCGCAGGCCGCACATGCCGAAGCCGTGAAGACCTGCGAACGCGACGAAGAGTTTCAACGTCGTCAGGATTTTGCTACCGTCCAGCAATCTTTATCTCCAAAATTGTATGATGATGAGCTTGAACAATTTCGGAAGCTTCGAACTCCTGATTCTGGTAAATGGATTGAAAAGAACGAGGAATTCATCGCGTGGTTTAACGCCAGCAATCAGTCTGGGCGGGTTCTGTGGATTGAAGGCATTCCCGGAGCGGGTATTTTCTGCCCCCAATCAACGCTTTCACCGGTGATGTGTGCTTAACGAAAACAGGGAAATCCTTTCTCTCCGCCCATGTCGTCGAAATCGCCCAGCTTCAAACTAACAGCTGCACAGTTTTTGCTTTCCTCAGTTTCCAGGACCAGCAATTGACGACCGCCAGAGTTCTTCAGTCACTGGTTTTCCAGGTGGTGCTGGAAAATGTGGACCTACATCAGGTTCTCTGTCGAGAAGTGCAAAGCAATTATAGAGGAGTTTCAAGCAACACTGCTTGTCTCCAAGCTCTCTTTATCAAGATGCTTCAGTTGTCCGATCCGACGTATATCATAATAGATGGAGTCGACGAGATCGACGAGTTTGAGAGGTCTTTCCTCCTTAGGACATTATTGAAGGTAAAAATGGAATGTGACGAAGTGAGACTCCTAATTAGTAGCCGAGGTGAGGACAACATCATGAGAATCCTGCGAAATGAGGCAACTTGCCTTCGTCTCCATACCAACAATCTTCCGGACATCGAGACCTTTGTTCTCGGGAAGACGAATGACTGGCTTGGCCGCTGCGCATTTGACGGACATACTTGTGGTCAGATCAGGAAACTCCTCGAGCCGCTTGCGTCGAATTCAGAAGGTAAGTGTTCAGCGACAGTTAAGGAGGGGGATCGGAACTCATGGACATATAGGAATGATTCTTTACGCCAGGCTCATGCTGGATAACATTTCATATCTGAGTAGTTTGCATGATATTAGAGAGGAACTAGGTGCACTTCCTCGTGGGCTTGATGAAGCGTAAAACTTGCATTTGAAGATGCCTTGAATGTTCAAAGCTGATGTTTTCCCTACAGATATGGCCGGATTCTCGTGCGAATTACTGAGCGATTACCGGAAAGAGACCGCGACCAGGTCAAAAGGATACTGGGCTGGGTTGCCGGCTCCCAGATATCAATTCAGAAGCGTGAGCTTGAGGTTGCGTTTTCGATTCGAGAGGGGGACAGAATGGTATTGAGAGATCGCCGAGTCTTCCTCAATGTCTTACATTTATGCGGCCCCATTGTTGAGATTCGAGAAGATACCATTCGATTTGTTCACTTCACCGCAAAACAGTATTCAAACAACAAGGTTTGCTCTTGGAATGAATGCTAACCCTGTGCAGATATCTTGCAGATCAGCAAAACAAGTCATTCATTAATCTTCAAAACGCCTGGCTTGACATTTGCCGAACTTGCATCACGTATCTCGGTTTCGAATGCTTCGAATACGATGCAGATGAGGAGATTGAGCAAGCTATACTCTCGGGGGAATTTGTCTTCTTCCATTACGCTACCACCCAATGGATCACCCAATTAAGGCTCTATTTGGAGCACATCACAAATAAAACAGAGAGAGATGCTGTTTGCGAAGAGGTCCAGCATCTGGTGTACAGAAGAGAAAGCTTCAGTCATACGGCAACTTCAAGCGTTTTACAAAAGAGGATCCAGGATTTCCACTCTATCCAGGATGACTGGCCCGATCTCTCAACAACACTGTCAAACGAAAATGCATTCTTGAAGTACAAAGCGCCATTTATCGGCTTGAAGACAGGTATTTCGGACCAATCGACGTCAAAATCCCTTTCTGCTAATCAATGTCTCGCATGCCAGTCACGATATTCAACTCCGAAAGCCCGCTCAACATATTCTCTATCTATGGTATATTCTACCAAACGCTCGAGTCTATGCTCTGCTCAGGGATGAACCATCGGCCAGGATGTCATTGTCAGACGTTAAAAGACCAATATGGACTGTTTCTGTATAAATGTGACAGAATAGCCTGCCCCCGTCACCGACATGGCTTTGCCGACAAGAAAAACAGAGATCAACACCTGCTCGACCATGACAGACCATTTAAATGTCCAGAAGCTGGCTGCACCTTTGGCGAAATCGGATTCAAGTCAGAAGGAAGTCTAGCGCAACATATGGATCAACACCATCCAACTCAGAAACTGGCCCCGATGAAGCACCCACCCATTCAAGATATCGACCCAGAGAGTCTCGAAGTTGTTCTAACAGAGGCGGTGAAGGCTGGTGAGGAAGAATTTGTCTCAAGATTCCTTGGAAGTATTCCAGAGAGCCTTTCTGACAAACTGTACCTCACAGCCCTGCGTAGCTCTACCAGCGCTGTGGTTGCGCAATTTGTCACCTCTGGCCAGTCTATCGACAAAGCTTATGTTGGAGAAAGAGATAAATATCCTCTCACCGCGGTGCCGCTTATCGTTGCCATGAGAGCGTACAACTTGGAAGTTGTCAGATACCTCCTCACTCACAATTGTTCCTTCTACGCTGAGAGCGATTTCATTGACCATGGAAACGAGCAATCGCTCGCACGCAAAAGCAGGAGAGTGGGCACAGTTCTTGATCATGCAATTGACCTAGACGACCCACAACGCCGTCTTGAGGCAATTCTCATTCTAACAAACCACGGGTACGACCTTAGGAAGGTTAAACGGAGTCCATTTCGGCTCACGAGGCGTCGCAATATCGAGTCGGAGAGTATCATTATGAACATTCTAGATGTTATGGAGCACGCGCTCAGCAAGGACAATCTCAATGACATTCTCAAAGAGGAGGCAAGGAGTCGATGTTCTGTTGAAGTCGCGAGGTGGCTGCTGCAACGTGGCGCAGAAGTGAATACCCGTGGCAAAACTCTCAGCGCCGCTACTCCCCTTTATTCGGCCTGCGTTAAAAAAACAGAGAATGCTGCCCACTTTGCAAAATTCCTTTTAGAGTCTGGTGCTGATCCAAATTTAAGAACACAGGGCCGGCTTGCTGTGGAACTGAGGGGTGCCAGAAATATTTCCACATGGCTAGGTGTAACTTGGGAGGAGCTGGTCGAGTCCACGAAGCATGCGCGCGAGTCCGGCTGAGAATGACTACCCAGATAGTCAAGACAGATGCTTTTGGTAGACGATACAGATATGGATGTGAGTGAGGTGCACAGCATTCAACCGAGTATCTGAGCAGATACTGGTAGTATTGTAGTTGGGAATTCTGAGGTGTTCGGAGGTGTTTGGTGCCCGCGCCACCACCATCAAGGCTTAGAGACCCAGCGGGCATTAGAACATACGAACTTTGATTGTTACCCTATGTACGCATTCGTCCAGCCAAAGGTCCCAGCCGGCTTTCGCTACGTCCCAGTACTGGGCTACTTATGCGTAGGAATGGGTATTTTGGCACTGCTTTACTGTATCTACTTACTGCTTCCCTCACCAGCACCTTCTATAAGCAGTATCTTGGGGATCTATGCCTTCAGTTGCAAGAGCTCGGGCTCAGATTCGCAGGCCACGGACTCGTTCAATCATATCTCACCGCTTTCGATGGCTCACGAGGCCAGTAGCGCAGCCAAACACAGCCTTCAGCCAATATGACTGGGCTTCCCTTTCCACCTTGTTACCTGCCATTTCTCTGCCCAGTCCCCAGGTCACGAAATTCTGCTCTTAGTGATGTACCTCAACGACCGTCATAGTGCGACTGATCTCGACCACTTAACCACTCTCTTCTCTGAGAAATCCGACCTGAAATTCAGTTGATGAACATACAGCCTTGTCGGATCATGAAATCCAGAAAACCAAGGCGACACCGACGCTGAATAGATGGACCCCATCGACGGAGAACCTCAACACCTCTTTGCAGACGAGACCGAGTTGTCGCTATTACAGAATTCCTACCTCCCGAGCATCTTCTTCCCTTCTGCCAACCTCAATGGCGAACACGTCAACTTCGGAGATCCTAACACTTTCTCAGAGCCTGAGAGAATGCATGTCGATACCGAACTAGCACACTCAAAGTGGACCAACGCCGCCGAATGCCACCAAGATCATCCACAGAACCATGTTCGCGATCGCGCAGAGGATCAAATTGCCTCGGACGGCAGAAAGAGGCGTTCAACATACAATGACGATAGTGCCCAGTTGGAGGAATCGGAGTACACGTGGAATTTCGAACCAAGCCCAAAAAAGCACAAAGGAGACGTCGAATTTTATGGCATCACTTCCTCTCAGTGTTTGCTTGATGGGTCCCAACTGCAGAGTTCTGCTATAATGAGCCCTGAAAGTTTTAATCCGGCCGACTCCACCCTGACTTCAAATGTTGCTGGAGATAAGTGGTATCAGCAGGCTCATGCTCATGGACTCGCGTACACGGCTGACCTGCAAGATATGTCTGAAAAAATGCTCTCCTTTGCTGATCTCAATTTTGACCATCATGACCCACTCGAACTCGAAGCGGCCGAAACTTCGATGAAATTTGAGAGTGATAAGTCCTCATCGTTTACCGGGGAACAGTCCCCGGCGGAAGAGGCACGCCTAACCTTGCCGGTCAGCGGACAACCGAGCGAAAGTAGCTTCACGAAGCCCCACCCAACTTCCTGCGACGGAGGAACTCAGACTGGTGGTAAAGTTTTACCAGACGACTATACTCTCCAGCAGTGTGATACATGCTTCGGTATGGTATGTCTGGCCTTTCTGCTGTTCCTCAATACAAATGCTTGATCATCCACTCGAGTCGTGATATATGATCAGAATTTCCACATGTTCCCGAAACTGAGTGTATGGGGAGCTGATTTGCATAAAAGATCCAAACCAATTTCTCGAACTCAAAATATGTTCCAGATGACAATCAATCTCCAACAGAGGTTTGCTTAATAGTGCAGGAAGAGCTTGTCTGTTTGTATCACAGAACCTCGGGTGAGTTTGTTGGTGTTGCTGATGGCATAACCGGGAGAGCGCTGGGTCAACTCAATGGACAATTTATGACTGCATACCATTCCTTTATTCTGCTCCAGGACGGTTCCAAATCTGTCAAAACGGCATCAGCCCGACGATATAAGCTTCAGACTCTCATTTATGGTCTAGGCAAGGATGCTGATGCGGTCGGAGCTCTTCTATCGGCACATGATTTATTCCTACAGCACCCTCGAAAGACTGATCCCACTAAGCTATACTCGAACCCCCACTACCTCTCACGGCCAGGAGGAAACATGGACATACCGCAATACGGTACTACAGCGGCCATCGATACTTATCCTGATAGATCCGTACTCGACGAGGTTGGCCATGCTCGCATTCTGCGGATTTTTGACTCTGCTCAGGGTCCTCCCACGTTTGTAAAGCCTCAAATTGTCTCCGATTTGAAGACACAACTGAAAGATCATCAAATATCGGCCCTAGCCATGATGTTCGAGAAAGAGAACGGGGTAGTCGAAGATGCTAACTTCCCTTCCTTGTGGCAGATCCGGAAGTTTTCTGGCAACAAGAGATATTTCAATGTGATCACAGGGGCCTATGAAGCAGAAGGCTCCGAGCTGAGTCAAGGCGGGCTCATTGCAGATGATATGGGTCTTGGGAAGACGCTTACCGCGTTGGCGTTCGTAGCATCGTCAAATGCCGCAAACAAAGACAGCGGGAACCACAGCGGTGAGGGTTCGCGGCGACGACTTACGTCCCTTGTTGTTGCACCGAAGACAGCCATCCCCGTCTGGGAGGAGCAGATTCAAAAACATTTCGAGGACGGCACTCTGCGGCTTCACGTCTACCATGGCATGGCTCGGAAAAGCTCAGATTTTGCGTCTCTCGATTATGACATCGTCATCACCACCTATGAGACGCTCAGCACCGAATGGTCGAGGCACCCCGAGAAACCTCTCTTTTCCCATATTTGGCATCGTATTATCCTTGACGAGGCACATATGATCCGAAACAGCACTTCAGCAAAGCATCGTGCTGTCTGTGACTTGAGAGCCCGCTATCGATGGTGCCTGACCGGAACCCCTATTCAGAACAGGATCGAAGACTACGGTGCAATTCTCAAATTTCTCCGGATACCACCATTCCTATCCAAACACTCATTCAACCACTATATTGCGAATCCGATCCAGTCAGGCAGAGATGAGGGTTTCAGAACCTTGAAAACGCTCGTCGAGGCCACTTCGCTGCGACGAACAAAGAAATCGGAGTTGAAACAGAATGACCTTCCTAAGAGGCAAGTGATCGTTCAACCGGTTGACCTCAGCACAACAGAAAGGGGCATATACGATTTTTTCAAGGAAAAGGCTGCAAATATCGTGTCCGATCTACACGGGGAAGCCAGGCGCAACAACCCCCTGGGCACTATCTTGCCGACCTTGACTAGGCTCCGACAAATCTGCAATCACAGTACGGGGTTACTGCCGCCAGCGATACTAGCCGCTGCTGAGGGTTGTGATCAAGGGTCCCCATACGATTCTGGGCTTCAACAAGATAGATGTGACAACTGTCACTTAGTGCTCGCGGAGACTGAGGAGATGTCTCTGACGGCCCTGGACTTGCCTTGTTCGCATTTGTTATGTCAGAAATGTTTGTGTATGGCTCAGAATGACGAAAACGAGGGAGCCACTGATGGAAGCCTTCTTTGCCTCGTTTGCAGTGCTGTTCGCTCATCCCCTAATCAGGCCAGTCCAAGAACGCCAGCAACACACCACAGGGCGCTCGAAGCTGGCTTGGCACCTTCGACCAAAATGCTTGCCTTGCTCGAAAATCTCCGACAAGATAGATCCGCATCAGCTGAACCACCCTTCAAGAGGTAAGAGCAACTCAAATTCAACGGCTCAACCGTTTAGTTCTAACCGTCTTTAGTGTTGTTTTCTCGTGTTGGACACGGACCTTGGATCTCATCGAGCTCGTTCTGAACCAAGATGGGTTCAAATTTCAGCGAATCGATGGAAGCAAATCTCTGTCACAGCAGCGTGACGCGTTGAAGACTTTCTCTGAAGATCCAAAATGTCTAGTCATGCTGGCGTCGATTGATTGCGCCGGTTGTGGGTGCGTCAAGACAATTCCCACCCCATCTCTAGTTTTGATCTAATGATGCTCCAGACTCGATCTGACGGCGGCAAATCGCGTGCACCTCATGGAACCGCAGTGGAATCCCATGAAGGAGGAACAAGCACTTGATAGGGTATACAGACTGGGGCAACAGCGAGAAGTACTCGCAATCCGCTATATCGTGAAGGACTCGATTGAGGAGGTGGGTTAATTCAACCATTGCATTCCGACACAGGTGGTAGTGTCTCATATGTTAATTGGATACCTATTAGTACGTTCAACAAATCCAACGGAACAAAGCGGACTTGATTAGCCGATCATTTGGCGAGAGTGGGCCGAATGAGTGCCAAATTGAGCGGGAGCGTCTTGAAGTAAGCATCTGTCGCCCTCATGCCTCATCTGCCGACTCACTCCCACAGTTACTCAAAATGGCGCTGCGGTGACCCTTACTCTAGCCCGAGAACTTGTTGATGAAGAATACGGACGCAACATTCTTTTGGACTGAATTCTCCCTTTGTTGCCATGAGAGCTCGTCCAATCTCTTTGGGTTAGGACCTTCCTTTTTATGGGTACTATATCTCTCTCCACAACTACTTTGCTTCGACTGTTTCAGTATCTGCGGAAATCTTATCCAGCAGCAGATTCATATTCAAGCAAGGGACTGCTCCCATCTTCGGAAACCCCAGTGTGGTGATCACAGCTGACATTTGATATTTGACACCGGTCAAAATCACGACGTTTACTCTAACCAGCTTCTTAACATATATTGACGAACATTTGCTACCGGAAGTCTGTCAAGGCCCTTGTTCCAAATGTCCCGTATAACCATCTACGATTGAAGCGCCGAATTTCAATAACCCGATTATTGTTGCACTTTATTACATCTTACATGAGAATATTCCTCTGAATCATTTGCTACTATGATTCCCTCAGCCTGGAGCCTTGATTCCGTAGGGGTTTCTTTGCCGCTCGTTCAAAACCCCGTATAAGAGAGTGGAGGCTCAATTCTGAACATCGACCATGGAGACCTCGACGAAACTTCCTCCGAGATCAAATTCATCGGCAACCTGTAACTGCGGCTGCCTTGGAGCTTTCATTGTAAAGGTGATGAACGGTTTAGAAATTGAGCACCAGTCACGCAGGGAGGACGTTGGTATCAGGATTATAGAGCAACCGTACACGAAAGTCGACTCAACTGATTCCTTATTATAGATTGTATGAACTTCCCAGGGAAGATGAAATGACTCGAAAGAACTCAATGGACTCAAAGGCTCTCTGTTCACTCATGTCTGTTGTTGCCTGCCGTTCTCCTCACTTCCTGGCCTGCCCGTGCACTCTCTTATGCCTGTCTTGGACCCTGTGGTACGGCATGCCTCCTTATATAATCCATGTTCGTAGCACCCCATTACAGTATGCATGTCTAAACCTGGCTCTGTGGCATGATTGCAGATGTCAATTGAATTTGGCGCTGCTGCTCTATCGGAGAGGATAATCGAGCCTAGGTCAGGCTCGCTGTGGGGCCGAACCAAGCTTGATGCACCTGCACTAGCCCTATTCAACGGCAGGTCTTCCACGTTGAGAGACCCTGATATGGGACGTTCACCATGCTGGGAGGGCTGTTGTTGGGATAGTCCGGTCCCTTGAGAATGAGTAAGAACATCTCCATACATGTGTTCAGCGACAACGGTGTGATTTACTGACAATTGGGCCTCTCCGTCTCCAATGCCTGGGAAATGGTGATGTGTGTGCAACGTCGGGCAAAATGCCAATGGTGGCTCCCAGCGAGACTCATCGTGCCGCTCCGGTGACAATGGCCCATACTCGTGACGATTCGGAGATGTCTGAGGCTTTTGTATTCCAAGATCGCTCATTGCCGATGCCGCAAGCAAAGCAGCTCGGAGAGCTTCGTCTTGCTCATCAATCAGATTCCATGACTGATTGGCTTGATTCCTCTGCTGCTGCGCAGCCGTCTCGTGAAGCATCTCGTCATCATCATCCTGACTCCATAGATGGCTACGAATCTTCTCCACCTGTTCGGTATCTGGCTCTCCTTTAATTTGTGGCGAATAGAGGGCAGTGGCACGGGGATGGTCCTCCGTGCAAAGCTGTTCCTGTAGAACTTGGGATGTTTTGACGTTGAACCTAGTTAATGGTTGATCGTCAAAATGTTCATGGGAAGGCTGTCTATTGTCCACTGATCCATCCATTGCGTATTGAACGTTGCTAAAGGAACTTTCCTGCTTAAGTAGTCGGGATATTTCAAAAGTATTGTCGACCTCGACGGGATGATTCTCGACGGGGGTGTTCCAATCACCCTGTGAGATGTCAAATGTCTCATTCACTGGACCAATGCTTGTATCAGACATTCGCCCTTGTCCTGAGGGCATGTCGAATGATGGCGGTAAATGCCCAAAATCGGTCATCTGGTCAGGCTTCAAGAACATGAATCCATCTTGGCAGAGCTCTTCATCCATCGCATCTGAATACAGGCCATATGGTAGATTATTTTGTGACAGGAAGTGGTTATCACTGCCGAACGAATTGACCCTAGGGGAGTAGTCGACTATGGTATCCATAGTAAGCGGTGGTAGTTCTATTTCCGCTACAGGTTGTAGGGGACTGTTGGTTGCCAGGCGATCCGGTGGAGGGACCAGAGTCTGCCAGGTTGTTGTCCCGACGCTTCCTGGAGGGGCTTGTGAAAATTTCCAGAGCAGGACTGCCATTCTCCTTGTGTTTGGCTTTTGCGTATTTGTATAGTCGGCAGGTTGAGAAGGAACGGCGCGGATTTCTTGCATGATAGTGAGGCTACGAAAGAAATTGCGTGACTGTTCAGTCGCAACCTGGATGGCTCCAGGGTCGTTTGAGTCTTTAGCTCTCTTCCGAGCCTCGGTCAAAGATGTAAATTTTGATGCCCACCATCTTGACTGGAAGAATGGCTCGACACGGCCTTGTCTCGAAGACCGACATGCCTCGCGAGATGGTTTGGCGATGAGATGACCATCACAATACATGTGAGTGACACAGGCCCAGTCTTCCAACTTTACTCCACGCTTACTGGACCAGTCTCCGTTGACAAAGTCAAGTTCTAGACTGATCCCAAGTTTGGAGTGCCGAGGAGGAAAGTCTTCCGTTAAGTGAAAGCTGGCGTTCAGTAAGATCAACTCGCACGAGTTTGCCCTCGACCAATCGTCCATGATAGGTTGAAGGTGGGGAAATGACTGGCGCCAATTCATGACCCCTTCTAATGGTACCGACATCAACTTGAGACTTTGTAGCCGAGTATAATTGTGCAAGGCCTGCTCCCAATCACTTGGTGGGCATACCCACATTTCAAAATGGAGCCGTTGAACGCCGTAGTTGGTCAGGGAGGCTGCTGATGTTCCAGCTCGCCGCGCACCATTGTCAAAATCTGAATCATCCTCGATAAAGCTTTCCTCTTTTTGGATACTTCTGCCCAAGGGCTTTTCTTGGTTAACCACGGGTTTAGTTGAATTGCGGTAGAATTTGTGGCCTTCGGTCGGAGCAGTATCTTTTTCGTCGCTAGGCCTGATTACTCGATCCCCTAAGGCATGATTAATACATCCCACATGTTCAGAAGAAAGAATAGCATACATTCGGGTATCCCTTTAAGCATTCGGCTGAGGACTTGCAGATGACTGGAGACCTGTTTGCGGTCGCGGACTGCTCCGGTCTCCCGAAAGATCCATTCAGCGATGAGCATGTTTCGACCGTAGAGTTTTCCTCGTTGTGAACGTTTCTTCCGACCCAAAGGTTTGATGTGTACGAGTGCTGTTGGCAATTAGCAGGATGCAGTTTGGGAAGTTTTTCCTGTCTTACCATTCTGAAAGGCATTTTCAATTTCTGTGGGCCAGATTGGCTTCCCATCCGCACCAATGTCATGTCTCTGACGAGCCAGATAGTCGAGATATTTTGGGTGTTGAAGATATGGACGATTCAGATCTACGAGGGGCCGGTGCTGGCTTGTTTTGTACTGATGACTTTGGTCCACATCGTTAGAACCCAGCTGCATTGACGGAACAGGAACCTGTAGAGTCGTCCCTGAATGCGAGTCCCCAGACGGGAGGGGATATTGACTTTCGACACCATCTTTGGACACGTTATGTAATGATTGAATGTTGTCAGAGGATGCAGAGAGAGGATTCAGTCCTGGCAAGAGTTTGGAGTCTTCAGCTGACAAGGCGGAATATAGATTCTCCATCGATGCCTAATGCGCCCAGTGCGACTTTGGCTATGCCGGACAATGAGAAAGAAAAATGTGATAGAGAAGCACCAAAGACGTTGGAATGATAGAAGGGAATGCTGGGTAAGAGAAGGATTGTTATCATCATGTTTATAGTCACTTGTCACGAGATCGATGTGCTCGCGCAATCCGCCGATTCCTCCATCGGGCCAGCCACAATCCTTTGGTTCCTTGGTTGGACAGAAACAAAGCTCACGGAATATGATTTTCGAGTGGTCCAAAGAATCGAGACCCAGCAAGACAGGCAATCTCATAGTGTAGGTGTCCTTTACTCTCCTTGCCGCACGGACATAGCCAAGTTGGAGAAGGATAATGCAAGGGGTGAAATACGGTCACCATGGAGTGGTGCATCTCGCAATTCTTGGCTGACGAAAGTGAGTTAGCGGCAGACAAAACAAAATACTTCATCTGGAAGATAATAGAAAGGAGATGCTCCTTACGTTCACGGAAAGGGGTTAACATTGATGTCAATCTGGCTCTGGAATGAAATTTGTAACACAGGCTGGTTGGTCGAAAGCTCATGTTTCGACTACTTTCAAGTCGAGTTCTCTGTTCATTCTTAACATATTTTTCTGTGGCTGAGGCCCTGCAATTGAAAGACAACGCCCAGACAGATGAGATCGATACAGCAAGATACCACTCAAAAGGCGTCATCATCGTCCCGAAATGTTTGCAAGGGATGCGGTGGGTCTCGAGGCATGGAGGCTTCAAAAAGGTTCGGCATCGTCTCGTGCATCAACGTTGAATTTCTTCCGGGCCGATCCTGTCATTCTGTGCTGAGTCAACATCTCTTGATGACCCTGGATCTTCCTCTCTAAAGCTTGGATCTCTTCCTCCGGATCGACGATTTCGCTCTCTGCAAAATCAAGAACGAGCTTCCGGCCCAGCAAATGAGTGTTTGAAAGAGCTTCGAGCGCATTTTCGGCCTCTTTTGGCGTGACAAATTCAGCAAAGGCAAATCCTCGGGTGCTGTGGTCAAACTTTTTCGGCAAACGAACGGTGCGGAGCTGACCATAAGCACCGAAAAGCGCACGAACGTCCTTCTTGGTCGCTTCGAACGGTAAGTTTTTGATGATGATCTTTGTTCCTTTGGCGTTGAGTTTTCTGGATGCGTCTTCTTTGCGTCGCTCCTCCGCCACATCTGTGGATCTTTGAGATGCTTGCACCAGAAGTTCGTGTCCATCGAGTTGTCGTCTATTCATTGTTGCAATTGCAGCTTCCGCTTGAGCTTGGGTGCGAAACTCGACAAAGCCAAATCCCATGCTGAGGACTTCCCCCGGATGATTGGCATCAGTTCTTGTTTTCACTCTCGCAGAAAGGAAACCCGATAGCGGTTTGAAAGCCTCCGTTAATCTGACGCTTGTCGTGGAGAAGTTTAAATTGCGGACAAATATTGTGGCGGTGGTCCCAGAGAATTCTTCAGCCTCATGTTCCCGAGTGGATCTCTGTGAATCAGATTCTCCCGATGCCACGGTTTTTGGTCCGTCCCAGATGCCCTGAGGTGCTTGCTCAAGATATAACACAGAACCTTTGAAATTCCGATATGCTAGTTGTTTCATTGCCTGGTTTGCCGAATACGCCTCCTGATATTGGGCCACGGCCATGGTGCCAGTTGTCGGAAAGATAAGCCTCTGAATCGTCCCAAACTGACCCAGCATGTGTGACAGCTCTTCGGAAGTGGTGCCAAATGAGAAATTTTTCAGTAGAAGTGTTCTGTCGTCACGAGCGTGGTTCTTGAACGCGTCAACATTTATGCCGTTAGATTCGAGATATTCTTTGGTTTCTTTGATGACACTTGTCTCTGCGTGAGCTTGCTTAACAGCTGCATCAGCCGAGGAGGGATCGAGCAAATCAGCCTTTGAAACTCCCAACCGATCCGCCACGGACGCTAGGACGGCGTCTGGATTCATGTATAAGGAGTTCCATGCAAAAGTCGATTTTGATGCATCCATTTTGCGCTTGATGGCCTTCTGCTTTTTCAACGGCAGTTTTGAAAGTTCGAACTCGCTTAACTTCTGCACCCTTTTATCCGAGGCAGGAAGAATGTGCATGAGTCTGCCTTGGAAATCTTTCCCATCTAGAGCGAAGAGAGCGCTCTCAGCATCCTTCGGATCCACGAACTGAACATAACCCAGGCCTTTCCCAACGGATTTTTTCGTGTCCGTGACCAAATGGATCTGCCACGCTATTAGCCTTCTTCTGATGGATTCGATGAGAAAACAAAATGTAAAATTTCAAGGTCAGACAGGAGAAGCATCTACTAAAATACTCTTTCCCGGTTCGAATCATATGCGAAGCATAAGTTGTCCCTATCAGGAAATCATCAGGAATAGATTAGGGTCGTGGGAAAGGAAAAAAAGTGTTGGCTTACCTCGGAGATTCTTCCAAAAGAAGAAAATGCATCCCTGAGGTCATCTTTTCGACATCCAAAGGGTAGATTTCTTATGAAAAGTCGAGCGTTTGGTATGGACAGGCTTGGGGGTTTTCCTGATGGCTCGGATTTTCCCGCACTTATCTGGGCGTTTTGAGTGTTGTCCAGTGGTACGTCAACAGCATCAGCGTCACTGGAAGCAGCTTGAGCAATCCGATCATTGTCTTCGACTAGGTCCAACAGCCTGCTAGTTTTCCCACGGAGCCATTCACTGTCAGACTCAGGAACTTTTTGAGGATCATGCTTCGCATCCTTGTTTGCCGGAGACTCTATCGACTTCAATTCCTCCCCTGGATTCCCAGCACCGGAGCTACCATCCACATTTTGGATATCACTAGCCATCTGCACGTTGTCATTCGGGAATCTTTCAACAGCCTCACCATCGTCGTGTATTTCTCGCTTTCTCTTTCTAGCAGGGAGTTCATGATCTTTCTGCTTTCGGTCTTGGCCCCGTAACGCACGTTGTGGAATTGGTGTAGCTTGGCCCAACGGATCGCGCTCGACTTCGACTGGCTTTGCGAGAGTGACGGAAATTCGAGACATTCGAATGAAGGACTTGTTGAAATATTTTACGGCGCTTTTAGCAAACTCATGAGTAGGGAATCCAATAAAGCCAAAGCGGCGGTCGGTGACAACATGAACATCTGTGACCGGATACTTCCCTACAAAATGCGACCGCAACTGGTCTTTTGTCATCGACGGCGGTAGTCCTGATACGTAGACTCGGGTCGAGGACGTATCACCCACTTCGATGTCTGCCATGATGAAACTCAACGAGGCAGACACAGGAGGAAGCCAGACAAAGGGCTTGAGGAATGATCTGGTCTCGTTCAATATTAACGCAAGGGGGAAAAAAAAAAAAATTATACCCAAGTCAAATTTGCCCACCAATCCGGCGGTCTCTCTGGATGTTGGCTTTAAAGCGGCGTGGCGCCGCCAAGATTTGCATGAGAGGCGAGAAGCCCTTGCGGGCTGGTGGCGTGTTTTTAGTTTTCCAAACCGAAGGGTTGCCTGCGGCTCTCCCCAAGGGACATTCAACCAACTCACCCAACTTGTATTTTGCACGCTGGCATCACTGTCTTTACCACTACGCAGTCAGTGCGTAACTCCCGGAAAGCGGCGCTACATTCTATTCTCCTTCCCCAGTCATCCACAACTCTCTCATCCTGCATCATGGCTTCCGCAGAGGCAATGCCCGAGAAGAAAGCGAAGTTGGAGCGTGAGTCCGTCAGAGTCAGAGATGAGATGTGTGATGGCTAACCAAATGTATAGCCCAGATCAAATCGGTTGACATGGTGAGCAACAACGAACAAGACACTCAACCTAGTATTGGTATTGATAGAATGTAAAGAGCGAGGACATGCAACAAGAAGCGATCGAAGTTGGTAAGGGACAAGCGACTTCTTGGACACATTTGGTATGGAGCATTGACAAATATCAGCTCAAGAGGCTATGGAGAAATTCAGTGTCGAAAAGGTGTGCTAGGGACCATCTATTGTTTTGAGAAGAAGTGCTCATCGAAACGCAGGACATTGCACAACACATCAAGCGAGAGGTCAGATCTGGTTCATGATAGGTGATCAAGAGTTGTTCCCTGACATTCTCCTTTGCAGTTCGACTCGAAAAAGGGTGCTACGTGGCATTGCATAGTCGGCAGAAACTTTGGAAGCTTTGTTACTCACGGTATGGACCGGTCGACGGAAGACATGTGGCATGCGACCCTGCTGATGATTTCACCTAGAGACGAAGCATTTCATTTATTTCTACCTCGGTCACGTCGCCATTTTGCTGTTCAAGACTCAATGATGGGGAACGTTTTAGCGGGACGGCGTCGAGGGGAATTCAGTGAACCGGTAATCCAATGCTCTTTATCCAGTGGCTTGACTTGCACATATGCTCAACGGAAAAGCTCAATTTGAACAACATGCGGCTCTGGGAGGTGACATATGATACTCACTCGGAGTCTCCTGTATATACGGATAAGTAGCAGAAATGGCGTATGAAATGGTGCAAATGTATATTGTGATCTTGTATGGTCGATTAGGGATGGCCAACATATCGCTCGTCTAATCGTAGCCGTGACACTGGCAAGCTGGGACATTCTGGTTCATCAATGAACGCTGAGTGGATATTATGCGGCTGATGGCAAGGCTGTGACATTTATTTTGCCGCATCAACTTCCCAAGTGCCAAGTGATGACAGGTGATGATTTGCGGAGGCGGTTTGCGCGTCATGCGTTTGCCGCGCCTCATCAGATGCGGTGCTCGTCTCTCTTGGTTCTTGGTGCTGGTCAAAACACCAACTACTCCCGACACCATCCGCAAAGCTTCTCTCCTCTTCACTCTTTGTCCACTGTTCGAGCAAGCCTCGATCCTCCATCTCGAGCCCAATCTATCCATTATGGCATTCTTCTTCGTCGTGGGAACCAAGGGTGAGTTTGTCAGATTTCTGCGCAAGAACTGCGCCACTGACCATCTCCCCAGACTTCACCAGTCCCTTGAAGGGCTATGAAGGAATTACTGCTCAGTGTCACAACTGTGGAAACTGGTCGGCGCATCCGATTCAGTCTTGGGATTGGTTCACCTTCTGCTTCGTCCCTGTTATCCCTCTTGGAGGCAAACACAAAGATGTCAGTACAACCAAGTTTCTCCCTGTCATTGATGTTGTCCACATGCGCTGACCTTTCCTACAGCTCGCCTGCTCCATCTGCCGCTTCCGTCAAGATTTGAGGTAAGTATATCATCGTCGTGCAGCTCGAAAATCGATCGAGGCTCTAATATGTTGTCTAGAAATCGACCCGATGTAATGTCACAACAAGGTCAAGGCCCAATGATGCCTCCCCAACAAGGACCTCCGCAAGGTTGGGGTGGTCCGCCTCCCCCGGGACAAGGACCACACTATAAGTGAGATGTCGGGCCTTCTTGGAGATTGTAAGAGCTAGGGTGTTAGGAGTTTACAACGGCGAATGGCATCGATTACTATTTTCATGTTGGTTTCTTTTCTCCTGGCAGTTCCTGAGTTGCGGGTGTGGAATTGTACGCAGGACCGAACTGTGGCGGATAATCATCATCGCGGAAAATACATTTCCCGCTTTTTGGGCCTCTCAGTCGACACAATTCCTTGCGCACAGGCTTATTCCTTCACATACCCTCCGAGTCCGACAACCGAACCCCAGGATTTTGAATTGGGACTTCGCCATAATTTACGCACATCGCTGAAACGCATCTACCTTGTCGCGATGGCGGGCCAAATTGTTGTACCGGCCGCAAAGTGTGTCAATTTGGCGATGAGGATAATGAGTATCGACTATCTTGATGCAAGGCCTTTAAAACCAAAACCAAGAAAAAAGAAAAAAAAATTTTTCAGCCCCTTTGACTTGCCACCAATCTCGACCAACATGATTCTAGATGCCTCCTGGTTGGACCCAAGAACCTGAAGCCGAGGAACAGTCCTCGAGCATCGCAGCATTGCTGGGAGTCATATCCCAAGCCTTTCACCTTGAGATTTACACGTGTTTCATCCCGCCCATTCTCGTACATCTCGTCAAACAGGTTGACTTGGAGAGAGGTTGTCTTCTCTTTTTCTTCGCGCTGTCAAATGTCTCTTCTATGCCTCTAGATACGCATTGAGTACACCCTTTGATTTTCATAGCTTCAAAGCTGTGGGCCCAATTTGATATGGCCAGAGAAATAATTTTTCGTTGTCCTAACCATTCCATCAAAGCGTTTCTCCTTTGGTTGCCCAAAGACTGAATCTATTCATATCCGGCAACCTTCTTGAACATACCTGGGACGCCTACCTTCCGCGCTCCTACAGTCACATATCTTTTTATATATCAATATCTAAGCAATTGAGCATGGTAGAATATCAAAACTGTAATGAACGATCAATGATTGAAAGCAACACGCTATTGCCGTGAGCGTCACATGGTAAACCATGCGCTAAGGGCGGTGACAGGCGGCAGAATTCTGTGAACGCGGGTCTTGAGATTCAAATTCATCCACCAGATTTTTCAGATTTCATGCGCCGCTCCCCATCCGCTGCGTTCTCTGCCACCATCGACGAATGCTCCTGCTTGATCGAGTAGTTGAGCGTCCGTCTCCTGCTTGCAGATGAGAAATTCGGAGTAATCTTCAACCTGCACCTCTGTCCTCGTGTCACCTTCGACGGAGGACAAATAGGACTGCCCGCGAGGGCCCAGCACGATTTGCGTGCTCGCAACTGGCATCAGAAATTTACAGGGCCTCAGACTGCACCGTGTCTGACTTTGTCACTTGCGTGTCAGGGCTGAGGGATTCCCTATGGAAGAGCCATTGCGAAGATTGTCTGGCGTGTCTCCAAGATGGAGCGCGTTCTTACTTAAGTGCAATCGCAGCGGAAATCTACGTCTTTCCGATCTTCTTCGGAGGATGGGAATTTCTGGGATTTTAATTCGATTCCGATTACTCTGGGGGGCGGCGCATCCATTTTCTTTCCTCAGGTATGAGTTGTTTCTCATCCCCTCAAGTCCAGGATACTACTAACGTGGATGATACTTTTGGTATCCTTTTATACTCGGGAATCATGTCCCTCAGCATCCGTCCACTCCATTTACGCCATTGCAGGGTTCCACTCGCGAAATCGTGCGTTAAGGATAGGGATTGCATGGTAAAAGATCTCCAGAACATCTGCAGCAAATATGGACAGAAGTTTGTCGTTTACAAACCCACGCATGAAAGGGTGCATTAGTCAAGTCCAATCAGGTTTCTGCTTTTTTTGAGGGGCAATTATTCTCACACATCAGCACAGCAGACATAATCTCTTCAAACCTCGGTCTTCCATCCCATCGACATTGGCCCTGCAACAGGGCCAGTAATATGAAACAGTCTTGTCCAGCAGATCCGTCGGCTTAACTAGAGGAAGAACGGGCTGAATTGCCCCCTCGCTCTTGTCAGGACGGGCAAAATGTGCTTTATTTGCCATGTCCCGTTCATGAATGATTGTCGGTCGGCCATTGCGTGCGGCATTCAGCCTGTCGAGACTCTGCATGGACCAGATGATGGTGGCAAAGCGGCCGGACTTGTCTGTCTCATCCGTGCAAGGCTGATGCATGTCCAGCACTTGTGTCAAACAATCAGTGGGTGTACATTAATTGTTGCTGAGTGCTCTAGAATTTAACGGGGTGCTCTGACCAGATCCGATCAGAGAGTAGAGCCCATCTATGTAGCTATCTGAACGGTGTCGGTCAGCATTGTTGCCTGTGCTGTTGTCTGTGTTGTAGCCTGTTGGGGATGCTGTCGCAGAGTAGGCAACTGCCCCATAGAACTGACAAGAACAGATTATGAAGTAGAAAGGATCCATGGAGTGGATTTGCTCGCCGGACTCCGTCTTTTCTTGCCTGTACACTCTATGCAACAGCACTCCCCCTTGCCATCGTCATGAGAGTCCGAGTCTGCTGGCACTTCGGCCCGAAAGTCGATACCCAAGTGGTCGCGGTCCTGGTGGGACATCGCCGAGCCTAGATTGTGTGCCTGCTAGAAGGTGAGTTTCTAGGGTGTCTGTGCAGGTTTTGCGGCCCGATCGGCTAGTCGAGTCCTGACAACATGCTGAGAGTAGTCGTGTGAATTCGTTTGGCACATCTGTGTTATGAGGACTGCTTGACACCTCCTCGCGGGGCGCGTCGAAGCTAGCGTCCCTATCGACATGGACGTCTCTATCCGCCAGGGGTCGTAGAGATGGTGACATTGACAGCGGAGGAGATATGTCGAATTAGACATTATAATGCCTCCCTTTCGCTGGACAGATATGTGACTTTTTGATGCCCAACACTTGAAGAATAGTTCATCAACGCAATTGAATTCCCACTCACAATGACTCTTCCTCCGCTTCCTACAATTCACACAGGTCTGGATGTCCAGAGGTAACAGTGGAAGGTGTCAAAGCCTGGATTTATGCCCCACAGCATTCAAGCGTCTCTTTTGAGGGAAGTATTTGTTTCTGGACGAAGAAATACTCGACAAATCAATCGTCCGTCCAACAGCACGTCCATGCATCAAAAGCCCATAGACTGAGTCTTGAAAGCTTCATAAAAGCCATCTCCAGCGGCTTCAGAGCACACCGTCCATTCGAAGAAGTGCTCTGCACCACCTTTTGAATACACGAGATACATAGGTGGGAAGTCCCGCCAACCTTCTGGTCTCTTTCTCCGCAGCTCGCTCGTGCTTTTTCCAACTATATCTGTAAGTTTGGCGTTCCACTTCGAATCAGATCCGACACCTCGAGGCGAACATTATGGAACGAAGCGAAGCAAGAGCCGATGAAAGCCATATTTGAAGATCGAAGAGTTCCAAGTGTGCAACCCATCTCGAGATGTTGTTGAGGGTCTTCGGATGTGAGAACAGAGACTTGAATCATGGGATATCGGCTGAAGGGCCGATCATTAACTCGGGGATGAAAAAGCGATAGCCCCAACCTTGTCGAACCTGAAATAATAGATTTTCTTTCAGACCAGTGTGCTGTTATCACGACAATCGTGCACAGTGCAGAAGAGGTGCCTATTCTGAGGATCGTATACACTCGTCCCCTCAAGAACTTCACGATTCTTTTCGTCGCTTGAATCCCTGAGTACACCCATGGAGCCTGCTGGATGTAGTCATTTAGTGGAATCGGGTCGAGGGGTTGGGAAGGGACCTTGCACCACCGTGAGGGATGCAAATGGCCGGGGTGCGTGTCATCCTGGCTGTCTTCTGAAGGCATCTGAGCATAGTCGAAGAGCAAGTGCAACGAATGTCACTGTTCTTTGCGCTTTCATTTTGGAACGTCCTTGGCCGTTGTTATATGGTGTCCAAGATCGCCATCTGCGCCTTCTGCACCTTCTGTGATGCAAGTCACGCAGAAGTCGATCAAGACGCAGCCGAAAAATATGTACGTGATTTAGAGTACTCAAAATTGAAAAGTGTAAGGAACTCCATCCGGTTATCTTATCAAGGCAACGAGATTTGAACGGAAAATATTCCTGAAGCCATAGGAATTTCGAGGGCATCCTCTCTCTTGCTCCGATGGCTCAAGCTTCTGAATCTCCGCGGAAATGGGGATTGGTGAGGTTAAGATTCGGGAATGAGTTATTCGGCATTTGGCAGACGGACCCTCTTCAAGAGGTATGGTGCTTTTCGCTATTCGAAGGATTGGGATGCTCAAATTCTCGAGTGTGAGATAAGGCGATGTTGGGGAGGAATCTGTGCCTTCTCTGGAATTTGATGTCGAACTAGAAACGACCATGAAGTTAGCATCCCATCATTGTAAACCCCTTGACTGATCCTTTGACGTGTATCTGGATATCGTGCTGAATGAGCCACCCACCCCAGTATTCAAGGATGCATTTATAGGCATGGATCATATGGTCCGAAGACTGAGGTGGTAGATCACGAGCTGAAATAGTTCATCAGTTGATGCAGACCCAAAAGACACCCTCTCACTAGGACTGTCGAAGTGTCACAAAGCTAGACATAGAAACGCTTCCCATCTTTCACGCCGTCTTGCTTCAGTACCAAGTTTGCAGTGGAACTGAAAGAGATTGACAAAGAAGCCCTTCGACGACCTCCGCAAGCATTGCATTGGCCTCGTCCAGAAATGGACAAAGAACAGACACGTCGTGCTTGAACAAGGAAGACCTCGAATAGATGCTGCAACACCCAGAATTTTGGAGGACAACTTGATCAACAAGACGTCGCCAAACATTCCAGATTAAGGATTGGTGAAGAGGGTGACAATGACCTCCGTCGAATCCCCCGTCAACAATACAGAGGCGGAAGAATCTCATCCTCCTCTCACCGAAACCGTCCTCGACAACACTGAAGTGAGCGACGTGAAACCGGTCTATTCAATCTTCTTTCCTGATTCCGACCTCGAAGATGGTGACATCCATCCAGATCCCTCAGACCGACCTCAAATACCCTCCCCAACTCACTACAACGACTCCAGCGCCGCAGCACCGCCGTACGTGATGAGTGAGGACTTCGCCGGTGAGGATCCGAGGATGAAAAAGCTAAAAGCCAGACAAGCAGAGGAGGACCCTGATTTCATCCTTCCCGATATCGTCATCGAGAGACACATTCCTGGGTTAAATGACACCATGAGCGGAGCAGTGCACCCTGACGAAGGAGACAAGATTCAAAGATTCTCAGGAAGCCATGTCATCTGCCGAACCAATGGGGACCTCTTTCGCGCGGTTGCGACAATGCCTTACAAAGTTGTCACCCTCGAAGACTTGTATGACCTCAACCTTCCATTCGGTGACCTCAGCAAGCTATCCGAACTACCACCAACGTACCTCACCACGCTTCTCGGAGTCAGTCGAGCGATCGAAGAAATGGGACAACGGATTGACTTTTCCGACGATTTGTTGTTGGATGGATTGTTGAGACGAGGTGGCTTCGCGTTTGGAGACGTAGTGTATCCAGAGGATATTATACCATATATCGGATGGGATCTCGAAAGCGATAACGAGGATTTTGATGGTGAATACTGGACGGGGTTGGATGACCAAGGGCGGATTTGGGAATTGCTGGTAGAGAATGAATGAATCTGGCACAGAGCAGAATCCTGCCACAAAAGTTGCGATTTCATTCAAAATGTTTCAGGCAGACCACTCAAAAGCTGAGCTGATTTATTCTGAAGCACTCCTGGTAGACATCGGAGCCGGGGTATACTGGAAGTACTACACGTACAGTTCTGTGCTGATTTGATCCGAAGCATTCTGGGTAGATAAGTCGAGAGCTGAACTATTATGAACTCCATGACCAGCATGCCACGATATCAATGGAGCTCGTGTGAAGATACACGCGGGAAGGGAGGATGCAAGACTCGCCGCAAACAAATTGAGCTGAAACAAGGACCAATCAAAGACAGCCTGGGCAATGGCAATGAGTCTAACCAAATCGAGCACTTAGGCCGACAATTTCATCGGCTGCAGAAAAAAATATCTGGTAAGTTTCGCAGTCTGCATATTGACTGCAATCATACTACCATCCTGGCAGTTTCCCTCTTTCTTCACCGATCTGCGGACGGGCATCGCAGAACATACTCCCTCTCTAAGAACGGAGTACGACTCCAATTTAAAAAACCCGAAAAACCAAAGCGATCGAGCCATGGCATTTAGCGGTGCGCCGCGAAGTCGAGGTGGTGGACGAGGTGGAGCTCCAAGAGGTGGTGCTCGAGGTGGTCGAGGTGGTGGTGGTGGTGGCGGTAGAGGTAAGATCTGACAAGATCGTCAACGACAGTGTGACGCTTCCCATCACCGTGACTGACAAGCGACCCGCAACTATAGGAGGCTTCAATGATAGAGGCGGACGAGGAGGTGGTAGAGGTGGCCGTGGCGTATCTAAAGGAAGAGGTGGTGGAAGAGGAGGCGCCAAAGGAAAGGGTGGCATCAAGGGAGGGGCAAAAGTCATAATCGTACGTCTATACCATACCCTGTCAAACGGATGTCTGTCACCAGTATGAAATTGTTGACAAAATCTTTGAATAGGAACCACACAGACATCCTGGCGTCTTCGTCGCTCGTGGTGGAAAAGAAGATCTGCTCGTCACGAAAAACCTGACTCCTGGCGAATCCGTGTACGGCGAGAAGCGAATCAGTGTCGACTCTCCTAACACTTCAGCTCCTGATGGCGATAACCCGGCGCCAGCCCTCAAGACAGAATATAGAGTCTGGAACCCTTTCCGATCGAAGTTGGCGGCTGGCATCTTGGGCGGCTTGGACGATATTTACATTCGCCCGGGCGCAAGCGTTTTGTACCTGGGTGCTGCCTCCGGGACGTCAGTGTCGCATGTCGCTGATATCGTGGGTCCAGCCGGACGAGTTTATGCCGTTGAATTTTCGCATCGGTCAGGCCGTGATCTGATCACGATGGCCACACACCGAACAAATGTCATCCCCATCATCGAGGACGCCCGACATCCTCTGCGCTACCGCATGCTTGTTGGCATGGTGGATGTCATCTTTGCAGATGTCGCTCAGCCTGATCAGGCGCGCATTGTGGGATTGAATGCCCATTTGTTCCTCAAGGTCGATGGAGGCGTGTTGGTCAGCATCAAGGCCAATTGTATCGATTCAACAGCCAAGCCGGAAGTGGTGTTTGCGAATGAAGTCAAGAAGATGCGAGAGGAGCGGATCAAACCCAAGGAACAGCTGACGCTAGGTATGTTGTCCAGTTCGATGTCTGCCACAGAATGCGCCATACTGACCAGTCCTTTTTCCCCAGAACCCTTCGAACGAGATCACTGCATTGTTGCGGGTATTTACAAGCACTCTGCCCAGTAATTTAAGAATCTGCTGTGCTATGCTACGCTTTGCTGTATTGAGTTCGGCGGCGTCTTATCGTGATGAGCATAAACACGGAAGGGAAAGAAACGCGCACCCCGGCCGGCGTTCGCGGCGTTACGGTTCTCCTATCTGAACGGGATCACTCGAAAACTGTTTTTTGGGGGGGGGGGGGGAATTCTTGGATTTAGCTGCGAGACCACGCGCGAGTGTATCTGTGCCGATAACATACTCCAAGGGAAATGAAAAGGGGGAAAATGAAGTGAAATCAAAATCGTCGAAGCAGTCGATTGCGTTCCCCTCCCTGACTCAAGGGCCATGCCTAGTACTATGCAGAAAGGAGACCCATTGGATTGGAGAGGATTGTGATAACGCTCGACACGACCCAGTGTGAAACTTTTTTCATTTCTTTTTCCCTGCTGATTTGCGGGTCGCGCCTGATGGCGTTTTAAAAGGCCTCCCAAATTGTCACCTCGTAGACTGCTGTTTGTGTCAATGCTCACTCCGTTTCCTTGCCCGGTAATATGCCCTAGCCGTGGAGGCTGTCCTCTGTCCGATCAGTTCCTTTGTCCTGGTCAACGCGGTCTTCAGTTTCCCTTCGTTACATATGAGGTAGGATTGTGATCTAATCATCTTATCTTCAATGACAGCGGAGGCTGTAGTAAGGCTGAATCATGTGAAGCTAAACGCGGCATGTCCGATCCAGTCCAATTTGGTGTCATTCGTTCGTGCGATCAAAGCATTCTATGGATAAATGACCCTGTAATTGGAAAGAATCGTGTTGCCTTAGCTCGTCCCAAGTCATGGTGTCCTTCTCGTACTCAGACCTTCACAAACGCTGTAGCACTGAAGTCAGCAGGGCTCCAGAGGGGGGAGGGGGTCACGCTTACTGGCGTCGATTTGCTTGACTTGAGGCAATGCCAGTCGCACCTTATTCCGATACACCGCTGGGCCGGACAATTGCAAGGGATTCATCTCAAAATAAACTGTCACCAGGTTCTCTTTGTCGGCCAACTCACGTTCTACCTCGCGGAAGTCAGCCAATTGGTTGCTGCTGGCCCACAGCTCTTCCAGATCTCCGAGGTGCGAAATATTTTGCAGATGAGAGATTCGATTGTTGGAAATATCGAGAACGCGGAGTTTGGGATTGCCGGACAGTGAAGTGGGTGTGATCTCTGTTATGGCGTTGTGCGAGACGTAAAGTTCTTCGAGGTTGGAGAGTGATTCCAGACCCGTAATCGATGTCAGTCGGTTGGATTTTAGGTCAAGGAGCCTTAGATTGGTGAGAGAAGAGAGATTCTTGATCTCGGTGATCTTGTTCTTCCCCAACCAAAGTTCTTGCAACTGTTTCAAGGGCTCCAGGTTCTCAATCTCTCGCAGTCGATTTGCTGCTAGCTCAATCATGGTCAGATGGTCCAGTCCCTCGAGATTTTCAATTTTGGAGATTCTGTTCTGTACAAAGAAAAGTTCGGTCAGATTTCGCAGGTGGCTGACGTTCTTGATATGTCGAATCTTGTTGAAGCTCAGATCTAGACTCGTGAGGCATTTCAAGTCTTCGAGGCCTTTGATGTGTGATATCAGATTGTCGTACAGATCCAACTCCTGCAAAGTTTCCCCCAAACTTGCGGGCAGGGATATGGAGGTAATTCCATTCTGACGGAGACATAGTCGTTGCACCTTCGTGAAGCGTTCGAGATTAAGGGCGGGGATGGAGGATATACGACAGTGGACGAGATCTATGTCTTCCCAGTCGAGAGGATAGTCATCCAAAAGGTCTTCGTCGGCTTCGATCTGTTCGACGGGAGGAGCGTCTGGATCGGAATACTCTGGATCTGAGAGGACGTCTGGGTTCGTAATGACAGCACTTCGTGGTGGCATGCGCAGTTTACCATCCCATCCACTGCTGTTTACCAAAGGCGCGGAGGAGTTTCTATGGGACGAGTCTGTGTCAGGGATTTTTATCTGAGCCTGATGATGAGATTTCCCCTCGTGCTTTTCTTCGTCAGAGAGAGGGTTGCTTTGAATTGCTTTGTCCTTGTCGGGGCCCAGAGCCGTCATGACTTGAAGTGGGACGAGCAGGGGGGCTTGGTACAGGGATTTCTCGTGCGATCTCTAAAGGTCAGGGTCCGAACGAGTTGTTACAGCTTTGCGGATTTTTTAGGTGAGGAAGTAGAGTGGGACAATATGGGCAAGTTCCAGGCCCGGACATGCGCATTTGGAGTCTGAGAGCAGCCAGCCGGGAATGACACGGCGATCTGAGACCGTCACATGCCACATCCAAGGCGAAAGTACCGAGATACCCAAGTACCCTACAATCGCACCATATTTGATGAAATATATCGGCGACATCATCCCCTAACAATCTCCTCAGACCTCACATCAAACTTCCTTCCGCTCAATGGTATGCAATTAATTCATTATCGGGCAAAGACACGTTGACAGATCAAAGTATCCGTGGACTGACGTCTGATATCGCCATGGAGCCGCAAATAGATAAGTTGCACAACGATTGAGGAGACGAGGAAGATATTTAACGTTCCAAAGGGAATTCGCTGCTTGATGCTCGACTGAAATTCTGTGATCCGTACGTAGTGTACACAATATGCCACTGACCCATGCTTTTGTCTTTCCGCCCAAAGAACCATCCACACGGCCTCTCCCAGAATTGTTACGAGAATCGCTTTGTGATTTTGGCGATAACTGTGGTCTTGTATTAGCTTGACCCGCTCGACCTAAATCTCCTGGATGGTAGTTGAGACTTACGATGCAACGCAACCACACTGAATATAAAGCCCAGACTCAAAAACAGAATGACCATGGGATCTACCTTCAAACCCGGACTCTCATCGGTATATAGTCTCAGCATTGTCCCTGAAGAACCACCTGCGCCTGCAGCACGCGTTGAAGCGGGCCTTGCCTTCTTGACGGATTCTTTATGATCGGCAGCTGCGCGACGACGAATGGCAGAACGCGGGCCTCCTGGAGGAGAACCTGCACGTGCGATGGAAGATGCTCCGCTGGCTTTTTGAGCAGAAGGAGTGGAGTCGGGCCCAGATTCCGGACCAGAGGTCAAAGGAGAGGATGGTCTGGGAGATGCCTGGTGGTGTTGTCAGTTCAGTTGTCGCATTTTTCCCAATGGCTGATCCTGCAGGAGGAGCAGGACTGAGGATATCGGTACGCTTTGAAAAGGGCTATCCAGAGGAAGGGGAGGTGTTCATACCATAATTGAACGTTGTTGCCGACCTGGTGATTCTGAACAGGAGGGAATAAGAGGGAAACAACTGCAACAAAGGCCGAAGATATAGGCAGGTCTAGTCGCCGAAGAGGCTGGTCGCGTGGGAGTTGGACTAGGGATTGGAATATGGTTGCTAATTACTTGCTTGTGGACACATGAAGCAGAGCCCAAAACCACTAAAAGCTCCCCCGTACAGGCCTAAGGGCGGAGCATTTGCAGTTCATATGCACCTTTCACTGCCTTATAAATATCGACTCCCTTCTCCCAGTTTCAGCCTCGTCGTATTCTCGCTCGCTCGTTCCCCAGAGACACAGCAATGTTAGTGTCATCCATATCTTCACACATATAACCCTACTTCCGTGTCCAACCCCTCCCCACCCCTCTCCTTGATTGCTTCAATTTGACTTCTGTTGCTCAGCCTTGGCTCATGTTCTACTCTTTCACGAGAGCTCGAATGCTCAGTTTCGTCCCATTGTAACTTCGCTGACCTCCGATCACAAATTCTTTCATGCGCTAAAGGCGGAGGCAGAGTTCAGCTATCCCAGCGCAGTTGAGGCTGAACAACCGCTCTCTTTCCGCAACTGGCAGAACAAATTCCCTCCCACAGGTAGTGACATATGCTTGCCTTCTGTTTGCTACTTTTGTCCAGATTCTGAATCACCATCTTGACCAATTCGACCTGAACGCATCCGTTTTCGGTCTTTGATTTACCTAGTCCTTACCTTTTTCTGGGGCAGAGACTGCCCGGCCACTAAAGTATTGCCCCATACCTCTCAAGCACCTCGTCACAATACAAGTTGGAGACCGATCATATCGTTAAATGGCTGATAATTACGGCCCAGCAACGTGATTTTACCCCAAACTCCAAGCTAAAGGAACGAGCGAGGATGCTGGCAGGACAAGTTGCTAAGCCGGAAACTCAAATGGCAACCGCCAAAACCACCGAAGTCGCAGACTTAAGCCGTACATCATTGCTTCTCAGGATGCTTCAGTCCAAGTCCCAAGAGATATCGAGATAACTCTTGATAGAGCTGTTGATATACAGTATAAAGTTGGAGTTCGTCTTCAAGATCCAGATGAGGAGCCCACTCCTCAACAGTTTCAATCTACTTTCGGTTATATTCTGAACTGCGCGAAGGACATTCTCAGCCCCTTCCAAAAAAAAGTCCTCAGATGTGGCCCAGAGTCCTACCCAACCATCTTCACATTCTGTCCATGCTTTCTCCATACATTCAAAGGACTTTCTCTTGAAAATCCGGAAAATCAATCTTCTGAAACCTCTGCTATGCATCAATGGAAGAACAGTGTAGAGCGGGGGGCAGCCAAGGACCTGAATGAGACTTTCGTTGGAATGATGTGCCTCTTCTTAGACGTGGATTCGATTGGAGGTCTGGTCTCACAGATCTGGCTCAGCTATAAGAATGGTACATATGGCCCCATAAGTGCCTCTCTTATGTCAAATATGGACATGGAAGTTAGCATGCCAGTTGGAAATGGAACCAAAATACGTCTTTGCTCCGCATGCAGAAGATATTTGAACTCTATTATGAAGCAAGATGTATTGCTATGGGGCTCGACCCACGCCACAAGGATCCAGCCGCAGACCGCTTCAATTTGGAGTGTGTGGACACATTTTTTTCTGGGCCACCAACAAAATCCTGCTACAACATTTATCGACACATAAACCTGATACGATCTCTGTGTGCAAAGCCTAGAACATATGGAACTTGTTATCTTTCTACCAATCATTGAAAAATGTCCAGTCGCGAGAAGTTCATGGAGATCATGGCTCCCAAAGTAAACGAGATACTCCTGAAGATGAACTTACTCGTGGCTGGTGCAATACCTTCGGACACTTGAGCGTCCACTTTGGGCAAGTTTTGCTGAACAGATGTTTCTCAACATACATCGTGTCTCGTGTGACCAAGTTCACCCTGGCTTTGCAGATCTTTGCAAATCTAGCTCGGCAATTGAGGCATCCATCACATAGGCCATGAAGTTTCATGAATATTAAGAAACCTGAAACCTGGCCAAAAGCCAATGATGTTATTTGGGCCACCTCCTCAAGTTTTTTCGTCGCGCCACTATAAGAGATCTGAAAGATCCAACAGGCAGAGTCTTCCGACATTGACGAATATCGCTTTGGTAAGGACCATCCCATAAAGTGTTGGCTTGATGCTGACCTCATTCAAGCGAACTTCTGCGAAGCAGGCGCTGACTTGGCAATGGCTCGGGACACTATTCGTTCATCTAGTCCGGATCTCAGAAGTTGAGGTTTTCTTCGGAAACGGACTACCCAAGTCTCTTGATCAGGATGCTCAGAGACTCTGTCAATTTATGGGTTATCGTCAATCCAGGTCGGGCGGGAGAAGTCACTTTTCCAGGCAGTGACTGGAATCACTATCCCAGGGACTCGCGAAGATTTATCCCCCGTTTTAAGAGTTTTTCTTCCCCGATACTTTTGTCAAAAGACAGAAAGAACAAAACTCAAGCGGGCAGATGCGGAAATTTTCTTTGATATGTGCCATTAACCTGACACTGAATCGACAGGTGAATCATCGGGCAAGGCGAGACAAATTTTGAGGTCCAGCCACCTCTCAAAAAGCAATGGCTTGCAGGACGTCAAGTGGGCGCTCCACGGTTGATTCTTGCCGAGAGATATCAAGTTGCGTTTGATTATTTGCTCAATGCACTGGTAATGCTAAAAGTTGTTACGAAATATCGGAGGAGCAAACGCAGGACCATTTGTGACAAATATTCGGCTCCGAATATAACGAGGACCCCAGCATCCTACAGTTCATTGTGGGCTACACTCCGACATACTTGACCGAAGGGGCACAACCACCAGCCGGGACTGAATTGCCAGCTTGAAAACCAGGTACCCGAAAGGCCATGAGAGAGCCATTAGAGATTGCAGCAAATATGATCAACGCTATGTTATCGTACAACTTGTCAGGGAAGGACACTGATGCCTGGGCTATTGTTTTGCAACAGGATGTGGGATATCATTAGGATGGGATTCAAGAAAGGAGCACGGGAATGGAATAGGGACATGGGAAATGGGATCCACCTTGGCAAATATTTCGGATTTGTATCGGACAAAAGTTGTCTCTTGTGATGGAATGCAAATTGTTATCCGGGGAGCGATGGAATGAATGGGTGCTTATGTATGGTGTAGTCAGGGAGCTACCTTTCCAGGCAAGGTACGCCTGACCTGACTCTCGTACCACTGACTTCTCACATCTTACGCCCCCAGCTGGAGGATGTTGCGACCGGCACGACTTTACGTGATACGTATGCGACTATGAGTCGATATATACCTATAATTGTCACTGCCCGCCATTGTTCAGAGGGCATGTTTCTTGAATATTCCTCCTGGTTTTGGACGGTGCCTTCTGTTGGGTCTGGACCTGCTACATCGACTTTTAGTATTTTCTGTTCTTCCAACCATGCTTCTTGCCAATTTTCTTCGGATGGTGATCCATGGAGGCCCTCTCTTTGCCGGAGGTCCTGCTCCAACCGCTGTCGACATGACTCCTTCACAGACTCTGACGTTGGCCACTTCGTTACTCGCCGTCCTAAGTCCCTCTGCTACCCGTGTCAGCCCTGCGAACGGTGGCCTAGTCGTCGATTCAGCCCCCAACATGCCTCAGCCCTACGTTTTACGGAACCTGAAGGGCGACGCCGTTAACTTTGGTGGCTTGATCCTCCGGACCCTTGTTTCCAACGTCACTTCGTCTGGAGGCTTGTCACTTCTGGGTGTCAATTCAGGTCCAGCTCCCCTCAATCTCATCCACTATCACAAAGAGGTCGAGGCATTCTACACACTGAAAGGCAGTGTTCAAGTCTTCCACAACACCGATCAAGGCCGCGAAGTTCGGGCCAACGACTTTGCTCTCCTGGCACCTGGCAATAACCATACCTATCGCCCCAATGATCTCGATTTCCAGCTGACTCTTTGTGTGGCTCCCGGCGGGATTGACGAATTCTTTGCCGCGGCCGCTGACCCATACACCTCATCTTCCCCATTCAATCCGGAAGATCACTCACAACTCAACGTGACCAAGGTGCTGGGTCTGATGCCTCAATACCACATCGTGCCGCAGCCAATGAATTCCATCAACATGGATTGGGTGAATGGGACTACTGCGGACGGATTGGATACCTGGCACGTCGCGGACCAGACGTTACCGGAGGATCCCACCAAGGCCTATTTCATTTCTAGCAACCGAGGACCAAAATTTCTTCAGCGTGACACGGGGAGAGTGATTGCTCAGCTCGCATCTACCAAACAGACTGGCAATGTCCTGAGTGTTGCCGCTATCACCTTGAAACCTACGGATAAGCCTGCCGCAGTTTCTTTCGATGTGGACCACGCATTCCAAGTGACAGAAGGTCAACTTAGTGTGGAAATCAATGGCGAGACAGTGCAGATGATTTTTGGCGACCTCGTTTTCATTCCCGACGGTACTCGCTTCACCTATTGGTCCAGTGTTGGTTTTACAAAATTCGTGGTCTGGTCAGCTGGGCCAGGACTTGTCGAGTGCCTCATCAAAGATGCGGAACCGTGGGATCATACGGTTTGGCCGGCGTAAATATCCCGCCGATTCAAGGGACCAAAGATTTGTACATACAGCAGGGATCGCCGCAAGCATCAACAAGATATTTTCGGCGTTGAAGGAGTAAAGTTAAATACAGCTAAGAGAGAGAATAACACTCAATGTACAATATTCTAATGCTGATGCATCGAAAATTGACAATGAGAATTAATGTGCACAAACCTCCTTTTCTCTTTTTCTCCTTTCAGTTGACTTTCAAGCGCCGCGTTTCAACCACCCTCGCATTGACATAGCCACAGCCATGGCTGATGGTCACGCAATCTTTTTTCGTTCTTCCCACGTTCAATGCAATACAATGCAATGCTGGTCAAGATCAAGGGTTAGATGCAGATTGGCTCCGACCAGGTCGCGTGTTGAACCCAAACTCCCCTTTCCTTCTTTCACCAACAACGTCGATGTTGAAGGCGTGGCGTGTTGTGCCATCGTCATCCCATTTCCAGTGGAAAGAGGTACAGCACCAGAACATTTCTTCGCTCCCTCTCCTCTTGGTAGTGTTCCTCAATACCCTGTGCAGCCAAGGCTATAAAGCATGGACATTGGAGGTACATTTGCAAATCTCCTCCACAAACTCTCTCTCATCCACCACCTTTTCTCTCAATGAAGAACATTCCTCAAGAAACCGCAAATCGACTCCTCTTCCTCAAACTCGCGCCGAAGAAGTAAATCGCATAGATCCCAAAGATACATAGTGCCGTGAGGCCACCCAACAAGCTAGCGGCGCCCGGCACGTCAAGATGATCAAACATGGGACGAGCGTAGAGGATGGCACCGGCAGCGAAAGCCGCGCGTGCGAACCCGTTAGCGGCGAACAGAGACCCAGAATATCGAGGGTATGTGAAGGGAAGGTAGATGAACATGCATTGAGTGATAATGAAGACGCCGAACATGCTAAGTGCGATTCCGACAAGGCTGAAGACCCAATGGATGTTGGAACGGGCTGTCCAGGCTGGATTAAGTCAAGGACACATATTGTTTAGTTAAACGTCGAAAGGGAAAATTATGGGAGGCTGTTCCTGGGGAGAATGATGGAATTTACTTGACTCACCGAAAATGAATAGACCGATGGGGATGAAAAAGGTTGCGACAAGCCCTGGCCACAGACGAGCTTCCGGAGGAACCGATCCAGGAGCGGCACCAGCCATTCTCGCATCGGCATAGAAGTAGAAGTACGAACAATACATCATCACGGCGATGACGAGTCCGACCAACACAGCCAGAAATGCAAGACCGATCTGCCCCAAGTTGAAGCCATAGATACCTCCGTAGACGATCGGAAAAGATTCGAAGAAAGAATAGTATATCCCGTAAATGAGCGCGGTGTAGGCGGTGGTAAACAACACGGCTGGATCGAGAATGTTGATTTCCCAGGGTTTAATCAGGGCGTTGAAGACGATGGCTCGGGGAGACATTTTGGCTTGTCGGACTTCAGATTCGGCTTTGAGGTCGGTACGGCCTGTAAGGGCGCGTAGTCGTTGCGCTCGACGGAGCAGGATCGTGTCGGAGGATGTCTCGGGGAGAGCGGCGAACATGAGCACGAAAGTGAAGCTGGATAACCAGAGGAGTTCCCAGGAGTTCCATCTCCAGTTCATTTCTTGTACGGCGAAGCCGTCGATTAATGGGCCCAGCGCCTAGAGAGAGTTGTTAGTATTTTTGTTCGCTGAGAGTGCATCCTGGACGAAAGACTGTCCAGGGAAAGAAAAGATGAACTGACCGGCGCTAACGTTGCACCACCACCCCACAATGCAATCACGTACGGCATCTCTTTGGCTCCGTAGAAATCTCCATAACTTGCCCCTCCGGTGGCCAGACAAGGCGAGCCGAAGAATCCCAGCCAAAATCGAAGGACCAGCAACCCAGCCATATTGTCGACAAGACAGGCTGGAACAATAAGAACAACAAAGATGAAAAATGGAAGGATATACGGACCATTTCGGCCAACGGCCGGGATCTCGGAGAGCGGAGAGAACAAGAGTGGTCCAACGCCGTAGCCGAAAACGTAGAGTGACAGACCGAGAGATGCACCCACCTGACTGACGTTGAAAATCTCGGTAAGGTCCGGAATAGCCGCGACATAGAGCGAGGAGCCTAGGTAAACGGTGAAGGTGTACAGAAGGATGAGGAAGGACAGCCATCCTTTCTTCAAATGAGACCAATTCTGGGGGTTGTCTGGATCCTGCTCTGAGTACCAGGTAACGAGGACATAGTCTTCTTCAAAATTTTGATGTGGACTTTTTGTACCGGCTGAGCCATTGGTATTCGTGTCCTCGCCGTTTTCGGGGTCATAATTGTTTAGCTGATCACGTCCAATGGTTGACCTTCTCTCATCAGCGTCGGTTTCGTCCGTCGTGGACTCGGATGTGTGGTTCGTAGAAGGCTCAGGGCAGGAAGCGGAGTATTCTTCAGGGATCTTGAAGGATGTAGATTGTTCTGGAAAGGCGGCAAGTCTGCTGCGAGTGAGGAATCGTAGGCATTGCCCAACAGCGGCGTCTCGAAACACTCCGTACATCGGGCAGGCTGACGAGTGGAACAGTCAGGTGATGGAGTCCTGTAAATCGCTGAGTGAAGAGCTCGAGACAGGCGAGATCGCGACATCTCTTCTTTTGTACTGTGAGCGAGGATGGCGATATCAATATGGAAGTCGTTCATTTGTCATCTCATGTACAAGGAGGGCCATCGAGAGCCAGAGTTGCGCAAAGCTAACTTGATTAGGTAAGTCCCTGTCGAGGCTGTGGGCCGTATGGACGAGGATAAGGCTCCATCCATCACTTTGACCCTCTTCGGCTCTCCTGATGATTGCCACACACAGTGATGTAATGGCTGGAATAAACACCATCTAGCTTCAGAAACGGGGTGAATCTGTGACACTGAAGGGACGGAGAGACCGCCACGTTTCGGATTTCGGACTGATCAAATTGGCCTGATCAACATCCCTGCCCAAATGAGGACATGACCTTGGGCGATATATTGGAATGGGAGACTGGATTCAGGCTGCAATTTGTCCATGTCAGTTGAATTGTTCACATAATCGATTGAGAAGGACACGGACCTTTGAAAGTAATGTAGCTTGACCGAGACCCGTATTCTTGCCTATCCATGCCAGACATTCACGCATTCGAGCTTGTATCTCGGGCGACACCACCGAAGACACAGTTATAACCCAGAGCGGATGAAGGAGAAATAGGCCGCCCACCGGTGGCCCGGGAGTCATTGGTTTAGTACCACGGTGGAGTTCGTGTGGGAAAGCGTCTGAGTCGTTCCCTAGATGAAATGGAACTGATGATGCAATATCTTCAGCCAGTCTCTGGGCCTCCTCGTCCTCCCCAGTCTCTTGTCCAAGCCGTCTCTTGCATTTGAAGATGACATCTAACATGAGGAGATGGGTTTTGCGATAGGTATTCCATACTGCCGCCACGTATACTAAGACCATCAGTTATATCGCACGTGGGAACATACGGAAAGGTCATACGATCAAAGTAGGACTCGATCCTCCCTGTCGTATGAAAGCCGCCCGCAAATGACCGTGATGCACATTCACTGACGGTGATGGGTTTCCATTCTTCGGGTTGGCTTTCTGCCCATTTCGCAAAGGCATCACGTAAACTCATTGCGTTCTCCCTGACCTGAATAATTTCCTCTTCAGAAGGGCTGGAATCATGGGCGAGCAGTGCCATTGCTTTGTAAAATATGGGATTAAACTTGACAAGAATCGAGTCCAGGCTTTGGATTGAGCTGTTGGATATCGGGGTACAGAGAACGCCGACATTCTCGGGTGCCTCGTCTGGCTCAGCGGCGGAACCCAAGAAATTGGTTGGATAGGAGACATACATGAAGCGGTTCCTTGATGATAATTGGATTGCTAAGTTGAAACAATTGGGTACATCCGGCAAAGAGATTAAAAGGAGAGTCATCGCTACAGAGAATTGCTGATACCCCTTGTACATGGGCAGGATGTTGACCGGGGTTGTCTTCATTACTGGTGATGATCTGTAGAGGTGTCAGCCATCCGTGTTATCCGCGTCTTTCTACCCCAACCTCGTATAGTCCTAATAAGACGGCAGTCATCAAAGACTCGACCGTGTTTGCTTGGTCGCGGTGGGAAATAGTTGCCTGGAAAGAATGCAGTAAATCGCCGTAGATGTACCGAGTTCTGCGCAGAAGACTAGATCTGCCCAGTTTGTTCCCTATTCCGGCAAGAGACACAATCCTTGCGGCCTTGGCCATGTCAGATGATGGCCCTGCGTGTGCGATCAGGAGCTGGAGGCCGTCAAGAAAGCCGCGAGACAGTGTCGGGTTCCGTGATGTGATGCAGTAGTCGTTGAAAAAGGCTTCAAGAGCGCCTTCTTCAAGTCGGGCGTCATCGAAATTCGACGACTCGTTGTCCCATTCAGAAGGAGCAATATTTCCCACGGCCGGCGTCGACTCGGATTGGGGTGATGACTTTCTTTCCTCCGCGGTCCTCAATCCGACATAATGGCGAAAGACATAACCAGGAGCCTCGTCGTAACCAAGACAGGCTCGTTTTGACTTGAGACACCTGTTGCAGGACTAAGAGCATTCAGTAGATGAGACTTCACGTCCTAGGAAGGGCCGTAACTCACTGGTCTAGATTCGTCGCACTGAAGAAAGCGTCCAGCAATGAGCAGGCAAACAGGAGGACAGGTTACCGGCTCACCTTCTTGCGCCTCTGCTTGCAAGTCCTGCAAGCCCTAGAGATACCGTAGTTGACCATCCTCCGTAGACGCCTGCCATACGATTTCCAAGGGTCCTCTGCTTTTTGGACCGAGATATGTGATTCAAGTTAGTTGACGTTTGAGAACGATGTCCGCGAGATTGGCAGAGTGCTCCAACGTAGGCGAAATACCGCAGAGCAAAGTCGTAGCTGACGCGGTCCCTGATCAACAATTCAACATAAGTTCATTTCTCCACATCGCCTGCTCTATTAATTCCCATCCGTTATCGGCGAGGAATCGCTAATCTGCACCATATACAGTGAACAGCGCGATCTCTGCTATCCGAGTTCGTATTTGTTGAACCATCAGAGGAGATGATATCTCTAGCCAGCTGATACGCCCTTGGTGTCAGCCAATAGTGCCATCGTGTCCTCTTTCGTTTATCTCTCTAGATGTACCAAGTCAAGGCCAACCAATCCAGCCGCTCCTATCATTGCCGACACAATGCCTGCAATATTGTCCGCGGACCGGTGGGTGCCGGACGATGTCGATAAGCTGTGCTACTAGCCAGTTTCTTGGGTTAAGAATGAGTGATAACTGGCTTGGCTGTTTCATGCTCATTCCTGCCTAGTGCAAGATGTTGGCGTTGACACGCTCTGTACGGAAAGCCGTGTCTCCTCGTAGTTCTGCCATCGTCCACTGTTTTTGGTGAGAGATTTACCAACTCTTCCGCTCGGGATTCAGCCACCTCGAAAGAAGGGAAAAGTTAGACCGTGTTCGGTTGATCCTGAATCAAGAGGAAGGCTCAGGGCCGATGCGACAGCTAGTGAGGGATGGCCTGTTCATTCGACAATGGACCGCTTACTATGGTGTATCTTGAGGTGTTGGGGAGGCCGGCCAGCATCAGTCTTCACAGGGGAGCGACCTCGTCGCCTCCCATATCTTGATCACAGATACACGTTCCGGTTCTCCTGTGTTCTGAGATAAACGAAGAGTGAGTTAGGCGGTGGAAGGGTAGGGGTTGAACTGCATTTGAGCGTGGTCTTGGGGCAATAAGTGCATGCATATTCCGTCGCCCCTGGACTCGAACTGGTGATACGACCACTCACATCACGGGGAATGTTGCGGGATCAAATTACCCCAGAAATGCTGGAGGAGGGGCTCACCGTGTCCCCAAAGGCGGGGGACGAGGGGGATCGCGATCACAACTACCAGCTGGTCTGCTTAATATATCAAGGAGTAAGACGTTGAGTAGTGTGACAAGTGACATCTCTCTCTGTGTACTCCGTTCCTCTTATTGATTCCTAAGCCTCATCTTCCCATTCCAGCCAGACGAGTCTCTCTTCAACATCCGTACACAGGGTCTACCACCATGTCCTCTCCCACCTGGCAAGACCGCCGCTTCATAGGCACTGTGCCCAAAGAAATCCATCAAGGCAGCCGCCGCTATTCAGCCACTAAAGACACCATGTCGACGCCGCCCACCGCAGCCACCGCCCTGGCAGCCGCCACCATTCCCACCACTTCTCCCGCCGACTCGACAACACCAGCAACCAAAGTGTTTCCAACCTGGGAAGGAGACCGGCGCTTCATGGGCACGGTCCCCAAGGAAATCCACGAGCCTGCACGCAAGTCATCTTTCTCTGGCGCCAAACCGGCTGAAGTCCCGAAACCTGCTTCTGCTTCACCTCCACCGGCGTCGACTGGTGGAGGGATAGCGGCTGCAATTGCCGGAAGAAGACGGGTATGTATACATCCACTAGCCTCACACACCTTTTTATCAAGCACCCTTTGGTCACTCAACAAGTCCTGCCTTGTGTTGGCCATACCTAACTTAAACATATAAAGTCCTCTGCAGGGTCCCAATCTGGTATGTTCAGCGGCCTCCTCGCAAACCGAAGCAACGACCAACGCCGTCAAAGTTGGGAAGACGTGAAAAAACCAGAAGGTCTAGGCGGGTTCTTCAGCGGGCTGGTGAACAGTAAACCTGCCGAGAAGAAGTGAGGCATACCCAGAGTCACACCCAGGAAGCCTGGAAATTGCTTCCAAACTAGTGAAACCGACTACAGGAAATTGTGGATGTTAGGGGCGAGTTTTCGCGTTGGGATATCAATGCTCACTTCCCATTCGAATGCGAACGAGCGAACGAAGAATTTTGTGCACGAAAGAAAAATTGAAAACGCTGGACTAGGTAGGCAGGCGTTGGAACCATGACCGTGAAGGTGGAAGAGAACTGTATCAGAATTGCCAACAAACAATACCCGTGTTTCGGATGAGAAAGGGCCGCAGGATCTCTTTTGTATTTATAAATACGTAGTTTGTACCATTATTATCAACATGTTCAGCTCAGTCTCCTGGAGACTTCGAGAACAACAAAATGTGACGAACCTGCGAATATTCATCTCTGTATCACTTCACATCGAGGGTATCTTTATCATCTGCGGACCTCCATCCTTCCTTCCGTTTCTGCGCTGAATCTAAGACCATATACAATCTGGGTGACAAACGAGTGCATGCACAATCAAAACGTGTCCTCTGAACGGACCACGTACACTCGAGCTCTTTTTTTTTGATCTATCTGTGTGTATATCTTGGGGAGAACTCGCCCTTTTACTGGCTCTTGATAGCGACCGTTTCCTCGGGCGTCTGCTGACCACTCTCATCCTCGACCTCCGCAACACGGCCGTGGATAGCAGGTTTCTTCTTGCCCGTGATATCGAGAATCATGGATTTCACGGTGTGACTCATGGTTTGGCGGCCTTGCCAGAGTGGGAACAGGCCGACGCAGAATGTGCTGCAGAAGAGCCAGAGAATGCCGACAACCACCCAGCCTGGTACATCAGTTAGCAAACAAGAATAGCCGCAGGGAAAAAAAAAAAGGTGGGGGAAGGATCGAAGGGGAAGACACCACATGAACATACCGGTGAAGAAGCTCTTGCTGAAAATATACCCGGAGCCGTACATGGGCATGGGCCATAGAACGAGCAAAGCGATGGTCATGAAGCCAGTCAAGCTGCGAGAGATGATGGCGGCCTTGTTCAATTTGGCTTGTTCGGCGGCTTCCTCCTCCGCAGAGCGCGAGGTGACGGTGGGCACGATCTCGGTATCGACGCTGGCTCGACGGATGATTTCGGTATCATCGCCCTTACGGATCGCACGCATTGATTGCCAGTCGTAGTTCTGCTTGCCGAATCCGTAGGTGAGCAGAGGGATGAAGATGATTGGACTGAGCAGCGCGGTGACGTTGCCCGCAAGCATCGGGTTGTTGGAGCCCGTGCAGTCGACGTTCAGGACACCGCATTCTTTCTTCGCTGTCACGAGCCAGGCAATCAAGGCGCATGCGAGACCTAGCACTGGCGCGCCGGCGGCAGCTTGCCAGTTCTGGTCTTTCCACATCAATGCTAGAGTTGCGGGGATGACCGCACTGCTAATAATGCAACCTAAGTCATCGAATTAGACCAGTTCGAAAATACGGATTGACATTTGACTCTCACCCATCAAAAGATACAGGTAGCCCATGGAGACACCCGCGTAGAAGAGACCGGTGGAAAAGCTTGCGAGAGCGACGGCGTAGACCACGCAGGCAGCGTGGGACATTCGGATCAAGAACTTTCCTGACGCCTTGGGGTTGATATAGGTTTGATAGATGTCGTATGTCCAGATTGAAGAGACAGCAATCAACTCGGCGGATGAGGCGGAGGTAACCGCCATGAAGATCAAAAGTAGAGTTGCTGCAGCACCACCTTTGCCCAGGAGGGCGACAGCGGCGTAGGGAAGCACCAATCCAGCACTGACGTCCGCGTGCGCCATGCGCTCAGGATAGGTTGGGAAAACCGGGTTGTTCTCCAATGCCAAAGCTGCTAGGCCCATGGTGGTCGCACAAAGCCAGGGAATGGCGAACCAGGAGAGACCTCCCATTACGTATCCGGGGAGCGCGTCGACCGGAGAGGCCGCAATGGCTTTGTTGTAGTAGCCGTTGTCAAGGAACACGGTTCCAAAGTTTCCAACGATGTTGATGACGAAGAAGATGGCTCCTTCACGGCTTCGCATGGTCAGATAGCTACCATGGGCATTGCCGTCGACAGGATGTCGCTGGCTTGCTTGAACAAGAAGTTCCCAGACCTTGCTTGGAGATCCAACGACTTCGTTGGTGGCATATGTGCTGAAGGCAAAGACGAAGATAATGACCAAAATGATTACCGTGTGGACGTAATCGGTCAAAAATGTCGCCTTAATTCCGCCAAACATGGTGTAAAGCACGACTCCAACCGGCAAAAGAAAGCAGGCGGCTGCTGTGGGAACACCGCAAAGAGAACTGGCCACGGCGCTGCCCCCGGTCAGGAGCATCGCGGTCACGAGGATGTTGGTCATGAGACCGAAGATGAGGAAGACGACATGCGTGACGACGCCATATCTAGCCTTGATGACCTCAAGGAAGGTATGTGCATTCGGTGCTCGTCTTTTCAGTCTATAGCAGGGAGTCAGTGGACCGCTCGAAAGCAGTCTAGACTTGAGTCCGAGGAACACCACTCACTCAATGGCCAAGGTAGCGAAGAGCAAGATCTGAACCGTGGCTCCAGACGCATACCAGAAGGGACCAGAGACACCATAAGAATAGGCAACACCGGAAGATTGAAGCAAAGTCGCAGCCCAGGTCCAGCTGGAGACGACCGCTGCAGCAACGAGACCCGATTTGACGGTTCGACCAGCTGTTGAGAATTCTTCAGAGGTTTGAACCTGGAGATAATTCAGTCCTAGACACCACGTTCGAAGGGCATTTGACGCACCTCTCCATGGTATCTCTTCAGTGCCCATGTCGTGCCAATCATACCCAAGGCAAAGGCAAACCCAAGTCCAAGGATAATGCCATATCCAAAGCCCTGGCTGAGGGGGACGTATGCCGCTCCGGCGGTGTCCGACATCTTGAGATAGGGAAAAACGAGTCGAGTCACAGCAGAGGATATCCGTTTCCAGAGAGGATCGACACCACAGAACTCGAAGGGGGGAGAAGTGGTCGTAGGGGATCTCTGTCAAATATATACTGTATACTCCAGAAGATATACTTACCTCCCCTTCAATATGATAGAAGGCAAAGAGGCTGGCTGACAAAAGAAAATTCAACGGATTTGGGGTCCCGAAAAGCTCTTCAGACCGTGTGAGCACGCGATACTGGGTCCTCGAAAATTTTCACGATGAGAATTCTAGCCCGATAACGGAATCCCAGGGAGAAGCAAGTACGAGTCATCTCGATTCGATTACCTGTAGGACCGTGAAGATTTGTTTGGGGTTGGATGATAGAACCAAGACAAGCCTTGGTGACGCCAACTGGAGATAGGGAACCCCAGTCAGGTACCTGGAGACACTGATAAGCAAGTCATCTACTAATGGATATTCGCATCTGCAAGGAAGTGGGAAGGTAGATCATCTGTACGGATGGAGACATGGTGATGAAACGCGTGATAGAGCAACAGAGAAGACAATAATGGGGAAAAAAAAAAAAAAAACACAAAGAATACGATCTTATCTGGTTAACAAGCCTCGGTGATTGGTAGAGTTAATTGCTTCTTTGTCGGACTTGTCCTCCCAAGGCTGGGCCGAATGGATCACACCCAAGCCGCGAAAAGCTTCCCTAGGCCAATCCCCCAATATCAACTGAGAATGATCCTGCTGCTTAGGAGATGCGATTGATCTTTCAAAGCTCCCTATCGTCTTGATTAGTCTCGAAGTGGAAGGTAGTCCCAGCCAGCCTGATACACAGCAATGTGCAGGATTGTACCCTGAGATCACTGTAGAACACAGCACCTAGCTTACCGCCTTATCCAGTCTCCCACGGGGAACAAAGATGCCGCAGAGTCTAAGGAGACGGAAATTTCACCAACCCGTCACCATTGGCTCCTTATTCTCCTCCCCCGTTGATACCAGTGACCATATCTCAGAAAAGGGTTCGTTGGGCTCACCCTCTGACAGCCCACCAGCATTGAGTCTGGCTTGGTCTTTTGTTTTCGCCATTATTTTTTTTTTTTTTTTTTTTTTTGATTTTCTTCCCCCTGCCACATGTCTGCCATTGGCATGATCACGCCCCAAAAAAAGCGTTGCAACTAAGCGAACCAGCCTGCTCCAGACTCGCTCTTTCCAAGGCTGAGACGATAAGCCCGACCTGACAAATGCGTATCTCTCTCGTACCGTGAGAGATAGCAGTGTCAGCCACAAACCCGACCACTAGATGAGGCTTGTCATAACTATCTCTGGATTGGCTGGCATATTGGTTTAAGTGAAATCGAAGTCAGCGGTCCAAGCGAGGTGCATGTCGCGATGAACCTGGAGGTGGAATCTCGCTTCTGGGCCTGGCTAGCTTTGAAATCAGATATCTTTTCCTTCCCCACATTGGGCTGTTGACACGGGATGGGGCTCGCCTGCTCAGAATTCGTTCTGCAAGCTTTTTCCTCCAAAATGAGCCTTTACTGTATAGGTGAAGGCACGCTGGCATTCTCATCCTCGAGCAAAGAATGTGGTTGGCTGTTGGTCCGATGGCCAAAGTAGAAAGAAAAAAAGAAAGAAAAAGAAAAAAATAAAAAAAGAAAAATTCATGTGCAGCAATATGAAGGCAATAACTCATATCTGCGTCAACAAGGCTTGATGTGAAAGCTCCTTTGTTAAGCGATGGCGTTCTGCTTAGTCAAGGCAGGATTCTTCCACCTCCCGAGTCCGATACCGTTTCTTGACAAGGGCTTTGTACTAGCACGTCAAGATCTTCCTTGTCCATCCACGAGAAAAATCGGAATACGCACCCTCTTCTGTTCGACGGTGTCTAGGATAGACATGTCGCCCGACAGTCCATCTGAGTGATGACACCGATACCGCATACCTAGCGGAAGCCAACATTACCACAAATGTCCGAATAGTTATTGGTAGTCGTTTTCTCGTTTCGAGATATGAGCTTCGAAATTCAGTGACCATGTTGGGATTGGCTGGGGGGAAAGGAGAGCTGTCCCATGGTGAAAGGTTGGTATCCCACGTAGAAACGACGTCGAGAAACGAAACCTTTCAGTCATAAAAACGCGAATAGAGCGAACGATCAAGATTCTGCAGTCAAGATATTAGTGAAATCGTTCACTGAAGTCTCCGTTGCACATGCTTCCAAGAGAATAGGAGGAATGGTGGATCCAAAGGTGGATAACTGATGCTGGGACTGAGGAAGAAGCAGCAATGTCGACGCCGATAGATTCAGTGCAATCTTGCACCTTCTGGGCGCAAAAGACTTGGATATTTGACCCTCAGGTGTTAGAATTTGGCACGGGCCAGTCTGAGTCTTCTCTGATGACATAGGCAACCTGGCTCCACATTGGCAGAAGGAAAAGATTGAGTATCATCGTGCTTAGTGGCTTCCTCGTCACTGCAGTGGTCTTGCCCAATTGGACCAGCCGGAGGCGTTTATATGCGGGATACCACAGTCACTGAACGGTCGAATGTCTCTAGTTAGTCGTGCCATCGGAACCGCCACCAGAAGAGATAAGAGAATCAAAATCGGATGCGAGTCGGGGTCGAGATCGACGGTGCATTGATTAACAATTACCGCAAGTTCGAAACCTGACTCATAGTGCGATATCGCGTGAGGCTGTACCGATTGGAACATCATTCCGAGGCCAGTACTGGTTATGATCACAGTGACGTTGAAGCGATTCGTGAAAAGCAATACTACAATCGCGAGCCTGTGTGTCGGATTCTCTGACAATATTGGATGCACTGGAAATGAATGAAAAACTCGTGACATGTATTGGCGCGGTATTTGTGATCGATATATGAAGCCGACGAGCCTGGTGGAGGAGACTACATCCTACATTCTGCTTGCCGTTAGCTGCTGAGATATTTGGCCATTCTCATTGCAACGATTTGGGGTCAAACTGTCCACAGTAAGAGAAGAAAACTTCATGGAAATCCTGTAGATGTCTTCGATGATTTGGAGATTGAATGACCATGATGTATGCCTTCCTTTGGGCTATCTCAGCCAATTCATCTTCTGCTGGAGCATAGGCTGGGAGGCATAGTCTCCGCCGCATCGTATCGCTATTGTGCAGATGTTTGGAGGGTCTCTCACCTGGCATGGAAATTGAAGCGCGGAGACATTGCTGGGATGTTGGTGGTGCCGCACCAATTTCTTTTTTTTTTTTTTTTTTTTTTTTTTTATAAAAAAAAAGGGCGTCGGGTGGTACTGAAAAGGCTCTCGCCGTGATGTATCCTTATGTTAAATCCAAAACATTCTTTGCCACTTCCGTCATCTGAGTCCATGTTGCGTTCGTGGACAGTCAATCACATAGATAAAATGGACCGATATCTTGTGTCTGACACCCGATTAGCTGCAACAGGTCGTTTGTTGACCATATGATCATCTTTCGAGACAAATGGAAATGTCTGTGTCAACCTGAGGGTATGTATTGATCTTTCTTTTCGAGCAATAAACTCCTAAGATTACAAGGTGGCCCCTCAAAACGACGTCGATCCGCTTCCCGGTCTCTTTTCTAATGTCCATGTTGAGGTTCGCCGTGATATCCGACGATCTTCATCCGTCCAACCATTTCACCCACCGTAAAGAAGCCGAGAATTTCGGCGAAAACGATGCCGGCAGTAGCTAATTGCTTGGTGTTAAGGTTGCGGATGGTGCGCCGAATGGATTCGGCGTTGAAAGAGCTGGTGACAGAGCTGCTACTGGACATGATCGCGCGAGGGTTTCGGAAAACATTGATCAGAGGTTGGAAATAAGACTGGAATTCGGCAATCGTGCTGGACAGACCAAGTCAGACCAATCAGCTGGAGTCGTCAGGGAGACACTTACGGAGGCGTCATTTTTTGACCCTTGAACACAATCTTTCCAAGCTCAAATCCCACACGAGAATAGTAGATGGTAGGTGGTATTAACGCTGAAACACCATTAGCCCGTCGACCGGTTGTTCCCAGATGAATCTATCTCGAGCATACATTCAACGAAGGAGATGACCTTTCCTGTTCTTCCGCCCACTCTTCCTAGTGCGCCATATGCAGACGAGCCGACCCGGGAGATTACCGCCCCGGCAGAGCTGGAAACTCGGCTGAGACCCTCCGAAGCTTTGGAAGCAACCTGTTTACCGGTTTCTTGTGCTTTAGAGGCGGCCTCCGAGGTGGTGGAAGCTTGTCTGAAATTGTTTCGCCGCAGGAGAAATTTGGATTGACGGAGGATGGCTCGGGAGGTTGGAGCTGCAGACATGGCTGCTTGGAGCTCCTGATGGAGCGCAGAGGAAGGAGGGAGACGGCGACGGGGGATGCGCAAAGCTGGACACCAACAACGGCCGTTGTTTAAAGGTGTACGGGATTTGTCTGCTGAGGATTGAAGGATGCGAGTCAAGAGCAGTGAAAAAGCTTCAAATCTCGGGACGAATTGGGACGGAAAATCGCCCAGACATGGAAGCTCCTAATTGGCCTGAATTCTGCAAAGTGGCTGTGGCCCGTACCGGTTTACCTGCCACACTTGTACCTCTACCTGCATCGGTTACCTGGCGAGCGTCAAAAGATGGGAGAACAAGAGCCGGGAGGAACAATGATGGCTGATGTATTTCATCATCATATCACTGTACCCTTTCCTGTGAAAACGGACATAGAACTATCGTCTGGAGGTCCCCAAAACAGCAGGGCCCAATCAGAGACTGTACCCTACCCCCTTAGGCACGTCCATCTCAGCCACAGTCCAGGAGGCTTGTCCTCAAACACCGACAGCCACATCCCTATCACGTTCTGTCTCATATAAGTGACACCCGGTATTCTGGTCCCCCTCCTCAACCTGAAACAATCATTTGGGGTCCGGCAAATGTCTTCAGGCCCCAAAACAGTGTAGAGCCGAGTTCCCCGGTGGTTGGTGACTGCTCCCTGAGCCCCTGCAGCAGTCCTGGTTCGCCTCGAGTTGTCCCATTTTTTTTTTTTTTTTTTTAATCTCTGTTGATCGATGGCACAAAGTACTTTCGTAAACATTCTCAAATCTTCTGTCATCATGTAGACATTGGATCTCGCCTTGGCTATATTTAATCCATCTGTGCGAATAACACTGGTTTACCGGAGGTGTTTTGGGCGGCGTTCTTTGTTCTTCTATGTGCCGATTGACGGTGAATCTCCCCTGGGGAGCGCGTTCGCTGCGGTTGTGTGCATGTGTGTTCAGTCAGTTGCTTTGACGTCTTCCTGCACTCGTCTCATTCTCATACCCTCCCCCCCCAAAAAATAAAAACTCAGAGACTCCAAGATTCAAGATTGGTAGTTGGATGGAGATGTAAATGGAATTGATTTCAATTGGGCTTGTGACAACTCCGTTGATCTTCAATCCTCCGACATGTCTGCCAAGCCCCGACACGGTCAGACTCAGCCTCGAAAGTCATTGAAGCAGAGTCTCAAAGACGTCTTCCTGCGCCGACCGCGAAAATCCCCCAATCCCTCTCTCAAAACGGTGGGTTCAGGAATATTGCGCAAGGCCGACCCGTCAACATCATCGATCCCTTGGCTCGACGCCGCCTCATCGTGTGGCGACTGGGCGGTGAGTCAACTCAGTCTCGACGACTTCACCATCTCCCGCTCAATTCCCAACCGGTTCGAAACACCGACGCGGAAATCAACAGTCCATCGACAGTCGCTCCTGCCCGCTACCAGCCTCAGTCAATTCAATCTCCATCATGCCTACCTGCAGCCGTCGACGGTCCCTCGTCGAGCAGTCCACGAGGTCATCTCCCCATCATTCACATCGATTGTGAGCCGCGAAGCGAGTCTGGCCACTCTTTCGGCGGTTTCCAGTGCTTCCACGTTGAGGCTCCAAGAATCTCGTCAGAAACTCCTCCCCCGAGATGCGCTGCAAGACCGGACCATCCGGTCCTCAGCTCGGACCGCCACCGACCGCCAAAGTCCAAGCAACCAGGTGTCATGGCTTCACTCCCCAACAGTCAGTTCCGGGTCGGTCAGAGACATCGTTTCGAGGAGAGGAGAGCCCTTGGAACCGGACGATCCTGCGGGCGTTCGGCTGGTGGAGCACTTCAGATCCTTCTGCATCCTCGACACGGTGATACCCGGGTGCCCGGTGGTGGCCACATCTCAGGAGCTCCGGTATATCTTTGAGATTGGCGAGCACTTCTTTCTCAACAGCTGTGAATGTGAGGGGACCTCCATGGACATTGTGACCGGTCAAGATGCGGCGGGCGATCCCGTCACTCACCTGGTCCTATTTACCCCTCTTATCATTCCGAGCAGTGGTCGAAGTCGTTTCATGCTCGCCAGCCTCATTGACGTAACTCGATTCATTCATGATACCGCCTCCCTCCCCGAACTCGAGAGATCATCCAACAGCTCCACCATTGAAAGTGATCTGCGGACGCCAATGCACGATCGGTTGCCCTCCAATTGGAATTCCGCGAGGTATAAACTGTCCGCCGAAGATCTCCTGGGAGGTTGCGTTCTACCCGAAGATCGAGAAGTCCAACCACACCCGTTGGAGGAGTCTCCCGATGATGTGTGGCTGAATTTGGCCGACGAGGAAAGGAGCCGAACGTCCACGGCACGAAACACTCCTCGATCGACACCCAAAATCAGTCAGACCCCCGGATCTTCAAAGGCATCACATTCCTCAACGGCCGCCAGTACGGTCGACGAGGTATTGGAGGAGTTTATCAGGGGCTTGCAGGAGCTGTATTCGGACTTCTTCCTTTTAGGCAAATCTCCGCTTGACGATACCTTCTATGAGATCTGCAACGTCTCACCCCTGTTGTACGCCGCCAAGGATTATATTCACGGCCATCTTTCTCATACCGGACAGCATAAGATTGCTGAGCTGAGTACCCGACTTGCCCAAGGATCGCCATTCAACATGCACGTCAAATGGGGTCTTGAAGGCCTGGACAAACGTCTGTATTGTAGTCCACTGTATGGACAGAATTCCATCACGTGGATTTGCTTCCTCGTGGATCATCGAATACCAACATTGTGGTAAGGCCCGGCCGCCAGAAATCCTATACATTTCTCGCCGCGTTGTATGGTGATGTAGCTTTGCAACACAACATTGGTGATTTTTACCTTTCATCACCAATGTTCTCCGAGGGGTGGCAAAACTTCAATGTCCCGCCCCCAATTAATTCAGCACGGAACGCTCGTTTTCTTTCCAAAAGGTTATGGCAATCGACAAATCCAGCCTCAGGGAGAGCAGGGGCCACAGTTCCATGGACCATATTGATGTCAGGAGAAAAGGGGGGGAAATCCATCGTTGGAATCAAAAATTTTTTTTGGCAGCGTCACAACGTCGCAATTGGTAGGGTGGGGTGAGAGTCTCGAGCAAAGTCGAGAAGCCCCAGTGTTCCCGGAATCATCTAGGCGCTCCAGGCCCATGCCGACAGGGTACCAGGGAAGACAAGTCGAGCCGGGATTCTGCTCGGGCATGGACCGGCCTTCCTCCCAATGACGCCAACGTGTAAATAGTTACCCCTCTTAGGAACGCTCACCCGAACCCCCCCCCCCGGGACCCAGCGCCAAAAAGACTCTTACTTGCATGGAACGTTCGCTCATTTCTTCGCTCGCCTATGCGCCCGCAATGGAACGGTGGCACGATGAGTTTTAGCGAGCAATCCAACCAGCATGTCCATCCTTCCACAACTTTGATCCACTCCTATCCCCAGCCTAATGATCCAATGTCAGTGTCCGATTTGCAAGGATTTCCCCTCCTGGACTGCTACGCGGCGCCTGGTGATACTCCAGTCTTATCCGGTGGCACTCGAGATCAAGACGAAAGCATCCTTTTTCATGAACTTACTTGACATTTAAACTTCCCCGCTGTTCGCTCTTTTCCTTTTTTCTTTCTTTTTTTTTTTTTTTTTTTAACGACGCGGATAATACGAAACATCCCTTTTTAAAACTCGAAGCAATCTTCTTCTCCCTTGGTGTTGCTGACGCCGAATTTCTCTCTCGAAAATGTTCAACGAGAACTTCTCCTTCAGAGGATCATCCCCACATCCGCCTTCACTGCCCGTCAATATCGAAGAGTGGACCTCCGCAGAGATCTCTCCGTTTACATCGCGATGTTCCTCACCACATTCCTCTCGGACCGCATCGACACGTCGTGACTCTCGCTTCGACGCATACAGAAACGCCGGTGCACCTCGACATCCTTCCATCACCGCCCTAACCGCCCAACTACAATCACAGGCCCTGAACGATTCCGAAAGTCGTTCCCCCTCACCATCACCCAGCGATGTCACTTCTCCCGCAGATTCGAGCCTCGAGACAGATGCGGACGAGGGTTTCTACGACGGCCCAGACACACCCGCCACTACTCTTTCCGACTTTTCATATGATTCAAATGATGTCGACCCGACACTATGGGACCTGAGCATGTCTGACACCATGGTAGCGACATCATCTCCTCGACCGTCACTATCACTCGAAGCACAAGCGTTGTCCTCATACACGATGCGGCGAAAACAACGACAAGCCCTGGTCAGGTTACAATGCCTAGTCTCTCGAACACCAGATCTCGCCATGCTTATTGAAGAATGCCATCCAAGTTCATTACCGCTGGAGACGGATAAGGCGAGAGCATACAGTCCCAAAGGACGGAGCGGATCCACGGGCAGTACGTCGGGGTGGGGACTTGTAAACGGCACCAATAATGGACGGACACTAAAAGAGCGAAACGGTTCGGTCGCTGCGGTTAGAAAAGCCCCTAGGATGAGGAAGAGGACGAGATAATACACTTACGAATTAATTCAAGACACATTTCAACGTCTAAATTTACTTCTCCGGGTCGAGGTTCTGATCGTGGTCTTTGAGGATAATATTCTGGAGCTGACGAGAGATTATTGGCGGTGCTCACAGGGATGATAAAACCATGGCTACCGGTCACGAGTTCTCAATCCGCCCTGCTCAACGAGCCAACAGCCGATCAAAACCATCTCGAACCCATCTGTGAATGCCCAGTGAGCAGCTACCACACCTGATGGCCCAGACAGCATGGATCAAGCTGCACGAATATCACATGTTGTCGCTCACTATGTACTGTGGAGACCGTCGAATACCCATCTCACTCCTTCCGCGCCGAGAACCTATCATTCCGTAGCCTTTGAGCACTCAGACTTCGCAATCATTTATCGCAAATGCAGAAAGATAGATGTGTGCAGATCTCGATACGTCCACTCGAATGAATCGACTGACGTCGATGTACACAAGGCGGGAGCGGAGTGGGGGATCGGAGCACAAATGAGCGCGGCCTTTTTTCGGAAGACGATCTTCTGACACCAAAAAGCCACGGGTGCGACAGGACAAGGGACCACGACTGCAAGCCTGGTCGCAGCCACTCACACCACCACAACAGACAAAGCAAAGGTACGAGTATCACAAGTCAATACGTGGCTTAGACTATCGATTCCGTACGGCATGGCAATGTATGTCGTTTCATTTGGTTGCGCTTGAAGTTCTTTCAGCTTTCTCAAACACGGTTTGGTGCGGTTGGCGAGGAATGGAAAGCAGCCCAATACGAGACGCAATTTCCTCTATGCATGAGAGATTTGTTGGACGAAAATTCGATGCTCGGATAGGAACTCCGATCGCGGACGGACTGGGATAACAGTCGACAAAAGTACTGGGTATTTTCCCAGGCATGTCGATGGCAGCGATTGATTTCAGGGGAAGATGGCTGCTGATGCAGATGCCGACGTCGATATTGCATTCCGATCTGGATCTGGACCTGGACCTGATTCGTTCAACCACGCTATGTTGTTATCGGATAGACGATAGACCGACATGCAGGGGTATGATGTTGCTATCGCTACCGAAAGACAAATAGTGCTGCACTTTAGTACAGAGGTAGCGACGAAAGGCGCCCCGGGCCCTAGCCAGGTAGCTGATGTGTGGACCGTTGGACCAAGTTTCCCCCTACGCCAGGGGGATCTGGAATATGCAGTCCTCCAAACGGCACTGAGCCGAGTCTATAAAATCCACGACGGCATTTTTTTTTTTTGGTGCGTACCCCTAGGATTTTTCTCCGCTTGTTTCTTTTTTCCATATTTTCCCGTAGCAAACTAAAGTCAATGAACCCGGTAGGGCTCCTAGGGATAATATTTTGCTCTGGAGGGACATGCTACTGCATGGCGCTTTGCTCCACAAAGCAAAGTAAGCAGCAGAAGAAACTCCTTTTTTTTCCTTCTTTTTCAATAGCCGCCTGACTGGGTTACTTTGGTTTTGCGTTTGCGGCGGTCTGCGTGTAGTTGCGTTGAAACAAAAAAAGGAACTTTCCCTTGAATTTTGTTCTGCTTTTGCTTTGCATTTGGTCTCCTGCCATCCAGGACATGATCGAATATAACGGATGAAGAAAGAGCCTGGCAGTTTCCACCTAAGCGTGGGGCTCGCAGCCAGCGATGTGACCAGGTTGTCCTGTACTGCTCGAAAGACAACAACTCAAGCTCCGCAATTTATGCTTCCAACATTGTTTCTAACTTCCGTAACAGAACAGGCCCCCCTGCGAAAAGAAAATCGGATCGTGTTGACCTAACGACGGCCATGGGACGGCCATAGTAGTGTGATAGTGTGACGAAGACGCATTGCTTGACCGACGGCCCCAGAATTCAAAAACCTCACAAGACATTGACCTGATCTCGCCTGGTCGCATAGACGATGGAGCAGCTTAGCAGTCCTGTTGACTACAATCCGTACTGGTGGTGTATTGTATGGGGTATCGACTTCGGACTTCTGCAGCACGCGAACATGGTAATCCACGGGGAAAATCATCAATCAATACGCATGATCTACCATCTCATCCAGATTTGCTCCACTGGACCGGCGATCCGAAGTTATTGGGAGTGGCATAGCTTGCGGTGATCATTATTGTTTGCTTTTTCCTCCCCAGACTCGTAAATTGGCTTGCACGAGCACTTTGCAGGGTCCGTCGTTTGATGTACCTACTAGGCTGAAACTATAGGTTGTTGGGACTGTACTTGTTTTCTCTCTACCAGGGACGGTGAAGAACAAACACGTGTTGTGCTGGTCATTTCTAGGTCTGGCTCGGCATGAGTTGATGTAAACAACGATGGCGAAATCTACGGCAGCTTGACAAATTTGGTAACTCACCAGTTATGAATGGAGAGGGTCCGAGAAGCTTTGGCTTGGGTTCATATCGGTTCCGCTTGAGACTATGAGACATATCCCAAGCGGAACCGCAGGACAATGTCTGATAGCAAAAGGACTCAACTGATACCGGGCGGAGGCGCGAGATACTTGCGCTCGGTGATATCTCATTCTTCCGTTTGACCCTGATTGGTGGGTTGATATCGGACATAATATCTGAGGATGTGGTCTGGGGTGACACTCCGGAAGGAAAACTTGCCAACTTCCCGAACTGAATTTGAATCGCATCCTAGCCAGAGAAGCGCCATCAAGGGTAGTTGTTTGGCGAGTTGAATCACCCACTCAAATTTGGAAGTGGCCTGACGCGTTCTGCCACGTTCGTCAAACATGTCTGGTTTTTTGACGCCTTGAACCGATGAGAACCCTCGATTGTCCGTCGACTTCTCGGAGTCGACGCCGGCGGATTGAATGAATACAACGGCGAGCAATGACGGAAGCGATCCATGTTTAGGTCCCCTGAGTCGATGATGACTCTTCATTCGCCCGACTTCTAGCCAATGACCACAGAAGCACCAGGCAACCGCCGCGGAGGCAGGTGTTCTGGGCCAGGGGCGCGGCTCGGGAATATTCCCGTGGGCGTTAGCCGCCATCATAAAAAGTTTTACCTAAAGTCAAATTCGATGGAAATCGAAGCGAAGCGAGAACACTATGTTTCGTCAAAAGCCAAAGTGGGGTTTCACAACCCCGTGGCAACTCAGAAGCGGATGCGCTTGAGCATGCCGACGGAAGCGCACGGGCAAGATTGATGTGTATCGAAAAGACGGCCCGAGAACGGAGAGTCGAGATCGAAAGCACCAAATAGCCTAGATTGAAAAACAACGTGGATGAACGTGCGTTCGACAATCAGACGGGACAGTTTGATAGATTGTCCCTTGACCCTCGACAGTAGCACGCGGAACGGATACTTTGTGTCTCCGTCAGCTGACGAAAATAGTGGATGACATTTGATACGGGAAGAATGACAGAATTTGTCGCGCAAGGTTTGCTCAGTCATCCTCTCCCACCGGTGGCGTTGGCGAGTATCCCCCGAAGCTCGACTGAGATGTTTTCGATTATCAGAGCTATGAACGGGACAATTCTCCCTTCATTTCAATGCGGGATACGAGTCAGTGAGAATATCGTGGGAGCCTCCCCGGCCGGAGATTCGGTTGTGAACCCTCCCTTGTCAACTGCCAGCCCCTCAGGGGTACGTTTGATTGGTACGGATGTAACTGCAGATATTGAAATGACAATGTGGGCGGATACTTAAAACAAAACATGGGCTTTCCTAGGGAGGTAACATGATACTAGACCGTGGATTTGCGCATCCGCCTGTGCATAATGGTAGAAGGATCAGGGTTAGCGATCCCGAGGGCATGGGAGAAGGACATTGAACGTCTTTGTCGGCATTTGAAACCTCGGCCCAAGTTTTGACGGTTCAGCCCAGAAAACCAAGCCACAAGTGCCAGCTACAAAGTCGTGATCCATGCCCGGTGCCGGGAGGGGTGTCTGGACTTATTGCCATGGCGAATCAGTGCTCGAGCTATTGAAGCGTGCTTGGACAGACAAAAGCCCTTTGGTGAGGACACTCCACCGGCTTGAATCTCTGTCAATTCTGACGCAGACATCGTCGAAGAGATGCTGACATGGACAGCACGTTAAAAAAGGAATGTGAATTTCCATTTTCGGCCAAAGGAGCAGCTCGTTCCTTGACGAAAAGCCTGAGGGAGAGTACTGATGACCTCTTCCGTTGGAGCAACTTCCAGATCAAGGCCATCCAAATCCCTCCCATTCTTCGCTGTTGGCATTCTCCTGTTCTTCTCTCCTTTTTGCTCGCAAACTTCCCTCCACAGCACCACGCTTACGGTTTGTTTCTCGTCTCTGGTAACCACTTTGCGTGCCGATTCTTGCCTTCCGTTTCATCCGCTTAGTTTTCTCGTCATCATCTGACCGAATAGCTCGCCGAGATTCAACACCATGAAGTTTCAGGTCTTTTCTTGCTGATTTAGAGACGCCGGGGAGGGCATGCAGTAACCAAGGTTGGATTCCACTCGAGGTCGCGGTAGGACTTGAAGCCGTCATGGCTTTACCGCTGTTGGCTTCGGTGTTACTCTTCGACTTCATTTGTTGCTTCTCACTCGCGGAGATAACATTTGCGATTCCTTTGACATATTGGATATCTTCTTTGGTGTAGAAACTAACGCAGACACCCCCTTCTCTGCCCACTCTCCCTGTTCTGCCGGCACGGTGAACATACCCTGCAACTGTAGTTGGGATGTCGTAATTGACGACCACGTTGACTCCCTTGAAATCAACCCCGCGAGACAAGAGATCGGTGGTAATCAGAATCCATATCTGGCCCTGCCGAAATCGTTGCATGATGGACGAGCGGGCATGGTCAGAGAGTGAGGAATGAAGTACAGCAACCCGTGACGAACCGCCAGCCGAAACGGGGATGTCATACTGCAATTCGGTGTATAGAGATTGAGCACGGGCTATCGTTTGCGTGAACACCAGGAATGGAGGACGGAGTGGTTTTCCTAATTCTTCCGTGCCTTTGGACGATCGCACTGGTCGTGACGGGTGAAGCAACTGTCGCATGCCTAGTAGTTTCCCTGACTCGGTTGCGGTGTATGTCAATCGGTGTGAGATTGTTGGTAGGCTTGTGTCTTTCAGACCGATGATGGTACGGAGTAAGTGTGGTTGCCGACTTAGGCCTAATCTTTCCTGCCTCTCGGAAATGGTTTTAATGGCGAGTTCTTCGATATTGGACCCGATAGTTGCCGACCACATGCTGATTTGTAATGAGGGCGATGTGCATGCGGACCAGATCGTGAGAGTTTGGGAACGGAAGAGCGGATCGAGAAGGACATCGGCCTCGTCCAAGATTAGTGCTTCTATGTCCGGCAGAGAATGAGCAGGTATAGATTCGTCGTCGTCGTCCTCCCAAGATGGACACAGAATGTGGACCAGACTCAACGGTGTCGAAACCCAAATATCGGCTTTGACGGGTGGTGGCCGGTTTGTTGTAGTGTGCCGGTCCCCAGTCTCTGGAGTGTCTTGATCGTCTGAGTCTTCGCTGCTGGTTGGGGTTTGTCCTTCAAACAGTCTCATCCCTTTCTTCACGGCCGAGATTTGAACTCCTGTGTTCACACACAATTTTCGACCTTCATTTTCGATCTGAGAGACAAGTTCTTTCGTGGGTGCCAACACGATCGCTCGGGCATGCCTCTCTGCCCGGTTTCCGCCACCTCGGTGGCCTTTTGAGATCTTGTCTATCAATGGAATAAGATATGCCAAAGTCTTCCCACTCCCTGTTGGCGCGATGGTCAGAAGATCTGGTTCCGTGGACGCACCCTCGTTGGCTCCTCTCAGGAGTAATGGCAAGGTAGCAGTTTGAACTTCCGTGGGCTCGAAATAAGCCTGTTCCGTGACATTGCAAAGAAGAGCTGCATTGACGTTGTAATGACTACGTAGTTGGTCAAATGAAATTAACGGCTGAGGAAAGATGCGGGATCGCTCCTTCTGTGATTTCGATTTTCGTGATTCCGATGTCTCGCTAGCGGTTCGGAAGCGGTTCAAGTCGACTATCTTAATTTTGTGCCTTTTCTGAATATGCCGGATCTCTTCTTCGGAGAGACGAGACGGGGAATTCGGAGCAGGATTGTCTCCTGGGACATCTGAATCACGTTTTCGTTTTCGGCTAAAGATAGGGTCCAATCCGTTCTTGTTGACGAGCTGGCCTGAAGCCGATGGCAGATCTTGCGGGAAGGGATTTGAGAGTCTTGTTTTGAGGCCCGTGGACCGAGAGAGTAGCTTGAGAGCGTCCATGCCGGTCCCCGTAAAGTTCTTACTTGATAGAAGCGCGGAGCAGGAAGTCAAAAGAAGGGCGAAATTTTGACGCCAAGGAAATTTCGGCACAATATTAATCCGGTCACGACTTCACTGGCAAGCCTCCCGAGTCTCCTGCTGAGGACTCTTGAAGCGCCTTTACATCTTCCAGAGAGCAGGGTTTATGGATAAATCTTGCAAGTATTAGAGAATATGTGAGATTGCTTCTAATCCGTTCGACCACCCGTCTTCTTCTGCACCTTCTGTGGGCCTCGGGACCTATCACCTTGTCCGAACAACTTATCCCCTTAGCATGTCTTCTGTGCTCCGAACAACATTTCGTTACAACAAAGAATTATGCGGTGCTGACTGTGGCTTCGGCCGTGGCCTGTTCATCCGCCAATGATCAGCCGTTGTTGCTCTGGACGAACATCAATTACCGAGACAGGCTTACCTTCTCATTCCCCCAGACGGTATTCTTCCTACCAAGTTTTTCCTCCAACACGGCAGAGCTTCCGACGCACTTATATTTGCGGAACTGGCGTGCAGGTAGCTTGGTTTCGAACTGCATCGATCTATCAGTACTCAAACTCCTGAATTGTCCGATAAAGAGAGATTACCATCTCATCAATCTCTTCTAGGGTTCGACCTTTGACCTCTGGAAGGAAGAAGAATACCCATAGCGCCGCGATTGCGCAGGATGGGGCCCATATGTATCCGTACCGCGGACCCCAATCCAGGGAGGCAGGGTTGATGAAATATGGAGCCGTAAACGTCGTGAGCCACGCGCCAAGAAAACCGATGGCGGCCGCAAGGCCAAACGTGTAGCTTCGAAGGCGCTGTGTTGGAAGCTCGCCGCCAGAAAGCCAGGCATAAGTGGCAATCATTCCCTAAGGGAAGAGGGAAGTGTTAGCATACACTTTCCGAAAAGTAACTCGGTGTATTTACATTATAGCTCATCATGTATAAGCAAGCAAGCGCCACCAAAACTTTGCCCGTGGTCTTCGTGCCAGGGTTCTTGTCGTACGTGATGGCAATGATGAGCTGGAGAACCCCACAGACGACAAGGCCGCTCATCAGAAGGACTCTGCGGCGTCCATATCGAACGACGATGACGGAATTAATGAGGATAGCTAACAATCCCATCGTACTGAGGACACAGCTCATGCCGAATGCGTTGGAAACATGCGCCATGGCGAAAAAGTATGCTTTGTACGCTGTCATGGCAAGTTAGTCATGATTCCCCAAAGGTCGGTATGACGCCCACCGATTATGAACATGGATCCTGACGCTGCTTGCAAAGTCACGGCGCAAACAGCGAGAGTGGTCCGCCTTCGATTAACCGGATCTCGAAACATATCCCATATTCCAACCGAGCTCTTCAGTTCCTGTTCTTTCTCGATCGCAGTTCGAATGACAATTGCTTCAGAAGCAACGTCAGCACCATCTGGTCTGAGCCACGTGAGTGACTTGATCCCATCCTCATGTCGACCTTGTAAAATGAGCCAACGGGGACTTTCCGGAATGAAGAACATTGCCAGGGTCAGGAAAGCGGGGACGATGTAGATAATTCCAAGCGGTATAAGGTATGCAGACTTGTCGGGTCGTTTGGCGGTAGCCCAGTCAATGATAGTCCCGATGAGCGTTCCCTAAGCTTTATTTAGAACTGTACGTGTCCCGCATTGTGATCTTGAGAATGGACATACGAATGAGGTAAAGAATTGAAAGGCAGATAAGAAAAGGCCACGGTATTTGGCGGGGCTGCACTCTTGGATGTAGAGTTGAGAAAATGTCATGAAGTAGCCATTTGCCAGTCCAATAATTAGCCGTCCAGCATATAAAGCTGCGACATCTGTGGTGGCCATCATGATAATGTTGGCGACACAGCAGAGAAAGCAGGCAAGCCAAAGACACTGCCGCCGTCCAAGCTTGGCAGCAGCAAATCCCGCAGCTCCAGAGCTGATAAAGGCTCCCAGCGTCATCAAGGAGGAGATCAACTGCTGGCGCACGGTGGAGATATTCCAGCCAATGGCAGTTTCCGGTGCTCTGTATCCATATACCTTATCCAAAACGTCAATTGAGACATCACTGGTTAGAAATAGTCCGAAAACGAACCTGGAGAAAACCGGGCATGGCTTGCAATCCGCCAATCAATCCAAAGTCAACACCATACTGGAAAGGAGACAAAGTCACAATAGCACAAGCAACAAAACAACGCCAATTGGCCGCGATGCCATCTTGCTTTCCTGCCGCCATTGTAATGCAGGTCAATATTCCTCGCTCAACTCAGGCTCGCAAAGAGAAAATGAGCGATGTCTTCCCAACAAATAGTCCTTGGGGCCGTGGGAGTTGATCCTCATCATAATTGCCGAACGGCGAGCCAAGTATTTGGCTGCGACAACGAACAACCTCCACTGCGAATGGGTATCTAAGAGAGGACGCACAAGCTCCATAGAAACATGTCTTTCAGATATTTAACACCCTTGGCAATAACTCCAACTATGTGGAGGAGCGGCGGGGACCCCACAACCCCAAGGCTAGCCATGACCAGGAGCGCGGTGGATTATCAACTGCCGAATCGTTGGTGCCAATGTTTGATCCACAAGTCATGGGATCTGTAATTCCAGAATATGTCAGATATGTTCAGAAGTGCCGTGTGCTCAGGTGTGCCCCATACGCCTTCCGATCTCGTGGGAGTATCTCAGACCGCATTAGTCGGCATGATAGCGTCTTTGGCCAGGAGTGAGATGAGATAAGAACATGGTTGAGTCACCGGTGCTAGAGAAAAATTGTTCAGCAGAATGGAGGCTTTTTAAAAAAGTGTGAGCACGGGTCAATAGATATTTGACATTTACACGGAGAAACTTAAATCCGATAAGGTCTTGGCGGCTTTACCGGTTTTGCTCTGCGCCGGGGGCCAAGTTTCCATCATGGTGATTTCTCCAATCCAAACTCTGCCAATTTTTTCGAGCATCACGACGACTCAAAATGGCAAATGGACGCATCGGACAGCTTGCCCCCGATCCGTCTGAAGTCCTCACTCCACTAGTTGAAGACCCGCAGCTAGCTTCATCATGGTGATAGGCTTCTTGGTTCTCACCTCGATTCCCACTGTGACCGGTGTGGCGCAAGCCATCTCTGCGCAGAAGACTCGAAACGAGCGTCAAGAGGATGAGAAACGAATGAAAAAGTTTCATATTGATGTCTATTGCGAAGCGGAAAGTTCGCGTACCAAAGAGATTCAGGACAAAAGGCTCGTTCTAAGGGATGACCGGGTGTGGATAGGACCGCATAAAGCCCTCAATCCATGCCTGGAAGGTTATGTTGCCGAGGCCTTTTACATCGAGTATCCGGACAACGAAGTAAGCGATCCGAGGCTGAGAAGCGAAACAATTCCGCATCTGTTGCTGACAAGTCTCGCTCACCAGCGAGTTCCAGTACCGATCGGCCTAGTCAGTCAAGTTCAAGATGATCCTCCGCTGTTGAATTGGATATACGTGGACAGGGACACGATGGAGCTGAAGTACGGGAACAAATCGGCCAGCATAGACCACCATGTTGGCCCATGGGACTGGACGGGGAACGAGGAAAGCATAACATTTGATGAAGCTGAAGGGTTCACCGCGGTTGAAGATCCCAATACACACCAGTGGCGGATATATTACGACATGGATAATGATGGCCTGAGCAGATTCGTACCGAAAGGGAGGCAGAAAATCCCGGTCAGTTTGGAGAGGACGCTGCTCCCAGGAGCGTAGAGCGGACATCCTTCTCATGTATAATACAGTAGTAGATTTATTTTTCCGCATATCAGCCTTACCCCCCTGGGAACATAATATACGCCTTAGTTTCAGTTGAGGCTTGACTCTACTTTAAGCAAACTGAATACAGACACATGCACGAAGCAGCTCACACTCCCCTACTCTCAAGATCTCATAATTAAACTTTCACCATCTGGTCTGCACGCACCATCATTGTGGGAATCACGGGACTATCGACTTGCCGGACACCATTCAACAATCTCAGGAAGAACATTTTCAATTCACTTCTTCCCGTTCTCTTGTAGCTACGAACGTCAGGCTGCGACATGTAACATGACAGCTCACGCGCCATTCTCGTGGTTTGCCTTTCTTTCATTTCAGAACTCCTCACATCACGACAACCAAAGCTGGCATGGATCAAACTCGATGGGAGCTGATTGGGAAGAGAGGTCGCTGGCAAATTCGACAAATCAACCCTTACACCGATGGTGACCAACGTCACTGGCCTCCTCGGCCTTATCGACCAAGCTCTGAAGAGCGGTACTTGATTCAACTTGGAAAGGCTTGGGCGCAGAAAGACGAACTTGATGAGCCAGGTAAAGGACATCCTGAGTGAACACGTCGCCTCAATTCCCCATGTCTTTGCCTCTTGACAACGTGAATTGTCAACCGGTCTGATCACGCTTACAGGCGTCGAGTATTATCTGAACAAGCTGCCCGACGGCTATGCTTTGTTTGAATTAGACCAGCCTAGTGGAAATCAGGTTTACAAAAGACTCTTTGGACATCCTTCCGGAAAATTCTACGACTCGATTGTCAAATTCCAAATCCATTTCTTATGGCTCATGTCAGGCATGCAAGGCATTTGCAAATGTGTGCACTGCGGCAATCCCAAACTCCGAACCATCATTTCACGGAATCGCCCCCAAGTTGAACACGTTGTGCGGAAATTCGAGAAAAGAAGAAACACCACTGGAGTTGAGAGTGAGACTTCGACAAGATCAAACTCCACCAACGGCCGTGGCCTGGGTGCTCCCTCGACCAGGCCACAACGCCAAATCAAAGCCGCGGGGGCTCCATACGCCACAGATGAGGAAGGAGTCGAAGATGTCTTCAAAGATTATCTCAAGAGACTTGAAGCAGCCAAGGGAGGAAAGAAGGGTATCGAGGACGATATAAGAGAAGTCAACTCCATGGACTGGAGAGCCGAGCATGCTTGGGACGGTTACGGAATCGATCAGATCGAGCACAGCCTGACTGTGATTAAGCTCCAGCATTCTTTCATACCTCGACTCGGCGAACTTGTCTTGTGGTGTCCGAACTTCCTTGGTCAACACTACCTCATGCTTGATAAAGAGAAACTGGAATTCAAGTTCTATTCTTTCGACCAGAAAAGCTTCCACGGCTTCCCGGAATGGAGAGGCGGGGTCATTGCTGCGGTTCCGTCCGCGACGGCACTCGATAAACCTATTGACTTTCCTGATATTCAGAATCTGCCAGGCAAGCGAAATTCTCTCAATGCCGCTGGGTTTCGTGTTGAGACGTTCCCAGACCCAAATGATGAAATCGACAAAAAAGCATCGAAACAATATCGCTACGTGCCCATGCGAAATATTCGCCCGTTGAGTCATTGGCAAATGCTCCTCCGTGGCATCCCCCGAGACAAATGGCACCCATCAATCGAGTCGGCCTTGACGTGCATGACGAGTCTGTCGCTACTTGAGAAGTGGTGGTTCAACGGAGGCTGGCCATATGCGAGCATTTGGTGCAAGGGCATCTATCTAGGATCAGAACTTGTCATTATTGGTGACACTGTTCGACTTGCGCCCCAGCCTACCCCATCCAGCAAGCGGCGGGAGTGCACAGATGTCATGGTTGTGGATTCCGTCCGGCTGAATCTTCTCAACATCAGGGCGGAGCATACCATGCCAGAGTCACCTGTGCTATCATCAGCATCATCAATCACGCTTGTGGGAAGAGCGTACACACTTGACATTCGCCGTCACTACCAGATGCAAGGAAAGGATCCTGATGCGGACCAAATTGATCTTCCATCCCCTGTGCCTCTAGAAGAGGTCAAGACCGTATTCCGACCGGTCGGTACCGGAGAATACGGCTCCTGGTATCATCTCCACGGTCCCCGTCAGCGATATGAGGTATCCTACGACCAAGTCCTGGGCAGATTATACGAAGCCGATGCTGTCAAAATTTGGACCGGACTATTGCAGTTCAACCCTGCCCCGGGTGAAAAGCCAAACATCAAACCAGGCTTGACTTTCGATGTTGGCGCCATCGAGGAAGGCCGCAGATATGCAACTCAAGCTGACAAGAGACTCGAAGAGGCGGAAAAGGGTGAAGTGCTATGGTTTTGGGCAGACACAAGAGCCGAAGCACTGGATATCGAAACCATCAATGGATGTGAAGTCGGGAGATACAACAACATCCGAGATCCACACACCCTGGAGGAGTGGAAGATGAAGCTCAAAGTTCTAAATGGCCAGCAAGTGACATCAGACTTGTTTCAGTGCACTTCGAGCTATCCTTCGCTTACAGGCGCACCGAGAAGGAGGCCACCCGGATCAAAAGTTGTCAATGGCAAACTCATCAAACCAAGGAACGAAGGATACGACGAGGCGGTGGCGGGAAACCGGCCGGAACCTCAGTCAACACCAAGACACAAGAGCAGCCAACTTGCAGGTGCGGCCCTCATATCAACAGATGAAGAAGACGAGGTTTTCGAAGATGCCGGGGAGGAGTTTCTTTCGGAGGTGGAAGGTAATTTAAGACATGCTGGCGTCCGAAAACAAAGTCCAACAACACCCAAGCAGAGGCAGACTCGAACAAAGGCGCAAATCATGTCAAACGATGAGGTTTATATTTCTGGTGACGACGATGAGTGGTATAACGAACCGCTACCGCTGGCGAGGGGGGGAACAGAGGAAACCGAAGGTGGGGATTATGACCCTCGCTCTGAGGATGTGAAAAAGGACTCTGAATAGCAAGGTTTGTCTCCGGCAGTGTTACAAAACAGTTGGTCGAGGATCGATGTAAAGGTGGATACCACCGGCGTGGCCATATTGGAGTAATAATGATATTGGAGTCCACAACGAAACGGAACCACCTCGAGCCTAAGTATGCAGTTGCGACGAGCCATAGAGAGAGCTCAAGAGTTCAATCAAAGGCTGTCGAAGCCTTATGTCAAGCGTGACTCCGGCCAAGACGCCAAGGACAGTGCCTATAAAACGGCCACGTGTATAAACGCGGGAAGCAAACATGCCAAGTTACAAACACGTGATATCAAATCGGTATACCTACCATTTCAGTACCCAGCCTGGAAAAGGTTCTTGGCTCGCACAACTAATTTTCCAGGCGAAAGTTGCACCGTCTTTGACTTTGAGGTCGAAATTGACAACCTCGACAGGACCATCTCTTCACCCTTACAACGCTCAAGATGGTACGGAAGATGCCCTACCCCGTGCCTGATCTCTCGAGAAATCTCATAGACCAGCAGAAAGACTGACAGATCAACAATAGGTCCGTTACGCCCCCGGCGACCGGATCCCAAGTGCCAAATCGGCTCGAAGCCGTGGCAGTTACTTGCGCGTGTCCTTCAAGAATACCCGTGAGACTGCTCAAGCCATCAACGGCTGGAAACTCCAGCGTGCCGTTAAATACCTCGAAAATGTCAAGGAATTGAAAGAAGCTGTGCCAATGCGCAGATATGCGGGCAGCATCGGTCGAAGCGCACAAGGTATGCGAGATTGAAACAGAGAGAAAACGGGAACGATGAGGATTTGGAGATTGTGCTTGAAAGACAAAATTGGCGATGTACAGCAAGAGATGGATTTGTCAATCCGATATTAGAATCCACCATCAGATCTATGCTACCATGAATGGCGTGAAAAATCAATGCTAATATTTCTCTCTCCGCAGGCAAGCAATTTGGTGTCTCTAAGGCCCGCCATCCCATCAAATCAGCCGAATTCCTTCTGGGACTCCTGAAGAACGCCGAAGCCAATGCCGACACCAAAGGCCTCGACACCTCCAACTTAATCGTCAAACACATCCAAGTCAACCAAGCCCCGAAGCAGCGACGTCGCACATACCGTGCTCATGGCCGTATCAACCCTTACATGTCCAACCCATGCCACATTGAATTGATCTTGACGGAAGGAGAAGAGGTCGTTACCAAGGCCGAGGAATTGGGTGTCGCCAAAGGAACGAGATTGAATGCGAGACAGCGAGGTGCCCAGAGACGGAGAGCTATCACTTCCTCCTAAGAAGATGGATGGTGTTTCTTTGCGCGTTGATACGACAAGGAAATTTTCGGTTGGGGGAGGTTAGTTAATCACAAGAGACCTCTCCAAAATGGCAATTGGGAGTTCAAGAAGTCAAATGGCGAGACTATGAGGCAAGATCTGCAGGAGCCCGGTTCATGTCGACCGAATTTACTTCCGAGACCGGCTTCAGCAGCTGGGCGGATGATGCTTCGTTCGACGTGTATCAGATTTTCTCAGCAGCATCAAAAAAGACAAATTCCTGAATGACCCAACTCCACTTCGTTACCCTTTTCCTGTCCGTTGCGAGCATACCGATTCGATATTTTGACATGCCTAGATAAATAGTGCTCCTGCAGACGAATCCCTAAATCGATAGGCTGATAGTAGGAGGACTCGCTTTCTAACTATAATTCAGCCTTACCGTCCAAGACGACTGACACATGGGCCTTATATGGCAATCAATTCAAAGGTTCGACTCCAAGATGGCATTGAACCCCGTGTCGACAGCAACCCACACCAGAGCCGACCAATCAATGACCCTGGCCATTTCCCATTCTTCCACCCGTGCCAGGATCTCTGTCGCTCTAGAAGAACCACTCAAATCAATGATCCCATCTGTCTCATCTCCTGAATTCTTTTTTGTCATCTCAAAAAAGCAACAATGGCTGCACACCCAAGCGACAATCCCTCAATCGGGACCGGGGAAAGATAAAGAGCGGCCTGAATACCCCAGTTACGATTCGATGAAACGCCTGTTCGATAAAAAAGACGACACTCCGTGGATGGAACCCAGCCCACTCCCCTTTCCACAAACAAGTTGTCCCACACACGAGAGACGAGCTGATCCACCTTCCACTACACTACGTCTGGCAAGAGATGACATTGGGTTGGCGCACCGAAATGAGCAAGGGAAAGCAGCTGGGAAGAGGCACGATGATAAGAATGATCTACGGGATGATCTGGTTAGAAGTCAAATGTTGTCCACGTGGAATGTGGAAGATCTGAACAAAAGCCCAAGCCTAGGACGCGACAAGGCTCTACCAAAGATGAGATACGTTGATGAAGCAGTATGGGTTAAGTAAGTATCGATGAGGCTTCAGCAGCAGCAGGGGGATAAGAGCATGGAGCAGAGAGATGGACAATGAGGATGCACCTGAAGCAAGCGTTGATTTGAGCTGTTTTTGCTCCAAGAAGGAATGACAGGAGAGACAGAGACAGGCAAGAAGACGTTTTGAAGCAATTCAGGCACAAATTTCAATCGTGTTTGAGACTGACTCGCGGCTAATGACCAAAGCATCGGGAGGGTGATTCATACTCTCTTCATTGCATTTGCCGCTTATACTCATACAGTATCGACCTCGGCCTACGCCGTATGGGGCACAAAGGCTCCATCTTCTGCCTCCGCGTCTATCCTCGTGGCATCGACATGGTCCTTGACCAACCCCCCGGACTTGAACCCGTAGAGCTCGCTCTCCGTGCCTCGATCAGACAAGCGTACGAACAATCAGGCGCGCCTGACATGTGTGATATAACTGAGCCAGCGAGGAGCATCTGGTCGTCTACGTTGCATTCGCTAATTCGGGGGATGATTTTTCCAAGCGCCGGCCTCGGCAGTTCCAGAATGCCCAGAATAAGACGAATAAGATCAACAAGGGCCGAGATCCTTGGAAGAAGACTTTGCTCTATACGGACAATTAACTGATAACGCTGCCTTGTGGGGCACATGGGGGCCCGGCACACACCATACCGCAAGCAGCGTATTAAATGTTACTCTGCCGAGGTCGGTGTGGTATACGTTGCCCCATTCGCGGGATTTTGTCATGATTTACCCGACTAGCCTTGATGTCTATGCCCTGAATGGGATAGACCATCACCAGCAATACTGAGCGCAGGTGAGCACCAGGTCGACAGCCAACCTCCCCAGTCTCCGCAAGCCCCCCTGGGAGGTCGGCGTGCTCTAGAACTCACGATATTTGTGTGTTAAATCCCCAAGTTTGGGAACAGCATTTGTCCGATTTAAAATCTCTGTTTGTTCCTGGTCGGTTGCAGTCTAGTCCTCTTCTACCATTCCAACTCAAATCGTTCCCATCGTCAAAATGGCCGAAAAGAACGAGAACCAGAGGCACTACGAATATGGTAACGATGAAAAGCAAATTGGTATCGAGCCAACTCCCTCCCCAGATACCCAAGACGGCCTTCGCACTGTTGACGCGGGCCTCCCTGCCGACCAAGTAATTTACGACCAACTCGAAGCCAGAAGAGTTCTGAGGAAGGTTGACTACCGCATCATCCCTTTGCTGACTCTTTTGTACCTGTGAGTGCATGCCGTACTTGTCGCCCATGGGCTCCCGCTGACACGTGCAGCCTGGCATATATCGATCGAAGCAATCTTGGGAATGCAAAGATCGCCGGCATGTTCGAGGATTTGGAGTTGTACGGAATGAAATACAACACCGCCTTGACCGTCTTCTTCGTCCCCTACTCGCTCTTCGAAGTGCCCAGCAACATTGTTCTGAAGTTGATCCGCCCATCCATTTGGATATCCATTATCTGCTTTGCCTGGGGTCTGGTGATGACCTTGATGGGCCTCGTCACCAGTTATGGAGGACTCGTTACTGCTCGTTTCTTCCTTGGTGTGGCAGAAGCCGGTTTCTTCCCAGCCGCGACCTACCTCCTGACCATCTGGTACAAGCGATATGAGGTTCAACGTCGTATGGCCGTCTTCTACGCGGCGGCCTCCCTCTCCGGCGCCTTCTCTGGCCTCCTAGCTTTCGCTATCGAAAAAATGGACGGCATTTCCGGGCTTGCCGGGTGGAAGTGGATCTTCATTCTAGAAGGCCTCGCTCCCATCGCGGTCTCCTTCACTCTATATTTCCTCCTCCCTGACAAACCCGAAACGGCAAAATTTCTTACCAAAGAAGAGCGGGAATTTATTGTCAACCGTATCGCCCTTCACACCGGTTCCGGCCGCGGCAGAGTGACCAATGCTGATAAGATCCAACTCCATCATATCAAGGATGCTTTCAAAGAGTGGAAGACCTGGATGGCCATCATCCCCTTCTGGGCCTGCAGTATTGGCACATACGGCTTCACTGCCACGGTTCCTTCGGTGATCAAGGAGATGGGTTACAGCTCAGCAAACGCACAACTCATGACCATTCCCATTTACGTGGCTGCTATGATCGCCACGGTTGTTGTCGCTTTCTGGTCCGATAAAGTCCAGCAACGTACTCCTTTCCTCATGGGTGGCTTCGCCATTGCCGTGGCAGGATTCATCGCCCAACTCGCCATTCCGCACCCTAAATACTCAGGCGTGACATATTTCTTCCTCTTCCTTGTGGCGATTGGATTATATTGCCCATTTACATGTATAGTCACCCTGATCGGAAACAATCTTGCTCCCTCCTCCACGCGTGCAGTTGGCATGGCCCTCTTGATCTCCGTGGGTAATATGGGTGGTATCTGTGGGAGCAACATCTACTACGCATCGCAAGCCCCCAAGTACCAAACCGGCTTTGGAACCTGTTTGGCCATCTGTGTGCTTGGAATCATTGCAGCCTTCATTCTACGCAAGGCATATCAAGCTGAGAACAGGAAGAGAGATGAGCTTCTTGCACATGAGGGTGAGGAGACCATTAAGGCCAAATACACTGAACAAGAGCTCTTGGATTTGGGTGACAAGAGCCCTTTCTATCGCTACACGCTTTGAGCTACGAATTGCCAATTTGTGGTGAGAATTCGAAGCAAAGCGCATGGAGAGGAGGAGGAAAAAAAAAAAAAAAAAAAAAAAAAAAGATGCATGTCATACCATCTCCCTGGGCAATTTGATAATTTCATAGTGTGCTCCGACAATGGAGTACATAAGTCACAGAACTTATGCATACCTTGTGCATGCAAGAACACGTGAATCTAAAGAAGTCGGCTAGAGGTCTGAGAACAGCTTCAATTGTTTCCAGATGATAGATACAACATCACAATAGGTTCTGTCAGGCGGATCCGCCATACCGAGTGGAATGGATAGTTGAATTCCGCAATATTGCAGGAACGAATACATGATCCAAATCGATCGAGAAGAAGCTCTCTCGACTTGTGCGTATATGCAAGAGATGTGCCGCAAGCCGTGGACATTGACGAAGGGTGAAAGCACGTATTGATGGCCATGATAATGGTGTGGCGGGCACTTTGACACAATGAATGGCGATAAAAGAGGGAGAATACGCACAATCCAATTCCAACATCTTGAAGTATGGTAAGGGCGAGGCGGATGAGAAGCCATGATGTTGTGCCCAGGAGGATGCCATATGAACGCAAGACTTGGAAATTTTGTGAAAACAAGTGCAACTTGCAATACCATGGATTTTCATTATGTTACATGCATTCCCCATGGCTATGCTCATACCATCGCTCCCCCCGTCAAATTACTAGCAAAACCCGATATATTTGGATGTTTTTCGACGCCGCCACGATGCACCTCCGTCTATCTGTCTGCCTTGATAGTAACAAAGGCCTTGACCACGGTGCTCGATCTCACATGTCCATCTGGTGTGCTTCTCCTCGCAGTAATGTGTGGTGTCATGCCCAGGGTCACAGTCACACCCATTGCTTCCAGCTGTTGAGGGGGATTGATGTTTTTGAATTGTTCTCTCTGTTCCATGGTATCTGCCTTGAAATGTGCACCGACTTGTGGTGTGTCGAACCGGTATTCGTCGACTCCGGTATACATGAGCTGTGCCAGGTGATGTGCCTCAACCATCAGGCTCAGAAGATCTTCCCAATCTCGAGACGACTTTTGGTGCATCATAGGCTTGAGGATGGCCCAGAGTTCATTGCCACGTGCCCTCGAAAGCTTGTCGACGAACCCTCGGAAATTTGGGTTGTGTTTGAGCGACGCCATCTGCCGTCCGATGGTGCTGAGAAGCTGATATTTGACTTGAGCTGGTGTGGCTGCATGATTGAGTTAGCAGATGCTGATCAGGACCGGAGATGGCGATACTCACACTGATAAATTTGGGCCCGAGTCGACTCAATGATCTGATCAACTTTTGAATCAAAGCCCGCGAAGCAATCATGCTTCAGGATATTCTTGATAATCCATTGCACAATGATCTTTGTCACCAAGCAATATCGGAGGTATGGCGTCGACATGAACTGGAAGGCCGTGGCAGTTGTAGCAGCTTTAAGAAGCCTGTCTTTGACTTCTTGTGGCAATGCTTGGTCCTTCGCCGTACTGGGAAAGTTGACATGAGAGAACGCATAGATCTCTGACATATGGATGACTTTTTTAAATTGTTCTTGGACTTCTTGTGGCAATCTGACGCCTGGCGTCTTGTCCATAGCCGTGGGATTTTCAGGGAATGGAGGCGGCGGTTGTAGTCTGGCGGTTGACATGCCTCGATTGTTTCTGGTCCCTGATCCCCCATGGCTGCCATTGCTTGGTGTCTCCGGTGTCTTTTGGAATCCCGGGTTTGTGCTGAATGGTCTCATGGGATCTGGAGGTCCATAAGGGGTCCCTGGTCCCGGCTGTGGCATTGGCGTTGGTGAGAATGGCCGTATCATTTCTCCCCGGTGATGCTGGCTGATCATTGACTGACTCCATGGCTGCTGGTCGAGATTTCCACCAAAAGGAGGCTGCATAGGGCCAGCCTGGGGCAGTGGCGGTGGAGGAGGCAGTGGTCCCATGAGCTGGTTCAGTGGCGCGTTGTTGAGGTATCCTGGTGGAGGATGCGGTGCCAGAGGGAAATTTGCACGTGATCCAGGCATCACGCCAAATTCCTGGGTCTCAACACGTCCATGCGGCGTAGCATAGTGTTGTTTTGGGTTGGAGATGGCTTCGCTCTGTGTCTTGATTGTCATCTCCTGTCTGCGGATTGTCTCCTTCAACCGGCCCATCTCGGCCTCTGTTTGCCTCAGCTGTTGCTGGAGGCTTGCAATCTCCTGATCTTTGATGGATGTTTCTATCGCAGACATCGGAGTGGTGGCTCGACTGTGCGTTTGCTGTTGCAGCTCCTGCTGCATTCTGGAGTGAGACTGCTCTAGATGGAGCAGTCTCGCCTGTGCTTGCGACGGCGATGAGACAGAGGCCCCGAAGGGCATGTCCATGCCATAATATGACATGTCTCTTGAAAAGAGATATAAGTCGCACTGATGGCGGGTAGAGGAGGCCAACGGCGACGCCACCGATGAGGTTGGTGTGTGCGACGGAGACTGAATGAGGATAGAGAATGCTATCGGAGCCGTCACAGATAAGGCGAGCGCGGTATGATTGTATGAAATTTTGAAGGTGTGAATTTGACCACCCGTGAACAACTCTCACTTGCTCTAGATAGTGCGCTGACTTCGGACCGCAGATCGGTAGGCAGAGAATTATGAAATGGAGGATCGAGGAGCAGAAGAACGACTGCCTGCAGGAAGAAGACGTGTTCGCCCAGCAAATAAATTTGAGCACTTGAATTGCTCTAAAGAAAAGGATTTCTGAGAAGAGAAGGAGTCAGTAACAGGGCCTTATAGACATATGATGCCAAGGCCACCCTGGACGACGTCGACACGGCCGCAGGCAGTTGAGGTCCCAATAATGGCCTTCTCTGCCTGTTTGTGATTGCTGTTGTCTTTTGCACCGACTTTTCTTTGTCTTTCTCAGACAATTGGCCTTCACAACAGGTTCGAGTGGTCCCAAACAACATTTGTTGACACCATCAAGGCAAACAGCGAGAGCCCAAGGACAATCCAGGGAGGACTGGTGCGATATTTTTGTCTGAGCCGGTATCAGATCGACTCTAGTGTCGGAAGCTGACCTCAGGAGTACAATATCGACACTGAGCGGACCGGATCAAGAAATCGTCCTGGCAGATATCGTCAGCATAGACAGATCTGAGGTCAAATGGGGCTGAGTTGACACTGACGTATTCAGCCGACTTATATTGACATGTTCCAGGGATATCAAGAACAATCTGAGGAAACCAAAGCATGAATCATTGCTTCCAAAGAGCAGAATGAAACACAGGGTGATGTCAATTCTAGGAAAAGAACGTACCGAGTCGATTGGCGACCAATAACTCGAAGAGAGGCCGCTGAAGTTCAGATATGTCGATGTCGATGTATGAAACGGTCTTGAAGAAGTAGAAGGGTCCAAAGCTCAAGCTCACACAGCCATGTTGAAGAGATGAGTACCGGAGAAGCTGAGAAAAAAGCCTGACAGAAAGTGGTTGATATAGGAGTCCTGGAGATACACATTCACCAGGGAGACTCCTTCACCCATTAACGTCGAGCCCGACCGCGGGTAGCCAGTGAGAGTGGTATTGGCAACTGATATAAACGACAACGGTGAATGTCAGAGCATGACTGGGACATGAAAGCCTCGGTTGACAATCCGGTATGAACAAAAGCATGTTCCTAGGACAAACTGGCATGGCTGTTGATGCTGACACGATCCATCATGCTACATTGACTCACAAAGGGATCCAAAGCTGCTTGTTTGTCCAGGGAATCAGACCTGATTGATGGCTTGACCAACACTACCTCTTGAGATGAGGAAGCATCGCTGCCATGATGACCAGGGACCCGACATGGGACAAGAGAGCATAGTTGCAGCCAAGCACGTGGACAGCTATCAAGGAGAGCCCATTGTTGCTCCTTGTTGTTGACATTTCGTCCCCTTGTCGACGTCGTCCAGTACGAGGACAAAGAGGCGGACATATGGCCGAGCACGATGTTGGCCCCTCAGGAGGCAAATGCACTATTTGTATATATTAGTCCTGTTGATAGTTAGTGATGCTGCTGGATCTGAACGGCCACGAGTGCATCTCACCATGAAAGGGCTAGAGACGAGCTCTGTCCTTGTCCTAAGGGCCACAAGGATGCATCGCCACCAGGATGATGCATCCTTTAAGATGCTAGCAACATGCCAGCCTGTGAACCGAAGGAAGAATCAAGGAAGAGGATGACAGGAGGGAGAAGGCTGGAGGGAGGAAGTTGAGGGGAGAAACGAAGGGGACGATAGGAGGGTAAGTTTGGAGGAGGTTTTTATCCACCTTTTGTGCGGTCTAACCAGTTCCAGCTGTGAATCAGGGGCACCAGCCGCGCCGATGAGGGCTGGCAAGGGCTTGGACAAGAACTATCGCGGCTGGAGAACGCGGCTGAGGACTGTCACCCATGAAGAACTTGTGGTCGTCTTTTGGCGTTCATCTTTCCTGGCATTGAGCAAGCACAGTCGTGACAATGGCTTCATGATGCTCCATCGATGTTTTTCTACTCAGCCCTGACTTTCCTCCTCCCCTTACTCCACCAGATTTGACGCCAACAGACTCTTCGCCAGCTTTTTTGCTCCCATGCAGAGTCATTGCGGGCCGCAGGTATGAAGGCTCTGGACCCAAAGAACCAGCAGGCCTCAGCATTCTTCAAAGAACACCATCTCCTATTCTCCACAGCTTGTGCGAGCAAATGGACCTCACCTTTCTATCGTGATAATCATAACAACCATCCTACGCCACATTGCCTGCATTTGTTTCCGCCAGAAGGCATGGCATTGGCTCAGGAACACGTCTATTGCCGCCATTTCTCCTCAGCTATTTCTTCTCGTACGACCCCTGTTGCCGAACGATTCAAGTATCCCCGTCACGTTGAGGAAAGATGCTCTTACCTCTAAGCCCGAAATAGAGAGATCATACACTCTCACACCAAGCAAGATGGCTGACAAGACTGACTGTCCTGTCTTCTGGACAAGAACTGTCATCTCAACTCCTCATTTCGTTGATCTGAAATCTTTCATATGGCTGGAAAGGCTGATGCCTCTTGACAGACAAAGAAAAGCATAATGCTGGTCTCGCACTGTAATACACCTCGATGGAAATTTGCAAGATGAGGAAATAGCATTCATTGCTCACCGAGAGCTATGCATAGAAAAAAACCAACCGGGGAAAAGACGAACTCGACCCCTATGATGCCGAAAAGGGTCAAGAGAATAACAGATTCGACGAACACATGCTGCAGCGTCGACGAAAGATCAGAGTTGACCAGCTCGCAACATCCCTGGCAGCTCACATGTCAAAGGGTTGAACAACGTAAAAGGCTATGGTCGGGATGGCAGCAAACTTCCTACCGACTGGGACCATGTGCTTGATGAGTACAAGTTGGACCAACGGCCCAGAGTTCATCAAAGCCAGCAACAGAAGTCACCAATGACCCATTACGGCATGCTCGGGCGGTCTCAAAGTTCAGATCGACTCGAGTGGGCACAATATCATCGCCAGAAAGGGTGGATCATACGCAGCCCATCTGCTAAGTAGAGTTGGTTGGGAGGGTATCGACATCGCCATTGAGGCCATCCTCAAGCGTCCACGTCTCTGATTGTCGACACTAGATGGGCTCGATACCGGAAGCCATGCAACTGCAAGCCAAGTAGAGTTCCCATATTCGTCGACACTTGATTAGTATGTTTGTCACACTTGAGGAAAGATCGATGGTATCGTGTCACTAGCTGTCCGTTTGGTCCAATGCGTCAACATCCATCTTCATGCAGCAAAGACGACATTAACCTTCGCAGGACAAAAACCCCAAGAGGAACGAAGCCATCCTCTAGATCAGAGCAGACTCAAACACACGGTGTGGTACATGGCATCAAGCCTTATACAGCATCCACGAACCTGCGCGTCCATTCAGGGGAAACAGCTTGGCAGCCCTCCTGGACGAGCGTCCATCCAATACCTTCGCCCAGCGGCCCACCGTCCCCGAATACAGTTGCTCCAATGAGAGAAGACGTCGAGAGCTTGAACGTATTGACATGTCAAGCGCCAAGAAAAGGTGTCTCGTACTGAGCTCCCATTTATCCACATCTCGAGCTCTGACAAAGAGGCTCGAAATGTGCAAAAACACCATATGAGGTCCCTGCTAGGGACAGGGACATATCTTGACAGCGAACCCCAGTCCCCGCTTTCCACCGAATCATTTTCAACGATTCAACGGACGGCGCTCCTTTCTTCGCTTCAGACAAATATTCTTGTCCAAAGTATATCGACAGTTTTTGACATTAACGACCAGGGCATCTGGGCTGTCATGTCACCTCCACCGCATCGCTAGTCGTCTGGGGGAGGAGAGGCGCGTCTATTCAAAAGCGGGGCCTAGGGTTCCCGTCCGGGAGCCGGGAAGGAAACGGCCGGCTGAGGTCTGGCGTTTGGACCTGGCTTTCCTGTAGTTGAGAACGGTTTAATAACACCATGATTGAAACCATGTTGTGTCTCAGAAAGTCGATGTTGTAGGTTCCGTCTAAGATGATGTCGTAGATAGACAGATTATCACGATGCTAACAGATGGAGGTCGACATAGATGAGAGGGTCGATATCGAGGAGCGCAGGATACGGGGCTCGTCGTAGTCGTCGGCATGGATGACTGACATCCTCTCGGCCATGTCGATAGGGATAGGCTTCTAGAAACTACAACACAGTCTAGCAGGTCATGTCACCAATGGAGCGGGCAAAACAACCAGTCAAAAACTCAAATGGACAAACAACGAAGATGATAGATCAAATACACACACGGTGTTCTTTTCTCCTTCGTCATATATTCACCCTAGAATTCAACTTCATCAAAGTGAGGAACGCAGTGTGCCAACCTACCGAGCACCCAGATATCTGTCATGGACTCGGGTGCTTAGATTCTGTGCCAGTGGCCGGCATCGACGACGACTATTGTCCTGTCCTAAGAACTCCAGGTCAGGTAATGGAATCAAGATCAACTAGAGCACGTCAATAAAGCATGTCATTCTCAAAGCGCGGTTCGAGTTCCCCCCCCTCCCCCATTTTTACTTCATACAACAAATACTGTGGTTGACAGGTAGGTAATCGCCTGAATCCCCTAGTAATAAAAGTCAATGATCAATGAAGATGTCCCGTCTTTCTTTCATTTCCCACGTGGTCCATAAAATGTGTGGCGGAGTCGATGGGTAGCAGTGCAGAGGTTGGTTCGGCTATTCACAGGGCTTTGGTTCGAGAGAATAAACTGCTGTAGACGGCATCAACGACGGGCTGCGCGCTAATTTGCCTACCGCCAAAATATCGGCCGTTGAGACCTTTGATGGCATTTTCGCCGCCTGATACTCGCTCGAATTTCAAGTAGATGTCGCCTTGAGTGTTTGGGTCAAGTGCGATGTGCACGACATGGCCGTATTTGTCTTCGCACTCAGCACGGACATCGTCCTCAAGTTCTTTGATCCAAGAATCGCCCTCTTCCCTAAATATGGGTTGGCAAGTTGATGGTTTGAAAAAGGGGTGATCCAGACTTACTCGGCGGGATCAAACATATTCTTGAGCAGAACACATCTGCTGGCTTGGCTCACGTTGACGGGAAGCGGCTTGCTTTCTTTCTTCGGCACGGCATTTCGTTTGGCATCGGATTCGGTAGTGGAATCATCTGTCCTAGCAAGTTTCCGCATCAACGCATCTCTGCTGTAATTATTGAAGTTCACACCAGCAACATCGGTATCGTCCAGCGCACTTGCACCACCAGCGCCCTTGTCGCTATCACGGCCGCCGGCTCGGTCAAAAGTGCCTCCAGATCCACCAGCGAGAGCACCTCGGCCACCCGAGCCAGAGAAGGCAGAACCTTGGAACCCAGATTGGTTTTGACCTTGGAAACGTTGAAGGAGATTTGCCGTAGATTCGGGGGTGAACTTGTCATTGCCGAGTCCGACTCGGATAGGACGTCCTGCAAGGTCAAAACCATTCATTTTTTCAAGAGCCTCACGAGCCTGATTGGGGTCACGAAACCTGTGGACGAATTAGGAAACCAGAGGATGAATGAAGTGAACGGTGGGGCACACTGACTGGACAAAACCATAACCTCGACTTCGCCCTCCTTCTTCTTTCTGAAGTTGAACGAACTCGAGTTCACCAAAGGGCTCAAAAACATTCTGCAAGTCTTGTTCGGTAATGCTGAAGTGGATGTTTCCCACGTAGAGACGATGGAAAGGTATCGAGTTGTGATTGCCACTCGTCGCCTCCGGGTTGCGGGCTTGTCGATTCTTTTCTGCTTCAGTAAGTTGAGCAATGATGGGGATTCCGAGAAGCTTTTGGCCGGTCATCTGAATGGCGAGCGGAACAGACTCTTCATTTTTGAATTCGACGTAGCCGACCCTGTCTATGGTCAGTGAGATGCCAGGTTAGGGCAAGGAAAAAAACAACTCACCCTTTGGAACGGCCGCTGACTCGATCTTTCACAATCTGGGCTTCCTTGACAGGCCCAACCTTTTCAAAGAATTGAATCAACTCTTTGGTGCGAAGACGAGCGGCAAGTTGTTGAACGAACACGGTTCTCCTGTCACGCTCATCCTCAGTAAGCTGTGGTTCGGGAGTCTTGCTCTTGACACGTTTTTTCGGGCTTGCCGATCGTCGGTGGTCTCGGTCTCGATCACGTCGGTCATCGTCGTCACGCTTGGATCGTCCTCCCGGTCGGTAGTAGCGATCATATTCTGGAGATCTGGAACGTCTACGATGATAATCATCGTCCCGTCTAGAACGTCTTCTGTCATCATCACGGCTGCGGCTCCTCCTCCTGCTACTTCTGTGACTGCCGTTAGCACTGCCATGATCGCTTCTGGGGCTTCTCATGTCATCATCTCGGTCTCGTCGATGTTCTCGGCTGCGGTCGCGTCTCCTGCGGTCCCTGTCCCGATCACGGGAGCCATCGCGGTATTTGTCTCTATCTCGGCGATCGGAGCGGTCGTTGCGATGACGATCATCGTGGTCTTTGAGAGAATCTTTGACTTCATTTGTAGCGGTGGAGTCGAGGAGGGCTTCGACATCGAGTCCTGACATTTTGAGCAGCCGTTGGTGATGTGCTCGAGAGAGTCAAAATCGTTGGCGCAGGATAGATTCACTTGGAGGTGGTCAGAGTCGGAAATGGAGCAAGGTGTGCACAGGCAAACCCTTGCAAGTGTGATATGGAGTCGTGGTATCAGGCGCCTCCAAAAGAACCGACGTCCCGGGATGACGGGCAGTGGGATATTTCGGTTGGTTCTAAGTCGCGGCCTATGTCGGTATATTGCGGATTGTGCCAAGTGAAGGCGAAATAGACAAGAGACGACGGAGTGAGTGAGTCGAGCATTCGAGGTGTCAAAAAGCTGAGATAAGAAGAAACAAAACACATCCGGGATCAAAGTTTGCAGCAGCACCGGAAATCGGCTGCTTGGCGGCTCTGGCACCACTGGCGAAGCACAAATGCTGCAAGCGCAGTTTGATATTTTGACTGCCAACCATCACATATCATCCATCCCGTCTACTGGTGGATAGCAGTTTTGTCATCGACTTCCGCTACCTACACAGGTACCCGTCTACCCATCGAGAACTTTTGTAACCCAAAACCCGGAGATCACTAGACAAATATTCTTCCGGCCATCCCTGGAACCAAGGAACTTGATTATGAACATCTCTCCTGGACCTTTGGAGGCACTCTATTGACCGCCACCCATCCAGAGATGTTGATCGGACGTGCTTCGGAATCTTTCGTCGATCGTTCGACCATGTCTGCTCCAGGATCAAGCTCCATCACATCTGCACGCACACGATTCACATGGTTTGACTCTTGTGAAGCCGTTCGACGACCGCATATCTTAAAACTTGAAGCCTCTCCGCCCTCCTCTGAACCTTTGGGGATACCTGCTTTGCAGTAATCACACAGATATTCCTCTGAAATGCTGGGTATTTGCTCGAGGCCCGCGCAATGATGATGAATCAACCCAAACATGCACGATTTGGAGCTGCAGCGGACCATTTTGCCGTCTTCATCTGGTTCTCTGCAATAACAGTTCAGAGTTTCACCAACGTGAGGATAATGATCTGGAATATCTCTCGTCACGTCACTGGTCACTCCCGACGACCCCGATCTACGCTTGACTTCCGTAGCAGACCATTCGAGACCTTGCTTCTTGTATCGTTCCCTGTAAGGCTCCATACGAGTCGAATGTCGAATCACAGGAACTCGCAATTTCGTCCCTTCCGTCTTCGACGTCTCGACTTTGTTTTCCTCTTTGAGTTTCAGGTGTTCCTTAATCCATTCAATCTCGAATTGTCTCTGGCGGCGTAAACGGATCGCCTTGGGAGTATTTGATCCTTCTCCAGGATCCACAGTTGGCTCTTCTGGGAGATACAAAGTCCGGAAGTCTTTCTCCTTCAGAGGTGGATGTATCTTTTCGGCCTGGTCCAGCACCAATGCTTTGTTGACTGGACCGTCAAGAAGTCGAGGAAGCATCCCGTGCTCCATCTTCTTCTCGACTTCACATTTTACAACGTCTTGCAAACGCTCGAAGCAATAATAAGTCGATGGTTGGCGATCTGTAAGTCTCTTATTTCCTTGATTCCGAGCCGGATCTTGCACGGTTCCCGAAAGCTCTCCCACCGGAATGACGTTCATCGCATTTGGGAAGACAGGAGAGAAGCAACAGTACACGACATCCTGTTCAGAATGTTGACACAAGTTGAAAGGATCTCTGTCCGCTACAAGTTGTCAGCTCACGGGTCCGTTCGACGTTGCAATATCTTACCCAATACAAACGGCTCAACTGTCTTGAAATCTTGGCCCCCAGTCGTCTTCCGCTCTAGAACATTCTCACTGATTGAGGTTGGCCTAGTAACTGCAGCTGTTTCATTTGCTCGGGCTTCGGGATATCGCTCAGGAAGCCGTGTGGTCTTTTCCTCCTCCGCTCGCAATTCGTGCTCGATCTGACCAGCAGGATCATTTTCGACACCTTGAGCGTCGTCCACGGGTAAATGTGAGCTGGGGACAAGGACTCCGTTTCGCTTCCCATACCGACTATGGTTGGATTGACGAATGAATTCTGAGATATCTTGTTCTGTCATTGAGGATTCTAGATCAACGCAACCAGAGAAGCTGGTTAGACATGTGTCCTCGCCGAAATAGACGCCATCTTCATCTGGAGGTCTCAGGACGACTGTCTCGTGTTCTGAATCCTTGAATGACATGATGAGTGTATGTTGTCAACCCCGCGGCGCAAGGAGATTTCTTTGCAAATCTCTGAAGGAACTCATGACACGAAGGTGAACGCGGCACCACTGCAGGAAAAAACACGCGTGGTCACTCACTGAAATATGAGGCAGTTTCGCCGGCGCTTTCCCAGTCCTGATTGACATGCGATTCGGTCGTACTCTTCCAATTATTCAATAATTCCCGATAGCGGGCAAACGTTGAATTGTGAAACGGCTTCACACGTAAACGAAAATTCTGATTGATGTTCACCATATTAGGAAGACGCAGCCAATCTATTTTGGAGATGAGGTCGACGTGACATATCCTGGCTCCATACCAAGGTGGAAATCTCCTTTGACTTTATTCCATGGTTTTGCTTGCATCATAACCAGCATGCTTCTCCCGAATTTTCTGGCAATCAAAGCATCCACTTGTATCGTGGGAATCATCCCACCGGCTGAATTATGCCTTCCCAGTTCCGGCCTCAAAGAGTCATCGGGTTGTACCACCATGACCAACAAGCGCGATGAATGTGGAGGACAGGATTCCAGAGAATCAAGCTTGACTACTATTGCGCTTAAGAATACCTGTCCTCAATCTATGAGTAAGTATTGTCGACCGCAAAACGTTCCCTCGCTTTACAATAACCAGTCCCACAGTATTTGATTCCAAGGAGATATAGCTTCAATACTGACCCTTTGTAGCTGTGGGAATGATGTCCAGTGATGTCGGGAGTCTTACCTCTTCGATAATCAGTTCAATGAAAAGGTCAGTTAATGGTATTCAAGCTCCGACGAATTATGCCAGCTCAACCATGACAGCGCCTCACCTTCCTACCATCACACAAACATACGCGATTTTGCGGCCGGTAGTCGCCTTTACCAAAGCTGTTTCCGCGCCGATTATGAAACAAGCCTGTGTATGGAAAAATACTTTCCCACTTCTAGCATGTCATGTATCTCTTGCGCCTGTCAGGAACTGGTGTATTCCCTGATCTCAGAATGCCAATACAACGGAAATATTTCTTGCCAAACGAACAACAGCAGCCGTATCCAACATCCGACGATAACTCATTTTGCTCATACTTCTGGCCCGGATTCGGTGGATACTTGCCAAAGCGAATCGCTGATGGGATGCTGATAATTATGCAGCAGGAGACATTGTTGCCGATTGATCTAACATCCTACACCGGGATCACTGGCCCTTCCGCTATTCAGACGACAAGACTGGCTCCATTGGAGGTATGACGCCTGATGGGACAAGCCAAACCCATGTCGATCATCTCGACTTGGTCTAAATGGAACTGGTGCAAGAAGACATCGGACTTTGACGGAGAGCCCGATGTCCCGGTGGGTCGCCGCCCTCACAAGGCTTACGTTAGCTGTATACTTGTGGCATTGCCGGACGGGGGCGTGAGAGTTGGGGCAGAGCCGCACCTCCATTCTGAAAGCTTGCCAAATTCTTCCAAATCTTTTCGGGCAATACTGGTGACCTGCGGTAAATGCCGCAATAAGGAGAGCGATCAAGATTCGAGATAAACTTGGTTTAAGGGCGGAGTTTCATTTATTTGGCTAGCCCGCGGAATATCCATTATAGCCAATCAGATAAAATATCATTGTGCTGCAGAAAGCCAGATATCAAATCCTGAACTTTTGAAGTGTCTTTGGTCTTTCCATCTAGCTTCGCGCATCCATCAAGCACAAAATGAATGCCCAGCTGCCGAAATATTTCCGACCTCCAGCACAACTCAAAATCGTTCTCATCTTACAAATCAACGACCACATCTCGTCACGACCATCAAGAACGACCTGCGCAGATGCGGGAGCATCAAGAATATCAATTGAATCAGCTAGGTAATGCAATGACACAATCAAGAGGGCCGCCGTCATCAACGCCGGTGGCCTCAGATACTGCGGCCAAAGCGGCCAGGCGACGCCCAATCTGTGGAGCTCTTTCCTTGAAGCCCTATATCCATGTCTCTCTGTCTTCAGCCTGGGACCATCTAGCCAACGAGCGCGTCTTCCTCGCCCATATAAGAACGTTATCTGCACGGGCAAACTTCGCTGTGGTAATCGAAGCATGAACCTCCTCTGCTAGGCTAGCTGAGTGATTTTTAAGCTCGGGATTCTGCTAGCCGTTGTGACGTTTGTGGTAGCGATGGTCGTGGCTGTCTTTGGAGCTGTGAAATTCTTCCTGTGTCAGAAAGCGATGGTGAACACAAAGGATTTTGGGGACTGGATCGGTAGTAGTCACTTTCACCGCCAGGGGAGCATTGGTAAGTCTTGGCCTAGTTGCCTGGAAGAGGGGGACCGTGGCTAACATAAACGCCAGTTGCTATTGACATTGTTTATCTTAATAATCATTGTCAATCAGAACGAGTAGCAAAAGAGATCTCTGATCTTCCTGTCACTTGATTCCAGTTTCCCAAACCGAGAATCCCGTCTGCAGCTGACGAGGCTGAGTGTTTCGGATCATTGATGCGCCGAAGACCGTACACAGCCAAGTCAGGAATAGCGCCTCAAAACTCTTGGCGGTGCGCACTCAACTCGAAAACTCCCCAACTTGTGTTCACCTTTCTTCCACGTCCAACATCAACACTGTCTACCGTCCGCTCTTCTCAACCCTCTGAGGTACGTCAATATTCCGACCCTCTTCAGCTAGCCAAAAATGAGCGATTCAGTTGCGCTCTTGGGTTGTAGCATTTCCATGCAGCGCAGTCCTGAATACGTTCATTTTTTGCGACACGAGCTGAAGAACCCCTAACCGGGCACTCTTCCTGCTCGAGGCTACTGGAGACTAACTTTCCGTCTGTAGATACCTCAAGTCCTCGTTTACACGACTTGAGAATCTCAAGGCCCCAATACCGCCAAAATGGTCAAAACGTCTGTCCTCAACGACGCCCTTAAGAGCATCAACAATGCCGAAAAGGCCGGCAAGCGTCAGGTCCTGATCAGACCCAGCTCCAAGGTCATCATCAAGTTCCTGTCTGTCATGCAGAAGCACGGTACGTCTAGTCTTCCCAGAGTGTCGTTTGCTATTTGAAAGAGGTGGATTCAACTATGCACATGCGGATTGTCGGGTTGATAACTAGGCGGTGGTTTCAAAATTCCTCGACGACCTTTGCCCTTTAAGTGCCCGAGAGATTGAAAGTCATCGCGCGGTTGATCTTACACATTTGCTTTCTTTTGTCCATGTCTGTTTATGTTTATTCGATCGCGACATCCTTCTTGGACCGTTGTTGACAAAATTTCTTGTAGGCTACATTGGCGAATACGAGGAAGTCGATGATCACCGAAGCGGCAAGGTTGTCATCCAACTCAATGGCCGTCTCAACAAGACTGGTGTCATCTCTCCTCGCTACAACGTCCAACTCCGAGACCTCGAGAAGTGGGTTGTCAAATTATTACCATCTCGTCAATTTGGCTACATTGTCCTGACTACCAGCGCTGGTATCATGGACCATGAGGAGGCCAGAAGAAAACATGTGGCTGGAAAGGTCATTGGCTTCTTCTACTAGATATTTCATCAAGAGTTTTTTGACGCATGATGGCATGAGCGAGGAAAGGAAAATCCCCCCAAAAAGTTTTGACCTGAATTCTGAACCTCTCACAAGTTCGGAAGCAAAACTCACCCAGATAGTAAGACAGCCATCGTTTCAATGAAACCATCTGTCACCGATTTCAGATCTCAGTCTCACACAATAATAATTTTCTATGTCAATTAAAGGCGAGCTTGCAACCGTAGCCTGCCATCCAGCAAAAGTCCCACGCCAAGACCTTGCCCTATTACCTCTTTCGTAAACGAGGGCGGGAGAACTCGTCATTCAGCTTGAAACCTCTTTCTTCCGAACATCTTTACTCTCCTTCACGACAAACACCGCAAAAATGGTATGCTCAAATCTCAGACCGCCTTAAAAAACCTTAGCGGGATCTCCTTGCTGACGATATCAGGCGCCCGCAGCATCCTCCGGCGGCAAGAAACAAAAAAAGAAGTGGTCCAAGGGAAAGGGTATGTTTTATGTCACGATGTCTGCGCAGTATCATCTGCGTGGCATCTCCATCTTACCAAGACACTTTTATCTGGATTGAATGCTGACTGTCTCATTTTCAACTGCGCAGTCAAGGACAAGGCTAACCACGCCGTGGTCTTGGACAAAGCCACCTCTGACAAACTCAACAAGGACGTTCAATCGTACCGTCTCATTACCGTCGCCGTTCTTGTCGACAGATTGAAGATCAACGGCTCACTAGCACGGAAAGCCCTCGCCGATCTTGAAGAGCGGGGAGTCATTCGTAAAGTCGTCGGACACTCCAAGGGCAGTATCTATACGAGAGCGGCTGCTGGTGGCGACTAGATTTTGGGGTTCAGTCGAGATGTTTTGGTTGTGATGCAAGAACGAACATGAAAAACCATGATTCAGACATTTGCCGTATGCAGTTAAGGAAGGGGGGGAAGTCTTCGAGCGGCTTCCGTGCCGGGTGATAGAGATGAAATTTACATCTGGTGGGATTGGGAAATGATCAGTCATGGCTACAGATGTGAAATTGAGAACAGACATAATGCAAGACTCCTGACAATCGGGAGGACTGAACGAAATTACCGCTCGAGCGTGGTTTTTCCTAGCCGTCCGTGTCCGTTTCCTGGCTGCTTGAATCGTCGAGAGCGGCGCAATGCAATTGACCATGGACGTTCATGATATCTGACTATTCGAGCAATCCTCTTGCTAGTCTATGCTATTTTTTTTTTTTTTTCCTTTTTCTTGTTGCTACCTTCTGATTGTCCTCCCGTTTGAATCATCACTGAACAGGCTTTCCCGGCGCTTTGTCCGGGTTTCCTGCGCTCTTCATATTCTTCCTCTGTGGTCTTCCCTTTTGAGCGTATTCGCACAGCTTCGGGGGTTCTCCTGTGTACTCCGGTACGTCCACCAATTTGCCGACTTCAAAATACTTCTTATGGTTTCTGTAGAACGCTTCCCACTTGCTCACCTCTTGGAGAACACGTTTTTTGGCATCTCTGCGCTCCTTCTCAGCCCGCATCTTCCTTGCTCCACTGGAAATCTCCTCGTCTGGGTCGTCCAGCGGTATGTATATCTCCTCCGCTCCTCTCAAATCGCCGGTTCGATCTTCCAGAAAACATCCAGTCACAAATGCCCTCGTAGCATCTCGGCCAGCAAAGACTTCATAACTTCCACCGGGGCCATAGGTGCGTTTGCCCTCGGTCACGTCAAAAATTGTGCCGTTGATAGCTAGATATATTGGTTTCTGGGGATCCGTTCCGTTGTACAATGCCAATTGTTCTGGGGTCAAGAGTAAGGGACCACGCCACCAATGTGCAATGTGGGAGGGATTCGTGAACCATGGATGGTAGTTCCATAGGAAGGATGAACCGGAGGTCAGGTAGTAGGACAAGGCACAGGAGACGCCGAATAGAGTGAAAATCACACGAAAGATATCGAGAATGGAGATCACGCTGGCTTTGGCGTCTTCGACTTCGGAAGGATGCGAAGATACAGGTTTGGAGGAATTGGTGGCAGACTGGCTTGTTGGAACCCGCCGACGCGTGGAAGAGGTTTCCATTGTAGCTAGAGTGGGAGAGGCATCAGTGAGACAGTATGTGAAGAAGATTATTCTCTCATCTTGAGATCTCTTTTGGTCTGACAGTTTTGCTGGCTGACGATTCGTAGAGCAACCGGATCTTGTGTTAGTTCGTCGGCTGCGTGGTGAGACGTGGGGAAGTGTTTTAGGGACGGCGGACGCCTGGGGCTGGTAACCACTGGTGATCTCATCCCCATGCTTGTTTAACCAGCCACGCAGATTCGGTTCAAAAAGTCCATCTTTCATTACCCGTGCACTCATTCATTTTCATCTCTCTTTCATCAAGTGCACGAGCATTGACCGAGTCCACTCTACAATTCACCGAAGCTGCGCACTCGCGCCAGCCTGGTCAGAAGGTGCTTCACCAGCTCGTCTAGCCTCGGCTGAAGAAAGTAAACAACGGACGCCTCGATCATCTACCTCGTTGCCGGCGTCGATCTTCGAAGGACATTTGATCCTTGAACGACCTCACAGAGAGCCCCGAGAAGCAGTGCTTTGATGCCTCTTTAATCCAATACCTTCCTGATATTCCACCACAGCCATGTCCTACCAGTACACCGTGACTGAGCGCAGGCGAAGGACGGCAACCAGCAAGTCCTCGAGCAACAGGTCTACATTTGGCTTCTGGGTGCCATTGGTCCTTACCGTTACAGCAGCCACTATCGGCATTGCTGCATGGGTATGGAGTGAACGGCGCGATGACGAAGAGGAATCGAGTGATGAGGAACATTATCCTGGTGGTGTTCCACCTCCTGGCTATGCCAGCATGAGCGGCGCACTCCCTGCTCAACCAATGCAGCCACCGCCAGGTGGATTCCCGCCGCAAGGGTCGATGATGCCTGGTCCGCCGCAGCCCGGAGGACTTCAAGGACCTCCTCCGCCCGGGGGGTTTCAGGGCCCACCGCCAACCGGTTTCCCAGATGACGGAGGACAGTGGCGTTCCGCCCGCTCCACTGCTGTAGAGCGACAAGAGGAGACTGGTTTGGTCGCAAGAATGTCGAGCGCACTTGGATTCGGCCGTTCAGCTACCCCGCCCAATGACCAGACACAAGGCGCCAATCAATCCTACGACTGGGCGAACAAGCCATTTTCATCCGGAGTTGCTGCAGCAGGCGCAATGTTCAGTACGGCCATCAATTCACTTAGTGGAGGAGATAGAGAGGCGTTTGAGGATCAGGAACGATGGAGCGAGGAAGCTGAACAGCGCGACAACGACCGAGACATAAAGCACGGGATACGAAGGCGGGGCACGGCGGATGAATTCTTTTCTGGAAATGTCGATATGCCTAAAACGGCGTCAATTTCTAGCCGCAAGCAAAAGACGGTCGCTATTGTGGTCTCTGCTGTTGGACTCGAAGCCGATGGTGAGACGGACGTCGGCCAGCATGCAGTAAGCACTTCAAAGGAACCCCCATGGTACAAGGATGCTAACAAGATGTATAGTCGATACTCGCACATCTCCCAGAATACATCGACCCGGATTTAACCCGTGTGTTTGTTCTCATCTATGCGCCAGATTTGAAAACACATCCACTCAGTCCGGTGGCCGCAAGGAGGCCTTCACAATCCATGACGTCGTCCTTCTCCAATATCAGCCAGACGGATGCTCATACACCTGCCCAGACACCAGGAGATTTCCCCTCTGGAACAGACGAAGGAATTTTGTCCCACGTGGAGCCCAACCCCATCGACGACTCATCGTCCCTCTACAAAACCCTCTACAACCAGGCCATGGCAATTGTGGATAGGGATAACATGATCCTACCATACACTACTCCGAACGGGCACAAGCACATCCTGCGAAGCCTTGCCCCTGAAGTGGTATACATCCAAGAATCGCTCTGTGGCCGGGACGGCGAGATTGTATCTGATCTCTCCGGCTGGGTCCGTCAGACTGTCGTCGTCATTGGAGATGAGGGCGGCCATGGCGGTCTCATCGACACGGATGACGAGTCTGTAACCAAAAAGCCAGAGACCTGGTGGCAGAAAGAGGAACGGACTGGGTTGGGCAAGCGTGTTGCCGTAGTGGAGAGTTTGAAAATTGGGGAAGACTGGCAGAGACGGGTCAACGACCAAGACTGAGCGGTGGGAGATGGATAATATTGATGGCTGTGGTAACGGGCAACGGGGCCTAGTTTGTCATATGCAACGTATGATTTCAGATATGATAGCAAATGCAAAATGTCCTTTTCAATTTGCAGGAAAGCTGGTGGCGGCAAGGCTGCCAAGCAGGGGGCCAGGGGAGGATTAGGGGGGAGGATTGGCGGACACGTGAGCCTGGAGCATTTTCGAGAAGCGCCAAGACATTTTGTTCTGACCTTATTGAGACTTCGACTATATTGCGACTGCGCATCGCCAGCAATCCTCATTTCGAGATTTCTATCCATAAAGCCTCCGTTTTCTTGATCGCTGTGGTCCTCAAACCCCTTGTATCCCGGAAGTCGAATTCATCAAACCCCTAAACCCACCCAAGCCTGATTCCGACCTCGTCTGCCCCTCATGATGCGCGTTTGGCCAGCGGCGTCGCGAACTTGCTCAGCACCCTTTGAGGAGGTTTCATCCGCTTCGGATTAGATCGTCATATCCGTGGAAGAGCAGGGTCACCCGATTTGATCGGAAAATCACCCGTCATGGCTGCGGTCATGGCCAAGCCTGCCGGAACGGCAACCAAGATGAAAAAGCCGTCTTTGCCTTTAGTTCAGACAAATACAAATGGTGTGAAGCCCACGGCACCACCTTCGTCGCCTTCCAGTGCTCGGAAAACTCTATCGGGCCAGAATCCCACTCCAACATCTGCCACCAGCAATAGCACCTCGGTCAATGGCGCCGCTCGCCCAAATCGACGATTACAACGTTTGACGACACGAAACAACACCTCAGACAGTGTGTCTCTTGAAAAACGGGCTTCCAAGAAATTCCCAGAACCATATGGTTCGTTCCGCTTACTGACCCATCTATTGATCAGTGATGCTGACCGCTTCTTTACCCATAGTGCCCAAAGAATCCCACATCCTACGAAAATTCAAAGGGTGTGCGCCCTCTCTAATCGTACACTTACATCCCACACACTTTAGGTTCGATCAGCAAGATGGGAGCTTCAGCTACCACTCCGAAATGCGCGTCTTCATCGAACATTTGGCCAAGGGCACGATTCCTCATGATATGGTGGAAGAATTTCGGAAATCCGAGGTGAAATACTATGATGGATGGCTCATAGTCCGAGTGGTGGATCATAAGTCGGTCGCAAACGATAATGCTGCGTCAGAAGCTGCCGCAGATGATGAAAAACCATTCTCTATACACAATTACAACCAGTATATTACGCCTTCACCCTACGCCCCCTATCCTACGAAAGAACAATCTGTCGCAGGATCTCCACCGATGAAACAAGAAAACCGAGATTCAGTGTCCAGCGATACCAAAGATGGTCTCAACTCCGACGATACAATCGATGTGGCACCTAAATCCACAAAGTCGCAGCCGAGGGTCTATCATATTGCCTTGCGACCTACAATACTATCGAGGCATATGGATCTCGTCATTGATGCTATGACGCCAGATCCAAAGTCTTTAAATCGGAAACAGTCACAAGCCAACGTGAATGGTCGGATTCCCGGATCCGCCGCTTCACAGACTCCAATTTCTGGCATGCCCCCAACCCCTTCGAGCGAGAAAGGGCCGCCCCTCAAGAAGCAAAAGCTGAAGATCGATCCTAAAGACATGCTCGAGTATGAAGGACGAATTGTGAATGCCACTGCTCCTCCGTTATATTTGGATCCAGTGGAGAATCTGGAGGAAGCCGAGACTCTGGCTGAGATGCTCAAAGATCCCCTCCACGACGCAAGGCCACCTTCGCCTAAAAGCCGGAAACGGACGGTTGCTGAACTTGCAGCTGACGATGCGCATGCGAAAGAACAAGAACGATTTATGCTCATTATGGATGAGCGTACTGGGGGAAGCAACGGTGCTGCCAATGCAGGAGCCGTGGATGGTCAAGCAGCTGCCTCGCTATTCCAGCCGCGGTTTGAGAAGTTCAACGCTCTTGATAACATTAAGAGGGAGATCGCTGAGCGGAAACAACGCGAGAAGGATCGACAGCTACAGGAAGACGAGACCAGAAGAGGACAACAAGAACGAATGCAGGAGGAAGAGAAGAAACGAATCATGATGCAAAGAGCGCAAGAAGCCAGGGTTCTTCGAGCGAGGCAGCAAGAAATGCAAGCGGCGATGCAGACTCAAGCACAACAACAAGCTCAAGCCAATCAAAGGCCAACCTCTCAACAAGTTAATGGCATTCCTCCGAATATGCAGAACCAAGTGATGGCTGCCCAACAACGTGGATCGCCTGTTCTTCGTCAAGGTACTCCTCACGCAGCGTCATCCCCAGTTGTCACCAATGCCGCTCAAGGTGGACATCCAATGGCTATATCAGGATCCCAACAGGGTCATGGATCTCCGGCTCGACCGGGCTCGGCTGTGCAACACGGTCATCCCAGCGCTCCCATGACCAGAGTTCCTAGCAGACAAGGACAGAGTCAGCATGGTACTCCCCAAATTCTGCATGGCACACCTGCTGCCAGAAACGCAACACCTGTCCTGCGACAAGGTACTCCAGCTCAGCATATCACGCAAGCTAGCCCTCGTGGGAGCATGGCGGCCCCTACTCCTCAAATGGTGCCGGTCGGCATGATGCCAGGAATACAAGGCCAAGCACCAAACGGAGTTCCTAGGCAAATGAATCCTCAACAAGCTGCCGCCGAAATGCAGCGTCGCCACGCATTTCAGCAACACGCGGCTGCCCAGCAAGCAGCTATGCAGCAACAGATGGTCAATGGAACACCGCAAATGGTTCAAGCTCAAATGGCCCATATGCAAGCTCAACATCATGCACAAATAGACCGACAGGTTGCCATGCAACGTCAACAGGCTCAACAGCAGCAACAAGCCATGCAGCAAGGAACACCACAGAGTCAACATATGTCCCCCAACCCCAGCCAAAGCCAGAAAGCTTACAATCAGTCGGTTGTCGAACATGTGAAAGCTCAAATGCAAAACCTTCAGCAAGCACAGAACCACGGTTCGCCAGCTCCCAATCATATGACACCTCAGCAACTTGCCGCTCAGCACGGCCAGGTTCAGCAAGCCCATGCCCAGCAACAGCAAAGGATGATTGCAGCCCAAGCCGCCCAAGCCCAAGGACAAATGATGGGTCAAGGTGTGCCACATCCTCAACAACGACCCCAAATGAATCCACAATTGCAGCAGCTATACCAAACCACCTTGAGCGCCTCTACCCAGCGGTTCTTGGGTCAAGCAGCCGCCAAATACGGGGGCAACACCAGTATGCTCCAACCCAGCGAAATACAACAGGTGCAGAGTCAAGCTAAGAGTGCGGCCATGACAGCCGTTCGCAAACGCCAGGCAGAAATGAATCAGATGCAAATACAGCAGATGGCATTGCGTCAGCAAGTTGCGCAGCAGCATGCTCAACAGCAAGGAGGCGGCATGCCCAACGGGATGAACATGAACATGAACATGAACATGAACATGAACATGAATCCGAACATGGCGGCAGTTCTCCAACAACAGCAGGCTCAGCAAATGCAACAGGTGCAGATGCAACATGCTCAACAGATGATGGCTCAACAACAACAGCAGCAGCAACAACAACAACAACAACAACAACAACAACAACAAAGTATGCAATTTCAGCAAAGATGATTCTCATAGAGAGCTGGGTGCGTGGACTCCTTGGCTGTCGACACATTGCCATGGATTCAAAAGTTTGTCATTCTGCATTTGTGGTTTTGTCGGCCCAAACTCACTCCTGTCCTTTTTTTGCCTGCTTTACGACGCTCGTATATTTGACACGACCCGGTTGGCTATCTGATTGTCGTTGGCTTCGAATTCGGCGTATAGGAAGATCATTAGAGATGATATCGCTGGGTCTTTGTTCTGATTGTCCCGTGCTGCTGCTTGGGCGATGGGAAGGGGATGGGAAAGAAAGATTCCGCCTGGTACCGTTGAGCTGGAGATATTATGGGTGCATTTAATGTTTTTATCGGTTTGACATCCTTGTGCATAGTACCCTTGGTCGGATTAGGGTTGGGGGTTCGGCTCTGCTACGACGGAAACGAAGAATGGGGTATGGATTGCATCTCAACAGGGTTTGGGAGCAGCGGGACGGACATAGGGGTCCGACACCCAATGGTGGATTCCTAGGAGGACGGAAGCAGGAGATATGAAGGCGTTCAGAGCATGCGGCGCGGCGCGATGTGATGTGATGCGATGCTGACGGGGAGGGACACAGACGAGGATCTTTAAAAATGCCACTTACCTGTGAATTTGGCCTCTACACTCCCCTGGAATCACTACCATGGATGCATTATTCGTGTACACTGCCCATCTAGCTGAGCTGCTAAACCTTTGAGTAATCGATCAGTTACTCTGCATACCTAACGAAGCAGCCAGAAATCAGATACCATGGCTCCCTGAATTGTACACGATCTGAGTGCTTGAATATCTATTTCTGGTATGTATATGTCAATCTTACCAAGGGGAATATGTTTTTTCCCTCTCCCTTTGTTGAGATAAATAGCATTTAGCACTTAATATGGAAGCCATCCTTGTTTTGGTCTTCTCATGCGGCATGCCCACCGTATCCAGCCAGCTGATCGTGAGCGAAATAACCGCTCTGTGGCTCCCTGGGGAAAGAAAGATGTACTATCTACATCACTCACAAAGCGAGACGCAGTCGGCAGACACCATGTCTACTCGTGCATGTGTCAGCGCGTGTGGTGGATTGGGGGGATGCCGGGAAATTCCATCTCCATCTCGACAGGAGTCTCTCCCCCAGGATTCTTTTCCCAATATACTACTAGTAGTGTAGAGATATGTTGTCGGCCGGACTCCTCTGTCTCAGTTTAGGTGCGAAAGCGTTTCGGTTGAGTCCGGTGTGCTTCGCAGCCGCAAGGCAACTATTGATGTTGTTGCTAGCCGAAGGGATGGCACTTTCATACGCCAATCATCAGGTCACAGAATTACCTCGAAGTGAAATGCCCTATAGTAGTGGGAGTGAAGTGTACAAGCAATCGACCAGTGAAAGAAGTAGAGATCATGCGGAGGCGTGTGATCAGGCTGGGTCGAATGCTATTGCCATGATGTCCCAATTTTCGGTTGTCGCGAGGAACTCCGTCGTTGTTCTTCTTGACTTATAATTCCTTCTTCAGGAAATGCTCTGGTTTGTGTAGCGTTTCGTAATCGATGTGGACATAGGCTCTCTCCACATCCGGCAAGCTTTCGAGTTTCATCTGCAACTCCTCCGCGATGTCGTGACAGACGCGTAAACTCTCTTCGGGCTCCATGACCACATCGACCTCCACTACGAGGCGGGGACCGGAATGCCATGCCCGCACGGTGTCAATCTGCTTGATGTGTTCGCTGTGCGTCATGCTCACGTACGTGATGAGCTGCTGCATCTCGGTGTCGGCTGTGATACCAATCAAGAGTTGGAACTCTGAGTACGCGGTATGCAGCCACAGGAGGGAGATAAGGACGGAGAGGGTAATGGCTCCCGAAGGGTCGATCCACCAGCGCAATTTACTGCCGCCGACGGAAGTGAGGACTCCAAAGCCGTTAATGAACAGGTCGTTACGGTGATCTTCCCATAGAATGCGAACTTGAGAGTACTCATTTCGCAGGGCCCAGCAGTACAAGAACAATCCAAGTTTCGTGCAGAAAGCCACAGTCACGGCGATAACTGAGGGGAGGTGAAAATCTTTGGTTTCACTTTGGTGGCCGCGGGCAAGTTCCTGTACCGAAAATGCAATGAGGACGACGCTCACCGATGTCATGAGGAAGCAGAAAACGATGTTACCGGCCGTTTCGATACGGGCCCTCCCAGCAGGGAATTTACGAGCGTCCACTTTTCTGACCGCCTTGTTCGTGAGGATCAGTGTGATGTTGGACATAGGGTCGAAGATGGCGTCTACCATGGTCGTGAACAGGGAGAGAGAGCCTGATGCGATCGCGCCGTAGAGTTGAAGAGCTGCGAGGATAATATTGGCCACGAAGCTGCCGTAGACGGCAATCTGGTACCGCAATTGGGTGGAGCTTTGCGCGTCTCTTGCTTCCCTGACATGTTCGTCCACCGGTTTCAACAGTCTCTTGATCTGTTCATTTTGAGATTCGTAGAAATTGGTAATTTTGGACTGCGGTGATTGTCCCGCGATGATGAGAGGGCTGCAGATGGCGTTACGTTTGCGAGCGGTGTTTGCGGTGATGCGGCCCAGTTCAGTTCTAGATTTCAGACGCCGGGTGAGGTCTAGGGGGTCGGAAGGGGAAGCATGAGCAGGGGATTGACTCTCTGTGTCAAAAGTCGATGCAGTTCTGTGGCGAGAGATCATATCCTCGCCTTGGATTGCGGAGGTTTTGGCTTCTCCATGGAGGAGGTTTGGGCTAGGCATGGGTCGGTAGACCTCATGGATGGATGACGGGCGATGAGAGGGATTTTGCGTGAGCTCCATAAAGCTGTCGAAATTAGATCGAGGACTAGAATCCATTATGAAGATGGTAAGTGAATGTGGTCGAGGGAGACGAATTTGACCGAGGGTTCGCGATCAAGGCGGTGTGGGAGGAAGAATGAAAGAGGTTGTTGGCTTTGCCCAGAACATTGGCTTTCGGGAAAGATGGCCAAATCACTTCTTCTTTAAGTCACTATTTCGATTTCGATGACGGGCTCGAGCAAGATCTGATGGGCAGAAGGAAAGGAAGAGAGAAAGATGAGCATCTACGATTTGTTCGAGCTCAATCACCTCTAACCCAGAGCTTTGGTATGTTATCGAACTTGAATGTACACAAGCGAGAGAGGAAAGGAAGGTCCATCCCAAAATTTGATGAGCTTTTGGTATTTACTTCAGTCCACCGGTCAGAAGAATACTCTGGCCCGTCAAATATCCCGTCTTGCATATCATGGTCACTATATTGGCACATTCCTGTGGCGTTCCCAATCTCCCCACCGGGATATTCCTCACGTCACCCGGGGTGCCTTCGACGAATTTGGCATTGGGAATCATTCCTGTTTCCCCAATCATCGCTGGTGCAACATCATTGACGGTGATTCCATCCTTTGCCAGCTTTAGCGCCAGGTTTTTGACCATACCAGTGAGTCCGGCCTTGGACGCGGCATAATGACAGCCATTAATACCTCCTCCATAACCTGCTATACTCGACATCATAATTATTCGACCCCACTTCTGCTGTATCATGTACGGTACGGCTAATTTGGCCAGGATAAATGGTGCTCGCAAGTTGATCAAGATTGTGTAGTCCCACTCTTCATAGGGGATGTCCACGATTTGAGGAATTCTCTTCCCGTAACCCGCATTCGCGATGAGGATATCTGGACCGTGGCCATGCTGTGACTCGATCTCGTCGTATAGTCTCTCCATATCTTCCGTCGAAGCCATATCAACTTGATGTGAGGAGATTTTCTGGTCCGATGGCGAGGCCTGAAGTTCGGCAATGAGAGAGTCCACGTGGGCTTTGTTTTTGGAATAGGTCAGGGCGAGATGACAGCCCTGTTGATAAAGATCTCGCGCACAGCCGGCACCGATTCTGTCCCTGTGAGTGGGGTGTCTCAAAAGCTTTTTCCACAACACGTACCCTCCAGATGCGCCCGTGATCAAGGCCAACCGACCTCGTATCTCATTGTCGACAGACATCGTGGGTGCTCGTCGGCGGGATGCTAAGCGCTGAAGCCGGCCGGTATGTTCCTGTATCTGGGACGATCGCAGTCTTGTATTTTGATCCTGCGTTCGAATTCATCGGCTCAACCCTCAGCCTCCTCCCAGCACACCGCAGAGACAAATGGGTACACCAGGGCCGCCACGCGGTGACTGCGCCGATGTTTGCTGGGTGCGGGGAAGCCGCCAGGGCGTGCCTCACCTTTGTCGGCTTTTGACGCGGGTTGCCGACATCAGCCCGAAAATACCGACGCCATCCGCCAGGCGGACAGAACTGCGGCGAGTCGAAGAGGCGGAACACGCCGGGGCTTTCAAAAGAATAGATTTCCCGTCCAATCCACGGGCCAGTTTGTGATATTGTTCGTCTGTTGCCATGGCATTCCCTGGGCTTGAGGGATAAACGCTGCTGGTGCCTGATATCCGGCCATGGGGGCCAGGAGATTGATCCCGTTGCCCGGCATTGGGTCACCGGAGACAAAATCACCCACAGCCTCCAGATCCAGCCAGGAGAAATCATTGGTAGGGCTGTATTGCATATATCCCTGAGCATCGACACGAACGCTACCACTGGACGACAATGGAGTGTCGGACGCAGTTGGTGATTGCCCCGGGCGCGGTCCCGGGGGAGGGCCCTTCGGCGGCTTCATCCACAATAATTCTAGAAGTCGAGCATAGCGTGAACCGGGATCTTGGGCGGAAACCGAGGCTCGTTTGAGAACTTCCATGGCCTGGAAGACCAATTGCCGTACTTGTCGTTCTTCCATGTCTGTCATCACCCCGAATGATCGTGCTTTGTACAGAAAGACGGCCGAATAGATGCTATAGAGATAGTACCTCAACGGCATATACCGTAAGTATTTGCCGGGATCAATTTGCGTGCTGAGCAGCGTCAAATATGCTTTAGCCGCGGCGACACTAGCCCAGATGAATCGGGCGTCGGGCATCGCCCCGACATTGCTGAAGACACATCGCAGGTGGTCCCGGAGAGAGTGCGCATCTGTCTTGGGCTTGCTGGCAATCGCCTGGGATATGGCTGCTTGGAAGACAAACGCGTTGGTGTAAAGGCACAGATACTCGTACGACATCTGCAGAGTGACCTTGATGTAAGGCGAGCATTCCAACCTGCCCCAGGTGGTGTTCCAACGAGCAATGGCTGCGCGAAAATCGTCCACATATTTGACGTAATCTCCCATCAGCATCATCTGTCCACTCGTTCGCATTCCGGAATACAAAACATCGTGGACATTCGAGTAGAGTTGAGTCAAGTCCAGGGTGGCCTGCATGATCTTGGCGTAGTCTTCATCGCCGGGACTGAAGGGCTGGAGCGAAGGGAAGTCCTGAGACGAAAGACCGGTCATCGGTCCTGGTCCGCGAGACCAAAATGCTTTACCAATTCGGACAGATATCAGACGATCGGAGACATAGCAATTGGCCCAAGCCAGACGCTTCCGTCCGTCAATTCTGGCTTCCTCCGCAGATTCTTGTCGGAAGGCGGTTCGATCCAGTCCCAAAAAGTAGCCGGTGCGCAGGGCAATACCAACATGCATCCATGCCGATCGATCTTCTTCACCTCTTCCCACCGCTTCGATTCGGTTTCGCAGGCCTTGCGGCTCCCATTCGGCGAGGAGAAGTAACGCTTCGACCGCTTCCACTTCGCAGTCATGGCCGGCCGCAATTCCGGAAATGAGATCGTGCATATATCGAGAACAGCAAATATGAACGTTGGGCTGCTCAATCAGGTCTTTGGACGAAATAGTGAGCACGGCAGTCAAAAGGTGCTTGTCATTGACGGCGAAAAGATCCAGTTGAGCGGGGTCGAAGTATTTCCGGGGGACCAAAGGCAGGTATGGGTGGTAATGCTCGGCATATCGTCTGACCAGCATCTGGATGATCTCGGCCGTGAGGTAGCCCTCGCGCACCAAACGATATGTCGAGATACCAGCGTGGATTCCATTGATCGATCCCCTGGGCTCAGCTCGGCCGCCATTTTCCATGTTTTGATTCGAAGGATCGCCTTGGTTGTTCCCTTCTCCTGCAACATTCAGGTGGTCTGCTTCCCGATTGGCCACATCCTTCAGGAGCTGCCATGCGTCCGAGGGATTCCTCGGTATGGTATTTCCAATGGTACTGTCGGCGGTGGAGGATGAGTCCTCATCTTCGACAATGTTCACAGCAGGACCGCCATGGGGAGCGCCTACGATGACCGGACCTTGAGAGGTGTCTTGTTGCGGCGACAGTGGAAAGAAGGGCGGAGGATGAGGCTGCGCTTTCGCATTGGCTTCGTGTAGAGTGGTCAACGGTGGATTAGACAAGGAAGACAGCCCCGTAGCTGAAAGATTCTTCTTTCTGACCCGACTGCCGCCGCGGTTGGAAGTCCCGAGCACACAGTCCCGTCCATCCTTTTTGCATCTTCCACACGGAGGTTGACCGCCAGAGGCTTCCCTGTGACGACAGTCAATGAGGACGATGAAGACAATAGCATTCAATGCAGTGCGATTGTAAGGTATTGCCGACGACGGCTATTGTATGTGCTACAGTAGCCGGGCTGAGCAAATGGCAGAGGCGAATGAGGAACCGGGGGTTCCACCAGGCCTGACAATTTTGACACCAACAAAAACAAAGCCGTTAAAGGGTCATACGAAACACAGCGAAATAGGCTTACAGATCACATCGGCTTTTGCGAGCTCGACAGAAAGTGCATGCTCTGGAGACGCGCTTCATAGGCGCAGGAGGACTCTTGTCCGCCATCGGTGGTCGACGGGGTGGAGGATTGGTTCATTCATGGAGAATTGATACTGCTGGTGTTGGAGCCCGTGATGGATTTGACGAGGGCGGATTAGCTCTAGAAACCCAGAACCCGGCATTATCTTATTCGATGAAGGAGACGGCTTTATTGGCTTTGCCGGGCAAAGCTGACTGCCAGGTAAAAGTTATGACCATGTTATGCACGTATTCTGTACCCCAGTCTTGCAGTGGAGGGGAGCTTTGGTGAAGTACCATGTACCCCGAGGCAGAGGAGACCCCTTGCCTGCGCCTGGCCCTGGTCCGCTGACTTGCTGCTTCAAAGCGTTCCCCGCTTTCTCCAGCCGTCGAAATTTTTGCTTTTTGCTTTTTCTTTCTCACTTTTCCGATTGGACATTTTGAAGCTGCATATGATGGGAAGTCAAAGGGCACGGGATGTTGAGAGTCTTCCTAGCTGTCCTCTTGATAATAAGGCTTGATTTTCCTGCCTAATTCTCTGCTCGAGTCGCTGCATATGCCGCTGCGAAGCAAACAAATCCATCCGGAGTGCACGTTACCCAACGATCAGTCTATCGTTGGGCGCCGCCCTCATTACACCATTTGTGATAGCATCTTTGGAAGAGAGACGTTTTCGTACCTAGTAAATCTGGGGCGGTTGGAAACCGTTATCACGTGACCTACTAGAGACGCAAAACCGTGTCCCGGCTTGATTAGAAACATGTCATCAACAGGAAGATGAAATAAGGAAATCAGGTTTCTTTTGGGAAACAAGAAACGCCGTTCGAGTGGATGAACGAAGTAAACGCAACTACTATCTTAGCTAGCAAATTCCTAAAATTGAATCATATATTGCCTGGTTTTACTGGTTCTTTGCTTTTATTTACTCCGTTTACCTGCCCACGCCAACGTCATTTGAAAGTGACCCCTTTGTACCGTTTGAACCTCTCATTCCCTTGATCTCGCACTCTCCTCCAGGGACCCTCAACTCCCTTCCCCCTTTCTTCTTCTCTTTCGGCCACCTTCACTGCCCCCGCACACGCCGCGGCTGCCTGACCAACTCCGGCTTCTCGAGCAGACTTTTTTCCCAGTCGCTCCGTTCGGCGATTTTCAACATGAGTGACGGTATGGACCTCGCCACTGCCGCCGAGATCGCAGATATTCAGGACGACATTGCTCTTAAAATGGGCATTCTCGAATCTCTCGATAACGAAGGAGGCGTCGACACTGATACTGAAGAGAGCAAAAATGTGACGCGATCCGACCTCAAGAAACTGCGCAAGCGTCTTCGGACCTTGCAGGCAGCCTCCACAGACAACGGTAATGCCGAGTCATCGTCCAGAGACAACCTCCACGATATTTCAACGGCCGAAGAGCTGCCCGGCAGTCGTCAGTCACAAGTCACTCACTCCAATTCAATGAATGGATCAAGCTCCCATATGCCCCTTCCGAAGCCTGAATTTGTGAATCGCAAACGACAACGAGGCGACGATGACTTCAGTGACGATCTACCTAACCTTTCCTCCAAGTCTCGTCGCACTACGCCTAGTTCTGCGGCAACTGCGGCTCCATCACCGACGGGTTCAACAGATAGCTTTGACAGTCTCGACCAGGATGACCAACTATTGGACTTACTCTTTGGAAGCTACTCAAGAGAGATGCAGCGAGATCGGGAATATTGGAAGAAACTTGAAGAGCGAAAGAAACAAGAGGAAAGCGATGCGGCATTGGCCAGAAGCCTATCTCAGGATTTGGGTCAAAATGATGGTCTCGCATTCACACCAACGTCTGCGCCTGCTTGTCCCTCGGATTATACACAAGCCTTCTTCCGAACAGATGGCACTATCAACCGGCGTTCCGCCAGTCAATCCACAGAAATTGGCCGAACACCATCCGCAACAAACCAGAGAGAGCTCTCCCCCGGTGGTCAATTCACGACACAAATTTCGCCAGAACCAAGCAGCAGTCGTCTACCAATGGCACAGATGAAGCTCGAGACAACGAACAGCCGGACAACGACGGCAAACATTACGCCCGAGCCAACCATGAGCCGTCAATCGATGCCACACATCAAGCCGGAGCGATGTAGACCTCTGGTGTCTTCCCTTAATTCGGGTGCATCCAACAGCATGACTCCTATCAAAGGTTCAAATATCTGTGGAAACCCGACCACTTCCACCGGCATCAAGACCGAGCCTGTAGACTATGCATCCCCAGCAACCATGCCTGGCGCCTTTCCCGGAACGCCGTCCTATTCGAGCATGGGCGGGAACTCTGTGTACGACCCTGTGCTTCCATCTACGGCTCAGCCGCTCTCGGCCGCTCTCACTCAACCACGTTACCCGATTCAGACATCCATGCCTCCAGTTTCCGATCCCCTGAGTTCACCTTGGGGCGGCTCGCCGTATTCTGATCCTCGACTGTATTCACACTATGCCGATTCAAGTCAAACCAAAGAAGAACTTCAGGATCTTTTGAAGCACATTCGGCCTGACGAAGAGCTGACTGCAGATCAGGTACCTCAACAAACACAACGCTTGAAGGTGACTCTCATGCCGCACCAACTCAGTGGGTTGGCCTGGATGAAGAAGATGGAAGAAGGAACGAACAAGGGCGGAATTCTGGCTGATGAAATGGGCTTGGGAAAGACAATTCAAAGTATTGCCCTGATGCTTGAGCGCCCACCTCCTGAAGACAAGCACAGACCAACCCTGGTGGTGGCCCCCGTGGCGCTGATGCACCAGTGGAGACGAGAGCTGGAGAAGATGGTTCGGTCCAGGTATCGCTTCAACGTGTTCACCCTACATGGAGACACAAGAAAAGCCACCTGGGCTTCGTTGAAGGCCTACGATGTCGTTCTCACGACATATGGTCGACTTGCTTCAGAGCTCAAGAAAAAGTTGGCATGGGAGGACCGGTGGAAGTTGGTGCCCGACGCTCGCCCCTCCACCGCCGAAGACTGTCCTATCCTTGGTGAACGATCCCATTTCCATCGAGTGATTCTCGACGAGGCGCAAAATATCAAAAACAGAAACGCCAAGACTTCCCTGGCGGCTTCTCGCATCGAAGCTGACTACCGATGGGCTCTGTCTGGGACCCCCATGCAGAACAATGTCGAAGAGATGTTCAGCTTGATCAAATTTTGTCGCATCCGTCCTTACAATGATTGGCAACGATTTTCAAGAGACATTTCTTCGGGAATTAAATATGGTAGAGACAGAAGGGAGAAATCCATGGTGACACTTCAGGCGCTCCTTCGTGCAATCTTACTCCGCCGTACCAAACATTCCAAGATTCATGGCCAGCCAATCCTCCAACTTCCTCCGAAGACGATCAAAGAGGAAAGAGTGGTATTCCTTGATCAGGATGAGCTCACATTCTACAAGAGCCTCGAGTCACAAGCCCAAATCCAATTCAATAAATTCATCCAGAGAGGTGGCATCGGACGGAATTATTCCCACGCCCTCGTTCTGCTCCTTCGACTGCGGCAAGCCTGCTGCCACCCACATCTTGTTACCTCGAGCAAGGACTTCATCCAGGTTAATGGCCTGGACACCGATAAATGCTTGTTAAACGCGGCACAGCTTGACCAGCAAGCTGTCAAACGATTGAAACAACAGGACGTATTCGAATGCCCCATCTGTATGGATGTGGACGAAAATCCCTCTCTCTTTCCCTGTGGTCATACACTTTGCAGCGACTGTCTTAGTCGACTAGTCGATCAAGCGGCAAATGATGCCAATGGGTTTCCGTCGTGCCCTAATTGCCGAGCCAAGATCGACGCGGACAAGGTCACAGATATTGAAAGTTTTCTTCGTGTCCATTGCCCCGAGCGCGAAGGTGTCACGCCAGTGGGAAAAAATGAGGACGAATCCGACTCGGATTCTGACTCCGATGATGAGTCTGACAGTTTGGATGAGGGAGAGGATCTACAGGGCTTCATTGTACCCGATGATTGGGAGGAGCAATCAGAGCCAGAGTCGAAGAAGAAACGCGTCTCGAAATCCAAAGCACGAAAGAAGAAATCCAAATCACAAGATATGCCCAAACTCAAGTCATTGGCACAACTTCGAAAGGAGGGATTGAAGAACAAGTCGGCGAAACGTACATATCTCAGGCGATTGCGAAAGGCTTTCCAAACATCAGCCAAGATCAACAAAACTCTCAATTTGCTCGAAGGCATCCGAAATCGTGGGCAGAATGAGAAGAGCATCATCTTTTCCAACTTTACAACGTTCCTGGATTTGCTTGAAGTCCCTCTCTCTGAACACAAAGACTTCAGCAAGTACGTCCGATATGACGGATCAATGTCACCTGCTGATAGAAACGATGCCGTCCTCGAATTCACCGAGAACCCCAATTGCACTGTCATCCTTGTCAGTCTGAAAGCTGGTAATGCGGGCCTCAATTTGACTGCGGCAAACCATGTCATTATGCTCGATCCCTTCTGGAATCCATTTGTCGAGTATCAAGCGGCCGATCGTTGCCACAGAATTGGTCAACGTCGAGAGGTGACTGTTCACCGAGTTTTGATCGGTGAAGCAAATTCTGATGATCCAGGAACTGCTTCTGATACCAATAGCCCTGATCCCGACTCTAGAGGGTTCACGGTCGAAGATCGTATCCTGGCTCTTCAAGAGTCAAAGCGAAAGCTCGTTGAGCAAGCTCTCGATGAGTCAGCTGGTCGAGACGTCGCCCGACTTGGTGTCCGCGAGTTGGGTTACTTGTTCGGTCTCAATTCCTTATAACATCATGCGACCACCTGTTCAAAAGTGACGTGATGATTTCGAGCACATCAGACCCTCATGTTAACAGCTCTTCCAATGCAACATGCCAATCCTGACGCCCTTGGGACTTCACCTATATCAACCTTCCACATTATTAGTTTTCATGATGCCCAAAATTTGGTACACATCTGGCCCACGCCAACGCATTAACGAAAAGAGTTCAAATCAGGAGCTGGGGGCGCCCGGTCATTTCAGGATATTCCACTCTTGCTGGACTATGTAATAGACTCTCCTGTTCAACATAGATAAAGAATTGAGAGCTTAGGCTTGCTGATGAAAGACTGAGCAACAATATCTGACGTTACAGTGTTTCCCGAAACCGCCCTCCCCTTCGCAGACACATTGCAACTTTCTTTCTGTCCAAAGCCAAGACGAAGTGGATCGTACTTTGCCAACTTTGAGTATAATCACACCCTGTTTAATGGACGAATCATTTGTTTGAAGTTGCTTGATCGCCGTATTGCCAATACCGTACACCGATTCTTGTGACGGGTCAACCAAAAAGAGATGCTTGGCAGGCTCAGCTGACAAGCAATCCCACCATGCGAACCGCTTGCCCCTTGCTGTGTCAGCTCTGCCAATTTGATTCTTTGAAGAAAAATCCCTGACAATGCCGAAACGGCGCTCTGAGAGGACTTTCGCGGCTTGCTGGACATGTCGTCGCAGAAACGTGCGTTGTGACAAGACGGTTCCTTATTGCTTGGAATGCAAGCGGCTGCGACTCCGTTGCGAGGGTTACCACAATCGCCTTGTCTGGGTCGACTCTGGGACTGGGGAGTATAGCCCTCAACAACGACGAACATATCCATGCGATCAGACCTGGAAAGGGTATCCGTCATGGACATTGAAAGAGGTCAGCCACCTTATTGACGATTGCGATCGCAAACGATGCCGATGCAAACTGCACCGTGTTCAAAGCCCGTTCGGCGTATTTTTGTATAGGGATCAGATGCCGCAAGGCCTAGGGGAGGAGGGCCAAGTCGAACAGAGCACGCCCGAACCACCGCCGCGCACGGAAACACGTCAAGGCTTCGTCACCCCGACGGCATCTACAATCGACACGAATGACCGGAGTCTCGCAGCTGATAGAACTCCACCCTCCCTCGATGAATTTCCGCTCAGAAGTGTGGCGGATCAAGAGAACAGGAGTGATCTCGACTTCTCTCCGGCGACAAACTGGGCACTCGTCCGGACCGGCGACGTCGAACTCTCCTCAAGCCGGGACTTATCTAATATCCTCATGCTCACTGGATTGACACCGTCTCTATCTCTTACGTCGAGAAGGAATCGCGAAGAAAATGAATTGTTTCATCACTATGTTATTCATACTTCGGTGTTGATGATGCCAATTGATGACGGTCGCAACCCTTGGAAGTCCACTTATCCATCCATCGCAGTACGGGACCGGTCGTCGAGCAGTTCCCGCTCTCTGTACTATGCAATTATGGCGCAATCAACCCTCCATCTGGAGTATCTGCGGACGCCCAACCAATGCCAGAATGACCAAGCAAATGCCCTGCAGTATATGGACGTGGCGATCTGCGAACTGCGGAGAAGCCTAACAAATCCGGCGGAAGATTACAGCGCCGTGCTGGCAGCTCTTCTCACCATCACTCTAGTCGAGCATGTCTTCCTGGGGAAGTCCCAAGGCTGGCGACAACATCTGCAAGGTGCGAAGGGGTTTGTGATCCAGTACCTGCAGCAAAAGCCGTGGATGCTGTCTCACGATGCCTGGATCATCACGCAGAACTTTATACTGTCCATCATCATCGCCCAGACGGTCGGTGACTGTTCGATGACCTTAACCAGCCAATTATCCGAGCTTTTCGACGTTGTGAGCGACGTAACGACAAGGCCGAACTGTGGCTTCACAATCGGCGGGACTGCGGTCCTGCTCAGGGCCCTCTACAAGACTCGTCTCCTTGAGGAGCAAATGGCGGCCCTCGGGTACACACCCGATCCCCAGGGCTTGGATGCAGACCTGCGTCTACAGGTGCAAGATATCGTCCAGCAACTGCAGTGTCCGCTCAGTCACGAGGTTGAGGCGTACCTTGAGCAGTGCGAGCCCGATGACATGGCAGCGCAGCCCCGGGGACGGATGCTAGTGAAATTGCATCTCCATCTCTTCAATCGCGCCGTCATGATCTATCTTTTCCGCGTCGTCCTCAAGTACCCGCCATCGAGCGTGGCTTGGTATGTGTGGGAGGCCCTCACCGACATCCAGACTTTCATCGACATGCATGACGACGGCACGGCAGTGTCTATCTGGCCGGTCTTCATTGCGACTACCGAGGCGTGCACCCCTGAGGCACGGACTCTGGCAAACCATCTCCTGGGTTTCTACAAGGACCAGTGCGGAAATCGGAAAGATTTGCCCCGTGTTGTGAGAGAAATTTGGGAGTACCGCGACAAACTGGCTCTCGAACAACAATGTGACCCAGGCGGCGTGGTTGCAACATGGCGAGAGGCTTTGAGGAGGGCAGATGCTGATTTACTGCTTCTATGATTGCCCGAGGACTAGGTCTTGAGAAGCCATCTCTGCTCTCTTTCCGGAAGACGACCCACGTCGTGGGGCATTCATGGACTCGCTTAGTTATGGAGACCATTTCGCGGCGTCGTTGGCCTATCGTGCTGGACTTCCATTCTCAGAAACATTGAGGTGGGAAGAATCGGCACAGACTAGCGCAGAGACTCAGCCTCTAGAACTATCAACCTCGAACCCACCGGCCAAGAGGGCTGTATCGTTCGTTCCTCGGCGAATCGTCATGGAACTTCCCTTCCCATTCCCTGTCGACCGCTGGTGAACGAAACCTGATCCGGAGCACGGGGTAGAGGCTCCACCTGCTTACTGCACGGTGGCATGGCCAGATCTTGTCGTGGTTCTCGTGTGAAAGGTACGATAACTCCAGAGCTCTGCAGATATGCATCAGATCACAAATATTTAGACCCTCACATCCCCCAAGATAACATTATGTTCACTCTGCAAGGCAAGAGGTCTCTTTGGCTTGATCCCATTTCTGCGACACTGTCCATCCTCACACGGACTCTGGAATCTTGGAGACAATCGGCACGATGGGCCTTGACCAGAACACTTTCCGGGTCAACAGACCCATCAATCAGAATGCGGTCTGTGGATTGTACGTTTCAGAGACCTCACCCGTGCCCTTCTTCCCTTGGCCACTGACGTAGTTGAAACCGCAGGATCCTCTTCTGTCTCCCGGGCATCTACACGGCTCTGACAGGCCTCGGGGCTGGGGGAGGCAAGGCGTCATCGGGCACCGTGGCCAACCAGACCAATGCCATCCTCTACGGGCTGTTCGCTCTGTTCGCCTGCCTAGGTGGGACGATTGTGAACCTCCTACGACCCCGTCTTTCCATGTTTATCGGCAGTTTCGGATACCCACTATATGTAGGAGCCATGTGGTACTACGATCGCACGGGGCATCCTTGGTTCCCACTCTTCGCGGGGGCGGTGCTGGGCACTCTCTGTGGCATTCTCACCACTTGCTGTGGAATGATCGCCATCTCCTACTCTGAAGAGAAGGAAAAAGGACTCGTATGTTGTCCTCCTGCCGATTCCTGCCTGCGGAATGCTGACCCTCCATGTCCCACCATCAGTTCATTGCGATGCAGTGGGCAATTCGGGCTGTTGGAGCAACCACCGCCGCGGCCATCTCCTTGGGCATCAACATTGACAAGACGACCACGTCGGGAGTGGCGGATAGCGTGTACATTGCCTTTGTTGTTATCCAATGCAGCTCGCTCCTGCTCTCAGCGTTTTTGATCGTAGACACCCGCAAGGTCAAGCGCGACAACGGAACCCATCTGGCCATTGTCAAGCAACCAACTTTAATGCACGAGATCAAAGCCCTGGCAAGGTGCTTTGCGGACAAACGTTTGCTTCTCCTAGTCCCCGCTTCGCTAGGCTATGAGATGGCTTTGGCGTTGGTGAGCACCATCAATGGTCAGTCTTTCTTCTCTCCGCAATCACACGATACGAAGATCAGGATGCTGACAGCCCAACACCAGGATTCTACTTCAATCTCCGCACTCGCTCACTGAATAATTTCAGCTTCCAAGTGATTCAACTGCTGGGCCCGATCCTTATGATTCTGGGATTTGATGGTAAACACATCCAGAGCCGCAAGACCCGCGGGCTGCTCGGTGTGGCGATCACGGGCTCTATTGCCGTTGGCGCATGTACCGGCCTGTATGGCTGGTTGGACGTGGTCAACTGGTCCAGTCTCACCGAGGCTCCCAGAACCGACTGGAGCAATCAGCATTACGGAGGCTTCTTCGTCATCTATCTGCTTTACGGCTTGATCTATTCTTGCTTCCAGATGGCCGCGGAATGGATCATTGCCAGTTTGTCCAACGACCCCAGCGTCCTGGCGCAGTATGCGGGTTTCTTTCGCGGCCTCGCCAGTCTCGGTATGTGCCTCTCCTTCATCCTAGCAGCTCAGAAAGTGCCTCAGTACGGCCAGGTGACTTTTCAGTTGATGTAAGTGTCTTCACGTTTCTTCCGCGCTGCAAGGATCTTGGATCACCCGACCGTCAATTAACATGGGTGCTCTCTTAGCCTTTACATTCTCGGCATCATGGGGATGGTCTGTGTGCTGGTCTTCTACGTCACACAATCTAATTACTTTCGTGAGGATAATACCATCGCTCCTCATAACGTCGAGCAAGATGCCTTCGTGAGAGGGAAGTTGACGCAGGAGCAATTGGAGCAAGAATACCAGAAGGAGAAGATCGCGGCCGGCCAAGGCACCCGGCGAGACCACCGGCGAGGATACCATCGAGCACACTCGGGAAGTGAAGGCGTAAGGATTCTCCTGGATATGGCGATGCGGAAAATTAGATGTTTTGGAGATGGAGATCTCTGGGTGACAGGAGAGAAAGATGGCGAGGTAAAGGAGATGGCAGGAGTGCCAGGGAGCTGGATTATCTGACAGTCTTTACATTTAACATGTTGCAAGGCATCCAAGTCGAGTATTCGACGTTACATTGTACAATTGAGTGGGGTTGATCAGACTTGGAATGAACGGAAACAATACGAGGATCCCTTCAACCCACAAATCTTGAAGCATCTAGAGGGCCGCTTCGTAATCCTGAGCTTCCTCCCATACGTTGTGTCACCTATGTGTGATCCGTATTCGGTCCCTTTCGAACGAAATGGCAAAGGAAAATCATCTCTCTGTTGTTAGGCTTCTACTTTTTTATCTGCTTCATGCTCAGGCCTTTACTGTGTAAGGCATAGCATGGACGACGTGCCGGTGTCTGAATTGGGCATGCTTTAGCAAAGACACTAATTAAGTAAGTAGGTCTGAAAATGGAATCCTACAACGATAGGCCGTCCACGTATACATAGCCTTCTATATAGAGGATGGGCCGGTGGAGATGACCGACCGGCGACCTACCGATATCTCCTGTCAACGTCTAGAATTCAAAAAAGTCCATCAGCATTTCCGGACATTCTCTATCGGCTGTGTGATCGCATCGTCGTTGTACATACCATGGCGACTACGTGGCAAGAGACCGCGGTTGTAAGCAATCTCCTTGCTGCTGTCTGTTCCTCTCAAACGAAGCCTGCTGATGAACGCCGGACGATGTCTAGACATTCCAAGTTGCCCTCAAGTCCAAAATCCCGCCGGAATGGGTTCTTCCAGATATGCGGACCACAAGGCCACGCAATATCATGCCTATATTTAAGACTTGCGGTGTCCTGACGGATCGCGAGTTGGAGATCACCGAAGTTGAAGATGCCGTGACGCTTCTGGAGAAGCTCCATTCGAAGACATGGTCGTCTCTCGACGTGACGGTTGCTTTCTGCAAGCGCGCGGCTGTCGCGCAACAATTGATCAACTGCCTAATGGACATTGACTTTGAAAGGGGCATCCAACGCGCCAAGGAATTGGATGAGTATCTGGCTGCAACGGGAAAGTTGGCTGGACCGTTGCATGGGCTACCGGTGAGCTTAAAGGTATTAGTCGGCGCGTCTCTCTCTTCGTTCTCTCCGCCTTGGAAGGCAGTTGAATCCTGATCGCGGACGTATAGGACCTTACACATGTCAAAGGGCTGAAGTACACCCTGGGCATGGTGGCGCTTGCGAACCAGGTTTCTGATACCGATGCGATTGTGGTCCAAACTCTCCGTGAAGCGGGGGCTGTGGTGTACGTTAAAACAACAATGCCACAGACTGGAATGGTAATCCTCTATATCTGTGACCATCAAACGGGATCGGATCGCAGAGTTGACGTCTAGCCATATTGCAGGCCCTTGAAACCACCACCCATCTCTACGGCCGCACTCTGAACCCTTTCAACACCGACCTCGTTTCAGGCGGCTCATCGGGCGGTGAGGGAGCGTTGAACGGCTGTTTGGGCGCCCCCATAGGGGTTGCCACAGATATCGGAGGCTCGATTCGAGCCCCTGCATCGTTCAACGGGCTTTACGCCATCCGCCCCACGTCCCGTCGCTTCAGTTACCTAGGAAATGCCCCTTTTACAGGACAGACGGCCATTCTATCCAGCATTGGCCCGGTTGGTCGAAGTCTACGAGACATCGAGTTGATGCTCAAGGTATGGAATGCCTTTGAACCCTGGTTGTATGACCCGGTGGTCATGGCCAAAAAGTGGGAACATGTCCCTGTCCCAACCAAGGCCACCATCGGTGTTATGTTCTGGGACGAGGTCGTCATGCCGCACCCTCCCGTACAGAGGGCTCTGAAGACCGTGGTCGACAAATTGAAGCGCGCAGGACACGAGGGTATGTATCCCTCATGGAAGACCAAGACCGGCCGACACTGACATCCTGGCACCAGTGGTCGAGATCAAGCCATATACGCACAAGGAGGCTTGGGATTTGGCGGTAAGGCGGCGGCCCAATCAGGGCACTCACTTCCTTCTCCTTCGAAATTCGCACACGCAGTGTCCTGATTCATTCGCAGTTCAAGCAATACTATCCCACGGGAGGGAAAGAGATAAAAGCCCTGTTGGCCCAGTCAGGAGAAGAGCCCGTCCCCTCCGTGGCCAAATTTTTGGCTCGAGCCAGGGAGCTCAGTGTTGACGAGCTGACCCAATGTCACAAGTAAGGCATGAGATTTCTAACCCGGCTTCCACGACAGGGACCAACGACAATACCAGATCGAATATCTCGCTCACTGGAATGCCACCTCGAGCCAGACATCGACAGGGAAGCCGATCGATGCCCTGCTCACACCATCGATGGCGTCGGCGTCGTTTCCTCATGATTATTTACCGTGAGAATTCCCATGTTTCCCTTTCTTCTCATGTCGATCTATAGTTGATACGGATGTTCCTAACTCCTGACAGGTGGTGGGGCTATCTTGCACAGTGGAATCTGCTCGACTATCCTGCTTGCATCCTCCCCGTTGCGCATGTGCAAGCGAGCGACGTGAAAGACGCATCATACCAGCCGATCAACAAGCTCGACCAAGAAGCATACGATATTTACGACCCCTACCTCTTCGAGGGAGCCCCTGTATCACTTCAACTCGTAGGGAGGAGCATGTGCGAGGAAGAGTTACTGTCCGTGGCCATGGCTGTAGACCGCGCGGTCAAAGCGTAGGTGACGAAGAGGTGGACGGAGGCGTTATGCCACCAGATAAGCAGCAACACTGACTCGGACTCTAGTTAGTGACGTCCGAATCCGGCCATCTCGCGACCCGGAACAATCGTCGGGCTGAATGTCTGGGAAGTACATAATAGTATTAATTGTCTTGTCGCCTCGCCTCAAAGCCCGTCCGCGAGGTCTTCGGTTGACGCCGGAAAGCAGCCTTGCGTGAAAAGTTCAAAGCCAATAATGTCGGGCTTGCCAACATTCTACAGGCCAGCGTCGTGGTGGACTTCTGATTTGGGCAAGGGACCAATCTACCCTCTGAACTGGGGGATACACACCTGATGCTAATAGTTGTATCGTTATCGGGAGAAAAGGTAGCAAGGTGGACCGGATTAGCTATCTACATCTCACCAACTCCATCTCTAACGTACATGACCGAGTCAGCACATGTCATGCACCGTACAGGGACTTTGGTGGTACGACGAGTCTCGTCTGGAGCCCGGAGTGGACCAAAGACGCCGCTTCCAATCGTTATGGACTTCCAGACTCAGCAAGGTCCATGGATTGCAGTTATCCAATGAATTTGGTTAGTCGATCCGCCATCGGGTTGGACGAGAGCGAAATACATACAGAGCTGTCCCCGCCCAGCATTCGGTGTCCCATCAGACTTTTGTCTACTTCTCTTGTCCTTCCTGTAGACTGAGAACGAGTCGACGGCGAAGCGTATTTTGCGCAGGTACCTTGTCACTCGTGCGCACCGAGGGCGACGACGTCGCCGTCACCTTTGAACCATCAGCAACATGCCGGCACCAAAAGCCCCGGCGGTCGACGCGACAAGAGAGAAACGGTCTCTCGAGTCCATCCAGTCCGCTGCACACGCACGATACTGTGCCGCGAATCCTCTGTCCGCCAAAGCCCACAAGACGGCAAGCGCCAATCTCCCCGGAGGCAATACTCGCACGGTGTTGTTTTCCCAGCCGTTTCCTCTCGCCTTCCGATCAGGTGCCTGCAACATGCTCACCTCTCTGGATGGACGCTCTTATGTCGACTTCCTCGGCGAGTACAGCGCCGGCCTATTCGGACATTCACACCCGCGGATCCGCCAGGCCATCGCGGGTGCCCTTGACCGGGGCTGGAATTACGGGGCGGAGACGCTGCAAGAGAAGGAGCTGGGATCGAAACTCACCCACAGATTTGCCAGCGCAGGACTGGACTTGGTGCGGTTTACGAATTCGGGCACCGAGGCTAGCACCATGGCCATCGGCACCGCGATCGCCTGGACCGGGCGCAAGAAGATCCTGGTCTTCAGCAATGCATACCATGGCGGCACCGTCTTCTTCCCCATGGACATGTGCATCTGGACCCACTCCAAGTCGTCGAGCCCTCCGCCGTGGAAGTCGGCGGTCCTCCCGCATGAGTTCGTCCCGGCGCCGTTCAACAACATTGCCGAGACCCGGGCGATTGTCGATGCGCTTCCCGGCGACAGTTTGGCGGCGATCATGGTGGAGCCTGTTCAGGGGTCGGGTGGCTGCCGTCCAGCCTCGCGCGAGTTCCTCCGGTACCTGCGCGAGACCGCCGACAGACTGGGTGCCTTGCTGATTGTCGACGAGGTCATGACGTCCCGGCTGGGCCCGTCGGGCCTTCTGGCCACACTGGGGCTGAAGGCCGACCTGATGACCCTGGGCAAATGGATTGGCGGGGGCATGTCATTTGGGGCCTTTGGTGGCCGACGAGACGTGATGAACATGTACAATCCCGCGCTCGGGCCGAAGGAGGGACTTCTCCATCCAGGCACCTTCAACAACAATGTCTTTTCCATGTCGGCCGGCATCGTCGCTCTGGATGTTTTCAGCCCGGAAAAGGTCACAGAGCTCAACGCGCGCGGCGACCGCATGAAAGCCGCCATTACGCAGCGCCTTGTCGACGTGGGTCTCTATCCTGCCGAGCACGAAAACTATCTCCAAGACGTGCTCGAGATGGATAGTTTTCGTGGAGATGGCACGACGGAATTGTACACGGGCAACGAAAGCAGCGACGGCCGCCCGCTCCCCCTCCCGCTCCCCAGGGTCTTCATTGCCAGCCGTGGAAGCATGTTGAACCTCCGGTTCACCGGCCGCGATGCGTCGGTGTGGCACAATGTATACTATCACTTCATGTTGGAAAAGGGCATTTACCTTGCCAGTCGAGGATACACGCCTCTCAACCTCTGCGTGAGCGACGAGGACGTCGACACGTTTGTGGAAGCAGTTGAGGAATTTCTGGTCCTACACGTGCATGACTTGATAAGACTCAATTCGAACCTGTGGCAGGAAAAAGATTGTCAGTAGTCGGGGGGAGGAGAAAACGCTCTTTGAGATAGTATGACCCCAATACCAACTCCAAACGACATGGAACAAACAATGTGTAGGTAGGGAGATAGCGCTGAAGGTCCGTGTCCAAGTCCCTTGGGTTCTGAGTCTTCGCTCTAGCAGAATGAACAGAATGCAGAACCTACATTTCAGGACCTTGCCTTGTTTGGTGATCCTTAGGCTGTTGCAGTCGTTTGCGGCGGCGAGGTGGGATAGGCTTTTCGACAGGAGGCTGCTGTGCTGTGGTCGGTGGTAGAATCTGAGCACGTATGATCTGACCTGTACGAGCATTCGACTTTCGTCTCTTAGGTTTCGAGGTCCTGGATGAGGAATTCGGACTGAGGAGAGACTTGTGCAACTTGAATTGAATGAGTGCTCTGTTCTCCACCTGCTTGTTGCGCTCCAGTAAACCTCTCATACAACATTAACCGGAAGTAATGATCTAGCTATCGCCTAGATTCTTTCATACTGTAGTAGCATCCATTCAAGACGGAGCAAAGTGTCAATCCAACAGCTGAAAGTCAATTGGGAAGGTGTGGCCGGAACCGGTTGAAGACCTCCACATTGGCCCATATATTCATTGCCACTCGTCAACACATAACGTGCTGGAACGATCTGCTTATTTATTACCGGTGTGAAAAATGTGTTGAAGACTAGTGTGAAAGATGCCAAGGCGCTAGTAACTAGGAACAAAAGCGGCCTTCGACACGCCCTCACTTAGTTAGCTACCTATACAATTCCACTAGATATTTTACACTAACCTAATCTATGAACAATCGCGGCCGTTTTATAGACGCCGTCCTTGGCGTCTTGGCCAGAATCACACCAGAGTTCCTTTCCAAGACCCGTACGGTATCAGGATAAAATTCGCTCGTTTGTGATTCGTAGCTGGAGTATATAGCTTGACCTAGTTATTTCCTTAGCTTATTGTGGGAGAAAGTTGCAATGTGTCTAAGGGAGAAGCGGTTTCGGGATCGGCTGTGTACAAAACAGACTTGCTCCATGAAATGAAAATGCTTGGTCTTCCTCTTCTTTGCCCCCCCTCTTTTTTTTTTTCCCCTGCTTTGTACAATGCCCATTCATTCTTTGTTTACTGACACAGAGCAGCTCATCGTGTGGCCTATGCTATGGCAGCGAACGATGGCAATCGGACTGAGCCACCACTGAATGCCTTGTTACTTCAAGCGTTCCTTTGTTGAAATAATGGTGATTCTTTATTACAATGCTACATGCACTGCAATAGAGCCACGGTGATATATATAGAGTGTGTTGTCATCCAGTGGCAGCAGATGCAGTCTCCACTGGTCATCATTTCGTTCCTCCTTTTGTCATCATTGCCAACCTTAGGCCCCGCAGGATGTATCACCTAACCCTTTCCATTCTCCAACTCCGACCGAAAAAGCCCTCTTTAACCCATCAGCATCATGGGGGAACCTGCTCCAGCTTATTAAGGACGACAGACCCGTCGGGTGTAAGAATAATCATTCCTGGATCTCAATGAGAGCAAGTGAGACGGAACTCGAAAGATGAGACTTTGAACAAGACATAATTTTATACATTCAAATTCGAAATTTTTCATCATGCTGCTGTGGAACATGTGGTTCGTATATTTATTTCATCCCTGGTCTAGGGTCCAGGCTCTTGGCCAATGTACTCGGGCGCTTCCAGCTCTCCTCGCTCACCTTCAGCGCCAACAACCAAAACACGACTCAGCTCGGTCTCAATCTCCTTTTTCCTCCTCTCCCACTCGTCGACCATTGCCAGTTTCGCCTTCAACTCGCCGATCTCCTTATCCATGCCCGACTTCTCCTGCTCCGTACCGATGCGGACCATTTCCCAATCATATCCCTCCTCGCCGAGCCCCAAGATGAGGTTGAAGGTGTGATATTTCCTGAGACTAGCGCGAGTGGAGAGGGTGATAAGCGTGATACCTCGGTCCTTGCAGCGTTCGTACAGCAGGCCCTCGACGTCAGAGGAGACGGCGGAGGTGCCTTCGTCTAGGAAAGCGTATCGTGGCTCATGATACAGGAGTCGGGCGATGGCCATACGCTGCTTTTCTCCACCGGAGAGCACGTCTTTCCATTCCTTACGTGTATCCCATCCGCCTTCACGGGCGAGGAGGTGGCCTAACTTCGCTTCCTCGAGGATGCGTTCCAATTCGCTGTCTCGGCGTTGGTTTTCGCTCATGTCGATTTCCGTGTGTGGATAGATCACTTGGTCTCGTAGAGTGCCGATGCTGAGATAGGGCCGCTGAGGAAGGAACATTATTCCGTCCTGACCGTTGTTGCGCGGGCGAGAGACCAGGCCGCGGTAGACGGGCCAGAGTCCGGCGACGATGCGAGCAATGGCGGATTTGCCTACGCCGTTGCTGCCGGAGATGAGGAGGTGTTCGCCGCTGTGGACGACGAAGGAGAGAGATTCAATGAGTTCATCACCACCATAGGGGTACAGTGCTGGAGCCACAATTGGAACATCTTCGAGACGTACACCATCGAATCCGGCGTAAGTGGTTCCCTGGACGTCGGCGAGGGAATAGAGTTCTATACTGCCTGGACTTCGACGATGGGAGGGCGCGTAAGCATTCGCGTGCACGCGGTGCAGTGTCGATATCAGTTGATATACTCGTGAGGTGTAACCGGCCAGTTCAGAGAGGTCTTTGATACTGTACATCATACGCCCACCGGCATCGGCCAGTGAAAGCATGAGTCTCTTGTTTGTAATGAAGTCTTTCATATGTGATCGTTCCCTCGAAGATTCGGTGGTTCCTGCCCCTGCAGACCCAGAGGCTTCGAGAAGAGAGTCCAATCCAGCCCAGGCTGGGAGGTACACCGGGATGGAAGTGATAATGTATCCAAATGCGGACCAGGAGTATTTCAAGATGAAGTCTTCCAGCATATTGTACCGGACCTTCACGTTGTAAATTCCCTCCATCCAACTTCGAAGTTCCTTGAAAGATTTGTCCAAGTAAACTTTTTCGACATCCGCACCTCCATAGAACGCGACTTCCTCGGCATTGGCGATCAAGCGAGCGTGAAGGGCGCGAAATTCGCCTTCCTTTTTGCCTTCGACTGCTTTTAATTTTCCAAACGGCGGAGACAGCCTACGAAGGAGAGTGGCAGTTGCGAAGTAGTTGGACACCAGGCCGGTCAAGGCGAGGGGACCCAATGACCGATATAGCTGGTAATTGAAGACAAAAATGTCCACAAGTGGTTTTCCTAAAGAAGAATATAATGATGCTGCTGCTGTACAGAAGAGTGTGAGATCTTGAGTGATGAATTGGTCCGCGCCTGGACCGACTCCGCCGTCCAAATTGGTGAGCTTGTAATAGTTGAGATTCGAGTTCAAATACAAATCATGTATGTACCGTGTCAATCTGGTGCGGAAGGCGATGGAGATTTTGGATTGCAAGAATTTGATCATGGCGTTGGTGTACGAGGCCGATGTGCCTACGAATAACCAGCGAAGAATTCCGATCAGAAAGGATTTTCCTTGACCCGCGACCAAATCTCGCACGATGGCACCGTCTAGTCTCGCAACGACCAGGGATAGATATGTTCTCAGAATAAGAAAGACACCATGGCTGAGGAGGAGGGCAGTCTCTTTGCTCCGGAATCGCGGAATCATAATATTCAACAGACTGAGGAATTGGTGGAGGAAGGCCAGGTTGAGACCCGGCTTCGTCTGAGGAGGCGGTCCGTATGCGGGTGTAGATGCACCGTTTCCCATCCGAGTGGCTCGCAGAGGAGTCAAGAATAGTCGCCGATGCGCATCGAAAGTTGTCGGTCGCGTAGGATAGATGGTGACTTTGGAGGTCGTATTGCCCTTGGGAACATATATGATGCGCTCACCACCTTTGCCTCGAAGGCCGCTGTTCTTCCTAACCAATCTTTGTCCTTGAGCCTTCTCTTTCGATCTCTCTTGCCACCACCTGTAGCCTCCATAGCTGGTGGATATCATTGAAATGAGAAGAGCTGACGCGGCAGCAAGTTTCACCGATCGTGGAGTTCGGCGGATTTGAGATTTTAGGAGGCTGAGGTAGTGACGGTAGAGGACCATCAACGGGTCCTCCTTGGACTGAATCGCCATCTTTGAGAAAAGGAAGATGAAATTAATGGCGAGGGCGAATCGTTCATTAGGGAGATTGGTCCGAGGTCATGATATCGATGGCCGGTCTCTCAGACGAAGTTACTTCAAGTAGAGGGCAAACAGGATGTACACTGACGCAACCTCTAAGGACGATGCCGGGCCACACGTACGGAGTATGAAAGAAGGTAGGTTGTATGTATTTGGATGACGTCCGAGCGGGATGCGGCATCCTTTTGTTCCTGCAAAAAATGCATGTGAAAGAGTTGCCGAGGTCTTTGTAGTACGGTGGTTATCCGGTTTATACATTCATCAATTGCTGTCTATCGAGGTATCATGGTCTATATTTCATCTCAATTCATCACAAGTGGCCATTAAGCTTGCCCTTCTGTTCAGGTATCGGTGTCAACAATGAGCCTGTCTCTACTGCATTCTCCATATTGCGCAGCACCAACAGTTCCATCTCCCGTTGCGTTTCGTAGGTGTTGGTCCCAATATGGGGCACGATGAAGATTTTGTCGTTGGTTAAGAGGCCTTTCTCGACCTTGGGTTCTTCCTCGAATACATCGAGCCCTGCAGATGCCACTTTCCCCCTCTCCAGCGCTGCAACCAGATCTTTTTCGTTGATCAGGGCGCCTCGAGCCGTGTTGACAATAACCACCCCCTCTTTCATCTTTGCGAACTCTGGAGCCGAAATGATGTGACGGGTTTCGGCATTGAGGGAGAGGTTCAAACTCAGAATGTCCGACTGTGCCAGCAATTCATCAAAGGTGAGATAAGTCGCGTTGCCTTCGAGTTCTTTGGGCAGTCGAGATCTGTTGTGATAGGCAATCTTCATCCCAAATGCTCGTGCCCGCTGGGCCATGGCCTGTTCCGGGTCAGTCGGTCGGGTCCCACAGGCCGCGAATTGCGAACTTACTCTACCAATGCCACCCATACCCAGGATACCCAGTACTTTGCCCTTCGGATCATGTCCTATGGGTGTCTTCCCTCTCCATCGTCCTTCTCGGATGGCTGTCAAAGGTATCCAGGCTTGTCTAAGAGCACCCAACATCAAGAAAATACCAATATCTGCGGTGGCATCGTCGACGGCGACCGGCGTACTGGAGACTTTCAATCCTTTCTGAGTGCAGGCCTCCACATCAATGTTGTCGTATCCCGCGCCGTTGTGGCAGATGTACTTGAGAGATTTTGGCAAGGCGGACACTAATTCTTGGTCGAAGGGCCCTGTCTCTGAGGTCGATTGATTGGAACGGTAGAGAGCAACCACATCATTGTATTCACCATTCTTGCAATTGGAGAGAAATCGATCGCGGGTTCCCTGCCGGAATTCTTTCAGAATGTATTTGGAGCCATACTCTTGCCATTCTTTATTTGAGTGTGTCAAGCCGCCGATGAGAAGGACCGCGGGTTTCGTCATGACGTTTAGAAGGGTGTAACAGGGCTGTGTAGGTGCTGAGGGATTTCTCTAACGCTCGGTATTCAGATTCGGGGAGATCTATTGCAGCGACTGGGTTCTAAATAGAATGATGCAAAGAAGAAGGGAGGGTGAAATAAAAAGAAGCCAGGCACCAGAAACAGTTCACTCGCATAAAGATTGCTTCACTTTATTTTCGGCGCAAGGAGGGATCTTGCAAAAGATATTTCTCTATTCAATCACTCGGTGCCATCCCTGTCTACCCCGGTGTCGCCAAATGGCACTCGCAATACCGGTTTCGGTGGCGTGGTCGGCGTTTGAAAAGGGAGAAAATGAGTTTGATTGAACCCCTCGATGCACTATTCCCCGCGCGGCACTTCTGCTTTTAAGACTACTTGGAAGTCAATTGCCGCCTCTCGCCCTCGATTCTTCATTGTCATGCTTCTTCAAAACCCCCACTCTGACTTTAACCGGGGCGTATTTGCTGTTCGATCCCCCCCCCCCCCCCCCCCCCCCCCCTTTTTTTTTTTTTTTTTTCCTTTTCCCCCCCCCCCCCCCCCCCCCACACACAGAGTCCGACATGGGCTCAAGGTTTAACGGCAACTGGCTGCTCCTCTTCGCCGAAGATTACTTGAATGGAAGCCTAGGTGGAGACAACTTCTCGGATGGGAAACATTCATCCCCCAAGATTCGGAGAAAATCCCGCGTTGAAGGGTCCTTGGTATCGGCGACATTGACATTCACCCAGTCTCAAAATCCAATGCCAACATCTAATTCTTCGCTTATCGTCTCGTGGTTGATATCCAAACGTATACAAGGAAAAATAAAAAGTAAAAATCAGAGTTCACAAGAGCAAGATATCCAATCATCCGGGAAATGGCTCCTACAGATAGCGTACAAGCGCTCGTGCTCCACGGTGCGAAAGATTTGAGGTTGGTCAGTGAACAAAACATCCTGCAACAAGCCGTTCCGGGGAATACAATATTGATGATGCTCATCCCCCACAGGAAACCAGACCACAGCCTCCTCTTCGCCCAGGGGAAGTCCAAATAGCAGTCAAAGCCACTGGGCTTTGCGGCTCTGACTTACATTATTATCATCATGGTCGAAATGGCAACTTTGTCATTCAAGCACCTCTGGTTCTAGGCCACGAAGCATCGGGAATTATCACAGCGGTTCCAGAGGCGCCAAACGGAGTCACCGCCGGAACAGTCCCTTCGTCAAGTCTCCAGGTTGGGGACCGAGTAGCCATGGAAGTAGGATTCCCTTGTCGATCATGCTCTCTGTGTACCAGTGGTCGATACAACCTATGTTCCAAAATGTCGTTTAGATCATCAGCCAAAACCTTCCCTCACGCTGACGGGACTTTGCAAACCGTAATATCACAACCAGCCAGCATGTGTTACAAACTGCCAGAAAATGTCACTTTTGAACAGGGTGCCCTCGTCGAGCCTTTGGCCGTCTCCCTGCATGGCATTAACCGAAGCCAAACGGCGGGTTCCGGGTGCGGAGTCCCTCTGACCGGTTCAACCGCCTTGGTTTTGGGGGCTGGTGCCGTTGGAATATTGACTGCTGCCTCTCTGTCGGTGGCTGGAGTGTCCGAGATTGTCATTGCCGATATCGATGCTCCGAGATTGAAGATTGCGGCAGACCTCGGCGGTGCAAAATACAAACTGAAAACATACCTTCTGCCCCGAAGAGCACCGGCTCCGACCATCGACGAGACGTTGGCTGGCACCCAGGAACTCGCTGCAGAAGTGTGCAAATCTGCCGGCTTGGAATCTGGGTTTGATCGAGTGTTCGAGTGCACCGGTGTACAGTCTTGCGTCCAGTTAGGCATCTTTGCAGCGACAGCAGGAGGTAAGTTGGTCCTGGTTGGAATGGGAACACCGACGCAAACTTTGCCATTGGGAGCTGCGGCACTTCGGGAAGTGGATATCATTGGTGTTTTCCGATATGCGAACTGTTATCCTGCCGCCATCGCGCTGTTTGCTAGTGGCAAGTTGGACGGGGTCGCGGAGGATCTCGTCACTCATCGGGTTGCTCTCGTAGATGGGGAGAAGGCATTCAGATTGGCTGCCAATCAAGCCAGAGAGGGAGAAGACGAGGGGAGAGTACCTGTGAAGGTGGTCGTCACATCGTGATCATATATAATCATGCTTGTTCGATGTTGGAGGTATTTGGAAATGCTTAACACTGGAGTACGGGGTCAACAGCACATATTGGGATCCCGATGAATTAAAATGGAGTCTTCCTCGAGGCTGAAACTTGAGAGATGCAGAGTTGCATCCGTGAGGCTGACAAGGCTGTTTGCTCCATACTTCGTACTTGGCCTTCCAGGCCCTCCACCCAAGCGCGTCGCGTACCGAACGCGTAAACTTCGTGTGCAGCCTGACTAAAAATATGGGCGAGTGTGTACAGAAATGGATGAAAATGTACACCGCAAGTAAAATGAGCCCCTATGCCTCTGAAAGCGAGCCTCAGCATAGAATACTTGGAGTCATCACAGGATGGTAACTCATTTGATCTTGACGTCTATGGCCTCGCTTGTGCACGTCACCACCTTTTCAATGGATGCAGACTTTTGATCCAAATTTGCGCAAAGTCTTGTAGCGATTCCCTTCGTCAGCGGCCATAGCCCTAATAAGTTTGGTGTGGGACTTGGTCAGGCCCATGAGGATTCTAGGCTGTTCGAAGAACGTCTAAATCGGTGTGAGTGGAAAAGAAAGAGCTCTGTAGCTGAGAGCCAAGTTCCTCACCACGAAGTTTGAGATCCAGTGGCCAAACACACCCACCGCATTAGCTCTGTTGCGTACTCGAAGAGGCTGTATCTCAGCACTGTAGCTCCAACTGCAGGACAGGAGTCACCAAAACAATCAGCTGCTTGTTATTTACGAAGATACAAGTAGCTGGGCTGAACTTATCTATTCCAGGGAAGGCATTACTCGCTTTCTTCTGCCATTGCAACCCACCCTTGACAGAGGAGGCTGACCTGGGTGGTGGTGAAAAAGCAAGATTGATGATTCCACACCCTTGTAGGCTTAGAAAGCCTATGGGGAACAGCCGCCACTCGGTTCCCGACCTCTTCTTCTTATCGTCCTTTTGGTCCTAACAGCGCCGCAACTTTTTCTACCCAAAGATAGCCTTTGAGAGCAGATCGTTCTCGTTGACCTATTGGCACTCATCTTCAAGACTGTTTCTCATGTGTTGACCGTCACACTACCAGTGGGTCAGCGTGTTGCCGTGTGTGAGAATGGGCCTCCTACTTATACTTCCTTGTTCATTCCCATTGTCCTGTGTGTCTTTCTTGTCCTTCCGGCCGTTTTCCGGTTCTGGTCGAATCTGTTGGTCATCTTTACAAACTCATGAATGCTCTTGACTACTTTTATTTCTCTCTGGGCCCGTCCACCTGTTTATCCTGATGGTCTTTTTGGTCGGACCATGCTCCTAGCCAGTATGCAAGATCACCCCATCGTGGTTATGTGGTTATCTTCAGCGCATCTCGAAGGCGTAGGACTGAGGGAGGATTGATTGAATGAATCTATCTGAGCGAGGCGCAGGCGACAAAAAGCTACGAAGGCTGCGGTGACCAGGCTAAACCAAGAGAAGGTTCTTCCATTGTGGGCGTTGAAAGAGAAAATGTTGCACTGTCTCGGGCTCACGGTCGCCGTGCGCACACATCTGATTCCACGGCGTTGATGTGAGCCAGATATGAGTTGAGGCAACACTCGCCGGTTCGCAATTGGGCGAGATGACCGGCGATCGTCCTCGCGTGTGAACACCGGGGATTGCTCGGTCGATATGGTGCTGGAAGTGCTGCCGTTGGACGGCAGTCGTAGGCTGTTTGGCCTTCTCGATCTGTGCTTTGGCTTCCTGTCGTACGGCCGTCGCCAACCGGGGAAGATGAATGACGGAGCGATATCATCTGTTTTTGTCGCTTCTCGTACTTGGTCATGGGCTGTTTCGTTCAAAGGTACCTCTGTACGTGCGGGCGCTCAGCAAAAAACGATCTCTACGCCTTCTCGTTCTCTGACGCAGTGAGCACTTGTCCAGATAGCGCATAGCAGAGACTGGCTGCTCTGTCGTTGGATGTTCTTCACTGACTTGAGAGCGGATTGGCTGTGCCAGAAGATGGCAAAGGTCTTTGACCTTGTTCCAGGGCCAACAACGTGGCGGTGTGCGATGGCCACAACGTAATAAATGGCAAAAGTGTCTGCAAAATAGACACTGAGATTGTCTTGTTTGCTAATGGTCTCACGGAGTGTAACATCGCGATGTGCCACGCCAATGCCGGCTCGGTTACTCCGTGCAGAGCCATCGGTAAAGAAAGTTTCCACTCGAACGTCACTACTATCCCTCTCGGCTTGTGTGATGGCCTGTTCACGATTCTCGCCGATATGAACCGCCAGCCGGTCGCTCCATGGTGCTACTGTGTGCGACTCGATAGTTTCGAGTCTAGATAGGTCGATGGTGCGGGAATGCTGTACGTACCGCTGCAGAGGCGAAATCAGACGTTTGTTGCGTAGATCGATGCGTTGTCTACATTTCCAGAAAGGGATGCTATTCTGGCAGTATGTGCCATTTAATCCATGCCCGAAGTGATTGTCGGTACCATCTTAACGCCAGCAACTCAATGTCCGCTTCTGCTTATACAATAGTCAGAGCTACTGTGCGATATGTTTCCGCAATATCCGGTTCCGCTCTCCGGTGAATTAGTTCGAGCAGTTTCATCATTCTGCCTTCCCAAACGAATGAAGCATAGCCGATGATCGACGCTATCGTCACCGTAAAGGGGTCGTCAAGCGGTGCATGGGTCGCAGTGCTCGTAGTTGTTTCAACGCCATAACCGCCCTTAGGCCTCGCTTGGTGATGCGTGCATAGTGTTTGTTGAGAAGAGCGCAATTGGCGGGCCATGATCACGCCCCAAGATTTTGGCAGACTCTTGTGGTGGCACTTGTTCGCCTCCTACGAGAACTGGACGATCACTCCAACAACTAGGGGCTCGAGTAAAGTGGATGAAGATGGTCTCGCTTATACTGACAGACCACCTCGGACGTTTAAGGTGGCCGGAGTTGTGCCACTGCGCAAACCCCCTTTTCTTCAACGCCGATCTGGTATTACAAAGTGTGATCAATGGAAAATGGGGGCTCGATAGCATTTGTGGATGGTTACCCTGCATGGGTTGTGGGGCAGGCCCCCCCCCCAAAAAAAGGTTGTAAGCTTCAAGCGAGAAGTCGAAAAATGGCAAAGCCATTTTTTTTTTCACCACCGACCACGCTGCTTGGTGAACAGCTTGCTCCACTTCGGTCATGGTCAGGGCGATGTCGGGAAGCTGACCATCCGTACCTGGGCTCGGCGTGAGAGGTGTGTCTACCAGCCCCGTGGGAGGAATGTCTCCATTGATGTATGTACAATTTCTTCGTCCCCTTCAACGATGCTCTTCAACTGCAATCATCACTCATTGTAGTCGCGTACTTGTCCTCTTTCATTGCCAACATGGCAACTCGCAAAATCCTCGTAAGTAGTGCGACAGGCAAGCAAGAGAGCGCGGTTATCAAAAGCCTACTTGCGAATCCACCTTCCTTCGACTTCGACGTGCTCACCCTTACACTCAAGGCCGCCTCATCAGTTGCCAAATCCCTTGCCACCAACTCGAAAGTCAGCCTGATCGAGGCGATCTTGGTGATTGTGCGAACATGAATGTGTCAGGTCAGTATGGGGTGTGTTCTGTGTCACGGTTCCCTCGATGAAGAAGCACTTTGAGAATCCGGAGACAAAGCAGGGAATGGATCTAGTTGACGCCGTCATTACGAATGGTGTGAGATATTTAGCCTTTACCTTCGTTCGATCGAGGTGGTCTAGAGTAGTCCGAGGTGGTGCTCACGTGACATGTTCTAGGCCTAGTTGGGACTAGCCCGCTAGAGCGTTCGTCGACTACTTCTTCTACCCACACAACCCTCAGAAGAACAAGACACGGCTAGACCACAACGACTACTTCAGTCAACCTTTGCCATTGCGGTATTCCCTTCTTCCTTCTCTTCCCTCTCCTGTCCCAGATATGACATGGACGCCACGAACGCTCTTCATTTCATAAGCAAGGATATCGTTTAGGACAACGAGAACATATGTAGTGTCTAACCTACTATAGTACTGTAGCGGGGTACTATGTGCATAGATTATGTAAGGAGAAAACAGACAGGGGCGGGCAGAGAGTCGGGGAGTGCATCGCGAGTCTTTCTTAGTTGGTTTCACGGGAGATACGCAAGGAAGATAGAAAAAAAATGAAGTAAGTAGAACTTCGTGTGTGTGGTTGCTCAATGATCCTGGCACCGACATCCTCCCTACATGAGAAGTACTCAGGTGCTAAACCATTCATCACCTCTACAGTACAACGTTGAAAAGCATCTCAAAGAAAAGGCCAGCAACACAGATATGACTTAGACCATCTTACGACCATAGCTTTCATAGAGAACCTTACTCCGGCGACAAGCCGTTCTAACTGGTCGCCACCGAAGACCTTGAGAGGTGTATACCGCCAAGATGGGCAAGCACGCAAATAATGCTATCAATCTGGCTGGCGACGAACTCACCGAAGCCCAAGCCAACAAAGTCTTTTGGATTGCGAAGTCTTGGGCCGTCCCACATCTCAAGGCCGCTGGGTTTACGCCGGTCCTCCGAAGATGTTGATTTCCAAAGGGTAAACTATGTTCAAATGGTTCGTTTAATCATGGATATGGAGCCAACTTGACTCAATGCCGGCTGATGAGCAAAAATATGCTGGATTCGGGGACTGGCTCAGGGAGGAAAGTGGTTTCAAGCTTTGAAATTGGGGGGTAAGTGGAAGTTAATTCATGATGGTGATGCTACAATGGACTACGACAACGTTCCACAATTTTTCATTGTCGCGGAATTGGGAAATGGGACCCTCATCTCGAGCATTCATGTACAGTCTTAGCATGGAGCATGGAGTCCAACTGTTGGCCATGGGCCCCGTCGTTAATAAGTTGAGCAATTCGAGATGGATCTGGGCACGGATACGTATGTAGTTACAATCAACCTTGGCGTGTACCTTCTAATCTGCCCTTTCGTAGCATCAGCTGAGCTGACGACTACGTCACTCCGACGAACTCCCGTACTCCGATCTAGCCAGGAAGTGATTGGCGAGGTGCGGAGACGACAACACAAGGTTGATAGCCTAAGCGATGTCGTGCGAACAGAATTTCTTGGTACTCGTCTCACCAAAGTTGATGGCCAGACCCATAGGCGCGAAGAATATTATGGGACAGGGGTTCCCATCCAGAGCTCTCAGCGTATCCATAGTATGGTTTTTGCTATTGTTGTACCATGGAAATGCTTCCAGACTGTTGCACATAGAAACAGATGTTTCCATCCAAAGGGATTGGTAGAGAAGCGCAGGTCCAGCCGGCGACAAAAAGGGCTGCTGTACCAATGCAAGACACAGGTAGCGGAGCCTTGGAGGCCATGATTGGCTAAGAATGCAGCGCTAGTACTCTTTAGCATGGCACTAGGACTGATTTGAAACACACACTAATGTTTGAAGTGACCACTTCCTCGAACCTCTCCCCTTCCCCCTCCCCCTATTCCGAACTCTCTTTCCCACTGATAGCTATCCATCACACGACCTCTCTCACAAAGAGATGAAAGGGGTCAGAAGGAGCCTCTACTCATGCCAGCAGCCTGTCAGGCCGTCTACCAGACTCCTCTGGCAGAAAATCAGCCAAGAGTTACTTCCAAATGGGCACCTGCGCCATCACCTACTTCATCACAATACTACACTAGCATCAAGAATAATGCTATACTGACAACCGAGAATATCAGGATATCGTCTCCACAGTCAGATCGGTATCGGTTTATTCGCAGATCGACAAAAAATATCCCGCACCAACCAAGTCCACATCCGCCACCCCAGCACGCCACGCAAAGGTCCAGGCTCTGAAACGCCAGCCACTTCAGGTACAGATCCCTAACACTGCATGATGCTATCCACTCTGAGCAAGCATTGGCTACGCTTTGCCATACTCTATCTAAGGCTTGTCCACCTTCCCACACCTTCCTCGAGCATTGCTATCCTGTAGGTGGGCAATGTCGCCGTTCATCCCGCAACTCCCTATCCTGGCCAGGGGTCCGATGGCATGGATCAAGCCTTGACCTTTCAAACGATTCCATCGTCTCCTTGCGCTTAGATGCCGATCGAAATTCCCGTATCCGTTGCTCCACTGTCCATCTGGTGGATAACAAGTCTTGACTTTGTGAACGACTGACTGCCTTACGGCCTGTTCCACCACCCCGGCGTCCGCCCTCCTCCACAAGTAAAGTCTCGCTTATCGTCCTACCATTCTTTCCATTGTTCTCTCCACCAACACAGCACAATGCTTGCCAAAGCATTGTCTATTTCTTCGTTCTAAATTGTCGATGCCTACTCTGTCACTCCTTTGAACATCACCTCTTTGTTTGTTCTTTCACTCCTTTGCGACGGCCGTGCCGATTATTTTTCTGCAATCTTTTTGAGCCTCGACATTTCGGGCAACCAATCCTTTCCAACAATATCATACTCGACGAGTATATTCGATCCTTTAACCATCAGAATTCACCATTCCTTCTCCAAAACCCCCCTCCGTTTTTATAAGCCCAAATCTCTGGTTCCTGGTCGAACCGAATACTACACTTCGCCGGCCGAAATCACTGATTATCTTCTCCTACGCCGAACTCTTCTTATCCTCGACAACCACCTCCATGATCCTCAGCAAACCTGTACTGTGTAGCACCCTTTTGGGGTTGCTGGCCACAGCTCCTGGGACATCGGCTCATACCTGGATCGAACAGTTGATGGTTCTTGCTCCGAATGGTACTATGGTCGGTGAACCAGGCTTCGCCCGGGGCAATGTCTTGCGTGGCACTTCTGGTTTCAGTGACCCAGCCATGGTCAACCTGATTCCACCGGACGGTCGAACAATCAATGACATCCAACCAGCCGACCTGATGTGCAAATCTACCCAAACTTCTCAAACTCAAACCGATGGTAGCCCCAGACTGCAGGCAGCTCCTGGCTCCGCCGTTGCTTTGAGATTTCAAGAGAATGGTCACGTTACTCTTCCCGACAACCAACCCGGCAAACCTCCAAATCGAGGAACCGTCTTCGTCTATGGTACCACTCAGCCAAGTCCGGATGATTCTTTCCTTGCCATTCATCGTGTGTGGAATGCGGATGGTACCGGTGGTGATGGACGTGGTGTTCTTCTATCCACTCGAGACTTTGATGATGGTCAATGTTATCAAGTCAATGGTGGTCAAATCTCTCAGCAACGTCAGCAACAATTCCCACATACACCCAACAGTCTGATGGGTGCCGATCTTTGGTGCCAGCAAGACATCGAGATTCCGTCCGATGCTCCGACTGGCCAGCCTTACACGCTCTACTGGGTGTGGGATTGGCCAACTCTACCGGGGACGGCCGGTTTCCCCGATGGCAAGCAGGAAATCTACACCACGTGCATGGACATCGACATTGTAGACGATACCGGTGTGGATCCTGTTTCCAAGGTCCAAGCCAGCTATGCTCAAGGTCAACCTCTTGAAAATGCTGGTATTGCCGAGCAATTGGCAGATATCGCCAATCCCACTGCCGTCACAGGTCAGACTATTCCATTTGCCCGAGGCTCCACTTCATTTTCTTCTCGGTCTGTACCGGCGACTGCCTCTCAATCGCTAACATCTTCTCCTACAGGTTCCACCATCGGATTCTCAGCATCGGCCACAGGTCCCGTTCCGGGAGGTGCCAGCGAAGCTAGCGTCGCCGCTGCTACCGAATCCCAGACCGGTGTCCCTGGCTTCTTGAGTGTGCATACCGGCTCTACTGCTGGTCCTGGTCTTGAAACTCAATCGTTTACCGTCATTCCCATCAGCGTGACCGCCACCGATGGCGCACAGCAACCTCAACAGACTGATGGCTTTGCTCAAGACGGTAGGGGTAGTAATGGTCGTGGCGATGACAGCGACGGTACGGCCACCATCGAAATTGATTCGTCTTCCCCTTCTTCTATTTCTGTTGTGCCTTTACTGATCGATTTCGATGATGATGATACAGGTGCTCAAGTCACTCCCGCAGCAAACGCCAATGCTGTCGTTGCCACGTTCACTGAGTATGAATCTGTCACCGAGACACTTTATCAGACTGTGTACAACATAGTCTACACCAAGCGTGACGGTATACCTCCCTTTCCCATGTCTCAACGATTCACCTGGTGCTTCCCCTACTGGTGGCTATCAAAGTGGTCATGCAGCCCCGACAGATAGGGTGCGTTTCCAGGGCTGGCACCCCCGAAACAAGACTCATGGCCCCGACGATTATTCCGGCCATGGAGGTCCTCGAGAAGGTGGTGATGGAAGCTACCGGTGACGATATCGTGGTAGTTTCTCGCACACTAACTCGTCGAACTATCCCAAGCCATCGTCCTCTGCCATGATTGTGTCGGGCACTGACGTCCTTGGATACAAACCGGGCCCCGCCCAGACATCGACTTACTCAGCCATGCCCTTCCCACCTCTCCCCGTTGATTCTGCATCGGCCTCCGAATCTGTCCCTGCCTCTGCATATCTCTCCTCTTCTCAATCTTCCATCCCCACTCAATTCTCTGAACCTGCAACGCTGATTGTTATCCCCATCTCAGCATCTGCCCCTGCGCCTACACCCGCGCCTGTCATCAATCCTCGCGCCCCAACCCCAGCTCTCGCCGCCGACGATGTCCACTGCTCAACCGCTCATTCCGTCTTCCGCTTACGTGCACGCAACCCCTTCGCCTGGCTGGGCAGGAGATCAAGCGAGACACCAGAGGCCATGCAGTCTTCATAATCAATTCACGCTTCGCGCGTTGACGGTGGAACCTAATTCCTTGGACACGCAATGCTGGAAAGCGGGAGTACCGAGAAATGAGGAAGGGAGAGACAAAGGAGAGAAAGAAGCAGACGATGGTGGCGTTGATTGAAGATGAAGGCGAACAAAAACATTACGAATGGGTGCCATGGCGATATTCTACGATGTGGGTCGGAGATAATGCGATGGCAAACAGTGGGTAGGTGGATGGAATCATATTAGGGAAAAATCAGGTGTTGGAAAATTGAAAAGCATACATTGATCGACAGTGATAGTGATAAGCATATGAGACCAGACATATGAGAATCACGAGTCCAAAATCACAAATCACATTCAACTAGGAATCCTTCATGCTTCTTGAAATTATGAACATATGCATCGTAGATTAGCCAGCAGAATCGAAGCGGATGAGTTTCGAGGCTCTTGATCCACTGTTTGACATCGGGATTCTTTGCGGTCGGGAGAAATTGAAAGTCAGAGCACCAATTCCTGATTAGTTATTAATAGTGTTGCCTAATGCTAAGGCATACCCAGCCCAATCCTGTTTGTACCGAGAACACCAGTTGATAGGAGACATTCATTTCCCATTAGAACGCGACATAATTACTTCAAGCTCAAACCAAGAATCGCCAAGATAGAGAGTAATCCGAAACCGGAGTCTATGCGAGCCACATCCCTCAGCTGTAGCCGCAGTATACTTTTCGCCGAACCACTGATGGTGGTATGTTGCAAAATCGTACGTACACGTGGCTCGCGTAGGAGTTCGTTTTCATTCAAGAAGCTTTGATGGGTTTCGTGTATTCGAGCTGCGTGCCCCAGATATAATCCCAGAACTTAGAAGTCACACCAAATCTATAAAGCAATTGGTCAAATATTGTTACTCCTGACACCAAGAATTCACGGGCGGGGAAAGGAGATGGTACTCACCCTAGTTCAAAATTCTGATAGTGATGGGCTAAATGATACTTCTTTAACTCTTGTACATAACTGGGCAATTGGTGATGATGCAACCAATAGTGTGTGCAGTCATAGCAGATGTAGCCGAAGACCCCGCCGGAGAAGACAGTTACGGCAGCATACCAATTATACCAGAACACGGCGTGTGCGAGCTTGTAAAACGGTGTGGCGAGGATGAGGAATAATGCCGGTGGCATGACTAGTCGATATCGGTCCATAGGGAGATAGTGGTGGATGCCATGGAGAATAAAATGGAGTGTCAACGCCACCGGGTGATCGGGCATAAGTTTGTCGACATGGAACAGGAAGCGGTGCATCAGATATTCAACCAGCGTCCAGAGGAAGAGACCGAGACTCCAATATGCCACGCCTTCAAAGGGAGAGGGTAGGTTGGTGATTCCCAGGAACGAACCATAAATGACCGGTGGAAGCCAGAGAGTGGGCACCACATACCACGCCGTCTTGCTTAGTGGTTCAAGGAAATTTCCAAAGAGCGGTGCGGAAGCACCTCCTCGATAATGTCGCGGTCGATGGACTTGTTTGAGGTAAAATTCTTTCGAAAATTTGCTGAAGAGCATTTGCGGGAACAGCGGCTTGTTGAGATCCAGGAACTTGTGCGTCTTCCAATCTTGGTCCAAGTCCGTCTCTTTCGAAAGATCCTCGGCGGAAGACATACCCGTTGAAGCAAAAACGGTTCGAGAAGAAAGTTCGTCCGTCTGTATTCCTGGGACTTTCAATGGTTCCTTGCCCTCTGCTGTCGCAGACAATGGTACCACTTGATCAGGATGTGAAGAGTTAACTGCGGTTTTCAGGGCAGGGTCGTCAGCGACGAACCCAACGAGGCTCTCTTCGAGGATTTCGTAGGCAGCTTCGGAATGGAAATGTGAGACCGCATCTTCCATAATGGCTTGGACATCCTTGCCGGCGTAATCGAGGATCAAACCACTACCACCCGGATGGTCTTCCACGAAGTCGGTGACATCGAAAACACGCTCGCCAATGGTCACATAACACGACGTTTTATTATTGTGCGTCTCGACCTCGGAGCGAAGAATTGTAGGGAGTGTCCGGCCAGGCATGTTCGCGGTCGAGTCAGATGAAGGAGGGCTGGAGGGTTGGATGGAACGAGCAAGGAGGGAGCACAGGCGGCAACAATTGGCGCTGGCTGGCTTAAAGGAAGGACTGAGAAAAGAGAATAAGGAGAACCAAAAAGAATCGCGTAAAGGAGGTGTGGACACAAGGTATTGTTTTAATCTTGGGAGTTGTCATGCAACTTCTTTGCTCGTGGCGTGTTTCCAGATGCTGGTTGACCTCGTTTTCTCTCCTTCATTTCCCATCTTGCCTTTCGCTTCCGCTTCCGCAGTCACCTGACATGATCCGGGTAAGACTGATTCAGGCAGGCAGGACTACGGTGAGGCTGAGAGGCCCTAAACGCAGAGGCTCGCGCATACAAAACCACCGGTCCATAACCATCCATCTTCAGTCTCCCTCATCGCCATCATGAAGCGGAAAAGGCCAACTCCAAAGACACCGGATGCGGCTCAAACCCAAATGCGTGACAGATCTGGATCTTGTCCAGATGAGCATGAAGACATCCACGAAGATGACCTCTGCGCCATCTGTCAACTTCTCCTCTATCGACCTGTCCGCACTCGATGCAATCACATTCTCTGTGAATCTTGCATGGCCCACTGGGCCGATGTGTCTATCACTACTCAAATGACCACTGTCGGGATTGATGATGAGGCCGTCGTCCTGCTCCCCCATGAGATCGAAACAAGATGTCCTCTTTGTAGAACCTCGACAACGTCCTCGCTGGATCCGACCAGAGAGACGGCTTTGCGGCAACGCTACCCAGTGACCTATCGGGCTCGAGAGATGGAATTTGCCACCCCTGGCGCCGAAGATTTTGCATCCAGCGTCGAAGCTTTGACCGTGTACGTCGGAAATGAGCATTCTCTGGTTCGAACAGACGGCGAATCCAACAATCGGCACCATTGGAAGTTCTTTGTCAGACCCTCCAGAGCAGATCTGATAGAAGAGGTGCACATATTCCTTGTAAGTCCCATAGCGTCGTGACTCACCACCGTCGAATCCGCCAACAGTTTGATAGCATCCTACATTCCGCAACTTCCACATCATAGTCCAATACCCGCCATACGAAGTACGCCGGCTTGGATGGGGCTACTTCACCATTTTTGCCAGCCTCATCCTAAAGCCCGGCTACTCGTGGGTAAATTCTGAGGCCGAAGATGCCCCTGATGGTGGCACCAAGGGCAAGTTGCCATTAGAGTGGACGTTAGATTTCAATGGCCGAGGATCTCAAGAAAGACTCCTGTTGAAAGTCAAGAAGGAGAAGGAAGGGCAGGAAGCGGACGATGAGGCCCAACGACAAGAGATCAGAAGATTATGGGCAAGGCAGCAAGAAACGGATCCCGACTGGGTCGAGTCCGAGGAAACCGTTGGCGGATAGGGACTAGAGAGGCGTTGTATATGTCGCGACACATTCTATCCCACCCGTGACAACGTCACTGACACTCCCACGCATGGATGATGAAGATGGCCCCTGCGGAGCCACGACGGTTCGGGTTCGGGTTTTCGCGGTAGCAGCCGTTTGACGGCCTTAGGCGTCAGGATTCTTGATGAGTTTGCTTGACTCTATCAAAGTCACGACATGGCCGTTGAAACTTTGTATAATATTCTTGAGGCGGAGTGCCTGTGAGAAAACGATGGATGAGGCTGTCTGACGAGGCTGTTCTTCCCCCACCCCTCAGAGCATGAAGCTTCTGCCTAGCTTGAGCTATCATTTGCTTTTAGTATTTTATTTCAACAACCAATCAATATAGCAGATGGATGTCGCCAGCTTGCGTGGCGGCTTATTCAATCGGATCGCATCAGATATTCGTTTGCCGAAATGGTGCACACAATGGATCGTTCGTGGCTCAGGCGATGACGACGAAACCACATGGAGAGAATACGAGCTTGGTCCAATTGAGAGTAGTCTAAAGCCTGTTTTCACGGCCCCACATTAAGTGGTTGATGTCTGGACCATGTTGAGCACTCCCATTGACCCAGGAGCTAGCCTCGACTCCTCCCGGGTCCCATTTGACGACAATATGGACTTTAAAAACACACTCCATGGACAAATCGTCTGGAAACCCTTGTGTCTCTCCTTAAAGGACGCACCATTTCTTTTCAGGTGTAGGAATTGGATCATACTCACTTCAAATTTCGCATACTGCTCTCTCGACGGAGGCAATTGATTTTCCAGCATGGATTCGGTGAAGCCAATTCCCGATGCTGAAGCAAACAAGTCATCAGGACCGTCAGGTGAAGGCACCGAACCATTCGCACAGACCAAAACGGAGACCGTGTCGACGTTTTCGGGTAACAAGCCAGCTGCCAAAAGCTCGAAGCCACGGCATCCACAGACGGCACAGAAATCTGAGAAAAAATGCCTTTCTCAATCATTGGGAACAACAATGGCCGAAAGCATCTTGTCACCAGCCAAAGATATTGAGTCGATGAATATCGTACAACGACTGGAATATATGCAGAGGGAAACAACCATGGCATCAAGCCAAGTCGAACACCATCGGAACAACACAACTGTGGTAACGACCTCGGTCACGTCGAGGGACGTAGCTACTCACCTCGTTGACAATCACATTCCTAGCCAAGTTATCTCAACATCTGTGATACCCAACATGGGTGCTACAGACTCCCTAAGTAAACCTCAAGGCCCAACTCGCCCGAAGGGAAAGAAGAATGACATTCACACTTTCACCCTGGAAGACTTTGCCGCCATCTCTGCCTTAAGCTCACTGGTCGAACGATACGGTCGAGTCTCTCATATGGGAGTTTTGGATCCCAGTTACAGCTTTTTCATGAGCCAAGACCGGCAAGCCGCATTGTACTACAAAGTGCTCAACAATATTGCGGTGGTTGGTGGGGAGCCCTTATGTTCTCCCGACCGGTATGATACCCTTTTCGAAGAGTTTCGACGCCGAAGACGACAACGAGGCTGGGGGATCGTCCTCCTCGGTGCCACCGATTCATTCATACCATACGCAGTGAAACACAAATGGGTAACCATGCGTTTCGGGACCGAGAGGGTCCTTGACCCGCTCAACAATTCTATTCTGCAAGAAAAGGAGGGCAAGAGAATCATCACACAAAACAAGCAACTACTCGATCCTAGCCGAGGAGGTATCTCCGTTCACTCCTATGTTCCCGCTCAAGGTCGAGATGAAGCTCTGGAACGACGACTCAGACACATCTATGACGAGTGGAGAGAACATCGAAACCGATCTTCTCAACCACAGGCGTACATGACGGTGTTTGACCCCTTTGCAATACCCGCCCTGATGATCTACATTTGCACAAAGGATCAACAAGGCCAACTCAACGGATTCGCAGCCTTGCGCCAAATTGGCGCCAATAAGGGCTATCACATCGATCCCTACTGTGCTCTGCCTACAGCGCCGAAAGGAATCACCGACCTTCTTGTGTTCTCGGCCATGTCCCTTCTCCAGCAGGCCGGTATTGGCTATCTGAGCCTCGGCTTCGAACCCTCCACGCAACTCAACGAAGTCACTTCGCTTTCTCGCCCGACAACCGCGATCACTAAATCCTGCTACCGTCGTGCATTCCGTTATTTACCCATCGGAGGCAAGAAAGCGTATCACGACAAATTCCGTCCAGACCTTAACCTAGAGTCCGGGCTGTACATCGTCTATCCGGAGGGAGCACCCAGTATACAGCACGCATTGGCAACTTTGCACTTTGCGAACGTCAAGGTGAGAGAGCTCTTGTGGAGAAGGCTCTCAAAGCTGTGTGCTCGCAAAGAACAGGAACATGCAAGTGAGAAAAATGAAATGGAAAGGAAACGGAAAAGAGGATGTCTTGACCCGAACAAATTTGAATCCGCCTGATCTTCCGGTTGTTAGTTGTGTTCACTAGCCCCGAGGATCTACCAGTGGCTGACTGCATCTCCACAGCCCACCCGACGTGGCTTGAGGAAAGCGAAATCTCAAATGTCGCTGTACCCGTGCAGATCATGACTGTTGAGCACGATACGATGTTCACACCGGAGTTGAAGGCATTTACGAACAAGGTAATTCCAATAATTGGCGTGGCGTATGATTAACAGTATTTTCCGGCCGTGGAGCATACGCTTGCGACGAGGGGAGATGAGAAGAATGAGAAGGAGTATAAGGCGACGGAGAGGGCAAGAAGTTGGTTTAAGGTGGTAGGTAGCATTACGATCTGCCCAACAGAGAAAAGGATGGGAGGATAACGGTGAGAAATTATAGCGCTGGGATGGAATCGTAAATGGATCAGAGGCTAAATCAAAGAAATGATTTTTTTCACAACCAATACACACGATACCACTTGCAGAGAAATCTACTTAATAACATGCATATATCTCATCGCCGTCAAGTTTCCCAAATACCCAATATGCCATGCCATACCACGTGCTTTGGCCTACATCTCATGTCTTTTGTGCTGCAAATTTGTTAGGAAACAACTTCAAACTCAAACTGCCTCTTCTCCTGCTCATCCTTGGGCAAATTCCTCACGATCCAATCCCACAACTCCTCCTGCTTCGCCTCATCATAACTATCCACGCTCGACTTAATCTCTTTCCTCCCCTCATAATACACGCCGCTAGTACCCGTATCATCGAGTCCGATCCACGCCAGATTTGCCCCCGACTCCTCAGGCCGGTGTATATTATGGCTTACGACGAGCCGTAAGACCGGGATCAAGGCAGGCAAGATGCGGGTGAAGAGAAACCGCAACACAGGTCCGGCTTCACGTGCAAGCCGTGTACCTGGCATCAACCCCGGGTCAAACGCGACGACAGTCCATTTCTTGTTGCTCGGCAACTTCGTGAGGCGTCTGCTTAGCGCGTAGGTCCAGAGCACATTGCACAGTTTGCTGGTCGAGTAGCGCTGGCGGCCTGGATTGTTGAGCGTCTTTTCCGTCGGATGCGCTAGCTCTTCGGCCGTCGTGTACACGGCGTCAGCGACTCCGGTCTTTTGTGCAGGATCGTGTGTGCCGCTGGATGTCACAACGATGCGCGCTTCATCCGCCATGTAGGGCATCAATAAAGGTAATAGGAGCGCGTGGCCGACGACGTTGATGCCAAATGTTGCCTCGAGACCCTCGGCGGTATATTTAATTCTGTTGGGGAATTGGAGGCCGGCATTCAACAGGAGGACAGAAAGGGGAGGAAGTTTCTTCTCGCCCCATGTTTTCACGAAGGATCGGATATTCTTGGAATCAGCCAGGTCAAGATGCATGAATTGGACGTTGTCATGGCCTCGTCTTTTGTTGATGGAATCTGCGCTTTTGTCGTGATCTGTGCGAGATGCTATGACTATGCAGTGGTCTGGCCGACGATTGGCGATTTCTGTGGCTGCATGATATCCGAGGCCGGAAGTGCCTCCTGTGACGAGGACTGAGCGGACGAACTTGGACATGGTTGGACACACGTTTCCAGTGCAGAGTTTCCCTTGTAACGATAGCTCTGAATGTAAGTAATGCTGCAGAACGAAGTATTGACACTGAGGCGTGAACGAGGCTGTATATACTTCGAGGCCGGTCCAATTATTCGTCCGCACCTTGGCCCTTTTTCCTTTTTGGGGAGCCTTTAACCCCGGACGATATTTTCTCTGGCCAAGACCGTATGTTTTAAGCGATGGTTGGAAGCCTTTGCGGGGCTCTTCCGTGGACTAAAAAAGGAGTCTATCTATCGTCATAGGTGCCCTCTTTTTGGGAGTTTGGCGTAGTCATTCTTGTTGGTCTTTGCCTCGCGGATGAAGCCTGGCGATGCAAACGACATCATATCGATCACCCGAGCATCCCGAAAAATGACGGATCACCACCCCCGTATGCGCCCATCAAAAATTCGTCAAAGAAATTGTCTCCGTTGGCCGGGGATGAGAATAAGGTTAGGCCCGGGAAGTCCCATTCAAAGACGAATTGCTCGGGGATGAACGATTCAATCGGACCTCCATTATTTCCAAAAGTCCAAAAAAAGTTCACTGGAGATTGCGGGCCTGGAACCATGTTAGTTGGGTCAACCCCTTGACTGTCTTGACCGTGATGGTCGCTTTGAAGTGCACGTCCGTATTTTTGAATGGTCAGTTGCAATACTTGCAGGTACATCCTACTGGTATGGGTTCTGCCGCCGCTGGTTGATCCGCCTCCGGCTTTGTTCAGTTCGTTCAGAAGAACATACCCATCGTCGAGGAGTTTTCGCTTAGATCGATCGTCATCCTCGGGTAGAAGTCGAGTGAGCTTCAGAAGCAACAAGAAGCAAAAGGCACATTTGGCCCAGACAAAGTCCATGGCAAAACGAAAGTGGGCCAAGTAATACTGTGGTTGGTCGAGGATGATTCGAAGATGTTTCTTGAGGGCGTCCTTGGCCATGAGCAAGATCTCGCGCTGCGTCGTGGACATGGAGGCAATGTTTTCGTTCCCCAGAGCACGTACCGCCCGACAGAGAGCCACTGCTTGTGACCAATATTTCTGCACTTCGAGATTGAGAAGAAGAACTGGAGTTTCGGTCGTGGGCGATCGTTTCATGATATGTTCCCAATCGTTATACCACACATCAAGATCTATTTGAGCGTCGCGAACCATATCCGTGACTTCATCATCGTCAAATTCTTCACTGTTGGACAATGAATCGTGGATCCCTGCTCGTAGGGAATTCAGCTCGACTTGGGACAACAAACGGAGATCGAGGACTGTCGAGAATGGTTTGTCAATCAGGATTCGGCACCGGCGTGCGTCTCCTCGCAATTGAAAGCTTCGCAAATTGCCTGCGTCAACACGCAGGATTTGCTCTAGGACCATGAGCTGAAACCAAGCTCGAGCCTGTCTCATCAACATGGCCTCACTTTCGTCAAACATTGGCGTCTCTCTGTTGTGGACCGGGGTTCCTTTCCGCACAAGCCTCTTAGTCAACTCCTCATACGAATCTGGAAGACCAAGGTCGAGTGCCATTCTCGTCGCGAATGCTAGGAGCAAGGACCGCTCGGAGGCATAGCAAGCCGTCACCAGCAAGGCTTGAACAGTCTCCAATGAGGCGTGCTCTGGCTTGACAATGATAAGATTGAGCAGCTTCTTGAGATGGAAATCAAGAAGATGGCAGATCTGGGAGTCGGCATCACTCAGCACACCACATCCAACGGTGACAATTGCGTCCAAAAGCAACGCACTTCTTGCGCTGATGGAATTGAAAGAATCATGGAGGGGGTCGAATATCGGCACATAACGATCACATCCTTGAAAGAAGGCGTTGAAGAACAATTCGGCCTGTTCGGTGCTGATTAAGCCTTTGGCGACAAAACTGGGAACGGAGGGAACATCCACTTCAAATTGGGATCTGGTTCGCTTGCGTGGGAGTGAACTGGTGATCGATCGCATGTCGTAATTTCCTCGCACTGAAGAGTCTGTGGTCTGTTCAGGTGGAGAGAAAGAATTTGTTCTGGCACTTAAGGCGGTTGGGGCATTGATGGCAGCATAGATACCGTCTTGTTGAACGTCGAGTCTTTCTTTCAGGCGTTGTATCTCGTTTTGGAGAGATTCGATCTTCCTGACCAAACATTTCAGCGCCTTTATTCTCAGAGAATCGAAACCCGATCTTACTGTTCGTTTGGGTCTGGTGGTTTTTCAACGAAGACACAGATTTTTTTCAAATTGCGACATCTGCAACCAGGTTCAGATCAGGACAACAACACTGCTAGACCATAAAATTCCTACCGAGAGCAAGGCCTCTGTCCATCGCACCTGACCTTAGATGAACGACAGGAGCCGCAAGCTTTCTGGCGGCCAGTAAGAATAAATCTCTTTTGCGAGGGAAGGTTGGGGAAGGCTGGCCGGCTTCGGAATGGCCTACATACGGGAACTCTCTTTTTATTGGTCATCACTGGCGAACTTGGTATCTCACGAGCCATAACCGAAGGCTGATGGCTCGGCTCTTCAGATGACTCCGATATCATGAGTAACAGAGAGAGAGAGAGCGCGAACGAAGGTGGGCTTGATTTCTGCTTTAAGAATAAAAGTTAAGAATCCGAAAGTCTTGCTCCTGGGTAATGGGCCCCGAAGCGGCGGAGGTGGAGAGTGACCCCATATTAGTATTCCTTCGATCTCCCCAGCGCCCCTATCCTTTCCCTGGCAAGGCGCGAAACAGTGACCTGTGGGGAAGAACCTCCCCACATCTATACCTGTTCGACCCTGTTCATTTTGTTTGATGTGTGGTACGAAGGGTCGTCTTTTCTAACCTGTGCACGAACTCGTCATGACCCAGCGGTGAGACCAACGATGTACTACATTGTTACTAAGATTGTTAAGGAACAAACCCCCCGGGCCTGATAGATCGCTTTTCGAGGCCAAAAGGAACCACATGTGCTGCCCTGATCCTGGTTGACAACCTAATACACGAAGATGAAATCTTCGTTTTCCCAGTCTGTCTTATCCTCAAAGGCATGTTGCCCCAAATCATCATCGTTCTGCTCACCATCATGTGGGCCTGTCTCCGCTTTGACTCTCTTCATTGACTTGTCAACCGGGACGGCTCGTTTTCCCATACTTTCTCTTCTCTTTCCATGCTTCTTGTTGAGGATCATCAAGTAGAAGACTTGTGCCGCGTAGAGGGCAATGAGCACGACGAAAAGAGCGAGGCTGGCCAAAGAGAATTAACTTAAAGTCCCTTACAGGTGGAAGGAGTCACTTACTTGGACAACAATCCTCTATGGTAGAGAGGAGCTTCTCCAGTCGTGTAGAGATTTGGACCAAGCACGTTCCCAGCACACTGGAAAACAAAGAGCACACCGGTTGTGACCTGTATCAACCTTAGCTCCCGCTTCGAGAACGTCCCAAGAAATTCACCTTTTTCTTGGTCTCCCCAGCGGTGTTTCCGGCACTCCAGGAGTAGATTAATGGCGCTTCCATCGGTTAGAGTCGCGGTCAATGACAAGAAGAGAGTTCTTACTGATTCCAGGGTAAACAGAGATCTATGACTGTTAGCCGAGTTCACGAAGCACGAAGGTAAAGGTAATCTTACCATATAGTATGCGACCAATAAGGGCGCTTTGGCCGATGCATCTCGTGGCAGGTATAGCAACATGACACACCCGGCAATGGGTGGAAGGCTGAGAAAAGCCAATACAGGTGATTTCATTTTTAGCACGGTTGCGAGCCACGCTCCTCCCATCGTTGCGATCAGCTGTACAGCTCCGAACGGCATGTTGAGCAGAATGGTCTCGAACTGATCAAAACCAAAGTTTTTGACAATGAGCGGTCCGAATGTGCTAATACCGCCTGACGGGACTGAGATGGAGAACATCATTGCAGCCCATAACCAAGTCTTGACGTCCAAGGCGGCTTCCTTGACATGAGCCCATTTCCATTCGTTGCTTTCAATACCTTGGTTATTGGCTCGCATTCTGAACCCATTAGTTCCTCCCGTTGCTCATGCGAAATTGGATTATCCTACCTTTCGATTGCCACCAATTTTTCGTCTCCCTTGAAAAATCGCGCCGTCACGGGAGAATCGGGGAGAAACCACCAGACCAGGGCAGAGTAGACCACTGTTATCAAGCCGAAAAAGAGGAATATGATCTGTATTGCGTCAGAATCACTTCCTCGACCGGTTGAGAGCCGCAGATGTACCTGATACGATGAGAGACTGTCGGAGTGGATATGGCCAATTCCCCAGGTCAATAAGGAGCCAAAGATGTTCGTAATACCGTTCATAGCATACCAGGCACCAAGCCTCACTGGTTGTTCACGTCGGCGCCACCACATCTGAGTGAGAGCAATGAATGCAGGAGCTTTCCGGACAAAGTTAGCGGCACATCTCAATCACACGATACGCAATCATCTCTCACCGACTCCTGCTTCGAACAACCCCAGGAATAAACGGCAGGCGAGCAAGCCGCCGAAATCGTGGGCCGCCGGCATAACGGACAGCGAAATGCCCCAGAGCAGAACAATCGCTGCCAGGAACTTTCCGAGTGGTAACTTTACCAGGAGGTATGCAATCAGTGGCTGCGCCACGAGCTGTGCCAGATACACAACAGCGCCCAACCAAGAGTATTGGTGGCCCACGAGGTTGGTTTCTTCCACCAAGCCGAACACGGAGGCGTATGCGAGGGTCGCTTTATCCAAAGCCTGCAGGAAATATGTCCCAAGCACGACTGGCAGGACAAAAAGATCAATCTTCCTTAAGACCATTTTGTTGTTTTCTGGTGTAAGGACGGCACGTTGTCCCGATTCAATCAAGATCTTATTGGCTTTGTCATTCCGCAGATTCGCCTCAACATATTCAGCCTTGGACTCGATGTGGTTGATAGGGGCTTTCGCAGCTGTCTCATCCATCTTGACGGGGCTTTCTGAGGGGCTGTTTGGTAGGGAAAGATTCAACTTCTACAAAAATCTGTTACGGACGGACCGAAGAAGTTCGGGCATGATCCCTGGCCGAACAGGACAGAGCCAAACATATATGCTCCGTACTTCCCAAGCCATGCTGGCGGATTACCCGCTCTCGGGACCATCACCCGGGTTGAGGTGGTATGTTCACCTCAAACGTAACCAGGGTATCAACAAACATATCGATGTCCCCATATTCGAGAACGGCAGATATGCTGAGGGGATGTTTTGTCTGGGGGTCCCACAACGCGGGGTCTATCCCGAAAGCGGATCGGTTTTCGGATCCAAACAGCGAAATCCAAGAGCTAGTGGAGAGGGGAAATTGGTATGGTCAGATGTTCATACATCTACACCTCTAATAAGGCTTTCTCCTACACAATTGGAAGGAAGTTTTAAACGTCAGACTGTGGTATTTTTTTTTTTCATCGTCGCCAGCTTCCCGTCACCCCACTTGAAGTCGGTGGCCGGGAAGCGATATCATGATTGGATTTACTCCTCTTTCTTCTACAGGGATCGCACTTGGCAGCCGAAATCCGATCCCTGCCCTTCAAGACCTGGTTAACTTGGAGATCCCTCAGAACCCGGTGCCGCTCCTCGCTTCTCTTCACACCGAGGTGATGGCTTACCCAGAGACAGAAGAAAGGTCAGATCTGAACATAGAAACAAAGAGCCGAGATCAGGGATCAGATGTACGGCGGATATCTCCAATATAAGACGTTGCGGCGCCCAGGTTCCGGGTGTTGTTTTCGCCCAAGCTCCCACACTCCTCAGCTGCCAACATGCTTCAATTAGAGAGGGTCTCCCAATCATACAAAGAAATAGAGTCGGAAATAGAGACATCGGTGGCGGTAGAGCTTACATCTCAAGACTTGGAGGTGCCTTTTCAGTTTACTTTTGAAGCGGTCCGCCCGAACATATTTCGAACCACCTTTACTTCGTCCAGCCATCCGCTTCCGCCGTATCCGTCAGTCATTCAACCGCAGACAAGGCTCAACCATGTCCACACTCGCACCTTACCAACAAAGGACTCGTCAAGTCGCCATTTTGAGATTGGGGACATCAAAGCCTCAGTGGCGTGGAAGCATACCCCCGTTGTATCGTTGGGCTGGCTTAACTCGCCAGAGCCACTCCATTCAGATCTGGAATTTCGATCTTATGCTGTCGATGGCCAGGGAATAGCCCACTATACGCAACATGATCGAAAGGCTCTCCATGTCGGTTTGGGCGAGAAAGCCGCGCCCATGGACCTCACTGCGCGCTTTTTTCAGATCTCCGCCACGGATTGTTTCGGCTATGAGGCCTGGGACACCGATCCCATGTACAAACACATGCCTCTACTCATCAAGGCCACACCTCAGGGCTGCGTTGCCATGGTGTCGTCCAGCCATAGTCGAGGGTCCTGGGCCGTTGGTTCCGAGATCGATGGTCTCTGGGGCCATTTCAAAGTCTACCGACAAGATTATGGCGGACTTGAAGAATACCTCGTTGTGGGACGAACCCTGAAGGATGTGGTACGAAGTTATGCCGAACTCATTGGATTCCCCTTGCTGGCGCCCAGGTGGGCCTTTGGCTATTGTTCTGGAGGCTACAAATACACCATGGGTGATGATCCTCCCGCCTACCAACAGCTCCTCGAATTTGCAGACAAGCTCAAGGAACATGGCATACCTTGTTCAGCACATCAGATGTCAAGTGGCTACTCCATCGCCGAGACCGAGCCTCGGGTCAGGAACGTATTCACCTGGAACAAGCACCGTTTCCCAAACCCGGAGAAGTGGATCGCGCAGTATCATGCTCAAGGAATTCGACTCTTGACCAACATCAAGCCCTTTTTGCTCGCATCACACCCCGATTATAAATATCTGGCGGACAACGACGGGTTGTTTACGGACCCTCACTCCCAGAAGACCGCTGAAATGCGCCTGTGGAGCGCGGGGGGCGGTGAAAGTGGTGCGGGTAGTCACATTGATTTCACGTCAGCGGCCGCGTACGAGTGGTGGGTTCGCGGAGTCGAGAAGCTGAAAAAGCAAGGCATCGATGCGATGTGGAACGACAATAATGAGTATACTCTACCTCACGATGACTGGCAGATGCGTTTGGACCCAATCGTTCCCAGCAGAGGGAAGACTCCCAACAAAGTGGGTCTTTTTGGGCGTGCGATGCACACGGAGCTGAATGCGAAGGCGTCGTATGAAGGACTCTTGAAGGCCGAACCCGGAGTTCGACCGTTTGTTTTGACGAGAAGCGCCAGCATTGGAACCCTGAAGTACGCGTGCTGTTCGTGGAGTGGCGACAACATGACAAGCTGGGAGAGCATGAAAGCAGCCAATGCGCTGTCACTAAATGCAGGGGTCAGTCTGATGCAGTTTTATGGCCACGACATTGGGGGATTCGAAGGGCCTCAGCCTTCTCCTGAATTGCTGCTCCGTTGGGTTCAACTTGGATGCCACCAAATCCGCTTTGCCGTGAATTGTTTCAAGACGTCGCCCTCAGATAATCAGGCGGGGGAGGTCATTGAGCCATGGATGTATCCAGAGATCACCCCTTTGATCCGAGATGCCATCAAGAGGAGATATGAAATCATGCCATACATATATTCTCTTGGGCTCGAGAGCCATTTGACCGCAAGCCCTCCGCAACGCTGGGTCGGGTGGGGATACGAGTCAGATCCCGAGGTATGGACCAAGAAACTGAAAGCTGGCGATGAGCAATACTGGTTTGGAGACACTCTATTGATCGGAGGCGTGTACGAGCCTGGCGTCGCCACGGCGAGGGTATATCTTCCTCGAGCGCCTTCGGAAGAGGGATTCGATTATGGATATGTCAACCTCAACGCACCACACCAGTATCTCGCCTCGGGCCAATGGGCGACGATCGCTTCACCGTGGAGGGATAGCATTCCGATACTCGCCAAGATTGGTGGGGCGGTGCCGGTCGGGGAGAGTGTACAGACTCGAATGCCCGGCGATACCCAGCACGAAGGCCAGTCCCTTCCGGAGGACGACTATCGAGGCATCGAGATCTTCCCACCCAAAGGTAGTTCGCACGGACGGACATTCGCCACAACATGGTATGAAGATGATGGGCTGTCACTGCATCCGAACATCTCTTCATTTACCGTGTCATACAGCGCGACAGAAGAGAAGGTTACTGTGGCATTGACTCCGAATCTGGAGAACGTCTTCGTCCCGCCCTGGAAGGAGGTCGTTTTCATTTTGCCACGTGGGGACGAGAGATATATAGAATCGGCCAAGGGCATGGCCATGGAGCGCCTTGAGTCCCAAAGCTGCGGAAGGGTCCGCTATAAAATGCAGGTTCCGGAACTAGACGGACAGGCTTGGTGCAATGGGTATCATGACTAGAACTTCTCTGCATAGTGGGTAGAGGCTGAAAAACAGAAAATTCCTCACCATACATGGAGAACTGGGGCGGTGATACTTGCCCCCCATTGGACATGCCTAGAAAGAGTTGCTTAACGCCACAACACCACTCCACCACTACTGCAACGGTGATGGCCATATTGTCGCAGCGGCCCCCAGAATCGGTGAGAGTGGGATAGCCATTACTGCTTGTCGCCTCACCAAGCGCCGGAGATGGCGACTCTGCTGTGGAGCTGACCAAGAGCTACTGAGCCAGTGTAGAATGGCGAGCTTCTTCTCGGCTGTTGGGCTATTCGCTCTACGGCTCTAGAACGTGGAGAAGAGACCCCGACCGGGGGAATTATCCCGGCAGAGAAAATATGCTATCAGGGATGCTATCAGAAAGTCAGACAGGGTTAATGACCAATCCGCGACGATCGATAAGATTAGATGAAATAATCTTCGACAAGATAAGATCGAGTTTTTTTCGCAACTTTTCCTCTTTAGGAATAGTTCCGTATATCGCCAACCTCGCCTCTAGGCTCGACAGCTCTGCACTCAAACGTTGATTCACCTCTCTCCTTTCGTCTCTGGTCGGTCCATGGGTTTGCTTCGCTTATTTCTCGCCCTCTCATTTTCGTCTCATTGGATTTGTCCGCCCGGCAGGTCCAAGCCAACCCACCCTTGATAGTCTGCCCTGACATACATGGTCCAAATGCTAAGGTAAGGTCGTTTGCGGCCACATCCCCGAGGTTCTCGATGGGCTCGTGAGCTTGGATGGTTTTTGAATGAGGGTCACGTTCGGTCAAGGGCTTGGCTGCCCACCAGTTCGAACCCGCAGGGATTGATTCTCGAATGTATGTCTAGATCTGGAGGTGAACTCTCATGCCATTACATTTAGCAATTCCACTTCCGAACACAACCCATGGAGACCATGCGACAGCTCGTGAGTTTCTCGCTTGCGTTTACCACCAAGCAAGGATCTTCCAAGATCGCCCGCTGAAGAAGGGTATGTTCTACACAGGTATTAATATCCCTGCGCGGCCGGACATGCATCCGTGCCTGACCACTCACACTTCCCTGACTCCTTTTCATTCGCTTTTGTTTCACAACTTCTCTCCCTCAATATGAGGTTTGCTCCCGCCTGGATCAAGCCGAACTTTGTCCCCGTGGCGGAGAAAGGCCCGGGTAGTGACTCCGAAGCTGCTGCACCGACCAGCGAGGAGATCATTGCTAAAGATGTTGGACTGTCATCGGAAACCCCTGCCCGTGAATCGTCGGAATCTGAAGGCGTCGACCCCAATGCTCAAACTGGTGTGCAAAAGATTGAAGCGACCACCTCTGTCTGGACCAAAAATCAGCTGATCATCGCCTACCTTTTGTGAGCAAATGAATCATTCCCCCCCCCCCCCCCCTTCTCCAATGTACGGCCACGATATGGCAAGCTGACCGAGTCCAGAATCTTCGTCATCTATTTTGTCGACTCGATGCAGCAACAAATCACGGGAGCTTTGACTCCCTTTGTCACGAGTTCTTTTCAATTACACTCCCTGACAGCGACGACGAGCATCCTGTCTCAAATCATTGGCGGCCTCAGCAAGCTCCCACTGGCCAAAATTCTCGATATTTGGGGCCGTCCACAGGGTTTCATCGTCATGGTCGTCTTCCTGACTATCGGATTGATCATGATGGCGGGCTGCAACAATGTGGAAACCTACGCCGCCGCTCAAGTAAGTATATCCGAGATTTATCTCCACGTCTGGCTCAGAGAAAGAATAGGTCTTCTACTGGGTCGGTTACAACGGGAGCACATATGCTCTCAGCATCTTCGTCGCCGACACGTCGCATCTAAAGAACCGAGGACTGATGTTTGCCTTCGCCTCGTCCCCTTATATCGCTACCACCTGGATCGGGGGCCCCGCGGCCGAGAGTTTTGTGAACGGGGCGGGCTTTAGATGGGGATTCGGCACTTTTGCCATCGTGTCGCCCGTCATCGCTCTCCCACTGTTCTTCCAATTCGTGTACAACTACCGCAAAGCGAAGAAAGCCGGACTGATGCCTGCCCGCGAGAGCGATCGGACAATGCTGCAATCAATCAAGTACTACGCCATCGAATTTGACCTGATGGGTCTCCTTCTGATCTCCGGTGGGTTGGCTCTGTTCCTTCTGCCTTTTTCACTCTACTCCTACCAATCCGACGGCTGGCGCTCGCCAATGATCATCTGCATGATTGTTTTCGGCGGTTTCTTGCTTATCGCATTTGGCTTGTGGGAGAAGTACTGGGCCCCCCGGAAGTTTATTCCCTGGGAACTTTTGGCCGACCGAACGGTGATGGGGGCCTTTATTCTGGCAGCCGTCTTGTTCTTGAGCTTCTATATCTGGGATTCGTTCTTTTATTCCTTCCTCATCGTCGTCAACAACCAGAATATCACCCACGCCTCCTACATTTTCAACATCTACAGCATCGGGGCTTGTTTCTGGGCCGTCATTGCCGGGTTGTATATCCGGTGGCGAGGTCACTTCAAGAACATCGCCTTGTACTTTGGTGTGCCTTTGACTATCCTGGGGGTGGCTCTGATGATCCATTTCCGTCAGCCGGATCAAGATGTGGGATATATCATCATGTGCCAGATCTTCATTGCATTTGCAGGCGGCACGCTCGTCATCTGCGAGCAGATCGCCGCCATGGCAGCGGCGTCACACCAATATGTGGCGGTGGTGATTGCTGTGGAGGGCATGTTCTCTTCTGTCGGTGGTGCTATTGGCAACACCATTGCGACCGCGATCTGGACCGGCAATTTCCGAGACAAGCTGATAGAATACTTACCGCCTTCAGCGCAAGGCGATGTGGATGCCATCTACGGCGATATCACAGTCCAAACGTCATACGCGGTGGGGACACCAGAAAGAGATGCCATTAACAAGGCCTACAGCGAGACGCAGAAGTTGATGCTGATTGCTTCTACCGCCTTCCTGGCTCTAACCATCGTTTCCGTGGCCGTGTGGAGGAATATTCAGGTCAAAGACTTCAAGCAAGTCCGAGGTCGTGTGGCATGAAAATTGTTTCGGGAGAAATTGTTTCGGCATGTCACGCCCATGTCACTGCCCAGGTCACTCCCACGTCAATTTAGTGGATATCAATCTTTTCAGCCTAGTTTGATGTTGAGTTTCTCTTGTGACTACCTGACACCGTGCTCGGAACCGTCGAATAGTGATTCGGCACCCAGATAAGTACTTCATTTCCCAGCCAATCGGTATCCTATTCAACGACTTTCGGCCCTGCATTCGTATCGTACGAATTTCTGCAAATGGTTTTTGATCGGAATGATAGGTAAAGAGGGTCGCGCAATGCCCTCGATATGGAAGTTGATTTGCAGGAGGTAGTGCGTGGTCCAAATAAATCTCCGGTCTCCACCCTGGGTGTTTCCTAATCCGGCAAATTGCACGAGTCTCACAAGGTTTGCCTTCAGCATTCCAGTCCAACTCCAATTGTATTTTGCAGATAGAGCGCCGAGGACAGCCTCGCAGGATGCGGCGACGTGGGACAAAAGAATCTTCAGTATATATTCTGGTCTCGCGAACACCCTTCCTCCTCCCACCGAGAGTTTCTTTCCCACCACCACTGGAGCCGAACCGTTCCCCACCATGAATGTGAAATCGAAATCTAATCGAAGAGGCATGTCTTCCACGTCAGAACGACAGCCTCACCATGATCTGTCGAACGATCCACCACCGAGTTACTCTGCCGCCATCAACGAGACTATGAATCACTCTCCCCAACCATGGTCATCAACGACAAACCGAGCCCCAACCAATTCCCCTCCAAATGGAACTCGGTCATCCCCTTCAACAACACCGACACTTTCCTCGCCCAATTCATCTCCATTGCGACCCCGCCTCTCCCAAGTAATTGCGATTCCTGCCACCGTCTCGAGATTGGATTCCCCTTTCCTTCGCGCGTACCCACCGGCCCTCGAAGCGTTCTCCATTCCCATGTCCACATTTCTAAATTTTCTCGACAACCTCAACCGAGTGGCTGTCACATCGCCTCCTCTCCAAGTATTGGCCACAGCAGGAGACATTGTTAGCTTCATACCAGAAACCACCGCCCAGATCGTGGGGGCATCGATCAGTGCCGCCGCTCAAATTTCCTCCGCGGCGATCAGCTACGGTCGCACCGAGATAGAGTTGCGAAAGGCGAACGCCGAGACCTTTGGGCCAAAAGGCTTGAAAGTCGAGATCGCCAGGATCGATGCCGTTGCGAGACTGACGGGAATGCCGATCCTCAACAGCCAAGGAAAAGTCGATAAAAGGGCGACATTGCTGAAACCGCTCGACGAGCTTGAGGAAGGCGGTCTCACCATCAGCGGGCAACAGAGAAGACTCGACACCATGCAACCGTGGATCGCACATTTGGAAATGACTCCCCTGCCCGAGACTAGAGAACTCCAAAATCCGCTGGACGAAGTAAGCATCAAGATCAGCGAGAGGATCAGAGTCAAGGGAGAGACGAAATTGATTAAGAAGCGAGGCCAAGCCCATAGCGAGTACAAAAGGGAAGCGGAAAAGGTTCGGACAGATTTTGACAAGGAGATGAATAAGATTTACCGGAACATGGAGAAGGAGATGCGGAAGCTTGACGCAGAAATCGACAAAGTTGGACTGAGTTCGAAGCCCGACACCGTCGCCAAAGTAGAAAGGGAGAAGGAAAAAGCGTTGGCTAAATATGAGAAGCAGAAGAGGAAAGAGGAGAAGGAGTATGAGAAGGAAATGAGGGAGATTGAGAAGGACCAACTCAGTGATGATGAGGAAGAGAAACATATGAGGAAGATACTCTGGTTGATTATCAGGGAAAAGGATGCGTTCAGCGGTTATGGACCAAATCCGGATGTCCCAGATCCGGAAGGCTGGGCTGAATTACCATAGAGGAGAAGAGTCACTAATGGGTCAATTGAACATAATGCTCGTGATTCCGTCATGAGTTGTCCAGCCTGGTCTCATTGTCGAAGCGGCGACATGGAATCTGCTCTGCAAGGTAGTTTGATGTCATCGATAACGACATCGCCTCCCGATTTGCTGGACCAGGAATTCTCCATCGATACCTTCATTCGCCTCAGCCCATCTCACCACTCTGTACAAACACACCCTCCCTTGCGCAACATGTCAATGCCCGAGTCCTGCTGTACCTGCGCAACTCTCCTTTCCGACGTCAAAATTCCCTACGACCCAGATTCCGAAAAAGCCCTCCTCCACAGTCGACGCCTCGAATGCTGCTCCCGCCAAATCTGCGCTCCATGCCAGTATAGATATCCTCGGTTCCGATCATATTGTCCGTTCTGCCAGATTTCATCGGGTCCGTCGTCCCTACCCAAAGATGGGCTACGATTACCTCCCTCATATACCACATCTACACATACATTGTCCCGCAGAAACAGAGCAGAGACTCCGCCCCCTTCATACGACGACTCGATCTCGGTAACTCCACGCCATCGTATGCTCTCTGATCAACCCAGCGGCAACCCACCTCCAGACACCGAAGATACCGTGCACTTCATATCGTCCGAAGACAATCTGCAGTCTTTATCACTATCTTACAAAGTCCCCATCCCCGTCCTGAGACAACACAATAACCTATACTCCGACTCGTTACTCGCTGCACGCAAATGGATATTGATTCCGAAATCGCACTACGAGGGGCCATCGCTCTCGACACCGCCGGACCCGGAAGATGAGCAACGGAAACTCAAATTGCGCAGGTGGATGGTCGCGACGAAATGCGCCGAGTATAATGTGGCAACGCTCTATTTGAAGGGCAGTGATTATGATTTGGACCTGGCTGTCGAAGCATTCAGGGCTGATGAGGAGTGGGAACGAAATCATCCAATGAAGGGTAAGGGGAAAGATACTGAGGCGGAAAGGCGGAGAGTAGGGCGCTTTGGAAGAGGAGGAAGTATATCCGGCCAACTGTCCTAAACACTTGTCGGTTGAACGAAAGGCATACGACGTCGATATACCATCAATCGGGACGAGATTTCCGACTCAGCAAGTGAGTGAGGAAAGAGGCCACAAATTCGAAGAATCCGTGAAGATTCAATTCCTGTTGAATACCTCTCCCGACTTCATAACTGATAGGCAAACCCCCCCGGATCATGGAACTTCACACTCGTGAAACTCGTGATCCAGGACCCAGGACCCCAGATCCCCTTGCAAAACACTACCTACCTTCCTTTCCATCAAGTCTGATTTGGCAACGCCACTCCCATATCCAGGCAGCGGCGTTATCCAAAAGAGGTGAGAGCATTGAGAGAATGACGTTGATGAAATAATGACGCATCTACGGAGGACGGCGTCGAGGGCGTACTTGTAGACAATGCAAATACAAATGCTAGACAAGTATCGCCGGGACACCCGTGGATGTACCGTACGATAACGCGAACACATTGACACTGCAAGAGGGAATACACATATGAGAAGAACCGCCTTGAATCTCCCATCCGTCCGTACCTCAGCAGTTTGGTATCATCATCACAATGAGGAGCACAGTGGTACAAGAGTACCATACGTTAAACTTTTTCTTTTTCGGAAAGCAAAAGCCCACTGATATCCCAATCTCATGTGCGTTATGTTATCCTGTAACCTGGCAAACCCGAAAATCTAGCGAACCCCACCCATGTCAACCTTGTACAAACACACACTTGTCCCTTTGCTCCAACGTTGCGAGTTTGCGACCGCAATCATGATCAAGATGTCCGATTCCGCAATTCATCCGTCTGAGCACGGGAACTGGAGTTTCCAGCTTCCACAGAACTTGAAGTGCTCGAAGTGCTCGGCTCTGGAGGTCCGTCAACTTTCACCTCTGGATTTGGTGCCGTGGAAGGTCCTGCTGCAGCAGAGATTTCCGCAGCTGTTTGCTCCTCGGTGCGTCTTCTTTCCTCTTCCAATCGCTGTGCCTCGCGCTGGGCCTGTCGCTGGGCCTGTCTTCTCGCAGACTCCCTTGCCCGGACGTGTCGTTCACCCACACCAGGAATCAAACTCGCCAAAAATAGCGCCGCTCCTTGTTCCACACGATAGAAAGAATCCCGCCAGAAGTGGGGATGATGTTCTTGATTTTGCTGCACTAGACGAGCTGCAGCCTCTTCCGGTGTCATTTGTACCGCGCCACGGACGTGAGCTGGTCGTTGGGGCGTCTGGTCGGATGTCGCATTCTGGGGAGTGGTATTATCAGCGTGATTATCTCGATGGCGTTGTCTCCGAGCTTCACCCTCCGGTGGTGGGGGCACAGGTGGACCAATCAGATTGTCGAGATGTTGACGGGCGGTATTTAATGCACGATACAAAGGAGCATCTCTGGGCTGTAAACAGATAACGGCAGCAGCAATGATCATAAGCCATCGTTTCCAAGTTCCTGGCTCAGAAAAGACAAACATGAACAGATAGAGTCGCAGGAAAAGCCAACCTCGTTGAATGATGAAAGCGAACAAATCATTATCTGCATCGTTCCGAGGGGCTGGTGCCAAAGCCGGTGGGACCCCCCGTTCTCTCCTGACCACTGCACGGCCTGGGTCGATGTTCGCAGGGAGGTTTCCCTGTGCTGGAGGAGTATTTGTTGCTGCGTGCTGGTTGGACACTGTGGGGAGGCTTGCAGCGGGTACGGGCACTGAAACTGGTGGTGGGTTGGGCCCTGGGACGCTCACATGAGCCGGCAGAACACCAGAGGCTTGAACGTTTGAAGCGGGCCGATCTGAGCCCTGCGGAGATGGCTGTTGCTGTAAGAAGTGATACCATCCACGGGGTGAGGAAACCAAAGCTTCCGGTCCTCCCGGTGAAGACATCAACCACACCGTTGTATAAGGATCCGGCAATGGCTCGAAGTCGGAAAGCGTATGTGACGATTGAGTTAAAGGGGGATTCGCTGGCGGCTCTCGGGATTGCGAATGTCGAGGAGAAGATGTGTGCGGTGGAGCTCCTTGCTGTGGCTGAGGCGGTCCATGCGAAGCTGGTCTCGATTCTCGCTGGCCAGGAGCAGAAGAAGGTCGTTGAATGATAGGTCGACCATTCACCTCTATCGTAACAATCATCCGTTCCCCATTTGGTCCGTGGAACTCCTGGAAAGTGGTACGAGGGGGGTTATTGAAATTGGGACGGAGACCGGACGGGAGCTGCCGTGAGGGAGGTGCTGCGAAACGAGCGAAATCAGGAGGAAGATGTGCCGGGGGAAATCCCCACAGAGGCGGTGGAATTGGTGGAAAGTCTCTCTCGCGCGTATGAAATTCACGCCCGTGCTCTACGGTCGTACCAGGACGGACGTTCGGTGGAATCGGCGGGGCCGGTTGTGGTTGACCATTTGCGTCGACGAGGAATGGGATTGGACCTGGAGCAGGGCGGTAGTTGGGGTCTCCATTGGGAGGCGTCCCAAGATTATTGTGCTGCAAAGCTATTCTTTGTTGGACAGACCGTAGATCCGCTCTATTTGCTTCAATTTGTTGTTGAATGCGAGAAAGCGACTCTTGAAGTCTCGTGGCAGACGTCTCGGCCACGGTCAGAGGGTGTGCGAGATCTGGCGCGGGTCGACGCACCGCTGGAGGAGGATTCGAGACGGGATTCGTTTGGGCTGGAGGCGCCGGCGCGGGTTGACGAGATTGAATGACAATATGAAGCGTGTATGGCTGGGAGCTGACTTCGGTGTCGGGCTAGAGACGCCATTAGAGAGTGGATAAAATACAGTGACATGTTCAGCATACCTCGATCCGGAGGACATCTCGCAAAGTGGCATCATCCCGCATCAACGCTCTCCCTTGGTATATGAGGCGTTGCTCGGAAGGAGCTGGATGTTCTGGGAGGTCGGCTTGAATTCTCTGCTTGAGATCCGATATGGTAGTGGACAGGGCAAAGCTTCCCAGCGAATGGGGTAGTCTCGGATTGCCAGTGACGAGGTAGGTGACTCGGAGATTGACATGGTCAGGCTGCAAAAAGTCGGTTGAGGGCGCAGGAGTCGGGTTGTCGCGGTCCATAGTCAGATGAGGCGAGGACGAGTTATCATGGCCCCAAGCGGTGAGGAGTTAGAAAATAATAGAGAAATGAAAGGAAAGAAAGACCACTTATACAGGTGGAAGGCGAAGTGAGATGTAACGGGCCTAAGGTGGAGATGGCCAATAGCAACGTTAACTGTGATTCGGTACATACTCTAGGACCAGTCTGTCTCTGGTTGAACTTTCGTCATTGTGCAGCATTTCAATAACCCGACGCGTTGATTTTACTGTTCCACATGATTTCTCAAAAGAAACCTCTCTCTCCCTAAACTCGACCCAGCAATGTCGGCCACTCGAATTGGTAGATCGTGTCTCTACAGGCGGTCATCCATCCACTCTCAATGCTGGCGCTTACGTGCTTGCTTTGAACCTTATCCTTTCCAGTGCCAGCGGAGTCGCATTCAGTTACATCAGCGAAGGGCGTTTACAAACACTCCAAGACGGTGGGGAAAAAATAAAGGACAAGAGGAAGAAAGCTTCAGCGCCCGTCTAGGAAAGGCATGGAAGTCCACCAGGATAGAATGGAAACCCATTCCCATCGGACTTGGAGTTGGATTCCTAGGCTTATTACAGTTGATACGGATCCGTTCCAGAGAAAGAGGAGCTCAAGAGGGGGATTCGGACAAGCCTCCCCAACGGCAGAGGATATATCCTAGCGGTGGCGGATGGCAGGTTCAGATTATGTCCACGCTTCCTCTCAAGGCGATTTCGCGAATATGGGGACGGTTCAACGAGTTGACGATACCCTATTCCTTGAGAGTCCCGGGATTCAAATTGTACGGCTGGATCTTCGGTGTCAATTTCGACGAAGTGGCGGAACCAGACCTCCACGTCTATCCAAATCTGGCGTCATTCTTCTTCCGAGAATTGAAGCCTGGACTTCGTCCTCTTGATCCCAATCCGAATGCAGTCCTATCACCAGCCGACGCACGAGTCCTACAACTTGGAACCATTGAGAACGGCGAAGTTGAACAAGTCAAGGGCATGACTTACAGCGTCGACGCTCTTTTGGGGAGAATTGCCCCTACCACGCCGAACCCGCAGGCACCGTCAAACATCTTTGCTGTGCCAAAAGATCCCCACTCCGGTGCCTCCGATAGTCCCGGTACCAGATCTATCACCGCGGATGAAGAATTTGCCAACATGAACGGCATTTCATATACTCTCCCCAACCTGTTCTCTGGCTCACAACAAGCAAGTACATCTCCCAAACAAGACGCTTCCACAAAGTCTCTCCCTTCATCCGAAGCAGCCGTCTCGGCAGATCTCGCAACAACTCAACCTTGGTGGTCTCCATTCTCCTCTCCATCAACCGACAAGAAACTCTACTATGTCGTGGTCTACCTTTCCCCCGGCGACTATCACCGCTTCCACTCCCCTGTCAGCTGGGTCTGCACTGCCCGTCGCCATTTTGCCGGCGAGCTCTATTCTGTGTCACCCTACGTCCAACGCATATTGCCAGGACTATTCACCCTGAACGAAAGAGTCGTGCTGCTCGGCCGCTGGAAATACGGTTTCTTCAGCTGCACGCCGGTCGGTGCGACGAACGTCGGCTCCATCGTCGTCAATTTCGACAAAGAACTTCGCACGAACTCTCTCACCACCGATACCGAAGCAGGCAGACAAGCTGCCGCCGCGGCGGAGAAGGGCGAGCCTTACTCTGGATTCAGTGAAGCAACCTACGACCAAGCAAGTAAAATCCTGGGTGGCCATGCACTACGAAGAGGTGAAGAGATGGGCGGCTTCAAACTCGGATCCAGTATTGTGCTGGTGTTTGAAGCTCCCGCTGGCCGGAGAAAGATGAGTCTCGGCGAGGGTAGCGCCAGTGGTGGAGAGTTGAAAGGCGGGTTCAAGTGGGCTGTTGAGAAAGGTCAAAGAGTCAAAGTTGGCCAGGCTTTAGGATCTGTCGTGGATGAAGAATAGGAGAAGGTTGGGCTGTGAAATAACGACGCCATGAGCATATTATTGAATGTATACACTCAGCTCGATTGTTGAGACCGAGCAATGTACATTACAACCTTTTTGGACCCGTTACACTCCTCCCTCCCGACTCTAGCTTTGAAGTATGAACGTCTGCCTGAGCTGGCTTTCTCCATTCAACGGTTTAAATCAGGCAAGATGCACATGAAAGGAACGGGCTAGTTGGGATGGAGAGAACCGGTTTCATTGATCAAACATACGGTTACAGGTGTCAATTTACGGGCTTCCAGCTGTTTGTTCCAGCTTTTCTAGCCGGCCATCTAGTTGGTGACTGCCCAAGTCAACACACCGGCACAACCCGAGAACACCAAGACAACCACCAATAAGCCCCCTCTCTCGACTATTCGTGCCAGTCGAGCGTCCATCGGGTGGACACGAGTGGCAAGATAACCCTCCTGACCCGAGAACCATCTTGTCAATTCGGCCATTGCCCTGGTGGACAAGGCACCGCTCTTGCCCATATCGTGGGCCAAAATAAACCCTCCAAAAATGTATGTGATCGTGGCCACAAGCAATAGGACCTTTCCAGCTTTACGCTGGAGGGTGACAAGACTGGAATCGACCCCTCCTTCGCCTCCGATCAATGTCGAACAGCTGTATTCCATCCGGTTATGGACGAAACACCACGCCTTCTCCAACCAGTCGCCGTTTTCCAAGAGTTGTAGGCGTTCGAATGGAACTCTACCGAGTTCCGGCAGGCTGGTAATCGCAAGTTGTTGTGGTGTGAGAGGGAATCTTGGGCAAAGGTCTTTGTCGATTTGTGATACTGGACGGTCATCGCATCGAGCCAGGTCAGCAGACAGACGGACAGAGATATCGTTGATTAATTTATTAGCTAATCGAAGTGATATGAGATGACCAGGGCTACTCTCGCGATTGTTTCTTGCTCCAGGGATGTCGTTGTTGAATCTGGCGGTGCCCTCACCGGGTATCTGAACAAGGTCATTGTCTGACGAGTAATTTGCCAGGTCACCCCCACTGGTTTTGATTCCTGTGCCACCGTCGAGAAGATTTGTTGAGTTGTTTCCATCTGTCGGTCGTCCATTTGGGTGGAATACACGATGGCCTCGGAGGAATCGAGAGATGTCGCTGTCACTCGTAGTGTATCCACCATCGAGGAAGCATTGGGATAGAACATTCCTGATGGATTCTTCAGTGAAGTTTGTGAGGTTATGCACCTGGCATCGATGACCAGGTTCAATGTCCAATTCTATTGCCGTGGTATTTGCCATGCCTGTATTTGCGGTGGAGCCGGTCTCATTGTGTCCATCGAATGCTTCTCCCGAATTGGTCGTGTCAGGTCTTCTGTGTTGATAATCATTATTCATAGTCTTCCCCAGGTATCTCATCCCGATGTCTTTATTCCCGACCCGAAGAATTTCATGGCTCTGATCTACCGAGGGAGATGACGAGTCATTGTTCGAGGTCTCCAAGACGGTCGGTAGGAGTAAGCTTGATGGACGTCTTTTGCCCGAATTTTGAGCAGACAGATACTGTTCCATTCTCCACCACTGAGGATTTCCATGGCCAGCCGCTTTGTCTCTGGTTGATTGATGACTGGGAGAAGAGGGGTTTTGGTGAAAGTAGAGACCACCTTTACGGCGCAAACCAGGTCGACGATATGATCTCGTGGGCGATCCCGGGCTTTTTCCGCCATTCGAGCCCGACGAGGTATCAAGAGTGTGTCTGTTCGTCAATCGAAACCGCAACTTTGACGGTGTCACGAAATCGCCGCGACTACTATCAGGAAATGACTCCCATTCTCTCTGACCATCCTCTATATCGGCAGGGTTTTCGAAGGACTGAATAACATGCCCCTGGCCTCGCTCTCGGTAGGTTTGGTAAACACGACGCTCAGACTCGAGGTATTCTTGTTTTGTCATACGTGTTCCGAGACTGATCACGTAGTCTTCAGAATCATCACCCTTCGCTTCGGTCGGTAGGGTATCAACCGGATGCTGACTTTGCACCGTCATGTCAGTGCTAAGAAATGAAGGTTGATGGAGTGGTGGGTTTGCCGGTCTGGCACCAGCATATTGAGAAACAATGTTGTCTAGGGTGCCGGAAAATCGAGCGTCAGCCTCGTTGGAGCTTTCAAAGACTGCGCGAGACTCATGGTGATGATCAGCCTCGCGAAGAACACCCTGTGCTGAATGCACTCGCTGGGTCGGTAGGTCCCGCAATGGGATAGCATCGTTTCCAAGCGGTAACACATCCAAGTCATTCGATTCCTCTTCATCCGTCGAAGAACTTGAATGGCTTAGTGGGAAACGCGTATCCCTGCTTGGCGGAGGCTGTTGAAGACTTCCGATTCTGTGATCCTGGATGTTGGCATAATCGGATGGCCAATCCGGGTATCGGGGACGCGTTGTCGGTCCCCAGAGACCTGAATCTGTTGATGTGGCATCCAATTGGAATTTTTGCGGAAGATAAGAGTCCGAACGATGTGATGAGTCGCACGCCGCCCGCTGAATGCTTGGGAACGTTGAATCATATCTTGCCTGAGGACTAGAGTTGTCCCAGTCAAGACGTGGTTGAATGCTATCGTCGTATTGGAAGGACGGTTCAAATGTCTCAAAATGCAGGTCGAAGGTGGGATCGACACTCAAATTGATGTCGAAAAGATTGTGCACACCAGTCCTCGGCTTCTCTTTCTATCAAAGGTCGTCAACTATTGAATATTCGACGCGGAGATGAGTCCTTACCACAGTTGAGCGATGGGGCAAAGACGAAGGGTTGTTCCTTTGAGTGATTCTGGCGGATCCTCCAGCTATCGTACGGCCAACTCCAGGCAGGAATAAAGGAGGTTGTGATCGCTTTGTCTGCCTTGAATCTGTGTCCACGGTCGACGGCCTTTGGAGCGGCAGTGGACCTTCTCGTGCAGGAGGTGGGTCTTTCCACGATCAGTAATCTTTATACCACCGATCCTGTAGCAATCACAAACCTGTCAAGCGCAAAGATCTTCTTCTGGCTGCACTTCGCTGCTGAGCAGAAAGTGTCCCTGATAGATATGTAAGAGATGAGGTTGGAGTTTGCAAGATCGGAGACGCCGTGCTGCAGAGGTCAGCGTCGCTACCGTCACAATAGAAAAGCTCGGGGCTCCGAGCGAATGCATTTGCCGCACGATCAGTCAAATTAAGAAGAGTTGTTGAAGAGCCAGGCGTGGCATGAGAGAACACCGGGTCCAGTCGTGGCGGATCAGATAGGTGTGGCGACGGCACATCTGGAGATTCTTGACTGGCACATGCAGTGGGAATGTTCTTGAGTGCCAGACGAGCTCTTGGTGCATTGTGGGACCAATTTCGCCCTGTCCCTTCATGTTCATGTGTCTTTGTCCATGCTGTTTGATGGACCTGCACTGGTTCACGCTCTCCCCCCTGGCGACTACCACGTAGTCCAACATCCTGATACCACCTCAACTTTGCCAACTTCCAGGACATTTTATTATTCTTTCTCTAGACAAACAGGAAGTGACAAAGCCCAGATACAAGTTAAGGGAACCGGCGATATGACTCAAGATTTAAAGCACCGACCGCGCTTCCAGTCGCCTGACGAAAGGCCTGATGGCAGGTCAAGACACCGAGGTCGATCTTTCAGAAGTGTGCAAAGAATACAGAGGTCGTTCTGGTGTATTCTCCAATATCAATGGTGAACCAACAGATGCTCGAAGCGTTCACGAGAATTCTCCAATGACAGCTAGGGTCGTCTGGGAAACATTTGCTTGCGAGAGATCGTGACTCGGCCATGTCTTTTCTCAGCTGATACTTCCAGAAACGTAAAGGGGGTCAGGAAGCGAGGAGCAAGAAATTAGGAGTCAAGATGCAACTTCAAGGCGTAGAAGCTACCCACATATTTGAGGTAGGTACCACCGCCCACTGTCACGAACGATGGCAGGCATTGACAACTGTACGGGGTTGCTCTCAGGGAGCAGTTGGGTGGTCGAAATCGAACCGCTTCAGGCAACTACTGAGAGGTGTTCTGGTAGCGAACATACTTGGTTGCTGCGATTGACTTTGATTGGCAGTACCATAAACAACATTCTTGATAACTTGTCCGGGCAGCTACTTACCGAGGGTTGCCCTAAACCGGCAGAGGGCTCGGCTGAGGGACGCGTCGGGAGCATTTTCGGAGTGCTCATCATGCTGTTGAGGGTACCTTTTAGGACGAGAAAGGCGGTCGACAAGAGTGTCAAGTGACGAAAAGGTACCAGGGGTGGATATTTTTAGACGTCATCGTGGGGTGCCTCTTACTGGGCAATACATCATCGGCCAACTTTCCGAGACTGTGCAGGCAGCCTTGCGATGCGTTTCTCGAGAGGATAGAGGAATAGTTGGACTAAGGGAGGGTAGGGAGAAACAAGCATGATGTGGAGGAGAAGACGGGGAGTCGAACAGGGAAAGATGGCGGATGGACGGACAAGGGACGTCGGGATAAGAATAAACACTCCGGAGTGTCGGAGAAATGGTTTTCCAGCCCGTTTCCACTTTTCCCCGGTGGCTATGAGTTAGTCGCAGCCTCGCTTGGATATACTTACAGTACTCCGTAGGCCTATAGCCGTCTCCATATGCAGCAAGAGAAGCAAGGATGCGTATGGCCCTATGCAAGTTCGAGCAAAAGTCCGCTGAGGCGATACATCAAAGCAGTTCTGTTGGACGGACTTCCCGAAAGATTGAGAGAATCTTTCTGACAGGAATACCGACCCTGGTCCCTACTGACGTTCATAATAGACCAACCGGGGGTATATGTAGACTGAATTGAATTCATCCCTCAATCAAACTTGTCTGAAAGTGCACCGTTGTGAGATGGCCGCAGCAAGCGCAATCGTTGGCAACACCAATAACAATAAATGACTCCTCTCAGTCAACTGTGTCAGCCTCAAACTATGCAAGAGGCAACGCCATACGAAGATCTGCCATCTCCATGATGACCTGCTTGACCGCGCCACTTTTGGTATCCACAAACCCGTGCCAACCCAGTTTGCGATTCTGGTCCGTGCTAATGACCCTGCTCCAACCACCCAGAACCTCTCCGTCGATCAATCCGAAAGTACACAGTGCTTTCTCATCGAATGGACTGCACGTCAATCCATGTTTCACCTTTAGTTCCTCCCATGCTTGCAGAATCTCCGGGTTTTTCCTCCACTCTAGAAAGCTGACACTTACCTTTACCATACCAGGTCCGCCGAATCCACGTGGCGGAGCAGGATACGATATGGTGATGGTCGGGTATGCATCAGCATGGGCGGCGGGAAGACCGACGGAAGTCTTGTATCAGCCCGCAAGTGTAGGCCAGAATTTGTTCCAAGCGATGGCGCTCGAGTTCCTGCTTCCGGGGTCAACAAAGCCCATTCTGCATGATAAGCGATCAAAGTCGACATGAATTGCTGTTTCCCAATCTCCCAAGTGGTATTTTTGTTCGTGCAGTATTCCATAAGGCCTTTCTGCGGAAAAATAAGGTCGCTTTGAATGCCATGCCGCGAGTCAGATTCTTTCATAGGTCTGGGTATTGGTCCGAGATGCCACTCGTAATATTTTGCACCATTGTGCAGCGGGATTCGCCTGGGACTGATTTCTGCGAGCAGGAGAGCTTGCGGCAAGTGAGACAACAAGGCGACATTCTGTGTGGTGGTTTCTTCAACGTCGCTCCATAAACTCTGTCCTGGGAGCGGAGGTGGCCGGACATGTGATGCAAATTAGATATAATCACTTCCTCAGCTAGACATATAACATTAGCGCCATCATCCCCCCTTGAGAATTTTAGCAATCTCATCGGGAGCGCTATTTAGAAAATCGACTGCAATAGGAACCACGTTCTCCATGTTGTCACCAACCTGGAGGACGTCGCAACAAGGCATAGATCATCCCCCACTTCCACCATCGCGGAGCCCGAGATGCCGTTTGCTCCTGTTCCAATGTATTGAGGAAAAGTTAGAAGACCACGAAAAGACCCCTTGGAGATGACTGTCCGCGACATTTTTGAATGCGAGGATCATATCAAGCTAGCACTTCACCCAGGATACAGGAACAGAAGAGTGATTTTCGACGCTCATTTTCGTGCGATCAAACTCATTCATACTTATACCCTGCTCTATGAGAGCATAACTATCAGTGGACGTCGAAATGAATAGAAAGTCGCCTGGATGATATTGCCAGCATGTTTTCCGTTGAATCTCCCATCACAGATACGGGCGAACGCAGTAGTAGGTTCAGAATGAAAATGAAATAAAATATGTGACGGCCAAAAATCTCGACCAATGCCCCCCATTGAGAAATTTCAGCGTACCTGTCACGTGTCAACCGGTCGAGTTATACCAATCAGCCTCGGTGCTGAGAGCCACAGTTACACGGTGTATAACACGTGCGATCGGAAAAGCTTCAGATTGCTTGGTTCTCGCTCTATGAGGCGGAGCTGTTAGTAATCGAAGGCGTGACGTAGATTGTCAAAGTAACAAATGACCAGAACGCTGTTCGCTGAAGCTTGGGATAAGACGAAACCATCTGGCATGGAGGTATGCAAATTCCGGATCAATGGTTCGAGATCACATTGTTAGACGAAAGTGTTCGTGTGCAGGAGTAGGTGCTGGTAGTTATTCACCGTCTACTCAGATAATAATCCGTCCAGTTCTAAGACTGGTAGCAAGTATGTAAAACCATGGCATGAGCCTGGTCTCTTTCTATCCCAAGTTTGCCTTGGAGAGTGACAACCATCTCGACCAGTGACGTTCTATCTCACGCCGACGTCGGCACCCTCTGGAAATATCTTTGTCCTGACATTCGACAATCGGGGACAATGGCAGTGTCTGGGATAATTGCGGTAGCCAAATGTCAGCTAGCTCCACCGATACTGATCAGGTCAAAAGCTCAGACGTGTCCTTATTGGGGGCCAAAGCGAAGGTTATGGTGACTGTACCCCATCAGTTCGAGCCTTCTCTGTCCATCGGATGGTACTCCAGTTCCTCCCATCGTTTTCTGACGTAGGTTGCCAATTGGGAGGTCAATTCCGGTGCCGGATGCTGTAGTCACACCAACTCCAAGAGTCTTCGAACTGTTTCTTTGTAAGCAGCCATGCCGAGCAAACACTTTTGCTAAGTCAGATTTAGTCGTTGGTGGTGGAGTGCAATTGGACAGAATGTCCCACCCTACAAACACAGGCTAAGCCACCCCAACTTAGCTCAAAACCTCTTAATTTCTGGAAGGATCCTGGGTCACCGTCTCACTAATTCCGGCCATGATCAGGGGATAGGTGTTTGGATTCATAGGTTAAAGGGTTGACTTCATGGCGTCTAGAGATAGCCCACAATGGCTCTTTATCAACAGTGATGCTAACCATATGAAACGAGATGACAGCGAGATCTTTCAGATCAACTCGTACATGAGCAAGACTCGTCGCAAAATCAATCGAGCATTGAGACAGAAAGAACTTGAGCTCAAGACCGGAGAATCGGCTGAGACTGCTGGAGGCGGTCATCAGAACGTAGTACCATACCATCCCCAGACACATGCCGCTGAGAGGCAAACAGCGCTTCCACAAGTCATTGTTTTCAGAAATCCAGCGCAGTCCAAGCGAAAGGCAAAAAACAGGAGAACGGAATTATTTCTGAATCGGCCGAGCAAAGAGGCGAATGTCGTTGATGACGATGCTCAGCAACTGCCCTCTTTGAGGACATTGATTGGAGACGGACCTCGCGGGGACCCGTTTGCGATATATCCTGTTAAGGCAACCCCGACTGTGCAAAGCGCTTTCGATTACTGTGAGCTTGCCCTCAGACAACAAGTGTGATCAAGGCTGACACTTTGCAGATGCTTCAGTGTATGCTCCACCAGCAATTGAATCGCTATTAGGCTCACCCGGGAATCCACCCTATACCGCATATTTTCAGATGATACTGGGTGATGTACTGCTCTTCCATGTTGTTATTGCGTATACACAGATCCACCAAGAACGCCTCCGTAGTGGCCAAGCGAAATGGAGTCCTCATTTTGCCTTCCATTCTCAACGGGCTTTAGAAATCCTTCACGACCGAATAGTCAAGAATGAAAACTGCACCAGTGATGCGACCGTCTTGAGCATCATTATGTTGGCAGGTTGCGCGGTAAGTTCTTTGAGTTTAGATGGCTGAGTCTTTAATGACAATTTTCCAGGGGATGCTGGCGGATTTTAAGGGGATTCAGGTCCATGCTGGGGGCCTCCGGAAAATCGTGGCAATGAGAGGTGGCCCCAAAACTCTTGGAGTGGACAGAGGGCTGGGCACTTACTTGAGGACCCGAGTGCAACAGTTTGTCCGCGCCCCACGCTTTGTCTTTGCTGTGGCTAACAATTGTCAGGGTCGAGCATGGTTACAGTGCATGGGTTAAGCAGCAAGAGGCCATGAAAGCCCGGCTAAGGTATCCTTCATCGCCAGTCCCTGACGATCTTCGGCAGAGAATAGAGAAGTTGCCGCCCGGATTCCGCAGGATTTGTCTTACAGGCTCGATCAACTTTCCTGTTATCGACTATTTAGAAAGAGCAATCCAGGTCTTCCATCCTCAAAACAGCGCGGACGCCGTCGACATTTTGACGCTCTTGACTGATGCGTACATGATCACTGAAACACCAGACCTCCAACTGGTGGAACGAATGATCATGGTGCCGGTGTCGTATCTTTGCCTTTACTGTGATCGAATTCAACGCGGTCACGGAAATGCTCCCAATGTGGCAGTCGTCGAAGGACAAGGAAGGAAACTATGTGCAGTATATGATTTGTCTGAATGTGACAGCGACTGTTTATTGTGGGCTGCGCTGATGCTCCACGAAACAGCCTTTCCAGATTCAGTGATACACGAATTTGTGAGCAGGGTTCTGGATGCTGTTGACATCAGCACAGATAAACAGCGGGAGCTCGAAAGCTCGTTCTTGCCGATGCCATCGAGGTACAACTGGCTACATCCTTCTTTGGGCCGAATAGAGGAAGCAGTTACAGAGACCATTGATAGGGGCCGTTCGGATCCCTGAGCTCAATCACGACAAGTGCCTGGATCCAGATATTTTTGGGGACATCAATGTTTTGGGCTGTGAATATTACCCTATCCCTTGCCTTAAATTTTGGGCGGCAAATCTTGCCATATTACATTGCAAGAATGGTTGGCTTTTCAAATATGCGCGAGGGTGCCGAAACGAGGCAATAGTCAACAGAAGTCCAACCTTTTTGAGATGGAAAGCGAAAAGACTCAGCAATGCACCTGCACGATTCCCCACACACGCACAGAGCCACATTATATTGTCATTCGAGAGACTTGATGAAACTGGTCGATGTTGCCATTGACTGCACAAAATCACTCCGACTCGCACAACACGGAGTAGCGAGCCTCATCACATGTCAGGCTGAGACTCCCAGACAAGCACGCGCAATCTTGTTTAGCCGCTTGTTGGAAGACGGACTTGTCCATTCGGCAGGTAACAGCGAAGAGAAGGAGTTCCCACCGCAACAGCAGCCATCAGCAGCAGCAGAGAGTACGATAAGCAAGGGACCACTGTCATTGGCTGTACAGGCAATGTTTTTGATACTCGAAGAGCAGAGCGTGTTGGTCTGTGAAGTATACATTACTCTCAATGTCAGTCAATACCTCGCCATCTTATATTTCGTATCAAATCAATCATATCAACTCACAAAAGTCAAGATGCCGATCGCGCTCCCAGACCTCGCTACAGTACTCGACGAGGCAACCCTTGATTTTGCCAAACTGAACCCGAAAAGCAAGATCATTAACGAGAGCTCCAACGTCTCACTCCCAGGAGGTATAAACTACTTTCACTGGAGTCCGTTATTTAGTTTTGGCTGACTAAATTCGGTTTCAGGAACAACTCGCAATGTCATCTACATGAAACCCTTCCCCGTGGTGATGACAGGTGGTGATGGCTCATATCTCACGGACGTGGATGGGCATAAATATCTGGATCTGTGCGGAGAATACAGCGCGTGCATGTTCGGGCACTCTTACCCTGCTATTAAAAAGGCTATGCATGATGCCATCGACCAAGGCTACGGGTTGGGTGCCCTGAACAAATACGAAGGGAAGTTAGCGAGTCTATTTTGCCGTCGCTTCAAAACCATGGACAAAATCCGCTTTTCCAACTCCGGTACGGAGGCAAACATGACAGCGCTAGCGCTGGTCAAGGCATATACGGGGAAAAGCAAGATCATTGTTTTCGAGTAAGTTGAGCTAGAAGCTCGAGCCCTTTCCATTTGGGTTGCCTTGGTAGTAATGATCCTTCACTAGAGGAGGATATCACGGCGGCCTTGCAGCATTTGCAACCGAAAGCGAGAACAACATGAAATCTAGTGGCAAAAAGACGATGAACGCCCCTCATGACTGGGTAGTGGTGCCTTATAATAACGTCGCGGCACTCGAAACTGCTGTCCACGAACACAAGGCAGATCTAGCATGTATCCTCGTTGAACTGATGCAAGGGTCCTCAGGATGTATTCCCGCAGATATCCCTTTCATCAAAGCCTGTCGAGCCCTGGCAACCGAAGCCGGTGCCGTCTTATTCTTCGACGAAGTCATGACCAGTCGCATGTCCGTTCACGGCTACCAAGATGTGATCGGCGTCTATCCTGACATGACGAGTCTTGGTAAGTATTTTGCCGGGGGAGGCCAGAATTTCGGAGCCTTTGGTGGGAAATCCGAGATTATGAGTCTTTTGGAACCTGGTTATCCCGGAGGAGTCTATCACAGCGGTACATTCAATAACAACATCACCACGATGGCGACTGCGACGGCTGTGTTGGAGCAGGTCTGGACCGAATCCGAAGCCACCGATCTATTCGACAAAGGAGTCTGGTTGCGTGAGGAGTTGAATAAGCTATCGGAGAAGCATAAATCGTCCATGCACGTCAGTGGGACTGGAAGCCTGATGACCATCCACTTCACAGGCAAAGAGATCAAGTGCGCCGCAGATGCCCACTCAGGCAATTCAGTGCTGAAGGAGCTGTTCTTTTTCGATATGTTGAAGAAAGGTTTCTGGCTGGCCAGACGGGGCATGATTAGTCTCATGACAGTGACAACGAGGCAGGAGCTGCGGATGTTCCTTGACGCAGTGGATGAATTTTTGAGGGAGAGAGCGGAATTTGTTGGCATGAACTAGGAGTGTGAGAACAAACGGGTATTACATTTTATCTCCTGCCTTTCATATTCTTCGACTTGTGAAATACTCAAATCCAAAATGCCGACTGTTTTCGAGGAAGATCTCCTTGGTGGCTTGTATTGACATCCATCCACTAGTGATTCGGGCTCTTAAAATCTAACATACGACAGGATCCTCTTCCACATGGGCTGTGCAAAATAGGCATCCAAAAACGCGATATCATCCTCGGTCAAAGGACGTCGTCCGGTCTTCAAATCAGCGGTCGCTGGGTCAACAATTTTGGTACGAAAGCATAACTTGTACCCCAAATAAGCTGCAATCCAAATCGGAACCCCCAGGAATGTCTGGAAAAATGCTTCCGCACTAGGAGGGGCACCCCCGATGGGGAACAGGGCAACGTAGCCGGTTCCAAATAGGACGAGGAAGGATGTGACGAATAAGTAAATGGCGGTGATGGGAAAGCCCCTCAACTTCCATGCGTAAGGCAGAGTCCAGGCGGGGTCGTTTTGTAATTTGATGGCTCTGTGCATTTGGACGTTGGAGATAGAGATTGCCATCCAGCTCATGAAGTAGACGGTGGCCGAGATGGAGCTAAACCACGTGAAAATGATGCCGCCGGTGTTAGAGCAGTTGATGTAGGTGCAGACCGTGGAGAAGGCCGCTGTGATCGCGAGGGCCCAGCGAGGTCTGCCCTTTTTGTCGATACGGCCGAGGAATCGGGGGAACATGCCCATCGTGGCCATAGCAATCATGGCTCGAGATGAGACGTACATGGACTCTGCTCCGATAGCAACCAAGCCGAGCAAGACCACAGCGTTCAAAAAGTCGGGAAGACCCTTGATTCCAGCATTGACCAAGGCAATGACGAATGGGGAACTTGCAATGGTGCTGGTGCCAAGGAGTCTCTCCTCCGTGTACGGGACTAGGATAGTGATGAAAACAATCGAAAGCTCGTAAAAGACTAGGATTCTGATGAACAGGTTCTTGCATGCTCTAGGCATGTCCCATCGAGGCCTATGTGCTTCAGCTGCACTCAGCGACATAATCTCCTGCCCACCGGTGGCCCATGCCGCGAGAGTAAATGTCGTGCAAAGGCCCTTCATGCCATTGGGAAAGGCCGGGGCGGAGGTATAATTCCAAGCATGGTCGGTACTTCCGGTGGGTCCAGCGCCAGCGACCATGGCGATACAGCTGAAAATGATGATGAACATGGAAAGAACTTTCAATGCAGCGGTGCCGAACTCGAATTCTGCGAACCATAGGTTGGGGAGGGCATGGATTCCGAAGACCAGGACTAGATAGATTGTCATAGCCGCCGCGGTCGGCAAGTCATCGCTCCAGAAGCTTGAGAGTGGTTAGAAGTTTATAACTATGATATCTCATGGAAAGGCTCACGTTAAGATGACACGGACAATGGCACCTTCTGCCGCAACAACCGTCATCCAAGCAAACCACTCGGTGAAACCTGTAGTTAAAATTTTTTTTCAATCAGGACAAAAGTATAGGCTGCTTCGGAGATTGTACAACTCACCGCAAGCAAATCCCATTGCAGGGTCAACAAATCGAGCAGCATGATTGATGAAACCACCGGAAGTCGGCCAGATGCAAGTCGCTTCGGACAAAAGATTCATCGTCGCTAGTGCCATGCTGCAAATGAGCGAGTAACCGATCAACATTGACGCCGCTCCGCCGTTGTGGAGGGCTTTGCCAGTGCTGATGAACAAACCGCTGCCGATGCAGCCACCGAGGGTGATCATTTGAATATGGCGAGCTTTGAACGTGCGGTGGAGTTCTCCATGGTGAGAGCTCTCAGGCTCGCCGGCATAATCGATGACCTGGCCGGGAGCCACATCGTCACTGGATGTCTCCTTGTCGAAGGCCGATGGGGACTTCATGTTCATTTTGTCGCCCATATCAAAAATAAAGCTGACTTATTCTTCCAGATGAGGAAGGGTGAATGATGATCACAGGACTCGCTAGCGAGCACGCAAGTATCCATGTGTGGCCAGCGGCATTTATATAAAGATCAATGGACCAATTTGGGACGGCATGGCAGGAGCATCAAGAAGAGATAACCCGGATATCTTAACGTTCAGAACATAGTCGTCTCGTATGGGCCACTGCGGAAAGTGAAAGTCCTGCCTTGGACACCGTCTAGAATTCGCCTTGGGTAAGCGATACGGGACGATAAGCCAGAGGTTTGATACCCACAAATTTGTAGCACATACGGTATAGAATGTCTATTCACCATGAAACGGATGGCGTGAGTTGCCTTTGAAATATTCTGGCCAATGGCAGCTTGGTCAAGATAAGGAAACAAGCCAGGGGATAGCGGAAAGTGGGGTGATAAAACGCGAAAGGCTGAATGGCTGGATGTAGATTTCTCCGGAGCACTCATTAGATAAGGTCACAAATCAATTGTCGGATGATCGATTGGCCACGCTCCCCTGACCGAAGCACTCCTACGAGGGCCTCGAGAGCTATGTTCGAAGGAGGCCTTTGTCACCGTCTATGTCGAGTAGGAGCGAGCACACCCGGACATGGGACCGATGAATACTTCCCATAACATATAAATCACCATTTTGAAGGCTTCGGCAGTAGTATTTTCCCGGTAAGAGTGTCGCCGAATTGTCAATCTTTTCGAAAGAAGCTATGGACAAGATCGCTCAGGTCAGCATCAACTCAGCTTGTCTTTCTTCGGCAATTGCTCGCCATTGGCTTGTAACTCGAGATTTTGGCGTGCTGTCTTTGTTCCAGACCTCAAGGGCGATGGCATTGCCCCCCCAGGCTGCCTGAAAGCCGTATCGCTTTGCTCTGTCAAACCATGCTTTGAAGCGAACCTGAAGAGAGGCGTCGAATGCCTCGGACGCAGCAATAAAGGCCGGCCAAAATAGAGGTCCAGCATAGACCTTTGACTCGTCCTTGATCTTTTCGATCGCTTCCAGATGCGAAAGCACGCTTTCGACATACGGCCGCAAGTGGCGATGATGTATAAGTCGGACATGTTGCGAGAAATACAAGACGATGGCGTGATGAAAAGCCCGGGTTTGATGGTCGATGATTTTTCCCGTATTATCTCCGCGCAACACCGAGGAGCACTTCGATAGCTCGGACTCGATTGGCCAGTTGAGGATCTCTTCATCAATATCATCACACATTTCGGCTAGTTTGGTAGAGTATAGAACGCCCGGGTTGCGCCGACGAAACCGAGCAACCAGCTGGACGACTCGTATTGCATTTCTCATGACCACGAGAAGACTCTGTGGAACACCGTAGATATATTCGCAGGAAGTCATGTCCGTGGAACTACTATCACCCATCTCAAGCCAGTCATCATCGTCGACTCTGTCTGTCTCCAAGGCATCATCTGGGGGGCCTGAAGCTGCCGATTGCGCCTGGCAATTTGGATGGCAATCTTGTTTATCCAAGGTTGTACTCGCATGTATCGTTCGTAGATAGAAGAAAATTCGATGCAGGGCTCTTGCTTTGGGAGAATATTTAGTCTTTGTCTTACTTGCACTACGAATGAGCTGCTCGCACCCGGAGAGATGAAGCGAGCATGTGCCTGTATCGCCAGAAACAACCTAGGTCCTGTGTCAGCCCATGCTTTCGAAAAGATTCGGGATCAAATATCTCACGTCAATCGTTATCATGGAGAGCATGGCAGCCAACAACTCCTTGTATTTGGGCTTGGATTTGGAATGAAGATCGTGTTCAACGGAATGCTTTAAAAGTCTGATGGCTTTGTATCGCAATTGGAGCGCCATCCTTGACCATTTCCCAATATCTTTGTCTTGGCCTGCAATCGTCAAATTGTTGACGAGAATATATGCGCTGACCGATAAAATGGCATGAAGCAAAGCGTTACGGGCGTTGGAAGTCGCGCCAAATGCTCCGAGCTCCCCACAGCTCTGAAGGGCTCGGGGTAAGTGAAATGACCTCCATGGACTTTTGGTGTTGTCAATCACGCAAAAGAGTTTGACCACTTTATGCATGTAGTGTTGCAACAGAAAGCGATTGTCGTGAGACATGAATGTGGAACGAGGTTGGTAAAATGACAATGATAACGGATCTTCAATCTCATCATCTTCCTCATACTGGAATGTCGGGTCTCCCGACGAGGGCCAATTCAAGTCTTGTTGCCCAAACCGATCTACAAAACAAGGAGTCTCGTGTGGGAAATGTAATCCTGGCCGGGATACTGAGGGGCTGTGGTATGGATTTTGGTCAAAGAATGGAGAATATGGCTCATTCTGCTGCGTCAAATTGAAGTCGGGGGGACTCTGAGATGAATTCTGTGAGGGCTGACGAGAATGACCATTCCTGATGGAGTCTTCTTCAAAAACAGTCGACAGATACTCCTGAATTTGGGGATTCTCCAATGTCGTTTCGTTCCAGCGTCCAGGTTGGGCGTCATTGGTCCTAAACTCGACAGACGTAGAAGGCAGAGAATTGGCAGATGTGGAGACCTGGAAGACGCCGAATGGACCACGAGTTGTTGTCAAACCTGCTTCGCCGTACCCTGTCCACGGGCAATTGTCGATAGTGGACAGGGCTTCATCAATCTCAGCGCTTCCAAGAATGGAGATTGTAGGTGCTATTGCTCAAGTGTGAGTTCATGTTCATGGCAAATAAGGCAAATGGTTCTTGCCTGCCAGGATCTGGCGCCTGGAAGAAATCGTTGTCCGAACCAAGGCTGAAGGTGTCCCATGTCCACTGGTGTGGGTAAGGCCAGTCTCAGGGGCTAACCACTGCAAACGGGTGCCATAGCCTTCACAGTCCAGGTTCTTGATGGTACATTGCCGGCAGATTGGCTGACCTTCGTCGCACTTGAGTTTCCGACTTCGACAAGTCCAGCAGCCCGTGAAGGTCTTGGTTCGTTTACGACTTGATGAAGTTGACGGCGACATTTTAGAAGCTCGGGGGAATCAGTTTCAATACTGAGAAGTGGCAGGAATGTAATGGCGATGCATCCCGTGTGGTGCGTATGAAAGTTGAAGGTTGAACTGGGTCAAAGCCAAATGTGGGTCCACGGTGGAGAAAGACTTATCTCCTGGATATCTCCGGATATCTGAGTTCAACAACTTAGCTGTGTGACAGGGGCGAACATTGTTGACAAAAGCTGAGAATTTCCTGCTCCAAATTCGAGATCTGAGAGTCTGACTGCTCATAGAGGTAGCTCCAAAATCCTCGTAGCAGACGATAACAAGAGTGGGGCAGTCAACTAACGACCATGAAACAGAAAGCCTTGTCAAAAGGCGGGGATGGCCAAGACGGTGAGTGCTATCTTTGAGCATTCTCACTGGCCCGCTGTCACCTTCTTCTTTCTATCAGAGGAGAACTCCGTCGCCATGAGGGGTGGATCAAGCGACATCCCTCAACTCTCTGCAGCTCTGTGTTCGTCCGATGACCGTTTTTGGATTTCGGGGGATTTCCGGTGAACTCTCGCACCGCCTTCCACCATTTCTTGTCGATAAGGCTTCATCCTCACAGTTTCTCTCTCAGATAACAAAAATCTCCATCATGGCGCCCATCTCGACTTCCACGATAACCGAGGCCTCCCCAACTCCGCAATCTGCCGCCTACAGCTTTCGTGCAAAGGCCAAAGCAAAGAGCAAGAATCCCAATTTTGCAGCGGTGTCTTGTGGAGGCTATGATTATCCCGGGATTCCAGTTATCGAAGACCCATACAAGAAACGACAATGGCAACTAGAACATATGGCTGGGGCTTTCAGGGTTTTCGCGCGCAAAGGATTCACAGAAGGGACTGCAGGACACATCAGCGTGCGAGACCCGGTAGACCCTAAAACATTTTGGATCAACCCGTTAGGGAAGCATTTTGCCATGCTCAAGGCCAGTGACATGGTCCATGTGGATGAAAATGGACAGGTCATCGGTGGTAACCAAGTGGCCGTCAATGCGGCCGGGTTTATGATTCATTCGGCAATTCACAAGGCCCGGCCGGACATCAATGCCGCGTGCCATACCCATTCTCCCGCCGGGAAAGCGTGGTCAACGTTTGGCAGGCCCTTGGACATCATTAATCAGGATGCTTGTACATTCTGGAACAATCAGGCAGTTTATAACTCGTTTGGAGGAGTCGTTCTAGAGAAGGAGGAAGGTGAGAGGATTGCACAAGCATTGGGCGAGAAAAACAGGGTTGTCATTCTTCAGAATCACGGTCTTCTTACGACGGGCAGCACAGTCGACGAAGCCGCCTATCTTTTTACTTTGATGGAGCGAACCTGCGAAGTCCAAATCATGGTTGAAAGTGCAGGCATTGAAAAGGTCTTCGTTGGAGACAGAGAGGCAGAATATACTTATCAAAGTGGTGCAGACCCGGTATGTCTTACAACCGATACATACTTTCCGGAAGCGCCCGGCTGATTGAAAATCAACAGGAGACACTGTACACAGAATTCCGGCCTGACTTTGAATATGAGATATGGAAATCGAAGGGTGAGCTGACTGATGGATTGTAAAATTAAACCACCACCCTTGGTTGTACAGGCATAGAATCCCATTTCTTCACCATAGATACCTTGGGTTGAAGTAGAGGAGACAAAACGATAATCTTCTCTAAATCAGATACCCGGACAGCAAGATGCAGAGGAGCACCGGTTGGGGCTTGTCCCATCTATCAAGCGGAGCAGGGCGTCAGCAGGACCGAACCAACCTAAAGGGCGTAGATATATCCACTCGACATGCAGGCGAGTGGACTAGTTTTGTCGCCGGTCCCCTTGACGCAAAGGGCGTGGCTCCAGATTATCAGCCGTACGGAGAAGTTGTATGTTCTATAAAAACACAGGTTTCTCGAGTCGGCTCAACGAAGAGTGATTCTTCCATCCAAGTCATCGTACCCCGGGTAACATTGTCAAGACCACATCTTCATCTCTATCAACATGGCAAACCGCGGAAGAACACTGGACCCAGAGGTTTTTTGCATAAAAGATCTGAAGGAAAAGGCATCGAAGAAACTTCCTAAGATGTATCGGGGTATAATAACAGTATCATCCCCTAATGTCCTGACTAAGGCTGACCACAGTCAGAATACTTCAACGAAGGTGCCATGGACATGATAACGTTCGTCTTCTTCCACCACATCGTCAGAGCCACGAGGAGAGAGTCTTTTGTTTTCTAACACGTTCTCTCCTGCATACATATAGACTCGGTGACAACGAAGCCGCCTTTGACCGATATCGTATCCGCCCTCGAATTCTCCGCAACGTCTCGAACATCGACCCCAGCACCACTATCTGGGGCAGCAAAGTGCTTTTCCCGTTCGGCTTCTCTCCAGCTGCCATGCATCGTCTGGCTCATCCCGATGGGGAAATCGGAACGTCCAAGGCCTGCGCCGCACTTAATGTGGCCATGGGACTTTCTACGTACTCGAATGATTCGTTGGAAGATGTCATTAAGCAAGGAGAGGGAAGGACCAACCCCTACGCCATGCAAGTGACTCTGTTGAGAAGTCGAGGTTTGACGGAGCAATTATTGAAGAGGGCGAAGAGTAAGTGAAAGCCGTGTGCCTGGCGAGCTTCCGTGAGAGGCGGATTGTGTCCGACGATGAAAAACTGTCGATCGCTGACCACAACAACAACGAGCGTTTAGAGGCTGGTTACAAAGCGATTATTCTAACGGTGGACGCGCCCATGTTGGGTCGACGGCTGAACGAGTTTCGGAATAGCTTCTGCATGCCCACTGGCACGACATATCCTAACATAGCACCTGAGTTAGACATGAGCAACTTGGAGGGTGGTGACAATGATTTGGCATATGGTTGGCCGCCCCGGAGTCCATTCTGGATGTGAAGATTGATCGCTAACGTACAAGCCTTCCAAAAGAGAACGGCGTGGACTGGAATGAAGCAATCTCCTTCCTAAAAAGTCAATCCGACCTCGAATTCTGGGTTAAAGGCGGTAAGCCCCCTTTCCCCTTTGGCGTTCCCCATTTCCAACTAAGGATCGTCTTCTTACGAATCGAATCCAGTCTACACTGCCGAAGACGTTGCGACTGCCATCCACTACGGCCTTGATGGAGTCGTCATCTCCAACCACGGTGGACGCCAGCTTGACAGTGTGCCGGCAACCTTGGATGCTCTACGAGAATGTGCTCCCGTCGCTAAAGGCAAGATCAAAATCGCCATTGACGGTGGAATTCGGCGAGGAACCGATATTTTCAAAGCTTTGGCTCTAGGGGCGGATTTCTGCTTTGCTGGTAGAATTCCCATTTGGGGTCTAGCTGTAAGTTTGGCTCTACAACTATCGAGCTGATCGATAAGTGATGGAATACTAATAGCCGTGATAGTACAATGGCACCAAGGGCGTCGAACTTGCGATCAACTTGCTTTATGACGAGTTTAAATTGACCATGGGTCTTGCAGGGTGAGTGACGATTCTATCCAGGCAGGCTGATATACACCACTAAATTAAAGTTTTTTTTACAACAACAGTTGCAAGAATATCTCCGAAATCAGTCGCGGTCATTTGTCAATCTTGGAGAACAATGGTGTTCTCTCCAAGCTGTAAGAGACGATGTTCCTATGATGTGATGTTTGCCACGGTGGATAGATAGTGTCACTGTTCTCGAGCGATTTCTTTCAAATGATCAACGTCTTTTCCGTATTGTGTTGTCGGCGATTCGGATAGATAGGAAGCTCAACCATATAAACTATTTTCACTCCATTTGGGCACCACCAGCCCCTTTGCTTCCATCGTTTTCCACTGTAGTCCCTTCAGAAACCCATAGATGATCTTCAACGTTGGCGTCGGAACACCAAGCTTCTCAGCTTCCCTGATCGGTTCACCCACGATGTTCTCGAATTCAATGTAATTTCCCTGTCAAGATGAACCGGTCAGCGTGTTGCACGCCAATATTTCTTCTGGCCCACTGTTTCTTAAAGAACACAAACCTTCTCAATGTCCTGACACATGCTCGGCTTGAAGTAAGTGTCTTTCGGGTCCACCCTAATCATGACCTCAGCAATATCCGCCGGAAGCTCCACACCCACAGCCTTCGCAGCAGCTTTGATCTCCAGCATTGCCGGCCGAATTAAATTATCGATGATATGTTCCGAAATTCTCATCCTCGTGGTATCCAATCGCAGAACCGTTGCGACCGAATTGAACGAGGCATTGTACACGAGCTTCCGCCACCGAGTGTACAGGACATTATCGTCGAATTGACAGTCGACCTTGCCACAGGCATTGTAGATTTCACAAAACTTTTTGGCCGCTGCTTCACGGACTTCCTTGGGGATCTTGGGGGAGTCGTACGGTCCAATTTTCAGAACATCGTTGTCGTCATGACGAATTTTGCCAGGCGCGGTCTCTGTGGCGCCAATCAAGCTAACTCCAGACAGGACAACGTTTTCTGGATATTTTTCAATCAGAGGCTTTTCGATATTGAGTCCATTCTGGACGAGCGCAATGGTCGTGTGGCCAGGAGTTACGGCCGGCTCAATGATTTCCTCGACCGTGGGTTTCACGTCGGCAATGTTTTTGGTAGTGACGACAATGAAATCGAAAGGTTTTATCCCTTCTTCTGCGACGTTCGGAACTTTGTTGCACACTTGATTTAATCCGTTCAGCGATTTCTTTCGATCGTTTGCAGAGTCTCTTTGAACATGGGGCTTACATTTCGTGGGCTTCCAAGGCCCGATCCCGTCTCCGTGTTCAATGGAATCAATGAAGAACCCGGCCTTCTGAACAGCTTCGTAGTTCGATCTCAGTACAGCTGTCACCTCGGCCTGGCAGCCAGTTTCAAGCGCGTATGCGGCCATCGTGCCCACACCACCACTGCCTACCAGCAAAACATTGGTTCTCGTCGGTTGAATCATGTTGAGAATCAGACTGATGGACTTCCTCACAATGAAAGGGCTGTGTATCTCTTTCTCCGTATGTCCCTAAAAAAATAAATAAAGCCCTCGCATGTGATATGTTGTTGAAGATCAGACTACCAGGCAGACCCGACCGAGGAGTTGTTCTTCGGTTGCCATGTTCGATGACTAAATTAGCTGCCGTGGTTGGTACCTCATTCTCACATGCTTCCGCAGCATGATGATGTGATTAATAGCGAACCCCATTTTACCTGTCCCTAAAATATCTTAGAATCGAATCGAGAAGGGAAGGTCGTGGCATTGCTTGCCCAGAATCATTTTCATCTATGGCCTCGGAGATGAGCGAAAGTCGCCTTCTGAATTGGTTGGACCGATGCTTATCTCGACGAGGCTCCCTTATCTTACAGTACGCGAAAGCTCTTTGGACAACGATAAGCCGCTGGATAGGTCGCCGCACGTAGCTTACAAGGGTATTATAGGAACCTAGTTTGAAGATTACTTGGTAGCAATGAGAAGACACCTACCGACAAGGCTGAAACATTTCGACGACTACGTCTGGAGAATTGACAAAACCAGCCTCTTGACCTTTGCAGCAGCCCCGAGCGAATAGACGTAGCCAGCTCCCCTGAAGCCATATGCATGGACCGTTCTTCCTTCCAGTTCGACCCGGATTCCGCCATGGCGACCAGGACGCACTCCCACAATATCCCGAATAACATCTTTGTCCCCATCAACATGTGTCACCCCCAACCGGTTTATCCGTTGCAAGATGTCCTTCCTGATATCCACATTCACAGCGCCGTCTAATTCATTCTCTTGGCTAACTCCGCCAATGACGACTCCTCCTGAAAACATTCGAGGAATGATATAGGTGTACTCGGCTCCTTGAATCAAAATCACCTCGTCAAAGTCGCTCCTCACAAACATGGTTTGACCCCTGTAGCCCACCACAGCTTCGTCACTCGCCAGAACTTTGGCACCTAGTCCGGAAGCATTGACGATTATGGAAGAACCAGTCAACTCAGTTGCTTCAGATAAAGACTTGATCTCAGCGCGGGTAAATTCAACCCCAAGATTGTCCAATTTGGATTTGAGCCAGGGTAAAAACACGTCAGGGTTGGCCAGACAGGTCTCAAATGAGAATCCAATTTTGCAGCCTGTTGGCAGTTTTGATTCTGGGACACGCTCATAGTTTTTAACAAAGTCTTTATACCAGATTGAATCATCCGTGTCCCTGTCCGTGTAATATTCGGTGGCTTTCGCAATCTGCCGTGCAGGACGTTAGAAATTAACATATTCAACGGTCGATCGTCATCGAGGATACGCTTACTCTAACACTACTGCCGGGCTCTTCTTTGGCCAGCTTCTCATACCAACGATATGACTCCTTAGCCATCTCTTCCTCGCCCATTTCAGGAGGAGGAATTAAAGTGGCACCGGCGTATGGACTAGCCCAATTGATCCCACCATCTCCGGGTAGGTCTCGGGCAACGACGTGAACCCGGAACCCTTCTTCAGCAAGTAACAGTGCTGAGGCAAGGCCGATGATACCAGCACCCACCACTGTGACGGATTCTGAACTTGCTTGCCTTTCAGATGTCATTTTTGACCAAGAATTCCTGGCTCGCAGTGGGCGCAAAGGGGAAAAAAGGCTTCAAAAAATCGCAGACTTCGGTAATGACGGCTCAAGATGTGACTTTGCCTTGGGAAACTCTGATCCTTGAATCTGAAAAGCATACTCGGTGAGATTATAATTGATCCCCCCCGTGTGGATGAAGACAAAGGGTTGATAAGAAGTGCGAGAAAGTGGAGATAAGTGGTTCAAAAGAGGAAGTCGACACCCTGCCCTACTTCATTGAGTGGAAGGCTCTGTGGCACAAACCACACGTGGAGACGCATGGATTGAGGAGAGGTAGGCTCAGAAGATTTGTTGTCACAAAGCTGCCCTTGAACTGTGAAAGCTCTCATTGCATTGAATAAGTAGATATAAGGAGGGTAAGGAGCTGGTCACCTTCCAGGGGACTTCCGCCAATCAAAGGCACCCAATTGCGGAACTGGGGCGTTGCTAGGATTCAGTCGTGGTGGAGATTGAGAGATGAGTGTGTATAGGAGACTTCCATTTGGACTCGAGAGAGTCGGAAGATTGAAGACTAATATTTCCAAGGTGTCATTGCTCCTTGAATGAGTAGATTTCTCTCCCTCCAGACGGCTCGACATATCACTGTCATGGGCCAACAGCAGCTGCTCTTCCCAGGGAAACACGGCAGCTTCTGAATTTTTCAGGGCAGGTTCACATCAACGCCGAGGTATTCATCTTCTCCAGCTCTTCATCCAGGAAATCCTCCTTTTCTGGGGCTCTCTTTTTCCAAACTAAACTCGGGCTTCCTGTGACTTATCCACCCATCACCGCAGGCGGATGATTGCTTCTGTTTCCGGCGAATCGAGCAGCACGGCCAGCTAGGGCCTGGGATTGTCATCCTACATGAAATCGCAGGTCGATCAAGGGAACAGGGCATTTTTGGAAAGTAGAAGGATTAGGCGTAGCCGTAGGTTTAGCTTAGAGCGAGTTCTATCGGCGACTATCTGCTCAGACACATCATCAATAGCATCTTGACCCAAATCTCACCGGAATTGGAAAGACAATCAGCATTCCGTCCTTTTCTGGCCCCGAGTAGGAGCTGAGGCAATAACGTAAGGAGCCAAGTGGTCGTCGTTGAGTATGATGTTCAACAAGCCGTGGCTTCGCTCGAATGAAGCCTGGGAAGCTGCACTTCCAGTCGAGACTATGGAGGATCACAAGTATTGCGGTATTTGTAGCACATCGAAGGTTCTCATGGGTGTTGAAGAATAGGGAATGATGGCGATTGTGGCTGATCCGTCGAAAATTGTCCATACAGACTCACCACGTTAATTCGAAGTCGAAAAGCGCAGCTTGTCAGACAAGAGAACCTCTTCCAGTCCACCCTGCTTGTCTGACTGGGTCAATTTTTCTTCCGCATTTGCACGCGATCAACAACCCTGGTGTCTTGGTCGTAATCAATCAAGCAGAAATATCGACATCTTCGCTTGGTGTTATAGTGTCCAGATATCACTAATCCTTAGGATCAGTCAGTTCTTTGTCAGAATTTTCATCATGTAAGTAAACAAAACCTCATTTTCAGTTCGACAAAATCATCCGTCAGTCCAGCATCCAGGCATAAAGTCGTTCGCTCTCCATCCATACGTGTTTGATACCCCATGACCGAAAGATACACTTGACAGCGCGTCAAAAATCCTCAGAGATCCGCAAATGCCCTCGAAGCCAAGCTCGTTATATCCCTGTGTTCATGGCTCTATTGGGTTACAGTCGCCTCAATCTCCAACAAAGGTCTCGAATAAAATAGAATGGCGAATTGGAAACAAAATACCCCCGATCCTCACTCGGTCATGCAAAGCGAGAGCATTCCCCGGGCCATGTCCTGACCTTTCAGCCGCAAATCCCAGATTCTCTCGGCCAAACTCCCCACCGATTGGACAACCATTAGGATCCTCCATTTCCGCGCCACTCCCTTCTTTGCTGTTATCATTGCTGCCCTGCAGAGTCGTTTATAGCGTGTCGGTCAGGAATCGGGGATATGCTACCGGGGATGATATGAAACAATATCTATGGATATATGACCCACAGCCGTTTCGTGCCTGTCACAGTCGTTTGGCGCCAGGCTGGCTGTTCAGAAAAATCAATCCGGCCTTTGACTGAAAGGGCAAAAAGTACTCAGTCAGCCCAAAAACAGCCTCTTACTAGACTATGTCAGACCTTTCCAAGCCGTTTCTCTAGGGAAGTCCATCCGCAATGGTCATTGCAACGTGTCTTCGACAATAATTAACTTCTTCCATATCAAAATTATCACAGTTTTACCCGTTGGCATCTTCAGTCTTCAAAAAGCTCAAAGGACTGCTATTTCCGATCCAGTGGTTCTAGACACGTTTGACGATTCGACATTTCAACACGCGGCCTCAGTGGACTCAAGAGCCGCCTACATTGTCAACGGCAATCAACAATACAACGTCCGTCTTCCTGTTGGGACCACCGATTCGTGTACTGCAGAGTTTCAGTCCACAAAGATGGATTTTTCAACGGGAGTTTGATTTTCTTCGCTGCAGTTAACGCCTTTTGGAGTGCGATTCTGGAGAAGTCACCTAACTACATCAATTCATTCCCGTCGGGAAGTCAATACAGTCGTAGCGGCTTACTACAATACCTCCGTTTCACTACCTGGTAGCCAGATATTCAACGCCATCCTCGATACTCCGGATTAGTATTGCCAGCAAAATGACACTACTCATCGCTTCGGGTATCGTGAGTCATTTCTGAATGTGTCCCGCTCAAATCCATCCCAGAGGGTTCCCAAGAAGGTCAGATATATGATCGCAGTCGGTTATTCGGAAGACTTCTCCCAGAACAACAAGACGATGCTCAACTCGTCCTGCATATTTTTGCATTTCCTTCCCCAAACCGCTCACCCATGCGACGTATTATCAAAGTTCAACAATTCTTCGAACAGAAAGCGATTACAGAACCCTGCCTGGGGCGGAAACAGCTCCGCTAGCGACATCGAATCTAATTCATGTTCTGAGTCGGTTGACTGAGACTCATTACCGTCTGTAGCAAGAGACTTGAAAATGCCCGAAGTCTTGATGCTTCGCGGCGGCCAAATGAGACTCGAAGCAACTCGCTCCCTCTCCATAATGAGGGCGTTTAAGAGACGGGCTCCTCGCACGGCGACGATACTAGTGTCGAATTTCCTCAGCAGTTCAATGCATTCCGTCACGAGGGTCTTGTGGGTTGGGAATTCCGAGTCCGAGTCCGGACGATGGAACAAGTCGAGGCAGAGAATGATGCCGGCGACGACGCAGAAGGCTTTGTCGACCCAGATGATGGGTCCGTCGATATCGTGGGCCCCTTTCGCTTCGTTGAGGATCGTCTTCGCGGCCGCCATGCTGGTCATGCGGGTGATTGAGTATGCCGGGTTCGTGAAGCTCTGTCGAATGAAGGCCCGGTGGATCATGATAATTTTGTGCGCGAAGCATATCGTGAGACTTCTTCTCGCCCAGGGAATCCACTCGGGCCATGAAGGATCGATGGGCTCGACGACGTGAAAGTATCGGGGCATCCCTTGGGTGGCCAAAGATCGCATTCGGGCGTCGTAGCCGAGGACATGTTCATATTTGGTGAATTGGGTCGTGGAGTTGAGCATTGCTGCGTGGTGGCCGGCCATCAATTGCGCAATTTCAAACAAATAGTTGCCGTAGCTGATGTACGTCGGAAGTGTTGCCGGGATTGGATCCATTGTCAAATGATCCCGACTTGAAGGCTTGGTCGTTGTGAAATGAAGCGGGTTGATGGTGTGACTGTCGAAAAAGGGTAGAGACATCCAATCTTGCACGCACAGCTGAGACCACAATCTTCGGCCCATTTCCCTCTTGAGCAGTTTATGTCGTTGATCTTCGGGAGAAGAGTTTGTGATCTTTTCCAGCGTCGGATCGTGGTGGAGTCTGTCAAGCCCCAAGCTCCGAGCAATACTTAAAGCGGCCCCCAGAAGAACAGAGAGTTCACTAGAATGGCCCAGAGAGTGTGCGGACATGGTCAGAGTGGCAATGGCATGAATCGAGTAGATATTGTGATTTGAGGTGAATTCGGCTTGATTCAGGCAAGATATGGTTGCTTTGTACCATTGCAGAGATAATCTCGTAGCTTCTTGTTTGGAAAATCCCCATGACTCGAGTCGGCGATCTGTCGCACAAGTCAAGCTCCCTGCCATGATAGAGAAGAGAAGAGCAAGCCACTGCAGGTGGAGGCCATGAATGGTCAGTGTGGATTGTTGTTCTTGGTCGGTCAAGACGCTTGATAACTCCCATCTAAATGTAGGTCCATGATAGCAGCCATGGTACCATAGAAGACACAGCTCGTGATAGTCTACCAGATACCATATCTGCTGAGGACTTGGCAAGAGCATTTGCAGGAATGCTTCATTTGCCGCAACGGTAGAATTGAACCCGAGCCCCGTAGGTGCAACCCATGATAAACGGCTCGCATTCGACCCAACAAGAGATCTCCGTACCCATGGAGGATCATGAAGACTGAACGAATAGCGTGGTCGTACCTCATTAGCACCTAGAGTATGACCCTGGGATCCGGCCCAAGTAGCATCCGGTCCCAAATTGTTCGTGCGTGCCTCTGGACTGTCGAAAAGAGTCGGGGCCGGAGCGATTGGCTGGCTTGAATATTCTATGAACACGTCAGCCGATGGAGACTGCTTTTGTTTCCTGGGGTAGACGCGATGAATCTCTTTGTTGTATCCACCGGGCCAGTACCGAGTGCACTTGTCGGCGACTCCACGTTTAATGCAACGTGCGCAGGGGATGTTCCGATCACACTTCTGTCTGCGGAGTGAGCATTCCGTGCAGGTTTGTCGAGGCCGTATTACAGACATATCGGTGAGAACGATTGGATTTTCCCGGCCCGAACTGTCTGAAAGCAGTGGGTTTGGGCCAGAGCGAGTGGAAGTTGTCAAGAAAATTGCTAGCGCGGGATGCTGGTACGACAAAAAAGTTTTTCCGACCCCGTGATTGCCCGTCGTACAGATCCTATCACGTGTCAGGCTGAGGAATTGTCGACGTTTGATTGGCAGATAGGCAGCAATCTAGAAAGACCCACAAGGCTGCCTGTTGTCCAATTGCATCAGGTCAGCAAATCCCAGATAAGTTTTCGGAGACCTCCGACCGAGTCTCGCCAGCAGAGATAATGAATGGTTCGTCTCATCGACATCTTTGTGAGACCTGGATAAACTTCTACAGGGGTTATCTCTTTGATCCAGAGTAGAATCCCCCTTCAGTCTTCGAGGTCGTAAAGATGGCCATCGCTGAGAACGATCGCCCAGCGTTCACGATTCCCACCGTCGACCTGTCCAAATATCTTAGCAATCCTGAGTCCCCTGACGTAGATGATGTTGTCGAACAAATACGCACGGCCTGTGCAACCAGCGGCTTCTTTCAAGTGACAGGCCACGGAATACCTGCATCACTCCAACAGCGAGTCTTTTCAGGGGCAAAAGCATTATTTAACTTGCCAGAAAGTGAGAAACGCAAATTAAGCGGCAAGCCTGGCCGCGGATATGAGGCGATTGGGGCACAGGTTCTAGAAGAGGGTAAGAAACCTGACTTGAAAGAGGTAGGTTTGACCGACCGACACAATTCTGACCCGTACCACCTCTACATTCCCATATAAGGAAACTTCAGCACTGATAATGGACGTTCATCAGGGATATGCCGTCGGTCGTGAGATTCCCGACAATAAATCTCCCTTCAGACCTTTTCAAGAAGCAAATATCTGGCCAGATCCCGGCGTTATTCCCGAAGCCGAGTTCAAACAGCCTTTGCTCGAGTACCATCAAGCCTTGTCCTCGCTCTCATTTCATTTGATGCGAATACTAGCAAAGGGGCTCCAGAACTTGGATACCAGCGTCTTTGCTGAGTTTTGCCGGGAACCCATTGCTACGATACGACTTCTCCATTACCCTCCACATCCAGAAACAGACGATGCAAGTCTCGTGGGTGCCGGTGCACATACAGATTTTGGTGCTATCACCTTGTTGCTCCAAGACGGTCATTCTGGTCTACAAGTTCTGAACCGATTCACGAAAGAGTGGATTGATGTGCCACCGACCAAGGGTGCCTATGTTGTCAATGTTGGAGATATGCTGGAAAGCTGGACCAGTGGAGCATACAAAAGCAACGTGCACAGAGTGGTCAATACCAGCGGGACTGATAGATATTCAATCCCTTTCTTCTTGGATGGGAATGCCGATTGTGTTATTAGGCCACTGGACGGTTCGGGAGGAAAGGAGTTCACCGTGGAGGAGCACATGCTGTCGAGGTATGCAGCCACCTACGGATAATACAGGTCGATCTGATGTCTTCCCATTCAATTGAATTCTCTGAGAGTCTCTCGATTTACCCCTATTGTAAGTACACCATTTCTGACAGTTCCTCTTAACCCCGGCATTCACCCCTGACTTCCCCTGTATTCGTTTGACTAGCCTTCTGGTAGCGTCCTTGATCTGATTCTTATCACAAGAAACCAACTTTCGTCCTTGCACTACAACTTTCTCCGTCAATCATTGCTATCTCAACATCGGTTCCACTGCATGAAGAGACAATCATGGTAGCAGGATCAAATCCACCCGTCATTATTCAATCTCGATCAAACGGAACACAGTGAAAGCCTGAGGCATAAAGGACAATGAAATCGTTATTCTTGCCTTCCTCCGCACTCCCCATAAACTTTTCAAGACCCGATGCCCTTGCCCCATTGATAGTGGCCATTTCAAGAGCTTCGTCAGCGGTCAGCAGCTTCGCATCTCGCCGTACCCCATTGTGAATCAATCGGCCAATCTCATCTCTTGCAATATATAATCAATACGGTTACACGGTGATCCATTCCGTTCCTAACCCGGCATTTATCTTCGCAGCCAGCATTTCAGGTGCCGGTGCGATCCCAGATGCAAGTTTGCAATTGCTGGCGGACTTGTGTGCGACGGGTTCTCCAGTACGAGCGAGGAGGGGTGTGTCCATTTCCAGATCCAGGTTCACCATGTGACCGAGAATGGTTTTCTCTCCGCTACCAATGAGATTTGTTTTGTAGTCGTAGTTTCCACGATATATTGAGATCTCCTTTAGTGCTTCGGCGCAGTACATGGTCAAGCCGATATCTTGCCCTGCACAGGCGTCTCTAATTGCTTTGTGCGAGGACTCCGAAGAACCTTGGTGGAGTGCCCACGGCCATCTATTCTTGAATCCTGCCACCGCAAGATCTGTCATATTTCTCCCGTGCAGTGAGGACCGAATTTATGGACACACTGGAGGCGCCCCGGTCTCGAGGGTCGGACAAGCCAGTTTTTGCGCTAGTCTCTTCAACTTTAACAAGTTGACCGTCTTGTCAATTGCGGCGATTCGACCTGCACGGACACAAATAGAGCTCCGTCGACCCAAATTGTTTTTTGACGGTCTACTGTGACAATTATTGCACTGACGTATGATGTTGAGCCATTCTTCATTGTGCGTTCTCTAGGCATAGATGTTACTAGTTGTAATGAGCTCTGAGACCTCAAAAGGAATGCTCAAGTAGCTTGTACCATGTGGCAAGCGGCGGAAGACTCACCATTGGGAGACACTGCACGGAGATGAGAGCGGTTGGTAGTGGGGCGAATTATTTCGATCGATTGATAGCTCAATATGAAATCTCGTACGAGGTGAGATATGAAGGTCAGCGCCGACGGCCAATGATAGCGGAGATAGGATTCGGCAGACGTCTATGGCCTACCGTCAACCAGTATACTTCCCAAGGCGGGATAATGCCGTACCAGATACGTGCATACCCAGCACTTCATCCTCCTCGATGCACCCGTCGAGGTAGAATTTGGCACCTACGTAGAAGAACTGTCGCATGGGAATGTCAATGTTTGCTTGGTCGTATCGGACAGCCACAGCAGCAATCGCTCCAAGCGAGGCTTTTGCGGCATTCTATAGGTCGACGTAAACTGATCGAAACAGCTCAGTGACATCCTCGGACATGAAAATATAGAACGGCGTACCCGCGCAAGAAAAGAAGCAATCCAGCAAAACTCGGACGATGGAGGAATTTGCAAGTTTGCCGTTACTGAGTATTTCAATATACAGGAGCTCTCTTGTTCGGAGGCCTCTCTCGGCCAATGGGAACATGAAAGAAGCTTGCGAGTTGTTCGGGCAGCCCGGTCATGGTGACAGTACTGATAGAATCGACGATGGAATTTGCCGAAGTGAGCGTAGGATTCTCTGATCCAGAGAGAACAGCTTCCTTTTTTTGGCTGACCACCGGGCCTTTAATGGGGAACCCAACAGCAGGGATTGCCCTAACCAAGCATACAGGTTAGATGACACATAAAGGCCTAGCCAATCAGACTATAATCAGGATCATGCATCCAAAACCAACGAGATGCGAGCCGGCTGTAACTGTAGCTGCTCAACCAGATCAATAAACGAAAGAAAGTTGTAGATGGATTCGATTTCGATCGATCGTGGGCAAGTAAAGGCGCCTAGATTTGCACCGTTTCCTCCAATTCAATGGGAACTTGTACTTCCCCTTCCCTTTCCCCCCCCCCCAAACAACATGACATATTATAGGGGACACCCTCGGACAATCGATGGTTCCGAAGCCTTTGAGTCTTTCCCGGTCATATCCTGGAGAGGCCTCCGATTGGTGGAAAATACGTCCAGAAAACCGGCTCAAAACATCCGGCACCGTAACACTTCGCAAACTTTATTTGCACATCCACTCTTTCATCGGCGGCAGTGTTCATCGTAGGATGCGAGGATCATGGTCACTGCAAACCAAGATTCTGCCTCCTGGTTGAAAAAAAAAAAAAAAGGAAAAAGAAAAAAAAGTGAGAGACAACGGAATAGTCTGTTCGTTGTTATCCAAGACCGACTCTTGATGCGGTGATAGTTCTTGGTGCCGCTCTTATCCTCACTTCCGAGCATGTTCCCAGTCGCCTTCATTGCCTCGGACAGCATTCCTCGCACGCTTTATTACATGTTACCATGACAGATATCTCTCTACAGTTGATGGCCAATCTCGTTTTCTGAGTATAGTGGGATCAACGCGTGGATCATTGAGTACAAGTGGATTGCGACAATGACAACATGTTTACGTCACAATGCTATATTTACTCGATCATAAGAAAGGTGGCCTTTTACCAAAATCCCACTACTCTTCCTTACTAGCAGCAACTTGAGCACGCGTCAGCTGCAAGGGCACATCTAAATCGCACCCTTCTATTTTCTCAGGACAACACATCAATAACGGAATCATGTCGACACACAGCGGCGAAGGTGGGCAGTTCAAGCCTGTCCAAGAAAGACAGTCTCAAAATCTTCCGGGGTTGGTTTAGCATTTGCAACATCAAAGTTTGGAAAACAAGGTACTGACACAGAGCCGCGCAAAGGACTGAGCAGGCGCTGAAGCCGACCAGCGAAGCTACTTCACTCGAAGGTGCCGAGGGTTTTGTCGAGTATGTTCCAGCTGGGAAATTGAAAGGCAAGAATGCTTTGATCACGGGTGGCGAGTATGCGACCGTCATCCCTCCGAGAAACGAAAGGTTTTCCTTCGATCTTGACTGGCTAACACTGCACAGTTCGGGCATTGGCCGTTCAGTCGCCATACTCTTCGCCCGTGAAGGTGCCGATGTGGCTATCGTTTACCTGCCGGAGGAAAAGCTAGATGCCCAAGATACCCAGAAATATGTTGAGAAAGAAGGAAAGGAGTGTTTGCTCATTCCAGGAAATTTGATGGACAACCAAACCTGTAGAGAGGCTGTGGAAAAGCATGTCGAAAGGTACAGTGCAAAATATGCTTTTGCGGGAAGGGAGTGTCATTGATAACCCACAAACTCGGACAGGTTCGGACGCATTGATATCCTTGTCAACAATGCCTCGAAACAGATTATTTGCAAAGATTTTGACAAGATCAACCTCGATAGTGTGGAGAGTACTTTTCGAAGCAACATTCTTCAAATGTTTGCCGTTACCAAGTATGCTCTCCCGCACATGAAAAAGGGTTCATCGTAAGTCGTCCAACTCTATAAGAACTTGGAAGATCGTTAATGGCCTAGGATCATTAATACCACGTCTACCGTTGCATTCCGCGGTTCTGCTGCCATGGTCGACTATTCCGCCAGTAAAGGGGCTATCGTCTCATTTACTCGCTCCCTAGCAAAAAACCTTACTCCTAAAGGCATCCGAGTGAACGCAGTCGCACCTGGGCCAGTCCACACGCCGCTTCAACCCGCTTCCCGGCCTCCTGAGCAAATGGAAGGGTTCGGTGAGCACTCTCAGATAGGCAGACCAGGCCAGCCCAGCGAGATTTCACCGAGCTTTGTGTTTCTGGCTTCGAAGGACAGCGAATTGTACTACGGGCAGATTCTACACGCATATCCGCTGGGTGATTAATCAATAGAGGATTTTCCGGAAACAACTGGTAACTAACTAGCCTATTATATCTTTCTCCTTGGTTGCTTCCATCTCGCACGGTGGTATAATTAATCGTCGCTCCCGCCCACATCTAACTGCTCTTTACTCCCTGTAATGACGATGGACGAGAAGAGGTAGAGCGTATGTCTACACGAGCAGACCGTGAACGTGTGACCATGCCCGCAAGTCGGCCTCACACATTGCACATTTCACTTTGCCAAAGGCCGAAAATTCCCCATCCACCCTGCACGAACCTCGTATAGGGTGTGACGTCATCCACTGCTTGAGGTGATCGGATGACGAGCAGACTGTAGGCATCATCTCCGAAGAAAACTCTGGGGCGCATTGAAAATATTGATTGCAGGCAGACCTACAACAATATCTGATGCCTCGCGGTGCGCCAAACAGCACGTTCCAGCAGTCCAATCGCTTGAACATTCGTGGGTAAACTTTTGCACTGCCTCATTTGCTTGGCTTTGGAGGAATCCAATATTATGGCCTACATATCCCATCCCTGACATCCTCGTTACCACTCTCTCGCCTTCACAAGAACACTGTCAGCACTCAAGAATGGAAAAGAAAAGTCAGGCCGTTGACACCACCATGGACAATGATGATCTGGAAAGCGATTCCTCTGAAGTCAGAGAACATACCGCGTCCTCAGTCGCACATGGCACGCCCATCAGTCAATCTGAATCACCACGCATCAGTCTTTTCTTGACGAGGATTGGTTCATTCATCCATGCCGAAAATCTCGACAACCTATTATCACATCAGACATCATTTCGTGACGCTTCCAACATGGCCCTTTTCACCAAAGAGACATGGTGGCTCGACATCTTGAACCCGACCGATGATGAGATCGATACCGTTTCAGAGACCTTTTCCCTGCACCAGTTAACAACAGAGGACATCAAAACACGAGAAGCGGTGGAGAAAGTGGAATCCTTCAAACAATACTACTTCTGTTCTTTTCGCTCGTTCTACCAGGACAACGAAGCTAACGTGAAGCCAACAAATCTTTATGTGGTCGTGCTTAAATGGGGTGTCGTAACCTTTGCCTTTGGCCAGAGCCAGCATGCGGCAAACGTCCGCAAACGTATCGGCAAACTGGACGACGGGGCTCCTTTGAGTGGTCACTGGATCTGCTATGCTCTTATGTAAGGCTCTCAGATAGTCTATTCCTCCACGGACTTTTGAATCTTCTGACCTAGGTCATGGATATGTAGTGACGATATCATCGACAGCTTCGGCCCTGTTATCAGCAGAATTGAACGAGAAACATCTGCGGCCGAGAACAGTATCCTGATTACTCCCGCACACGACTCGAGCCCTCTATTACGGCAGATCTATCGATGCCGGAACACCGTCATGGCCCTCCTAGGCGTGTTGCGGTCCAAAGCAACCGTGATCAAAGGTTTCGCCCGACAACACCGCGACGAACAGAACACTACCGGTGGTGCCGATACCAATACCACTAGCATTGTTGCTCCGCGCGACAAGATTGACGCCTACCTTGATGATATCCAAGACCACGTCGTCACCATGATGTCCGATCTCGACTACTTTGAAAACACCTTGTCCCGCTTGCAATTGAACTACCAGGCCCAGCTCTCGACCTACGGACTCCAATCGCGCAGGCGGACGATTAGAGTTCTTGGTCGAATGGCTGCCATTGGGGGTCTCGTCATGGGCCTCAACGTTGTCTGCGGCTTGTTTGGTATGAATGTTCCGGTGCCCGGCGGCGGCGTCCATAACTTGTTTTGGTGGTTCGGTATCTTTGCTTTCATACTCGTCATCTCCGCGGTGAGCTTGGTTGCCATAAGGATTTTATAGGGAGGTGTGAGCCCAGAATTCAAACCCGTAGACCATCTGTTCCCCGTGTCAAAAACACTATGCGTCCGCCTTGAAGTGAATGCAACAAGAAATGTTTCCCATTCCTTACACCCAAATAAGACCAACGAGAATTACGAGTAATATTATGACCCAGACACTTCTATAGCTCAGCCGCGCTCCTCATCGACCCACCAGTGCTCACCTCGGCCACGGCTTCGGCGGATTCTTACCTTACTAGATGGGACAAGGTCCACGCCGTCCGATATTGGAGGCTGTGAAAGGGTAGAAGAAAAGAGGGAGAAGGAAGGAGCACTCGGGAGGCTCAGTCCCAAGAATCCAGCTTATATACGCGGTCGACCCTGCGGGCAGCGGAAGTTGATTCTTCTGTTCCGTTCTTCTGGAAGATGGGGGTACTCCGAAAGGGGAGTCTCTACTAGCCGTGGGCTTTAGTGTTCGAAGATCTGGCCTCCACGAACTCTTCCAGCAGACAGGTAATTCTCTCACTCTGAAGCCGGTGAAGCGTGCCATTAAGGGTCAGTACGCCTTCCCTTGCCCGTTGATGGCGTTATACGCTTCGGACACCCTTCGAAAACTATACAATCTGACGGCCCCCTGTCTTCCTTGGAAATGGAACAGGTCCTCTATAAAGTCACAAACACTTCCCAAGGGTCAAAACCCGACAAATTTTTCGCAAATCACATCGATACTAGTCCAACAGTCAAGTGTTTCAGTCATCCTCCTCTGATGCCCACTGCTGGGCTTCGATATTACTGTTGCCAGTGTAAGAAAGACTACTCCCGCAAAGAGTACTTGCACAGGCATCAGATGACCCGTATAACTCTCGTCTCTTCTCCCGATTCTGATCCCAAAAAGACCCCCCCCCCCCCCCCCCAAAAAGACAGAAGTGGCGTACTCGTCCACAGGCAGTTGCCAGAAGGTTTGGCGCTACTCATCCCTTTTCAACAGACCAACCGTACTGATTTGGATGAATTACCACCGATGTGGGGGGGAAGCACGAGCAAACCCACCAAAATTCCAATGATGCTCACCTAGACCCAAGTAGTTATGGGATACCCCGACGGAAAAGATCCTTTTTGGCTTGTGACCGATGTGCAGCTGCAAAGGTTCGTCGCAGCAGTTGCATGCCTTGTGACCGATGTTCGACTACATCCCTTACTTACCGCTTAGATAGACCGCAGGCCACATCCAAGCGAGCAACGTCGCCAGCTAACCTCCCCCAGCGTAGACTTCAGGACATCCAAGTCGGCGACAGATCCAACAGATGCCGAACCGCCACCTGATGATCACACACGGCTTTTGGTTGTACATGTACACCAGATCTCGTTCCCAAGGTCAATAACTGAATTTGTAGATTCAAAATGTCTCTGATAAGGACATTGACAGCACGTCCCACATCTACAAACGTGAATCATCGACCTGAAAATCTGCAACACATCCCAGGCTACATTAAACAGTTAGCAAATATTCCACTATCCGGAATTGTTGACGCGCGTACGAACCCAGACACAGAGCCGACGACTTCTGATTCGGAGGACATCACGACCCACAACCCCAACTCCTTCATCGTAGAGACTCTAGCATTCCCTGCACGAATTCTTGAGACGACGAGGAACACACCAAGTGCTATTAGCGCATGCCATAACACACTCATTGTTCATGGAATGAACTGCCAACCTTATATTTCGAAGCAGATCTTTTCATGCCCATTGATTTTCCCGATATTTCCCCCTTCTCAGAAGATCTCCCACAGGAGAAGGATGATATCAATCATGTGACAATTGCTGATCATCATGTAGATGGGTTCCGTCATCAACCTCGGTCCATGGTATCGCAGGAGAGGTTCGTCGTGACTCACAGAACGCAAAACTCATCCCTTCAAATTTCCCCTTGGTATACACCTTCAATCCCGGGCGACCAATCCAGCTTCTCGTCATGATATCCGAGTTTCTGCATTATCAGTCCAGCTGGACACAGATCGAGTTGCATATGAATGCCAGAAATCCGAGATCGTTCCCCGACGTGATTATCGGCTCTCGAGCACGAGATTCGATCTCCGCGAGGATCCATGGCATCTTGTCGAAAGCGCTAAGCAAGGATCATACACCACTGATACCATATCAGTTTCCCCTCGTTCGAGATTCTGCAATGCACTTTTCGGGTATTTCAGCAAGCCTTTTCCAAAACATATCTCGTCGCGCATCCTACTACACTCGAGGAGTCCAATTTTGACAGGGCCAAGCCATATGAGGTCCCGGGTCTTTCTTCACCACAATAATGGCCCCTTCGCTGCCTCACGACGCCCGTACAACAATTAAAAGAATTCGTCGTTGAGCTGGTTTATCTTATATACAACAGCATTGATGGTAGAGCGAAACGGGACAAAACCTTTCTCGTCAATGCCTGGACAATAGGTCGCTACGCGTCCTGGTCACTGTCTTCAACGCCTGGCCCGAGATCAGGATTGAACTTGTCGAGGCATTTCTGAGTGCATTTACCACGGTGGCAGCATATCCAGTAGCAGTATCTGGCCACACTGATAGACTGACAAATCTAATGGGTCATGGTTGGTCGAGGATATTACAAACCATTAACTGTACAGGCATCTCCGGGAGAGGATGACTCTCCGGAATCATGGCCCGCTTGCCTTCTCCGAGTCGAATGGAGATGAGCCTTCGAAGTCGTCTTCAACGGCCGTGGACCGATTGTTCATCGAATGTTCGATGACCTGCGTTTGCATGGTGCATAACAAGAGACGCGGTTGGAGCGGCGTGACGCTGAGATCCGTATGAAGGAAATATGGCCCTTGAAATAGGTGAGAGAATGTTGCCAGAGATGGCCGGAGCCATTTTGTCGTCCAGCCGTCTCTATTTCTCCCTGGCATTGACCAAATCTTTCCAGCTGGACTCATTTGCCCAAAGGAAAAGCTCATCACTGTCGGGCCAACAAAAGTCGAGAGAACTGGAGAGTGCATGGTACGCCGTGAAGAGGCTGATCTCCTGGCCCAGAAGGTACCATACATGTGCCAACCTTGATTACCGCAGCTAGCGAACGCACAATGCTGATAGCTTGTCTCGTCCTTGAGAAACTTACCTTAGGCGTCTGTCGAACAAGGGAGTTATCATACATAGGCTCCACCACTGAAACACTGGTAAAAGGTTCCCATAGGCAACACCATTCCTGATGGTGGCTCAGCGCGACAATGAGATATTCACACATCTTTAAAGGAAATGTCAGGGACGCAACAAGTAGATAGAGAACAGAGCATTCAAGACATCTCAAGTTGCATCCCGTATGACAGCGCCACTCCCGTTTGATCCATCTACATTTCTGCGTCAAGAGGAACTCGAAAATCTGTTGATCAAGTGACACATTCTCAAGCAGCACGTTTTCAGATCAACGAGTCTATCGCAAGGAATATTAGCTTGCATGCTTTCTTCTCATCTCATCTGGCTCAAGCTGTTGATATCCCATGACAACGTGCAACTACCTGCGGGGCATAGACAGACACACGGCCGCACAAGCACCTTTTTCAAGCGGGAAGCTTGGAAGATGAAGTGGTGAGGTAAGTGTAACACTAGGATTTCTAAGAGCGGGCAATCCGCGAGAATCAATTTGGCAAGTCCACGTCCGACGTAAGGCCTGGGGGACAGCTAGGCTCTGGGGTAATTCAAGTAACTAATTCTGCGGATCGACACTGCACAAAACTCGGCGAGGTTGACTGTGCACCTTCTCCACAGAGACTAGGCTGTATTGTTATCCGGAAAAGACGTATATTCAACCTTGCCTACTTTGTGGTACCGCCGGGGAAATATAGGCTCTACACCACCGGATCTCAATCACTTTGGTTCGCGGGTCAGGGTCCCAGATGCGTGGCATCTTGAGAGACATATTTTCTCATCGTTGAAAAACTGTTCGGCTCCGAGCAAATGGCATTCGTTCCGCGACGGACTTGTGATTGTCTCACGCCCTTGTTGAGGCAAGGGTTGTCCAGAACCCCGGTATTCTAGACTACTCTCGGTAATTCGCGGGGCCCCTCACATTGTAGACGTTGACAAAAGGGAATATAAGACACAAGAGATATGAGCCTTCTTTTCCGACAAGTCAGCTCCTTCCTCGTGCCCCGACTTTTCTCCACCATACTACCACACCAAGAAACAAGAGCGAACCTGTCACCCAGCTTTTCTTGCATCGAACAATGGCGACACACCCTGATGATGGAGGAAAGGCCCACGAGGCTGGAAACGCACACAGTACAGAAATCGAGCTCTGCCATATCGATACAGAGACCTCCCAAATGGGGCATCTGACCAACGAGGAAGATCACCAAGAGACGATCCTCCAGTCTCTTCAGCGACACCCTTGGCCGACGTTGTGGTGTGCGTACGGCGTGTGGGTTATTCTAGCCACGGCTTTCGACTTTGCAGCTCCTTCTGCAGTCACTGGTATTCCGGAATTCCGCAAGGACTTCGGGTCTGCTTACGATGGTAATCACGCTCTCCCAGCGAAGTGGCAGTCCGCCTACAGTGGAGCACCGGTTGCTTCGTATGTCCCTCGGATTATGGCTTTCATCGGTCGCGTGGTGGCTAACTTTCCTTTAGGCGTTGCATCGGCAGCTTCGTTACAGGCTATTTGGGAGAAAAAATAGGCAAGAAACTCATGCTCCTCATCGGATTCTCATTATCCTCATTGGTACGACCATTCAAATCGTGGCCACCACAAACGAAATCTTTTTCGTTGCAAAGTTCATTGGCGGATTCTCCATTGGTATCGGCCTCACGACGACTTTTAGTTACATAGGTGAAATTGCCCCGGTCGCCATCCGTGGGATCCTCACCGGCGCGAGCGCCGTCACCTTCGTGCTCGCGCAGCTGATCGTGGCTCTAATTGTTAACTACGAAGGCAGCCAGCCGACTCGATGGGCATATCGTGGGCTCTTCCTTGGCCAATACGTTATCACTGCCATTGCACTCGACATCCTGCCATTCATGCCGGAGTATGTCTTCCACGGTTGCTCAGTGGCATTTGCAAAAAGATACAGTGACTAATCATTAGATATAGGTCCCCATATTGGCTGGTTGCCCGCGGAAAAGAGGAAAAAGCAGCACGTTCCCTGAAACGGCTCGGGTATAGCTCTTGGAATATTGCCAAGCGACTGGCCAACATCAGGATCACCCTTGAGGAGGCTAAAGACGAAACCTCACGCAGTTCGTATCTTGAATGCTTCAAAAAGTCCAACCTCCATCGCACGATGGTCGCTGTCTTGCCCATTTGCATCCAGAATCTCGGCGGTGCTTACTTTATCATGGGCTATCTCGTCTATTACGCACAGCTTTCCGGCAATGAGCTTCAAGATCGGAATTGCCGCCCAACGTGTTTCTTTCGTCGGATGCGTCGCTTCCTAGTTCCTAGTCGAACGCGTCGGCCGACGTCCTCTCAATCTCTACGGAACTGGCCTTCTGACCGTCATCCTTTGGATCTGCGGTGGTCTTGCCAGCAAGACCGACAGTCCTTCATGCCTCCGGGGGGCTATCTCGATGTTCATGATTTATCTAGCCGTGTACAATGCCACCATTGGCTCTACTGCGTACACGGCCCTAAGCGAGGTAGCCACTCCTCGTCTCCGCATCATGACCGCAGCCATTGATGTCATCCTCCAAAATGCTATAGTGGTACGCCTCCCATTCTCCCTGGTCGCAGACCATACCTGGCTGACGTAGTACAGTGTGTACCAACATTTGTTATTCCGTACATTTTCAACCCGGACCAGGCGAACCTGGGAGGGAAAACGGTCTTCATCTTCGGTGGTTTCAGCATCCTTTCCACTGTTTACATGTATTTCTGTCACCCTGAAACTGCCGGTCGTAGTTTCGAGGAGATTGATGAGATGTTCGTCAAGCGCGTTCCCGCCCGCAAGTTCGCTATCTATGAGACAGAGGCCGAGCTCAGAGGCAAAACGGACAGAGAAGAGCTTGAAGGAAAGTCTTAGGGACGACGCACTCTTAGCCTGTCCGAAATCTTCAGAGCCGAGTTATCCTCGGCCCATGGCTTCCGCACGCCTTGGCAAACGTGAAAGGTTGAGAAGGGAAGGTTCGTATGGTCAACCTCCGTCATTCGGCTACTGCGGTGAATAGGGCAACTCCTAATAGGTAAGGGGAACATCCCGTTCGATCTGGCACTGCTCTGTTTCCCTGAACAGCTTGTCTTTCCTACCAAGATCTGATGGTTTATTGCTGGTTTGCACGCAGCTGCAAGATCAGGTAGGTCGGTACCGGAGGTAACCCGATCTAAATGGAGAGAAACACTCCGGCAAGGAATGACTCGCGATCGATTATCAAGTTGTACTATCGTTGCCAGAGTTCTCAACGTGCATGGGTTTATGTGAGCCAATTGCCGTAACGTGAAGGTGAAGTCAATCGGTCTGGTCCTCCTGCATCTCTGCACAGGCTTTTTTGGTAACCTGCGTGCCTAGATAGCACCACTGAAGGTACCCCATACGTAAAGAATTTCGTGTAAAGGGCCATACCTATGAGGCTGAAACTCTGGTACCTCATTTCTTGGCTTATGGATGTCGGTTCAGCCTTTGTGTTCAATTGATGAGGAACTCGCAGTCCCTCTCTCACCATGCCAGGCACTAAAGAGCAGTGTGCTACATTGAACAGGTGTGATTCAACGTAGTCAGGCATAGCCAATATAAAAAAGGAGTCCCCCCTTTCCCTATCTTAGTTATTTGTCAGACGTCGTACTAATCAACGAATCATCGTTCAGCAGAGTTGATCATCATATTACGGACAGCATACAGCTTTATGCATCGATTCCCATGACAGGACGCATTGCTCACCTAATTAGTGCCCCATAAGGTAGGAAGGGAAGCACTATTGCGGCAAGAAAATCGGTCATCGATGAACTGATCTGGCTGACCTTTGAGAATACATTAGTATGAGGCTATACTGTGTAGTATAAAAAGCAATGTCTAAATTGCTCTGACCTGCTAGCTTCCAGTGAAAACCAACGCAGCTGCTTCGCGGAGCAACTTCACCGAATGGTTATAAGGTACAGAGTACAAAAATGAAGGACCGAGAGCGTCCTGATCGGAAGACTCTCAGAGCTAATAGCGGAACGAAATCACATAAGTCTGCGAAGAGGGGGGTTGTGTCCGCTTCCGGGTTCCTTCCAAAATACAAGCCAGAGGATGCCATTCGATGGCTGAAAATCCGTTGAAGAACATCAGAAGAGACCCAAACGACAATAATACCTCCGTCAGACTTCGAGGAATTTTATTCGGATCGGGGACTCTTCCGATTCGCTAAACCAGGCAACACCAAGCACTTTGTCCAAAGCCGAGTTGGCACATCTCACAACCACTCCTAATGGATACCAGGAAATTTTTTCGTCATAGAACTGAGATAAGAGAATGTGGGTGCCAGTCGACTCGTGTGCAACCAAATCTTGATCTGTGCATCCCCCCCGCTTTTCCCCACAAACCCCGATCCAGATTTAACCCTTGAACCAGCAACTGTGAAAGGCGCCTTAGAATGACCTCCATTTAAACCGTTGGCAACGAGGGTAGGATCTTCGATGCCTGGAGTTTCTCAGTTCTTCTCCTCTCGAGCTACTCACATCCAGGCCCCTTTCGCGTGCCTTTCCTCGGGATTTCGGCGCCATCATGGTTACAACTATCGCACTCCTCGGTGCAACTGGGAAGACGGGGCGTGAGGTGCTACGACGATTCCTTGAGAAGCCAGATGTGGATATACGACTTTATGTACGCTCACACTCCAAACTTGTGGGCCTCTTCCCGAATTTGGCCTGTGATCCTCGCATTTCCATCTTTCCCGGACCCATAGAAGATGTCGACAACATGATAAAATGCCTCGACGGCGCAACCAACATCATCTTTGCACTTGGAGAAAACAACGATTTCACCGGTTCTGTGAGAATAATTGAATCTGGTGCGAAGACTGTCATTGTGGCCCTTGCAGCGCTGCGCAAGCGCTGTCCAGATTGGTCACGCCCTCGACTCCTGATGTTGTCATCGGCGACGTGGAATGATACCCTAAACAAGACACGACCACCCTTGATACATTGGGCAATCAAGAACGCATTCTACCACGGATACGTCGATTTGCGTGCTGGAACCGCCATTGTACTAGGGGCCCCTTCACTGGTCAATGTCCTTCTTGTCCAGCCTAACGGCCTCGTCGAAGGACAGCCCAGTGGTCACGAAATCAACACTGAGCGAGCCACTTTTAGTGTGACTTACGGTGATTTGGGTGCCGCATTCGTGGACTTAGCTTGTATGAAAGAGTATGACACACTGTCGGCAGTTGGAGTGTCGAGCAAAGACGGTGACAATGCCCTGAAATATGGTCCTACTCTGGGATACACGATCCTGAGGGGATTGTGCGCCACCTATATCCCTGGTTACTGGCCTCTCCATCAATTTGTCGTTTCATTAGTGTCAACGTTAACTTTGAAAATAAAAGGAGAATGAAAATCATTGCCTCTGTCCCTTTTCCTGCGACACCCACCATATACAATTGGCTCTTTTGCTCAGCGTCCTTGGCAATACCCAAATTTCGCACTCGTAGTGGACTTGTACTATTAGGGCTTCTGACATCTCTCAGTTTACGGAAGGCTACCGCAAGGACAAATACACATACAAGCTATCAAATGGTTCAGGACATCACCTCATGCACTACTTTTGGAAAGAATATTACATCGGCATGTCCCCAGATCGGACATCATGGACATCGCAAGTGCTGCTCAGTCTTTCATAGAACCATCCAGGGTCGATTTCCCTTCCCCACCGAGAAACTCCGTCCCACAAGATGGATGCTGTTCCTTGAGATGGGAACCCATCATGTTCGGAACCATTTACCCAAGATACGGAGCAAGTCTTCTATGGTGAACCACCAGCCAGACGGACAGGCATCATTCCAGCCCTTGCTGCATACCCAGTCCTAGTGCCACCACAACTTCCGTTAGTGGTCTAAGTTACCATCCCCCGGAGGATGGGGGGTAGACCAGGCTTTGCAAGAATCGGACACGAGGTCCAGTTTTGGGAATTACCATTCGGAACTCTGTCAGAAGCAGCGACGTGCTGGACTCAACTCCAAGAGCGCACAGAGACTATCAGCAATGGTCACTTCATGTTACTCAAAGCTGGTTCTCTTGATGCCAGTTCCAAACCATACCAAGATCTCGAGCTATTGAGTAAAATGCTTGAAGTGGAGGAAGGACCACTTGACGTAAAAATACTGCGCAGTTTGCCAATGGCGGACCCTGTGAGAACTCAGGTGATTCAGAAAGAATAAGTATTTAGGCATCGCCACATCACAAATCTCGTGAGAAACCCGTGTATGGCTTTTTACCTCCACACCTGGCCGAACAACATTTCGTCAAACTCCCTGACATGCTACGTCAAGACGCGAACATGTTTACTTCCCTTTCAACTTCTTCCCTGATACATTGATTGATGAAATCACTATTCTTTTATGCTGGAATATACCCATCCCGGCTTGGAAGAAAGCCCATAATGCCTTCCCCAAATCCTTCCCAACCATTAAATTCGGTCAAGTATTTGACCGCTGCCTTCAGATAGTAGCCATCCTTTTCCCCATACGTTTCTGCAAACGCTTTCGTCGCTCGGACCACCTTGAAGAAGTGATCGTCCAGCGCCCACCTATGCTTGAGTGCCGTCTCTGAAACCCACGTCCAATCTCGGTTAACCGTGGCAACTGCCTCAATCTCTCTCATTTCAAAAGGTAGCCTCTTCTGAAGGATGTATACTAGGATGGTGAAGAAACCGTATTGTCGTAGGATCGAGACCCTCCTATCCGAGGGGAAATGATGCCAGAGAACGCGAATGGCGTGGGCAACAGTCATAATATGGGCATAGAAGAAGTCGTACTTCCCCTCGCCGTAGCTGGTACTGAGTGCCAATAGAACTGAGAGGTCGCAACAGTGCTCGAACTGCGGTATGGGATCATTAATCTCCCAAGCGTTCCAATGTTCCATAAAAGCTTCGAAACGGTTCTGTAACACTATACCAAAGTTGACGGTACCAGGCATCTCGACAATGCCGTCGAAACGTTCATCTTTTTTCACACGCCTGATAACCTCTGCTAGGTCGCTGGTTTTGTATGGTGAAGGAATTGGAGGTGGATTGTCCAGTAAATGGCTGCACTGAACGTATTCTGTACATCCAAGACTAAGGGCTTCCGTGACGACTTCAGGGATTCGGAACTCATATCCATACGCAAGATGAATAAAGGGGTGTCCAACTTGTTTTGTTAGGACTTGGCCTCTCGTTCTGGAGTTTCCAAGGGAACTTACGGCCGCCACAAAAGCCGTTGATGAGAGGTTCGGATCCGGTGTACAAATATTCTTGGACCACCTTTTCCCAGTCTCCGTTATTCTTTCGAACCTCGTCATCAAAAAAATCGACGTAAGCAACGGTATACCTGTAGTAAGTTAGCACGCTTGACAGATAATGAGAGGATTGCACGAACGATTTCTCCCTAAGAAACTGCCTCCAGTTTCCCTTGGAAATTTTGTCACCCCGAACAAATGTCTCGTCGATGTCTACCAGTGACTTCACGTCGTGCTCATACGTCGCAATGAGCTGCTGGCTATCGGCGCCCAAAACGAAAGCAGAGCCTAGGAGCTACCGAGAGCATTAGAACCATTTGCCATACAAACAAATCATTCTGTGCGTCCTCGTACATGTGGTAGATGGCTATGTAGAATCAACTGTGGATTCCGCAGAGGCGCCACCGTAACGTGGCCTTTCTCCAACAATTTTTGCAACGTCTGGGTACGCTGGTCGGACATCTTGTAGACGTCAGAAGTTGGAGCAGGCCCTAGTTCAGTCCGCTTCGTGGCCGGAGGAAGGCGGACGGCCTCACTGAGAGTAGTAGTGGTAGTGGTGGACATGTTTGCGATGTGAATTGTATCACCCAAAATGCAGGAAATACGGGACATCGCCATCAGTCTTATACCTTAAGTAAGCGATGAGATCAGAACAGGGGACAAGTCTCGCCTCACGCTAGGCCCCGCACATTCCGGAAAGTAGCACGATCAAAGACGGAGTACTCGACACCGGGGGTTTCTGACAATATCATCATTCCTATTGGTTGAGAATACCCCACCATTCACCCGGTGCTCTACGCAAGTCTTGCTAGGGTGAATGTTCGCCATGGAAGTCGGGCAGATACAGGACCCGTCTGGGACTTTGTAGCAGCCATATGGACGATTGAGCATAGCTGGTGGTCATATGTACGATGTTCAATCTTGAAGAGGGAGAAAAAAATGATACGGAGTCACAAGTCTGGTACGTTCGTTGAAAATTGGGCGAAACCACTTCTGCACTGTTTAGTTGCTTGTGTCAGTTCTGTTGCAAATACAAGAAATGCACCATAATTTCTCCTCATAAAGGACTCCTCTGCACCATTTGGGGTCTGTGTGGGACAATGTCCCACAACATCAAGCTTTTCGAGCTCTCAGCAGCGAACTGGGTGGCGAGGTCGTTCATCCTCGGTTATAAATGTCCGGTCTCCTGCCGCAGGCATGCTGCTGTTACCTGTGCGTCTTGGACGACTTCTTAGGAACGGCTCGACCTTGGCCGACGAAAGATGCGGAGGTAAAACGTGTCACCTGTCAACGGCGTACTCTAAATGCTTATAGGCAGGCCTATGATCGCGTGAAACGTGTCTTGTAGAATGCATTGCTGCTTGATGAGAAGGATCAGGACTGAGACGGGGAGAGTATACTAGCTAATCCACAATGCAGCATGCGATAATATTACATATTATAAGGAAGGTATTCAATTTGGCCAGCTTCGTCCTGAATGTGTATTCAATTTTGGTTTATATTTTCACAAGATCTTTCCGTGTTGAATATGCCATCATTCTCCACGCAAATTAAGGTTAGTTGCCATCTTGGGCTCACATTCAAAACGGAGAAGCTGTCGTTTTCTTTCGACTGTGCTGCCCTGAGACTTCGCGCTTAGAATAATACTCCTTTGCACCTTCATGAAGCGGTGCCGGCGTTTGAGCCATCTTTTCCGGATCAAGCGGATATGATAGAGGACTTTTTGCGGGGGGAATATGTTTATACTGTCCCTCCAGCAGGTGTCTAGTTTCCACAAGCACCCATGTGAGAAGATAAGCCACCTCCTTTGGCATATCATCCCTCACAAGTATGACAAAATCGGAAAAATCTAACGCCAGCAATTCCTCGGATAAGTTGTCCCAGAAGCCTACTGGTAGCGGATTCGTTCCCAGCCCAGTAGACTTTTGTAGGCTTTCTAAGGCTTGTGGTTCTGCAGGCAGCGGGACCAGCTGGTTGGCCTCGATTAATCGTCTCCACCATACTGTCATGATGGCTTCCTGGAGAAGGGCGTCGGCTTCCCCGTTTTCAACCAGGGCGACACATTGCTCCGGCCTCTGGGCCGTTAGCACCGTACCTCCCCACGACTCGATCGTGGATTTGGAGATGCCATGAGCATTCAAAAATTCGTCTGCCACGTACCCAATGAAATTGGTGCCGTCATTGACTGACGTTGCAATCCGCAGAGCTGGTTTCTGTTTTCGAAGATCTTCAAATGTTTTGACGCGGTACTTGGGGTCCACAGCTAGCACCATCCGATCATTTTGCGGCAGCGTGGCGAGGGCACGCAGATGTGGCATCGCTTTGCGAAATGGAGCTTCACCAGTAAGACCTTTACCGATCAGCGTAGCTGGGGTGCTAATGATTAAATCTGCGTCCCCATCGTCGAGTTGCAGTAAGCCGTCTAAACCTCCATCGCGGAGGCTCCAAATCGAAGTTCGACTTCCGGGACCTGCCCGGTCACAGAACTCTTGAGTGATCCAGGAACATATCCGGTGAAAATTGGCACCACCCCAGTCACCGACAAACTTGAGGTTGTAAGAACGAGATAATCTTGGCTCCCCGGTTTCGTCAATGCTGAGACCGCCCATATTCGCGGCAAGTTGCGTGATCATAGTGTTGCTCCTAAAATGAAGAAAATTGAGCAGAATATCGGCAATTGGGTCAGGGAATCAATATACCACAGTTTTTAGTAGAGAAACGTTGGATTCAAGTTTCGTCTTCACGTTCGGATCTTTTCACCGGACCAGGATTGTCATAAAGTGCTTTTAAACCAAGTAAGCCGCGGCAGGAATGTCTTGGATGCCGACTCGGTTCCGTCCCACAGGGCACGTCCGAAAATCTGTTCTCCGCTTCTTACAAAGGAACACTGTTCTTGGGATCATTTGAGTCCTAATGCAGCAGTCATCGGTTTGGTCCTTGACATATGTAGGCGCCGCTTGAGCCACAGGGTGCGTCACAGGGTATCCATTGGGATCAGGGTTTCGGACTACGTTTTGGAAATTGGCATCGGTTGAACGTCTCCGCTCAGTATTCAACTCTCTTATTACTCTTCAAAGTGTGGTATCTTGTTGCGCAAATGGCCCCACCAGCAACCTCGGAGGCGTTGCTGCATCAACGGCATCAAGGACAAGAACTCCAAGAAACATGGGAAAAGTGCATATTGGGCTGTCATATCCTTCATTATCATGGGTGAAAGAAACATCACGCTTCTGACAACAACACACAGGCCGCGCTGACATGAAGCAGGATCTTGGATGCTTACGGACACCTCTCCTTTCGTCACCCGGCCAAACCTGATGTATTCATTATGCCTCGAAACATGGCTCCTGCTACCATTTCTTCGCCGCAAGATTTGGTGGAATATCACGTATCTGATGCTTCTGCCGTTGACACTAGCGCCCCTGCAGGGTACATAGAGAGATACATCCACAGTGAGATGTACAAAAAGTATTCGACCGTCAATAGTGTCATCCACAGTCATGCTAGTGATGTCGTACCTTACAGCATCTCTGGTAAGACTACTTTTTCTCGTGTCCTGGATACATGTAACGACGCTAAATGATCTCTCTAGCAGTTCCCATGAAGCCTTGCCTTCATATGGCGGGATTTTTAGGTATGATGAAACAGGCTGAACATTTCTTTGCGGCACCGACCGCGTCTGACAATCATTTCTTCTAGGTACATCCACACCGGTTTATGATATTGCGAAGCACTATCAACCCGACGACATCCGAGATTTGCTGATACGAAATGCTCCGCTGGGGGAATCCCTTGCGTCGTGCTTCTGCGACTCCCAAAGGACCTCACCTGCTGAGCAGAACGAACCGGCCCATTCAGTCGTTCTCATGCGTGGCCATGGCTACACAGTGGTAGCCTCCAGCATTGAACAATGCGTCTTTCGTGCAATCTACACAAAGGAGAACGCTATTATTCAAACAGCGAGTCTAGGCCTCAGAGCTGCATATCAGGGGAATGGAGACACAGCCCCGGCCATTCAATATCTGCAAGATGACGAAACCGCGGGGGCACTGGCCATGACCCAGTCTGCATGGGGTCGAGCATGGGGACTATGGGTTCGGGAGGTAGAGGTTGCTACACTATATGTCCGTGATGGGTGAGGGTTCCTGAAAACCGTGTCATATCCGTTCGAAATAATGCCCATACGTCCCGCAACCCCCACAATCGCTAGAGCTGTCTCGTTATTTGGCAAGCAGGTTATAAAACATTCGAAATTGAAAATACATTACACAATGTTCAAGCCCTGTGACACTTCACTTTGCCTCGAGAATATTTCACAGGTACTTCGCCTCAACTTCTGGTCGTTCCGGGTATGATGCAATTTGGCTTTCGAGAAAGTAACCAGTCGGAGCGAAGTCCGACCACCCATCTCGGAAGCATCCCCCTGTCATGGCTTCCGTCCGAACCGCTTCCGAAGGTCAATGGCTCCTGACGATAAACCTTGATATGTTAGTCCTCAGCCCTGGTCTTCATCTTTCCCCCGCTTTTTCAGTAGATGTCACCCGCCTCAATCATCAGCACTGGCACCCACAAGACACCCCAACACCTCGAACTTTCTGGCATCGGCGATCCTGTCATACTCAAAGCTGCCGGAATTTGGGACTCTGGTGCCAAACTTATCGGTGGGCGCAAATACGTAGGACCATATTGTCCTCTCCGTGACACTTGAACTTCCCCCTCGGGGGCTTCTCCGCCGACGCATTCGCAAACCTTGAAGTCGTCGATCCTCTCATGCCAATATATCAAACGTCCCGCAGGAATGGGACTCTGAGCTAGGCATTGCTCGTCTCGACGGGTCAAGCTTCAAGATACCATCCGCGCCGTGACGTCGAGTGACAACATCAAAAACATCCCCCTCGACTTCACATCAGGGACGAGTGATCAATCAGCTGCAAGACCCGAGAGCCGGCCCGATCCCGATGCAGTTCGTTCCCGCGCACGTCGACACGACCAAAAGATTGGAGGACCAGTCGAAGTTCGTCCGGCCCGCGGCGACGGGAAACAACCACATCACGGTAATCATGGCGTTTCAGTACCCGCTGAGTCGCCGGAGTGTGTATATCACCACCGTCGATCCGTAGACACAACCGGCGATTGATCCGGCGTTCCTGGCGTATTCGGTAGATATGGGGTATGTTAAGATATGTGCCACCGTTCTTGGACAAGGTCGCATCGACGCCCAAGGTCAAGGAACAGGTAGACTTGGGATACTTACTGGCGTGACAGGTCGGGCTGGGCAACAAACAGGCCGAAGAAGAGTTTGTACGGCATCATCCGATCGGCGAGTGTTCTTGCCCGTATATATAAGCGGAAATTCATTGGCGACGGTTTACGCCAATTCGGAGAATGCTGCGGATATTATCAAAAAGTTATACGAAGCATAAGGACTCTCGACCCATTTAGCATGTTTTGAGATTGCAGGGAAGAACTAATGATTGACATTAGACTGATTGTCGAAACTCGGGGCATTTGGCTGGTGCATCTGATATTGAGATATCGATTCCCATTCGATCGTCATACCTTTCACTAGATGCAGGTGTCATTGACTTTCGGGCAAATCCGTCCAGTATATCATAGCAGACCGACGAAAATTGCAAGCCCTCACAGCTCATCGTGTCCCACGCTGTCTCCTGATCCGACAAGTCTTGGCCTTAGAGCGATTTGTCGTGCGGCACAAGCAGCACCCACGGCCGTGACATAGTGTGAGCCGCCTATCGGGATTTGTAGCTTGGGTAAAAGGTCTGGAATTCTCTTCGAAGAACTTCATGGATAGCCGAGAGATCTGCCTCCGGATCCTCGTCGCTGATGATGACAGCGGCAATCTCATCCCTTTGCGTCTCGATCAGCATGTTTCGTATGGCGCTCACTAAATCATTGCGTAGCGTTGGGCATGGGGAGGTATCGGATTGGTAGATCGACGGACCATACTGGCTGACCTGCGCAAGCAATACTCGCAACCGCCCCGAAGTCTTGCTCGAACATCAAAACCCAGGGGTCGTCATCGTCAGGCGTCCCCCCTCGATCCCCATTTCTTTAGGCAGTAGCTGGGTGGGAAGGACAACAAAGCGCCGTAATAAGCCGGGCGGAATCGGACGGGGTGATTGAGATCGGGGTCAAGCTCTTGCGCCGCGCTGAACACGGCTTCGAAAGCCGGGGTGTTGCTGGAGAAGTGCCATGGGATACTAATGCGCAACGCCTCGCCAATATTCCGCTCGCATTCGTCTCGGATTTCAGACAGTGCCGTGAGTAAAATTTCTTTGGGTGCTTGTGTATTGTATACAATTGAAGCAGAGGACGCCGGCAGCGTGCTGAGCATGTAAGACTCATACGCTTTACTGCCAGCAATTCGTGCCAGAGGGACAGGACCGGAGACATTGAAGTAGGCAACAGATCTGCATCCATCAGCTAATGTTAACCTTGCAATCGCCGAAGGGAGAGCAACATGTGAGAGGATCCCAAGTTAACCCATGACAATGCTTCCAGGTGCGTATCTAAGGCTTCATCTTCAACCTTACTTGGAACGGAGGCTGTTGCTGGGCATTTGAGGCAAAAAATCACGAAAAGCACTACCAACAACAATATCGTTTCAGAAGAAGATTAAAATTGAATGTTATTTCACCAAAAAGAAGAACTCTTGGATGATACGGCGATACTTAGTAAATGATCTAGCCGCCAAGAAAAAATGGGCCTTGCTACCCCACCTCCATCTCGCACAGCACTTCGCACCTCAGCAACAGCCAAAACGAACGACGGCGTTAGCCAATCTGCCGTAATATGCACCCCTCGAGAGCGAAAAGGCAGAAGGTGAGTCTCGCCTGCGATCCTTGCCGCATCAGAAAGACCAAATGCGATGGCTGTATGCCAATTTGCCAACCTTGTCAGAAAAAAGCCGGAACCGGTTTGAAGTGCACATGGCAGACCAGTTCTGTACGCATGTCTTCTCAGCCAGCGGTGGAACATGTACCATGGGGTGACGTGCGAGCGTCAGAGGTGCATCACGGCCCTTCGTCCCATTATACGGGCGGTGGTCAGAGTGCCAGCCTTGCGCTGGAGGGATCGAGGTCACAAACCACAGGCGCCAATAGAAATTCCCCTTTATATCCGATGCAGCCCACCGCCTATGCACCACCGCTTTCGCGCTCGTCCGCTTCGCTGTCTTCGCCTAACATCCAGACACGGGTTCCTGGCGAGGCTGGCTTTACCGGGCAACATCAGCACCAGGGCTCTCCACAACGACCTGACGAATTATCTCCTTCGGAACACTCGGTGCACGCTATCATCGGTGCCACACTAGACGAAGATGGCCGAGAAGGTTTCTTTGGCAGTTCCAGCGCTGGGACATTCATGCAAAATGTGAGGAAGATGGTCCAGCAAAAAGTCGGCGGCGGAGCGCAACAGACCGGACAGCCATCCTGGAGTCCACACCTGACGCACATTTCACTTGCTTCCGGACGCAATCCTATCAAGCAGAAGCACGTGGACTATGTCCTACCAACCCGACGAAGAGCGGACATTCTTGTGTCTGCTTATTGGAAATACGTGCACGTCCTTTACCCATATCTCGACAAAGTGCAGATTCAAGAAGACTACGAAAAGCTGTGGAAGGGTGATGACTCAATCCCCGACGAAAGGTCATTGATGTGCCTTCTTAATGTGATTTTTGCCCTGGCCAGCCAGATCGATGAGTCAACACCCATTGAAGAAAGGGAGCGCTCTGCTCACGTCTTCTACACGAGGGCCAAAGAACTGCTGGATATTGTGGAGACGGGCTCGGTTCGAACGGTACAAGTATACTTACTTCTCGGACAATACTTCCAAAGCACCAATGAGCCACATCCATGCTGGGTCTACACCGGCGTGGCGATCCGAACTGCCCAAAGCCTTGGACTGAATCTACCTGAGACAACCGAACGTATCACCGACCTAAGAACCCGTGAGCTCTTGCGGAAGGTATGGCATGGATGCATCCTGATGGACCGAGTGGTCTCCATGACATATGGTCGCCCGTGCATGATCGGTCCGAGGGCTGCTCTGGCGGTCCCTCTTCCACTGCCGGTCGACGAGGAGTATCTCGTTCCCGGGTCTTTTCACACGCCACCGGTACCAGTGCAGCCAAACGACGCTGCGGTCGAATTTTACGTCTTGTCACTCAAGCTGTACGAAATCTTGCACGATGTGATCTTCAACTTTTATTCAGTAAACTTTGGACATGGTAAACCAGTGGAGAGTGACAAATATTTTGGGTCATTGAGCGAAAGTCAATCCTCGGTCTTCGAGATCGAGCACAGAATCGTGAGATGGGAGCAAAGCATTCCTGACCACCTGAGAGTGGGCCGCAAGCCACAAAGCCATGATGCCAATGCCACACGATATCGGCAAGCCGTGATTCTTCACCAGAGGCAAGATTCCCGTCCACATACCGTCCGTCAATACGTCACTGACATATCCCAGACAACTCCACGTTCGCCTGTTACTCTTGAGACCGGTTTTGTCGAATTTCATCACGTCTGAATTTCATGATGGTGATCGTCCCGTTCCCTTAGGGAGCTTGCTATCTCATAGAATCTTCCTTCAGTGTGCAATCGTCTGCGTCAGAGTGGCCCTGGAGGCTATCAACACCATTCACCAAGAAAGGGGTAACAACGACGCCGAGAATGGATACCTTGCCGCGTGGTGGTACAACGTGCTCTACTTGTACACTTCAGCGACGGTCCTCATTGCTGCTCGTCTCAGCTCCGCCATACTCGCTGATGTTTCGGAAGAGACAATCCTGGATGGCTGGCACAAAGCTATGGACGTGCTCAAACGGTACAGCCTCTTCAGCGCCTCCATCAAACGTCTTACAACGACCCTCACCCTATTATTTGAGGCCGTGCCACGGCAATATTCCAGGTTCAAGGAGAATTCGCGACAGGTTCAGACAGATACGTCGCCGCTTCCTCAAAATCAAGGCCAAGGTTCAGTCCCCCTGCCGTACTGGCGTCTACTCGATTCCGTTGACTTGGTCTCCACGCCTGTAGACAACCTGCCGAGAGAGCAGTCCCAGGATGATAACAACGCTCTTCCCGACGACTCCCTTCTCGATTTTGACAGAGTCTTCGACCCCAACGACCTTTCCTGGCTTATGACTATTCCCCTGGATGGTTGAATCTCCTCGCCCGGTGCGCTTTTTTTCTGTTGCACATTGGCGGTTGTTGAATATTGCGAGGGCTAGTGCTTGTCCAAAGCTATGGCCTGTGGTCTCATTCCGCCAGACTTATAGCCGAAGACCCCCCTTAAAGTCGCTCATCCGATCAAGAGCTTCATTGGCCCCGTTTGAAAACATCGTGGCCGAATACCCATGGCTGAAAATCTTGGTTTGACCAAGGATTTGGGGTTTCCCGCGTCAGGCTTGGTGTCAGGACTAGCATTCTCGGCAAAAATCTTCCCTGTCTCGCATCGCCTGCGTCTGAGCCGTCCGGGAAATGCCGTGTTCATCCCAGAGCCTTCCTGGGCCCTCTCGCAACGAGGCTTCCGCAATCGTTCAAAAACTCCGACGAACCCGAGAAACGTCGTCCTCCGGTTTCTTGACACAATCCAAGCATTAGGCATGCTCCATCAATCGGCATGGCGCCACCTTGCGCAAGAAATGGTACCATGGTACGAGGAGCATCTTCCCACAGGATTCCCCTGCCCGGTTGGTTCACCCATGAAGAGAGCGGAGGAAGATAGCAGCTCGCGACCATCGCCGTGACCTGGCGTATCACTGGTTCGAATTCTACGTACAGGGCCCTCATCTGCTTTACGTCGCCGGGCCACTTTCCATTCTCCGGGCTTGGCTTGTCCAGGGTAACACATAACGAGGTTGTACATTGCTCCCTCTCGGATCCAGTATGTCATGATATGTCTCCCAAGGCCGATCCCTAGTTGTGCGAGTGTTGTCCGCACGATGGCGAGGTACCTCAAATCTCCAGTAAAATGGGGGGTTTTTCAGGTACCTTTCCATCCACTTTGCCTCCCTCTGCATAGTGGGCCCTTTTCAGTGCTCTTTCGACAACGTCGTTGAACGTTTTTGACAGAGCCTTTCGCACTCGCCAGCCGTTTGTTAAGCCAACTTCCTCACGTGACATTGCCGAGCAATGTGTCACGTGATTGGCCAGCCCCACACAACGTACAGTAGCACCCGTAATCCGGAAAATCTACGGAGGTTACAATCCGACAATTCTCGAATCCTTTGGCTCTGATTGGCTGAGGTCCCGTACGCCGCATTCATTCAACCCCGTCGGATCCAGCCTATGGACCATCCAAGAATGGGTTAGGATGCCGCATTTGTCTTCCAAGAACCCCTTGATCGGGCCAGGTATGTGAGTGCCTCAATTTTGATGTTTTGGTGCCTCGATTTGTGCGATTTTACTAGGGTTCGGCGGGGGGGTTTTTGGGTACCTTTCCTTCGTGCGGACAACCATCGCACAACTAGGCTCAATTGGTGTTTAGGCAACTCTCTGCCAAGAGAACCCTCCTTCGAGACGAGAGTGACGCCGCCCTCTATATTCACCCTCCAGCTCCGAGTGAGCGATCACTCAGACTCACCGGTCGTGTGGGCGAAATTCGAAATTCCTCGGCGACGCGTGGCCCCAGTGGCTAGGATGGTGCGATACTGGTCGAGAGAGTTACAGATAAACAGGAGGGAGATGCCATATAGACATGCACAGGTTAAATAGCCAGGCCAAAATTATCGGCTCATATTGATTCCATTCGAGAGCAGTTTCCTTCACGATCTCGACCTGCCACCAACGCGAGCTGGATGCTCCTGCCCCGGAACACGAACACCTCGGCAACAATGGGTAATCGCTCACTTAAAAGACTTATGTCCATTGAAATTTGCCTGACAGGCAGAACCTGGTTCACTATTTACACAGGATAGTTTGTTGAGGTATGAATGTTTTTGGCAGCCGACCACCACCTAGGCACTCACCAATCGGGGGCAGCGAAGCTTCTGCTCGATGAGAAATTGCCCTCCACCATGCAAACATCTTGGAAGGGTCCAGGCAGCTTGCTCTTCCAACCCGAGCTTTCTTTTGGGCCGGTCGTGTGATAATCAGGTCCCACACCCTTCCCGCCCGTGACTACGTCCTTATTGAATATCGTTCGGTCGAAGATTGTGAAGACAGCCTCAGGAGCATACGCCGAGACCTGGTGTCCAGACTCAAACACTCTCGTAAACGAAAGTCGACCATACTGTTTAGCGACTCCTCCCTTGGCACTCTGGCTTAACCCTTTGAGTTCCTGGTAACCTGCGTCAGCGAAACCTTTTCGATTCTTCCATGGCACCGCTTTCGCCAGCATTTCCGCACCTGTCACGGGGCAAGTGTAATCGCGATCTCCATATATCAGGGCAGTCTTGACTCCTTCATTGAGGAGATATTCGAGATTCGGCAAATTAGATTGTCGGAAGGCGTCACCCGTTCCGGCGAGGCCTGTGAAAGCTGATGCCACTTCATTAGAGTACCATGTCCAGTTGAGAGGGACTCCAAGAGCGGACTGTACATCGGGCTTGTTGAGGTATTCCCCCACCGTCAGATAGTAGGCACAGGTCCCTGGAGTCTCGATGGCAATGTCATAGGTGGATACCTACAGACTTGTCAGTATGAAGAGAAATGATCAATGGCCAGGGGCTGGTCTCACTCACGTTATGTATCGTGTACAGCAATTCGATACAAGAGGCGCAATAATAGTATGCGTCGGTACAGATTTCATTGACCGTTGCATTGTTGCCGGTATAGTCCGGGTCTCCGACTTCGCCTGCATGGCGGCACTGCTTGGTCATGTCAAGGCAGCCGCCAGGCTTAGTAATATTATTCTGGATCTCTCGATAGGTCGTGTCGTTATAGAACTTGACGCCATAAGTGTTATTGTTTGCGTATTCAGGAAAGCCTTCCATTTGATAGTAGAAGTCGACACAGCCGTTCGTGATCCCTATTGCATCAACCTTGAGGTCCTTTTGCCTTAGAGGATGGGAAGTCGTGAGCTTCTTGAGCTGCTTGCTGACGGTAGCTGCAACTTCGGGAACATAGAAACCGCCGTAGGAATTTCCCCAGAAACTAATATCATTGGAGGAAGTGTCATACCCTGGGAAGGAAGAAAACCAATGTTCGGCGAAAACCCATAAGCCTCTGGCACTGGCCACGGTTGTGTTCGCTGTAGTGGATGCGGCTTGATCAGAGAATGTCCCATAGCCAGGAGGCAGTGAAGTTGAGTTGGCATTGTCTGGTGTCACCAACAGTGAGGTCGTGTTGTACGTTCCATTGATGAGACTGCTATACGAGAAGCCAACCTCGATGGGCTGGTCAATATAGAGCATGTTGACGTGGTTGCTAAAGGACCAAGGGTTTATCGTCGTGTTGGTGCCTTCATGGTTGACATAGCACGGTCCACTTTCGCTATTCAGGGCAGCATAAGATGAGGCTTCTCCAGGCCCTCCGGCAAGATATACCGCGAGTGGAGCCGTTTTAGGGTTTTTGCGTGCTTCGAAATACATGAAATAAACATTCATGTCATAGCCTCCTAGACGGCCGACCAGACTGCCTGGGATATGGACATAGCCACTGTAAGAGTGGACGCCTGGAGCCGTTTCGCAAATCTCTATCTACGAACGGTCAGATCTATCATCTAGTACACTCTTGGGTTGCCCTTACTTCCTTGTAGGATATCTTGACTTCCTTGTTGACCTTGGAAGTGGCGACGGTGATCCCGGATGGTGTTGGTTGGAACTGTGCAGAAGCAAGGGAGGCCAGGGCAGCTGTTCCCAGCGCGAAGCTTGCAATCTTCATCGTGGCTTGTCTCGGTGTTCAAAGAGTGTACAAGGACGCCTGAGTAGCGTATAGCTATGGAGATGACCTCGATTTATACCTGTCAAGCCAACGTGGCTCTAATCTCGGGGGTATGTTCTGCAAGGCCTTCAGTGCGTAGTAGATCGAAAGCAAGAGACCATGATTGGAAGCTTTGTGCCATCCTTCGCGCCATAAGTGAGCTAATCAGGTCAACATTGACCCATTGTCGTCGTCACAGGTGAATGGAGGCTTCACCGTCCCAAGAATGCGGAGGAAACGACCTCGAGGTCTCACGACGTTTGTCTCTTTCGGGATTTGTCTCCTGCCCTAGACGACGCCCAAGCTATCATGGTTTAGCAAAGCGTGAAGCTAAAATATCAACTTGTTGACCAGCACGATAACGGTAGGTCGTTGTGCTTCTCTGTCATCGGACCGTCAACACCGACGATGTCGGGCTGCTGTCAGTAGTACGATAGCCTGTGCTTTGTCGACTTCTAACAGCTAGCCGGGTATTGGAATGGGTCTTATTGGTAGCGATGCTCGAGGCACACCAGCCTGATTAGAAATGCAGGCACCAGGATTGATACTTGCTAGAGTACTGCCAGTCTAACCCGAAGCGAACACTGATAGCTTGCCCACTTTGGCGTGGTCGCGTCGCTGTCCAGCATCCGAGCCTTATCTCCTGACACGTGCCACTTCCCCCACCTCGTTCAAGTAGGCTTTACGAGGACCCGATAGTGTTACGAATACCGGCTCGATGGTATCGATCCAATTCTGGTAATTGATAAGGAGAATGCACTTTCGCCTCAACCTGCTCCTGCCGTCTGGCCTTGATTGCTGGACGCCAGGTCCTTGTTCGACGATAGACTAATCGTCTAGGACTTGGTGATGTCGAGTAGAAGTTTTCGGATAAGACGACCGAGGTCGACTGCCGATCGATGAATGCTGGATGCCGGGGTAGACCTCTCCGGGCCTCACCTGTGCCTCCCATCACGTCGCTCGATGTCGCTTGTCCATCGCCCACGCGGCCAGGTCCCCAGGTTCTTTTACATCTGCGCTCCTGATGTGACAAGCGACTAGGCACAACAAGATAGGTACGGATCTCACGAGTAACCATGTCGAACGCGCGCCTCTCCACATAACGCAAGGTATTCAATTGTAGCTCGCACCAGCAGCGGCATTCTATGTATGCATCTGCGGAGAATCTTGACAAGGCGGCGCCGAGGCCGTGATGAATAGCGCACTATACTGCATCGCCTTGGGAGTCCCTCGCCCACCACCCGGTTTCTTTTCTCACACTTGCCTTCAATCACAAGGTATATATGAACTCCGGATTCTCTCCATCCGTCAGGTCAAGCCACCTATCATCGGGTCAGTCTCTATGTCAGTTGCCTTTGTTTAGACAAGCAACGTACTCAGAGTTTGCCACCTTGGCGTAGGAGGGATCAGCTCGGATGGCCGCCTTCTTCACATTCATCCTGCGGAACCACCACCAAATGAAGACGAGATCCAAAATACAAATCATATAGCAAACGAATATGGTGACAATGGCGGGGTAATAGTGTGGCGCATCTTTAGGACGGAAGGTTTGAGGTCCTGAAGTTCATTGGCATTCTGAGGAGTGTCTCTCAAAGGGGATGTTTCGATACATACCGACAATGTTGCCGACGCAGTAGGCGATGAGATACATTGCTGCGATTGTAGTCTTCTTGGTGTATCCTGCAATATTGGACGAAATGAGACTCAGAATGATGACGAAACCTGATGGTGCAGCCAGAGTCAAATAGAAGCCAAAGAGCTTGCCGACTTTAGCACCGTCCGAGAGTGCCACAAGTAAAATGCTTCCAAAGGTTGCAAGGCCGACACCACCAAGAGAGATTAACAAGCGGTTTTTACATCTGTCCCCGAGCCAACCAGTAACGAGCAGTGTAACAATTTCGACGGCACCTGACGGGGTACCAAGAAGCAGGGATTGTTTCGCATTATATCCAAAAGAGACAATCAGAAGGCTGAAAAAGTTTGAGATTCCACCGTTAGGGATATTTCCAGCTAAACTGAGGATGACGATAGCCCAGGTAAAGGGGTCTTTTAAAGCCTCGACCAATTGATACGTTTTAAAGCGCTTGTTGCCAATTCCTTGCTGGTTTTCTCGGACACGTGCAACCGCTAGAATCCGGTCTTCCTCGTTAAGCCAACGGGCCTTGAGCTGGTTATCCGGCACAACGACGTAAAAGATAATTCCTAAAACCACGGTTAATAGACCGGTGAGAATATACAAGACCTTCCAGGCGGCGATCGAAAAATGGCCGTTCTCCCCTCCAACAGTAAGGCCATACGCAATGAAACCGCCGACGATCGAAGCAACGCCATTAAAGCTGAACCAAACACAGGTCCTCGCCCCCTGTTCGGACTTCTTGTACCACTGGGAAGTGATCAAGGTCCAGCCCGGTGTGACCGCAGCTTCGAAAATACCAAGGAAAAGCCGTAGAGCGGCTGCTCCGGCGAAGTTATGGATAACCGAGAAGAGTGTAAGGATGACCCCCCAGGCGATGACGCAGAAGGCAGAATACTTGGCGATAGGCAACCTCTGGAGTAATCGGACTGTAGGCCATTCGAATCCCTAGGAAATATATTAGCCATTTATTGTCGTAAGTCTACGCCCAAGAAATATACCAGATAGCCAAAGTAAAAGATGGAGCCCAGCCACTGATAGTTGTCTCCGACAAGCTTGATGTCTGTTATGATGCCCATGACACTGGAATATGACAGGGTGGTTTTGTCCAGGTAGTTCCTGCGTATCGTTAGTCTGCGTTCTGTCAATCAATTTTCGTCACAGGTCAATACATACATGCCATAAATCAGACACATAATAGGCAAGATGTATCTATCGATTTTGCGAAGGAGACGCTTGTCGGTCGCTGCATCGACCGTGATCTCTCCATGGCCTTGGAAAGCGGCATAAGCCTCATCGACGTTGTCTGTATCGGCTTTGACTAGCTCCACAACATTGTGGTCGTCGATAGACGTGACTTTTTCCACGTCGGTGGCAGTATTGTCTGTCTTTTTGTTCCCCGTGGTAGTAGCAATGTCCGCCATCTCGAACGTCTTTCTCGTAAAAGGTGTGTCCGTGAAGCAGGACTAACGTGAAGAGCGGTAGCGAGGTTTAAGTAACAAGATGTCAACCCAGAAGAGCTACTCGCCCCTGATGCTTGGCTACCCACTGGTTATCGAGCTGTCTCCGGTATCCAGGGAACCAGATCATTCTACCGCTCTGCAAAATAACAGGACAAGTCGGTCATGTAGTGCTAGAGCTTTCATCTGGCCAGTGGACATGCGAGATAGCGAATACCATCCAAATTAGTACTGGTGGCTTCGAGGGCCCGGTCCCCCATTTTGGGGAGGTATCAGTCTACGCGGGGTGCGACCGAGCGCAGGGGGCCATCTCGCATTATCGCGTTGCCTTAAATGGAAAGAGTCTTGCTATCGAAGGTTGCATTATCAATTGGCGCCATATGATTCTCCCTAGTTTCTATACTATACGTCGGTCCTGATCAATTTACGTAACCAAACGTGATCGGTATGTTGGAGCCGAATTGGCCACATTACTTGCACCGCATCTCAACTTACCCAAACCAAGCACGCGAGATTTGGAAAGTCAACCCGCCGTTCCTCCAGAAATCACCGGACAATTACGCGAATCTACTGGCCAGGAAACCAGTTTCGAAAGTACGGTATCTATGGGAGATCTCGTGTATCACCGATGTCCTCCTCTCTGGTGCTGGGCGTGTGTTGTTTCAGCCATTATACAGACCCTTAGAGTCTTAGAATTTGCACACACATCTCATCTACAGAGAGAACTTTCTCCCTCCTAGGATGTCCACCGTCACTCTAGTTACAACTGCAGAGCCTGCCCACACGACTGCGGCTGAAGAACAGACAGTAAGTGACTCTATCGATGCAATTGACAGAGAGCTTCGCGAAATTAGTCTCAAGGTATGTGCCATCTCCAATCAACAAGCGTCCACTGATATATATTGCGACGGATAGATTCATGACAACCCTGAACTCAGGTTTGCCGAATTCAAGGCCCACGACAACATCATAGCCTTCCTTCAATGTCGCGGAATATCCGTCACCCCTCATGCTTACGGTCTTGAGACTGCCTTCTCAGCCGAGTATGGAAGCGGTGGCCGGGTCGTCACATTCTGCTGCGAATACGACGCACTTCCTCAGATAGGTCACGGTTGCGGCCACAATCTCATCGCGACCTCTGCGATTGCAGCTTTTCTCGGCGCCGTCAGTGCAATCGAGCAGTCTGGTGGTGCTGGGCGTGCCCGCCTCCTAGGCACGCCGGCCGAAGAGGGTGGCGGGGGCAAGATCAAGCTAATCGACGCTGGCGCATTTCAAGATGTCGATGCGTCGATTATGAGCCACCCTTTCCCAGTTGCTCCTGAAACGAAAGAAGTGAGCGGTGTTGCATACGGGAACTGTCTCGCGGTTCTCGCCTTTCGAGCCACATTTGAGGGAAGAGCCGCACATGCTGCTTTCTCGCCATGGCTGGGAGCAAATGCACTCGATGCGGCCACGTTGACGTACAGTGCCGTGAGCATGCTGCGACAACAGACTCGGCCAACTGATATCATAGGGCTTATTATTGAGAACGGAGGAGCGAGTAGTAACGTCATCTCAGAACGGACAGTTATGAGTTGTAATGTAAGGGCGAAGACTCTTAAGGATTGCGTTGAGCTGTTAGACCGGGTACACAAGTGCCTTGAAGGAGCTGCGCTTGCTACTGGATGTACCTTGAAGACCGAAACCATGTCAGTTAACGCCTTGGGATTCGAACCGACAAGGACTTAGCTACTGACAATTCTTTCTAGACACGACCCATACGCCGATCTACGATCCAACAAGACGTTGTGCTCTATCTTCACCGACACCATGTCAAGGTTCCACAAGACGTATAAGTGCGATCTGGAGAACGTGCACGATGGACCTTACGGCACAGATATGGGTAAAGCCTCTGACCGTACTTCCCCAGCTAGTTCAACTGAACTGATATTGTGCAGGAAATGTCTCTTATGTCTGCCCTTCGTTCCATGGAACTTTCCACATTGAAACGCCTCCGGGTGTGGCCTTGCACTCTGCCGAATTCGCCGCCGCTGCAAGGACACAGCAGAACCATGAAATTATGATCGAAGTCGCCAAAGGCATGGCTGTGACAGCTTGGAAGGTTTTGTCCGATGATGCCATCGCTACGCGGATGAAAGAAGACTTTGAACAAGATACATTACTACGATAGATGACTTGGAGGAGCTTTCTATAAACCAACGCACCTCGAAGGTGGACATACATTCCCGATCCTCGCATTGTGGCTAGCGAAGAGAAAATGAAAGACCCAGCCCGATGTTGAGACAGCGAAAATTCACAGAGAGGAAAATATACAAGAGAGCTAAAAAAGGGCTTCCATAAATGTGCCCATGTGACCCTGTTGGGCGGACCCGCGATGTTCGGCTCTCCTGGATCCCAGCTACAATGGCGCAGGAACACGGGACTTGGGGCGTTGGAAATCCGAGAGATTTCTTCATGTCATAAATATAGAATAGATCATCTTCCGCATCCTTCAACACATCCTTATTATCGGACCTCGGGTCAACCGAGCTGTATGGTGAACAGAGCGTCTCCCATCCGTAGAGATTAGCATCGGACAAAATGAGCCGACTGGGAGTCTAGAAACAGCATGGAGCAGGGAGTTCCGAATCTTCGACATGCCATGGTCCGTCAGCCGAACAAAGGTGTATTTGAGAGCATATACTGTCCCCTTTCGGCATAGTTCACTGGTCCGTTGGAAGCGAGCACTTGCAGAATGGTTATCTCGACGACAGTGGATTGAGAGTAGACAATCAAAAAGTATTCTCGTAGCTGTGAGATACTATGCTCAGTGATGGCGAATGAGCAAGCACTTCTGTGTAAATTACAAGATCGAACTGGCCGAGCAAAACTACTACACCCCATTTCCTTCGAAGTGTTTCCACTCTCATCTTGCCGTCCATTTTACTGCTGCCGCTTCTTCGCTATCTCGTCGGGAAAAGCAATGAATCTGGACCAAAGTCATTCCTTTGCGAGGCTGTTTCGATAGATAACGGCAAGTCATTCGATCACGCCGCGATAAACCACATCCCGATGGCCACTCCAAGCTTTCTGCTCCGTCATCGAATCGATCTGTCCCGCCACCATGCCCAAACACGTTTCCAATCTCTTCTAGAACCGGCTGGACCTTGAACTGTCCCTCATCGATGCTTTTCCCTCCAAGACCGTCGTCTCCCGCGTCCGTACGAGTCTGTCGAGATAGGAAGACCAAAACGACCGGTGGAGATCGAAGCGTCTCGGTCGAGACAGACACCTTGGCGATCCTGTTGCGTTTCTATCACGGTATGAGCTGAAGAGTTCAGTTTGCTGGGACAAAACATTCGAGAGAACGTATAACGGGGGACAGCATCGGTGCCTGGTCGCATCTTGAATCTCAGATCGGTACGCATTCCCCGGTGAATTTTTGGCTCAGGGTCATCCAATCCCAGTCGTGTCCTTCATTTCTTGCTCTCCAGACCCTCTCCATCACGAATTTCATGGTCTGCAGTGATGTACCGGTCTTCCGTACGCTGTATATACTACGGAAGACGTTGATTGCGACCGCCCGGTCCTCTTCACTCTCTAGTTCACAACTAGCGATCAGCGCAGGCCAGGTTGAAAGCCTCAATTCCTCTGGAGGGCCCTTCAAGTGCACCATAACTTCACAAGCCATCTCAAAGGCTTCTCGGTCGCTTTCTACCGAGCTTCCGGCGGGATGTAGCAGCCGAAATAGCATGAGTAAAGCAGCGGCGCGGTATGCATGAGCGTGGGCCATTAGTCGTCCTGACGGCTTCGCAGATACACTATGGTCGAAAACCCATCTCCAGGATTGAATCCGAGAGCGTAAATTGTTGACCTTCCGTGTTATCGAGGGCAATATCGACGTAGCATCCTCTGGTCCATAGGTGATGGCCCGACCAGGCTCTGCATTGTGGCGGATATCCTCCGCAAGGCCACACAATTCTTCCAGAAGCGGCATTAGCGTGGTGGTGTACCCCATGAATCGATCAGGAGAATTGGCGGTCTCATCAAGCCATGTTTCCGTTTTGATTGAATTCCGGCGTAGACGGCTTAATGACATGACCATATCATGTCGGGCGAGGGCACGAATAAAATATTTGGCCAGTGAGCTCAGGACGAGGCCTGACCCAATGTACTTGTTGATAATTGATGCGGCGTAAGCGATTAAAATGGAGGATGTACGCTCGTGAGGTTTACATCTTGTGTCGATACCCTGCTGCTGTTTAGCTTTCAATACGCAAAATCGGCCTGGAGTTCAATACCTCCATCGCACCTAGTGCTAATGACATGAGAAGCATTTGCTCTAACTCACGGCTCGGATCCTTAGCTTTTAAAGTGGCCAGAGTTCTCGCACGCCTGACGAGAGCGAGTGGGAGTAATGAACCTTGGCTATCTTCTTCGAGGTAGACAGATCCAATAGAGCAGAGGGCGTCTCCAACCGCCTGGGGACTGTCTTGAAGTACTACCAAGACCGAGGCGTTCATCTCGTCAACGAACTCTAAGCTGATGACTTGTTCAAACGGATGCCTATTAAAGTACACACTGATGGTTTCTGCATCGTCTGCTGGAATAGTACCAGGCGGTATCGTCGGAATTGATCGGGATATGGGAGGAAGAGATGGAATCGACTCGCAGGAGATGGTCAGGCCCGTAGCCGTAGATACTGGCAGCCCAGGTACTTCAAGCTGATTTGAAGCCGGTTCGATCTCCCTTTGAACGCTGATGGCGGAGCTGACGGACAAGGATCTGTCCCTTTCTTCCGCAATAGTCTCGATACTTGCAGCTGGCGACGTCGGAGTCTGCGCATCCAGTCGCGCATTCGAGTTCTCCAGGGTTCGCTTTCTTCTCGCGTTTGTTGGGACATACGATATGAACCTTTGTTGCCTCTCCTTAGAATGGGGTCCTGCATTAGCGAGAGGGGGGTATCCTCGACAACGACGTTGTCGACGTGCACAAGTACCACATGAAGGGCGGATCTCATCGCATCGAACTTTGGCTATTTTGCAATCGATACACCCACCTTTGGATCGGCGGCGAAGATCCAGCCACATAGGGTCCACAGACGTTTGATGTGTCTGCGTCGCCATTGAAGCAGTTGCGTAAGGTGGCGAGTGAATGTAGTCCAGGGATCAGAGAGGTTGTCGCAGGAATCAGGCGGCGATTAAACTGCCGACTAAATCTGATACAAGGTCAGGTAGATTAAGAAGTGAGTCGTTGGCGCATTGATCACCATCAATCCTGGAATGAGAGATGTTGGCCGGGATAGCGGTCATCCTTGAGGTGGAGACGTGGAGATAGCCACTCAACCTCGGATCCGCGTCAGGAACACATGGCTTGTGAGTGCCAATGTCTCAAGGCTGTTCTTTGGAATCTAATGGGATGTGGAGCACACCCTTGTTCCGCAAAAGAAAGGAGAAGTAGTAGTTTAGAGAGGGGCTCACGAGTCCCTGGCAAACTCGACCTTTCCTCTGCCACGTGAGTAATCACGTGTCTGAATAGAAAGGGCAACTCGGCCGAGAACATGCTCTGTCTATCCGCGCGTGCCGCGCTCGGTTTGCGGCACGGTCGAGGGCTGACAGTCCTTGACACCACAGTTCAAGGTCTTCACTGGCCTGAACTCTGCTTGATAGACTGTGGAGTCTAGAGAAGGAATGCGTTATTGTTCTATCTAACAAGAGAGCAAGACTGAAAAGAAGGGCGCAAGCTGCCAAGCCAACTGCCTCACGTGACGTTGCCAAGGCGATGCGTCACGTGATTGGCCTCCACTGCTTTCAGGACCCTTGCAACCTGCAGCCTGTCCCTATCGAAACTCGGAATCTGGAATAGGCTTCATTTTCCTATCGCTCCCAAACTCTCTAAGTGCGCTCCCTCGTGTTTCTTCCCTCCAGGGTTGCAGAGTCTTCAATCCCTCTCATCTCCACCTATACCTTCGATAGCCTTACTCTTGACCGGTGTGCCCAGCACCTCAAATAGCGGCAGAATACCGGACACCACTCCCTTTCCAGCTTGCTGCATGTGCACTCTGTCCTCCTCCTTGACAACTCCGGCGTCAAATGATCCAATATCGCCCGTACGGATCTTGGCGCTGGCCGACCGTATCTGAACCTCGATGACTTTGACCACCTCTACCGCGCTCGGAGCGACAGGGTATGTGTTCTCCCACCGGCCTCGAAACATGAGTAGTCGCATGGCCCATCGTTTCTTTCGAACGTCCGAGTCCGAGGCTATGTTGGGCCGAGAGAAGATTGATTGATTGAATCTATCTGAGCGAGGCGCAAGCTAGGAAAAATCCACGAAGGCTGCGGAGCACGTGACTAGGCTAGTCCCAATGTGGACTGCCAACAGGCTATACCGTGGATTGATGCCGATCGATAGTTGAGAGTGTGCCTGTTGGGTGTAGGGTAGAGGACCAGCCCATCCACTGAAAGACAACAATTTTCAGGCTTGGAGAACATGGGCGAAAAGAACGGGGTGCAAACCCCCAAATTCGAATGAGAATGTACCTTTTGTCGAACAAATGCATACTTTGACCGCACTTGTCTCGCTCATCCTAATCGCCTTGCAGAGCATCGCCGCCGCATTCCCATGCAGATAGACATTCATGGGACCCTGCCTCATGGCGTGCTCTTGATATCTCTCGGGACCGACGCTGCCGCCATCCCCGTCGTTGGCCGAGGACAGCTGTGGGCTCGCTATCTTCGTCCGTGCCGATCGTGGAATCGGTGAGAGAGTGGACGGTCTGGAAATCATAATGTGCTGTTTGTGGTTGCGGCAGTCAGCACCTATGTCACCTTATCGTCTCCTATGGTGGTAGCTTTCTGGGAATGGCACGTCTGCATGGATGTATATCTCTAGCAGGAAACATACCTCGGTGCTTGTAAACACGAATCCTGTTCAATTCGGTCTGAGGGTATCGCGTCTGCCCATGGCCATTGACACAGGCCCCGTTCATCCGCGATACTCCATTCATCGCCTTTCTTGAGGAGGACCACTATGATCGTCTTCCAGGTCGAGGAATGCGAAGGACAGGATTCGGCTTTGTTCAACTTTGAAGGTGTTTCTGAGTTTCTGCTGATGAGTAGAAGCTTTTCTCGGGGGTTTTCTTGCTCACACCTGAAACTAGATTAGTCTAAGTTCATGCATATGGATGTCACTGCCCGTACCAGTTCTCGGAATACCCATATGTCACTGTATGACAAGGTGGGAATGGATCCCAGGGACGGCCCACTCTCTTTTGCTGGATGCTTATCGGGCATGCTATCAGGTTAAAATCAGGACTAGTGCGCCGGCCACGTTTAACCGAAACTGGTGCTCAAGCTCCCTCCACTAAATCGAACTTCGTCCTTCGTACCAGTGGCAGGCATATATTTAAGCTGACAAGCTATGGCCAGCACCGTAGCCGCGCAAGGCAGACATGGGTGGAGCGAGAGTTGCTGTGGAGTCCCTCGTCTCGCCCTTCCCTGTGGGCACAGGCCCGGTTCGGGCCTGCACTACCATTCAATGTAGGTTTCTCATTCCCAATACCGTCATGGCCACCACTACGACGCCGATGCTCCATACCGACAACCCATGCCGACGTCCGTTTCGGCTCATGATCACTCAGTCGAACGGTTTGTCGTATGCCTACATTGACGCATAGCCTGTGAAAGCTGTTGGGACATTTAGCGGCCAAATTTGGACCTTGAAACTTTGGAAATGTCCAACAAGAAAGTTGGTATCGTAAGACCTAGACCAGCAGTGCACAGATATCCAATTCGGCCATCACACGTTCCCAGTTCCATTCCTGATCCGTTTGTTGATGCTTTAAGTGCCAGCAATGTTTCATGATTCGTAGAATTGTCGCCACGTTCCCAAAATCGCGCTCGACGTCTCCGAGCACATTTCCGATCAGGGTTTCGAAGAATGACTGTTGTGATTCGACCGCCATACAACCAGCAATGCGCACCGGCCATATCAGGCCACGCACGTCTTGAACGTCTGTGATCTGCTCCAAAGCCCTGATCGCTCGGTCGACCGAACTGCGGACTTTGGGAGATTAGGGAACGAACCCAACAGAACAGAGTGCAGCGTCATCTCGAGGGATGAGTCGATTCGAGGGTCGCTAGACTCTGTTTGAGCTGATGCTCGATTGCCTGCCTCCTGGCTGCCAGGTCGCCAACGTCCAAGGTCCCCGCATGCCGAGCATGGTTTTTCCAAGCATTCAGCGTGGCCAAGTCTCCGATTGCCATCATCGCCCAGTTCTGGCAGCCCATAATCCTTTCCAGATCGATTCCTTGGTCCAGACACGGCGCGGTCCCGATCGATGCACACGAGACCAGGTCGAACCACAGTACGACTGCTACGAGGAACGGTATGGCGGAGTCTTCCATCCGAGGAGATTCCTGGACAATGGACGGATCATGTTCGAGGGCCGTGACAATCGAAACAAGAGCGCTCAGATAGGGTTTCCAATCGCTCACACCGCCACAATATAGCTGTTGTTACATGATCCGTCAGTAAATCATTTTGGCCTCCGCCAGATGGATAGGGAGCTCACCTCAAAACTTATCAAGGAGACCCCGCAGGCCAACACCTCGATCTGCCTGGACGTTGCGTCGATACCTTTACTTCCCTGATTATTCAACTACAAGAAGACACGTAAGTCTCGTAGAGCATTAGTGTGATACTCATTCAGCTCGGCATACTTATGACCATGGCTGTGGAAGTGGAGAATGCATTGATGCAGCGCACTCAGACTGAGCGCTGCGTGGCAAAGATGGCCGGTCTTGGTCAGCAACCAAAGCAGCCAGCCACGACCTCCCCAGCGGTTGATATCCTGCGTGTGGAAGCGAAACTGGCGCGGGAAAACATGATCAACGTAATGCATCAAGAGCTCGGCATCTCGATAACTGAGAGTCTTGGGTCCGAGTGCCGACTCGCTGCTCTCGACCGTGACTCTGCTCTGGGTACAGGTAGGATCCTCTCGTAAGGGTATCTCCCTCTCCGTTGTCGAGGTCTGTGTGGCTGTTGATTCACGAGACACCGACCGCGTCGGCGCTGTAAAATCGACAGGACAGGCTTCAGCCCGTCCCACCACTTCTAGTTCCTGGTTCACATCTTGCCATGCCGGGAACGCCGAATCTCGTTTGTTGGTGGGCTTGGAAGGAGCGGAAACTCCTCGCATTGCCCCTCGTCTCTTGATCAATCTGAAATTCCTCTTCACCTCCGTCTTGATCTCGTTGCGAAGCTGCAGCTCCAGCGGCTCGCCGTCGAACCACTCAGGCCGTTCCATGGCACTTGACACTCCGAGACGTGCACTGTTGACATGCTGCTCGAGTTTCATCGCATCTCTTATGTCGAACGCGGCAGGTCCAACATCCTTTGTTGCTTCGGATTGTTGGACTCAACGATATCAGACTCGTTCTCACATTTGGGCCCAACGGTGCACAAATTCAGGCGGTATGACCTGCGCAGGAGTACTCGTCAACGACCTAAAGTCACGACAGCATAGTAGGGACTGAGCGCTTGCTCTACGAGTCAAAAGTTTAAGCCGAGTTGTCTCGGATGAAAACATGCTGAAGGTGCCGTCGATAAGTGGCCGAAAAGGCACGATTGATTCAACTGAGAGATCACGTGCAGGTTCCTCTCTGTGGATTTCTGCCAAGAACTGGCACATGCTAGGCTACATTCGTTTACGGAGCATGTATATAAGTAAAGCGGCTGCCCTAGCAGATAGTTTTAGTTAGTTCATACATTCTCTTCACGCCGCTACAACAACATCTTCGCAGGAAGAAATTGTTGCCATACATGCATTTTATCCTGAGATACAGTTCATTGTGAAGGCAGAGTTGAAATGACAGTCAGTCGCTCTCGACAAAGACAAATCTGGCATACTGTCGCGGCTCAACATTCATCAAGAGGCTCACGTCAGACATGATTCATTTCGGACGCTTCACGGGCTTCCAGAATAGCAAATCGACCAAGTATAAAATATTGTGGCGAAATGAGATTCTAGGACCATCCAAAATCGTTCACACGAAAGCAACGCCGACATGATGCATAAATCTGCAGGTCAAGCAAGCAGGTCGCCACGCTTTTTCCGTGTTCAGGACTATTGGCGGTCGATAGGCCATCCAAAATTGTTATCGGTATTGTGCAGTATGTGATACACTCGTCTCGCCTTTCCGCCTATGACTAAACACTGACCTAATGTGGGGATCCTGGTTGCAACCTCCACCCCTTGGCGTTGGCTGGCACAACCGAGTAGAATGCGGATCTTGCATTGCCGCCAATTGCCCTTCCTCGGCGGAGTAGCACGCATCGGCCTCAGTCGGCCGGATGTTGATTGGATTGCTCCACCGTTCATTTTGGAGGTTAAACCTTGCAGGGCAATAAATATGACCTTCGTATCCTCGTGATACCTCGTTTCGATCACGGAAACGACAGATACAAAGATGGCAGCCTCTCTTCCGGCCTGGAAAGTCGCAGCGCGCCAGCGACGCCAACGACAGTTATCTCTGATACCACAGGAGTGGCGTCTGAAGACTATTCCCTCCGCTGCGGAGGCCAAATGCACCCTTCCCATTGTCGAATCTTGTGGTATTCTGTCTCCCTTGGAACTTGAGATCACTAGCCCATCCAACTCGGCTCCCTATATCATCAGCAAAATCCACACTTCGGCTTGGAGTGCCTATGATGTCACCCTGGCATTTTGCAAACGGGCTGCCGTGGTGCAACAGCTCACGTCATGTCTGACGGAGATTTTTTTCGACAAGGCCCTGGCACAAGCGAAGGTACTAGATGAGATCTTCCAGAAGACCGGCAAGCCCGTCGGTCCCTTGCACGGTCTTCCGATCAGTCTGAAGGATAGCCAAGCTGTTCAAGGCGTCGACGCAACGAATGGTTGGTTGGCACGCGTGGGTAACCCTGCGGCAAAGGATCACCCCTCGGTGGCCGCTTACCGCAAACTCGGAGCGGTGTTGTATGTCAAGACGAACATTCCTCAAAGCACCATGATGAGCGACAGCTACAACCATCTCTTCGGCCAATCAGTGAACTCGCTCAACCGACACTTGATCTCAGGTGGCAGTTCGGGCGGCGAGGGAGCTCTTATTGGCAGCGGCGGAAGTGTGCTTGGCATCGGGACCGATGTTGGCGGCAGCATCAGGGTTCCCGCGACCTTGCAGGGCCTCTACGGCTTGTGTCCGACCATCGGGCGAATTGGCAATCGCGAAAGTGCCAGGTGGCAAGCCAACATCATCCCCCCGGTGGCTGGCCCAATGGCCAGAGATCTGGACAGCATCGAGTACTTTTTGAAAAGCTATTTATCCTCCCAGCCATGGAAGAGCGACCCTGTCGTCGTGCCTATCCCGTGGAGGGAAAACTTGGTCGACGAAATTACATCAGGATCGGAGAAATTGAAAATCGGCTACATCGTTGACGACGGAGCCGTTCTCCCCCAACCTCCTGTGCAGAGAGCAGTACTTGAGACAATAGAAAAGCTCAAGGCAGGGGGCCATCAAGTGGTGCCGTGGGATGCTTCAAGCCACGCCAAGGGAAGTGATATGTGGGTAAAAGCCATCCTGTCCGAGGGCGGACGAGACGCGGCGGAGATGAGCAAACTGGGTAATGGAGAGCCACTCATACCGGGTATGCTGACGGGCACTGCCGAGACTTACCTGGATGCCGACCAGAGACAGAGCCTGGGTGACGAGATTTTTGAATATCAGGACGAGTACCTGGCCAGATGGGAGGCGAGCAATCTCGACGCTCTTATCATGCCGGTTACCCAGTGGGTGGGCCTGCGCCCCAAGGCATGGGTTCAGGCCGATATGTACATCGGCTACACCGCGATTTTCAATCTTCTGAACTGGACTGCCTTCACAGTTCCCGCCACCACCGTTTCGAAAGACAAAGACCGACCAAGCCAGGAATGGAAAGACCATAAGCCCCGGAGTTTCTCTGACCGTTTTAATCACGACTACTACGATGTTGATCTCTTTGACGGTATGCCCGTTGGAGTTCAGATTGTGACAGGTAGATTTGGCGAGGAGAAGGCTATCGGGGTCGCTAAAGTCCTTCGGTCGTTGTGAAATGAGGTATGGCTTCGTGATATCTTCTCCTTTTAGAGAGCCTTTCCGAGATAGAACGGAGGATTCAATCCATCTTCGCACAGATCACTCAAAACAGGAATTTCGCTTTTGGAAATCTTATCATTGTGCCGTAGAGCTATGGACGTTGTGGTGATAAGGTGTTGAACGATTGATGGCCTATCGTTCACGACAGACCGGGTTATTTTGCAACATTCGCTCACCAGACTGTATCACCATTAACAGGCAACCATAATAACGTACACTCGTTCGATATATAGATAGGCTCAATGCCACCCTCTGACCGAATTCGATCAGAGCATTCTTTCAATGAGAGAAGTTTGACACAAGGCTACAACACCCCTACAGTCTTGTTGAATATGTTGGCCACGTTAGCTGTGAAAGTCCAGTCGGAACTGGAATGAAGGCTGGACAATGAGTAAGATGGAAGGGAGCAGTGTAGCGTGTTCGAAACAGAAATTGCGGAGTCGGCACAGAGAGTCAAGTCTTAGAGCGGCATGCAGTGGTAAACTGCCAAGCCCGCGCCATGCGATATATTTCTTGGCAGCAACATCAAGTTCTTTTCATAGTTCCAATAAGCTCCCAAAAGACAGTGCAATGCAGCATCTCCCGTGCATTTCTGACACTCTGCCATGATTCTACGGTTTCTCAATTGTTAGACTTTGCGATTAGAGACACGGAGACCGAATCTTTGAAGGTATAAGAGCTGACCGAGCATTACTCTTTATATTGCTCAGGCGGTGTCAAAGTGCCCCAACACTCTGCCTATCATCTGTACAGTGACTCGCTTCAAGAATCTTATACGCAGATATCAGGTTGTTCGTTTTATGAAGGAGCCGAAGTCTCAGGTGCCGCAACTTTGGGTTTCCAATCCCTCTTCAAGTCCATGGGTGTCAATACTCTCTCTTTTGCCATGCGGTTTGCGACTGCGCCTCTCGGTTCCAGCGCTAATGCGCCAATAATTGCGAGTAACGCTTGTGAATAGACGAGGTCCGCGCCGGATGCGGTTGGGCTAGCAAGGGCAGGTTAGAAATTGATAGGACTCGGCCGAGCGCAAGGGTGATGGTATACTCACAAATCGGGGATGCCACCTTACAACTTCGGGTATCCCATACTGTACAGCTAGATCCGATAAAGCTTTGTGATGTGTGAAATACTGATGCACTCCTCCTAGTAGACCTTCCACGGCTTCGGTGGCTGGGTGTCTGAAGGGCTGGTGACCCCAAGGTTCCCGGTCTCCTCCCACGAGGAAAAATGCAGACTCGGAGACGCTAGGAGACCCGGACTGCTCTGTATTTCCAGGATGCGTTTTCCTGTGTATGTTGTCAGCCACGAAACTCAACTGGCAGCGGCAGCTCTCACCGAAAACGGCCAATCGGTCATTAAACCCTCTGCGACCGTGATCGAAGCTTTTGCTCGTGACAGCTAGCCATTTCGTTTCTTCTGATAACAGCTTGTGTCCATCTCTTCCTGAGAAATTCATATAGGCATGATCGAGTTTTCGTTGATCCGTATTGATCTTCAGCGTAGGTCGTTCTGGTCTCGTGCGCACAGGAGTCTTCATGCTCGTAGGTGTCGTTGCCCATCGCAGCGAGCTCTCCGGTTCATCCTCCATTTCAGATCGCTGAGGAGCTGCTGTAGAGACATATCGAGCTTGGTGCAGGACTTTGCGGTCCGAGTGCCGGTTGTGGGTGCAGTCTCAGGTCGGCCACTGTCGTATTGGTCTTAACAGGTCCAGGACGACTCGATAGGACGATGAGGCTTTTGAAGGCATGGTGGAGAAACACAGAAGCTATACGAAAACACAAAGACTCTGGAGAGTATCTCGTCTTGAATCAAGAGATGACAATTTATTCAGAGAAACGCCGTGCGCTTGCAAATCGAGTGACAGCTCTACGGCGGAGCACCTGGTTCACTTCCGACCCGGCGCTGCAGACGCCAATCATCCGCTTCAGGGAAATCAACGCCTTGTGGCTCTGGAGGCAAGAGACTGCTGCGGGGGTAGAAATGGCTTGGATTTGTACTGTTGGTGGAGCTGCTGGCGGTGTTGTCGGTGTGTCTGTGCTGTCGACAAGACAGGGGCAGGCTGATTTCTCGAGCCACGGTCGACTGCCCTCGGTGCGCCGCAGCACTATCTCAGTGTCCTGGGAGTTGTCAGCTGACGCTTCCACCGGACAAACCGAAACCCGTTTAGCAGTATACGTTGTCGATAAACGTAGTCTAGATCCTATAGCGCTCTAGAATTGTCGCAGACCCGCGTGACCCAGAACACTTGGCAAGGCTGCGAGACGCAGAAGAGGCGTACCCTACTCGCATAAGGAGCTTCCAGTAATAGACATACACTGTAGCGACCCTATTCGTCTATAAATATAAAACCCTTACCGGGTGTGGAAGGAGGAATTATCGTAGTAACAGAAAGAGGAACGGTTAAGAATCGTGGGTAACATGGACATGCCTAGGCCAAATTGACCCCTTGTAGGACTTCTACATCATTGCTCGAAAGAGTCTTGTAAGGGCCATTTCTATGACAAATACCAGGGTAGGAATGCTTGAGCGTACTCGGATAGAGTCTAGATCGTCGTTGCCCCTCCCAAGAACTGAATCAGAGGTCATGGTGGCGCGAAGTCTGATATTACCCAACCACCAAATCTCCTCAGGCCAAGCTGGCAACCAAGCCCAAAATACCACCGGCCAAAGGCAATAAACTCCGAACACCGTTCAGAGTGTTCCACTTCGCGATAAGCTGATCGATCTCATCGTCTCTTGCCCGTGACGGAGCCGCACTTCCTTCCATGGACATTGTCTCCGAATGTTGAATCAACCTGTTATTTGTCGGGGACATTACCATCAGGGTGAAGGGGACGATTCCGAGAGTCAGAACTGCCGCGGATCCGTAGTACAGAGGTATCTGACTCCTGGGTGCGATTCGGCGAACCGACCAGGCGAGATAGATAAACGCAGCCGCAGTAGCTGCCGCAATTGGAGGGTTTTGAGATTTGCCGGCCTCGTAGATGTATCTCCATTGCTTCACTAGACTGGTCGAAGATACGCCGTCATTAGCTTTGGAAAGGCGAAGAGCTGGTACAGCCATAAGGGAAAGAGCGGCAATGTTGCCTTTCTCTGCGTGTCAGCATTAAAGAGTCAAGGCCTCAGCTCGACCTACTCACCACCCAGCCACATTGCTCCGGTGACGCCCACGCATTTAACCGCGCGAAGATAGCTGAAAGAATCCATTGTTCGCTTTCTAGCGGGGCCTAAAAAGGTCCTCTGATTGGCTTCTCTTGAGGACGGTGTGATTGAGAATATGCGCTCCTGAGAGGACTTGCGGCCGCACAGGGTTATTTAGTTACCTCAGAAAGTTGAACATTACCGTGAAATTACCTTGTCGTGGCACGTTCTAGCCTTCGGCGTACCACGGATCATTCTTCCGTCTTCACGCCACCTCGAGAGGCAAACTTACTCTGATATATCGGATCTGCCTAGCTTTCCTTCCGAAGGCTCGGAAAAGAGCCAATGAAAACTGTATCCAGAGACAAGGAAGCTTCCGAACTTGCATCAGACTTGACCTCACGCCGGACAAGTCTTGTTACGTGATCGTCGCGCTGATTTGCCAGTCTCACCATTATCGCGTGATAATACGGCCCCCTGGAACTTCGGTGTTCCGATAACTTTCTGCAACTTCGCCAATGCTTGGACGACACAAACGAATGCCAGACCTATTCAAGAGCAAGATGGTTGGCAGGGCGGTGACAAGGAGAAATGCCAAACGTCCTTATTCGATTTGACCTTCTGTGTTTCTTCTCTTCCTCAACAATCCATTCGGTGAGCTTATTCGTCCGGAGCCTTACCATCCTTCTCAATGATCTCTCCGTGGCATGGAATGATACTGCTCCGGGCCCGTCAGGTGCTGCACCAATACCTCACAAAAAATTGTCTTTGCCAGAAAATATTACTCCGTGTATTCATTGCACCGATGAAGATGGTGTTTCGAAATCCAGAAGTGAGATGTGTTGTTGTCCTCCTAGGGAACTATTCCGTAGCAGCGAGATGGAGGAGGACATCGCCCTCAACCAATGTTCCAGAGAGTTGATGAAGAAGGAAGACAAACTCTTGGTGACCATGAGAGTGACAACACTTATAAAATGCGTCATTAAATTTATCAGTTATTCGCATCCTGATTTCGATGCCTTGAGCGAAAGTATGAGTGAATTGGGCCCTTTCGGTCAGAGGATCTTCGTTTCTTTTTCTCTCTCAACCCCTCCATTGCTATCGAGAAGGCTTCGGGATACTCAGCTGTCCATAACAACAAAAACAAATGGTACTCGTCGCTGGGTGTTAAGATGTACTTGACAGGCCTCCAGAAATTGCTCTTCCGATTTGACGTCCCCAGTGGATGGTCCTGGGAGGAAGACTACTACGTTTCCGATCCTCGGCTGGACGAGAGTACACGCCAACCAACTTTGAGCACGTCCAATTGTTTCCACGGTATATTAAGTGCGACGACACCCGGAACAAGATCGCGAACTACTGGAGGTCGACATCGCAAGCTTATCGATGATCTGTTGATTCTGACCGTTTGAAAACGTTGTTCAGTAAACGTCATCGCTGTGCAATTACAGGCAGTCTGACCAGAACTGTGGTCGTCAGGCAGTTCGACTGGGCCAGAAAGGGACGTCTTCCGGAATTTGCAATGCCAAACTAACTCTCTTACTGGCGCGAGCGGCTTCCGAAAGTCACGAGAAAAGTCCTAGCCAAAGGAGATCTCCCATGGGAGACGGGCATATGAGTGGTCAGTATTCCGGGCTGGCCAGACGCCGCTACATCCGTGCTTGATCTTGGGCTTAATTAGTAGCCGGCTTCAGTCCACCTGTTACAGGGAGATGCTCAATAATAGCTTTCTTCGTCGAATGGGACTATTTTGTGGGACACTTCATCAAATTCATACGCACAACGAATTGGCCAACCCTTATGACTCTTGTCAACTTGCCACAGTCGAGCTCTCGTTGACAACCGTACCGTTTTGCCCGTAGACGGTCTCGGCCAAATTAAGCCTAAAAGATGCCTGGTCAAACCCTCAGCTCATTAATAAACACACCGAAACGACCTTCTTGGTTCTTTTGGAGCGCTGCAAGAATCTTGTCACGAGTTTGGCCCTGTTCCAACGCATCAATGATCAATTCCTGCCCTGTTTTCATGGCAAAAACGTCGCCGACACCAGCTATCAAACGATCCAAAGCGGTTGGGAAAGGATATCCATCGCCAATTGCCGAGACCAAAGACTACACTTGGGCGTTGTATCCGTTCTTCCGGTACTCTTCTACCAATAGATCCCAGCAGCTGTTAACGAACTCGGAAGGCTTACCGAAGTTGCTGTTGATTTGAATAAGGTGAGCGTTTCGATAGAAGTGGTTCGTTGTGTTTTCACCGGCGGCGTGAAAAATGGACGGATTGAAAAATATGCCGTCGCCCTTCACCAGTTCCACCGACACGTAGCTGGCGTGGAAGTAATCCTGGTACCGGGTTGTCATATAACCAGCTTCGAACAATTGGCTGAACGGCAGGAAGCGCGTAGGTCCACTAGGCAATGGCATGTCGCTGTGCGCCACTGCACCCTGTAAGGTCAAGGATCTGGTTGGAGATTTGCACAAGGCGAGGAAATTGTGAACATTTTTCCACGTCGTAAAAGCCCATATGGTAGTCGCGGTGAGCTTGCTGAGCCTGTCCGCCGGGCGGAACGATGTTCAACCCAGGACCAAGTCATGCCTCGGCCACATGTCGAAGCCAGGGGTTGGCAAAATAGCGCACAAAGGTTTTTGGATCATTCACGGCGAGTTTCGTGAAAGTGTTAGCCGTCTTGAGGTTCCTATCTAGCTTGTAGCCAGTCTCCGACACTTGCTTTCGCTCGGTAAAATGGAATGTTGCATGCTCCTCCTCATCGAACACGGTGTCTGCGGAATCTACCACGGGTTCGAGCCCCTCGATCACGACCACTCCCGGACCGTAGGCTAGAATATGATTCCACTCGTCCTGAAGACGCTCTACAAGACCCTTGTCTTCATGCTTGCCAGCAAACTGGGACATCTCGTACACAACGATGTTCTTGGGGAATGCCGATGCTAAGGGGTATAAGTTCTGATCAACAGCTTGGTCACAAAGTCTTGCGAGATCTTCCACTAAAGGTGGCTGGCCCAAGTAGAACACACGCGTCTTTGGAGGGCCAGTGTCTCCGTCGACATGCCCATTGGCGTCGCTTGTGGTGCCGTTGACTATCATGGTCGACATTGTGCCACTATGGGTGGATGGTCACTTGAAAATTGGTGGTGACAGTAGGAACTGATATCAAAACCGCAGTTGAGTGTGGGCTTTTAAATGACCTGCCTCTTCCAGCAATCTCAGTCTCCAAGCTGTTCTCCACGTAGCTGGGAAATCTCAAGATGATTCATCCCCACCGGCGGGACTATATTGCGGCAATATATCTCACCGATTGGAAGCTATACGAATAGAGGACTTAGCCGCCGGGTGTATGAAGTCTAGAAGAAAGAGTTAGCTCGGATTCGCAGTTGGCTCACATGTAAAGACAGCAATGTACTTGAACAACCCCCTCTTTCCCCACTTTCATAACAATGAATTGGGGCAGGTCGGCTGTGCACCTTCTTCAGAAGATCTCGCCCACTTTCTTCTCAATGGATGCCAGTTAGGACCCTCGCCTCGAACCTAAGCGTTTACGTACCCTGCAAAGCAAGGGAAACACGAAAGGTATGATTCACGCACGACCCTATCCACGTCTTAGTGCTATAGTGGGTTGGACGGTCATTGGGCACGAATGGAGACTCTACATTCCCCCTTCATGAAGAGGCTTCCCAGTTGCAGATGCCTTGGCACAAATTGGGCCCTCCTTTCATTACAAAATACCATTGCTGAGGCGCATCATCGAAGAGTCTCCATTAAAAATCTTCCAGCTCCGCTGTGAAGGTCATCGACCGTAACGGTACCAAGGAGGAGCTCTGCAGAGGAGTTGCAGAAGAATTGAAGTCCAACCATTCTGATGATCACACATCACCAGATGGTCCTTTATTGGTCGCAAATGAGTCCCGTTTTGTCCCACAGGAACGTGGCTCATCCTAGCACTTGTTTAAGCGGCTGAATGACCCGAGACGTCTGTTGCACCCGTCCTCATCTCTTGATATGCCACCGGAACGCTTGATAACAATTCTCTCGACCTGAACGCTACCTCAATCGCAGAGTCCCCTCTTTCACGGCTACTTCTCACGTATATCTTCCCGCCTGACGGCGTGGACTTGAAAATTAGAATCAACCCTCGGCCGTGTCTCATCCTTCTCTTCGTCCACCGCCTCTTGCGCTCATTTCCACGAAACAATTTCCGCCGATCGAAACAATATTCGGTTGACGTGATCACTTAGAAATGACTGCGGTAATGGCCATTCTGGATGAGCGGCATCAGGGATCAGAGGTCAAGACACACTCGACGAGAATGATTACTTACGTTGTGGGCGGATTTCATGAATGTGGTCATGGTCTGCTTACTAGTAGGTGTGTACGTTACAGTTTCCGCAGCAAGGGTTGCCACCGGACGGTGCGCATTGGACTGATGGTGGGCATCAGGGGAATCCCAAATACAACGCGTACTTCATGACGGCTCGAAAGGGGCACAGCCTTGCAACGTCGTACGGAACAAATAGCTGGGTACGGAATGAACTGGGGTCTAGTCCCCTATGGACTTAGCCCAGTCAATCAGACGACCCAATGTAAACCCATTTCTTGGCGAATAATACGGTTAATTGTGGTCTCTTTTCCGCTCGAGTATAATACTGTTGGCATTCCCCGTTGGGTTTAGCCTAGTCACGTGCACCCTTCATGGCCTTTTTGTCGCTTGCGCCTCGCTCAGATAGATTCAAAGCAACCAATCTTCTCTCGGCCCAACAAATACATGCGTCAGGGCGATGACATTTCTGTTCCTGCCGTTTCGGATCGCGATGAAAGGTTAGCTTTTTCCAGAAATCAAAAACTCGCGACCCTTGATTTGGGCGCCCCGAAGTCCCACCGAATTGCATAGTTTTAGCAATCTCTGCGGCGGGTCGGACATTCTAGGGATCGGCTAACGTTTTGACTGAGCAGGGACTTAGTGTGTCCTATCGTGTTGTCTCCGATCTATCTATTCCCCTCTTCGTATTCTCCCCGGTTCTTTCAATTCTGTCAAATTTGGAAACGGTCGACCGAGCGCACCCATCTTCTGAGAAACTGTCACGTCCCATCAACAGGCACAGCCATTGGACAAACCTACGGAAGGCCATCCACAATCATGGGCTAACGACTCGTTGGTGAAGGAAAAACAGTCCCTGCTGTAACTCCTTGCAATGGGTTGACATTACTCTCTGGCACAGCACAAGCAGAGCGGTTGCTGCGCCCTACAACGAACAAAGAGGACGGTTGAGAGCAAGGCCCCCGAACCAGGACAACCAGGAATCAAAAACTGAGTCCAATGCACCTCCCGGAAATGAAACCAAAAAGCTCGTCCCGCAGGACTCTGGGTGCAAGTTGGCATCCCCGTTCCTTACAGCGGTCATTCTCGACCATGATCGAATTGCATCTGGACCTCGCAAGTCTCATACCTGGTATCGGCGCATCGCCACTGCCATCCCAAGCCACCAGTACACAATTTGCCCGAGCACACTGCTGTTTGCTAATCCGGGGGTATTCATGGCGCTGAAAACAGCACCGAATTTTGCCCAATTATTACAGGGGTTCGAGAGCTGCCGTTGCTATTAATGGAACCACCCAAATTTGCCCGTTGCAGTCTCTTGGGGAATTGGATTACAACGGTCGGGAACGTTCATCTTCAGGGATTTGAGCAAGGAATCAATCTGACTTCTTTCGCTGTTGTTGGAGTTTTTCCTGCAAAAATATAAACGTGATTTCACAAGTAACCTTCTCCAGGAGCACCAAAGTCCTAGATGCCGGCGGCAATACAGGCTGCCAATCACAGACCTGTCATAGTCAATTCGGCCTTTTCACCCTGTTTCGTAGAAAGTAGAGCTTGTGATACTCTCGAAATCTTCCGTCCAGGCGCGCTGATATGTCTGGCGCGGCTGGAGAAAGGTCACGGTTGGTCTTTCAATGGTTTCTTGATTGTCAAAACCATTTGACCTTATACACGCCGCAGGCTGGTGGTCGGGTTTTTGAAGCCCCAAACAGTGAGACGATAAAGTGGTTTATTCCGCCGAAAGATATACAACCCCGCCAATAATTTAACGTGATACAAAGTTGCTGAATCGGGTTAGCGCGTTTCTCTTAAAAGCTTCTGACATCATCTGGTTTTTTAGGTCCCTCAAATTCGTCTGGGCTAAAAAAGAAGCATGATGCCGTCCATATCCACGCAGGCTGACTGCGAAACGCGTTCACCCTCGACTCGCCCTTCTCATAGGCTGGCTCATGCTACGTCGAGAGAGCTCATGTCAAACTCTGTGGAGTGCTCTGGCTCTCCTAACGAGTGCAGGATAAGCGCCTAGCATCTCATCAGCTTCACCCCGTTGACCATGATGGCATTCAAACAGAACTGGGGAATCGCACACCCGCATCACGATGTCCATGGAGGTCTGAAGAGGCCCCAACTCAAGTATTGGTCCTGGGGTACAAGGTAAAAGGGTGGACCTTCACGTAGCCGCTGAGTTCTGTCTTCCGTGAAAGATACGTGAAAATAGCCCATTCTGGTTGCTGGGCGATTCGATTTCTGTCGAGATTTAAAAGTCATGTGATGGAGAACGGGGGTGTTGTTCAGTCTTTTGTCAACAAACAAGGCACTCCTTCAGCTCTTCTCTAGACTCTCCAGTCTATTAGACTCAGGCTTATGTTTCTCCCCTTCAAGTTCGCCCACACGAAGCTCGGCGTCACTGTATCGGACGTCAACGGCGCGGAAAGGATTGTAGGCGACTGCAAAGACGGCGTCAATCTCCTCGAGAGCGCGACCCTGGACAAGGCATGCTACGTCAGCGTCCCCGATTGTAACTTTAGCACCCGCCGAACTCACCTTGGTCTCTGGAAGAAAGAAGAGGGTGAACACAAACGCCAGGACTGAGATGCTACCAAACACCCATCCGACCCCGAAATGGATGTCGTCGATCATGTATGGGATGACAAAGTTGGTCACAAAAGCCCAGACAACATTCCACGCAGCCCCCAGCGCCTGCGTCTTTTCCCGGACAGCGGCGTTGGGAACCTCACTGCCGAGAAGGTAAGGAATAGAGGCACCACCCATCTGAAAATTGGGACTGTCAGCAAATTCACACGCAGCGCTGTGTACATCGGGATTTATCAACACTCACGTTGTAACTAAACGAGTAGAGCATAAATGCAGCCACAATCGCGTTTTTGGTCGTGGAAGTTTTGTTTGCCATCCCACCAAGACCAGCCAACAGGTATATCCAGGTGCTCTGGAAAAAGAAAGTGGTCATGAGGGTGTATCGACGACTGTGGGGAGACAACTGTCAGCGCTGTGGAACGACGGGGAAAGGGGATCAACTTACCCAAGCGTATCAATCAAGTACATGGCTGGGATGACAGAGAGGAAGCTGAGACAGCTGTTGATGACGGGATAGGTGAATGCCTGTGCCGCATATCCGTTCATCTTGTAGAATACCGTCTGGTAGGTGGAGACGAAAGCCTGGCCCGTAGTCTACAAAACCGCAGATTAGACTTATAGACTATCGTAAAGGGACAAACGATACTGACCTGCTGGAAAAAATAGTAAACGACGACAATCATCGTTCGGCGGAGGTTGTTCCCGCGCACGAGGTCGAGCCATGGAGCTTTTGTGTACATGCTCCTGGAGAGCGTCTTTGATGGGCCTGGACTTCGGCTGCGCACCTGACATCGGCATCGTCGCCCTTGGGTCTAAGGCGGCGCAGGGCGGCGATGGCGTCCTCGTCACGGTCCTTGGACAGGAGCCAGCGAGGAGAGGAAGGGATGAACCACACGAAGAGGATGATCACTAACAGATCCACATTAGGAAACATTGAACCGGGCGCAGGCGGGGGAGTCGTGACGGGGCACGTACGGACGGGGAAGATAAATTGGATGCCTGTGACTGCTTTCCAACCCAGAGCGTCAGTTCTGGTAGAGAAGGCCTTGTTGACTCCCGTAGCAATGACAGTTCCGGCGTTGAGGAAGAGTTGCAGGGAGACGACGACGAGACCGCGGAAAGGGGCCGGGACAATTTCAGATTGGTACGTGCTGAAGTAGCCACGTTAGTTTCACTCGAACGTCATCATGGGAAGAGCCAGCTCACGTCACGTCGACTTCGACAAGACCAACCGAAATGTACACAATGATCCGGCCAACGACGAACTGCGCGAAACGCCCGGTCCCGACACCGGTGTCGGCAGCAGCGATTTCAACTAGAGGGCCACAAGTGAGCCGGTCAAACATCCCCCGCCCCACGAAGGGACCAAACCTACTGATAATACCTATGAAAGAGACAACCGAGAGAGCGAAGAACACAGCGCGGTGCCCAAACTTCTCAATGGCCGGTCCGGCGACGAAACACCCTAGGAACTTGCCGATAAAGGCAAGAGAGGACAGGAGCGAAGTGTGAAGGGAATCAATGGCGTATTTCTGGGCGTTCTCATGGTACACCCCGAATTGCCTCACAAAACCCTAGGTGTCCTGTCAGTACCACCTGATTGGTCCATCCACAAGCACGAAGAAAAAGTACCCACAGGGTTAGCGAGGACTCCACCAAAGCTCGCCGTGTCATATCCGAAGAGCATGTCGCCTACGAGCAAGCAGAAGCAAGAGAAAAGGAGCAAAGGGGTCACCGTGGACCAAGCCGAGGGCGGGTTCGCCATGATTTGCCTGACACACGGGGTGTTGTACCAGGTGGAAAGGGACGTTGGTTAGCAAGTAAAAGACACCAAATCCTGTTGGCTATGTGCAACTGCAATATCCCTTTCATCGCCCCATCGCGCTGGCTGGCCGTATATTTATAAGACACGACAGTGGCCCAACAACATGGTCGTCGTGGAACCCTCGATTGCGTGATCCGAGCGTTGAGGAGAATTTCCGAGCGAAGGCAAGGCTGAACCCGCCTCGTTCGGAACGGAAGGATTCAGAGGATAGGCCTCTCCTGCCTGTCTCATCCGAGCGAGGCCATTGATCGCACCGGCATCGCGGGTATTCAAGCCCGTCTCTGGCGTGTTCTCCAAAGCTGACTCGAGAAAAGGGGCCTTCCGTGCATCACGCCTTACCTTGTTTTAGTTATTCCAGAACCTCATAACCGGCGCGCCATCCTCCACTACTGGGACAGAAATCTGCGAGTGAAATTTCGACAACCGTTTGTCTTGTCGCGCATTCGTAGGAGCATTTTGTCCTCGAGACACTAAGATTGCCCTGGCCCTTCTCTTTCCGCTATCAGTTCCAGCATGAACGGTGACCTGAAAGCGGACCACAAGCGTCCCAACTTTCTCTTTGTCCTCGCCGACGACCTTGCAAGTTCTCTTCTCCCGTGGGTAGGGTCCGGCTAATATATACAATCCCCTAGGGTTTCTCTGACATAGGTTGTTATGGGGCAGAGATCCAAACCCCCAACATCGACCGCCTGGCAGCAGAGGGTATCTGTATGCTCAATGTCCACACGGCGGCAGCTTGCTCGCCCACGCGTGCGATGCTGCTGAGCGGGACTGATGCACACCTCGGGGGCCTGGGCGTGTTGATAGAATACAAAAACAGCGAGCAGGGCGCTAGGCGCTGGTCAGGTAAGGCGGGGTATGAGGGATATCTGAACAACGATGTTGCAACTCTGCCCGAGATACTGGGAGACCATGGGTACTTCACGGCCATGTCTGGCAAGGTCGGTCGCTGCTTGGTTAGGTCGTTTTCGTTCTGGACGGGGGGGGATCTGGACCTCTGGCGAATTTTATCGAGGCTGACCAATTCCATAGTGGCATCTGGGGTTGCGTGCCTCTCAGGGACCGTGGAAACGTGGCTTCCAAAAGGCATTTGCCATGCTTCCCGGGTGTTGCAATCACTACGGTTGGGAGCCAGTGCAGGAGCGCTTCCCCGTCGGTGGTCGCCCAGTTCACGCAGAAGGGGGCCGCAAAGTTCATATGTAGGTTCAAGCTGGCGAGATGGCGGCGAGAGCTGACGGCTGCCCTTCTTCGCAGACCGCCCAACAAAACAGAAGACCCCCACGGCTTCTATTCGAGTGACTACTACACCAATCGACTGATCCAATTCTTCGAGGACCGGTCTGACGAGGACAAGTCGAAGCCGTTTTTCGCTTTTTTGCCGTATACCGCCCCCCACTGGCCCTTGCAGTGCTCTAAAGCACAGCGTGACAAGTGAGTTGTGGCAGACCTTTTGTTCCCGGTCTTGTGTACTGTCTGTTTGCAGGCGGGGGCTTCGAGCTAATTCGTCACTCCTAGGTATGCGGGAATGTACGACGATGGTCCGTATGCCCTACGGGAACGCCGACTAAAAAAGCTTGCCGAGTTGGGCATCATCGATAAATCCGTCGTCCCGCACCAGGTGGAGACATCAACGCTGGGCGTGGGGGAGTGGGATGATCTCACTCCAGAGGAGAGGAAGCTGTCGAGCCGCGCGATGGAGGCGTACGCCGGCATGGTAGATTCAATAGACGTCAATGTTGGCAAGGTGGTGGACTACTTGAAAAAGAGTGGAGAGTATGACAACACGTTTATCGTGTTCATGAGTGATAATGGGGCAGAGGGTGCGGCGTGAGTACCCCAGCTTGCCCTTCCTGGCAGCGTTGAGCTTTGGACTGATCTGAGTGATATTGGTGGCCAGAATGGAAGCTGCCCGTGAGTGACGTGGAGTTTTCCCCTCTACAGTGGCTGCGATATAGAGACGCTGACTATAGTCTCGCAGCGGTCATGGGAGACAACATTAAGCGCGCTATCCACCAGTACTACGACAACTCATACGACAACATTGGCTCTTGGAACTCATTCACCTGGTACGATTTAGTCTATGGGCAGGAAGGATAGGCTGACACTGCGACTCTAGGCTCGGCCCACTATGGGCTCAGGCATCGACCGCTCCATCGAGACTGTTCAAGTGCTTCCCGTCTCAAGGCGGCATCCTTGTGCCCTGTGTCGTCAAACCACCTGCCAACACTTTCCTCCCTTCGTTCTCTCCCGGCTCGTTCAGCCGCTCCTTTGTGACCGTCATGGACTTTGCCCCTACCTTTCTCGAACTGGCGGGCGTGGCCCTCTCTCCTGCCTCGGAACGGGGAAAGGTTGCGCCTTTGGCTAATGACAATGCCACGCGCAAGATGACCACTTTTCGAGGAAGAGACGTGCATGCTATCCGTGGCAAGTCGTGGGTGCCGTTCTTTGCCCAGGGAAAGAAAATTGAGGACGGCGAGATGTGGGCCGTCCACTCCTCCTCCGAGCCCGTGGGTTGGGAGCTCTTTGCGCGTGGCGCACTGCGGAAAGGAGACTGGAAGATTGTCCACTTCTCCAAGGCTGAAGGAGGAGCGGGCGAGGGCGATGAGGGTTGGGAGTTGTTCAACGTCGTCGATGATCCTGGAGAAACCAAAGACCTGGCCCAGACGGAGCCACAGAAGCTGCAAGAGCTGCTAGCGTGCTGGGATGAGTATGTGGCTGAGTGTGGGATCGTATGGGGGGAGGAGGCTTTGGCACCCGGGATACAGATGAACGAGGCACCCGGGCTGTGGGAAGATGAAGTAGACTTGCAGAAGTCGTGGATGGGCGCTAGAGCGGGAGAATGCCCGTTATCCTGCCAATAAAAGAATGGGTCATGCGACAGAGAAGCACCGATACGCAGGCAGCGGAGTGACGACGTCGGATTGCCGTTCCGAGAAGAGACATCGGCTCTCCAACCGGTTCAACTTCTGGAGATGGGCCGGAGACATGCACCTTCCTTCCAAATGGTCTGGGACGAACTGAGGGGGGCGGAAGATGGCGAGGGTGAGGGTGAGGCAAATTACTCCGTATTCAAATATTAAATATATAGAGGTCGCCGTGTCTCGTTTGCCTTTATATTTCATCATGGGCGACGCTTACGGAGATTCTGCCTTCGTCGTCACTCGAAAGAGTGTCAGCGGTCCTGCTGGTAGTATTTACTAGTAGGGTAGAGGAATACCCCACTGACGACTTGCCATATCAAAGACATGGCGCACACGAACCCAATATTATGAAGATGGAGGTCGATTAACGAAGAGCGGCAACATATCCACATTCGAACCCATCGCAGATATCAACTCGACGATCCTCAGTGGAACCAGACTTGAAGCCTGTCACAGACAAGAAGGTCGAGCTCTACGCCGAGTGGTAGAAGAGTGCTGGGAATAGGATAGGGAGCGCGGCGAAGGAGAAGAGGATGTGGAGTTAAACGACGTAGGTTCAGGTGCTGTAGCTTGGTCGGCAAGAGGCCGAAGAGACATCATGGAACAGCAAGACGGTCCCAGTATCAGCGGAAGCTGCAGGGTAAACTGACACTCGGTCTCACGAACGGTTGGATTGTCAAATCTGTTAGAGCTGCGATGAAAACCTCGTCAGGTCACCAGTTTGATACCCTGGGTGCCCTGACTCGGCCAAGAACCACGACCAGTCAAGTGAAAACATTTGATCGGGGTTTTCAGGTTCACCGAGCCCCCACCACGGCAGCAGGGTCTGTGCCATGCCGACGCCATCAATGCTCTGCGCTGCTGGCAAGTCAAGTTCGTTGGAGGGGGCCGAGGGGACTGACTGGCCACGTTGGGCGGCCGAAGGTCGTGAAGCGGCATAGCGGACGTCGATCGCGTCGAGGCGAGGCGAAGTCGCTGCCGAAGACGAAGCTGTTTCTCCGCCTGACTCGTACTCGAGCAAAGCCTCGTCACGCCCGGCATTGGTAGATGGCCTGACGCCGCGACGTAGTCGTTCGAGCTTGGCCCATCGAAAATCGCGAAAGTCGTACTCGGCAGGGTCTTGACAAACTAGCCGATATTCACTATGTACCAAGTCAGCGAGAGACTCCACTTCACAGGCCCCGACACAAACGACAGACCTTCGGAATGCGGTAAAATCGGTCTGATTAAGGAAATGACTGTGGCCGCATCGCAGGAGCCGGTGGACTGCCTCGACGTGCTATGTTTGATGTTAGCTCTTGCGGCTCGAGCATGCAATCCCACGTACTAGCTGTTTGACAAACTCGGATCGATCTGCAATATCCCGAATGACAGTGAGAAGGTGAGGGATCGCCTCCATGAGCGCGGGCGCTTTGGGGTCGAGGAACGGGTCGATCTCAGCCAGGCGGCGTGGCTCGAATAGGAGGACTGTCCGTGTCTTCAGGTTAGTAGCGTTGAGGCGACGAGGATGAGAGGGAGATCTCACTTTCTAGGGCGACATAGGCTTGCACGCCAATTTGAGGATCAAAGCTGATGCCCGCTTTGAGCCCTTCCGAGATAAGACCCGCGATGGGAAGAGCGTGCGAGATCCTGTTCCGCCGAACCTGGGGGATAAGATCTGCTTTAGCAGAATCGCGCTGATACACCTGTAGGGCGGCCCGACCGACGACAATGTAAAGATTGTGACGCAAGATGTGCAGGAGGATAAACGTGATGAGGCGATCACGGTGAAGAATCATGTTGTTTGTGTTGAAGTGGAATCGCCTCGGCAGGGCCGCTATAACATCTTCTATGTCGGCCTCGAGCGCAACCAGCTCAGCCGACAACTGTTCGCTCGTCCGTTCCCGATGGGAGGCGCGAAAAGCAAAGTGCAAGGCTCGGCGACGTGCGGCCGCCGTCCGAAGAAGATATGCTGACATGTCGAGAGGTGCACGGTCGAGACTAGCCGTGCTAGTATTGGCGGGGTCGCTAGGGACAACGAAGAGCGGTTCGGTCACAACCGTCTCGTCACCCAGAAAGCTCGCCATGTCACACGGAAGCTGGAGACGATATGAATTTTCGTCGACAATGTGGAAACCATATCGGCCACCATCGACGATGGTGTCGGCGTAGAACGCGCACCACGCTACGCGCCGGAGAGCCTCGCAGGAGAGAAGTGGCGAAAGTCGCAGATTTGCGGCAAATTTGGCCGGGTAGGTACGGTCAAGAGTTTGGAGGGACATCATCTGCATCATCCTAGACCGGTCGTCAGTTCCTGGAGGTCGACGAAGCACCGGGGGCGAATGAGAGGATTCAGGGTGCGGGCGGTCGGCACTCACCTGGTGCAGCTAGCGCCCAGTAGCCAAGCAGATGTAAAGTTGCCACGATTTAGATCGTAGTGTTGTGCTAGCAAGAGGGTCTGTTCACCGCATTAGACGCTTTTCCTTCGACCACAGTCCGCTTGCTCGAGCCGCAAATACCGAGTCGATGGCAGCCGGGGTGTCACTTACCATGAGCTGGATTGCCCCAAAGCCTTGGTAGATGCGCGGGAGAAGGGTCCCAATCGCTGCGTCCGCCCAAGCGTCGGCTCTCACCAAGTTCTCTGGGACGGCGTGGGCGGCAAACCTGCCGATGAGCGATCAGCGAGGGTTCAACACTGGAAAAGGCCTGGGCTTTACCGCATGGCGCTGGCGATCATGATTAGAGTCAATTCGCGAGGGGCCTTGCCCTTTGCGAGGAGGCGATTGAAGTGAAGCTGGTGAATGAATGCGAAGAACCCGAAGTCTGAAGAACGGGCAGTCAGCCATTGGGTTCCCGTTGCGGCGATCGACGACACGAAAATGCTTACGGTGTACCGACGAAAAGTAGAGCTCGACTAGATCCTCGAGCTCTTTGCCCGTCGGTAGCTGTCCCAGCGGCGTGGGTCGCGATGGGGCATGGTCGACCGGCTGCAAGGTCTCCGTCGTCTCATGGCCTTGTCTGGAAAGCGATGAGGTGGACTCCGTCTCCGAGCTCCTGACATGGGAGAGCGGCTGGGGAAGGGGGGAGGGCGACGAAATCGTGGGCAGAAAAGCAGTTGTCCTGTCTGTGTCGTTGGAAAGAGAAAGGTGCAGATGTCTCGGTAGCGCCATCTCAGCACCTGTCTGGGATCGCACGCATTCTATCCCGCTGCTGGCGCACTTTTGGCATGCATCTTGTACATCCCCGACGCATTTGAGCTAGAACCGTACACAGTCAAGTCAAATAGACTGGACTTCCGATGAGCACCAAAACGAGGACGTACCTTTTTCTCCCGACAAGTGTCGCACGCTGTCGCGTTGGGTCTCCTCGAGAGCCGGGCTCTCTTCTCGCTGGGTTCTGACCAATCGCAGGTCCTCGTTCCCTTGCAGCACTGGGTACACTGGGGCCTCTTTTCATCGCATTTGATCTGCCGCAATCGTCAAGCAGGTGCCGGCGAAGCTAAACGCATCAGACGAAAATGGCAGAGGGCCATCACTCACCCTCCTATGTCTGCATGTACGACAGCCCGTCCGCGTTCGATGGGTCGCGGTTCTGCTCCTTGGTGTGGGCGTCTGAAGTGGAGAGTGACGGGCGTGAGCGCCATCTGGGTGGGCGGAGGCTGGGGGCCACGTATTGAGATCATTCATCTCCAAGATGCCATGGGATGCTCAGGACGGAAGATCCAAGGCCGACGTGAGGTTATAGTAGAGGCAGCGTGAGAGGAAGGAGATGTGAGTGAAAATCAGCATCAGGCGTTAAGAGAGTGGTTGAAGCGCGGCCGGGGTCCAGTAAAAAGTCATGCCATCAGCCGCGGCACTTGATGGTCTTGGTGAAGTTCTAGGCTTTTGATGTCTTCCGTACAACCGTCCTCGGGAGATTTCTCCCTCCCCTACAGCGTCCTGGCCATGTGATGCAATTTGGTACGATCCACTCAACGCATTTTTGCGGCGGGGGGCTCTGCATCCACTGGCCACCCCAGGATAAGGAATGTTGATGATTGTGCACAAGCAATGCGAATCTGGGGGCCTCTGGGGATACGACTACTTTACTGTAGCGCCCACCGCCGCTGCCACGTTTCCCCCTGGCTTTACCCCGGTTTCCCCATGCTTCTCAACGTGGATCAGGTACAGAGGATGGAGGACAGGTGCAATGGCCCCCGATCCGAGCGAGGCCTGCATCGTGCCGAACGAGACATACAGTACCCCTCACTCATGTCAACATCGGACTCCCCACCTGCACCCGGAAGGCTCAACACATGGCGTGTACACAGATTTGGGGGAATCCATGTAGAGTGTGCTGACAGCAATAACGAGGGGGGGAAGTGGTGCCACGAGGAAGATAAGGCGGTCGGAGTTTGGGGATCTCGAATTCGACGGTGGGCTCTTCTGCTTGCCCTCTCCCAAAAAAATGGGAGAAATGCATGCTTATGGCTAAAAGGCCGCTCAACCAGAGCTCCAGGATTCTGCTGAACTTTTTCGTTCCAAGCGAATGATTACTTGCTCGTGTCGATGCCAAATTGACGACTGACCGAAAATAAAAAAAAAAAACCGGTTGTGTCTGCCTCATTGAGCAGCCGAGGTTTTCCCAGGATAGTCTGCAAGTTACAGGCAAAGGCCCAGGGGATTCCAGCCACGATGCTAAAAGCACCCGTCATCAATCTATTCCCGAAGAGGGGACACTAGACACTAGTTTATACCGAAGCACTCATTTTCACCACCATGGTCTTACCCCGCGCTGATAGATGTAGTTCCTATGGAATATCAATGACTGCTCGGCCTCACCGTGCCGGTGCGCATCGCTTGGAACAATGTCTGCTCTATGGATGTATAAAAGGGGACTGCCACGAGATGAGAGTGAATCCCACACTCCGCACGACACGAGCAGACATACCTCGTTGAGGGACCACCTAGACTTCTTAGTGACCCAAGACCTCACCATCGCAGGCCACCGACATGAAGATCCCGGCCGCCGTCATCGGCCTGGCTGCCCGCGCCTCCACGGCAGTGGCCGCCATCAACATCACGGAAGCTGTCCCCCTTGCATTACTGACCTCGCAGCCGTCGTTTGCGAAGCTAGTAGATTCGGCCTTGGTCTCCTTCTCGTTTGAGTTCCAGTTTTGGCCCACATATGCGGGCAACGCCACAAATCAGCCGAACCCGTTCGTTCATCAGCTGTTGAAAAATTTGGCGGAAAGGACAGGGAAAACACCAGCCGTCCGTGTCGGAGGTAGGTCCCACGTTGCTCCATATTGGCTCGGAATTTCAGCACTCTGGCACCACATTCAAGTGGTCACTGCCCTGGTAAGAGGCTCTTTCTCATCCGTGTGCACAGGAACGAGTGAGAATACCGCCTATGTCGACACCTCGTTTCAGGTGTGGGACGCGACCCAGTTGGGCGAAGTTTTCGGGCCGTTTATCCAGCAACCTACCCGCTGGCACCGAGCTCACCTTCGGCCTCAACATGGTTGATCAGTCCCAAGTCGCGGCCCAGTCGAAGATGCTGGCGGAAGCTTTCTAGGGATCTCGCGCCGGTCTCACCAAGAACGTGACCCTCAAATTCGTCGAAATCGGCAACGAACCAAACGTTCATGTCCCGTCCCTGGAGAGCTACGTGTCCGAATGGAAATCTCTTGCCAGGACAGCTCTACGGAATATCAAGATGGGCGGCAATGGCAACCCTTCTCTCTTGATTGGATCCGAGATCATTGGCTTCAACTTTCCGTTCTGGCTGACTGGAACGCTGGAGGCGGGGATCCTAGACAGCGAAGATATTTCCAGCGTTACCTACGTCCTCAATGAGCACCAGTACTCAGACGGCATGTTCGATGCAACCCCCGGCGGCCCGCCTCAGGGTACTTTGATGAACAAAGGAACCATCCGAAGTAACTTGTCAACCGTTTACAGTGGGATGTTGAACACCGAGAGCTACAACAGGAGGCATTACTTGGTAAACAAAGCCTCATTCACTCATATTTCCACTGTGTCGCTGACCTATGTAACTCTCTGTAGGGAGAAGCCAATACCTATGGCGGGTAAGCGATCCCCTCATCTGCAGCTGTGGTTCGAAGGATGACCAAATCCTGACTACTCTTGATAGACAAGATCTCTTGCGCCTGTCCAACACCGGCGAATCAACCGTGTGGGCAGTTGACTATTTGCTCAAGGCGGCGTCGATGGGGGTTGAGCGCGTCTACTTCCACAGCACCGCCAACCGCTTGTTCGCTGTCTTTCAGCCTAGATGGAGATTCACCAATGGCACTGGCATTAGCCGCCCGCATATTATGCCTATGTACAACGGCCTGCTCGTCGTGGATGAGATGGTCGACAAAAGTGAGAAAGCCAAGATCGCGGAGATGGAGAACAAGAGCGACGGCCTGGCGACGTATGGGATGTGGGAGAATGGCAAGCTGGTCAGGATGGCGTTGATTAACTCAAACGTGTTTGACCAGAACGCCACAACGAGATCGGCCATCAATGTCACCTTAAGCGGCGTACCCATGGGACGTTCCCGACTCTCAAGCGTCTGAGTATCCCATACACTACTGCCACCGACGGCATGTAAGTTGACCCATTTTCATTATGTACTAGATGAAGAGACCCGAGGCTGACTGCCATCGATTCAGGACGTGGGGCACCGTCCGGTCAGATCGTTGAAACACCGCTGGCAGGGGCGTCTGTCATTGTAGCCGCTTCACAGGTCGTCATGCTTAGCTTCAAGTAGGGGACGATGTCAATGTCGACCCAAGTAGGCACATGTTACCCGTGGGAAGGCAGATTGGGGGTTTTAATATGACTGCGCAAAGGGCAGTTGTGTCACACGGAGAGAAGAGGTAGACATACATTACCTTTATATGCATGAACTAAATTCGTAAGAGTGTTGCTCCCGCAAACCGGATTCGACCCAAAATCGGATAGTGAGAATACAGATCCATGGGCGTGTTTATTGACACCAGTATTCTCAGGCCAAACCGTCACCAGCATCAATCCTTTGCAGAGGATAAATCACGTACGCTGAAAAGCTCTTCTTGGCCACAGCTCTTATGCAAGATATACTGTCGCGCTAGGTACAGATAGTATGCAGAAGACGGGCAACAAGCCATGACGTAGGCACAGATTGACGGGGCCAGAATTCTTCCAGTGGACAATATCCGTAATTTCCCCCCATCTATATAAATTTTACTGCTAATGCTGTCTAGCGACTGGTCCTGTCAGGTTGCTGGTATTTATACGTGACTGGTTGACCCTTTTTCTTCTCCTATTCTTACTCTTATATCTTACATAGGAGTAATGACCCCTTTCCCAGTAAAACGAGCACTTGCTACCGTTCAACTGTTCAACCAGTTGAGGAAGTGTTGTGAGGCGAGAACTCTGTCGATCAGTGGATAGACTCGTAGTCGCGCATGTGAGGGCTCAAAGTCCCTACACCAGGATAGTGAAGGAAGAACGGCTTGATCTCAACGCTCACACAGGGACAGGTTTGCCTAGTCCACATCCCGCCGCGAAGTCAAAGACGAGAGAGCGAGGTGTCGAACAGTGTGTGGCAACATGTTCACCTGTGACGATGGAATGTTCAGCTTACAAGGAACCTTGGTCATAAGCTGGTTACGGAGACACCGAAAGGTGGCGGCAATCATTCTCTCTCTCTATATATATATGCGAGGTGGGACCTCCGGTTGATAGAAGCCAGAGCATTCAACAAGCAATGTACTACTAGTGATTGCCTGAGAGGTACGCTATTGGAGCAGGCTTGCTGTCCAGAATGCGGAGCATCAATTGGAGGATCGAATCATCAAGCCGTTGCAGGCGTTTCGCGTGCTATGGGCATGGGGAGATGAAGTGGTGGACGTTTGGACCTGCTGGTAACTGATGAAGGAGAATGGGATGGGTGCTGGCCTAGGGTGGATGGGGTTGGAAAGCAAACCTGTGGCATGCAATATCACTTGAACTCTGTCATATGTTTCTGTGGGGGCTTGCGGGTTGGCTTAGTTGCAGCATGCATAAGATTCCAGGCTAGAAGCACTGCCTCACCTGCGAGTTGGAATCTTTTCCATAGCCACCCGCATCCTTCGTATCCCGTTCTATTCATACACAGGGTCTTGTGGATATCAAGCGAGCTGTGGCGAGGCACGGGATCAGTCTCTTCAGTCTCTCGAGTCTCTGCCCCATACCTCAAAAGCGATGACTTTAACTCATCCTTGATTCGCCCTTTTAGGGTGCTTGATTCTAAAACATTGCGACGACGCTTGACAGAGATATTCAGATTATGGCTCATTCCGTAGGCAGACAAGATCTTGCACATGAAATAGGGAGTAGAAGCTTCGGCAGAAGGAGGTTGACAAAACGAAGATTAAGATTCAGTGGTCGTCCATTCACGGCCGACCCCAGCTATTCGAGCGAAACGTTCCATTGACACGGAGGTAAGAGGGGGAAGACTTGCCAACTCCTGGGCGTGAAGCACACGATACATGGTGCAGTTCGGTCGTCATTCCACATCTCCCGACACAATGCGATTCGGAAAGGACTCCATGAGCCTGCGGTAGAGTCGCTTATAGCCATCAACGGGGATCTTACGGACCAGAGGCGTCTCAAGCCTTACGGCGTATGAGACGCTGGTTGTCTAGCCAAAGTTGATGTTGCCTTCCGCCATCAAAGTCAATAGACACCGTGCTTTTGGTCCATATTGTTAAGGTGATGAACGATTTAGCACTTGAGTGCCTGTCACGCAGGGAGGATGTCGTCGTCAGGATCATTGAGCAACCACACACAAAGCTCTCGCTGCTGTGGTTCCTCGCGTGCTTGTGTGTTCTTCCTCAAAAAACCAACTAAGAAAGGCTCGATGCACACTTCAACTTCCTACCCACCCATGTCTGCTTGCCCCTTACATAATTAATGCACGTAGCGCCCCGCTACAGTATGAGTACCATTTCTCTCACGTGGTCACTGTTTGTAGTCAGAAGGCCCTTCAAGTGCACCGTTCTGGTTTCCGTGTGCCATTGCAGCTGTTGACGATTTTCAGCATTCCGTTGATTTTGGGAGCTTGTATGCTCAGCGTGCCGCTTGTTCCTCCGGGAGTCTGAAATGAGTACGCCCAGCCATCGTCGTTGGTCTCGTACTTCGCCGCAAAAGTTCCTAGACCCGTGGTAAAGCCAGCATCGATGGAGTCCAAACTTCCGGGGCTTGGTTTCAAGGCCCACGTCTTGCATGGCTGATGCGCGAGTCGAGGTCATAAGGCACATAGTGCAGCGCTCTGTCGCTATAATAGCCTTCAATGAAGGAACTGTTGGTCATGCGCGGGTCATCGAGCATGAAATCGACCCACATGCGGCGCATGAGATTCATCGCGCGCTCCGGCTGGCCGGCCACATAATGCGCCTGGAGCTCAAAGCCTAAAGCGAAGGGTGACACCGTACTTCCCGCTTCAGGAGCCGGGGCGCCGACTTTGGTCCAGCGCGGCGCCAGCTTCGCCGAAATCAACGCTATCTGAGTGCTGTTCGCGGTAATGTTGGACACGACCGCCCATGAATTGCCGTCTTGCGGATACAACGTGGTGGTTTCGTTGTCACGATAGAGGCCTGCGCTGGCATCCCACAGCCGAGCGTTGGCGGCCTGCTTGATCGTTTTGGCGTGTTGTTGCCAAATACTGGTGACGGATGCGTCTCCCACGATTTTGGCAAGCCCCAGGCCAACATTGAGGGTGTAATAAAGAATAGAGTTGGCCTCGATGCTATGTCCACCCATCCCGACCCGACCCCAGTCAGCCGAACTCGTAACGTTCATTAAGCCCGAGTCACCGACAAGGCTGAGGGAGTAATTCAGGCTTTTTATGAAGCGACCCCAATTCCTGGAAAGGTATGCCTCGTCACCGGTGAACGTATAATAGTCATTCAACCCAAGCTGTAGAGATCAATTTCTGAAAAGGGATGTCCAGCATAGGGTAATCGACCTGATGAATTTTGGAGGACAAAAAGAGAGTCGAGGGAGTTTTTTACTGCGATCATATCATTCGTTGAAACGAAGACTGAAGGGACAGCGATAACCATGTCGCCCGGCCAGACAAGTCGATCCCGTTTGGCACCGTCCACCAAGACGCTGGTTCCGTTGGCTATGGTGGTATTACTATACCATCTAGTGAGGTTCGTCCCTGAGACATATATTTGTGCAGGCGCGCTGCCAAAGCGAACAACGGAGTTGCCGGCTTTTGGATCGATCGTGCACAACTGGTTCGTGTATGCTCCTAAGCCCTCTTAGTGAAACGAAACATATTACTGAGGTGTCAGTCAAGGACTCGCCAGCGTACCACACCCGACTGAGCTTATTATCGTCGGAGTGGAAATACCCTGAATACCTTCCAAGAGCTCCATCTGCCACGTGCGGCATAGCGGTGAAATAGACCGAGTGGTTATTGATCCGAACTGACCTAGTTGTGTTATGTATGACACTCAGATATTGAAAACCACCACTTTGCATCCGCTGCGGCGCGGTATACGAACCCTCCCGCGTCACTGGGAACCACAAGGGCTCATCGTCGCCAGTGGTGGAGTCGCAGGTTTGTCCAGAGATCCAGATGGAGCTCTCGCTGAATGTGAAGCCGACATAGTCACTGGCGCTGGAGAGTGATAAGACGTCAAACGAGACCAGGCCGGCTATGTTCTTGCCAAAGACAACGTGGTGCCGCCTTGACCCTTCGCCAAGCTTGATGCGTTCAAAACGGTACCATTGACTGTTCGCACCGAAACAGGGTGGAGGGTTCGAGACGTGGGAGCCAGGATATACTCCTGGTAGGGCACCGCACTCACCAGAGCAGTTGTAGTCAGGACAATCTGCAATACGTAGTGAAATTGGTGGTGAAAGATCATGCTGCCCACTGCTAGCGTCATGAAAGGTCGGAGTAGAACAACAGGGCAACGGTTGATATTCGAGGTACTCTTTGCTAGGGGAACACTGGTGCAGTTCGGGTATTAAGTGACACAAAGAAAGGAGCACGTCATTGACCGTTATGGTGGCTAACAGTCACACCTCTAAAGATATCGGACAATACTAGGACTTTGATATCTCGGCTGAGTGAGTACCGAGGAAACACTCGCTGTATTGCAATCCGAAACATGTGGGGTGACTTTGGCGCCTTGTTCCTGGGGTCGCTTTCGGATCTGCTCTCCGCTCTTCTCCACGCACGGGGGATGAGGAGATGGGCGTTTAGGTGGGTCGTCAAAACAGACCACAGAGACTACCTCGTCCGAGTGCTATTTGAGTGACTGATGTACCTGATGTACCCTTCCGATGAGACCGCCGGGACGAACGAAAGAAGACAAATATCCAGACGAAAATAGCCATGGTCAATGGCATCGCTCACATACACGAAAGCTTCGTGGCGGTTTACAAACCGGTAGAACGACCCATGGTAATGGGTACTTCTCTACGATAACGACAAAACTGCACTCGAGCCACTTGATCTTGAATGCCCCGGGGCGGAAGGAGACTGTTGACCTATGAGATGGTTGCCTGCTAGGCTACAGTATAGGCAACAACACTGAAGGATACTGTTTAGGTAGATATATAGATGGGCTCTATCCTGCACTCATTGCAAGAGCCAGAGCATTCATTCAAATTCAAGTTGCACATCAAGTTTGACAGAGACTCATAACATCAATTTCTATTTTCGATTGTCTTCATTCCTCTGATCTAGCACCAATTGAGAATGAGTAGGCTAAAAGCTGTGATCGCTGGCGACGGCAAGATGACTACCTACTAGTTCATTTCCATGGATGCACCTTTTCTCCCGTTATAGTACAGATGCGTTGCCATTGCCCCACTTTTCTGTGGTGGGTCTTCAATCACGTGGAAGAGCTGGTGTGAAATATGCCAAGGCGCTAGTAACTGAGAATAAAAGCGGCTAGTTAGGAACCAATACAATTCTCAACCGTAGAATATCCGAGAACAGCTTTGGATCCTCCTCTTTTGGGCAATCTACATAGTGCCAGCCCATGGACATCGTGACAGTGATGTGGCAGCATCTGGACGACGTGGATGATCTCGTTTGAGGCCGTGCGAAGAATGAAGCGGCCAGACCTCCTGTTTTGGGCGGTCCTCGACAACCGTGACTTGGGGTACGGACTGTTTCAGGGAATAAGGAAGAGCTCATACTTTTCAATCTTCCGCATCTAAGTTGCCGCTCCAAGATGCCCACAAGGACGAGCCGGCATTCAACAAGGCGGTCCGCCTCCTACTTAATTATTCCCTGGTAGAAGAGATGGAAGATCTGGCTAGGTATGTCGTTCATCCGGTGGTCCGTAGATCGGCTTGGCATGCTCAGAACGAGGAACAACGAGTCGATTTCGCCCGACCTGCGGTGATGAGTATTGGTTTTGCTGTTCGTTCAGGTTCCACAACGAGAGTTTTGCACTATACAACAGGATCTAGTGGTGCATGCTGAGTACTGCTTCCGATAGGTGCATCCTCACCGGCATTGAGACTGCTCCCGCTCAGCCCCATGTCGGTCTCATAAAGTCCTTGTACTAACCTAATGGCGAGAACTTGGCTGCGCGGGGTTTGTTACCATGGCCGATGTTGCTCGCATATCAGACGGGTGCTTCTATCTCGGTGGCGAAAAATTTCGTTAACGCCCACCACATTCTTGTAGAGGTACACTCCCTGAGAGATGCCTCGCACCCGTATTAAGCCACGTCGCCCAATGGCTGATTACTGGGATGGGGTTGCACGTAGGCGTCGCCAGATTCGACGCTAGCCCGGTGCCTTTCTCGCTTAGCTCATGAGCGAATGATTATAAATGCCTCCTCCGTCAATTCTTGAGGAAATCGAGTAATGGCCCTGGCCTCATTGCAGCCATTATTGTGTAGAGAGTAGACAGAGTAAAAATCTTCTCGACTGCAGGGTGCAAGCCAGAGGAGCCAGAGGGGAGCTAAGGGTGAGCTATGGCTGCGACGCTCACATACTAGAACGGGAAAGGGAATCTCAATCTTAAGAATATGGGCCATAGTTAAAGAGTTAATTGAATACTATACAAACGCACACATACCCGTACCTCTGCCGTTCTCTCCTCTCCTTCGTATCGTGGCATCTACCTTCGAGAGACTACCCTCATCTGCATCACCTTCTCTCGACCTCGACGTATTCTCTGCCACTCTCCGCCTTCTGTCAGACGGGGTGCAACTTGAGATGTATTGAATGCTCTGTTTTTCTATCTACTTTATAGACGTGTGAATGCCTCGTCGTTGGGCAGAGCAACTATCAGAAGTGCCATTGTCTATGGTAACCTCGTATCAGTGTTTTAGTGGTGGAGCCTATGTATCAGCGTGGTTTTCGATTGTATACACTGCGAGATGGAGCCGTACGGCACATCGGTTACTACAAATATGCGAGTCCACTTGAAGTCAAAACATGAGATCGATGTTGAAAATACTTCGAGCCCGGTTAGAGCAGCAACAACGAAACAACTACAGCAGCTATACCTAGCTATCATATAGGGGTCCTATAACAATGGATATCCTGTCAATTCCAGTCATGAGCGACGAACCAGAGCGAGTCGTTTCAGGAGCACGCAGTACGATCCCGTGGGAAAGAGCGCAGCTGGGGGCTGAAAACATCGAGAAAGTCGAGTGTTTAAAGCACCGGAAACGCAGTGGTATTACAGATAAGCACCTCGAGATAGTTAACTAAATCTCTTATCGACCTGTAAGGACTGGGAGTCGTTGTTAAACGGATCTGGTTAAGTGCTCTGGTTAATCGCACCCCCCAACCCCCCCAAGGTGGTCCAGAGACTGGATCCGATGGGGTTGTTGTTAGGCAGATCTAGTTGGTGGATCCATGGACTGGATCCGATCAGGGTGTGTGGCACGTGACTCATTCTGTGCCAAGCTTTATCGTTAGGATTATCGATAATCGATCGAGGCGTTATCGGCTTATCGAAAACCCACGCTGCCATGTATGATTACTCCCTTGTTTGACACCTTCATTTCCCCTTCCGTGCCTTGCTCTTTCCCGGCCTTCTAAAATTCTAGCCTAACCGCAGATTTGAAGTCCTATGTCTCTTGGGCTCTATTCTCAGGTATCGCTGCCATTTTGGCAGGCGCTTGACCTACTCGTTTCGTCCCACAAGATTATTGTCGACCGCCCGCGCGGGACCGCCCATCCACGCTATCCAGATGAAGTCTTTCCGTTGGATTACGGCTATCTGCAGGGGACATCTGCAAACGATGGGAACGGCATTGATGTGTGGGTAGGGACACTGGAAGGGAAGAATGTCTGCGCAGTTATTGTTACTGTCGATCTGTATAAACATGATTCTGAGATCAAAATTTTACTGAGCTGCACGCCAGAAGAGAAAGAAGTTATATTGGAGAGGCATAACTTGGGAAAGCAGTCAGCAATATTGATTGAGCGAGAAGTTCAAGGAGAAGGTTTGGGAAACGGCGATTGACATAGTCAAGTTGTTTGGGCATTTTCAGTGTGATTCTGCTCGTTAGAGTATGGATTGTCCAAAGCTTCTGAGGTGATGAATATTCAAAACATCCTACTGAGGTATGTGATTCGTGGAGAACAAGAAATCTTGACACTATCATCGGTCTGCAGGCCATCATCACGTTTGGACGATGAGGTACTTACTTTTGGTGGTCAGCCGTCACGAGTCCAGTCTGAGTAGCGGGACGCGAATTTACGGTTTACAAGTCAGAGAGTTGCAAAGTTTGAACAATATTCTATTTGAGGGCAAGATTGTTCTTACTTGAAGGCTTCCGTCTCACGTTCTGTTCTGTTCCGCTAACAGTACGAATCTGGAGACTTGGGCGAAGATCGCCTCAAGCGAGCCATCTATCTCTAGGTGATTTCAACTCGACCCTTAGTTGTTCAATCTCATCTTGAGTGTAATGAGCCTTCCCTATGCTTTCTCGTAGGCAAAAAAAAAGGTCAATGTTTCCCGGGACCATTTCACCACTTTCTTACTGTGTGAGACATGTGTCTCAAACGAATCATTTCTCAACGGGTCTGATCGTTCAACTGAGAACCTTTCAAAGCGAGACATGAAGGACCTCCTCCGCCACGGAAAGAAGCCTAAAGTTGCGCGATCACGAGTGAGACGGTGGTCCGGCGGCTTTCGGTGACCGTCAAGCTCATTCTTCTCATATCTCAACGGACCGCAGAGAAGCACGGATTTTCTCCAGGTACAAGAGACTGCATTGATATTTCTGGTGGGATCGGCTATTCTTCATTGGCTCATATCACAATTGATCTGGTAGGTCTTCTTCTATCCTCCTGCATGGCGGGGCCGGCTGGCCCTGAAACCACCTACCCACAAGACCGATGTTGACAATCACGGCTTTGATTAAAGGAGTCATACGGTACCATTCGCTATGGCCAAGCGTCCAGAGAGTATTCGGGCTTTAATCTTTCCCCGGAAGATCGCCATGGGGCATGGCCTCCCCAACTTTCACTCGACGCGGAGATGCTGGAACGTCCCACCGGGACCAGGCGAACAGGCGCCCGTGCATCTAAGGACCTCGACACCTCCAAGAAGGCCACGCTCTTTATTGACGATTTAAAAAACTCCCTTCGGAAGCTAGTCGACAGCCTCTGGCGTCTCTTCCGCCGGCATGATCAGGTTCGTCTCAACATGGCGTTTGCTATTTCGGCCTCAAGAATAGTCCAGTCAGCTTCGACTCCCCTGTTCATTCTCGTGTGCTTTGGGCTCTTCTTGACAGGAATCTTGGTGTATTACGCTCTAGCGAGCAGACGGCCAAAGAATTTTCCTCCTGGACCTCCTACTTTACCCATTCTCGGGAATCTGCATATTTTCCCTAAAACCAAAGCGTTCCTCAAGTACGAATGTTCCATCCGAAAGCTGAGCATAGGCAGGGAGGTCTGATCTATCTAACTCGCTGCCAGGTTCCATGAATGGGGAAAGAAATACGGTTCCCTTATTGGACTCAAGCTGGGTCCTCAGAATGTAGTGATCCTCAATGACTACAGGCACGTTCAAGAGTAGGTCGAAAATGGTGTTCCCTATTTGACCTGTGTGCATTGACTCTGCGGTAGACTCTTTGACAAACGGGGCGCAAAATACTCTGACCGGCCAGCGAACCACATCGCGAATGATTTAATTTACCAGAACAAAACACACATTTTGTTTTTGCCGTATGGCGATGACTGGAGAATTTTGCGAAAGACTCTCCAAGGTTTGCTCAATGTGGTGGCAGTAGACAATCTGTTACCGATCCAAAATGCAGAAGCCACTCAGACCATGTATCAGTTACTCAAGGAACCCGAGGGATGGTACGATCATATTCGACGGTACTCCACCGCCGTCATCCTGGCCTCTGTCTTTGGTCTTCGTGGTACCAGCTTCGACTCACCACGGGTCAAGGCCTTATACCACGTTCAGGATCAATTAACACAGATTGCCGAGATTGGTGCCACTCCGCCAGTCGACGTTTTTCCCTGGTTGAAGTCCCTGCCGAACTTTCTTTCGGGTTGGCGGAAATGGGCTCTCTCCATCCGAGCCGAACACCGAGCTTTTTATTTCGGCCTGATGAGAGACAGCAAGAAACAAATGCAAAAGAAAGGGGTCAAGGAATGCTTCTTGGCTAGGATGATCAAGGACCAAGAGAAAAGTGGTCTCAGTGACGAGCACATCGCCTACTTGGGTGGTACACTAGTAGGTCTCCGTCTGCTACGCAATACCGGGCAGGTATTTTCCATGCTAATGGCTCGAAAAGATGGAAGCTGGCTCCGACACAACCGCTTCCACACTTCTGTCATTCCTTTTGGCCATGGTCAAATACCCCGAAGCACTCAAAAAGTGCCAAGAAGAGGTCGACGCACTATGTGGCACAAACAGATCGCCGACCATCCACGACTTCGAAAGGCTCCCTTACCTGAGAGCTACCATGAATGAGGTCCGTGGACGAATTTGACCGGAAAGCCCCCTTTTGTCGGGTGGTCCAAACTGACATGTCATGAACAGACTCTCCGCTGGCGCCCGGTAGCAGCCGGTGGTATTCCACATGCTCTTACCGAAGACGATTACTATGAAGGTTACTTCTTACCCAAAGGAACCATTCTCTTCGCCAACACATGGGCCATCCACCGCACCAAGGAATTCAACGACGCGGAAGCGTTTATGCCGGAGCGATTTTTGCAAAACAAATTTGGCATTGCTTCCACCGATGCCGAAGCCAATGACGAGTCGAAGCGGCGTGTACAGTATGGTTTTGGCGCGGGTAGGCGGGTATGTTCCGGACAAAGACTGGCGGAAAACTCCCTGGTAAGTATCGGAGCTTCTCTAAGACGTTGTCTCTGCCCTTGCTGACAACTTCTTCTTCCCCAAGATCGTCAATATGGCCAAGCTCGTTTGGGCTTTCGACATCGCCCCAGGCCCAGGAACAATCGGCGATAGCGTAGACGTGAACTATACGGGAGGCTTTCTAGTGGCCCCCAAAAAGTTCCCCTTGCACTTGAAGCCTAGATCGCAACCACATATTGATATTATTGAGATGGAATACGTGGGAGCAGATGAATATCTCCACCAATTCGAAGACTGATCATGATTCGTTGTGAAGAGGTTGACGTAAATGAATATCTATCTGATCCTCACCCCTACAGACAGAGGAGCAGCTTGACTTGATGTGAATGGTCCGAGTCCTTGTTTTATGCTCGGCATCTAGCGATGCATCGGCACACATGTCATTGCTTATGTACTTTGCCCAAGATGCCATGTCACTGCCTAACGAGTATGTCTCTGCCGTTTCCAACTGAATTTGTTGGGACCTTGCATGAAAGTCATCGCTCACCCACCAGTAAGTCTTGAGATTTTGGGAGAGTGGTCGCTGGCGGAAAGCCGACGAAGGCGAATTTATCCTACTTGACGCGTTGATGTCGTACCACCCTTCACGATTCTGGAGCTTCTGAAGATTCGCCTTCCACCTCACTTCACAAGCAGACACTACCTGATCCCGAATACGTTTCCGCCCGCCTTCATCGCCCATCTCGTGTCCACTTGTAACCTCTGGGCTCTCTAGCTTCCGCATTGAACAGTCCGAGCCCTCATTTGTGCTCACAAGCTTTGAGCTCGCTCCCAGGTTGCGGACGCCTATTCCGATAATTTTGCTTTCAGGTCTATAAATTATATTGGGCCCGAGTAACATACTTCGTTGCGCCACCCTGGTGTTGTGCCTGTTTGCCATTATTTTTCTTCTTCTCGACATCATACGACACTGTTTATAGATTTTGATATACCTGCCATGGTTACTGAAACAAGCGCCGAACGTCTCGAAGGTACTCATGCCATTAAGAAGACCCAGCAAAACGAATTCCAGGTTGAGGAAGTTGAGAAATCTGTGGACCTTGTGTACGAAGATGTCGACGAAGAACCTGAGCTTCACATGCGAACTTGGATCGTGTTAGGTTCCATGTTTTGGCTGGACCTCGTGCAACTTATCGCACTCCAGGGCCCTCCCGCGATGGTAGGTGAAATTCCTTAAGCTTAGAGCGAACGGTTTTTATTAACGACTACATTTTGTATTAGCTCGACTATATTGGAAACTCTTTTGGCGACACGCAAACTCAGACATGGATTCCCAACGCCCTCGCACTCATCCAAGTAGTACTGCGGCCCATCATTTCTGCTGCGTCCGACACTTTTCAGGTTCGAAAGAGTCTGTTGGTAGGCTCTTGCGTTGTGTCCTTTGTTGGTTCGGCGATCGCCTCTGGATCCAATAACATACACAGGGTCGTCGTGGCTCAAGTCCTGATTGGCTTTGGATTCGCGGCCGTGCTTCTTTCCTACTGTGTGCCTAGCGAAATTGTCCCTGGGAGATGGAGACCAGGTGAATAATAACGGCTCCAGCGTCGCGATATATCACTCACATTATGGTCAGTGACCCAAGCAGCCATGAATATTGCCTCTTGTATCGGTGCCCTGCTTGGACCAGATGGGTTTTTGGTGTTACCGCCGTCGGTATCCTCGTTGGCTACCGACCTCCAAAGAGGCATTCACTTCTGGATCATCTGTCGTTCTGGCAGAAGTTTGGCCACCTTGACCTCGCTTGGCAGCGGTCTACTGTGTGTCGGTCTTTCACTATTTTTGGCTGGTCTCTGTCTCGGAGGTGGTCTTTACACCTGGACCGATGTTCGAGTTCTAGCCCCGCTCATCATCGGCTGTTCGCCTTTGGGTTTTACGAAGTCTATGGCACCAAGATCGGCATCCTTCATCACGGCCTATTCAAAGGGCCACACACCAACGGTCGAGTCGTGGCAATTTGCACCCTCCTCATTGCTGCCGAGGCCATTTTGGGTTTCTCTTATCTGATTTTCTATCCCAGCCTGTGAGTCTCCCTCCCCTCCACAGCTTCCCAAAAGTTTCAAGAATACTGACTCAAGGTCCCAAACAGCACAACGAGTCTCTTCACCACCGATCCCATGAAACTTGTCGCGCGCCTGGAGGGGTACTGGATTGCTTGTGCCATCGGCAGCATCATCTTCGGCTTTTTCAGCACGAGATATCGGACTGTTCGTGAGCCGTTAGCAGTTGGCTTCCTTATCACCAGCTCCATGGTCGGCTTTGCCACTATTCAACCGAGCCACTCAGCCAATGCTATTGTATTTGCTTGCATGGCAGGTTTCGGATTCGGGTCGGCTCTCATCCTTATCGTATCTTTCCACTCGCGCCGTCGCTGCTACCGTGTTTACCGCCATCTATGCCGCAGCACTACGCACACAACTTGACAGGAAGACTGCTTCTTATGATTCCGAAGCTGCACTTGGCGCCGGTCTTCCTGTCGCATCACTCACTGCTTTTCTCGGAGCGTTCCTCACAAACGATGCTGACGCACTCATGCAGGTGCCGGGAGTTACACCCACGATCGTTGCGACAAGTCTTGCTGCAATGAAGCAGGCTTTTGCTGACTCCTTCAGGATCATTTACATCATTGCTGCTCCCTTTGGTGTCGTGGCAGTCATAGCGGCCTGTTTCCTGGGAAGCGTGAAACATACCATGAACTATGGAGTTGATGCTCCTGTGGAAAAGCTGCACGCGAAGCATTATCATGAAGACACTACCCAAAATGCTTGAATGGCGGAGCTCTGTTACAACATGACGTGGGAGGTGCCTTTGGGACTGAACAACTTCGGTCTGATGAATGTTGGGGTTTCGCTTAGCATTCATCCATACGAGCGCAGGAACCGATCAGAAGTCACCTCCTCTCTTTATCCACCTCACGGTCTGGGAGTCTGTTCCCACAGATCTCTCTGCTCTGGATCTCTTCGATCTCGGATCTCGGACGACTGTCAGCTATACATGGTCCCAAGTTTAGGGCTGATGATAAAAGCTAGCTGTGCATGAATGCCCCCAATCATCCATGTACACGTCTTTATCATTTGCGATGCCGACTTGTTCTCTTAAATTTTTAGTACGATAGGCAGTGGCGGGACCTCCTGTCCTAGATTCCCTCGGGCATGCCACGCAATTCTACCGGCTGAAAAGGCAGCATGAGCTCCGAAGGATGAGATTCACCGGTATGGATCTTGACTACACCTCCCGTCTTCCTGTCATTCGGATCGTTCATGATATAGCAATAAGAATTCTCGACGTTGCGCGAGGAAACCTGTCTCCAAGGTAACCAGTCCAGTCCAGTCCATGGTTTCTGATATCAAAAAGTCGGATTACCTACCTCGAGCACCAATCTGCCGCCTTTTTCGACGATCACGCTGATGGGACTAAGCATGACGTGGACCTCGACGATCTCGCCTTCCTTTACCGGCTCCGAAACTGATCCGTCAGTGTAGAGAAAATCGCCGTGACTGATCTTGTCGTCGGGCTTACGCAGGGACAGTCTTTGGTGGCCATAAGCGACCAGCAAATTAGGCGAGTCCAAGATGCCGTCGAACAAAATTTCGTGGCCATCCTTGGAGATGTATCGCAAGCCGAGGAACAGGTCAGTGTCGGATGCCCCCTTGACGGACAGGAACAGCTTCACGATAGACTGTCCTGCAACGAGTGTGTTACGCTCAAACGGAGGTGTGATAAAGGTCACCGCGGACCCAAGTCGTTTCTCTTCGAGGTGGAGATTTTTCACGTATTCCGAGTAGGGGAAACTCGAGATGAACATATGCTTGTCGCTCTCGTTGTGATATTGCACCGTGCCCGCCGGGAGGGACTTGGCTGATGACGATGGACTCAAGATGAAACTTGGTCTGCCAGACGTGGCAATTACTGCGAATTGGGAATCTGTCCTTGCTGGAGCGTCGAGCGCAAAAGACTTTCTCTGCGTGTCCACGGGTGGCCATTGAGAATCGTAAAGAAATGATCTGCAGCCGTACCGGCCTCTAGTTATGTATTTCACACGGGGAACCTGGGAAGCAGTTAGTCAGTCATCTATCCGCACAGAATGTCGCAACACCAAAAGGCATACTTTGTCCCAGCCGCTGTCTTCTCCTTTCAGGATATGAGCACGTTCTCTCTCTCGTACATGGGGCTGACATGTTTCCCGGCAATGATCTCCAGCCATAGCTTATTTTTGGGGGTCGATGACTCATAGCAATCGAAAATGAGATCCGGTACTTAAGGGATGTCCGTAGAAGTTGGCGACCGTATAGAAGGGGACTTTGATATTCTCAAACGGCGGGCAACGTTGTTTCCACCAATCGTCGTTGTAGGGATGCTCCTTGGCCAGTTTCAGAAAGTCAACACGATTCTTTGCCAATTCATCCTCGAATAGAGTCGAACGTCCAGTCTGCTGCGATTTGACCGAATGCTCGAACCACCAGTCTGTGAAGAGATTGTTGCGCTGGACAATATCAAATTAGTGCCCAGGTCCGTGATTCCCGTGTCGGGGGTTTACGCACTATTCCTCCAGGGTAACTGATGTCGCGATAGATGTCAATACCGACCTCCCAGGGTATGATGGCCTTCAGCGACGGCGGGTTAAGAGTTGCTACACCCATTGAAGTAATGGAATGATACGAAAGCCCACAGCTGGATAGACCAGGGGTTAGGTCTCAGTTAACGGCAGTAGGCAGGGAGGGAAGGGCGTTCGATGGTGCACACAAAAAAAAGTGTGATACTTACCAACTTTCCCGCTGCACCAGGGCTGTTGTGCCAGCCATTCAATGGCATCGTAGTAATACTCGTAATCCCGCATCGAAAACACGTCCAGGATGCCCGGAGACTTGCCAATGCCAGGGATGTCCAGATGCACCACCGCATAGCCAAATTCAACCCATTGTTCACCTGACAGACTATGAGCGGGGTTCATTGTATCAAATGCATTCCTGGTCAATGCTATACCTTCAAATCGTTCGTATACAAGGGTTTCACGGCCTTGAACAGTCAGAAGGCGGGCTTCAAAGGGGTCTGCTTCCGACATATGCATGTCCTTGTTGTACGGTCCCAGAGAGCTGATGACAGGAACAGGCTTGTGGTCAGAGTCGTCAGGGCGGTAGACATTGGCACTCAGCCACAAACCCCCTCGATGAGGCACGTGGATGTCGCGTTCGATGATCATCGTGCTTGTTTGCTGAGTAGAGGAATAGAGATTGGTAGGAAAGTCGCGGGTAAAAGTGCTTCCTGATAGACCGGGTCGAGCAGTTGCCGACAGCCGACTATGTTAGTATAAGTCAGCTGACATTTGGTCGTCTGATACCTCGGGTTGCGCGGATGTGCTTGACTGGGTGAAAATTTGTGGGACCCCCTGGGCTGGGTTCAGGTCAGCGGTCTGGTCCCGTCGTGGGGTTTTGTTGATGAACCACCGTTTATTGTCTTTATCGACCAAGTACTAGGCACTAAATATGATATAGACAAGCGTAATCTGGGCGAAGATGCGCTCAGATTCTTGGATCTGGTCCCCTGTATGATCCAGCTTGACGAGACAACGGCATCAGTGCTAGCTTGTTCGTCCAAGATAGGGATCTTGTTCGAGCACATTCTGTCACAGCCCTCCGACGTGTCCAGGAAGACTCGTGCGCAACTACTGTTCTCCGGACCGGCGGATTTTGCAACGTGGGCTATGGACTCGGAGATTAATTCTAACTCCATGATTACATAACACGCAGGACCAGTTAAATAAATACGTGAAAGCAGGCAGCCTGGAAAAGTCTGACTTGGAAGCCGGAGAAGCTCTATCAGGCAGCGCAGAGAGCCAACTCGTGCGAGGATTCAAAAGGGGAGAAGTCTTTCTATAGAGCCAGTCGTCTGACAAGTTTCGACTTAACTAAAACCCAATTAATATAAGGACAGGGGTCAGACTTGATTCAAAGATTGGCGGAAATATATATATTTGCGGCGTCCTCCAAACCCTCCTCGCCCTCTGCAAGCATAAAATCATCTCCAAAAATACAGAACAGGATACAAGATGACGACAATCAAAGTCGCAATAGTCGGGGCGGCGGGAGAAACAGGCATGTCAATTGTGAAAGCTCTGCTGCCCTCCACGACACCCAAATTCGTATGTCGAGATCAATCCCCAGAAGTGCCGATATTAATTTTTCGTCAGGAAATTACCAGCCTGACCCGACCAGCCTCAGTCAACAAGCCGATCAACGTCGAACTCAAGAACAAAGGCGTCCAAATTGTTCCTGTATCCCTCACGGGTCCTCAAGACGAAGTGGTCAAGGCCCTTGCTGGCATCGACGTTGTCATATCCACGATCAACCCGGCCGCCCTCAACGAACAGATCCATCTTGCTGATGCCGCAAAACTTGCCGGTGTTAAGCGATTTATCCCTTCAAATTGGGCCCCGGTTACCCCGCCGGAAGGGGTCATGTTGGCCCGCGAACAGGTGTGTATCCGCGGACATTTGGGTGTTTGGGGCAATCAATGGATGGTCGTGAGACTCTGACACGATGACAGAAAGAGAGGATCATCAACCACGTGCTAAAGATCCGCCTCGGGTACACGATCATCGACGTCGGACTGTGGTATCAAGTTGCGGTCCCGCCAGTGCCATCCGGCCGCCTGGACTATTGTGCGGCCAAAGCATTGAAACCTCTGTGGGCCCTCGGCGGAGATGGAAACGTTGCCAGTGCGCTCACCTACCTAGATGATATCGGTCGATATGTCGCGCACATCATTGCGGATCCGCGCACACTCAATAAGAAGGTCTTTGCATATAACGAGACCTTAACAAGGAACCAGATATACGATCTTCTCGAGCGCCTCAGCGGGGAAAGCCTGGAAAGAAACTACGTATGTCATCATTGATTGGACTGAAGCCTTTGCGTACCCGGAGCTGACTCACTCAATGGTCCAGGTGTCGGAAGAAGAGGCGAACAAGAATATCGAACAAGCCAAGAAGGCCTGGCAGAAGAATCCAGAGGAGATCAACGCCTATTTTGCTCTTGCTATGGCACAGTACTTTATGTCTGTTTGTATCCGAGGCGACAATACCCCGGAGTGCGCCCAATATCTTGGATATCTAGACTGCAAAGACCTCTATCCGGATTTTGAGTTCTATCCATTCGAACAATATCTCCGAGATGCATTGGATGGGAAGGCAAAGCCGGTTCTGATGGATTACTAGTATAGCATCACGCAACTATTGCGTATTATTCCAGGCTCTGTGACACGATCTCAAGTATAATTTCACGAGTTATTGCGTGCCGTGACTGTCGCCTATTGCGACCATCTTACTGTTGAACCTGCGTTTGGAAAAAAAAGAGAAAAAAAGCTGCCCAATCTACTGTATCCGTTACACCACAAGTTCAAACTATTTAGCTGTTCGTTCTTACGACCTGACAAGCATCTTATTCTTGATATCCATTTCTACGTAGACCATGCTGCTGCATCTTTGAAGCCCTTGAGGTAGCTCAGCCATAGTCTGAGCATCGTTTCCCAGACGACGCCGCTCGGCCAGAGCACGAACAAAATGCATCAAGCATCAAATTTCACTCTACCCAGCTTCCCGTCAACGAAGTCCGCTAGCTTCTTGTGTTGTCATGCTGCACGAAATACAATCTGTCGTCACCAGAGGCGAAAGCCAGCAGATGCTGTACCCAGGCTTCTAATTGGGGGTGTCGGGTACGTTGTACCACATCGAATGCGTGTGATATATGATCTCCCATTCTTAGAGCCCGATTCCGTACACTTTGAATGCATCGACGGCGGCCGGAAGTACGTCGGGATGGCTAAAAGAGTACAGCATGATGTGCTCAATGGGTTCACCACTCATTTCCTCTTAACAATCTTCACCTGTAAATCGATAGATCCGTAGCACAAAAGCTCTATACAACGATCTCTTTGGCATTGGTACTTTGTGGTCTTCACCCAGGCTAAACGTCAAGACTACTATTTCGCCGACCGCCAAAGGGTGTGGGACAGGTTCCAGATACGCTCATGGCAGGAAAGTGCGGATATGCACACGATCGAGGAGTTCCACGTCTGTTTTCAAAGTTTAGAAACTATCATGAAGCCTATCCGGTAGAAAATGTACTACCGAAGATGAGAAGTTGTCCCACAAAAACATCTGTGCAGAAAAAGTGGCCCAGGGTTTGATCAGCCCCATTTTGACTATGACACAGCAACAGCGTATTTATCGCCCCCATTTTGGAGTGTCCCATCAACCACCTCTTCCCCATTCAGCCCCAAACTGGATAAGTATGCTGCCAGTTTGACAATTTGAACCCAAAATATCCATCTCCGGCCTTTGGCGAAGGCTAAGAATCTCCGAAAATAGTCCTAATGCTTGGAACCGTTGTGATGCTTGCCAGCTTTGATGAGTAATACTATCCAGATGAGGGGGAGTGTCCTGCTCAGCTATGACGCCGTAAGCGATGGGAAACGTTACCATCAAGTCAGAGACATTTTCTGCTGCAGTATCATTACCTCATGCTAGGTATACTTGCACTCTGAAAGTCCCCAAGTCGAGAAGATCTGACGCGAACGAATTTGTCGTAACGATTGCAATGTTCGAGATGAAATAGACAGTCATCATGATGAGGTATGTGATCCTTCTACACGGCATATCCGCGGCTTCGCCGACAATGGTAGGCACGATGGTCAACATGGCCATGTCAGTTTGAGTGTATGGTGGGATAGTAGACCAGGCTGCAAAGGAGAAGAGGATGACGACGTACCATCCCTCAGACTGTGTGGACACGGAGTATGGATCAGATAACTCGTGTTGGATTTCGTTCAGGGTTTCATCTCCATCGGCCATAGTACCAGGTTGCTCGGCCTTTCAATCAATTAAGGAAGGTGAACGGCAAAGAACTTTGCCTTGGCTCTGGCTTCTGAAGGACGCTTGGGAATGAGTGAACGTCCGAGAACAAGTGCTCACCACCTTTCGCGAATGTGGATGCTTCAGATAATTTGCGTCATCCCTCATTGATCAACTCACAAGAGTTCGGAATCGGCCTTGAATATTCACCTGCTGCAAGAATTTAGAATTGGGTTTTTCAAAGGCGACTGCTCCCACGTGGTCCTCACGCTAGCTGTCTCCCGCTGATATATAGAACAGCTTTTGAAATTCTTTGCTGTCCACTGTATGTTCTGAGAAGAAGGTACCAGCATGACCAGCCCATGACTCCAATGATTTCAGTCTATCAGCTAAATAATATCCAGAAAATCTAGACTTAGAATTTGCTGAGTGAACCAGGCGTTGTTGATGGACCCAAATTCATCATTGTACATTGGTAGAGGAAGAGACGCAAAGTCGACCTGGTCCTCGAAGCCTTGCTGGAAGTTGGAGTCAACTTTGGCTGAGTTCGTTTGGTGGTGCCTGAAGGATTCAAGAATTTGGACTGCACGTCGAGCAGATTGAATTTGAGGTTCATGGTATCTGAGAATGGCAATCACTCGATCCCATGAAATCTGAAATTCTTCTTCGGTGCATATTGTGCCCGGTGTCTCGGATAATCGTATGCAAATCAGGACGGTAGCTGCAGCAAAGGCAACTAGGAGAATGGTCAGATGGATGAAAATGCTGACAGCCCCGGAGGTTAAGGATGACATACAATAAACCGTATACCAGCCAGAACATCTGAATACAGATTGCAAATTGTCAAAGAGACTATTGATTAAGAGCTGTGCAGTCTTCGAGCACAGAGAGCACGCTTTGAGAACAACGTGATGTTCAAGGGAAGTCTCTTCTGCATTTGGCCGATAATCCCGGAGAAGTTTCTTTGCAGTAAGGAGGATAGGCCGCAACAGGAGAGTTCGAGTGTATAGAAATCTTAGTAATTTGTTGATCTTAGGAATTTGGCACTCAATGATCTGTAGGGAGGGATTGCTCACCTGCAGTAAAGAACATTTGCTTGCAGCGTGAAGCACGGGCTTCTGGGAGAAATAGGACCAGTGTCCAAACTGCTCTTTTCCCCTGGCCGTAAATGGGGCGGGAGGCCGTTGAAGAATCGATCCAAATCCGAATTCAATTTCATGACTGCAGATAGCGGTTGTTGTGGCTGTGAGCACCCATGTCCCGTTGGGAAATCAGAACCTGTTTTGTTCAAATACAGGGTTGAAAGAATGTCGTCGAGAATATCGAACAATTTTATCGAATACACGAAGAAAGCGAGTCGCGATTCTCGAGATCTCGGCTGGACGCCATCAGCACCGTCTTGGAGATATTCGTCGTCCATTGACTGAGGTGGTTGAACTTCTGAAGGATGTGAAATCATTGTCGGTCGTCCAAATGTCATTGCTTGTAACCTAATTGAAGGTATCAACAATTCACCCTTTCCAGTAACGAGGATATGCTAGAAGGACATATGGGCCGGCAGGAACTGACCTATCAAGAATAACACAATTGAACCATACTCTGCGTCCCATCTCACGTCGAAGCTGGTTCGAACAAGTGGAGTGTTTCGATTCGAGGTGCAACCCAAGCGCTTGTGCGGCCCTGATTGCCAGTCCGATAGTATTCCAACACCGGCTGGCATACTGGGTGGATTGCAGATATAGTCCTGTCAAGAGGAGAAGTTGTACGCTTTCTAAGGAGGCGGCATCAAGAACTTTCCTAGCTGACAGATTCACAGAGCGTTCATAAAATTCCGAGGCCAACCCTGTCCGCTTGCTGGCTTCAACCATCTCGCTGAATTGACAGCCCAACGCAAATATGACGTTGACAATGGATAGAAATATAGGGTCTTCGAGGGGAGTGCTGAGTCGTGTGTGATAACTTGCATTTGTCGGTTCCCATAAAAGCCGGTATGATATCTCGAAACCGGGCTGATGGACCATTGGAAACAATGGGTGAACAATATTGAAATAACAGTTAACAAAATGGTCTGCTGCATGTCGACTAGGGAGGATAATAGCAGTCGGATCCAAGGCCGGTTGAGGAAAAGCCGGTCCACTGCTACATGGCTCTGATGGTGTTGATACGGGCTGATGGTCGGCCGCACTAGAGATATGTCGTACAAATGCAATGATCGAAGACCCGCCAAACAATGAGCTGGTATCCTCGTTGATTGAACATGTTGCTAGACCGTCAACGCTTGAAGAAGTCTCTTGGTGTCTCTGTTTTTGGCTGGCTGGAGTAAAGCTGTGCACATGTCTCTGACCAATCTCATGTCTCGGAATGGGTGATTGGAGATGTTCCTCGTCATGTGGTGCTCGGAGCTGAGAGTTCGTTTTCTCAAGGTCCCTTATTTTCCGCTCCAGATTCGCAACATACCTGTTGTTGTGAAGTAGTTTTTCAGCTTTGGATCGGTAAAAAGACAAGAGAAATATGGTAAAGATCTGTCCTACCGTTGCGTTTTCAGGGAAGATTCGTCATAGGAGCAATCCTGAGGTTCGCCCCTTCTGTAACAGGCGGAGCAGGCAGGCTGACGACCATCGCAACGGGTTTTGCGACCTCGACAAAATGTACAAGCCAATGGGACTTTGCGGCGTTTGACTCGGGTCATCCCGGCTTCTTCACGCGTAGATGTTGGGTGGGAAGACATGGATGGGAAGATCTAGGTCGCTAGGCTTGCTAGATTGATAGCGTTAGAGAATCCAACTCAAGGAGATCGATTTACAGGAAAGTGCTGACAACGGTACAGGTCAGGTTCGAAAGTTTTCGAGGGAGATGAAATTATCATCATAAGGAAGACGACCTTCGCGGAAACCCGGGCTAGGTCATTCAAATACTCCTGCAATTACCACGATCGAGCTCGTCATGGGGCCCCACCGTCAATTCCGCTAAAAGGCCTCGGCTCAACCCCTCTACAGCATAGTGGAGGCACGCACTGCTAGTGTACAGCCTCGTCAGAAACCCTGGCCGAAGCCCAAATAGCTCGTCTATGGATCCTCCTACTTCAACAGATAACACTATTCGCTATAGAAGCCTCCTGAAGACTGCCCAATGATGAAATCTGAAGGGCTGTTTTGCCGTCCTCATAGCTTTTCACTGTTGAAGCTCCACCAGATTGAGTAATAACTTCGCCCCTGCAGGTCCGGCATTGAAGGTGTCATACATCCTCATCTCTTCTTCTTTCATGCTTGCGTCTGTAGAACCGTCGAATCGGAGGAAGAATGCGGCCACGACTTTGCTCAGCTCCATCTGAGCGAGACTGCAGATGGTGAGTCAGTAAAAGGGTTTTCAGAAACTCTCCCCAAATATCTGTGAACTCACTTGATCCCAATGCATTTCCGTGGTCCAACCGAGAACGGAGTCCAGGCTTCTTTTCTGAGTTGTTCTCCTTCCTTTCCCAGCCAGCGCTCGGGTTGAAACTTCTCGGGGTTTGGGAAAGCAGGCTCATAACGGTGAATGGTGTAATTTTGGGTGCCAACAATTGTCTGTCCACAATCAGCACCGACAAACATCAGGGAGTGACCCAAGAAATTCACTTACTCCTTTGGGGATCTTCATACCCAGAACCATGGTGTCCTCCTTTGCCGTCCGTGGTAGTGTTGCAATGATTGTGGGATACCGACGAAGTGTCTCTGAGATCACTGCTTGCAGATAAGGCAGGCTGCTGCAAGCCTATCTTGGTGTTAGTGTCTGTTTTTCCTTCGAAATCATTCCACATACCCGATATTTGGGTACCGTGTGGGTATCTGGGAATGCTTCTTTCAATTCGGTCCTGAGCTTGGCCACAACTTCTGGCTTCCGTAAGCAGGCCCACAAAACGTATACCAGGGTGTTTGCTGTTGTTCCGCTGCCTCCAAACCTATGACATCCGGTCAAAGACTTCGTTCTAACCAGGAATGAAAACTTACATTCCGCCCATGCACTCTTCGGCGAGCTCGGAGTCTGTCAAGGTTCGTCCAAGGAACGCATCCTTTTCACCTCCCAAGACACTTCGAAGAAATGGGGTGTTTGTCCCTCTTCTTCGACATTGCTGAATGATTCCAACAGCATACTTTTCGGACAGGTTAGTTGGTAATATCATGTACACTCGCGGTAGAGTCACACATACTCTTTTCCACGCTTGGACGTCGCGGAAGTAGCTCCCCACATGGCCCGGGACATACGGCCCCCATTGCTCCAGCTGAGGCATGAATTCTTTCTGGTTCGGGTCAGTGCAAGTGACTTTCGTTATCTGGAGACGGCTGACTTACGTATATGAACGTAGGTCTCCACGCACGAAGGTACGGCATGACCTCGTGAGGTTGGCCAGCTTTGATCGAGCCAGGATCTTCGTCGAACATCAAGTTATCTGGAGATGTTACTGTGTTGTCAAATTCGAGAGATAGATTGTGAATGCCGCATACACACGATGTCAAATCCAAGCCAATGGGCCCAGGGGAAGACATTCACCGGTCCCTGTTTGGAGTATACGGCCCACTGATCCAACATCTCTTGAATCTTGTTGGATATGATTGGTTCAAAATCCAACATCGCAGCCTGAGAAAATCCCCGAGATAGAAGTTTGCGTCGTTGTTTGTGAGCTTCTGGATCCCTAGTCGAGTAAACGGAATGGGCGTCCAGTCTCAGCCAGCAATCCCTCGTTGAGGCGAGAAACATACCTGAAGCTGAAAAGATGATTTTCACGGAATATCCGCTTCGCTCGCTAAGAGGGTGCCAGTCAGACAAAACGACCATGCATTCCAGAGTGAATTTTTAACATAGAAGGTCTCCTCCTTCACAAAAACGTCCGAAGTGTAAATATCCCGCACCGCCCCTGGGTCTGAGAACGATAACTCATTCGGGCCAACACGTACGACAGGGCCTAAATCATTAGTTCGGAGGAAGATCATCAGTGATCAGTTGGCATACCATATTTCACATGAGCGTCATGGATTCTCTGGGACTTGCGGCCCTGGAAATTTCCAATTCTGCTCCAAAGCCGTGATACTCTTGCCAACGGAGGGCCAGGTACTTTCTTCAAAGGGTGTAAAAAGAGATTGTATAAACATGTAGCAAGGAGAAAGAGGCAAAGGATAGCCAAAACCCCGCACACCAATGTCAAAGAACGGTGGACAAGGATCCCGCTGGCAGACCCGACGAATGCCATGTTGGTGGTGAAATCTGCAAAGAATGTCGATAACTTCGGCAATCCCCCTTCTGCTCTCCAGGCGAAACTTGTGGTGAAATATGAACTGAGATCATGTGGGTGCTAACTTCATTTATATGATGGCCATCGTTCACAGGAATTCCCTACCGAAAGACCCAACCTATGGAGGAATTTTGAACGTCGCTATTCTTTTCTCCGCTTGGTGATCTGATTCCTGGCATGCGGGGATCCGTGTCTCGGGGAGATTAAAAGAATATGGGGTTGCTTCCCCAGGTTCGAGGCAGAGAGCGAAACCGATATTGGCTCTAGGGAGCCACTTCCAATAGACATCCTCATTGATGATCTAGAAGCTGTCGGGGAGATAAACCCATCAAAACTCTAGTTGACGTGTTCAGCCTCGGGTAGCTCATTGGGATGTTCAATCTCCCCGACGGAATCTTCTGTCCGGCAAAGATCAAGCCCCGTCTCCTCTTTTGCTTTCCTCGGGATCAAAAACGGTCTGGATCTCAATTTTTGTGTTTGTTCCACCCTGGTAACTGTCTTTTCCTGGTCCCGGACCGATTCTCTTGGAAAGTCTGACCGTCAAGCTACTTCACCGATAACAACATGAACGTCAAAGAAGAGTCCCAGCATGGCGGAGGGAAGTGTTCAGGTGAGTGTCTTTTCCGAAATTACTCTTGGCTCCCACCAACGCTGTTGAATACAAATACGTTCCTTCTGGCTGGAACTTGGGAACCGGTCCACGAGCTATTTGATCATCCCCACCCGGGCAGTTGACCTAAATTAACTTAGTTTCTCGCTTCTGATTTTCAGGGTTCTCTTCACAATGGCAATGGATGCAAAGTCTGCTCAGAGTGTCGAACTAGAACATGCAAAGACAGGAGATGTCTCAGTCGAAGGCCAGGAGAAGCAGAATGAGTTTTCTGATGATAGCGTGGAACGAGAGAGAGAAAAAAAGCTCCTCTTGAAGATCGACTTACATCTCATACCAATACTATGCCTTCTCCTTCTGTGTGCGTTTCTCGACCGGTAAGCGTTTGTGATCCTTGAACATTGCATCGTGGCGCGGATATCTGACAGGAATCATACATAGTATCAATATCGGAAACGCACGCATTCAGGGCCTTGAAGCTGACCTTGGAATGTCGGGAAACGATTATAATATCGCCCTTTTCGCATTCTTCGTTACCTACGTTGCCTTTGAAGTACCCTGTAATATCTTGTTGAAAAAGATAAGACCTTCGCTCTTTCTGAGCGGTATCATTGGCGGATGTGGCATTGTCACCATCGGTCAGGGTGTGACGCAGTCCTTTGCCGGTCTTGTTGTGTGTCGAGTCCTTATCGGATTCCTCGAAGCTGGGTTTGTACCTGGATGTGTTTATCTCATATCCATGTGAGTACCGATGCCTAGCCCGCCTTTATATCAGATCTGATATGATCAGGTACTATAAACGCCATGAACTTCAGTGGCGAGTCAACTTATTTTATGCTTCGTCCATCATTGCAGGTGCATTTTCGGGTCTTCTCGCTTATGCCATCGCCCACATGGACGGTGTTTCTGGATATGGTGGTTGGAGATGGATCTTCATATTGGAGGGTGAGTTCTGCCACCTCCCACATCTTGTCCCCGTCCTTCGCCATGATGAGTTTTTGGACGAACAGAGCGAACACATCGAGAGAACATTTCGAACTTGTTGCAAACCCCCCGGGGGTCTAGGAAATCAAAATTTGGCCATAGCAAGCTTTTCGTACCCCCTTTCGACAAAGCTGACGGCCTTCAGGCGCTTGCACTGTTCTCATCGCCGTGTTTGGGTATTTCATAACCCCAGACTGGCCTCAAACAGCGAAGTTTCTCAAGCTCGAAGAACGCGAGCTTCTCCTTCGTCGACTTGCCATGGACACTCCTGATTCTGCAATGAATCACTGGGACAGGAGCGCTGCAAAACGCATCTTTGGGGATTTGAAGATCTGGCTTGGGTATGTCATGATTCCTCTTGTTTCTCGGTGCAATATCTCTGACCATACGAAGTGCCGTGATGTATCTCGGAATTGTCACGACAACCTACAGCACATCTTTCTTCACACCGACCATCCTCAAGCAATTGGGTTGGACGTCCCTTCGCGCCCAATATATGTCAATCCCTATTTACATCGCGGCTGCCTCGATCACTTTACTCGCCGCAATGTACAGCGATCGCCTCAAGCACCGATTCGGCTTTATCCTCGCCGGATGCGGTTTGACGACGATCGGCTACGGCGTTTTGCTCTCCATGCATCAAGTCTCCGTCGGCACTCGCTATTTTGCACTATATCTCATCACATGTGGCTGCTGGCTTACACAGCCCATCACAGTCGTCTGGCTCAACAACAACCTCGGAGGCCACTACAAACGAGGCGTCGGTGCGGCTATTCAACTTTCGATCGGAAATTGTAGCGGTTTCGTGTCAAGCAACATCTTCCTACCCGCACAAGCCCCTACCTATCATCTAGGCTTTGGTGTCGGATTGGCCTTCGTCTGGATGTGTGTCTTCTCGGCGGTGGTACTCTTCCTCTGGATTCAAAGAGAGAATCGACTTCGTGACACGGGCGGGCGAGACTATAGGTTCAATTTGCCACGGGAGGAACAACGGAACTTGGGTGATGACCATCCTAATTTCAGATTCACAAATTAGGATTTTGTTTTATTTCCCTAGCATCTCACCGTTCGAGGACAGAGAGATACCAGATTGAATTTGGGGAGGGGCTGGCCACGTACAAGTGGGTAAGGGCGCAATTAGACTGAACGCCGGAGACTTGCCTCCTCTGATATATCCTGTGGAAGTTGTTGTCAACCTGAAATTTCATCCGCATTATCTCTCTCTAAGACTAAGCCTGAAATGATGGTACTCATACGTCCATCCGAGGAAATAGCGTGGAGACCTTGGCGGGTACGATCTCGACTAACGAAACTTTGGGGGGGGAATGTGGGAAGAAAAGACTTCCTCGTAACATGTTTTGGGCCTTCGTGTTTATTATTCTTCGGCGGCTCAAGCATCCCAATAGCCCCTAGAAATGTCTCCATCATGGAAAATTCGGCTATGCTTGCGAGATATCTCACCATCTCGACTTTTCTTTTAGAGCCTGGCAAAGGAAATAGGCAACGACCGATCTCACTGGCACACATATGGTCGGTAGACTGGATCCCACATTTGCGCCTTGACCCATTCCTCCAGATCCTCGTCACTGTTAACAGGGACATCTGTCGTCTGAGAAAGCCCATCCTCAACGGCACACCGGATGACGGCCATAGCAATTTTGACACTAACACGTCTAGCATCTTCCACGTCCGGAACCAGGGCTTTCTCCGGGCCTTGGAAAGCAGGAGACTCTTTCGCCAATGCCGTCACTGCTGCTACTAGCATCCTGTTTGTAACCAGCTTGGTGCGGGCCAGGACTCCACCAAGGCCGATGCCAGGAAAACACACAGAATTGTTGCACTCACCGACTTCGATCTCCTTGCCTTTATACTTGACCGGTGGGAATGGTGATCCTGTCGTCACCAGAACGCGACCGTCTGTCCAGTTTATGAGGTCTTCTGGCTTGGCTTCGTGGAGACGAGTTGGGTTGCTAAGGGGAAAAATCAGGGGCCTGTCAATGTGCTGGGCCATCTCTTGGACAACCTCCTTGGAAAATGCACCAGCTTTGGTCGATGTCCCTATGAGGACATGCGGTTTCACATGGGAAATAATGGATCGTAAAGATTGGGAGTCTTTTCCGTCCCATTCGGAGGCATTGCGCGCAAATGGTTTTTGGGCAATCGAGAGACTGTCACCCATGGAGTCCAGTAAGAGGCCGGGCTTATCGACACACCTATTTCCGGAGATGACTTAGAATCCCTGAGCATAAGGCGTGCGAGAGGCTTACCATATCTGCTCTGCCGCTTCCTCTCTGCTTTTTCCTGCTTCTGTGGCGATTGCGGCCTGGATCTGCTCCGCTATCCCGCATCCAGCGGTTCCAGCACCGAAGACGACAACCTTCAGCTCCCCCAATTTGACCTTATTGATGTGAATTCCAGCCATGATTGCCGCCAGGGTCACACATCCGGTGCCCTGTATGTCATCGTTGAAGACGGCGGTTTGATCTCGATATCTGTCTAGCAACCTGCGAGCGTTTGTGAGACCAAAGTCTTCGAAATGAATGTAAGCCTTGGGATACAGCGTTTTGGCCGTCCTGACAAATTTGTCCACAAAGTCATCGTATGCTTCTCCCCGAACACGTCGGAAGCGATGACCCAGATAGAGGGGGTCATTGAGCAGCTTCTCGTTGTCAGTACCGGTGTCGAGCACGACCGGAAGCGTTCTATCTGGGTGAAGACCAGCGCAGATGGTAGTCAGGGCCAACTTCGCCACACTGATCAAAATTCCTCCAATGCCCTGGTCTCCGATCCCAAGAATCTCCTCGCCGTCACTCACAACAATGTAATCTACGCCGCCGTCGGGATCATCTTCTCTGACAAACTTACTCAACCGTTCTTCGACCTCGTCCGGATGTTTGATACTCAGAAAGCATCCATCGGGTCTGCGGAAGATCCGGGAGTAGTTCTCAATCGCATCCCCCTCGGTCGGAGTGTAGATGATGCTGAACATCTCCTTCAAGTGATCTTGGACCAGACGATAGTAGAGCACGGTATTCTGTTCAGCCATGGAGGTCATAAAGGTGTTCTTGGCCAAGTCGTCAGGCTGATTGCAGTACTGCTGGTAAGCTCTTGCGACCTGCTCCTCCAGAGTCTGAATGTTTGTGGGGAGAAGGCCTTTGAGACGAAGATCCGAACGCTCCTGCGAGGTAAAGCCAGTTCCTTTGTTGTAGAAGGGATTATCTAGCACAAGGCGCCCAGAGAAAGGAACTTTGAGCGGCCCTTTGTTGGCGAGCGGCAAGTGGTCATATTTGCCTTTGACTGAGGCCATGACTTTTGCAAGGCTTTGAACGAAAGGTCCGTTGGTATTTTGCCTTGGGAGACTATCGGATGAATTGATCAGCGAAGGTGTTGAAATGAATAAGGAGTTTTGATCCGAGTTCGATCCGAGTTCGATCATCAGATGAAAAAGCTTGAAGCTTAAGCTCTAAGCATAATGCGTATTGCATGTCGCTTTCGTCAATGCTGATTGGGAAGTTCTGTGGGACCGAGTAGCGGGGATTAGATGAGCAAACAAGTCGGATGAGCTGCATTGTCATCATGCCTAACCAGGTTATCCAGCTACCGTATCTGGGTTGATTCCTGCTGGATGTTGGAAAGAACATCATGTCTACGTCATGTCTTTCGCCAACGGGGGGGGAATAGCCATAATACGACGTCGTTTTGTCATCTCGATTCCCTCCATCGTAGTTCCAAGCGTCCGTCCACTTATAAGGGAAACACCTTCTTGTCCTTCATAGTTGTGCCGGATCTATCCGCCCTGGATCTGATGTTGCCGTCCGATCAACTCTCTCTCTCCAACATAATCCAAGAGCTCCAAGAGCGTGAGATTTTCAACGTCCACTTCTCCGGTTCCATGAACTCACTCTCCTTGTTGGTGGCCTGTGGCGAATCCCATTCAATATGGTCGACTTTCTCAGCAGTATCGATAGTGCCATTGTTTCCTTCCCCGCCATCATCATCTTCTTCTTCGGAGAATCCCATGAGATCTTTGACGTCCGTCTCAGTTGTGATAAGTGGCTTGTAAGGACCCTCGGAGGCATTGCACGCTTCGTACACAATTCGAAACTATATAGTCTGACGGTCCTTGGACCCCTTCGAAGTAGAACGAGTCCTTTGTAAAATCACAGAATCTCAGCCTTGTTGTCACGTGCATCACTGCCCTCATTTCCCTCCCTTTTCTCACTAGCCTTCTTAGCCTGCTGTGCCTTGTATTCTGGGCAATTCATCAATGCGTGGCCGTATGTCGGCTTGAGGAAGAGAGCAGTGAATCATTTCAGAACCATTCAGGTTGTTGCTCATTCTGAAGCCGGGGGGAAGAGATATCACTGGATGAGGCAGTGATTGGTCAAAAATACATGAGTGACTGGGACGTGGTTCATTCTGGGTCATGATTAAAGTAGTCTTGCGCCATCACGCTGACAACCATGGCAGCTTCCTCTAGATTAGACACAGTCTCGATACCCTCCTCTACTACAAGAGATGACTCCTTTTCTCTTGCCAAATGTAGTGCTTTGAGGCCGCAGTTGACCGCACCCAAATAATCTTTCGAAAATTCGTCCCCAATATGAACCCATTTTATCTTTCCAGGTCGATAGCGCAAGGCCTCCGTCATAATCTGTGACACATCTTTCAGGTCGGAGGGCGGTCCCAAAGAATTCTCCATTCGAGATGGTGGCATTGGCATCACGAGTCTCTTTGCGGCTAGCCAGATATCCAGGCTAGGTTTCTCCGACTCGGCATCGTAACTTGTACAGAGGAAGTCGAAATGGTTCCTTCTACTGTAATAGCCTGCGTAGGGAGTGGCACGAATATCTTTGATGTTGTCTGCCTGGACGTTTTTCCATATGTTTGGCATCTCCTGGAGAGGATTCATTTCAGGGACCCTGGATGGCCCAATCTCTAGTCCCAGATCTGTCAATACGTCTCTGGCACGCGGATCGGAATTCGTGACAATTCCTGTGACCAGCAATGGTCCATCTGCAGCGACAAAGCGGTCTTTAATGGCTTCTATAGTATGAAGGAATGGCAAGACGTCCAGATAGAGTTGGTAGGCTGCTTGGGTCGAAAAATGTCGGTAGAGGCTGATATCTAGATTCGGAGGAAGCTCTCCGTCCGGTACGATCTCGCGGAATGCACGTTTGACCACTTTGGACCACCAGATTTGGGGATCCTCCAACTTGCCTTTCCCATAGTTTGGATAGACGGTATTGTAGTGCTTGAATGACGACTTGAAGAACTGGTCGAGTTCAGTTGGGTTAATTTTTGCTCGCAGTCCGCATTTTTGAGCAACATTGAAGTACTGGGCAGAAACTGGTTCTCGAAAATGATATAGGGTCCCCAAAGCATCAAGCGTTACGACGAAAATGGGAATTTTGACCGGAGCAGTCAGAGCCTTGAAGAGGGACGTGAAACCCGCCATTCCAAGCCAGCTTTGCCGGGAAGATAGGACAATGGCGACAACGATGGATTAGACGGCATCCATTGAAGCTGGAGGAATAATCAGCCGATGTGATTGGGGGTTGGAGGATCTGGATGGGCTGATACGATGCCGTGATCAAATGAATGAAGCGAAGAAATTGGCCCCCTGTTTACCTCAGCATCATCCATTAACTTAGCCTTTCCTGGCAATGTCCCTTGCAGAGCCCGCTCATAATTTGTCAAATCAACCGTGACCAACGCGGCTGGAATCGATTCTTACTCAATCACCATTCCTTCTGTTGAGTTATATTAACCCACCCTCTCTCTCTACCCTGTATTTTGAGTACCTTTCTAGATCATCCAAAATATTCCTTGCGCGACTCGCCAAACTGTTTTCCTCAGCCTTTCGCCGTGCAGTTCGCACACCCCTCCGCTCCTCATTCAGTATCTCTGTCGCCGCAGCATCTACTGCTCAACAAAAGCCTCAATCGCCGGTGAAAACCAACTTTTCCTCCTCCTCAATCCGCGCCGCCATGGCGCCGCATACCAAAGCCGCCATTATTGGCTCCGGCCCCGCTGCCCACACCGCAGCCATATATCTCTCACGAGCAGAGCTTAAGCCCGTGATGTATGAGGGCATGCTAGCAGGAGGGACGGCGGCCGGCGGTCAACTCACAACCACCACCGATGTTGAGAACTACCCGGGCTTCCCCCAAGGCATTGGAGGTGGAGAATTGATGGACGAGATGAAAAAGCAGTCCGAAAGATTTGGCACCGAGATCATCACCGAGACAATAACGAAAGTGGACCTGAAATCCAAACCGTTTCGATTATGGAGAGAATACGAAGATGGAGATACAGATGAACCTGCTCACACCGCAGACGCAGTAATTATTGCCACGGGCGCTAATGCTAGAAGATTACATCTACCGGGAGAAGAGACGTACTGGCAAAACGGGATATCAGCCTGCGCAGTCTGTGACGGCGCCGTTCCCATATTCAGAAACAAACCTTTAGTGGTCATTGGAGGCGGTGATTCTGCGGCAGAAGAGGCGATGTTTTTAACAAAATACGGTTCTCACGTCACGGTGTTGGTGCGGAGAGACAAGCTGCGTGCCTCCAGGACGATGGCAAAGCGATTGCTCGCCAATCCCAAAGTGACGGTTAAGTTTAACCATGTCGCGGTCGAAGTCCAAGGCGAGAACAAGCCTCGAGGACTGATGACACATCTGAAGGTCAAGAATGTCGTGACCAACGAGGAGGAAGTTATGGAAGCAAACGGCCTCTTCTACGCTGTTGGACATGACCCCGCCACGGCGTTGTTCAAGGGCCAAGTCGACACGGATGAAGATGGGTACATTCTAACCAAACCGGGCACCAGTTACACCAGCATCCCCGGAGTCTTCGCTGCGGGAGACGTGCAGGATAAACGGTACCGACAGGCCATCACGAGCGCAGGAAGTGGTTGCATAGCTGCGCTCGAAGCCGAGAAATATCTTGCTGAGCTAGAAGATGAAGAGCCTGCCATTCAAAAGGAGAAAGACGCCAAAAAGCCAGAGATCAATGGTGAAAATGCGCCTGAGTATCGATCAAATCCCCTGTTGTGATGGACCGATCACATGTGTGTGTGTGTGTGTGTTTCGCATAGAGTAGACTCTAAACAAAGATACCTCTTGTTCCATCTTCTTATGCCCCCTTCCCATGGATGGATGGATAGATATATCTACAATTCGAGACTTTTTGGGCAGCCAACGCCAATCTCCATGTCTCCGTACATTATTTGAGATAGTAGTAATACGCAGAGTTAACCTAATCCTGGCAAACGCTCAAATGCTCGTTCACGGATATCATCTCCTCCGCAGATACCATGCAAAAGCAGTACTGTTTGTCGTCTCGGAGAAAGGAGTCGGCACCTCGGCTAGACCAGGCCGGGCCACAGGATGTCTCAAATATACCGCTGTGCAAATATTGTGGTTGACCTCGAGATAGCGGGGGATAAAGGCGAATGCACTCATGTAATCGCGTGGCATCCAAGGTGTCGCATACGGTTTGGATTCGTCGATCGGGTTCTCTTGCATCGAGCGCAGCGCATCAAAGAGCTCGTTGTATTCGCCGTTGGTCAATGTGAGTGATTCTTGTTCGCTGGTATCCGCGCCGGCTTCACCCGTTTCGGCCGCTGAGTCCGCTTCAGAAGATTCCTCTCCAGGCGCCTGGGTAGGGTCTTGTGCGGATGGAGGAGATGATATACCCGTTTCTTTTGTTTGTCTTCGGAGATTTAGCTGTCGCTGTATTTCTGCGAATTGCACTTCGAGGCTCTCGGTCATAATTGTGGTAGACTTGGACTTGGAAAGTAGACGTTTGATAGCTTTCGAAAATGCTCTGAGATCTTGTTTTCGTTTCGCTCCGAGATCTTTTTTCGGCGATGCAAGGATACTCTTTGCTTGAGCTTTGAGGTCTTTCAGAACTTCTCGAGGGTCTCGATCCATCTCCACCTCCTCATCCGGTTGTTCTTCGATGTTCTCTTCTATAGTTTTCTCGTCACCTTCCGACTCTTCTGCTTCTTTGGCAGCTTCCGGGATTTTGGGGGCACCTGTGGCATACATTACTCGTTCTGGGAGAACTTGGAACATATCTCCGGGGTTAAGGAGGTATCCTGGATACCGCAGCTACACGGTGTCAGTTCCAATCGCTGGAGAATGCAGCCAGCCACAAAAGGGACTTATCTCACCTGCTTGCCGTTAACCTTGACGGCTCCATGTACGACGAACTGTCTTGCTTGGCGAGCACTGCTGGCGAACATCGCCCGGAAGATAGCTGTGTCCAGTCTCCTTTCCATCGGAGCGAACGTCATTTGCATATATGGAATTGCCTGAGGCTTGGGTGCATTTCTTCCTTCTCTTCCTGTTCTTTCCAACCCAGATCCTCGGCCGGCCGATTCGAGTGCACCATCGTTCGATGCAAGGTATTCAGCGTTCATGGGAATGACAGATCGTAATCGTCTATCAAACATTCGTACCCATTGTTTCTCTCGGATTTGTTCTCCATGGTACTTGCGGCAGGCTGATTTCGCGCGCCATTTCAGTTGAAAAATGGTTCCCTGTCTTACTGACGGATTCGTCATTCTGGACATGTTGTAGAGATTGTATTTGCTCCATGACTGTCGAAGAACCTGTGGACATGATTAGACTTTTCTAGGAAATAGTGGTAAATCTTTCGTACCCATCGTAGGGCACCACCTTTTCCTTGGATCTTGAGCGGCGTCGTCGCACGATTCCTCATCGTGGGCCAGGCCTTTACGGAATGTCGTTTGTCGTTGCTGTTGCATTGGAGAGAAATATCCCAGCAATAAAAAACGTTGGGTCACGTGGTTCCAGGGACCGACATTTTTCCGGTCCGTAATTTCTTGGCACCGGTCAGAATATTTCTCGCTCTCTTGTCCTCCTCAAACTTATCTTCTTCCTTTCTCATACTTGTATTTCCCCCTTCCCCGTGCGTAATCAGTTCAGATATGCTAACTATGTTTTCAGACCTTGTGGGAGCGGCTCAGCTCAAGAAGTGAGCTCGCTATGGTGGTGTCCCTGCATTGCACATCGCGGTGGATGTCGCCATTAAGTGTCCTTCGGGGTTCTTACTCGCCTATTTTTTGGCTCTTGAAATCTTTTCATCATGATGTTTGCCTGGGGCAAGCTCTTGGAGAGGAGATATGTGACATTGTCTCCTTTCGCTGTTTTCTCAGACGAGATATAAGGTTCGAAAGGACGGTGGCAGAGCTCTGGATGAGTTCATTAGGCAGCCGAATGTTCAATCTTTGGATTCATCGCTTTCGCAAACAGTGTCGCAGCCTCTTCTAGGTCTCATGCACTCTTATTGCTAATCTACAATCTCAAACCCAGGCACGATGTATGGAAAGATTGATGTCTGTTGCGCAGGGCATACTGTATCTTACAAAGGTTCGTTTGACATTTCCTGAGAGCTTTGCAATGGGCTCAGCTTGGCCTTACTTTCATAGAAGGACACTTTGCAAGCGGGATTTTATAACATCAGGCTAATTACATTGGTGATATACTCATCTTCCAATTCTTCATTCGGACATTACACCATTCCAAGGACGCAGTTTTGGAGACAGTTAGAGTCATATGAATGCGTCAAGATGCAGTTCGTCAAGCTGAGTGGTAGTCTGGCCGGGTGTTTGAACACTGGATCATGGGCGTGTACAGTGTCTCTATCCCGATTTGGAGTAAAACACCCATATCTAACGAAACTTTGATCATTCGAGCGGCCCCCAACAGCGATCTAATGTAGTCAAGCATTCCTAGATCGTATCCTACCAGAATGTCGCCCATCCCGAACTCCGCGCTAATTTGCATACAAATGAATATTCCCGAAAGCATTCTCTTTCCTCTTCAACCTTGCATCGTTTGCCAGAAATAATCGGCGTAGAACCATCTTGAGAACTTGGGATCGATATTTACAACGTGGACATCTCCCTTCTTGGTGTTTCCAATCGTTGCTTTGTTGTAGTTGCCGGCTTCGTCTTGCTCAAGAGCAATGCCGAGTGATCTGTATAGCCAAAGTCGTAATCTATTCCAGTCAGTCGGAGATATGGGGGTCAGTAACGCGTTTGGAGGTGCGTACATTGTGGGATCGTCTGCTTCTCTTGCACGTCGCATGTTTTCGTCGCCTTCTACTCCTTGTTCCTCCAAGTCTGCTAATCGTATCTTGAGTCTGTCAAGTTCTGCTCCCAGTTTCTCACTCTCCACTTCCAGCTCAGATGCCTGTTTGGCGATGCGGAACTTTTTCGTGTCGAGCTGGACGATCTCGCTGGCATGTTGACCACTGTCATGGCCAGAAATAACTTCTCGATGTTGTGAGGAGAGAGTGGCCAATTGCCTGGATAATTTTCTTAGGGCAGTTTCAGCGTCACGAATTCGGAGGTCGCGTGATTGCTGCAACGTTGAGAGAGAATCGTTGACGCGCGAGAGGGCAGCTTTGTCTGGGGCAATGTTGAAGTTGGAAACAGTCGCGCGGATGAGCTGGTATACTTTGTTAGGCGCGTCAACAGCAACGTTCACCAGGACCGCTTACCGCAGCGGGATCTTCGTCAAGAAGCATGATTGAAGCTGAGTATCGAGAGATATTGACTGGAACGGCAGTTCAAAATAAATGCAGTTACTGGTGTGGAGGAGTGCAGGTTGTATAATATTTTCTCCAACCCGAGATTTGTTTATGCGCCCTTGTTGCGGAGAGCAACGCATCTATCACATTATTTTTTCGGAGGATGCCTAAGAACCCCACCCGCTGGTAAACGTCATGGCCCAGTGACGCTACTACCCACAATCTAACAGGCACTTCCAGGCACTGAAGGTGGAACTTTACGAAGGTAAACGGGCTGAGCCACAAAGCCCCTTGTAGTTCAGGCCTCGGGGCCATATCAAAAGTATAGAAACTCGGACAGTCTACCTTCCTTTGGCATCTATTCCCAGTACTCTTTTTGGAAGTGTCACTGTGTTCCAAAAATGCCATCAAATCTGCCGTGTATGCTGCCACATTTCATGACACGATTCTGAAAAGAACTCCGCTAACCTTGAATCAGATGCCGCAGACGCAGAAAGGTTCGTCGGGTCCTCCTCTACAGACATTTCTCGGAATCAGGACTAATGGAGGCTGGTATAGCCCCCTGAAGCCTGCAGAATTACAAGTCCTTCGTGCGCAATACGAAAAGGAGGGTGACTTTGTGGGAGTCCAGACCAAATTCAACTATGCTTGGGTATGATGGCGATCTGATGTTGAGGGAATGAAGCACCATGGTTGACTGACTGACCGACTCAGGGTTTGATCAAATCGAATCAAAGAAGCGATCAACAACTCGGCGTCCAGCTGCTGTCTGATATCTTCAAGACGACCCCCGAGCGACGGCGAGAATGTCTGTACTATCTGGCGCTCGGAAATTACAAGCTGGGAAACTATGCTGAAGCAAGACGATACAATGACTTGTTACTAGAGAAAGAGCCCGGAAATTTGCAGGCTGCAAGTCTGAGACAATTGATTGACGACAAGGTGTCGAAAGAAGGATTAATGGGCGTGGCCATCATAGGTGGCGTGGCGGTCGCTGCTGGGATTGTTGGAAGTATGATTGTGAGGGGATCACGGAAAAGGTGATCTGGCTATCTCCATCAGTGGTGGGCGTTTCATCGTAAAGTGTGAGAGATGGTAATAAATTCCTTCTCCGTTATTGTGATGCCTGGCTTGGGTTTCGAGGGAATGAAATAGAATGTGACAGCAAACACTGCCACATCACCGGATAACATGAAGCCTTGGCCATGATTATAATTCTCATACCAGTAATCGACATGAGCGGGCGACTTGATTCGAGCACAGAACAACAGTGACGGAGTGACATTGTTATACACATTTTCCAGGTCTGACCCTGCGCGCACCAAAAGCCAGGGCCCAAGTTTGCTGAGCTTGTCGGTACCCTAAGGATGACCGGCATACGTCAACCCTATTGCTGGTGACACCCGAGGTTGCGGAATGCGGATACCATTTTATTCATTACTTCTACTCTCATCTGCAATAGAGCACTAAGTGACCGAGCCGTTCTACCACATCGACTCGACTCCTGCTCTGGTGACCACGATCCTGAGAGGTTAAATTAAGTATTCCAGAACCTCCTGTCGTTCTCTACTCGCCTGTTCCGACCTGTCGCCACTGCGCCACTTTCCTGGAGAAGGTCAAGCTCTCGCCACGCGCATGACGCAGTCTTAGTCTTGCCTGCCCGCTAAAATCATCACAAACCTCCTTCGTACTACACGAAAACAACCGTTTCCTTGATCATTGACTTTCCACCATGACGGACTCCAGGAGAGTCGAGGGTGAAAGAGTATTCTGCCACCAATGCAACAATGAATGGGATAGACGTCATGGCGGACTGACCTGTCCCAGATGCGAGGGGGACTTTACCGAGATTGTAGGTGCTTTCAAGAGCCAAGTGAATTGATACTGATTGATTTGAACAGCTGGAACTAGGAACGACATCGTCGCTGGAACATGACCGACAACCCTCTCCTGCCGCTCCCCCTCCGGACCCCTTCTCTCCTCTAGATTCGCTGCACAATCATTATCCCTGGCAAAATGATCCCGATTCTAATCCCCGGGACAATTTTACCACCTTCGAGTTCACCAGTGGCAGTGGAAGAAGTGGCAGGATTTCCGTCAGCACACGAACCTTTGTTTTGGGCGGCCCCGGACAAAATGTAACTGATGCCCATGACCGTGAGTTCGTTGATATGTTTGATCACATGCTGATCAATGTGATTCGATCGCAGAACCGACTCATGAACCCATTTCCACCGCTCGGATTCCCGCGAACTCCCTCCCCAGGCTTTGGCAATGCAGCTGGTGGACCCTTTCCGGCAAGAGATTTCCGAGAGATGCCTGCTCCTCTGCAACCAGGAAACCTGCAAGAGTAAGTGAGATATCCGATAGATACCGGTTTTATCGCTGACCTTGCTAGTCTGTTGTCTGCTCTTTTCCGATCAATGCAACAAGAAGAATCGGGCGACCGTCGAACGATGGGTCATCCACCACATCCTTTCGATTTTCTGAATCAGATTTTCAACCCGGAGAACGCTCAGCTCGGCGATGCAGTGTACACCCAAGAAGCATTCGACCGAATCATGACACAGCTTATGGAGCAAAATGGTGGCAGCGCTACCCGGCCAGCATCAGACGAAGCCATTAGGTCGCTGGGAACGAAGAAGGTGGACCAAGAAATCTTGGGAAGTGAAGGGAAGGCTGAATGTTCCATTTGCATGGACAACGTTGAATTGGGTGACGAGGTGACCGTCCTGCCGTGTAATCATTGGTTTCATGGCGATTGTGTAAAGGAGTGGTTGAAAGAGTCCGACACATGCCCTCATTGCCGGAAGCCAATCACGAGTCCGGAAGAACGGCAACCACCCAGTCTCCCAAGGCGAAGAACAAGTCGCCGACCATCTTCGGTGTCAAGCCCGCGTGCTTACGGTCCGGAAGGGAGCCGATACAATCCGGCCAGGATTCCGGAGAGCCCCAGCGAGTTGCGTGAGCGGCGACAATCGTACTATGGAAGAAGGCAGTATGGAGATATGGAACATTCCGAGCCCATTCAACACTCGAGCAGTAACCGCGATCCAAGGCGAAATGGTTCTCGAGGTAGTAGTGGAGGGAGCGGAGGGAGCGGGGGGAGCAGGAACAACAGCTCTGGTGGAGGGATGACAGGGTGGATTAGGGATCACCTCCCGTTTTCTTGAACATGGTCAGGGATGGATGGATATGGAATTGCAAATTTTTCACCATTGGTGTGGTGGAACAGGAACGAGCCGAAATGTGCGAAATATGCTCAGAGCAGTTGCCCGGCAGCCTGAGTTCGGCGGTTGCAGCCTCACAAATCGTATGCGCTCCTGACTCTTGCACCGAATCGAACGTCCTGAAAAGGAATAGGAGCCGGGAAGGTGCCAAGTCAATTTTCGGACTGCAATCGATTGCTCCACTGGATGGTGTAGACAGCAAGTCTTTGATAAGGGGAAGTATCAGTCCACCATACACCTTTGGAGCTCGACGCAGAAGGACACGGCTGATAAGGTGACAACGACATGAGCAGAAGAGTTATCCTCGATGGGAAAATGGCACGTCTGGATAGATTGAGATGAGGACCCTTGGGGTATGATTTTGAGATAGAGAGTCGGCAGAATTGGTACTTGATACTTGGCGTAGAAAAGCTGAACAGTGAGGCTTGAAGTACTCGGGACCTGTTCATAATTACTGGACTCGGTTGGAACGGACGATTTGAACTCTCACGTGCCATCACCCGATGCGGGAAGAATCTGTCGTTCACATGGCCGAAAGCCGCTCCTAATACTTTCACATGCCACACAGCATGCTTCGGGCAGTGCTACGTTTTCATCTTCGCCCCATGAGATCGTCCCAAACAACGTACCTGTACTCGTGCTTCTGGGTACAAAAAACGTCAGACATCCTCCTCCTCTTCCTCTTCCGTCATGGCTGGCGTAGTGTGCCTTTCAAGTTTCTTAGCTGTTGGTCTCCATTCTCTCCTTCAATCTTCCTTCGTATTTTCCCTGAACATCTTCCCACAGGCAAAGCACAAACGGTCTGTGCTTGGAATGGCTCTGTTTTGTTTTGACGTATTCTAACCCGAGGCCTGGAAAAAGGGAAAAAAAAGGAAAGAGGAAAAAATCGTACTCTCTCACATATTCGCCACTGCGGTAAGCAGCTAGAAACTATGATAGGTGTGCTCCAGGTATCTCGAAATAGACGTGGTCATCAGACTGACTTTGATGGGCAGACCATGTTCTGGGCCGGCCATCCTCGCAATTCCGCAAAGTCCAGGTCTTTGCTGTCGTCTCCTTCTGGTCGCTCTATCTCCTAACGTATGTCCATTTACCCTCGTCCGGATCAAGTACTCATATTCTTCCAGAGGCGATAAACATGGACCTCCTATTCTCCGACTAGTCTCCCAGCGACTCTCAAAACGCATCACTCTTTGGCAATCGGTCGTCTTGACTCTTCTCTATCTGTACATATGTCGAAATTTTGCCAAATTAGTCGGCCTCGAGTCTCCTGAACCATTAGCCAATTTGTATAGCAGATCATATTTCCGAGCAACATGGGTCACCACGGCGTTGGATGCGGGTTTCTGGAGTGCTATGAGAATACGCAATAAGACCATGAGAGATTTGGCGTCGATGATTTTCACTGTATATTACCTTATCGCAGCGGAACAGGCAGACGAGAAAGTCAGAAAAGTCCGAGCGGTGTTGACGGTCGACCACTTGAGAGTGGCATGGAACAAGTCCAACACACCTTATCTAAAATGGATCAACGCGTTAATGCGACCTCGATTCACCAAATACAAACCTCGACGGATTCGAATCCCACGGCCGAAACAGTCCAATTACAAGGAACCTGTGGTGGCTTGGATGTACTTTGATGGTTCCCTTGCCGAGTTGGAAAAGCAGGAGAACCTTGTGCTGGACATTCCCGGGGGAGGATTTGTCGCAATGGACCCAAGGACCAGCGACGACAAACTGCTGGCCTGGGCCGGAAGAACCGGGCTTCCCATCCTGAGCCTGGATTACAAAAAGGCCCCAGAGTATCCATACCCCTACGCACTCAATGAGTGCTTCGATGTGTATGCGCAAATCGTGGCGACTCGAGGCCGATGCGTTGGAATGAAACCTCACGCATGTCCCAGAATTGTTCTCACCGGCGATAGCGCCGGCGGGAATCTTGCCGTCGGCACCACGTTGATGGTGATCCAATCGAATCTGGCCGGAACCTCTCGAGGCATCCTCCCTTCCCCAGCGGGCCTGGTCCTACTCTATCCATCACTGGATATGAACATTAGTAGCTGGATGACCGATGATCAAATGGCATTGATTCGCAATCCCCGAACTGCCAAAAAGTACGAGAGGTTCATAAAGAGGAAGAGTGAAGACATCGATCGTCGGTACACTCCCACAACCCCAAAGCCTGTTTCCGATGACGAGGAGGACGACCCGAACCACGATTTCTTCGCGCCCAGGGAAGAGGAAGGCAAAGAACCGTCGGCGGTGGCAGCAGCAGTCACTCGACATGACACCGATGTGGAGGCGCAGCAGCAAGTCGTCGCCCTCTCGAAACCTCAAGCACTCAGGACAAGACTTGCGGTCTCCTCAATCATCTCATACTTTGGCGATCGCATTCTCACTCCCGAAATGATGCGGGCAATGATCATACTCTACGTCGGCCCCTACCATCGGCCTGACTTCACCACCGACCATCTCCTCTGTCCCGCCGTGGCCCCCGAGAATCTCCTCGCCAAGTTTCCCAAGACGTACTTCTTGACCGGCGAGCGCGACCCTCTTGTCGACGACACCGTCATTTTCGCAGGTCGCCTCCGCCAGGCCAAACTCCACTTATTCCGCGAACGGCAGGAAGTCGGTCTGGAGAAATCCAGCGAGGAATTCAACGAGAAGGATCATGTCGAAGTGACGCTGATCCCCGGCATATCACACGGATTTGTATCGTTTGTCTCTGTCTTTCCAGAAGGCTGGAAGCATATTTTCCGCTGCGGCAAGTGGATACAAGAGATCTTCGATAGACCACCGCATCAATTCGAGGGCCCGATGATTGAATCGCGGTTGCGGAGCGGCACACTCACGCACGCCAGCAATAGTAGTAACTTGGAGCTGCCCTCGACGCAGATGCGCCATCACCGTCGCACGCCGACGGGAGAGAGTCTTGATGACGATGCTCCGCTGGTCATGTCCTCGCTGAAAGAAAAGGAAAAAGACAGAAAGAAAGAAAATGATGTCGTCAAGTCAAGTGCGAATCGGACTAGTAATCACCATCGTCGGGAAGAGAAGCAGAAACCTGACGGCCCCGCAAGGAGGAAGAGCCTCGTTTCCCTGGGTAGTGAAGAGGATCTGCTCAAGCGGCGCATGAAAGGGTTGACGGTGGGATTAATGGGGTCGAATGATTCATGATGAGAAGACTCGTTAACGAATATGAATGTGAGAACAGGTCCTGTGATTTGAGGCCGATGTTGATATTGATCTTATGTTTCATACAATAATCTGTGGCTGCATGTAGAACAAAGTTCATTGGCCTCAGAAAAATGGTGGTTCCAAATTTCGATATTTGGGTATTTTTTTTTTTTT